AACCCTCCCTGTGTTTGGGTGAAGATCAAATAGAAAGGACTGATCGATAGGGACTAGGGGAAGGTAGTTCGCGGCTGCTCTTGGATTCCACAATTAGAGTTTACCCGGTTCTGTAGCGGCAAGCGCGCAACTATAGTCAAAATACACAAGTTTTGGGATAAGCAGGAAAAACGTTATCAAAAGTTTCTAGAGAATGCCGATAGTGGGGTATATAAAGACCGTTCTCCAACTCCTTGTCTACTAGGGCTTTCGTCGAATAGTTCCCACACTCGGCGATCCACCTCACGGCTCTAAACACCGGAGAATCGCCCCGAAGATCCCGGCCGGCATCAAACTCGGACACTATCGCGCTAGAGTGTCCCTCGAAGTTCCTAGGTCAATCAGACGGATTCTCACGGGTCCAGTAACTACGAGGGTCTTTCCCTATCCAGAGAGACCACTGCTGCTCCGAGTTCCTATATCCAAAAAGTAACAAACGAACCCGGAGCCGAGTCCCAGGAAAGTCGTTTTGTACAGACATAGGAAGAGTTTGTGACAGAAATAGCACAGGAAGAGAATTGGCAGGAACTAGATAAGAACGATAGAATAACAAAAAGGGCCATAGCGAAGGGTTCATATTATATCTACTATAAGACAGTTGCAAGAACCAGAAAAGCGTCTCCGACCGAGCGTGCCCCCGTGACGGGAGCCCCGCAAATCCCTGTGCATTGAAAAAAGAGCCTACGCGCTGTGCTAGAGATCTAATAAGTCGATTACTTTTTCTGAGCAAACTTTTGCTTTCAGTTTTGATTCTGTCGCTTTTGTGCACAATAGATAGTTTAGCTAGATTGACCTAATACGTATATGTTACAAGTGATTAGAAGATCTACTCTGATTGATGAATCCGATGTCAAGTGATACGTAAGTTTTTTGGGAGGAAATCTGCGCCGCAAAGCGCGCTTTACCCAAATCAAGGAATAGGCATGATAAACGTAGGAATATTGAGATGGTAGCGAGGGTGGATTTACGCCGCAAGGAGTATTTCGAGCAAACATCAGAGCACAAAGTCGTGAAGTTGTGAGTGATGAAATGGTGAAGTGGTGAAGTGGTGAAGTGGTGAAGTGGTGAAGTGGTGAAGTGGTGAAGTGGTGAAGTGGTGAAGTGGTGAAGTGGTGAAGTGGTGAAGTGGTGAAGTGGTGAAGTGGTGAAGTGGTGAAGTGGTGAAGTGGTGAAGTGGTGAAGTGGTGAAGTGGTGAAGTGGTGAAGTGGTGAAGTGGTGAAGTGGTGAAGTGGTGAAGTGGTGAAGTGGTGAAGTGGTGAAGTGGTGAAGTGGTGAAGTGGTGAAGTGGTGAAGTGGTGAAGTGGTGAAGTGGTGAAGTGGTGAAGTGGTGAAGTGGTGAAGTGGTGAAGTGGTGAAATGGTGAAAGTACGCAACTCCCTGATAGTAAATCGATATTCCAAGGTGTTAGTGCTAGGGGATTTTCAAATTGCTGCTTTATGTCCCTGATAACAAGGGCAGAACCTCTCATAGTCAAGCTCGTGGCTCGAACGTGTAATAGTATCTCTTCATGTTCGATATATACATTCAAATATCGTAGTAACGTTAAGTCACAGTCTTGGAGGATCTTACATAGCTTAGTAGTACCGCACTACAGACAATTTCGAAATCGGTTTCCCCTCCACACACGCGCTTTCTTTCTAGACGCCCCGGAACCCGCTAACGGTCTGGACCTAAATCGTTTAAGTTCACAAGGTCCTGTCCAGCCAATCACGCAGCTAGACTCTGCTCAAAGTGGCCTAGCTTCTACTATATCCGGCTTGGAACTATCGAGGTGGGAAAGAAAAAACCGCGTACTTGGTCATGGTATGACCCGTACTATTCCCTCTGGAAATAGCTGACGGGTTTTAGGATACAAAAGTTCCTAGGAACCTTTATTGATTTTCGAAGAAGGATTGGCTGCTCGAGATGAGGCATTTATCTCCGAAATAGATTGTTTTTGGTGGACTTTCAATAGACGAGAGCAAAGCAAAATATAAAATCATCATCAAGTTTTGAGAAATCCAAACACGTGTTCGTAAGTGTTCATTGTGTGTTGATATTAAACAATATTGAATCCTTGCGCATTGTATTCTTAAAGATCCTAGGAATCTGGGGGCGTAATTTGAGCTCAGGTTGTTTCAGGTTGCCTCCTAGGAGCCAGAGGTTAAAGCCATCCCTGGATCCGCCTCTGCTTAACGGACCGTTGCCGAATTTGCAGTATATAATCCTTTATTCGCAATTAGTTGCGGTCTTTCTGACAACATGTTTCGTTTTCTTTCGTTATCTCTTTAATCGGAGTCACATCTCATCAGATCACATCGACAATGCTCCTTCGACTACCCCTCGAACTATTATTTCGTGTGGCAGACTATCTCCAGTCATCATCTGCTATTTTTGCACTAACTGGGTTGAACAGGTATTCGAAGGCTGTGTTCATACCAATACTACTGCGTTTCAACGTCTCTCACCAGGAAAGCTCAGCTTTGATCTCGGCCAGTCAGCAGAATATACCGCAATTAGTCGCAAGCTTGCTGTCAGATCATTCTGGAAATGTGGACACGTCGGACGCACGATTTCGCACTCCAATTTATCACGCAATCCGAGCAAGCCACGGTGAGGTTGTCAAATTGTTGTTGGGACATGGTGCGGATATTGACTGGCTCAGAATAAGCAAAGACATATTGTACGTAATCTTGCTCAGCTGCGGCTCCCGCCGCACAGATTCAGGGGCATTGGACGAGGACCTGGAATACCCATCTATCATACACGAATCAATCAACTTTTGCTTTGGCATAAATACTGTCCACTTAACTGTGTACACAGTGCCTAGCTGGTGATACCAACAGCATTAATTTGATCAGATCGCCGATTCTACAACAAACGCAAACCAGAGCAAATCAAGCTTAGAAAATTCAATATCAAACTGCGCTTATCCTCTCCCGTTGATATTATCAACCGCCTCCTAGGAGAGGACGATAGAACAAATTAATCCAATTTAAACGACTCTTTATATAGAGATATGACACTCAAGGTACGCTTTCCTACCGTTCGACTAGAAGAAATGCAACATGATCAGTAGATATAAATATGATACCTTCTTTCACCAACTATTTGTGCAAACACATCACTTCCCTCAAAGCGTCATGAATATGATTGTATTCTAACGGCAGCAACAATTAGGGAGGTGGGGAACTCCTGTGTACAACGCGCTTGATTTTACATTCGAAGTAATCATTCCTATAGAATGATCGGACAAAGGCGCAGAAGGCACAACTTCCGTTGGTAGACCGAAATGAAGGGTTGGAATACCCACGCACGGGGGCTCGTTCTCATCAGCAAGATTGATCACATGAGGTGGAATCTCAACAAACTTCCCGGGTTCTGGGAAACGAATAGCCACCATCTCTCTAGTTTTGCAGCCGTTGATATTGGCGATAAACATGGGCGGGAACAAGGCTTCAGGCTTCTCAAGCACCACAGGCTGGTCGTTGCCAATTACAGTAATCGGCGCACAGTTCATGTACATTTCTCGATTGCCGATACGATTGAACCATGTCCAAGCCAATGTATATTTTCCAGGTTCAATCCCTTCAGGTATCCTGAAGGGAAGATGGAGGAATTGTCGGAATCGGCGCCCCCAACAAGCTGTCCGGCTACATTTGCGGGGCACCCTCCCTCGAACGACTTAATAACTTTCCACTCAGAATCTTTTGTCGGAACACGATCCTTGGTAAGACTGATTTGGCACGAGCCGCCTCCATGGGTTATGCTTCCTTTGAGTTTCAGTACCTGATCGTCCCCGATGCGGTAGGTTGCTTCTCCAGAGATTTCAAATGCATTTGGACGTAGCTTACAGGGGAAGTCACTTCCATCTGCAGCAAGAGGCGAGTTGTTGAGAGTATCTTTCCCGTAGGGTTCTGGCTCCATTACTAGCAAATGGGCATTGGCCCAAAGAACAACCACCCCGAGTGTGAGATAGTGTTTAATGATCATGGGGGAATATGAAGACGCTGGGAGCTTCGAGCAAAGATTTTCCCAGTTTTGTGAGAGTGAAAGCACTGGAGGTAGAACCTTGCCTCGATTATATAGGATCTCACTGTAATCCAGTGGATGTCGGAGCGGGACATTCTCCATCAAAGAGAAAAACTTTTCAAGCCATCATTTGTCTAATTCTGAAGGTCAATCAATATTGAGATCATGTACAGTATTCAACTATTCGAACTACATGCGTATTAACCTGTTGACTTCTTTGGTTCAACGCCGGGTAAGTTGATGAAACGGTGAACAAAAAGCTGTTAATACAGATTGCATGACAGGCTAGCTGAGACACGTTGAGCAAAGTTTATCAACGCATGCCCGAATGAAATCTCGAAATATTGAGCTTTATGAAAGAAACTATGATCTATGGCAAATATCGATCTTTAAACGGTGTTCTTCTCAACCGTCTAGCTACAGAAGATACGCCTGTAGAAAGTATGGTGGCATCCTCACGATCCAGTTGCAAGTTATTTCCAAATTTAAGCACATAAGAACCTTCTGTGAATGTCCTCTTGATTACATCTACCGTGGATTTGCTATCATAATGAACGTCAATTTCAAGTCAAAGACCGTTTCCACACCCTCTATTGATCAAAAGACACGGAGAAGAAGAAACACGCTCTTCAGGAAAGCTACTGAGTACTGCTCAGAATGCTTTGCAGATATCCAAATGATTATTCGATTGAAGAAAACCGGAGAAGTTTACATTCTGACATCGAAGTCGAAAGGCTGGCCACTTTCCGAGACCCAATTGGTATGAATACTATATTCACTCTTCTTACAGACTTATTGCATTCTCACTAATAATATCACAGGAAAGCTATTACCCAATGCCCAAGGTGCAATTCATCAACACGGAGTCGTGAATGTGGCAGAACATTCTCAATTTCTGATCTTTGCCTTGTTTTTGTACAACCTTTTTGCTCAAACATGGGATCTCTGTCTAGCTTCTTCTTTCCCATTGAGCATACCTAACTGCTTGATTGTTCCAAGCCTCTGCAATTTTTCGACTGGCCAAACTGCGGCCCATCATTTTTATAATTTCGGTCCTTGTGACCCAGCTGCAACCACCTGGACACAGCGCGTGATCTGTGGGCTCTATCTCCGTCCACTCGATTTTGAGATAAGTCCTTGGTGCTCGTTGGTGGAAATTCTCGGTTAAATCTCCCATAGAAACAACACCGACAATGTTTTTGATGTTCTTCCATCCATACTTGCGGCGCTTAAATCCGCGTGAATCGAGAACCTTTATGTTGGGGATTCGACTTTGAGGGTCTGAAACATCTTGCAGCGCCGTAACATGAATGCACCACGTAGGATGTACAACGTACGTACACATATCGATTGGACCGAGGCGTACAATGAGCACGATAGCTCTTCCGACAAGAAACCATGCATCGGTTCGTCGATATTCATCCCTTGAACATACACAGGCCAGACGAGTGAGAAGCCTGTCGTCGCTCTCTCGCCGTTCCCATGTTCTCTGAGGACTAGACTCTGTTGAAAATCGGTGTGCGATCTCAATATGTTGGTTATCCGGATCGATGTCTCCGACGCGCTGTGTAGGATTACCTGGGACTGGTTCGGAAGGCTCCGTTTGACTGTCCAGGAGCTCAGACGTATGTAAATGGGAAAGGTAATGTTCCGTTTCCAGACCCACGTCTCGAGGATCCGCACCACACTGCACCAGAATCGGGCAGAATTCCTTTGAGGTGTTGAAAGCATGTAGAAGTGCTTGATTAAGCTGTGGTTGGCTTGCCAAACGTCCTAGTTGCCGCAGTAAATCATGTTTTTTCCGGCTCTTCCCGATCATGATGTACTCTAGCGCAGATTGACCAAAGGAGTTACGGATGGCAATATCGGCGCCGCAGTCCATCAAATATAAAATGATTTCCTCATCGCCTTGATAGCACGCGTCCATGAGAGGCGTGGAGAAGCGATCTCTGCGATTGATATCAGCCCCGACACGGACGAGGGCTTGTACAATGGGCAAGGAAGCCTTTAATATTGCATAAGACAGTGCAGTATTGTCACACTCATCACGCTGATCTATGTGAATCAATTCTTTTGATTCTTTCATGTTCTGAAGAACTTTGCAGATGGTTTCAACAGTTTTCGTATCCTGCTTCATAACAGCGATGTGCAAGGGGGTCATTTTCATGCTATTTGTGTCGAAAATTGCGCATGGGCAGCTTCTCAAGTAATGATCGATCGCTTCATGGTGGTCACGAGTGAGCCAACTTTGCAGTATTGGCCAATTGCATTCTGCACAGTCACGAACAGTCACTCGGAACACATCTTCGGGTAACAGATTTCTTGCGTGGACTGCCATGAGCGTATCGATATCTCGAAGTATTGGCGGTTCACTGGAGATGGCACGCTGGATTATGCATTGTAGCCACCTTTTCGGCCATGGATAGCGCATGAACAGTTTTGTGAGAGTCTCAAGGTTCTCAAGGCTTGGTCCGACTTCATGCTTGAGGAAATCCGTAGATGCCAAGAAAAAATCCCATCGACAGAATACGAAAGAGATAACATCTTTCACGGGGAGATAGTCTAAGATATCGTAGTTCGGCAGGAAGCGACAAGATGTGTGCTCTTGAAGAGTCTTTGGCCCTGCCTTGCGCTGTACTGCTACCACATTCACTCGGCGAGAACATGGCACCCTCACCGTCTTTGTGAATGGAAGAGACGGTTGATAAATCCATAAACTTCAGAAAGAATTATGAAAGATCTTCGGGGGAGCTGAATGTTATAAATATTATGAGCCAGCAAAAGCGCAAATATTGTTGATCGTCCGCAGAGTAGGGAGGCATTCCTGGCAGCTAAAACCGGAAACTTTACCTCAGATATCTATCTAACATGGACTCAACTTGACGCAAATAATTAACCCCAATCTTGAAGGTAAACAAATGGTTTCCTTTCCTTTTTCATCTAGCTCATGGCTCTTCAATCGACAGCTGGCGATAGCGGTACGTAAGACGAGGTCTTTTTTAAAAAAAGTAAAATATGTTGAAGCAAAAAATGTATCGATCAATGGCTGATCACTACTTTGATGTTAAGTCGTAGTGCTGAAAGTTAACTTACACAGCATCACAAATATACGGGTGATGTAACAATCTATTTCATGTACGGCCATGAGAGAATATTTTTCCTCGAAATGCTCAGGGTGTGCCTAGGGTGTGCTCGGGGTGTGCTCGGGGTGTGCTCGGGGTGTGCTCGGGGTGTGCTCGGGGTGTGCTGAGGGTGTGCTGAGGGTGTGCTGAGGGTGTGCTGAGGGTGTGCTGAGGGTGTGCTGAGGGTGTGCTGAGGGTGTGCTGAGGGTGTGCTGAGGGTGTGCTGAGGGTGTGCTCGGGCTGTGCTCGGGCTGTGCTCGGGCTGTGTCTGGGGGTGTGTCTGGGGTGTGTCTGGGGTGTGTCCTGGGTGTGCCTAGGGTGTGCTCATGGTATGAATTGTCTTAAGGCGTGAAGTTTTTCGTGCGCAATGTTGTTGCTAAAATCCCCGAGAACACCCGGAGCCATGAAGGGTGTGAAGCTTTGAGCCACGCCGTTCTGGTCGACAATTATAACATAACTAGTCAATGCGGAGCCTCGTAATGGCAATCAATACCGATGTTCATATGACATTCAGTTGATGCTGCTACAATTTGAATCAAATTTGGAACCCTGCATTAGGTTTTTCTAACACAAAATAGATTTGACTCATCTGTGTTCTTTACACGGCTTGCGGTGGAAAGTTACGCAACTAATAACTCTGGACCTGGTATTCAAAAGACACTGCTATGAAATATTTGCTCTCTCTTCAGACTCCGAAATGTAGTCCAACAATTACCTTCTCTCAACGTGTCAAGTACCTCCAAGAAAGTACACCGTACCTTCGAAGTGAACATATACGATCGATTCCAAAGAGCACATGCCGAATGGGAGCGGGAAGCCAGCACAGTGGAGATCAACCACCAATTTGAGAGTCATAAAGGTAGTTCTCAGGATTGCAAGAAGTGTGAAGTACCGGATGAACCGCTGAGAAAAGACTACTTTCCTGAAGAGCCTCGCAGTAGCCTATTGAGTGAAGTTCTGGCCTCCGTGATTGGCGTGGGAAACTTGGATGGAGTAGGTGGTGATTCAAATGCTCGCCGTCTCAAGAAGATTCGGCGCAGCTAGTGCTATAATTTGCCGGTCATATTATTGCTTTGATTTTATTACTACAAGTCGTTATTAAATATCTTGGCTACGAGTGGTCATTGTGGACTTTTCTCAAAATCAAGAAGTATGCGATCAAATATCAGTATGCTGTTCACGCGTGGCCTCGCTTTGCAAGACATATTTAACCAAGAAACGTCTAATATTTATGGGAGGGGCAGGCCCAGAGCTGGTAGGGGTAAGCAGGAGACAATTCCATGCACTCTTTGCGCGTGGTTCAGGAGTCCTGATTTGGACAACAGCTTTTCCCCGCAAATGTTGCACTCACAATGCATGTCATTTGGGAACGGCTTGATATGCTGGTTGACGAAGTGTCGGCTGAGGGACCCAGGGTTCTTGTACGTTTGCAGCCGTTTGCTTTCTGGCAGTTTAGCCTTACCAAGACATATAAAGCATATCGTTGGTCTCTCTTCTCGAGATTTGACGCAAACAGAAGCGATGGCTTGAGAAAACCTATCGTCACTCTCATCTGAAGGGGTAGACTTTTGTCTCTTAGGCAGGGGAGAAGCAGGTGGCGTATCAACAGCATCGACAGAGCGTTTTTGCGACGCACCAGGCCGCGAGGGAGCACCCTCTTCCGCATCACAGACTGCAATCACTGCATTGATTGCAGCGATGCGGCGTTCGTATTCTTTCGTGACCGTTGTACCCGGCATAGTCAGGATACTGTCAATGAGCGTCATATGCTGCGGTGTCATGTAGCCAGTTCGCTGCAATGCACCCATGACTTCTTCGTCGACAACCTTTCCAGAAAGTTGCCGCTCGCTGTCGATTACTGGCTGCTCATTCTTGTACCGCTCCAGGTTCTCACGAATCAAGCGGTGCTTTTGCCGCCTCTTCTCGTTTCGTAGTTGCTTCACTGCGCGGTCATACTGCTCGTCTGCATGATCGAATTTTTGACGTAACTTTTTCAAGCTTTTCTCCTGAGCCTTCCTCCGCTTGCGGGCGGTTTTGGAAAGAGTCGCACTCTGCGGATCATCACCGAACTCTCCTTGAAATGCGGCCTCTGCATCTTCATAGGTGCGCATCTTAACGTCACGAATCCGCTTTCTCGCCTGTTTCGTGTCTTCCAGGGCACGCACGCGGGGGATATCGTTGATACAGCTTGAATCCTCAAGCCGGTAGGGCCTGCGAGGGTCGATGGACCGACTCATCGAGCAGGCAAACCGCATGAGTTGTTTCTCAGCGGGCAAGCCCCGGACAATGGCCTGCGCATCTACGTGGATGCCCACACTGTAGTGCCGCACAAAAGTATCAATGCTTGCGTGCTGCAGCATGACGTTCTGCAGTTCATTCGATACATCCGCTGATTGAGAGGACGGCATTAGCCCAAAATTCTCTTAATGCACTCTTAATGCAGGGTCACTCACGACTATCGTTGAACGCTTTTGCTGCGCCGTATCGGAGGCAATATGGCTTCGCGACTTCCGCAAAGCCAGTAATCTCACCACCTCTTTTCATTCTGTAGCCCAGCCATCCCCGGGTAAGTGGCTTTTCTGGTGCGAATCGAATCCCATCCGCTTCCCGCAAAGCTTGGCAAAACACATGCTGATCCATGATTTCGTCTTTCAGCTTTAATTCCTGTTCACCGAGACCATGTAGGACCCGAAGACGGTACAATTTCTCAGGGCAGTCCAGCACAGGGCTATCGGTGGACAGACTTTTGAATGCGCCAATTCTAAACAGAATACCCAGCAGAAAGACATGAGGACTGAGGACCAACGTGGGATCAAAGATAATTTCCGGAATTGGAAACGCCTCTCTGGTTGAAAAATGATAAGCAAACGGAAGCAGAGACGTATGTAACTGAACGGGGTAAGGCAAGCGCAAGGAATGGTTTAGCGAGTAGATGTTACTTACGATTCTTTAGCACCAAGAAATGCTTTTGTGAATTCCGGTCTCAGGTAGATGAACAGTCGAGGACGTCCTCCGTTTGGATCCCGAATCAACGTCAATTTGAGATCCCGGAAGCGGAGTTTCAGTAGCGCCCCCGGACGGTTGCCGGTGATAGCGGCCAGCTGGCAGAAAAGGAGGAGTTGTATCCGATACCAGCCACAAGGAAAAGTCATCTCTGTCGTGGACAGGATCACTCGGGCAAACTCAGCTACATCCTCCACAAACATAGTCGCTTTCGGGCGTTTTTTGAGGGACAGTTTCTTCTCCGTCGCAACTATCGCGAGCACCTATGGAACGTCAGTCGCGTACAATTGCCGATATTTATACTCATCAGGATCTCACGTCATGGATCTTAACTTGAATATCTTTGCTGAGGCCATGTCCAACCTCGGCCTTGTAGATCAGATGCCACCACTTCCAGAATGCGTTGAGTGAGCTTTTGGTTTTCAGCCCCGGGGTCCGACGTCCATCCTTTCCCCGTCGCTGGTCACACCGCCAGGAAAAGAGAGCCTTAAGGAAGCGGACAGTCTCCTCTGTATCGGAGACCCAGGATAGACATTTCACCGGATCGCGCTTTGCGCCCTCACAGAACCTAGAACAATCAGCGACTTGATTCCCGTACGCGGGAATGCTGCAGGGATGCCTCACCTATCCCAGAAATCTTGCGTCTCATCCAACCTCTCTTGAGTCTTCGGGCTGTACCGTTTCTGTCGGAGCTGGGAGACATCAAGAGCCTCGGCCTCCTGGAGGTAGTATTCTGGTGAAAGCTGCTCCTTTTCATCTTCCAGTGCCAGTTCATCTTCGAGCTCATCGTCCGATTCACTGTCAGGGTCTGACTCCGATTCGCTGCTATCGTCGAAAACGCTAGGTGCGGTGGAAGAATCAGAGTCGGACGCGCTGTCCGAGAAAATCTCGGGCAGGCCTGAGGTAGTATCGCTCTCATCGTCGGACGGAATAGGACAAGGAGGAGAAGGCATGGTAGCGGAACGCCGTGTGCGATCGGAGAGGGGCAGAAGGAGCAAGGACGAGTCGAAGCACGAGAGAATGATCGAGGCTGATACGATTTCACCTGGAGCAAACCACCGTTGGAAACCCAAACCGGGGACTAGGGGAGTTGCTGAAGAGCGAGGGAGGACTGTCGGTCGGGGGCCATGGTGGTCGATATTTATGGAAACTTGGGGAAGCAGAACCGTTCAACAGAGGAGCCAAAATCGCCCCCCTGTGCCAGAAGGATGGCGGAGGGTGAGCGAGGATGGGTCGCTGCGGCGGCTGTGGCACGAAGGGACATCAGTCGATCAATGGGGCCAGGCACCAGGCACACCAACGCGAAGCACGGGTGGCAGTAAAAAGGTTGGCCGTGGGCTTTGGCACCCGTGACGCCAAGGCCGCCCACGGTGAGCGAGCGGCCTAAAACGGCGTCAAAAGCGGCCGTTTCTGGCCTCCCACTCACCGTGTCATGCTTATTTGTAGTAATACTTTTCGCTCCTATAGTTAAAGTATTAGTTACGTTTCCTGTCCTCTCTAATAGGGTTTAGGTAATCCTTCGTAATTATATTCTTATTAGTCTAAGGCTTTTAGGACCTTTTATTATCTTAAGTTCTCTTAATTAAATTCTTTTTTCGTAAAAGTTTATCTATAATTTCTGTATACTTTCGCTTTTAATTCGTCTTTAATCGCTATAAGTCTTAGAAGTAATACACAATATTAATTATCTCCTTACTTGTCTCTAGGAGTTTTATAATATAGTAGCGGATATCGTTTTAGAGATCGTACAGAAGTTTCGCGAAGAAGGAAAGGGCTCTCTCTTTTTTAGCTACCTTAAGAAGTAGCGCTGTAAGGTATCTAAGTAGGTATAAAACTCTTATAGGTCCTTATCTTTTAGCTAATAGGCCCTTTTAAGCTAGCCTATTACTTTAGATTAGAGGCTAGCTACGTTTTTAATAAAGGTTAAGGTCTAGTCCTTAAAGTAGGGCTAATCTTCTTTAAGGTTTTAGTTAGTAATTAGTAACTTTTCGTTAATATATCAGTATTATCTCTACTAACAGGTTATATCTATATAGCTTAGTACTCTAAGAATTTAAGTCCGACTATCGTAATAGCGCCTTAAATCTCCTTCGAATTGCTGTTAAAGGTGTCGACATGAGTGGGTGCATAAGCCCCCAAGAGAGTGGGTGCATAAGCCCATGAGAGCTATCGAACTTGACAGAATGCGACGGAACGTCCACGTGACGACGATCTTCAACGATTGACATCAACAACTTGCACACATGACGAAAGAGCTTCAACACTCTATATTTCCTCTGATTTCTATGAGATTCTAGTCTGACGTATTGCCTTGATTTCATGAAGTTATAAATATTGCCTGTTTTCCATAGCTAGTTGAATCAAGTTTAATGATTGTGATGAAATTGGAGCATTCTTCTATCATAAGTTAACTTCCGATTCTGAGCCGAATCGTACGACCTGACTTGACCTATACGATTCTTCGCCAATCGTATACTGATTTGACCAACCGTGCACACTCGCTTGCTTGTGCACGCCGAAGGATTTATGCTGACCTCGTAAATCCGACAAAAGGTCTAGGAGCTATTCTTGTCGTTATTGTAGTAAAGAGTTAAGAGTAAACGTAGGAATATTTTTAAGCTTAATATCCTAACCCTTTCCTAATAATTCGTAAGGGTCCTGATATAGGTTCGACAGAGTTTCGTCTAGGTTTCGTCCTATAAGCTATAATCTGAGCGTTTCGGCTTAGTCTTGTAAATCTTTGAGCCTCTACAGCTTTTCTATAGTAGCTTAAGTAGCTGCGAGGTTGGCATTAAGGTCAGTCAGGGTTAAACCCTAGTCGGTCGTAATTAGGATTTCTTCCGCGATACGGGGAGGGTTCGTGCCCCTTCGGTAGAGGGAGTAGAACGGGTCCTTAGTGCCATTTCTCCTAGGTGATCGAAGAAGAAGAAACAGAAATTGTAAAGATATACTCTATAAGTCAGGATAGAGGCCTGTCAATCAGGTAGGAGAAATAGAGCCAAGTCAATAGTGTAGAAAGGTCAAGAACTGTTTCTTGAGGATCGCAAAACCTCTTCAACATAGGTCAATTTATATACAGTCTCATCACTCAAACAGGAAGGAGATGTATCCTTAATAGGGAAATGGGAGCGGGGTGAAACACGAGGCTTGTGTAACCTCTGTCAAGGGTGTTCCTTGCAGGAGTTCGTACACGTACTGAAGCCGAAGCCCCAGCGAACCTCCACAGAAAGCCTGCCGGCTTATCAGGTCCGGGAAGCCTGATGCACCAACACATGGGGAAGGCCCGCCGGCTTATCAGGCCCGGGAAGCCTGAGGCACCAACACTTGGGAATAACCTCATGCCAGGATATATCATAACACACTTCGTGATTGACTTACTTAGCGCGCACTTCTGGTATATTCTATAAGATACTTAACAGGACCCGAACCCGACGTAAGGCTTTGTATAGTATCGGTACAGTTGCGAGATACTCTTGGAATCCGCAGTTAGAATCAGGCAAGTATAACCCGTGGACATTCTAACTCATAGTGACCAGTCGGCAACGCGTAACACGAAGCCCCAGCGAACCTCTACAGAAAGCCTGCCGGCTTATTAGGTCCGGGAAGCCTGAGGCACCAACACTTAGGAATAACCTCATACCAGGGTATAGCATAACAATTAGTAAGCTCTGCGCGCGCTCTCTTGCGCCTAATTAAGCTTATACAAGAGGATTGCTGCTAAAGAATAAAGCTAGTCTTATCGAAATTGTAGATATTATACGTTTTTATCTGTTTGATTACTAGTTTAAGCGCACTAAACTAGTTTTGCATTATCGCTATAGACGCCGTTGCTCTATCTAAGCTAATATGCTTATTAGTAATCAGGCAGATTTTAGGGTCAATTCGCCTAATAAACGAATAGACCTATTAGTAATTAACTAGCTTAAGCCGAGGAGGAAGGGTTTTAGCGTTAGCTAACCGCGGAAGGATTACTAAGGTTTTTAGTACGGTCGTATCGGGATAATCCCTTTCGTATTAGCGCCAAAGAAGCAGGTTTGCAAGATCCTCGATATCCTTGCCGTTTAGCTTGATATTATAGCGTCTTAGGCTATCAATTATACGTATAATTGCATCCTCTTGAGCTCTAGTAAGCAGGCGTAAGCGGTTCTGGTTGCCAATCTTTGATGGAAGACCGATTAATCGTCGCCGCAGGCGTTGGTAGTTTACGCGATACTCGCGCGTTAATGCAGATAAATTTTGATTTTTACCGCTGGTATAGTCTTCTAGAGCGCGACTGATGCGAGCCTCTTGTTCAGCGTACGAATCGGCCATATTGGTGGTTGGTAAAGAGAGTAAATTGGTGGGAAATTGGAAGATTTTTTCATTGGAAATTGGACCACCCTAACCCGTTAGGGCTCAACCACGTATCGAGGTTACTAATGGATGTGCCTCGGGAACCGGTAGGGGGTGGTCAGTGCCACGGGTACCCTGTAAGTAAACAGGATAGTAGAAGGGTAGATGGGTTCTTGAGGGAGGTAAAACCTCTTCAACATGGAGCAATTTATATACAGTCATATCGCTCAAAACAAGAAGGAGATGTATCCTTGGTAGGGGAATGGGAGCGGGGTGAAACACGACGGTTGTGTAACCTCTACAGGGCCTTCCTTGCATGAGTCCGTACACGTACTGGTGGCGAAGCCCCAACGAACCTCCACCGAAAGCTTGGCGGCTTACCAGGGTTATTGTGGCCTGAGGCACCGGCACTTGTGGATAACCTCTCATGTCAGGTATATCGTAACACGTGAGCAGGCTATACCGTATAGGATGGGATAATAGGAATGATCCAAATAAGATGATATGATAGAAGGGTAAGAGTAAGATAAGATGAAATTAAAGGGTGGTAGGCAGTTTGTGTGATGTGTGTGATATCGTGTGATTGTGATTTTTTATTTTGCGAATATCAAAATCAGTATCAATCCACCACCATCATCATCAGCAACTAGTGAGATGGTATCATTCTATAAAATATATGAACGATTCTGCTCGATAATATACTCAATATGCAAATCACGCAGATGAAAACTAACCCCCACAGCCGAACATAAAGGCTCAAGTTCCGCCTTAAAGTCCGCAAACTGCTCTAACATGGCAGGTAAAGGACGAGGTTTAGCGTTAGATTCCTCAGTCGACTGATGGGTATGCATCCAGTTTCCCTTGACCTCTAAATAAGCCAGGTTTGGACAGCCGTACTTCTGTCCTAAAAACAGGTCTTTGAACGCCTCGACTAGTCCAGTTGTATGTTGCGTCTCAAGACCATCAAGAATGAGTCTTTCCAGCGACAGAGGCAATACATCACTGAATTCCCTCCCTGATGTCTTATTACGGTCACTCCAGCCTCGATCACAGTCTAGTAGATGAGATAACTGCAGCCGAAGTTCCTTCAGCGCACTGAATCCCGCGAATGATCCGACGTATCCATAGTCGTGACTCTGGTGAGCGGTATAATAGTTGGTGCACTCGTCGGTAAGTGTTAACTTCCGCAAGGTCTTCTGATGTCTATTCAATGGCGGGCAGTATCTCGACACGTACATCCCCTCCTGGTCCGCGGAATTCGGGTTATCGGAATGCTCCAAGATAAAAGATTCGAGGCTCTTAGGTGCACCAATCAAATCCGCAAAGCCTCGTCGAGAACAACTGGACTTGAGGTGGATATGAGTGATGTTGGAGTATCGAAGATTTTTAGGCACATAGCTGGCAGCATTGAAAGCTTCATCTTCGGCATAATCGTCATCAGACGTACCACCATCGCATATCACGTGGCCATAAAAGCGGCGTAACGAGGGAAGTCGAAGGATTGGAAGAAAGTGCGATGAGCTAAGGCCACCATCTACCTCAGAACACAAAACTGTGAGATTTCTTAATTTAGACAGAGCAGAGCCCTCTTCGTCGGCGATCTGAGCCATCCACTCGAGAGTGTGGTTTGAAAATTCATAAATCTGCAGGACCAGATTCTCCAGATTAGGCAAGAGTCCTAGAAGCAGAACATTCCATGCGTCATTCTTCTCTCGATTCTGTAGTTCCCAGTCCCATGCGGATAGGTCGTCGGCGGGTCCCAGTGCTGATTTCAGAACCGGCAGGATCACCTGCCGTTCATATCGCACGCCGGAAGTCGGCCGCCAGCCATAGGAGACACGAAACGTGCGCACTTCTTGCGCTAACTCTGGCCTGGATGAGAGTGTGTGCACTAAATGACTTAAATGGCCATTGCGATGCTTTATCAGGTCGAGCGAAGTAAAAACTTTGGGTAACAAAAGTGGATAGAAAGCACGACAACAGGAGGCGAGCCGCAAAGTATCTGTGTGGCTGTCAAAATAGCTTGCTATCGAGAGCAGCAGCTCTGCTGGTAATGTAGGGAGCATCCTTCTTTCTGAAAGGGGGGCTTCTCAGTTGAAAGCCAGTGAACATGGTATTTATGGTTAGTTAGAACAGGATTTTAGAGATTGGCCAGCAGGGCAGCACCAGGCGTCCGATCCTTCGCCAAGCCTCTGCCCTGCAAATTTTCGGTCGCACGTGGATCTGGGGATGTTCGATTCCCCACCAAATATTAACAAGTGGGAACATCTGCTACAGATATTGATATTCGCAAAACACTAACTCCCTATTCGTACCACACGCCAATTTTTCACCCTTTCAGGCAAGGCCCTTGAAATCATATGACCGATCGCCGTAATTAAATCCAAACATCATGCGAGCCTCTCTTATAAGTTCCTCCTCGAGACTTTACAGAGGATAATTAAAGTACCCTAGAACAACTCTCGGCGCCTTGGTAGGGCTGTGCCTAAAGTTCACAACGACTGGATTAAATTTACTAAATATCCATACGGAATGATACACTACGTGTGGTTCCGTGCAGGAAGAATATCCGAAACAACTATCCTCAATCAGCTGCTAACACGATGCGGTATTCCGTGATGAATTCATTATTAACATTGGATATTCTCTCCACTTGGATCTTGCCTGATAATTTAGCTGAATTGGGTAATAAATTTCCACAACTCCCCAGGAGTCCACGATGAGCTAGAACCCGCATCGTTAGGCAGTGGCACATGATCACCGTCAAATGGAATCCACCAGACAGGATGTCCCGATGAGCAGCCTGAATACACGGTTTTGATGTGTGTCCCACTACCAACCGCTGGCTCCGGAGGATTTTGTGCGGTACAATGATTGTCCCGCACAAACGTATCTCGAATGCCACGACCGAGGCCGATGTTGAGCACCGAATCGTGGACTCCATGCTGCGCATAGTAAGCCACTGGCTGAGTGCCTGGACTGCATCCACTGAGATTGGCCCCAGACATCACAGCAACTCCACGGAAGACGTTGGGTCGGGCACACGCAAGTGCATATGACATGGATCCACCATAACTCCATCCCATGGAGTAGACTTGATTTTTGTCGACGCAGAGGTTATTCTCAACATTTGCCACAATTTGGTCGTTGAAGGTGATGTCCTGACCATTGGTGTTGGCCCAACCGTTGTCAATTCCTTGCGGGGCGACGAAAATTGCAGAGTTACTAGATAAGGGCAGTACCCCATAGTAGGATCCTCCTGCAACAGCTTGCATGTCGCCTCCAAGCCAGTGGTAGCCGAAGATGAGCTTGTAAGGCTTGTTTTGATCATAGCCCGAGGGAAGAGTGAGGATGTACTGACGCTGTTGGCCGTTCACAGTGGTAGTATACGTCCCACTGTTCAGCGTCGGGACCCTACCGCATCCCCCGGAGAGATTAGTTGGGAGACTCGTCGTGGTGGTGGTGGTCTTTGTTGTCGTTTCCGATGACGTGGCGACAGCGGTCGTCAAAGTGGTACTTGGCATGCAGTTTCCAGCGAGACACTGGGAATACCATGCATTCTGAGCGCTGCAGCATGCCCCTGCGACGCATTGGGTTGCCCCAGTCCAGCCATTGCCACCACCTGTAGATGTAAATATGAGATTACACGATCAAAGAAGTTGATGAAAAGCTGGGATCACTCACATTGGCCATAGAGGGTTTGTTGAGCTAGCGCAGGGGTGGCTATGAAAAGGAATCCTCCCACCCAACTGTTTCCCGTAAACTTCATTGTATCTCTATAAAGTAGTCTGTCCTGGTATTGTGCAAGAGGGAATGAATGTCAAGAAGAAGTTGGGGAAAATACTCTGTCTTATTTATGGCCACAAAAGTTTGAGGGCGATTGACTTTATACTTGATCTTTCTCATCACACTTGGCAATTAAAATAACGGCTAAAGGGAATGTCTTAGAACTCTCTGTATATCTTTTTGCTCTTGCATCTTTGTCGCTCACGGTAGGCTCCATTCTAAGTCGGCTGAATATGTGTTCCTGCTCGGAATACTCAGTCTTAATTCCGGCGGGGCATACAATCGGACTAGAAGCCACAAATCACTTCGTGAAACATGTATGGATATTTTGAACAAGGATTAGTATCTCCTCTTCGTGTTCGGCAATACAGATAATGACTGAACTGCCGCGTCAAAACTTTCTGCAAGCTACAGCCAGTCAGCTAACCAATTCTGCAGCTCGGGCCGAAACGCCACAGGGGAAGAGGGGGGGGGGGGGGGTTTCAACTAAGTGCAACGCTACGAAGACCACTGTCAGATTTGTTCAGGGGGTGGGGGTCATCGTGATTAGTTAGATTAGCCTCTACCAAGGATTTAGTCCTGTTTACCACTGTTCCGGGAAAAAGGACTTGTTCGAAAAATTATCCATTTCCACGTATCGGTTTCACCACTTGGAGTTCGATATGGAAATATGCTTAAACTATATCTATAAGCCACGGACCAAATACTCCGTGGCTCCGGGTAGAACTAACTAGTGCAACGGCTGCGTAGTCCATTTTGGTTTGACTCGTATATGCGATGTCAGACCCATTTGCAAAGAAGCCGAAGCTCATCTAGATGTAGCTTCCACTTTCATCAACGGCTGATGCGTAGAAGATAGGCTGTGGCTGTGAACCATGTGAGTGAAGCCTTGGACTGACGTCCATCCGGACTTGGGAGTGCGTGGGAAGTAAGTTATCTTAAATTCTAAGTCAATCGAGGCACACATTCAGGGCACAATCTGGCAGCGAATTAACCTACATTAGCCAGAAAGAATTACCCACCGGACTATTGCCTCTCTGGAAATAATATTGAAATGGTCTCCACGTCAATTGAATCATCCTACTTCTCTCTCTAGATTACCACATCTTGTAGAATACCTAAGAACTTGTGGAGCTGAATCTTAAGAGTAGGCCTCGGTGTCCACACAGGGTATCAATGAAGCAACCAATTGGAGTGATTATTGAAAACCTTTCCGGGAGATCGACATCATGAGCGTCTCTGCTTGGCCGAGCGCTGTGCGGAGAACCCTGAATGCCAAGAATGTGGAATGCAACGGTCATTGTTCCGCGCTTTTCGCGAAAGATGTCAGCTGCTCTCGCAAATATAAGGGTCTCGGGGGCCGAGCGTTTGCCTTGCCTGCTCTTCACAATCCATTACTGCATGACCCGGCTAAATGAATATAGACGAGGCCACTGACGGTACGTGACACTTAATACTGCTTGAAAACGGCGCTGTCGGGTCTCTTCTCGATGTGAGTACATGGCAGTCAAAATTGATTCTGTACACATAGCCTGAATTCTTAGCCTAATAAGAGAATATAAAGATGCCAGTCGACTGGGAAGAAGTGTGGGTTAGAATAACAAGTTCATTCCGACTGGAAACACTTGACTCTGAGAAGGGCATTCGATATGAACTCTAATATCTCATCTTGCTGCATATCCTACAAAGTTAACGCGAAAGAGAAACATATTTCAATGGCACTCAGCAGTGCTTTTAAAAAATCTTCCCTGCTGCTCCTCGGATTACTTTCGTGCGCAGGGTTGACCAGAGCCGACAATCCAATTGTCCAAAATATTTACACAGCGGACCCGGCACCAGTGGTTCACGATGGTCGCGTTTATCTCTTTACCGGACATGATGAAAATGGATCAACGTATTATACTATGAAAGATTGGCGTCTGTTCTCGTCGGCAGATATGGTCAATTGGTGGCACCATGGCTCGCCGATGGGCCTGCCCACCTTTAGCTGGGCTGATCTCAATGCATGGGCTGGACAAGTTATTGCTCGGAATGGAAAGTTCTACTACTACGTACCAGTTCGCCACAAACAAACTGGCACCATGGCCATCGGGGTTGGCGTCAGTAATAACATCACTGGTCCGTACAAAGATGCGTTAGGACATCCTCTTGTCGAAAATAGCGCGATCGACCCTACAGTCTATATCGACGATAATGGTCAAGCCTATCTATACTGGGGTAACCCTGGTCTATGGTATGTGAAATTGAACCAGGATATGATTTCCTATAGCGGAAGTGTCACCCAAGTCCAGCTTACAGTCGGAGGATTCGGCAAGCCAAATACCGGTTCCAGCGCTGTCAGCTCATTTGATGAGGCACCCTGGGTTTATAAGCGAAACGGCCTTTACTATATGATATTTGCTGGCAATTGCTGTTCCGAGAACATTCGATACTCGATTGGTTCTAGTATCACTGGACCCTGGACGTACAATGGGGTCATCATGCCAACACAGGGTGCCAGCTTTACCAATCACCCGGGAATTATCGATTTTGGTGGCAGGTCATATTTCTTCTATCACAATGGGGCCCTTCCGGGTGGGAGCGGTTACACGAGGTCTGTGGCGGTCGAAGAATTTACCTACAATTCAGACGGCACCATACCCCAAATCACGATGACTACAGGTGGTCCGAGGCAGATTGGAACTTTAGATCCGTATTCCCGCCAGGAAGCGGAGACAATTGCTTGGTCCAGCGGCATAGATATCGAAAGTGCCAGTGATGGCGGTATTCATGTCGCCTTTATCAACAATGGTGATTATATCAAGGTCAAGGGTGTTGCATTTGGCAATGGTGCCTCCGGCTTTACTGCTCAAGTTGCATCCGCAACGAGCGGTGGAACTATCGAGCTTCACTTGGATAGTAAGAGTGGTACAGTTATTGGAACCTGTGTTGTTCCCTCAACAGGAGGCTGGCAGGTGTGGAAAACTGTGAATTGCTCGATCAAAAATGCGCAATCCACGCACGACCTGTTCTTTGTTTTTACCGGCAGTGGTTCGGATTATTTGTTCAACTTCGATTGGTGGCAGTTTAGCTAATACAGGGGTAGTGGGCTGATGAGAGAGGAGGTCTAAACAACTTCGCGTGCTCTCGAAGGGGTGCTTCGAGAGCCATGTCACTACAATGATAATGAAACGGGTTTTCATCGTGGACCTCATTGAATAGGTAATTACCAATAAATAGGAAACGTCACATGTGTGTACATGATAAGTAGATAATTAGGCGGCAAGGCCAATACCTGTCTAATCGGGCTAAAGACGTTAGCGTCGGAGGCCATAGTTATCACCGGAAGCAGCGCTCTTTTTACACTACCACCACTTTTTGATAGCTATAGGTCTTTCTCTCCTTCACTTGTATTTACTATTTGAATTCTAAAATGTGCCATTTCTTCGGGTTTTCTGTTGTCTAAATCAATATATACATGAAGATCACGGCAGGGCGACAAAGTTGGAAATGAACGACCTCAGAGCCCAACTAAATTATCCGAAACAGACCAGAGCAGAAGACAAATCGACCGTTCCTCAGATCCTCAAAGTCCGAGCGCCTCGCGTCTACTTTTGCTTGTGAGATCCAAGTAAGGTGCCTCTCCCAGCGAGGCGACTCGGTCGCCTGCTCGAGCTTCGACGTAGTCGTAGGTGGCGCAATGCCACATGCTGCGGTTATCCCAGATGGCCATGTCGTTCTTACGCCACTTGAACCGCACCTGGGCGTCGTGATTTTGGGTCACAAGGTTGAAAAGGTAGCTGAGGAGCATGTCGGACTCGTCCTTGGTCACACCGTTGATGCGCTTGGTGAAGCCCTTGTTGACGTAGACAGACTTCCACCCCGTCACAGCTGTCAAGTGTCAGTTAATGGAAACGGTGCACCGCAGCCAGAGGGGGAGACAACTACTCACGATTTGTTCGGATCACGGGGTGAATTGCTTGAAGGTTCTCGCCAGTGTTCAGCGGCGAACCTCGGATATCCTTTCGGATTGGGTTGCCGAGACGCCTCGCCTCCTCATGGAAAAAGCTTGCATCGTGCGTAGCTGTCAGGCCCTCGAGGAACTTTTGCATGCTAGGGGACAAACGGTCGTAGATTTCATAGCCAGATGCCCAGAGCTGTTGACCGTTGGTTAGAATTCAAAGCAGAAGTCTATTGCCAGGCGACCAGTGATCTGCCTTCAGGCTCAGGAGTTTGGTATTTGGGTTGAAAACATACAGTGTCACCTCCTGTCTTGGGAAGTGTGTGAATCTTCAGCATCGCATAGTCTGAGGGGACCGGTTCGAATGAGATATCAGTGTGCCAGCCAGCACTGGCAAAGCGGCTAACATCACTGAGCTGATGAGTGAGACCACCGCCCTTCTTCTGCTTCTCACTGCTGATAACGCTGATCTGGTCACCGAGCTCACTGCCCTCCTCCGTCAGCGGGTGGACATGTAGGCCTGACGACTCGGGCTATGGAAGAGTGATTAGCGAGGGTATCTCTCTACAGATCAGCTCTACTGGGAGAGGGGCTCCTTACACATCCAGCAACTTCTGTCAATCGGAGACAGAATTGTTTCATCTCCTCCGGGGTCACAACCTGATCACGAAGGAAGACAACTCCACGTTGTGAGACTAGTTGCAGAATAAGTCAATGCTCTCAGGAGTATGGAATATGGAATACTTACTGATGCTGGCGAGATCCTTGATCACGGCGTCATCTGCCGAGAGCAGTTCAGTCACCTGGAGACCTTCATACTCGCGACCAATGACGGGTGTGATGTCTGCATGGGTGAACCTCTCCAGCAATCCTGAATACACCAGCGGCTCGAGGCATCGGGTCTTGGCCGCGGGGTTACCACCCAGGATCTTAGGCTCAACTGTACTGGTCGAAATGGTCTCGGCGGAAGGCATAATGTAAGAAAAGTTGCAGACAATTGTATGATAGGGAGTAGTTGTTGTGATTGACACTTTTCTGTCTCTGTCGTCTAGGTGCAACCTTCTCAATTTATCAACGAAGCAGATTTCTCCCCAAACTGACTGATACAGATGAATCCGGATGGGAGAAGCCGATCATGGGATGCAACCTTTGCTCTTTGTCCCTGCGTTTCTACCTCCCACTCTGACGAAGTCCTTGGCAAGCCTATTTGCCTCATGCCGGAGAAATTCTCGGAGTTGAAACCGGAGCGTGCGATTGGAAGGGATGAATGGGCCTCTGGTGCCTGCCCAATGGAAACTCTTGGCCTGGAGGTCACGTTAGGCCACGTGCCATCAAGGATATTAGTAATCTGTGGTTCGGCCAATAGAATCACAGGCGGGATGACCTAGGCCAACTTTCGCATAGGCTTGGTAAGAGATTCGCCAAAAAAACTTACACTAGAGGGTCTCTGGGGCCCCGGATTTCCATGAGGTGATAGATGAACCCCATGAGGTGATGTAAGAACATTGAGGAAACTGAGCATCAGCAGAGTTCAAGAGGCGGGAAGTGGATACATGCACTCTGAGCTGCCTGGAATGTGAACTTCCTTTAATGCACCCAGATTCCTCATGGTAAGACTGTAATTCACCAGCATCGCAAAGAAAAAACTCTCTCTCTCTCTCGCTCTCTCTCTTCGGTCATCAAGATCGGGAATCCTTTCTTTAGCCTGCCGCTCAAAGCCTCCCGTTAGTGTGGCAACCAGGGCATGGAGCAGAGAAATATCACCGAGAACCCCGACATGGACAAGGTCTCCGTCGCACACGTCTTAGACGTCTCGCATGTCCTGAAGGCAGAAGTCGGTCGGGAGAGACTTTCCGATCGGCTGCCTCCGCACGAGTCCTACGAGGGCCGCCATCGGTGGGATCCCGCCCTGACCTGGACCGCCGATGAAGAGCGCAAACTGGTCCGGAAGACGGATTTCTACCTTCTATCCTGCCTCTGTGTTATGGTGAGATTTTTATCGTCGCTCCTTTGCAGGGTTTCTTTTGTCTTGCCACCAATGGAATATATGCAATGCCAAGTTACTTACAGTCTTTGGAAATCTAGTTCTTCGGTCTCCAACTCGATCGAGGCAACCTATCTAATGCTCTGGCCGATGACCTGCTTAAGGACTTGAAACTTACAAGCGATGACTACAACAACGTAAGAGGTTTTCTTCTTACTGCTGCGGGCAGGGGGCTAATCTATGCAAAATAGGGCACCACTATTCAGCTCGTCTGTTTCCTGGCGGCTGAATTCCCCGTCCAGATGATTACAAAGAGGCTTGGGTTCAAGAGGGTCCTGCCCACGATGATGTTTCTGTGGGGTGTTGTTTGTAGGTCCACCTCCCTACGAAGCACATGACACGAGAGGATACGGTGCTAATTCGATTAAAAGCTTGGGGGCAGGCATGGATCACGAATCGCGCCAGCTTCTACATCACTCGGGCACTCATTGGTCTCTTTGAAGGCGGATTTATTCCAGGTACAATGAACACCAGGTAAAACGTCAAACAATAGATACTAACTCATGGTGAATTCGCAGGTGTTATCTTGTTCTCAACCTACTTTTACACGTCTAAGGAGCTCTCGACCCGTCTGGCCGTTTTCTGGTCAACTCTGAATGTTGCTCGTGTCATCTCAGCGCTCCTCGCAGCTGGGATCCTCAAAATGAGAGGCATTGGGGGCCACCCAGGGTGGTTCTGGCTATTCCTTTTGGAAGGACTCCTCACCTGTGTGATTGCAGTGGTGGTGAGTGTTACTTTTGTCAATGGCATCATGATATGGATACGTATCGCTCACAACATACACTGCAGGCCTTTCTATGGCTTCCTGCCAGCCCGACCCAGACCAAGAGCGTCATCTGGCGTAAACCCTGGTACACCGAGCGAGAAGAGGCCATTATGGTCAACGTAAGTCTCTTGTTATATTACTCCATACTTTACAGGATTGTCAATATGAATAGCTCTCTGACGGCATTTTCGCTTAGCGCATCCTTCGCGATGACCCGGCTAAGGGACTGACGGCCCTCAAAGAACCCGTCCGTTGGAGCAACATCAAGGAAGCCTGGATGGATAAGTCCATGTGGGGGCTCTACTTCATCGGCCTGGTCGCCTACATTCCTGCGACACCCGTCCAGGGCTACCTTACCCTTACGCTAAAGCGCATTGGCTTCACGACCTTTAACGCCAATATGCTGACGGTCCCGTCGGCAGTCCTGCAGATCTTCACAATGCTCGCCATATCGTTCAGCAGCAATTATTTCAACGATCGGGCGTTTCACGTCATTTTTGGAGATTTTTGGATAATGCCTCTTCTCGTTGGCCTCCTCACGCTGCCTAACGGCGGCAGGGACTGGTCGCGCTTTACGCTCGTGACACTTATATCCGGTTGTGAGTTTTTTTTTTTTCTTTGAACACCCCCTCCCCCCCCCCCCCCCCCCCCCCCGGGTCCTACCAGAGGACCCGCCGCCGTACTTTCAAGTCCCAAATTGGCTGACCGAATCCATATACAGATCCTTACTTCCACCCCATCGTGTCCTCCTGGATCTCCGAGAACAGTTTTGACGTCAAGAAGCGGGCTATCACGGCCGCTACCTACAACGTCATTGTCCAGGTCGGCTCCCTCATTGGCTCCCAGATCTACCGGGCCGACGACGCGCCGTACTACCATCGCGGCAACTCTGTGCTACTGGCCATCTGCGTTTTGACCCTAGTTGTCGTTATTACTCAGCGTGAGTTTTTGCGACACCTGAACCGGAAGAAGGATGCGGCGTGGAGCGCCATGACCGTGGAGCAGCAGACGGCGTACCAGAACGACATTCCAGCTCGGGAGAAGGATGGAAACAAGCGAGTGGACTTCCGCTTTTCATACTAGGGTCAGAGTAAAGATCACGGAGGACATCGTAACAGGGACTCGGCTGTGCCATATGAATTGGGTCGGTCGATTGGGGGCCTTGGTGAAGGGTTGAAAGCGGCAACTGTAGATAGCTAGTCGGCATTGATATTTATAACCGCAGTCCTCTTAACAATTTCTTGCATAGGAAAAACATTCGACCTTGGTGCCCATGATTTGGGTATTCTGTGATGGCCAGTATTAGTGGCATCTATGAAATTTTTGTATCTCAAAGTATCTATATCTCTCTCTCTCCTCGGTGGTGCGGAACCACACGATTTACACCCCTTTAATTCATGATTTTCTTGACGGGCATGTCCTGCTGGGCCTTCGGCTTCCATTTTCCACTTGATTGAAGGGCTTTGATAGGTCGCCACCACTCGGCGTTCAACTCTTCCGCGTCGCACAAGGCTAAGCCCTATTTGTGCTAGCACTTCCGAGTGGCTAGCCCGTTTCTACCCTCCAATAATCTCGCCCTTCCCCGCATCCGCTAGAAAAGACAATGCCGCAACCTACAAGAAATATAATTAAATGGGCCTGCGACGCCTGCAAGCTCCGCAAGGTCAAGTGCTCAAGTGAGTCGCCATGCTCAGGCTGTGTGGCTGCTGGCATCTCATGTACCTTCAACAAGCGTCCGTTGGTGCGAGGCCCAAGAGGCTTGCGTGCTAAGACGATCCGGCGGATCACTGCGACTCAGCAGCAGCAGCAGCAGCAGCAGCAGCAGCAACAAGAGCAGGATTATGGCTGGTGTGATATCGCAGGGAGTCCTAGTGGGAGAAGGCCGGGTCAGATAACACCAGCGAGGTCGTCCAGTACACCGTCGCCATCCAGTGATACCCACGAAGTCACAACCCCTGGTTCAAATGCTCTATCCTCGACAAATCGTACTAGGTAGGTGGCATCCTCTCATATGCCTCTAGACAAGCATGATCTTGCGAAGAGACCTAAAAACGAAAGAGGGATCCTGCTAACCAACCATACAGCGACGAGCCCAGCCGGACATCGACATCATCCCTAGTCCTGCGACTTTGCGTCTACAGACTGCGCTTGTTCCCGGTATGGCCCATTGTTGACGTCGAAGAGGTCATGGGAAACATTCACCGCGATCCGAACAACATGGACGCCTATGCCCTGGCGAATGCCATTGGGGCTGCAACCATCGCCCAGCTCAAGCTAGATAGCCCCGAGAACGGGGATATGGCGACGGCGGCTTCGATGGAGGCTGAGTGCCAACGGGCCATTGAGCTGCTCCGAAAGGATGGAGGGGACTCTACTATGAATGTTAATGCCCTGCGCGTGTCCTTCTTCTTACACGTCTATCATGAGAACCGATCGCCGGGTGGGTCGAGATCCTTGCTTTACCTCCGGGAGGCCATTACTATTGCCCAAATAATGGGCTTGCACCGAGAGGCAACGTACTCTTCATTGTCGACCCGCGAGCAGCAGATGAGACAGAGGATCTTGTCCTTGCTATTTGTCACCGAAAGGTAAGGTCGATCCACGTTTCGCTGGTCGAAATTGCCAACTACGCGAGGTGTCTGAGTACCTGGCCAGGCCTGACTCAACTATCTCCCTTTTCTGGGTTGGCTTTTTGACTGATATCATCTTTTGCTTAGAGGGGTGGCGATGCTTCATAAATTGCCCGTCATGCTGCGATACAATGCCCGCTTCATCAACCTCGACGAAGCCGACGACGAGTCCCATGTCTTACCTGCATTCAAGAAGCTCGTGAGTCTCTTCTTAATGTTTGACCAGTCTGGCGCTTTTGATATTCTGCATACCTCAGACGAGATTCAGCTCCCCCCATACGAAGGCATGCATGCCCTGAACCGTAACAGTTTCAGTCTGCTCCAACATCAGCTACGAGAGGCCTCAATTCAATTGAAGGAGACTAATGACGTTCAGATGGCGGACATCTGCGTCACGACCCAGTGGATGCAGGCCATCTTATGGAGGGCATCGATGCGTCGCAGATCTACTCTTGACTCGTCACAGCAGCATATAACCTCACTCTCGCATCCAATCCAGATTGCCAAGGATTTTCTCGAAACAATGTCTCACCTTCCTAGCTCTGCGATAGAGGCCCACGGACCAGCCATGGTTAGCAACAAAAACACCCTGAATGAAGATGAGAGCAAGCTCAGCGTCAGATGACTAACTGCAAGGCGCACACATCTGTTTCGTATATATAGGAGTACAAAATTTATGAGATTGCGAAGGCCGTGACTGACTCGGTCACGACCGAATTCAACGGCCAGCCAATCTCACTCGATATCCCCAGGGAGATCCTCCTCCGGCTCCAGAGCAAGCTGGCCTCCTGTCGTGGAGGTAACAAGGTTCTCCTGCCACTGCTGCATGCTCGCATATCAGAAGCCCTGCTTCGTCCTAGCCCGCGCATCTACAAAATCTCCGATTATGACCCCTCGTCGAAGCCACTATCCGGAGAGAGAATGCTATATTCAAGTCAACAGTCCCAATCCGTACCTCTATCAAATCCACCGTCATTACGACCCGCAGAAATTTATGAGCAGCAGGTGAACACAGAGGGACAAGAACTCTCACAATATACCACTGATATTGTCCCGACATTACGAGTGGTGAGCTGGGACCACAACATCCCCGACATACTGCTTTCCTCCGATCAAGATCCATTCAACCAGGCGCAGGTTTTTCAAGGATCTTTCGGCAATATTGAATCTGCGGGGACTGTGGAATTTCTTTTTGCCAATAACGCAATTTGGGATTCTAATGAGAGCTGGGACTCGCAGTTCACTGGCGCGGCTTCGGGGTAGAGAGAGCGTACATGTGAACAATGTTAGTGATATACCCACTCTGATCGGGTTTTGGCTGGACTTTAAGGATATGAAGCCATGTAATATAGTCTTGGAGTTTTGGTCATATGGAAGCTAGAGAATACGGCTTGGCTATTCCGTTACCAACAGGGCAATGGCCTCAAAGGGCTCCAACTGTACCTCGGGCCCCTGAAGACCCTCTCGAGATCGACCAGTCGTTGTCAGAATCACCTCTTGAACGGTAGCTGGAACACCAACCCATTCAACCTTCTCAGTTGAAAAGTTGCACACCACTAGGACCCGACCTTGAGGCGCCGTCCGTGAGTACGCAAAGATCTTGTCGTTATTCTCGTCTACGAGATCAAAGCGCCCGTACACGACAATGTCCTTATACCTCTTCCTTGCCTCTAGGACCGATCGCCAGCAATTGAAGACCGAGTTGGGGTCTTCAAGCTGGGCAGCGGCGTTGATGATGGTGTAGTTGGGGTTGACCGCCATCCAGGGCTTCTCAGCGGAGGTAAACCCAGCGTGCTTGCTTGAATCCCATTGCACGGGGGTGCGCGCATTGTCGCGAGACTTTTTCTGATATTCCCGCCGGAACATTTCCCGCGTTTCATAGTCGGCGTCTTGACCTTTGAGTCTTTCTGAGGAGTCAGCATCTACTTCAATAAAACCGGTAGCCTGGTCACCAGATAGCTTGGTCACGAACCTCCAATGATTCAAGCAGTCTATGTCCTGGTATTCCTCCATAGGCCAGTCTTTTGGCACGTTGTGCATGCCTAGCTCCTGGCCCTGGTAGACGAAAGGAGTGCCAGCCTGTAGTCCGAGGAAGACTGCAATCATCTTGGCGCTCTGAACGCGATGTTTGGGGCTGTCATTGGCGAAGCGGCTCACGGCCCGCGGCTGATCGTGGTTTTCCATGTACAGGGCATTCCAGCCATTGTTCTGGTACATGAATTGTTGCCACTTGTTGACCGTTCTCTTGAGATCCAACAGAGACCACTGGCCGGGGAAGAACTTGCCGTCTGCTCCGTGATCAATGTCCATGCTATGTCAATTAGCATTCTGACATTTTCAACACTGAACGTGGGCAAGGCCCCGCGTTTTTGTCCTTGCTATAGGAGTGATAGGGGTTGACAGCACTTACAGCTCAAAATGGAAAATCATGTTGAACTCGCCTCGGTTTTCCTGAACGCTCTTGATGATCTCCTTCGTATCATGGACGCATGGCATCTCGCCCACGCTGAAAGCATCATACTCTTTGAGGATTCGTCCCAGCTCCTGCAGGTACTCGTGGAGTCGCGGCCCAGCGGCATAAAACTCAGACCCCGGGAAGAAATCGCTGGATGAGTCTGGAAACTCCGTGCCCTTGCTGATGAAGTTGATGACATCGAAACGAAAACCGTCAATTCCACGGTCGAGCCAAAACCGCATCGTCTCATGCACCTCTTTGCGAACCGCAGGGTTCTCCCAGTTCAAGTCCGGCTGTTCCTTGCCATAGAGGTGGAGATAGTATTCTCCGGTGCATTCATCCCATTCCCACGTACTCCCTAAATATGAAGATTAATTTAAATAACCCATTTTCCTTCGTGGCCCTTGGAAATCTTTAGGATAAACTCGACGTACCTTGAAAATGGCTCTGCCAATTGTTAGGGGGCTGTCGGTTGCCCTGAGCATCAAACCGGGCAGGCTTCCAGATGTACCAGTCACGGTATTTGTTCTTGACAGAACTCCGCGACTGTTTGAACCATTCATGCTGGTCACTAGTATGATTCATGACGAGATCCATGACGAGCTTCATGCCTCGTTCGTGGAGCCTGTCCCTCAGCACAATTACGTCCTCAATGGAACCATACCGTGGATCAATCACACGGTAATTACTGATGTCGTATCCCTGGGAGTGGAAGAGTTGCATTAGTCAAGGCGAAGAATGGAAGACTGGCTTTTTGCGCCGCAATCGTGTTTCCGTCTGACGATGGTATGTGAAACTAACCATATCAACTTGAGGGCTCTCGAAGATGGGTGACAACCAGACGACATCGATGCCCAGCGTCTTGAGATAATCGACCTTGGAAATGACACCCTTCAAATCTCCTGTGCCCGACCCCGTCGAGTCCTTAAAGGAGGCAGGCCATATCTGGTATACGGAGGCCTCCTTCCAGCTAGCCCGCCGTTGCTCGGTCGGGGGGTCTTGGACTTGATGTGGTGACATGTTTTCCTCTACTGTAAGACTGATCAAGGCACCATCAAAGTTTGGAATAAGTCTTGTCTTCTTTCGTGGTATGCAAACACGGACTTGAGAGTCTTGAACCGGCGAGGTGGTTGTTACGGGAGAGGGGGGCCGACCTGAGATTCCCTCTAAGTAGTTAGCCTCAAAAATGACACATCTTATGAAATGTCGACCGATGTTTTCTCCGACTCGTCTTTGGGTGGGCATGAATTGTGTGGGTTTCGGCGTGAATGAAGATGGGCTGTTAATGTGGAGGGCTACATTGTGTCCGAGAATTTCTCCGTTCAGAGCGTTACCCCAGAATATTGAGTCTGTATGTAGTGGACCATAGAGTAGAATGTGGGGTACAGAACTACACGCCGCCAATAGCCGAGCCCGCAACTGCTTGCGTCTCACGTGGGTTTATGAAGTATGCCCCTGGGTGGCAATCGCCGATTGTTTCAATCGCCGATCCAATGATCTCCGAAGGCGCGAGCTTCCATCCACGCGAGAAAATATTACAACATGGAGGCGAGAGACGCTCAGGAATGTGTCTGGTGGCTGAATACACTCTTCGATACTTCAACGGGTTGCGAGAGTTGAGATCTGGACATATTGCAACTACTCACGGATGCTCACGATCATGCCGCTCAAGTACACCATCTCCAGCCGTCTGCTAGCACGTTTAGAAAGCTCCTGCTGGACAAGCTGTGCCCACCATACAAGAATCCCTCGTCACCTACCCCGACCAACAGACCTGGGAGGGATCAGGCACTATTCGCATCATGCACGCCCCAGTCCTAAGCCCAGTAGGTCGTGGGCTTTCCTCGCAAGCAGAAGTGCCATAGCTGTTGGGATCGCTGCCGCCTCCCTCCAATTATTGAGCGACGACACATACGGCAAACCTCAGGGCAAGGTCAAAAAAGCCAAGATCAAAACATTTCGTTTGGCTGAGGTTAAGCAGCACGACGGATCATCCAAGAATCCCTGGGTTATCCGGGGGACTTCGGTGTACGACATTACAGACTGGGTCCAGGCTCATCCCGGGGGTGAAGTGATCTTAACCGCCGCGGGAGGCAGCCTGGAACCCTACTGGGACATCTTCACAATTCATAAACGGGCAGACGTCTACGAAATCCTAGAGCAGTACAAGATCGGCGAGATAGACGGTCTTGATTTGAAGGATGGCCGGGTACCCCAGGACGCCATCATCGACCCATTTCAAAATGACCCGGAACGGGATGCGCGACTCTTGACCCTGACGCCATGTCCAAGAAATGCAGAGACGCCAGAGGGAGGTCTCAGAGATTTCATTACCCCGAATGAGTTGTTTTATGTCCGAAACCATTTTTGGGTCCCCGCCGTGGATGGAGAAGAACACAAGATCACCATCGAGCTGACGGACGGGAGTGAGAGGACATACACTGTCAAGGAACTAAAAGAAAGATTTCAGAGGCACAAGGTCACGACTACGCTCCAGTGTGCCGGGAATCGCCGCAAGTCCATGACGGACGGTGCAGGGCCAACAAATGGCCTGCAGTGGAAAGCCGGTGCCATCTCGACTGCCGAGTGGGGAGGAGTCAAGCTTGTCGACGTCCTCGCCGACGCTGGTCTGGATATTAAGAAGCTGCCAGCCGATGCTCAACATGTCCACTTCTCGGCCATGGAGGCGTACGGAGCGTCCATCCCTATCCGCAAGGCCATCGATCCTTGGGGGGATGTCCTGTTAGCCTTTGACATGAACGGGGCCGAGTTGCCGCGAGATCATGGCTACCCTGTCCGGGTCATTGTTCCGGGCACGGTTGCAGCACGCAGTGTCAAGTGGCTATCTCAGATCACGGTATCCGAGGACGAGTCTCCGACCCAGTGGCAGCAGCGCGACTACAAGAGCTTCTGCCCAAGCGACGTCAAGAATCCGGACTGGCAAAAGGCTCGATCGATACAGGAGATGCCCGTCACGTCAGCAATCACACGCGTTGAACCTACCAGGGACAGCAAGGGTGAGGTGGAATCCATCTGCGCAGAAGGCTATGCATACTCGGGCGGAGGGCGCGAGATTATCCGTGTGGATGTCAGTATCGACGAGGGCAGGACATGGCACGAGGCTGAACTGTTGGATGATGAGGCTCAAGTGAGTGGAAGTAGGGCATGGTGCTGGAAGCGTTGGAGGTACAAGGGGCAGGTTCCCTATGATGGCAAGGCATTTTCTGAGGCTGTATTGGTGGTCAAGGCCACTGATGAGGCATACAATACCCAGCCACACACTTACGAGAGCATTTTCAATGCGAGGGGCAATCTGGCGACGGCATGGGATCGCGCAAAGCTATCGTGAGAGAGATGGATCGTACACAGCAGCATTGAGCGACCTTGACTTTTTTTTCTGATTCATTGTTCTCCATCGAAATATCTTAGCTTTGAGTCACCCTCTAGGCTGCTTTCTGCGTCAGCATTCATTTTTTAGCATAATAATACCTTTGTTTTGAACAGCATTTTTTACTGAAATTTGCATGAAATTGTTGAGACTGCTTTACGTGGAGGCCCAAATTTCAGGAGTTCTACAGAACCCGATTGTAAATCTTTGTCGAAGCCATACTCCGTCAATTTCCACCTACCGCCATTATTCTAGGGGGCTGGGCAATCTCTCCAAGACAGCTTTCAGAATGGAATGTATTCTCAGGGCCTTTGCTGCCTGATTTTCCAGGCTTATTTCTATTGTTCATGTATTCTTTAATTTGTTTTAGAAGTTGGTGATTACTGTAATCTAGACCTCGCCACCTCCGCCCGTTGAGCAAATTAATGGCCACGTTGATTAGAAGCGTAGTATATCCACAACCATATTCCTAGAACGTATTGGCGTGCTTCTTTCTCATCACGACTCATGAGTGGAAATCCTACGATGGGCACCCCGATACTCCGCTACTCCGAGAATTTCACCGGCGCACTGGATTGGCCTAACCGCTCTCGGCCCCCGCGTCGCACGGCCCGATGTTTCTTTTTAACCAATAACCTTGGGTCTTTTTTGAAGCTCCGTACGTCGCCCTTTTTTCTTTTTCTTTCCCTTATCCTATTCATTCCACAGCAAGATTTCCAGGCTTCACTTTGCCAAGTGCTCGAATCTCTCGTCAATTTCATTTCTTAGCCAACAGCAAATCCCAGACAGATATGGCGTGGTCGGAACCTAGGAACACGGGTATGCAATACCGCAGGCTGGGGAATTCGGGTCTCCATGTCTCGGTTCTAGGCCTCGGGGGGTGGCTCACGTATGTTGACTCTCGCTTGGCGCTGGCTGTGAATCGCAATTTTCAAATTTCAAAATGCTGACGAGATTGTTCTAGATTTGGAGGGCACGTTGAGAATGGTTTGTTTTGAGTCTGATCCTCCATGATGCGCCAGGCGGAAGCTCACTGAAATAGAAAAAACCATTGCTTGCATGAAGCAGGCCTACGACTGCGGTATTAACTTTTTCGATACCGCTGAGAGGTGAGTTTGACCGTGAAATCGATGTCGATGCGAGTCAACTGACAGCTTACAGCTACGCGGATGGTCAGTCTGAGATTGTCATGGGCCAGGCCATTGAGAAGCTCGGGTGGAAGCGCAACGACATTGTCGTGAGCACAAAACTCAACTGGGGCGGTGCCAATGGGGAGGTGCTCGTCAACAACCACGGACTCTCCCGCAAGCACATCGTCGAGGGCCTCCAGGGGTCTCTGAAGCGTCTCAACCTCGAATACGTTGATATCGTCTACGCCCACAGGCCCGACCGGCTGACTCCGATGGAGGAGACGGTCCGGGCCTTCAACCACGTCATTGAGCGCGGTTGGGCTTTTTACTGGGGAACATCCGAGTGGTCGGCGGACGAGATTGCCGAGGCCTGTGGCATCGCCCGTGAGCTGCGCCTGATCCCCCCAGTGGTCGAGCAGCCACAGTACAATCTGCTGGCTCGAGAGAAGGTCGAGGGCGAATTTCAGCGCCTGTACAGCCGGTTTGGCCTCGGCCTGACCGTCTTTAGCCCAATCAAAATGGGCTTGCTCAGCGGCAAGTACAACAACTCGCCTGATCAACCTCCCCCAGGATCGCGTTTTGCCGAAAGCAACGACAAATTTAGCAACATGGTGAGGGACTCGATGTATGGTAACGATGAATGGAGGCAAACGATCGCCAAGGTGATCAAGCTCAAGGTATGTGCCCGCTGATAGCACCATCTGGCTACTTGTCGTAGCAGAGCAGTCTCTCTGCCTTGGTTTCTCTCGTGACCGACGTGATTCAGTTCTGTGATCCAATATTCCAGCAGACTAAGTACTTTCTCTCTGTAGCCTATTGCCGATCAACTCGGGGTCACGCAGTCGCAGCTAGCGCTCGCTTGGTGCCTTAAGAATGAGCACGTTTCTTCGGTCATCACGGGTGCATCGAACCCCCAACAGATCGTCGAGAACGTCAAGTCACTGCAGGTTCTCGATAAGCTGACGCCGGAGGTCATGGCAAACATTGACGCTATTGTGGGCAAGATTGAGCTTGCTCCGGCGAGACAGGACTGATCGGACTCGCCATCCGTCGAATTAACAGGGGTATGAGTATGGGTAAGGCCGAGGTTATAGAAAAATCATAAAGTATCTTTGCAGCTTCCAACCCTTGGAATGGTATATGTACAGAACCAGGGCAAATGAAATCAGCATCTCCAGGACAGAATCATGAACCGGAATTTGTACGAGTTTCTTTGCTCAATGGTACCTCGTTGTAGATAATATATATCTGTGCATTGCCGGTACGTCTGCCTTTTCTACTAGCGCCTTGCATTCTATAGATATACTACGAAGATATTATCTATGAAGTAATCCATCATTTATGTGCCAGAGTTGTTTTCCGGAGTCAGAGCTTCTTGTGTTAGTCGCGCTGGCTGGAAGTCAGTGGAATCGTACGGCAGGACCATGCATGAAAGCCGTAATGTAGCAGGAATCTACAGCAAATGAATTAAAATCATCATCTCATCCAAATATTGTCAATCCTCCCTCTAAAAATGGCAACAAGAGAGTTTAATAATTGATCAGCTGGGGATTACTGCATTATCGTTTCACTTAGTTTTGGGTTGAGCCCAGCAACTGGTATACAGTACGTAGGTGGTTGGTCCACTCGGTCACATGACACTGACAAAAACTCGTCCGATCGACGCGCTGATTTAAAGAGACTACCAAGATTTCTTTCTGGTCACTTCATGCGATTCTACTCATACTAGTATGTCAAGCCACAGAACTCACACTAGAGTTGCCGGCGCCCCGGACTATGATAATCCCCAGTTTTGGGATACCAGATTTGCGACCGGTCAGGATGTCGGCGAATGGCTCAACTCTGGAGAAGCTTTGGTTGAAGCTGTCTTGTCAGACTTGGAACACCGTTCTGGCTTCGATGAGCAGACTCCACGCGTCTTGCACCTTGGGCCGGGTGTCTCAAAGCTGGGCCCGAAGTTGCGAGATGCTTGCGTTCAGCGGCAGTGGAAGGGACGTGGTATTGTGGTAAGTGTTGGACAATCCATTAGGTCTTGCCTTGCGTTATACCGCGCGGCCATACTGACCATTTTTATATGAAGAACGTGGATTTTTCCGCCGAAGCTGTTCGTCTTGGACAAGATGCCGAATACCAAATACCTCCCGACCAGGCCATGGCTTGGCACCGCGCTGATTTGCTCTCTTGGGACGATGTCTCCAGCGTGTCTCGCTTCGCACCATTTGACGTGATTATAGACAAAAGTACGAGTGACGCGATCGACACTTCTGACACTCAGTATTTTACCGTGACTGATGACATGTCTCGTCTGTGCCCAACTATCAAAGAAATCCTCTCTCGGAAGCCCTCGATCGCCCCATCGCCAGTGGAGGTACTTGCTTTGCACCTAGTCCCCTTGAGCCGCAAGGAAACTACGTGGATTGTATTATCATATTCCAGCCTGCGATTTGATAATCGCCCATTTCTCGAAAGATATTGGTCGCTGCGATCGCGCATACCTTTGAAAGCGCCACCAGGGCCCGTGTCTTCCTCTGCCTATACCCCCGAAACTTTCCATTGGCTCTACATCTTGGACCGGAAGTAACTTTAGCCGCATTTTGGGCAAGGTAATGCCGACGATGACCACCTTCGTCAGATCAGGGATCCGTCTGGAGCGCGTGCCGACCATTGATATGGATTGCGGCGAGTCGCCTCCGTACTGGCGATTGATGAAGCAATTTTCCGGCAGCATAACACGTCATCTTGATATACAATGATCTGACAACCAATGCTTACCCGCTGTCTGTCTTTCCGTGGAAATATATCCAAGATGTGTGGTCTACCAACAACGCTGAGCCGATCTACGCCATTGAAGTCTACTTCCTTTGGAACCGGGTGAAAATTGAGATAGTTGGACCAATCGAAATGCTCTTTCAGATTCACAGCAGTACGGGCGAAAACCTTCGATATACTTGGATGCTCAAGCATCATGTTCGACACGTCACGCTCATCATCCTCAGTTGATCTTGATCCAGTCCATGCGACACAGGTCTGCACCTCCTTTCGTGTCTCACACGTCCCGCAACCCCCCCGTATCCACTCAACTCTCCACTCTCACCTTCACGAACCCAGCTTAGCAGCCTAAGTTGATTGCTATCGCTTGAATTAGTCTCTGGGAGGTCCAGAGGATAGGGGAAGTATGGGGTAACCAGAATGGACTTACCGTTAGCGTACAGGGCATACGTGTCTGCGTTCATGATGGCGTCGCTGGTGCTGAGGGCGGTTGCAGCCGAGTAACCATATCCCAGGTCGTCGGTGCCGGGACTATAGACGGCCGGGGCATGAGTGAACTCGTGCAGGCTGGTTGTCGCCTGGTCCTGGCTGTGACAGCTGCTCGCCAACGCCGGCAGCTCGGAATAGTAGATGTCGCAGTTTGCAATGACATTCTGAGATGGCAGCGTGTAGGCCAACACGTTCGTCTCACAGTATCCGAGCACATCAGTACAATAGTACTTGGTGCCCCCAGAGGTGGTCGACTGGGCCTCCCTAGCGACTGCCTGCAGACGAGCAGCCACAAGCTGGCGGGTCGAACTATCTGTGGTGTGGAAGTACTCAGAGAACTTGGACGCGGAGCCGGATTGGGCTGCCTTCGCCGCCGCTGTTGCGAGGGACGCGGCGTTCCGAAGGGCCCGTTCGAGGGCTGACTTGCGACTCGAGTTGCTGCAGCTCTCCTGAGTGCGCCGGTTGAGTGGCTTCACGGCTTTGTTTACACGGGATGCCTTCACTGCATCGACTTCAATCTTGAGGTCGTTCGAGTGATACGGCAGATAGCCGGAGACGGCTCCCTCGTTCACTAGAGGCACCAGGCCGCTAGAACGCAACACCACAGGGCCACCGTGTGACAGATCGCTAGTTGCCGCAATGTCGAACTCATCCTCCAGAGTCTCCCCGGCAGCCAGCGTTGTGAGAGCTTCCGATGTGAGACCCTGAAGCTTGAATCGGCGCTTGATGCCTTCGAATGTGACCTCGTCATCTAAAGGCATATCAGTACATTTATGGAAAGGAAAAATAGAACGACAGTCAGTCATACCGTCTTTGTAGACTGCGACCTTCTTCACTGGTGCACTGTCGCGGAAGAAGTTAAGGTGCACAAAGGTAACATCTTCATTACCAGTGTTCTTGACCACAGCTTTGATGCGGGTATCGCTGACTTGGCTCAAGGTAACATCCAGACCGGATGCTTGCTCGGCCTCGACCGGCAACGCGTACGCGTGTTGTGCGAAGGCCAAAACGGCAGCGGAGAACACTGTAAAACGCATAGTGGATATTGCAAGATGCAAGTATTTGAATTTATCTTTCAAAGGATTCTTCTCGGCTGTTGACCTTGATTTCGGGCTTGTTGGTACTGATACACTTAATCATCGCGGGCAACATGCTCTGATTTATAGATTTCTCGGAACCTTGAGCATCCTAAAACAATGGACCCCGCTCCTCCGAAGGCATCATGCCGTTGAGACTTGAAGTGATCGCCAGCGAGAATATCTAAAGAAAGAAGGTAGTATCTTCTCAGATCTGATCCAATTGTTTGACTCGCATACAGGATGGTGGAAGCCCCAGACGGGATCTCGTCAGTATCCCTCGATATCTAGAGATATCGGTATATTCCCTGAAGATCACTCTGCGTTGAAGGGTCACTGAACTGCCTTGGCCCGGCGGAGGCCCGTTTCTGTCACCATTACCCGGACTTCAAGCGTTGTTCGTGTTTGGCTCCGAGGGGCCTCCGAGTCTCTAGGGAAAAAGTTGTCTTTTCCATTGATTGGTGTGATATCTAGCCTGGCGAGAACCAAAACCCGCGATGTAACAGCCCGTGATCAATCTGAAGTAGACCGAAACAAATATGGGGTTATACTCCAGCACGCATTATGCATAATAGATCTAGTCTGCAAGATCGGCAGAGGGACTCTGTGTTTCTGACTGGTTCCAGCCTTGCTAATATCAGACGGAGGCTACCCAATAGTCTCTACCCAATAGTCTCGTTGTCTCCGCTGAGAGGCTTGCCAAGCCACCGGACCCTGCATCATTCCCGGACTCCGACGCCAAGATACCACCCAAGACTTTCAAATGTCTTGACTGCAGATAATCCACCCCAGTCTCAGCCATCTCAATACACTTACTAAGGGTGTGCCCCGGAGATATCCTTGATATTCTGCCCCGCAGCCTGACCTCCACCATAGGATTTGTCGGCTGATAAGAAAGTGTGCCAAGTCCGGAGGGGAGGGTTACACGCAGACTCAGGCATGAGTTGGAATTATATCCTGCTGCAGATCTTGGCGCATCAGAAGCTGTTTTTGATTGGATGGAACATGGAAGAACCGGGAAGGATGTGATTGAGTCCCGGAGAAATCGACGGCTTTGGCAGCATCCGAGATGGGGGATGTCTCAATAGACGAGGCAGCCTAGCCTCAAGCCCGGGATCGTTAAAGTATGTGTAGCTTAAGAGCTGCCACCACAGGGTTATAAAAGACCGGCATTTCATCCGTGTCATGAATTATGATAATCGAGAACAATAACGTTACTGCAGACAACATCACTCCTCATCTACCTCTATTCTTGACGAAATGCAACCGGGTCTGGGGCTTCAAGTCACCCTGGCTTGCCAATTGCCGACCCTCCAGGCGCAGTCATCTTTCACACTACCCGTCAAAGTTTCTGTTCAAAATCTTGGGAGTGACCCTGTGACATTCCTGAGATGGGGTACCCCGTTCGACGCCCATGCCGCGGTCTCGGGTGTGTTCGAAGTTCGTGATACTGCCGACGGGACAGTTCTGCCTCTAGACGTGCTCAAAATATCCCGCAAGCTTCCGGCGTCTGCAGGGGACTTAATAGAGGTTGCGGGAGGCCAAACAATTGATAAGATAGTCGAGTTACCAGGAGTAAATCTACAAGAAGGTCATGGCTATTCTATTATTACGCAAGGCATTTGGCACGCCATATGGAAAGCGCCACGGGTTGATGTCACTGCATCCCAATTATCGGACTTCTCAGGGGCAAGCCGCGGTGAGTTTCAGTCAAATGTTGCACTTGTCAATATTGAGTAATCGGGGTATTTTGTGATTGGAATTGAATCAACATGGATATTGACTGTGTTCTTCAACCCAAACCCCACCCACTCTAGAAGGGTCCAACATCATGTGCCATAGAGCACATCAATGGTCTATATTTTGCGGTCTATATCTTGTCAGCCTTTCTCTGTTTAATTATGTTTTTCTGAGCTCCACATATTTAAACAAAATTGAGCGAACCGTCTCATCACTAAACCATCAGTGCTTTTCTCATCCTGGTAAATGCGGTTGCCTTCGGAGCTTGAGTATGGATCGGTTCACGCAGAAGATTGAGGGCGGTACTAGTCATCAGATATCACCAACGAAAGATGCGCAAGACGTTTTCAGGGTACTGCAAAATGGCGGGGTTGCCATCATCCCAAGTAATGTGGGATATGGAATTGCTGCCATAGACCCGGAAGCTATTCGTCACATATTTGTGGCTAAAAGGCGCCAGCCACATAAACGCCATGCCATGATCGGCAACTACGATCTTCATAAACAAATTCATAATCTCTCTTCTCGAGAGGCAGAAATGGTTAGACTATTGACAGTGGATCTGGACCTTCCCGTTGGGGGGGTCGCCTCGTATCGTCCAGACCACCCGATCATACAGAAAATTCCGCACGATTTATTGGACGAAGCTCTATCAACGGAACCGCGGCTATGCTTGTTAACGGAGGGGAGTTCCAAGAAGAGTTGTCTAAGCTAGCAACCAATGCGGAGCTCCCATTGCTCGGGTCATCGGCAAATTTGACGGGCACGGGAACGAAAGTAGCTGTAGAAGATATTCAACCTGAAATCAGGGCGGCAGCCGATATTATTGTCGACTATGGACGACAAAAGTACTCCCATCCACGTCCTTCGTCAACAATGATCAATTTCAACGAGCTGAGAGTGCTCCGGTTTGGAGCTTGCTATGAAGTGATACAAGACGCGTTTTCGCGCTTCTATGGCCTTTCTCTACCAAATGACCCCGGCCGAGATATTTTATTCTCCGGTCATTTGCGGCAAGATTGCGATTCCAATTGAAGAAAGGGCCCTGCCATTTCTGAGAGGGAAAAAAAGATAGTTGGACTTTGACTTGCTTCAGATATAAAAGTAATGACTCAAGTCTCATATAGGTGTGAACAACGTATCATCAAATAGAACACAGGCCAACACATAAGCTGGTATAATTTATCGACACTTATGTCTCAATTTACGTTGCTGTTGTGACACCGCAACCATCAGGTCCAATCTTGCTGCATTCTAGAGATAATTGTTTCAGTGAAGTTCCACAACAGACTGCTATCATGAGTATGCCAAGCTGCTCCGGTCCAAAAGGAGCGTGAACGACCTTGCCGATCATTCAGACTTTGGTAGAAGCCACTGCGAATCAATTCAGAGGACACGCGGAGTGCATATGGCCCATGGTTTATTAATGCTTCAAACTGAGCATGTTTCCCTGGAATAGCTCGGCTGGTCTCAGCGATTATCTGACTTTGAACTTGCGCAGCGGACATAGAGATGTTACTACCAAATTTGACACCTGTTAGAGAGGACCGAGTATGTATTGGACCGAGCGTATATGTGGTTGGCAATCTTGGAAGATAGAAAATGAATGGATTAGTAGCTCTGTTAGAAAGAGTCGTTTTTTGAGCGATCGGTGTATTCCGAAGAACACCGCTGAAGTAGTCCGTATGTTTGAAATAAGAGAACAACCCGGTTTCTTCGTTGTCTAAATCGAAACCTGTCAAGATAGCTGGTTTGGGGGGAATCTTAAAGAGGAATTGCTTGATCCGAAGCAGTTTTTGGCCGGAAGGCGTGGCGACAATGGCATGCGCATGTGACCCGGGATTATCACGTTCCATCGCTACAACAGAACTGCTTAAGAGCACACTATTCGTCGTCTGCAGATCTACTAATGCCTTCTCGTAAACTTCATGGTTGTTTTGCCTGACGGTGGCTAGAAAGCCAGATGACAAGCTGCGCAGCATTTGAGGTCCGAAGCTCTTCATTACATAGAGCGTTGGTAAGTTCAAAATATCGCCAATTCCTTGATCAATTGTCCATATGGACGGAATTATAGCAGTTAGGTTGTGATTGAGCGCGAACTGTCCAAATGGACGCAGTAGATCATCTGGTACCGACAATGGGAAGATGTATCCCCCATCAAGGAAAATCACATTGATTGGCGATTCCATTTTTCAAACGTTCTCTCGGTGGCATTCAAACTAGCTGGGATGTGGACGGGCCGGCCCGTTTGGAGATCGATACTTGGTAGACACGAGTTGAAAAACAACTTGGTCAAAGGGATATCAAGGCGGGAGAAAAACTTATGCACCAGAGGTAAGTCGTGAAACGCCACGACGCCAAGTTCGATTGTGGACGAACTGACGGGGTCATGATATGTAGGTGTGTGTCCCCCTAACTAAAAAGCCCATCAACACTACAGCTTAAACAAAATCACCAGCGTCGTTGTGTCACAGCCACTCGTGGTAGGAGACTGGGTGCCGAGGTCGTACAAGCATGCACATTTGTATCTCCCGGCAGGGTGTGCAAGATCACCTCTCTAGAGCTTTGCATAGTTTCTCATGTACCTTCATCAACACATTCAGATGACTGTCCGAGATCGCGAAATATCTTTTAAGGAAGGAACAGACATTTATTAGCGGTATACCTGTTGCCGAAATTCATTCAAGGTTAACATTTTAAGTAGACCAGATCTGTTGCCCCAGTGGGTAGGTAAACACTACCCGATAGACTTGATTTTTATTTGAACTTAAGTACCTAGCGGAAGCTAGAGGACAGAGGAGAGTATTGGAAGAGAATATGAATTTGTATGCATTTAGAACTTCCAGTGAACTCGAGAGGAAAGGGGTGGGCTGGGTGCAAAATACTCCGAATGCCTCTTCTCGTCAACATAATGTGCACCATAACTAAGTTAGCCATTCATTCTGCGCTTACTCATTCACTCGCTTGCTGAAATTCTTGGCCCCAATCGACTTCTGCAACTAGACATACTTTACGGTCACGCTGTTGGAGGTAACAGAGCTGGAAGTGAGAATGTTGTTGTTTTGCTTGATGTCGATGAGGGTAGCACCGGATGGACCAACGGTGGAACCACCGTCAGTAGCCTCAGCACCAGAGAATGTAACAGTTCCAAAATTGGCAAATGGAACGAGGGAGCCGCCGGACTCGAAATCTTCGACAATCCATTCAGCATTGTACTCGCAGAGAGTACCATCGACCCCACCATTGAAAGTGTGGGTCACGGACTTGCCGGTAGAGACATTCTCAACTGTGGCGGTTCCAGCAGTCGTTGAAGTAGCATCGACAGTCACCTTAATCACGTTCCCAGCGGCGATACTGATGCCGCTGAAATCATAAGCATAGTCAGGATACCACTCATACCAAGCGTCATATGAGACAGAGCTGCCTTGAATGCAGAAATCCACTCCGGTCTGCAAAATGGCGGTGCCACAAGTATCTCCATCAATACCAACCCATGCGGAGGCACAGTATTGAGTACTCGAAGAACCCCCAGACGGCACTTTGGGGGTGGGAACGGTGAATTCTGCAGTGACAGCGGTGTAGCCAGTGCCGATGAGCACAGCACCGGCCCAGTTGGAGCTGTATTGCTCATGCAAGGTCTTGTTCAGATGAAGAACCTCGTTGGTACCTGGCTTATAAGGTGGGTGGCTTTCACGGCCACTGGCGCGAGCAAGTCGGCGAGCCTCATGACGTGCCTGGCGCTGGGCAGTCAGGGGCGCTGCAATGGCCGCAGTAGCAAGCAGCGAAGTGCCCAAGATGGTGGTAGAGAACTTCATGGTTTCAAATGTGCAACGATAGAGAAGGTTCAAAGCTGGAAGATGTGATCTGTGTTCGAGATAGAGAGAATCCTGTGAGGCGATGGGGAGGTGGGAAAGGAAGACGAGGAGGATGACCTCGATTTTATATAGATACCAAGGCACCACTTCTTTTGATAACAACGGAAACGGGCCAAATTGGCCAGAGGTTCTTCTGCATATCCCCTATTTCGAATCAAATCTGTGGATAGCGAAGCTGGCGCCATGGGACTATCGGGTCGATGCAACATCATCAGCAGCAAAGCAAGACAATAGGTCAACGGAAGGAAAAGGATCCAGGCCTATGTGATTAGTACCGTCACGCCGTCGGAGACCGATGATTTTGACGGCCTAGCCTGGACACTGTATCGTGAGCCGGTCTGCAGAGATCGGGGCAGAACGTATCTAGTGACTCTGGCTCACATGAAGGGGTCATCGCGATATCGCCGGCTCAGACCACACGGGTCATATTGTTTCGAAATCCAGGAGCATAGAATAATGCCATTTAATTTCCAGATGATATAGCAATCTACGAGTGCATACATGCACAAAGGCCAAGCCAAATGGGGCTGTGAGCTGTGGGCAAAGTCATCATCCGGTAGATATCACTATGCCTGAATACTTACGGAAAAGGATGAATAGACTCCCGACCTCCACTAGTAATGCATAACCCCACCATATGCAAGATTTGTATCGGACAAAACCTGCCAATAAACGGATTGATGCACTTGGTCAAGGCTTGTTTGAAGAGTGCCGAGAAGGTCAGCCCCCGCATTCGTCAAGGCACATGGGGCTAGCTAAATGGAGCGTGTAGCGTTGCCATTCCATCAACTACTGGGAACTGTGGTGAAGATATCACGGAGGCCCGACGGGGACCCATGCCTGAAGTTATGATAAGGCGGCCGTCAATTTTAAAAAAACCACGACAGTGGACTTTTTGAAATGGGTCTTTTTTAGCGGATATGACCATGTACAGATGAGCCGGGGCCAACTGGGTAACGATCGACCATTCTGTTGAGGATAACGCAGGTGATGTGCGATAAGCGACGCCGATGCAATGTTACGGTGGCGCCAGGGCTAAATGCGCCTTCAGTGAGCCACGGGAAAGATGTGAGGGCCAAGCTTTAGACAAGCAACACTGCCGAGGATGGAGCGGGAGCCTAGATGAGACAGGAATACCTGTGTCTGAGATCGGAAGATGTTTAGATTTTGCCGTTACTGACGATCGCTCATATTTCCGCCTCCCGCGATATGAATGTGTGTGCATCAGAGAAGGCTTGCTGAGGGGCTTCTGCTTGCCGTGGTCTCTAAAGCCCGTCCTTTGGTGCATTGCGAGTCCTGAAGAAAAATCAGGGGAAAGTCAGCCCCGCGCGACGACCAGATTGGGCGCCACGACTTAGTTGGTGTGGTCCAAGCCCGAACACGCTAACTTGGTTCGAGCATCACACCCGAAACCCCGCGGCCAAGTCACCAGTGGTATGTTTACGGATGATCAAGCGATGCCCTAGACCGGCCCATAGGTGAACTGTGTCACGAGGAGTCCGGATTCGCGTCGCATGAATAGCGATCAAGCAAGATTTCGGAGAGGCAGGTGAAAAGTAAGAAAAACTATGGACTCACAGGGTCAAGATAAGGATTGTGGAAACAATAGGGGGAGGTAAACCTTGAACCTGAAGTGTAAGCCTGACTGCCTGAGAAGAAAGACAATGACGGAACAACAAGGCCCGTATGACTAAGAATGTTGCCCATGGTGCATTTTTGGTCTAGCGGTAATATGCCCTATCTGTGTTCGACAGACAATAGTAACCTCAGGCACTAAGGCACCTGACGGAACAGAAGCAGCAGTGGACCCCGGAGGAAGGGATATAGTTAACTAGTTAACTTAGTAACTAACTAACTAGATAACTTAAGTTAAGTAGTTAGTTAGTTAACTAAACCCGCATGTATTAGTCATTATTGTGCCCACATGAATTGCCAGATAGTTAGGGGCTTTATAGCAATTCAGACTTGTTGATATCCAATTGGTGTGCACTATGATTTACCAAGCAGTACTTCCGTCTGCACCCAGGCAGAAACTCTAATGCTTAGAGTGGGGCCAGTAGGTAGCATTGAAGGTAACTATTGATCGTGGGAAGCACTGGTCTTGACAGACAGGTCAAGAAACGGATCAGCTCAAACTGCAGTAGCAAAAATCTATCGTGACCGATAAGGCTACCGGGGCAGGATAATCATGGCAGAAAATGCACACAACACCCTCCCCATGCGAAGGCTTTGGGCCTAACAGGCAAATCGGACAAATACCAAACAAAGTTGAGACTATTCAAATAAAGAGAATGAGAAAGGTATCCTTGAATTAATTCTGATAAAGACTATCAAGAAAGTATGCGAAGCGTACTGTCTGTCGAGGTGGTATAAACCCCCTTCTATATGATACTTGCAAAAGACATGACCGCCAACGTCCGGGACCGAGTTATGAAAAACGAAAAGTTTCAGGGAGACCAATTTGACCTAACTGTGATTCGCCAATTGAAGGAGCATGAGTTTCTTCTGGCTGATGCATCAGGTAATTCGGTATGGGGTTGGGGACTTTAGGATACTTATCACCATACATATGTGCCAGATTGTGCTTATAACAGCTATTTTGGAGCAGGCCAACACAGAGAAACGAATAACTACAAAGTGCAGATCACTACTTCCAGATACCTTAATTCTGAATCAAGCTATTTCATACTTTTGTATCCCTATTCTACCTGAACATTCAACCCAGGAAATTCGTTTAGTGCAGCTAAGGTAAGGTTAGCTTGGATATTTGGCGAACTGAAAGGGTAGGTGACTGCTAAGGTACCGCCTTGTACCCTTTGTTGTACCTTAGAGGGCCCACCGCGCACAGGGCCGTTTTCGGCCTGTTCCCGCCTCGGCGAGATATTGGACTTTTGTCAGCTGCATAAATAGATGATAATACCAGTAGAGTTTCCGCCTGGTATTGGTATAATTATAAAAAAAAGGTGCACTGATTGAAAGTCAACCAGACCTCGAAAATGACTCAACTTCGGGGGTCTCGTATTGCTCAGTTGATTGGTGTTCTATATCAGCCACGCAATAATTCCATGGCGGTTCCTAAGGGTAGGTTCATGTCTCCCATTGTCCAAGCTTTGCAGTGGACCGCGTTCACTGATAGTGTCTTCCCCCGAGAGGCAAATGCTTTGAAGGATGTGCTTGAGATTTGTCGTCGGCCAAGTGATTTCGGTGGATTGAATATATCCGAGAGTTGTCAACTAAGCCCAGCACCGAAAGCTGAGATAATTTTCTTGTCGTCGGCGTGGCTAGAGGCGCTGAATTCAGCAGATAGGGCAAAGGGTCTCCCAGAGCCGATTGGATGACGTCCTATAGGCCGGCGGGGAATGGCACTTAGCGAGAAGATATTTGCCATGAATGATATGGAACACGAAGGGTTTGTTGTTCCCGGGGATCTGATTCGAGTTCAGGTGGACTGGGTCATCGCATCTGAGGCATCCTGGACTGTAAATGAGAAGAATATTGTGCTTGATGATACATCAATACTGAGACCGCAACACCAGGGAATGGAGAGAACATATGAACTCTTGTGGAACCAGGAATATTCCGGAATGACCAATTATGGCTTGCTGGAGACCATGGCGTTGACCCCAGAGTAAATCAGCTGCCAAGAGTGCAAGCCATGATTAACGCAAGCGAGCGCGCAGAAAGGGTATTCAAGATGACAGACTACCAATGCCTGAATGTGGGGATCCCATGAAACCAATCTTAATAACCAATTAGCACAACTAAATAGCTTTATAGTATACCATTCTGCTTACAGGGTTCTACAGGGAGCGTGCGCAGCCTGGTATGGTGGTCGTCGGATCGGATTCGCATACATGCTCATCTGGTGCCTTGGAATGTCTTGCAATCGGATTGGGTTCTGCAGATGTCACTCTGCCTCTTGTAACCGGAGAGACGTGGTTTTAAGTACCAGAGTTCATTAATATTCGTTTGGTTGGGGTTCCGCAGCCTGCTATAGGCGGGAAAGCTATAATCCTGTACATTTTACAGCAGCTGAAGAGAAACACTGTTGCCTCTGATCGAATAGTTGAATATACTAGACCAGGTGTTCAGCGCCTTTCTTCGGACGCGAGGTTTGCAATCTGCAACATGACTACGGTACGTCTAGTAAAATATGCGCCGCTGGTCACTCACTTCAAGGATTTGGATTGACATATTTACGCAAGAGTTCGGTGGTGTTACTGGCATTTTTGTACCAGATCGAATCACACTGAAGTTTGTGCAGAAGCGCCATTTAGTACGACACAGGAATTTGAACACCTATTTCAAGCCCGACGATGACGCAGTGTACGCTGCGATATATGAGATTGATTTGGGAAACGTGAGGTCATTCTTGGCTAAATATCCCAAGCCCGATGCTGTTGTCCCTATTCGGGATTTCGAGGGAATGAAACTAGATGGATGCCTTATTGGCGGGTGTACGACTGCAGAAGAGGATTTCATTCTTGGTGCTCTCGTCCTAGATCAATAGTTGAGACAAGGGAAAAGAGTTCAGAAAAGAGGCGTGAGAAAGGTCGTCCCGGGATCAATGCCCATCCTCCACAAATTACGCAAGTTAGGGACTCATTCAAATATATGAGAATGCCGGGTGTAGTTACTGTGTGGGCATGTCAGCCGACCAGGCTGGCTCTGGGGAGGTTTGGCTGCCGTCCAGAACAGAAATTTTGAAAACAGAATGGGAAAGGTAGAGAAGGATCGAGCACATTGCTATGGATTCGCGTGACTAACCATAACCAAATAGGGCCAATCGGACATCTTGCCTCGGCCGCGACAGTAGCAGCATCTTCATTCGGGATGAGAGTGACTGATCTGCACGACTTGCTTGCAGCAATCGACCCCAATGTTTGGAGTGAATTCAGGAGAGTGGAAACAAGTGAAGAGCAAAGTATACTCGCTGAGCTCTAATATGTGGAGCCGTATGGAACGCTTAATCCAATCCCAAGAATATCTCAGCAAAAGCTAGAGGGGTTTACTAATCCTCCGTTCTATCAATACACCGCAGAGAATATTGCGACAAATATCTTAATCGGTGCGATCCAAAGGCTCGGTGACTTTATTGATACAGATATTGGATGGCAATTCTCGTTATCTCACGTGGTTTACTTAACAAATCAAATATTGACAGATCGAGAAAAGCTCGCGATAACAGAGTTTCTTGTGAGTATGATAGACAACAAAAGCAGTGGAATTCATTGTCTTCAGTATACACATCCAGTGTTTTGCGATCGTGTTGGCTAAGGGTTCAACATCATGATTGCCAGTAAAGGTTTTGGCTGTGGGTCATCGCGCGAACAGGCTGTAATGGCTCTACTTGGTAAGACTGTATATCTAGTTCCTGGTGCGAAATAACCTTGCCATACTGAACAAAATTTTACCAGGGTGCGCTGTTCAACGTGTTATTGCAAGATCTTTTGCATTAATTTTTCAAAGGAATATGCCAAATCTAGGGCTATTGGGAATTACTATGGCGGATGAACAATTCTTCGAGACTGCAACGGAAGGAGCTGATGTTCCTATCGACGTTGATAAACGCACCTTAGAAGTTGCTGAGAGAAAGTTCCAATTTCAATTGAGCCAGATGGAGAAGGAGCTACAGACCACGGTGGCGTTTCATCCGCAATTCAACTGTTTGGAAACAAAGTTTTCGAAGTCATGATGAGTTCAAAGTACTCTGGAAAGGGCGAAATGGGAATAATGCCACCGGAGACACTGACTGAGCTTGAATGATAACTACAACACTTTGAACTCATGGATAATGGGATGGAATTAGTTGATACGCAGCTTCTGGATATAACCAAGCCTATTTATGCTCTGTAGCCTATTCAAAGAGGGATACTCTCTAAAGCGTTACTAAAACAATCAAATTTGATATGCGAAGCGCCGAACTGCTCTAATGATCGATTGGGAACACAGACCGGGATTGTAAGCTACAAAAATACCTCTCTAGGGCCATTCTGCGCAGATTATTCCACCGCATGAATTAAGCATAAACTTCTCGCAGCCTTCTATCTCCACGTTTACATGATATTTTCATTGACCTCATTCTTCCTCATAAAGCGTTCTGGTTTTTGATATACTACAAAGACTTGTTGCATCCCATCTTGTTGAGTATATCAGTTGTTAGAAGTCCGTTGCAAAGATGTTAAATATGATTTGATTAGTTGACCAAAAACTAGATACAGAACATCAAAAAAGGCCCGTTTGTTGAAGTGGACTCTAAGCAAGACATAAGCTGTTGTCGGCCAAAGTTTGCTCCATTAGTTTAGTTCAATTAAGCATGGCAGTTGATAACGGCGCCAGTGACATCGACAGGAGTGGCAGCACTGGGATTTCCATCAAGATCGAAGTAAGTGTGTTGAGCTGTGAAAGTGGTGACAGTAGCTCCGTTGTTCTTGAGAACACAGCTAATGGTTTGGGGGAACGCCGTCAGCTGGGCAGATGTGGCCCGGATCTGACCACCCGATGCGACAGATGAGGTACCAAAGAGAGATGCGATTGTCTTATCAGTGCCATCTGCAGAGAAAGAGGCACCTGCATAGGCACCAGATCTATCGTTGGAGAGGGCAAATGTCACAGATGGGGCATCCCGAGTCTCGAGTGGTGCGGCAGCAATGGTTGCGACCAGGAGGGAGCAGACAGCGATGACAGACTTCATGTTTGATGTTGGCGGGCAAAGGATATTTGATGGGGTATGGGACAGGATGGATTTCTAATAATTGATGTTTGAAGAGGTGGTTTGGATGCTGAAAAGTTGAGGGAAAGTCTTGGACTTTATACTTCTGCTCTTGGGCGATTTCGTTAGCAAGAGTCATAGCTGAAGTCCATGGAACCTGTCTAGTAGCTCTATTATTAGAGCACACGCGTTCATCTTTACGGCGCCCAACTACGATGGTAATTCTCAGCTCGATGAAGCCCATGAGTTAGGCAATCCTCGATGCGGGAGAGAACCCTGTCTTGCTCTGATATCTTTCATAGGCTACTGAAGGAACGCCTCGCGCCACCATCAGTAATTTAGGAATGAGAGTACCCATTAAATGTCAGCTGAGTCCAGGAATCATTCATTGTGCCTCGATATCCCACATTTAGCCCATTCAGGTGAGCTCCCCAATAGTGGTTCAGAACATTACGTAGGATAATAACAGCCTACGCAGTCGGATGTAGTATTTTGGAGGTACTTTGTGGGGTTAAAACAAAGCCAATCATCATTTTGTAACCCAGCTCTTTGACCAGTAAGGATTAATTCAATAAGATGTCATCATCCAGAGCTATAGTCCGGTTGCAAGGTTCCGAACTGTACTCGATGGTGCTTCATACCGAAAGAATCAAGATTGAGCACAGAAAACCACCAAGGATATCGACAATAAATGCGAACGCTTGTTATTTTCACGTTCTTTCCTATCATTATCCTGCATCATGAAAAAGAAACTATGTTTATCCTGATCTTTTAGCGGAAGGCGAGCGATAATCCTGGGCTTGGCTCCCTTCTGATCCAGAACGAAAATGAATGAGCTCTTTCGGTAGGGCATATTGTGGGGTTAATTCAATCTTACACACATGATGGCAAGTAAGAGCACAGACACAGGATATACATGGTTAGTACCCGAGTTGACAAAGTTGCCGAACACGAAAGTAAAAAGTAAGACACTGAGCCCGCGATGCGGGCAGGCAGGCAGGTCGATGAGCCCAGGGACTCTCGTATTCATTCGAGATGTCTTACAATCCGTGGTTCTCCCTCAGCATACAATGGAGGAAGAATAGCGTTATGCATCACTCGGTAAGACGGCAGTTGAAGGCACTTATGCCGAGCCCTGTCGGTGCCATAGGTACCTCGTGTATGCAACCGATGAGCGCATTATTTCCAAGCCGTTATTTTCCGAGCGAGTGAAGTAGGCTACAATTTTACATGAGGAGATCAGGCTTCCAGTCGAGGGTGTAAGAAGCCGATCAAGGGCCAAGTAAAGGTCAAGCGAAAGATGAATATCGACGTGCAAAATGATCTTGCTGCATAATGTGTCGCGTCACGGGACTGGATACATGAGACCAGAGCGGGGGGCTGAGTGTTAAGACTCGAGTCCGTTGTGAGGGTGGTCTTGGTTGATGACGTATCGCATTTTTGAATCAATCTATACGAATGATCTCGAAGAAGCTGATCGATTATGTATTGTTGGTTTTTTTTTTTTTTTAAACGGGGCATTCGGAAATCTACAGCTCACGTACAGGGTGGTCAGTCTTTCCTTTGTCTCTCATAACGAGAACAAGAACAGTTCGAATGATCCATGAATTCGAGACATCCTAATCACACAGAGTCCAAAAGTAGCAGGTGTTCACTGGCTCGTCAACTATTTCCCGATCCCATGTCTTACTTCTACATGCCCCACGTGTCCCATACGATCGCGTCCCGATTTCGTGGCTGCCGCCTTGCCGAGCCCCTTTGAGGGCTGACAGCCGCTTACCAGATTGGTCAGCGATTCTGGAACTCGTCCAACTCGGACCTGCCAAAGTAGGTCTTTGCAGTCCTTAAAGGTGGTAGAAAAGAGCACGCTTCAAATCTTGAACGGCCGTTATAGAAGCAATCTCGCTTGAGGAGGAAAGCCCACTCGAATGAAAATTGGTTGCAAGTGTTTTCTCCCTCAGAACGCCAATGTTGGTCGACCTCACACCTCCACCAACAATCACCTCCAGAGCTCGGCGGCCCGCCTGAGGATGGGATTCGGGATTGAATGACTGGCGATTCACCAGGTCAGCTAATCCATCCATGCAGTCAACGGCATTTGTGCTGGAAGGGCCGCCACTGGTGAGAACCGCAGCAAAACCACATTCCCTTATGTCCTCCAGAGCAGTATCCCAGTTAGACTCGGGAATACAATCAAATGCCCGGTGAAAAGTACAAGGCTTGCCACCCGCCACCTGGACGAGTTTCTTATTCCTGGCAATATCAACCCATAAATTCCGATCGGTACCTCCCTGATATGGCGTCTCGTGGAGGATACCAAAGACAAACCCATCGGCTCCGGAATTGTTCATAAGTTGTAGTGTGGCTTTCATCGTTTCGAACTCATCCTTGTCATAACAGAAGTCTCTGGAGTGTGGACGAATCATCACGTATACTGGGATGGACACTCGAGATTTCACCGCTTGTAGGACTGAAGGATGAGGTGAGAGTCCGCCAGACTGGTAGTCTTGGCATAGCCTGCAATCCCGTCAGGACAGTGGTCGGGCACACTTTGGCTGCAACCAAATTTTTAGAGCAGCCCGCAATAATAGGCTGGCATCGGTATGGGCAATTTTTGAACGACGATATGTCCTAAGGCCACTTACTCGATTCGATCAGCACCCCCTTGAGCAGCGTTGACTGCAGACTCTTCGTTAAAACAGGCGATTTCCAGCAACAGCCCCATCGCGAAATTGTAGAGCCCCTCGAGGGTTTTGAACTGACTTTTTCTTCCACCCGCAGAATAAAATCTACGGAACAAAGGTGGAAGACGGAAGGCAATAATAACAAGATGTGTGGGGAGCCTCCGTACAAACTCCCAGGGCCAGCCTGAGGCCCGAATCCGGCTTATTCATCCCCTACACTCATGGATGCCCGCCCTGTGATTCGCTCACGGCCCTCAGCGCAGCCTTAGCCTCTTCGTGACTATTGGAATCGTTGGATAGTCCTGTAATTATTTCACGATTTTATCATGTCAAGATTAAGCTCAAGAATCGTCATCATTGATAAGCAGGCCTGTGTTTTAGGTAAAAAGATTAAATCAACTGGAAAGACTGTTCAAAAAAAGGAACGAAACAAAATGTTTATGATCCTGAGCACAATATATTCTCATTCCGATACTGCAAACCTCTCCGCTTGGCCGGACACATGATGGAATCAGTAACGAAAACCACCGGGTAGGGCTGGTACTTAACATCTTACACCGGAAATAACACATGGCCATTGCAATCCTTGTGCCAGGATTTGGGGATAGTAAAAATATCCGCAGATGAGTCCCACCTTCTGGGGAGACAAGGTCGTGGTAGCCCGTAACCTGTACCGTCTCTTGATACTCACCCGCCCAGAAATCACTCAGATTGTGCAAGCGATGGCTAGGCTGCGAGTTCCCAACTTTCGCCAATTGAATATCGGCGTTGAGCTGTTCCTTTACTAAATCGGCATCCAATTCCTTTTCGCCACGGCGGAGAAGCTCTATATTCGGTACCGAGGAATGTTTCTCTCCTTCAAACAACGCGTCAATCTCCTCCAGCGTTTTGCCTTTCGTTTCCACCCAATAATAAGCCTAGTAAATTCAGTTAGTATTTTCATCGACACTTCACAGTCAAGCATACGATCAAGCCTAGAATAACCACATCCCATGATGCATTGATCATATACATCTTCCACCCAATGTTTCATAAACCAATCGGCATGATGAAGGTGAACACGAACCTAATGTCAGAACACATGGTTAGTGCGGCCAAGGAAGAGAGGAAAGGTGCACTGACGCAAATGCATTTAACGTGAAGGATGAAAATGCTACACCATTAGCCCGAATCGAATAATTCATGATCTCCGGCGGATAGAGGTACAGTAGTGGTGTCCATACTCTGAAATATAGCAACGGACATGAAGACTCACATGAATGGAAGTGTAAAGATACAGAGCACTGAGAAGAGAGCTTGAACAAGGGATGGAGCGCGCCATGCCCAAGTCGACTGCCACTGTCCCGTTCCGAGAGTTACACCAGCGGCGACAAGGGCGCCAACACTAGAGTCAATATTAGTTTCCCTTCAGATGAGACCAGGAAGTTGTTGCTGACTAGTAGAAATCATTCAATAGACCGACGCCCCATGCGCGGCATCGGCTGGGGAAGACTTCAGACAGATATACACCGCCAGCTATACCAGTAACGGCCGCTCCAAAGCCTAGTATGATTCGAGCAATCACGAACATGGCAATATTTTGCGATGCAGTTTGAAGAATAATTCCGACGATTGTCATGCATGATCCCCAGAAAATCGCGGGGCGGCGACCCAATCGGTCTGCGATGATGCCAGATACTAGAGGCCCAAGAAAGCCTCCAATGAAAACAGAAGCCGTATTGAGCCCTGTGGTGGCCGGATTCAAATTGAAGTATTCAGTATATGATGGTAAGATGTTGAGACCATTTAACATTGATCCATCATACTCACCAGTCTTCGGCCATTAGTGCATGTATGAATCAGGTGTTTATTCTAGGATCACCTCACCGCAGATTGCACAATCGATGACAGGAGCAACAGAGCACACAGGGTGAATGTTGACTCGGGAGCCCAGGCGGGCATCCATGTCCCGGTAAGTGTCTTTTTCAGCATTTGCAAAGTGGAACCTGCCGATAGAGCAAAGTTTCCAAGTCTTTTGTCAGGCCTACCCCTTGATATTCAAGTCGTTCAAGTCGTAGCGAAGCTGGCTCTGATATATCACCTTGCGAAGTCTTGCATGGCTTCCCGGCAGTTCCATCGGAGAGAGCAGCGGAAAAGCACATATCATGAATCGATAGGAACGTTCCATTGAGCATAAGCCTGATTGGAAGACTGCTCTCCTATCATCTGTTAAGCATTCCAGAAAGATGCTTGACGTTTCCTCCTCTGAGAAGCTCTTCTTGTGTATGTACTCTTCCCTCCATGCCGTTGCACCTTGACCCAGATGATCATTTGTTACGACTTTCGTCTCCCGTTGTTCCTTCTTTTAGATTACTTGAACCTTGGGCTTTGTGCAACTGGCACACAACAATCCTTGATGGAGGAATGTGCAACATGGATCATCGGGAGTGGGAAAGGTGGGGTTGGGCATGGCGGCTTGAAGCGACGTTGTATGAAAGTGGGGGGAAAGAGAACTTTGAATGTTCAATGCTCTGAAATCGCTCAGCTCAAATGGCCCCAGAGAGCAGTGCAGAATCAGTTCATCAGAACTAACTCTTGGTTCTGATACAAACCATCGCCAATCTTTCCGCCTCCTTTCAATCCCGAGACCACTACAAGCAGACAATCCGGCCACATACCATGTCTAAACACCCAGTCATCGCGATCGCAGGTTTGGCTTGCGAAACGTCCACTTTCTCGCCAGCGCGGACGACAGCAGCAGCTTTTCACCCACGTCACTGCCGAGAAATTATCGACAAATACACCTTCCTACACCCGGGGACTCCTCTTGGAGACAAAGCCAGTTGGGAAGGTGCACTTATCGGCCATGCTTTGCCTGGTGGAGTTGTGACTAGGGTTGCGTTCGAAGAACTGGCAATGAAATCGTGACTCGACTCATCCAGATTCGTGAATCGTGCACTATCGACGGCTTATGGCTCGACATTCACGGTGCGATGTGTGTCAAAGGGCTGGATGATGCAGAAGCGGAACTGCTTCGGCGGATTCGGGTAGTTATTGGGGCCAACGTCGTTGTATCAGCTTCCATGGACCTGCATGGAAATGTTTCCCCGTAACTTGCACATCAAACAGATCTTATCACCTGTTATCGCATGGCGCCACACAAGGATGAAATGGATTACCAAAGAACGCGCGTGTCGCAATCTAGTCGACATGCTCACGTCAAAAGACTACACGGGGAATCGCCCCTTCAAGGCATGGTCTAAGATTCCGATTTTACTGCCAGGAGAGCAGACATCAACTCGGGTAGAGCCCGCCAAGGGGTCTCTACGAACTTGTTCCCCAAGCAGAAGCCACGCGGGGAGTGATCGATGCTGCAATCTGGGTGGGCTACGCGTGGGCAGATGAACCTCGCAATCACGCGGTTGTGATGGTAACGGGTTGGGATGCGGAGGTCGTCACGGAACAGGCCCAAAAATTAGCAACACACTTCTGGGATTCGCGTGAAGCCTTCCATTTTGTCGCTCCTATAGGTACTCTGGCTGGGTGTATTGAGCATGCACTCCAATCTGACCGCCGGCCATTTTTCATTTCGGACTCCGAGGACAATCAAACGGCCGGAGGCGCAGGAGATGTGACCTGGACTCTCGCTCGAGTCTTGGCTCGCGCTGAATTCCGAGGGGTGGATGGGCCTGTTGTGGTATATGCCAGCATTCTGGGACAGCAGGCAGCTGACACTATTGCTCGAGCGGGTGTTGGTGCTATCGTGACTGTCGTTGCTGGTGCAGAAGTCGACAGTATTCATGAGGGGCCAATCACCATGACTGGGCGGGTCCATGCCGTCAAACATGGAGACCGAGACGCCATTATCGAATGTGTTCTCCAGGTCGGGAGTGTTTTCGTCGTGATCACCACGCTGCGAAAGCCCTACCACCATGAGTCTGATTTTTGGGAGCTCAACCTTGCACCCCGGTCGGCGGATATCGTGATAGTGAAGATCGGGTATCTGGAACCTGAGCTATTTGGAATGGCCGCAGACTGGAGGCTGGCCCTAACTCCAGGTGGCGTCGATCAAGATTTGCCTCGACTTGGACATTGTCGAATCCATCGGCCCATGTGGCCATTCGATCAAAGCTTTGCTGAGCCCCCTGATCTCACACCACAATTGATTCCATCATCAAATGAGCCCTTCGCCGATATGTTTCAGGGCCGAGTCCTGTCGATTCCCAATAACCTCATAATGAAGTAGCAGCTCCCACGTCTGTGGTTATTTCTCGAAAGCTCCATAGAACTAGAGAATATTGAGAAGAACCAACCAGTAATATTTACTGTTCAGTGTTGTTGTTGTCTCACTTCTGAAGCTGGGGCCACTGTAGATGGAAAGGCGGTGAGACTTACTCTCTGGTGATCCATTTTCCACCTGAACTTTGGAGGGTTGAACACTTCCACCAAATAATACAACCTTGATTTCTCTTGACTTCCTCTCCCACAACGCATTGGAATTCTCTGACAAGTAATATGACTGTCGGTCCATCTCTGGCAGATCCACTGGCCATCTTCCCGCCCGAGATTGTCCTTCGCATCCTGGAATTCTCTTCCATCTCAGCACTCGCCTCCCTCCTCGCGGTCTCCAAGTCTTGGCACCAATTTATCGACGTCACCCATCAACAAGCCATTTACGGCGCCGAATCCAAGACAACACAACCACCCGGTGGCTCTCGCGATTTCACCTTCCTCAAAGATACCTCCAGCGTCTCCAAGTTCTTCGACGACACTTCATCATGGAAAGATCTATGTAAGCGCCAGACAGTGCTTGCTCGCAACTGGGCTGCGCGGCGACCGGTTAGCCACGAATCGGTTCTACAGATTGGCAATGACCCGGTCTGGCGCTTTCGGGCCGACTTCAAGCGGCGATTCTTCATTTCCACCTCTCATGCGGGTGGGCTGAATGTCACAGATATGGATTCGGGTCGCATCCTCTGGCGCCTGCCCTCTACCTTCGATCGCGACGAGGACGCCGTTCGCCCCCATGCACATTTGGAATATCAGGATGGGATGGCCGTTTTCGATCGCGAGGGGGATGCCGTCGAGGTTTGGCTGACTGGATTGGATGGTACCGCTCGAGGGGAGTTTCGGCGCATTGCGATCCTGGATCACAATTGCCAAACAAGAGGCTTTCAATTGTCTTACTGGACGCTCTGTGTGGTCTCGAGTGAAGGGCAAGGATTTGTGTATGACATGACCCAGTGCCCTCCCCTATTAACCACCCGCCTCGAAATTGAGCGAGGCGCTGTGGGTCATTTGGACCAGTGCGAGGATGCCGTGATTTATTCGATCGGAGCGAAAGGGTACTATGCTTACGACAAGAAGTCCGGCGCGTTCTTGGGTGCTCTGCAACCATCCAGTTGTACGGACAAATATCATATAAGCTCTCCTCCTTCCCTCGATGCAAGCCCATCATTGGATGGTCCAGCCGAACGAGCCCCAGATGGCCGACCCCCTCCACCCAGCGGAACTCGGCGAGATGTCATTACGCCAATCGAAATCACCAAGGGCCCTCTTCCTCCCCCGAACGACCCAGAGCACGTACGGCATGGGGAGGATGAATGGGGCGCGGGCATGTTGGATGGCGAACTGTTCGTCGGCTTCTCCCGAGCCGGTCGGGTCTTCCTGTGCTCTGACTGGCGCAAAGCCCTGCAAGACCACTCCAATCTGGCGACACACAGCTCGATTATTGAATGCGAATCCGATGGTTCTACTTTCGATCTTGGTGGTTGGTTGTCTGTTCGTGACCACCGCTTGTTATTCGAAATTCAAGATCATGTCTATGTCGTTGCACTGGACAACAACAATCGTCTTCAAGACCTCGACCACCCTGTGCGCGGCTCGTTCGCGATACTTACCAACTCGGCCCCACAGCTGGCTGTCCCTGTTAGCTATATGACACTTTGCGATGATGCGATCATGACGACGTATACGGTCCGTCTCTGCTTTCTCACCCCACATTCCCTCTTGTGAAACGTCTTTGATTTAACTCTAGCAACTACAGACCCTTGGTTGGCGTCAATCGACCTCCAATATTCCCGGCAGTGATTCGATACCGCGACGCGAGAACCCGGCTCGGATATTCCCCACCAAAGCTATCCGCATCGTGAGCTTGGCCCCTGACATTTCGAGTTCAAAGTCGGGCCGCGACCTGGAATCCGACTCCCCAATCCCAAAGGCTCGATCCGGTCCCGGCCAACCCACAGATCAGATGTGGCAGTCGCAGGCAGCGTTGTTGCAGCTGGTCAGTCTGTTAAGCGATGATCCTGGAGAGTGGGAAGACCGGGAAGCTGGCGAAGAAGACGAGGACGACGACGGCGAAAGCGAAACATAGGCCGAAGTCCTCCTCACCCCCTTTGAAAATCCAAAGATGGGAACCGGAATGGGACAGCATAACATTGGGGCAGCAATGTCCTACTCGGCACCCATGGGGAGAATGCTCGACTTGAACGTTTCTTGCCAACTCTGCCGTCTGTGTCCTCTGATGGTCGTTTGATCTCATTGACTAACTTGAAAACAGCTCTTCACACTAACCGCGACACAGGCTGTATTATACTAGACACTCCCTACCACGGAACATCCTCAATTCAATTTCAGGGTTTGATACATGGCCGATTCGAAGGATCTTTTAATCAATAGGTCTTACGCCTTCCGCCAGCAAGAACTCGTCGCCTAGGACTAGTCTCCCATCATCGCGGCCGTAGTCTTTCCCTCCTAACTCTATGCAAGCCTATTCGAAATGAGAAACGGAAGTTTTATCCATCACCATGATTCATTCTTGGCTTTCCTTTACACATTGCGGGCGAGCTGTGAATTTCAACAACCCACATTTTACGATAGCCATGAAGTCTTTGGAAACCAGTATGAAGGGTTGCTGATCTCACCTCCAGTCTGGATCCAAAAATAATTGGTGGATCCGCAATCAGTAATGATCCCGGAGAAGAAAGGCATCGTCACATCTGCTTTCTTGTTTTTCATTGTCTACTCAGCTTCATTAAATAACCTCTACATATGCTTTATTATGAGTTATGCCTCACAATCTCAAGATTCTAAGTCGACGCTGCTAATAACCTAGCGAGTGATGTGACCGGAGAATAAGAGGTAACTCTACTAGCTGTACGGATCAATCACGCAGAGCTTGCTACCATGTCTCTCCACTAGGCTGAAGCATAAACAGTGCATAAAGAGTTATCTCCGGGAATCAGGTTATGGTTACTTCGAACCGGATTCGCCATACGTGACGTTCTTGCGTGCCTCGTCCACATAGTGTGATTCCGAGGAGAAAAGACCATAAGCACGAGGGGAACCTTGGCAAGACGCAACTATCACGAAGCCTCGCCATACGCCCTTGATACAAAGGGACAAGCTCAATAAGCATCATGCAGGACACATGCGTTGTTACTAGTTCAGCCACCTTTTCGTCCGCTGCCAATTCGAGTCCTCCTACCGACCGACTCTCACGCTGGATGACCCTGAAGCGGCGGAGCCCCTATGGTAATCCGATCGGGTGGCGCTTTTTGAGGCTTGCCATCGTAGGATCCTTCGCGTATCTTCAGGTGATTTTATCTGCACCCAGGAGGCACAATTAGACAGTGTGCTTTTCAGCGAGAAATCAAATCCCGCTATCATATACGATGGTCGGTGTCAATGATAATGTTAGCGTGGTACTTTCACCCCTTCTTCATGACTAATACCCTCTCCAACCGCCTTCCGAATAGGGATTAGGGCAATACCATATGTTTCAAACCCTTCCACCTAGCCACCTAGCCACCTACCTTCCTACCTACCTACCTACCTACCATGGAGACTAATCACGAAAGATCCGATCATACCCCCCAGGCCCCCCAGGCCCCTCATACCCCTAGCCATAAAGCTAGTCGTGATCAGCGCATCGCAGCGCGTACACTGCGCGCTCAGGGGCTTACCTATAGCCAAATTGCATCAAAACTGGGCATTACCCAGCGTCAGGTCCAAAAGGCTTGCACTGATGAGAGGCCTACACCACGTAAGGCCCCTGGCCGAGGTCGAAAGCTATCAGAAGAACAGCTTGATGAGATAATCGAGTTTATCTTATCTTCGAAAGAGACACGACGGATGCCGTACTCTAGGGTTATAGAAGAACTACAACTCCCTATTAGTTCTGTCACCTTACGAAGGGCCTTAGCTAGACGTGGATATCATCGATGTAAGGCCCTTCGAAAGCCTCCTTTGTCCGACCGTACACGAGCACTGCGTCTAATCTGGGCGCTAGAGCACGTTAATTGGACGCGTGAGCAGTGGGAAAAGATATTATGGACTGATGAGACCTGGGTTACATCGGTCTATCATCGACGGATCTATGTTACGCGTCGGGCTGGTGAGGAATTTGATGATACTTGTGTACGAGAGCGAATTTCTCGTGCACCTGGCTAGATGTTTTGGGGCTCATTCTATAATAATAAGAAAGGCCCTTGTCTATTTTGGGAGAAGGAATAGGGCACTATTACTGCTGCTCGATATACAGAGCGAATTGTGCCTCTTATCGACGGTATAGTTTCGCTGGCTCGCAATCATTTAGATCAACATCTAATTGTAATGCAAGACGGCGCACCATCTCATCGAAATCTCTTAACTATTGAGGAGCTTCACGATCGTGGGATATACCCTATCGACTGGCCACCGTATTCGCCAGATCTTAATCCAATTGAGAAGGTTTGGGATTGGATAAAAGATTGGATCGGTGATCGATATTTGAAAGACTATGATCGTAAGCTATCTTATGATCAGCTACGCGAGGCTGTGCGAGCTGCTTGGGATGCGATTCCTACAAGCTTTTTAGACCAGCAGATTGATCTGATGCAGAAGCGCTGCCAGGCTGTTATCGACGCGCAGGGGGGTCATACACCTTACTAGGCGGTAATATATTGTATTATAGTGGTTTAATTACGTGAAGTCGTAATAAAAGGGTGGCAGAATATTAGTCATGAAGTAGGGGTGGAAGTACCACGCTAACATTATCATTGACACCGACCATCGTACAAGAGCCGGCGATGCATGTCCGGGAGTGGAATTGGGCCCGTCAATGGTCACACTGAGTGTGGGTCGCCTTATCGGCCACTTCCCTACCAATGGAATCAAGGACAGATCACCCTGTGGGAGCAGAAGAACAATACATGCCAATCGGCCTGACTACCTGCAGCACCGAAAGCCGGATCGTTTGCGGAGTCCCGGCGGTATTTCTTCAGCCCATCAGGGATTAGACACAATCTATGTTAATCAATTATTCTGTGCAGCGGGATGCACTTCCGAGACAAACTATACGATATTGAGAACCATCCCGGAATTAGACCATCACACAATAGTATGAACAAAAATACCCTTTTAACGAGTACTAACAGGATGCGAAACAGTCTGCTCCGCCATGGATGTCTTCTTGACGCTGCTATGAGTAAAACTGAAGGTCTCATGAGGTGCTCAGGCCCTTAGTGCATTATGGCGGGGTATGTGATTTCGAGAATTGACCATTGGAATGAATTACCTCCTCTAGCTAGCTCTGGGACACGATGTTACCTTCACAACTATCGCCGGGCTTTAAGCTTTCCCGAAAGATGACGCTAGGTGATCAAAAGCTTAGGGTCAAAATGTCTCCACTTTCGCGTGATTCTTGAGATGGGATCCCGTGGCTCCCGAATAAACGCTGTCGATGAAGCGACTACTGGGCAATACCCGTATAGTCTTCTAACGACGAATTTGTCTATTCACAAGCATTCAATCCTCGTTACTCTATAATCTCACAGGCTGTCATGTCTAAAGAGTGTATAAACTCTATTGTCTATGGATCAAATGCATGTCAGAAAATGCGACCCTGAATACCAAAAAATCGCTTCATCACTAGACCCGGATTTCTTGGAGCCCGACGGTGTAAACCTCTGTGGCGTGTAGATCCGCGCTGCATGTTTCTAGAAGAGAGTAACATCGTCTTTTTAGCTTCCCAAATGATGCGATTTGAACCACTACAATGTCTTCCATTGCCGTGACTCCACGACAAGGGCATAGATTCCTCGAAGCATAAAGAGTCTTGGGGTCACGGCTTAAACTTCGTTCAGCAACCAAATCAGAATATCTTCTCTATACCAAAGCTTTCCGATCTTCATCATGGTCGTCTTTAGCAAGATTACTATTACGCTCGCCGGCCTTGCGTCGATCGCCTCGGCTGCGCCTGCGGTAAAGACAAACAGCAAGTTCTCGTTGAAGCAGGTCGCTCGTCCGGCTACCAAGACCACAAACTTTGCTGCGGCTTATGGTCATGCTCTGTCCAAGTACGGTGCTACTGTACCGTCCCATGTCGAGGCTGCCGCGGTAGCAAGTGGCGTCGCAACGAACACGCCTGTGAACGGTGACGAGGAATACCTCACACCCGTCACCATCGGTGGCACTACGCTGAACTTGGACTTCGATACCGGGTCCGCTGATCTGTAAGTGGCTCTCGCTCTGCTTGCCGTGTATAACTTAAGCTTATCAACAGATAGCTGGGTCTTCTCAACCGAGCTCTCTGCCTCCGAGCAATCTGGCCACTCCGTGTATGATCCTAGCACTAGCGGAACAGAGCTTAGTGGCTACTCGTGGTCTATCTCGTATGGCGACGGAAGCAGTGCCAGCGGAAATGTGTACACAGATGCCGTTACTGTTGGTGGCATTACTGCACCCAAACAAGCTGTCGAGGCCGCTCAGACAATCAGCTCTCAGTTCCAGCAGGACACCAACAACGACGGCCTCCTCGGTCTTGCTTTCAGCAGCATAAACACTGTGTCTCCTCGAGCCCAGACCACCTTCTTTGACAGTGTCAAATCCTCCCTTGCTCAACCCCTCTTCGCTGTTGCGCTGAAGCACAACGCCCCTGGTGTCTATGACTTTGGTTTCACCGACTCCTCCAAATATACCGGCTCTATTGCGTACACCAGCGTGGACAGCTCGCAAGGCTTCTGGAGCTTCAATGTCGACAGCTACAAAGCCGGTACCCGCTCCGGCGGTGGCTTCAGTGGAATCGCAGATACCGGTACCACACTGTTGCTGCTTCCTAGCACCGTTGTATCGGCCTACTATTCTCAGGTCAGCGGTGCCAAGAACAGTCGCACTGCGGGTGGATATGTCTTTGACTGCTCCGCTAAGCTGCCGGATTTTAGTGTCAAGATTGGCAGCTACACTGCTACTGTCCCTGGGTCGTTGATCAACTACGGCCCCTCTGGTGTCGGCTCCACCTGTCTTGGTGGTATCCAGTCAAACTCTGGCATTGGATTCTCGATCTTCGGTGATATCTTCCTGAAGAGCCAGTATGTCGTTTTCAACTCTGCTGGCCCCAAGCTTGGCTTCGCTCCCCAGGCATAAATTCAAACGCCTCGGATACTGTGGTTGCTCAATTAAAGGAGAAACAATCGTGACGGATTCATGTGAGCGAGTCAAGATAGCTTTCAGCATTTGAATCTATTCTGGCAATTATAAAATCCCTCGCTAACAATGTTCATCCCAATTTCACCTGTGCATTATCCATATTCAAATATTATAGGATCTGGGTGTCAATCTTCTCTCTGCATGTGCCTCCACTACTATCAAATTCTAAATGAACTTGTAATGATTATTGGCTATTTCATGTTTTCGGTCAATAGGCGTATGAAATCAAACCTCCCAAATTGTGGCAGAGAATATCTGGAACCTCTGACCCAGGTATACCACGTGGTATAGGACCCGAATACGTTGCTATATGATGAGGTCTGGGGTAGATGATGCTCAACCAGCACATTAAAGAGTCGAACAAAAAGAGAAACATTACGACGATGAGGTTGTTAAGGCTGAGAATCGGCAATGCTTATCTTGAGGTAGCCTTGCCAAATATGACCATTGAAGCTTGGCAAGATGTGCCAACACCACAATAACACTGCTTATGTTCTGTATTCCCTTGGCAATACGACGTAACAGGATTGATATAGACTTTCCAATGAGTGTTGAGAGACAATGAGCACAAGAATTGCAAACGCCAGATATAATGACCAACACGGCCCTTTGCGCATCGGAACGAGTCTAACAAGAGTGGGATATGAAGAAGAGAAGGTAGACGAGGGTGGAAGGCATCTAAATAGGGACTGGCCGATCCCAACTTCTCAACCACGAAATGGGGCTCGTCAAGTTATTCTTCTCTTGATTTTATGAACTTGTGCCAAAGAGGCTTTCATTATCTGTCTCCTAACATTGGTTTCTTGGTATTTACAGCGCACGATACACGGCGCCAATCTCCTCCATCCCTCACAGCGTTCGAATTTTCAATCAAAGGCACTGAGAATACCACTGGTTCTGCTGCTTACATGTTGATCCAGAAGCACAAGCTGTTGGGCCAGTCCATCCACTGCCACCACATTGTCCGTAAATTGTCTGGGTCGCACCAGACGCAACACTTGTAGTTGTCACTGTTGCCGAAGTGGTGGAGCTGCTCTGCGACGTGGTCGAAGACGACGAAGACGAAGAAGAGCCAGAACCGCCAGAACCGCCAGAAGTCAACCCTACTGGGGTAGTGTCAGTTTCAGTCTTTCCGTAACAGACACAAGTCTCCCAGTCTGTGGTCGCTTGACCCGGGCAATCAATGGGCTCGAAATCAACCACAACGTTGTCACCGAAAATCTCATTCTGGGCCATGATATCGAAATGGTAGCTGTACCCATATTGATTTGTTGAACCAACATTGGGGCACCATTGTTGATTGCCATTGTAGGGGCACAGATTGGTCACCATCACAATGATGCTCTGGCCAGCAGCTCCACCGGTTCCGCAATTGGTGCACGGGGGCTCGCCCGTGGAAGTCAGTTTGTAGCATTTACCGCAGCCAGCACCACACCAGGAAGCGCCGGCGGTATCGAAGAATGCCTGGGAGCCGGCCGCTGTGTAGACGCCGTTGGAGATTCCGAGCTAGAGTTTTTCCAAGATCAGTGAATGCTTTTATCAAATTGAACCGAAGAGGCCCTTCTTTGGTGGTGGTGGTTGGGTTGTTTACCTGCCAGGAGAAAAGACCAGAGCTGGAACCGCAGCCGCAGGCACCCTCCTGGCCATCATAGTACCTCTGTGGGAGATTTTTATTAGCTTGAAACTGCTCTGGTGGGCAGTAATGGCCTTTAAAAAGGGCATGTAAATGAACCTACTGTGGTGGTGGCCTTGTATGCAGCCACCAAGGCAATGAGATGAAGAACGAGGAATGCAAATGTGCCCTTCATGATCCTCTTGGAATCTGATCATGAAGATATATTTTTCTATTTAAATGCACCCGGGGGAGGGATATGAGGTGAGTATTATATACACTACAGGTGCTAGCCTCAGTAACTGGTTTAATATCTACAAGCCGATTCAGGCTGTCGAATCCCTGGTGCCTGTAGTCGGGCCGCCGGTCCGTAATAGTTCTCTCTTATAAAGGAGCGGGGTTCGCAGTCTACAATCAGAAATTAATCTGTGGTCCTGATATTTAGTCGTGTTATTGACTACGTTTCAGGAACGTTTGTAGAATTAGACGGGCTTTTTTTTTGCAACGGCCTAGTACCCGAACAGTGGCTTACCCTGGTTACCCCGGTAAAACTCACTCGCTTCGTCAAGAACCTTCATGTCTTAGCGTCGGCAAAGATCATTTTTGTGACGGGCCAGTGCCCGAGAATGCGGGGCTGAAAGGCTGAAAGGCTGAAACAAAAAAAGCTTTGGCGGAGAAAGTCAATTTCACAACCTTCATCCTACGGGTTTGAGGGCCTCTGTAGCTCTGCGTAACTGCATACATTCATTCTTGAGATATTGGTTGAGGTTAATTATTGTTGGGAGTCAGTTCATTCTATGGTAAGCCTAGGGTTTCATGAAGCGCAATGCAAATGGTTTAATATTGTTATTGGGTGGGTGTAGATAGTAAACTAGTTGACGTGGCTCCTTAATGTGACCTGCCAGCAAAGTGACATAATGGCCATGGGCCGGCGGGTTCAAGAATTCCAAATCAGTCGATGAACAGCGTGAATTTACTATGAAAATATCGACAAAAATAAGCAGAAGCCGAAGGCTTCATGTCAACTCATTCCCGATCACGCTAGATACACCATCTACAAGCACTGGGAGTACCAAGGATTCTGCGTCTGGCATGTAGTTCCGGACGCGCAAGCGGTCGGGCCAGTCCAGCCCTGTCCTCCACACTGACCCCAGTGAGTCTGAGTTGCTCCGGCTGCTGTGGTGGTTGTGGCCTTGGTGGTTGTGGTCTTGGTGGTTGTGGTGCTGGTTGCTTTGGTGGTTGTGGTGCTGGTAACCTTGGAAGTGATCGAGCTAGAGCTAGAGCTAGAGCCTCCAGGGTTGGTGAAAGTCGAGCCAATATCTCCCCAACGGATATTGGAAAATACAACGTGAGTTGTAGGGTTTTGTGCGAGGATATTGGCAGGGTTGCCTGCAGTGCTGCTGCATGGGCCGCTGCTTCCACTGTCGAGCCAATTCATGAACCCGCTGTTATCGTTCCAGATGCTGAAGATCAAGACCATTCCCCGGCCGAGCGCCTGGCCCATGGTGGTCAAGCCGCCGAAAGTGGCCGCAGAACTATCAGAAGACTCGCACCACGATTGAGTGATAGAATCCAGACCGGAGGAAGATTTCGCGTTCGCAATGACCTTGCCGTTCTGGATGTACTGTCGTCGGATCTCAGTCAGGGTACCGGTCTTAGTGCCATCGTTCGTGATGAACTGGGTAGTGATGGTGAACGGCTTAGAAGTGTCGACGGTACCACCCGGCGCCCAGTAGTTGGGCAGACCCTGTGCGTAAGGGTTGAAACCACAGCCGCCCTTGTCGCAGTCGGTGGCGCTGCAGGGATGGGGAGTGTAGGAGTTGGCCATGGAGTTCGCCTCGAGGATATCCATCTCATTACAGCAGTATCCCTGGTTACTGGTGTTCAGCGTGCCATTCTTCCAGGTTTGGACCGGGCATTGTGCATCGCAGTATCCCGAGCCATACTTAGCGCCACCTGTGTTATATTCATTCCTTCCGCCGGTGGCACTCATCTCGGAGAGGTAAAGAGCACCATTCTCACCGCAGGGCAGAGTAGACATATCGACGTCGAAGCTCAATTCACCACCGAGGAGCTGCATCATCACGTAGTCCCCATCCGAACCGAGGAGGTAAAGTCGTGGAGAAGCATTGCTGTATGCACCATTGCTCTGAACGTACTGGTTCAGGGTCAGCGTGCCCCCAGACGCAGTCACACCAGCGGAGGTATAGTTGGCTGCTTCAATGACACAGTTCTTGGCACAGGTTGCTTCATCGGGGCACAGGGTTGTGTTGACACCAGAGGAAGTCGTGCATGATTGATCGCCGCCAACGGTGTGGATCCATCGGTATCCCCAGTCCAAGACGACCGAAGTGTCCTGCGCAACACACCCGCCGGCTGTGGAGCACTTCCAGGTGGTGAGTGGAAGATTTCCAGGATCTGATGTGGCTGGCTGTTGCGCTTGGATGAGAGGCAAAAGGGCCAACCCGACCGCGGCAATGCTCATCCTGGTGGACGACATGATGTTCACTGGTAATTGAGCAAAATGAGAAACTTGCAGCCCGTGCAATACTCGAGCAGCGGCCACAGGGGTATTTATACGGACATCATCCCGTCGGCCCTGTGGTCGTGGATGGGGTCGGTAGAGAGTCCCCGAAAGGATGCGCTCTTCTTCAACGCATAGTGCCAACGGTTTACGCCAGGGGCAATCCCAAAAGAGCCCGGGGAGTTTTGGCCATCGTGTTGAAGAAACTCGGCTGTAACCATCTGACGGGCCGCTGCTCCGAATCTGGGATAGGCTCAAGCATTGCAGTCAATAATTGCCGGTGAAGAAGCCAAGTCCCCGTACCCCGCATCTCATCCCGGCTGGACCCCTGGCGGTCGAATCTCCGTGTCTGGGAAAACAACGATGGCCATGAAGGATTTACTCCTTGGGGTTAAGCGGGGTGGCTTCATCACCTGTATTCACCCGCAACCGAGGAGTCGCTAGACCCTGCATTTCGATGAAAGTTCCGCCAGACCATACAGAAGCAGTGGAAGGGCAGGGATTATTGATCTCCTAGGATCTTTTGTCCCTGAAACAGAAGCCGGTGGAGAAAAATGTCGGCCATGCCCTTCGTAACACGGACCAATCTGCCGGTAGATGGGTTCAAACAGGCTATACAAAACACAATCAACAGAGAATCTTCACGTGATGGCAAACGATGCGGATCGACCAGTCACATGACCCAGAACTGGGTAAACAAACCAAACTAGGCAACTTGAGGTCACGAATGTTAGAACTTAGAAACCTGTTTCTTTTCTGTCCTTTTTTTTCCCTTCGTTTTTTCTGTTGGGATCAAGTTAAAATAGGCGATGCAGTGGTTTCTGAGCCAGTAGAAACAAAACTTCGGCAACATGTCCCCTGCGACTTTCAAAAATATACTACAACCAAAGCGAGCTGTACCGATGTTTTTTGCCCTATCCCTCATCCATGTATCTGTTTGCTTGCTATAGCTGTGGCAATCCTGGAGTTTCAAGGATTGAAACATTTCCCCCTACATCTCTAATAACCTTTTCTGATCATCGCATACTGCAGATGTCAGTTCCAGAAGGGTTGGCCAGATACGGCTAATACAATAAAGTTCAATGTACCCTACAGAATGCGTTGAATGGTTGATTTGGGGCCTGGGGCTCCGATTATTTTCTCGATCTCAATATTCAAAGACAGAAACGCCGAGTCGTGCTAGTTACTTTGTCGTTACACTACGTGGTGTCGAGTTATGTCCTCGCGTATTTCTATAGATGAGAAGCTGAATTCAGCATGGGCTAGTTAGATGCGATGCAGTCCCGGGGCTTACGTACTCGATCGTCCAAAGTAGCTCGACTAGGACGAGAATAAATTTTAGCAGCGATTCAAGATTATCAACGCACTATTTTCATTTCTAGGAATAATCGTTTTTTCATGCCGTCTTTTTTTTCGCCCTTGAAATTCTCTTTTCGTACTATTTTGCCAGTTTTGGAAGCATCGGCCCCGGAAACACGGAAAACACAGCGGATCCAAGGTTTTCAAGGACAGGTTGTTCAGGCATCTAAGACTAGCAACATCTGAGCTGCACTGAGAGCCACAAATCCAGCTTCAAAAATTCATGTTGCAACGCTCCAAGTTGTTTGAATAGAGCGCTGTTGCCGTTCGAGGAAGAGTTCCTCATCTCTTTGCGAGTCGGACATCTGAAGACTGTTCAAGTCATTTTTGATGCCGGTGAGACATGAACAAGTATATTGAATCCACTGGTACCCTTCTAGCCTCTACCGTGCGGCATAACTACCAGATTCTTGTTGAAGTCGATTCGTGACTCAGAATTAATCAAAAATTGGGATTTATGGCCACTAGTAAGTCTTAATAGGTGTTCCCGTGCTGTACAACCAGGACCTCAAGAGACACTACATATTGCTGCCATTCACAGTGACCTAGACCGAGTGCAGCTGGTGCTCGAACTTGGGGTCAACATCAAAAAAATACCATTTATTTCCATCATTCCTGTTGCCATCATGAGTGTACCCCTGCTCTTTGGGCAATCACCTAGTCATTTAGATGCGTTAATGTTGTTTTCGGAACACAATTCGACCCGGAGTCTGTCGGGTGGGGAACTGTTGAGGGACAGCGTTTGACTGAACGCATAGCCAACTTCTCTCGCTATAATCAGAATCGTGTCAGCTTTATCAATAAATTATACTTTAATAGCAACATTCCTCTTGTGGAAACTTCGGATCTTTTGCCCCTTTGGCTGTTCATGCCTAGCTATCTAACTATTCACTGATACCTCCGCGAGTTCCAACCGCGTACCCAAACACGAGGTCCAAACCGTCAATAATTACTCCAGGACAATAAAAAAGCTTGGCCCTGGTAGCAGAGCTTGGCACAAGGAGCAGCACCCCACTACACGAAAAGTATCAAGGGCAGCCTGCTAGGAGACTTGAAGAATTTGGATTCAAGTGCGTTTCCGCGTTTAATACATCTATACGAATTTAAAGCCCTCTCGATACTATGCACATCTATCCACTGTTCTGATCTAACTAGCATCTGAGGCATATCACGATGGATACGCTCTATAGCGAGCAAGGGCGTATCCGGTTCTGGCTAGCGTCCTTAGACACACTCAGCCTTCAGGCTAACAAGGGTCACATCTGCCTCAAAGCACTGCTTCTCGCCATCCACAGAAAAGGTTCCGAACAGACTCGAATCATCGCAACCGGAAGCTGTGTAAGTGTTGAGAACGGTGGATGTACCGTCGGCACAAGACCCAGCTTCGACGTAAGCACTGAAGGACTTGATGGGGAAGTTCTCGACGTTGATGCATGATCCAGCGTAGGCGTTTGCGGCATCCACGCTAGGAGCGGTACAGTTGGTGTAGAAGTATCCAGCGTAGCCAACAGTGGGATTCGCAGCTGCGACGACTGCAAGGGCAGAGAGAACGCTCACGATCTTTATTATATTGGGATTAATATTGGTCTCTTTATACCAGGCTGTGACAAAGCTCGTCTTTCATACCTTGTTCATCATCTTGAATAAAAAAGAACGGCTGTATGACCAGTATGTTTGTGGTGTGGCTTGGAATTGTTGATGAACTATTCAATCATCTCGCAGCCAGGTTGCCGCCTTTTATGCTTTTCTGATAATCTCAATTGTTCCGTAATCAGATCAAACAGCAAACCCCTCATTCCCCACTGAGTTCTCGCAGCTGACACGTATTGGATGCTATCTAAGCCGAATTGGAGATAGTCTATCGTCGTGACCATCTAGCTGCATGAAACAATTACGTATGCTGCAAGCTACCCACCCTCCCTCCTGCATGAGTAAGGGATTTCCAATCCACCGGTATCCGTTCCGACCAGCCCGTTGAAGATAGGCTTTAGATTTCTCTCGTCAACTTGTTCCACTGACGGATGTAGATGGAGCCCGCATATTTTTGATCACAACAAGAGTCACCGCACGATATCACAGCTAGGAAATGATCTCTTGAACAGTGGAGAAGGTGTAGATATAGGAGTGTAATGTTACGTAGTTAGGATATATCCAACGGCCCGGGGTGATATGCCTTTGGCTGATATTATTCTATGGACGGATTCCGATGTCTTGTTCAGGGATTGAACTACCAGGAGCCAAGCGTATCCTTACAGCAAACTGATGACAGCTTAGTCTTGCCCATTGCGCAGCCTAATGTAACTTCATGCAGAGTCATTATAGCCCAACTACAAGTACGCTTCTCACAGTGCTAAGCCCTCACTTTAACCTGGATCAATTCTGGTCTCCTGCAAAGTGCCTGCAGAGCGATACTTTATACTAAGGAGCCTTAGCTTTGATTCTAGCTAGATTAGGGATTTGTATGTCCTCTGGAGCTCCGCTGATTGGATAATACAGACAGTGGATTGCTGCCCTGCCAAGACAGTCAGCACTGTCTTGGCAGACGCGTAGCCATTGTCTTAGATCGGTCTATGAAAGACAGACCCTTGGACATGAGGGTCCGGGGAGTCAGAGTAAATGCGTGTCTTGTAAATCCCGAGGGGGCAGGGAACACAACCAGTGTAGTTTGGGGTATCCACCAATCTATGGAAAACAGGAGACCAGATATAAAAAGAATATTAAAATCCGTGAGCGACAGCTGGGAGCTCAAATAAGCTCTTGCTCCCATGCTAGTGCTGTCGGCAAATTGGCGGGAACGGACTTACCCGAACATTTTTCGCAAGGGAATCTGGAATCATTTTTACTCTACAAAACATTGCTTGACCAAGCACATTAATTGCACCCTTGTTTCTCACTAAAAGTCGCTACAACTTCGCAAGAGCAACACGCGAAGCTACTAGCTTACCGACCCACAGGTAAGCCGACTGGGTGTTCTTTGGCGTAGGCCGTGAATTTCATCAAGTATAAGATTCCAGCTCATATTGTAGTAAGCATTACGACCTTAATTCAGTCCAATGAGAGATCCACCTTCCATATACGGTATCAGAGTGAATGGTGGGGCGGGGATCGGAGCGAATCATTTTTCCGCAACAGGGACTCGGTAAGTGTACCACTGCTTGTCGGACTCTTCCACGCAAGGTCATGCATGATTGGTAAATTATTGTCATGCATTCAATTCAATTTTGCAACATAGACGTTTTCCCCGATACAGGCCGTGCAACCACGGATAGAGAAGTGCGCGTGTGTCCCAGCATAGAAGTAACTGTCTTCGGCTCCTGGCGCGACACACAAGAATGGGAGCAACCAGGCGGGACGGTAGAAAGTATGTAGACTTACCCTCACATATGATTGCCTAACTCGAAATAATGTATCGACACTGATGATCAAGCTCCGGCTCCGGCTCTCCGCACGGGACAAGTCAAAGGTCATAGATATAACCCCATAGGGCCTTGTGCGAATGTAGTACACAACGGCTGTCTTTTCATCAGATAGGAGGCAGTCGATTGGCTCAGGTAGTTATGCCCCAGAGCTGAACCTCAGCCGGGTTTATCCCTTTGCATTAAATAATTTTCTGTCTAAAGCATCAGGGCTTACGTAGAGTGAAGGCCTCTGTGCCTGCCAACGAAGCTTTCTGGTTGTACTTCCGAACCAGACTAGTGATTTAAGCTCAGCTTCTTTTTCTGGATCAGAAAATTCCGTTTCAACTTCCAACCATAACAGTAAAATGCTAGACGCACTAAAATTCTTCAATTGATTTTCACCTCCATATGATTTTAGTAGAGCACTAATACTTCTCAGTTTTGATGAAACTAGTCCTAGTGGTTATGAATTTGGTGCGAATGTATGGCGAACCAGCGATAGCTGTCATAATATCAACTTCAAGGGTAATCTTGACTCCGGGCACGGCGACTGGTGTGGCTCTCTCTCTTGTGATAGTACAGCCTAAAAATGAAGAATGAGATCAAGGTTGGAGACATAAGAAAAGCTATGGTAAATATTTTATGATGGAGCCTCATAAACGTTCCGTTGTCCCACTTGATGTTTGCGTTCACTAATCCATTCCTAATCAGCCTCCTCCATGATCAAGACTGGATGCCTGCCCTCAACCCTGAGTGTCTCTCCGCCAACTTCGAGACCCATCCTCCATTCTAGCTGGTATTCTCGTTTGATATTGTATGTGATGAATGTCGGGACTTCAGAAAACCGGAATTGGTCGTGCTTGAGTTTTAGACCGAGCACCTCTCCTATATTTAGGGGACTCGAGTTGTCGTCAATCGTCAAGGCCAAAGGAGTGCCATCAGTTGACAGATAGTTGTTCAAAGGAGATTCTTTAGACCGGACTTCAGATTGAAATTGATCATTATCCATCTGCTTTTTGTTCTTCGGCTTTGGATATTCTGCCAAAACTGTCGATCTCTTGAAGTGGTTCTCGCGCACAACTTCAGCCGCCCCTATAGCGCCCGTATCAAAGGCTATAGTACTTGTTATCGATCTTATAACAAGAACAAAATTTTTTATCCTGGTAATCTGGGGAAAGTTCACAATGGCCTTGCTCGTATCCGACCATTGTGGTATTGCTCGTATCTCTAGTGCAATAGAGTAAGGACTGTCTTTTTGAAGAACCGAAGCTATCCTGGTTTCCAGGCAAAATGTAAGACGAGGAGCTCCAGAGACGCCTAGGATCTTGGCGATCTGTTGTTTTGTGGAAATTTTCGCATTTTCCATACCAGGAGTGAGACGAGTAGAAGTGACCGTATAAGATTTTCGGGAGATTAAATTGAAGTCGAAATCAGTTATCGGGAAAGGGGATGATTCACATCGAATTTGAACTGGAAACCGAGCGATGACGATCTTAGAGGTGTCGGAATTCGTCATTGTAGCCTCTAAATAGTACTCAACAACTGCAAAGGTGGGACACTTTCCAGTAGTAGTATTTTTAAAGTCAAATGACGGTGGAAGCGCATGTATGTTGGCGTAGGATAGGGGTAGGTATGATGCCTTCCCGAATGGATGCGATCTCAGAATGATTGGATCAGGATGCCTGGGTATATCGATTTCAAAACGCCACTTCCTTTCGTCTGGATAGGATCTTTGGATGTGTAGAGCGCCTTTAAAAATTTGATTTCCATCCTGAGAGAACAGGTCCAGGCTGCTAGAACATGAGGCATAATCGCTGCAGAAGAACTTGGTGCTGCACCTTCCGTGAAGAGAGATCCTGATTCTTGTTTCAGTGTCAACCCAGGGCGAGATTCGTGACACATAGCCAGCGATTCTTTGGCCAGGGCGGAATGATTCAGCCAAGTCGAGGTGAATTGAAAGATCAGGACTGTCACAGGCCAAGGTTCTCGCCATTGCACCGCAACTGTTTTAATACAGTAGCCTGTCAGTCCCCGTGCTCCTGTGACTGGACTAATATATTGATGCTGGAGCAACTTGCCAAGGTTATGAATAGATCATTCAGACAGTAGAGTGAAGTAGGCGATGTAGAGGACTGCTTAATGAGCACTTAGGAGAAATGGTCAATCTTTATACTGGAAAAAGCTACGAGATGCACAGATTATGTACAGTGGGTTTTGAAAATTTTAAGCCCATTCAAAATAAATTCCGAGGTATCGGAGTTGATAGTCGCTAGGCATAATGGATGTGTAGTATTTTGAAACTCGGTAGGTAGGCATCTGTTGGAATAGCTACCTAGAATTCAATTAGGCCCGATCGGGGCTGAGGGTCGTTATTGATTGAAGTTAGTATGAAGTGGGCTTGAATGATTTTTTATTGAGTCGGAATAAATATGCAATTAGTCGGGATTAATATGCAGGAAGTCGGAATAGATATCATTAGGTTAGGACATGTATGTAGCCAATCATGAACATGGAAAACCTCGGAGTTATGTCACGTCAATTCCGCAGCCAACTAACTACTTTAGGTGATAGTCTGAGTTGATACCATCACATACGGGCGAACGCGTAGTCAGGTCAACTTCTCAGCACCACAATAAACTTTCCTATTACCAGGATATTCTCCTAAATCTATAGAATTGATTAAAGAGCCCGAAAATTCTCCGAGGTAATTTTGAAATCAATTTATTCTATCTTTATGTAGAGATATAAATAAAGTTTTCAATTACCTCGTTCACCACCGTGTTGGACGCTCGCCCGCGGACTTCCAATCTCTAGCAGTTTGTATCAACCCCACCTGCCTTTCTATCAGTATTTGAATCAAGTATTGTGTTCCAAATCACAAAGATCAGCCACATAGATGAAATATTAAGATAGTATAAAACGGGGCGAAGTACGCACTATACTTTGCTTTACTCGAAGTTATCCAAGTAGTTAGATCGAGGTCATACCAAAGGCATGGTGATCGTAAATGGATGAGACGCGACTTCTGTTTACCAACAAAACAAAATCACACCATACTGAATGATGGTCGAGTTTTGCAATTCGAGAGCATAATTACCTGTCTTGCTATGGTAACGGGTTTGAAAAGCCGTGTAGGTATGAAATGGCCTGTGAGCTTCCTTCTATTTCACAGTATCCAATCCAGGTCATCGGTGCTCTCCAGCCACAGCCTGAATGCATGATCTGGAGCTGACACAGGTGCACTCATCCCGTCATTCAAATCGTCTGTCATCGGATAGCCATCGGGTACAAATAAGTTGGGAAACGGATCGTTGTTGAAAACACTAACACCTAGCTGCTGTGTTGACATAGAGGAGTCATGGTTACGTCGATCTGCAGTATTCGGAGGACTCAGAATAGTATCAAGGACCCGAGAGATCAGCTTTCGGCCGCTTTCACAGAGTTCTCTGTCTCCAAAAGTTGAATCCAAATCGCTGAGATTAGCTGTGAATACACATAGATCTTGGATTGTCTTGCTCCGAGGCAGAAGCGGCTCGTTGGGATATGCTGGGAGCCGTTCCTGCTTAAGGAGTTCCATCGCTAGTATCACCGCGCTGCGCAGTCCATGTACTGCTAGGAAATAGATGAAAGATGTTGCTGCCAACATTTCCACGCGTTTATACAGTCGCATCACATTACTCAGAATTATCTGTGCCGTGTGAATTAGTCCAGCCGGACCGGTACCGGCTTTGCGCATGAGTACGCGGTGTAGGAGCAGGGAATTCGCCTGCGGACCTTGACGAAAGACATTTTGAAAGTGTAGCTCGATAACATTCTGCGTCTCGAGCCCGAGTGTGTCTCTTAAGTTCACCATCACTTGAGGAAGAGTTGCCCAATGTTCCTCTGTCTTGCATTGGATGATTTCTGCATTTTGCCGCACCTCATCTGGAGTAAAGTTTCCCAACGAGAGCTCCAGGATGTCTTCTCTTCTTTTCATGAAGCCGATAGAAGACCTTGTCCAAGACACATGGCGAATCTCTCCGTCTCGATTGTAACCCTGCTCGTCTAGTTTTGCAATAGCAATGGCTAGCACCTGTGGGTCCTCCGAAAATAAGTGCGAGTCTATCAGATCAAGTGGCGGATCTAAATTGATATAACGATACGAAAGTCGTGGTGGGCGACCTAGAAATGTGGCTATGCTGATCTCTGCCATGTAGATCATTGCTCGAAGTCGTTTGTGTAGCTCGGCGAGGAAAAACGGAACATGAGTATCGGCCTTAATCTCTTGGTGAAGCCCCATCGCAAGGAGGGCGCTGTTCAATTCTGCCCCGATACAGTATGTTGTGTAACAAGCTTCCCCCTTGGTATATTTAGTGATGTTGTAATACTCAAAAAGGGCGCAGATGAATGTATTATCCAAAGCACCACATTCACGGCAAAGTCCGATACAAACGTCAGATACTTCAGTCATATAGCTCAAGAGCGATTCTCGATCCACGTTAAACTCTTTGAAAAACGGATCGGATGAATTTGCCACCATAGCATAGGTCCCTATGTAGACAGCAATCATGGCGATCACTCCCCAGCGTATATTTTCCCCGGTGGCAGAGTAAATCCACTGTCTTGCCGTGGTTCTGCCATCAAAAGCTTGCGCCGTTGCAGTGTTATCACAGAGCAAATGACATAGCTCCCGTATCTGCTCAGGGTTCTGAGTTGACAATGTGTCGCCATGAGTGAACCACAATTGTGATAGCCATTGTCTCACAATGAACTCTCCACAGTGAATGTCGATACATTCAATAGACAGGAAAAACAAGTCGATGCCACGGTCTATCATTGCCCTATTCTGGAGAAAGGAGAGAACCTGGCAACCACGAGTTATTCTTTCCCACGAAATAAGTTTCTTGTTGACAGTGGTGTTCCATTCTAGGGAAGGAATGCCGAGTTGTGTTAAGTCCTCTGTCATAATAGATGCGTGTGAGGTAAAGCCAAGGAATCCAGGCTTGCCTGCCCAGGTCTCCGAGAAGTCAGATAATGGAGGTGCCGACCCTGCACGACGTGGCAGTGCAAACTTCGCTCGGTCATTGTAACCTTGTGAATTGAGAACAGCCTCTGTTTCATGGCCTCCATGAGGTTGTCCAATTGAAGAGCGAGAGACAGCGCTGCTTAGCCGTGGTGGCGTCAGGGCGCTGGATGCTGTCGCCGTGGTCGTGGTGGCTTCTTGCCGACACTTGTGAGACAGTCTACGTTAGCGGAACTTGCAAAAAGCTTTACTCCTCTACTTGGATAAAGTTGGAGAGTGTACTTGCTTACACGCGTAAGAGGATTTGGGTGATAGTAGCATTCGTCAACACACCGTCTTCTTATACATCTGCTGCAAGGAATACTGTGGTCGCACGCGACTTTCGACTTTCGACATGGTTCGCATGACTGCATCTTGTGATTTCGGCGGTATTTGGCAATAAGAACTCGATTCGTACGTTGTACTCTTATCGGCCGCCTGGTAGTCTCCATCTCGGCGGTACTGTACAAGCAGGAAGAAGAGGGGTAAGGGAAATAATATTGAGAAGGTGCTACAGAAGTAACATCAAAGGAGATCAGAGCATGAACCGAGAGGGAGCCTCAGAAACAAAGTTTCTTGTAGCTACATCAGGTGATGGAATTAATAATCGACATTCTCAGGGGACAATGGGACCTTCAGTTTAGTTTCAGGCCAGCTTTCAGCTTTCACCGCCTCACTCAACTCATCCCTCGTCACATGAACCCCTAGAAGGCTTAGTATGTGTCTTGCTCACGTGACTTCGATCTCGTCACCTATTGGGGCTATATAGTTCAGCCGAGAAATGCCTGGATCAACCCAATTCGCGTGGTGACTTGAAAAAGTTACCTTTCTAAATCACGTTTGGAGGTAGCGTGACTAGGGTCCACGCAGTAGATAGCGTCCTCGATCAGATGAGTGACTAAAGTATATATAATCTGATTATAGTCTTCTTCAGATATTTGGAGTGGACACCCATCAAACACAAGGTCCATTTCAGTTTGACTAGCCTTTGCTATATATTCTGTCCGGAGAACACGTAATTTGTGTGAGAAATTTCATGAGTTCCATCAAACTGCCAAACCAGTTCTCTCTGGAGCCCTCTCCATGAGCTTTACTACCTTCTCCTTCTCGTGCTTTGAAGCGTAGTCCAACATCTCATGAATAATTTATGGTCAGAACAGTGTGCGATTTATTAGTCCACTTGCAGGCTTTCAAGCTTCTACCTACAATTAGTCAGTGAACCAAAATGGGACACAGTGATCGTACTTCGCTGGAGATAAATTGCCAGAAGCAGGCAAAGAGCGAGAAGATAAAGCCCTGCAGAAAACGAAAAAAGAATCCAGGGAAATTTACCCATCCTGAAATAGACCCGCTCTATCTCAGAACTTAAGTGCCCTATGTAATTTCCCTTCCAGCATGTATGAGCTGTTATAGAATCATCAATACCTGAATTCAAAATGAAGATAATTACGGTACCTCGCCATAATAAGCTGCCCAGAAACAGGCATATACCACAGAGATAAAGAGCAGCTGCGAAAGCAGAAGCTCCTTTCTGCCCTCAACTTAAAGCCCCGTGTTTCCGTGAACACCACATTGCTCGTCCCCCAGCCACAAGGCATAGGATAGGAAAGAAGCTGGCTAGATCCATCATATCAATTAAACAGTAGTGGGTTCATAAGCGACAGATCCCGACCATGAACAGGTTCGCTCGTAAACGTATCCGTGAAGCGCACCGAGAGCCACAGCAAAATAAAATCAAATCTGCTGAATATCGCGCTCTTATGATATGAATACGAATTTTTCTGGGAGGTTCCAGTAGCTCGAAAGCCTCGTAAGTGAGTATCATAGAACCCTAGGTGGTAGCTTCCTAGCTCGAGTGTCCTTGTGTGAGAGTAAGTGGGTCTTACGCGTAAGCAAACTGTTTTCCAGCAACCGTAAGTTCCAAATGATCGAGGGAACTAGACAACCAAATTTCTGATACGTGTTAGTTCAATTTGAGCGAAATCAAAGTTGTGGAAATTGATGACTGAGACACGGACTTTACTAAATGTCATAGAAAGTGTAACGCAAGTTGATGGAGGAATACTAAACTCGCATTCATCCGGTTTTGAGCTGAAATATTTCAGGAGAAAACAATTAGTATAGCGAGGTGAGAAAAGCCTGTATACATGAACTGGTGCGTCAGAATATGCTACATTCCCTGAACAAGCTAAGTGACTACCCAGAAATTACGGTTGTCAGCTGAAATCCAACATGACAGCTTTGAAGCTCCTTCCGAGGGATGTTGTGGCTGTCCCTTGGTTTTACCTCAGATAAGTCAAACGAAAAGCTTCATACTTTCAGTTCATTATCATGGATGCCTATGGAATGGAGAACTATCATATGGTGATTCTCTTGTATCTACTGGCATGCCTATCCCAATACATCTCTGGAAGTGTCTGGAAAGGGTTCCTTGGATGAGCACAAAATGCATCGATAAAATCGAGAAATCTCTTCTCTTGCATTTCAGTATCTTTGCCTCTCATGATAACTTCAGAGCGCGGCTTGAAAGCATAGTCAGTCCTCTTTTATAGGTGGTACACAGAACAGCTCTCCTATTGGCGGTGAATTCACAGATGCCCGAATCGACCACCCCGTCTCGATGAGATTCAATTTTGATTCCCCAGCCATTTTAATAATGAAAACCTCAGTCGTAATAGGGCTTTGTCATCGAGCTCCAATGATTAACTTAGACGTCTCTTTGAACATATAACTAGTCCCAATTATGCGGAGGTCAGCAAGAAAGACGGATATGATTGCTTAGCTTCATCTGTCAAGACACTATCAGCACACCACGTGGATGTTTCAGACCTTGTAGTGGAAGTATTGTACGCTGGCCGAGCAATATATTCATGTTAATTGGTACGCGTCATAGTGAAATTTCACGGAACGGATTATTTCCGCTGCCGGTGGACATGGGAGATGCCTCACATTTTGTTACTGCCTTGTCGACAGTATTGGGTACATTTCATGTCTGTACTAAATAGATGCGATCCATGAATTACTGAGAGTATAGGGCTCATAAACTCCTGTATAGCAATTGCTACCTCTTTCATATTCAGGCTTTGCGCGTTCTTCAGCCCCGATTCCTCGAAGTACTGACTCCACGCCGCAGCAGCGGTCAAGTTTTTGAATGGCCGAGCCGGGACAGTGAAACAGGGGATTTCCGGAAGCCACAGCTTTCGAAATCCTGCCATCATATACAGAGAGGATAACTATTGGTGGAGAATTACGGGCTAGGCATTATTGGTCCATCAACTTGGGTCTCAGGGGCAGTCAACACTTAAGAGGCACTCTCGTCACCTCGTGGACTCATCTCGGCCCGGCGTTAGAGGTTAATGGAGCCTCGCCCCACAGCAACTGGCCTATTCAGCGGTTCTTCGTGGTCGGCCCGTACAACGTACTGTTAACTGTACTTGATAGCCCTGTAATCTTATATGGAAATGACTCGAAAGATCCTCTCGGGCTGAACCTCGGAGATCTGATTGGCGGGAGAACCTCCTCTTGGGTCATTCTGTCGATCCACTCAAAGCTTCGCATAGCTTGTCTCCTTGGTCAATATCTATAACCAACTAGTTTATGTTATTTCGTGCTCCTAGTCGGCAAGCCGACCGGTATAAAAGACCGCAGCCCAGCTAACAACGGAATCTGCTGTTTGTGTTCAACCGTTCCTCTCGTTTCTCAATCTCCCTTTCTGTTGACCAGAATCGGCTCGTTCTATTCCATCATTTGAATCAAGTCTTTCGTTGTATTTCCTCTGACTATTCAATCTCTTTGTATTCTGTTAAATAGAACAATCTATCCATCGCATCATGCCTTCCTATCTTCGGCATTTGGTCTGGGCTACCCTGGCTGCCGGCCTGGTGTCTGCGGCTCCCACCCCCTCGCGTGTTTCGGATCTGACCAAGAAGTCGTCCTCCACCTGCACCTTTACCTCGGCTGCTAGTGCCAGTGCCAGCAAGTCCTCCTGCTCCACCATTGTTCTCAGTGACATTGAGGTGCCTGCAGGTAAAACACTCGATCTGACGGACCTGAAGGACGGAACCAAGGTACGGCCCCGAGGGTCAACCCCGAACATCTATCCCCCACATCTCATCAAATCCTGTGGTGTGAATCCATTTCTAATGGTGCAAATAGGTCATCTTCGAAGGCACCACTACGTTCGGTTACAAAGAGTGGAGCGGTCCTCTCATCAAGATCTCTGGATCCGATATCACCGTCGAGGCTGCCGATGGCGCTGTAATCAACGCTGACGGCTCTCGGTGGTGGGATGGAGAAGGCACCAATGGTGGCAAGACCAAGCCCAAGTTCTTCTATGCCCACTCGTTGGACGACTCGACCATCTCGGGCCTCTCGATCAAGAACACCCCCGTGCAGGCTTTCAGCATCCAGTCCGATAATCTCATTATTGATGGGGTTACTATTGACAATTCGGACGGTGACGATAATGGCGGCCACAACACCGACGGTTTCGATATTAGCGAGTCCACGGGCGTTACCATCAAGAACGCGGTTGTCAAGAACCAGGATGACTGCATTGCGATCAACTCCGGCGAGGTACGTCTGATTAATAAACTGCATGCGAAGGGAATGTGGTGCTAACGAAGTGCAACAGAACATCTACTTCACGGGAGGTACCTGCTCTGGTGGCCATGGTCTCTCGATTGGCTCCGTCGGTGGACGTGATGATAACACCGTGAAGAACGTAACTATCACCGATTCCACCGTGACCGATTCAGCCAACGGAGTTCGCATCAAGACCGTTTACGATGCCACTGGCTCCGTTAGCGACGTGACTTTCTCCGACATCACGATCTCTGGTATCACCGACTACGGTATTGTGATTGAGCAGGACTATGAGAACGGCTCTCCGACTGGCACTCCCACCAGCGGTGTTCCCATCACAGATTTGACCGTCAAGGGAATCACTGGCTCAGTGGAATCCGACGCAGTTGAGGTGTATATCCTCTGTGGTGAAGATGCCTGCAGCGACTGGACCTGGAGCGGCGTGGACATCACCAGTGGAAAGACCAGCAGCAAGTGCGAGAATGTCCCCTCTGGCGCGTCGTGCTAAACAAGAAACACGGGCGATAGCGAGGAACACAACGTGTTGCGCGGATTTCCTGGCGCAATTCTCCTTTAGATATTTGATAGGGTCTAAATTAGGTCAATAATAATTCTTCGTGATCGTACTGTGATTTTTCCCGCCTCCCGGAAGACCCCCTGGGGTGTAAACCACTCTGGGGAAACGCATAAGGAACCTGTATTCCCGAGAGAACCAGATCGCCAGACTTAGGTGAGATCAAGTAAACTCCCATGGATGGCCGATCGATCGACGGCAAGTCAAGCTTGTTTTCACACTAGCGATTTGGGTTTGGGGAACGACGGGGCTGGATGGTTGGTCCCTGAGCTGGTGATTGGCTCATCGTGTGGAATGCTTGGACGTGACATCACCAACACGATCGATAATAACGAACGCATCTGATCAAGATTTAGCCAGGGATATTGCCCGATAGTTATGTGGCCGATCTGCCCAAAGTTTGACACTTTTCTTCTTCTCAACTGGAGAAGATGTCGAAAATTTCCAGCAATTTCAAAACACCGTCCATCGCTTCCGAATACAAGATGCCGGGCGATCGCAACAGGAAGGTTGCCATTATTGGAGCCGGCGCAGCTGGCATGGTATGATATTCCCTTGTGTCAGCGACAGATGATGAATTTGATCAGTTATTGACGCTGGATGTTTGCAGTCTTGTGCCGCGACTTTGGCGAACCACCCGGACAAGTTCCATGTGACTATGATTGACACCGACTCTCACACGGGTGGGCAGGCGACATCAGTTTCCCTAGATGAGGAGAAACATGGCGCAAGCTGGCTGAACGACGGAGTTCAAGGCGGCTCTGCCATCTTTCGCCATACATTTCGATTCTTTCGCCGCTACGGCTATGAGCCACAGCAAGTCAAGCTTCAGGTTTCGTTCGGCAAAGGACGAGACAACTTCTGGACAAATGTATTTCCCAGTCCTCTGGTTGATCAGCATTCTCGAGAAATTAAGAAACTCGGTCGGGTTTTGAAATGCATCAAATATCTGATGCCGATCCTCGGTATCATGCCGGTTAAGGTCATCCTTCGCCTTTTTCGCTTCAGCGATGACTTTAACAATAAGATGGTTTTGCCACTTCTAGCACTGTTCCTTGGTACAGGAAACCAGACCCCGAATGTATCGAGCGTCTTGTTGGAGCGCTTGTTTGACGATCCTCAAATGAAATTGTGGGAGTATGACCCCGACACGCTGTTGCCAAATCTTCCCGAGATGTACACCTTCCCCAACCTAGGGAATTTCTATCGAGATTGGGCAAAAGATCTCACAGCAAAAGGGGTGGATATACGACTGAACTCCTCCGTCGCGATTCTGAAACGAGGCAAAGAAGGGGTAGTTCTGCAAATCGAACGACACAGCGGCGATGGAGACCAAGCAGAATCAGCATATCCCCCCGAGACATTTGATGAGCTTGTTCTTTGCTGTCCAGCAGACGAGGCCAAAAAGATGCTCGATCGAAATGCCACCTGGCGTGAAAAATATGTTCTTGGCGGCGTGAGATTCTTCAATGATATCACCATCACCCACTCCGATTCGGATTATTTCCAGAAGATCTTTGAAGCTCAATACGACTCCGCACTGTGCGCGCTGGCCACAACAAAGGAACGAGCAGAGCAACTCGAATTTGCTGGACAGCAGCCCCGTTGTGAAAAAGATGGCTGGGTAGGGTTCCGACCAATGTACTTCACCCACTCATTTGAATCAGACCCAGATATGATTGAAATGGGCTTTGATTGCTCAAACTACCAGCATCAGTTCCGGGAGCGTCTCGGTGCAGGTAGCAAGCCTCGCCCTCTGAATGAGCATGTATTTCAGACGATCTTTTTGAACGATCAGCAGAAAGACATGTGGACATGGAACGACATCGATCCTTCGAAGATAATTGCCCGAAAATGGTGGCATCAATTTGGCCACCGATGGCAACATTACTTACGTGTCGTTCCGGGGATGATGTTCATCAATGGCAAGAATAAAACCCATTATGCGGGTAGCTGGACTATGGTGGTGAGTCTTACCAAGAAATGGTGAAATTGAATTTCGATACTAACAGTGTCTAGAATATGCACGAGATTGCCTGCATCTCCGGTATCGCTGCAGCTTATCAATTAGGTGCCGAGTATGACCCGTTTGACGATTTTGCCGAAGACTTCTTCGCCAAGTACCTACTTGTTTGTCATGGTACCCGCTACAAAAGAGGAAAGAATAAGCAGACTTGAGAGAAATATGGGGTTGTTAACATTCATAGCATATTCAGTCCACCTTAATTTATTTACAACACGTATCGGAAGCTTTCTATCTCTCCATCTGTCTTGTTGGACAGCTCTTCCTGTAATTCCTCAGCCTCGGTCAATTCCCGTGGCGATCCATACAGCTGGTCCCGGCGACGGTTCTCCCATACGTAATATACGTAGAGACAAATCAAAAAGAAGATTCCAAGGACCAGACCAGACATGGCGGCCTTGATACCAGTCTATCGAGTTGTTAGATATGTGGATCAACAGGGTCAAAGATAATATTAGAGTACTCACAGGATAGCCGGGCTTCTCCGAAGGAATGAAGAATTGGGGGCCCACAATGTTACCAATACAGTAAGCCACAAACATTAAGGCACTGACGGTACTCTTCTTGGTAAATCCGGCAACGTTCGAACTGATGAGACTCAGCGAGAGGGGAATGTTGGCGGCAAAGACTGCACCCAAGCAAAGACCAGTCATCCTACCCGCACGGTTGTGACTGTCAAGCTTCCAAATGAGGATCATTCCAATCACCGAGACGAATGCATTCAACATCATCATGAAGATTCGGCTTTGTTTAACATAGGTCGCAAAGCCAGAAGTCAAAAGCAGGAAAACAAGCTGAGCAGCACCGAGAGGCATCTGGATCAGAAGAGCCTTAAGGTTGGAGAAACCAAATCCAGCGATGATGATCGACGAGAAACTGGTGATACCTCCATTGCAGAAGTTGACACACAGAGTGTAAAGGACTAGGAACCAGGTCTGAGGATCCTTGATGGCCATCATGACTTGACTCCACCTGAATTTACCCGTGTCCATCACACCGGTCTTGTTTGTAAGGGTGCGCTGAACCGCAACGGATTTCTCCGTCTTGTTCAAGAACATAACCTTGACCGGCGAATCGGGAAGGAAGACAAAAAGAATCAATCCATAGCCAGAGGTGATAGCGCCCAGAACCAAGAAAAGTAGCTGCCAGCTGGTCACAGAGTTGTTATGGATCAGACCGATTCCATACGCAACCAGGCCACCAATCACTGATGCGATGGAGTTTCCAACGAACCAGGCTGCCTGACGAGCAGGCTGCTCCTCTCTCTTATAAAACATTCCAGTGATCAGGGCAAAGCCGGGGGCAATCGAAGCCTCTCCCACTCCGAGGAAGAATCGCGCTGCCATCAGGCCGCTAAAAGAGGTGCATGCAGCATGGCACATAAGAATACCACCCCAGAGGAAGACCGCGATACTCAAATATTTTCCGAGAGGCAGACGAACAACGAGGTAGGAACTCGGCCAACTCCAGGTGAAATATCCAAAATAGAAGACTGCCGACGCCCAGTTGTATTCTTTGCCCTTGAGATGCTAAGTATGGAAAATGTGCCATTAGAATCGATTGTAAAATCAGAGGAGCGTGGTAAAGGGGGGAAAGATACCAGGTCTTGTGTCAAATTGAATAATGTAGCTTGGCTAAGGGCCAGCTTATCCATATATTGAAGCATGTAACAGAATCCCATCAGGGGAATCAGACTAGAGTGCGACTGTGTAAGAAACTATCACACCGAATAGGAGCTTTGGAATCACATACTAGAGATCAAGTTTCCAGAGAACTTTCCGTTCCATCTCAGGAGTGGTATGCGTCTCCAAAACCTGGCCCAAGCCCACATCCCGAGGATCAAGATTAGATCGGACCTTGACCATATCGAGGTCAACATTACTACCCCCGGGAGGGGGCGCGTGTTCTTTTTCCATGTTGATAGCTTGACGGGAATAAGTGTGAAGAAATTGAGAAGCTGTCTGGGAGAGTGGATGCAACAGAGTGAGATATCAGGTTCTAGTATGAGAATGGTAACTAGTTATAATGAAATTGGTGAAATTGGTGAAATTGTTCCTCTGGACATCCTCGGGGGCGTTGTATTTAAACCTAACGATGAATATCGTCGTTTGGCAAAATGAACCCGGGGAGGACAGTAGGGGCTACTGCACCTCCTCCAAGCCACCGTGCGGATCCTTAGGAAGTCAAATCCGCGACTTGTTATCGATTATCGCCCCCAGGTTCGCGTAAATAGGGCATTAATGGTTGATGATTTCTTTAGTCAAGAGCGGAATCCGGGGGCGATAGTGCGCGCCTGCAGGGTGATCGGATCGTGTGTCAGCGGTTGATAATATCGGCAATGGAGCAGTGGCGCAGGATTGCGGTTGATTCTAGATGCCAACACCGCATGCTATACGCCGTGAAGGAGAAGGTAAAATTCTTGGCCTAAGTGTGTCAGTATCAACGTTGCTAACGCGGGATCCGAGATTAGAGTCTCAGCATCGGCAGTCTAGCCAATGTGGACGGTCCGTCGGCAATCAGCCCCAGTTTCTCTATTTGCCCCCTATCGGCAAATATCCACTTGGCAGCCATCAACCACATATCAGTCGCCGTTCAAAAACAGTGGATGCGCGAGGGACCCAAAGCAATTGACCAAACATGATTAGCAACTGCCTCATATTCACGGGCTCACACCGTGTTCTCTTCTCAGTATCCTCTCTACCCTTCTACCCCACAGATCCCAATTCCTGGGGGACATGACCCACCATGCTCTCTGATACTGTATTCGTCGACTTGTACTTTGCCGACGACGCTTGGAAATCAATCTGCTCGCCAAACCGGGAAACTCAAGCTCGAATTCCGCTATCTATCGGCAAACCTCCGACTGAAAGATCCAGGGTCTTTCTTATCCCCCCGCTATGAGGCGAATTAGATAGGATACCTCGGATGTGACGCAGTGGGAACCCCTCCCTGTCGCCATTAAATATGGACAGGTCTCCGCTGAGGGGCTTGAAAGCCTTGTTGCATCTGTATTTTCTCATTTTCGGTCTTTGAAAATCAACATGACTGTCACAAGTGTAGGCATGGAGGAGGTTCGAGCGGCCGTTAACGTTGCTCTGGATGAGCTACGAGAATCGCTACGAAAGGTGAACCAGGAGGTATGTGAAAAGTGACTTGCTCAAATCGTTGATTTCTACTCGAGAAATTCAATCTCAGCAGATCACTAACAGACGCTTTTCGGGGCAACTTATAGATCTGGTCAAACCCCGAGCTTGCGTACGAAGAGCACCATGCCCACGATACCATCTGCACATTTCTCGAAAAACAGGGATTCACAGTTACTCGCCATGCATATGGCCTTGGTACCTCTTTTGAAGCATTGAGTGGATCCGGTGGTCGCCAGATCAATTTCAATGCGGAGTATGATGCCTTGCCAGGTACACCACGCCGCCAGCAGTCCACTTTTCCCCTGTGCTAAGAATATCGACTAGGTATTGGACATGCCTGCGGACATAACCTCATTGCCACTAGCAGTATTGTTGCCTTCCTGGCTCTGTCATTTGCCTTGAAGAAGTTTGGCATTCCCGGGCGAGCACAATTGCTGGGCACTCCCGCGGAGGAGAATGGCGGCGGCAAGGCCGTGCTTATTGATGCAGGAGCCTACAAAAATGTCGACATCTCCCTTATGGCGTATGATCTACCACTCCTCTGACTTGCTGATAATTGAATGGTTTCTAATCATGCTAACCCGATTTTTAGTCACTCTGGGCCAAAGAAGCTGTTCCCCGACCAAGAGCCGTCCGACGGAATTGCGGGCACTTTGATGAATGCACGCAAGAACATCCATTGCGAATTCAGCGGCAAGAGTGCTCATGCTGGAGGTAACCCTTGGGATGGTATCAATGCGCTGGATGCCCTGGTCACATCGTATAACAACGTTGCGGTTTTGCGCCAGCAGCTGTTGCCTGAGCAGCGTGTTCATTGTGCCTTTATGGATACTCCCAAGGTCGCCAACGTCATCCCTTCACATACCAAGGCATTCTGGCAGGTTCGAAGCCCCTCTCTTAAGGGACTCAACAACCTGGTTACCAAAGTGCGCAATTGTATTGAGGCGGGTGCTCTGGCGACCGGATGCTCCGTGGAGATCAAAGAGTAAGTTCATTATCATCTGTGGTCAAGAACTTTGCAGACCACTAATCAAACTTGTTAGGGAGGAGCTCTATACCGATGTGCGGCTCAATGATATCCTGTGTGAACGGTATCAAGTTCATATGGGGGAGTGGGGCCGTAAGGTGCTCAAGAGACATGACAAAGTGTTGACTGCGTCTTCTGATATTGGTATGTGTTTCTTCGAGGTGTTGTATACAAGAGATATACCAGAATTGGGATGAGCTAGTACTGATATTCTGATTACTATTCAGGAAACGTCAGCTACGTCACACCTACCTTGCATACTATGTTCGGAATCCCCACGCCCGAAAACACATTCCCCCATCATCCCACATATACTGCCTGTGCTGGCACCGATGAGGCACATGAAGAGGCATTGATTGTGGGCAAGGCACTGGCGATGATTGGATGGGATATGATCACGAATGATACCTTGTTCGAGACGGCGCATCAGCAGTGGAAAAAGGAGATTGAGCGTGATGATTGAGGATGATTATACCCTTCTCTCAAAATTATGAATGTATATACACCTTTCCGATATGGATCATATGCCGTATACCCAGTACTATGGCTGACCGAGGTTGGAACTGTCAATTCCAAATATAATTTTCTTTGATATAATCTCTCTATAGTTACATCTCTTGTTAGTTATAAGTTAGTCATGACTCAAGTTAACTATTTCTGCCTCAGGCTCCCTACAACGGCTCAACTTCGGCAAAGAGCGGGTTTCCGATTTCCGTGGTTTCCCCCGCGTTATCGGCCATATCACCATCAACCCACGGCCCGCACGACTCTTCTTCTCTTCCGATCCTTCGATCTTGTCGATGATTTCATCTCCCGCCCTTTCCAATTTTCTTGTTCCCCCGTCGCGCTCACTCCCCGCCTCCCTGATGACTGCACATTGATCTCTCGAGATCTACTGACACGCGAAGGAGGGGTTTGATTCTACATGTCCGGACGGAACGCGCCGCGCTCGAAGAATGGTTGGTTTTTGTCCTCCCCGCTCATTCTTTTTCCCCAATTTTCAAATGCCGTTCCAAGTCTTCAAGTGCCGAATTGACTAAAGACCTCTCTAATTTTTATCTCTTTCACCAGGTTGCAGTACCTGCCGCCGTCGCAAGGTGAAATGCGGCGAAGAGCGCCCCATTTGCATGCGCTGTTTGAATCTGAATCTCACCTGCGAATGGGGGGTGCCAGTCAAACGCGGGCGGAGCACACAGATTCGACATCTCCAACCAGCGCCAACGAGCACCCCCGATCAGATCATATGGCCTACATCTGCTACATCTGAGCTAGGCGACGCGGTAGCTCTGACACCGGATGCTCTGCTCAATGGCCTGTCACCGATCTCCTGGCCAGGCGACTCGCCGCTGGTAGAACAGCCTCAGTCGACCTCATTCTTCCCACCATCTGCTCCCGCTCCATTCGGGACTCCTCTATACCCGCCGTTGAGCGTTAACGAGATCGCCTGTGCCAACTCCCTCACCCTCACTGAACATGACCAAAAGTACTTTCAATATTTTCCCTCTTCCTCAATCATCTACTACTACATGAAAGGATGGCATTGGAGCAGCTTCTGCTACCTGTATCAGGGACCTGCTGCTACTAACAAGGTGATTATGCGAATGTTTCTCGCAATGGCTGCAAGTGATATGCATCGACAGGGCCTAGTCGTCAGATCACCCGGTCGGCCTACGGCCGAAGATCATGGGCGTTATCATTACAGCCTAGCTGTCAAGGAGTTCCGACAGCTACTTGAAACGCCTCGGCGGAGTGTCTCAGTCGAAGAGCTAGAGATTATCTTCGCCACCATGTTTCTCATGGTCACGTACGAATGGCAGTTTGGGCATTCTGTCCGCCATCTCCAGTTACATCTTCATGGGGTGCGATCACTCTTGGAGTCGCACCCGCAGCTATTTCGTCTCAAAGATGTCAATGATGTCTTTCTGTCTCCGGAGGCCGAAAGCCCATCCTCGGATGATGTCGCGATCTCCAAGGTTTCATTTATCCCGGAGCAATTCTTATTGTGGATACTGTGAGTAATATAAATCAGAGTTTGGCTTTGTTGGATTGCGCACCCGGCTTATTCATAGCAACAGATACATCGATGCATCTTGCCGACCGATGGGATTGACCGAGTCATTGTATGATTATGTCGTTCAATCCAAAAACCCCGCCCTCCATCCAGATCACTTGCATCGCTGTGCCCGTCTGTGGGGCCGCTGCTTTTGGGGAGAGCAGTACCCGGACCAGGAGGTTCTGGATGACATTGAAAACTACAGAGCCTTGGAGCTGTTGCATGCCGGTTTCTGTTTCCGCCATCGAACCTGGAAGGTCCTCGTAGACTCTGGGGGGACGTCCGACACTACCGAGTCCCTTTATAGCGAGATACTCTCTACTCGCGATGTATGTTATTGACTCTTCCCGTTCCGACGAAGTTCAAGTTGCCCCCGAACTAACATGACTTTTCTAGAAATTTTCTGATCTCTTCATCACAGCAAAATTTGCCGGCACTGTCTCGGCGCGACGGACACTCAACACGATATATATGGCCGTGTGCACCTTTTACGCGCAGGTCATTCTACATCGCCGGCTCCTCTGTGTTGAAAGCCTTCCTGCGTCCCTGCACAGGCAAGCCACGGCCGGTATCGTGGACATTGCCCGAAAGCAATTTGCGTCCGATCCTCGACTACTACAACGCTTGCATTGGCCTCTTTTGATGGCCGTCATCGAGACAGACGATACCAGCCACCGGGTGTGGCTCCGGCAACGGCTATTTGAGCTTCGTGACTCCTCCCACTCGGAGTACATTTGGGCCAACGAAGTGGCCGATCAGATCCTGGCTCAGCAGGACTTGAATCCAGGTTGCTATGCGAATCTTGCGGGGCTACTCCTCCGACGGCTTCATGTGCAATGAGGCAGTTACCAAAAAGAAGTCATCTGTATATCTAGCTGTAATGTTTCTGTAGATTTAATAAGTGCGGTGATACCCGATAATGATGATGTGACAAGAACTATAATATGCGACCGTATCCCCATCTCGATATGTATCTCGTAGCCATTGGCCCTAGGCTATTTGACGAGCGCAACACAGTACCCCTATAAATCAATCCCATACCAGGAAAGGACCTTTTCGGTCAGGTCTCTCTGCGTTTCTCTTCTTCACCCGAACTCTCACGCCTTGGCAGTCGGGCCAGTCACCACGATCGAGGGAATGAATGACGTCGGTGTTCAAGGATCATTCTCCAGGAAATATGCGTCGTAGGCGACTTCTCCCTTGGCTCGAGTAGCTCTCCCAATGATAACTCGGTCATTCATCCACTTATACTTCTCATGTCCCGTCTCGATTTTCACATGGAGATGGAACCAGTACTTGCTGGGGTCGACGGGTCCTCCTTCCATCAACGCTTTCAGCACCTGTGGAGGTCCAGCTCGAGTACCTTCGGTTCTATCTTAACATCAATGACTGATCTGCGATATACAATTGTGAGAGACAACCTACCGAATATACAGAAGCGCACCGTCATCGCTTTTAATCACATAGTTGGTGTTGACATGTGTGGTTTGATTATCTTCCACGAGCCTAAATCATGTCAGACAAGAAGTTGACCAGATCAGAATCATAGAACTTACATAAAATCCGCTCCTCCTGGAACAACCTCTCCATTAAAGTACGGTCCTCGCACCGATCCCGACATGATCGGTACGCAGCGACGCCGACCGTAAGGCCCATTTCCAATCTCCATTGGCGGATCTACCGCGCAGCGCAGCGTGAAGAGATGGGTTAACTTTGGTGGAGGTGCAAGGGTTTCCATTTTGGATATTTGTGAGGTTCAAGAAGAGGGAGATATGTGAGTATGCGAGAGAAGAAGAACGTGGGGTGATGATATGGACCTAGGCTGGCGTTGAATGTCTCCACATTACGCGGGGAATTTTCCGCTGGGAGATTTCATGAATCAATTGCCGGGTTTTCCGTGAATCTCACTCGGGGTGAACAGCGAGAGCTGTCTTTGACTTGGCTAGATCGGAAGTTATACATACACTTGCTCTGGTTCGGAGCATGGAGAATCTTCGTTTACCAAGAGGGTTCATCCAGAACAATAACCACCATATATGCATAATTTGGTGTCTCTTCCCGTCCACAAATATACTGGACGAGTAGCAATAGCAACTTATCACATTCTTTTCTTTTTTTCAGTCCCGAAGAACCTGCCGAGGGGATAGTTAACATCATCTTCAAAACAAGCTCCTGGAATGAGGCTCCACCGTGCCGCCGTTTGCAGCCATCAGGAAATTGTCAATCTATGCCCGTTTTGGTGAACTTCCCTGAGCGCAAGATCTTCTGGAATACCTATCATTATTGGAACGCATGGCAGTTGGTTAAATAAATAAAGTTCCGGGAAATATACGGATACAAGCGGTCAAGACAGTTCATTTTCCCAGCCATGTCGCCTATGTTTTAGAATGCGGGTTTAGAAAGCATGGATCGTGTGAATATATATTGCAGATAGGTACCTGAAGAATTGGTAGCCGGGCACTCTATTCTGATCTCAATAAAGAATTTTGCAGGTCAAAGCCACGTCCAATTGTCTCATAGACATGGCATTAAACAAAAGTCGATTTATTTTCTTCTCATCCCGAAGTCTTCCTGTCGTGATGGTCTATATACTTTTTTGTATAGAAAAAAACCTGTCCACGCTGTACATATCGCGGGATCAATAAAGCTCGACCGCGCAAACCAAAAAAAAAAAGAGTGGGAACCCAGATCAATAACGCATCTAGTTGAAGACAACAGTCTTGTGTCCATTGAGCAGCACACGGCGCTCGGTCACATACTTGACAGCAGTCGCAAGCACGTTGCTCTCGACGTTACTGCCAGCATGGGTGAGCTCCTTGGGGCTCATGCCGTGGTTCACACGCACGACATTCTGCTCGATGATGGGACCCTCATCGAGGTCGCTGGTGACAAAGTGGGCGGTCGCACCGATAATCTTCACACCACGGTCGTAGGCCTGGTGGTAGGGCTTGGCACCCTTGAAGGAAGGCAAGAAGCTGTGGTGGATGTTGATGATGCGTCCAGACATGGCCTCGCACAGCTTCGGCGACAGGACCTGCATATAGCGGGCCAGCACAATCAAGTCAATCTTGTGTTCCTTCACCAGCTCCAAGATACGGGCCTCCTGCTGGGCCTTGGTGTCGGCAGTGACGGGGAGGTGGATGAAGGGGATGTTATAGGTGGCGGCGAGCGCGGCGAAGTCGGGGTGGTTGGAAATGATCAGAGGGACTTCAATGTTGAGCTGGCCGGTGGACTGGCGGAAGAGGAGATCGTTCAGGCAGTGACCAATCTTGGAGACCATAATCATCACGCGGGGTTTCTGGGTGGTGGGGTGGATCTCAAAGTCCATAGAGAAGGACTGTGCGGTCGACTCAAAGGCAGCGCATAGCTTCTCTAGCTCGGGGACCTCATCGGTCTCGGAGGCAGGCACAAACTGTACGCGCATGAAGAAGCGCTTGGAGGTGAGATCGCCGAATTGGGAGGAATCGATGATGTTCAGGTTGTGCTGGACGAGGAATGCCGTGACGGCATGGACGATGCCGGGGCGATCGGGGCCCGACAGGGTGAGGATGAAGCTAGGGGCCATGGCGATGTTGAAATGGGTTCCTTGGAGGCAACGGTGTTGAATCCGCGAAGCAAGCCACGAAGCAGGGAAGCAAGTTGATCGATTGAATGTGTTTCAACAAAAAAGCGAGTTAACGGAAACCTCAAAATCGGCAAAATCCCACATTCATCCCACCGCCGATCACGGCGCTGACTCATCGGAGCTGCGATCGGCCCCACTGCCTCAGAAAGGTTAAACCACCTTAAAAACCCGCGCTAAGCCGTTTACGGACTATACGGGGATTATGCACAGAGTCACAGGAGTATACGAGAGTATTCTTCTGGTTATCCGGGGATGTGATATACTTCAATCGCAAATCAACACTCCACTCTTGCGGTAGTAGGGTAGTATGCATGTTATTATAATTAGCGAATGGCTATATAGTATCTATTCTAGTATAGTCCATATTAGGTACCCTGTAGTATTGAAGTCCTATTTGTCGAATCTATACACTGATTCCGTAGTATATACTTCCCACTGTTTATTATATATAATATTGCTCTCCTCAATTCCTCTACGATCTACCTACCCCCGCCTTCTCCGTCAATCCGAGGTCCAACCCCTCATCCCTCAGAATTCCTCACGCCTCCCCCTCCTCCCTTCTCGGTATTAGACCAATCTCTCCGACCACGCTAATGTGCATGCACCCCTGCAAGTCCAAGGGTACATCCGGGGTTTAATTGCCGACTTTAGCCTGCAGAACACGAGTGCGAGCCCAAACACCAGCTCGTCACGGACAATCTTTTCCTCGCTTAGCCCGGTCATACTATTATAGTTTTTGATCATGTATCATGACCCATGACCCCGCAACCTTGGAAGTATGTCTGTATCACGTTCGAAACGGATCATTTAGCCGCCTCTATTCCCCTCGCCAAAAGAGGATAGCTCATTCTACTCAACAGGCACCATCCATTCCCAGGGTCACACTCGTCCCAGCACGGAAGACAGGCTTCTTCACGGGGCGCCTCCCGAGGCCCTGGGGGAGATTAGGTCCCCCTGCAGGAGGTGACCTCATTTCGTCTGTGGCAATGCCCGCAAACTCTGGGGAGCTTCCTCCGTGTCCGCGGAGGGTTTGGCTACATTGTTCCCGTTTTGTCCATTCTATGAATCCAATATGCCAATGTGCAGACGGTGGTACGGACCGCCACGCCGTAGAGGTCAGTTGAATGGCTTCGAGATCCACATCTCGAGGAGTATAAGAAGCCCTATATTCGATCAGATTTCCTTCATCCTCACTCCTCTCTATCACACACAATCCTTTCAAAAACATCTTGATCATTCGATCTACAATCCTCCAGCAAAATGAAGGGATCAATCTCCTATCAAATCTACAAGGGTGCCCTGCTCCTTTCGGCACTCTTGAACTCTGTCCAGGCCCAGCAGGTCGGCACTCTGGCGACTGAGACTCACCCATCTTTGACCTGGTCCAAGTGTACCGCCGGTGGTAGCTGCACTTCCGTGTCAGGCAGTGTTGTCATTGATGCCAACTGGCGCTGGGTTCACTCCACCAGCGGCTCGACCAACTGCTATACCGGCAACACCTGGGACGCCACCCTCTGCCCTGACGACAAGACCTGCGCGACCAACTGCGCTGTAGATGGCGCCAGCTACGCCAGCACCTATGGTGTTACCACTACTGGTAACTCCCTGCGTATCAACTTTGTCACCACTGCTTCGCAGAAGAACATCGGCTCTCGTCTGTACTTGCTCGAGAATGATACCACCTACCAGAAGTTCAACCTGCTGAACCAGGAGTTTACCTTTGATGTGGATGTCTCCAACCTGCCCTGTGGTCTCAACGGTGCCCTCTACTTCGTGGACATGGATGCTGATGGTGGCATGGCCAAGTACCCCACCAACAAGGCCGGTGCCAAGTACGGAACTGGTTACTGTGACAGCCAGTGCCCGCGTGATCTCAAGTTCATCAACGGACAGGCCAACGTCGAGGGATGGGCCCCCTCCAAGAGCGATTCCAACTCCGGCATTGGCAACCACGGCTCTTGCTGTGCTGAGATGGATATCTGGGAGGCTAACTCCATCTCCAACGCTCTTACTCCCCACCCTTGCGACACTCCCGGACAAACTATGTGCACTGGAGATACCTGCGGTGGAACCTACAGCAGCAACCGCTATGGTGGCACTTGCGATCCCGACGGTTGTGATTTCAACCCGTACCGTCAGGGCGCTACTAGCTTCTACGGTCCTGGCTTGACCGTTGACACCAAGTCTCCCTTCACCGTTGTGACTCAATTCATCACTAACGACGGTACCTCCACCGGCACTCTATCCGAGATCAAGCGCTTCTACGTGCAGAACGGCAAGGTCATCGGCCAGCCCCAGTCCACCATCGTTGGCAACTCTGGAAACTCCATCACCGACGCCTTCTGCAAGGCCCAAAAGACCGCTTTCGGCGACATTGACGACTTCACCAAGCACGGCGCCATGGCCGGTATGGGTGCCGGTTTCGCCGACGGCATGGTTCTCGTCATGAGTCTGTGGGATGACCACAACTCCAACATGCTCTGGCTCGACAGCACTTACCCTACCAACGCCACCTCGACCACTCCTGGCGCCAAGCGTGGTACTTGCGATATCTCCTCTGGTGACCCTACCACCGTTGAGTCCACCAACGCCAACTCCTATGTCATCTACTCGAACATCAAGACCGGTCCTTTCAACTCGACCTTCACCGGCGGCAGCACCGGCGGTAGCTCCAGCTCTTCCATCACCAGTACCAAGACCAGCACCAAGACCACTTCTACCAGCTCCACCTCGACGACCACCTCTTCTGGCTCGGGCAGCACCACTGGTGCTGCTCACTGGGCCCAGTGCGGTGGAAACGGCTGGACCGGTCCCACCACCTGTGTGAGCCCGTACGTTTGCACCAAGTCCAACGACTGGTACTCTCAGTGCCTGTAAATGATCTTGAGTGATCTTCAAATTTGGGGGGAGAAAAGTGGTGCCGGAGAGGTAGCACCTGATATGATGGAGAGACGAGGCAGCAAAGAATATTGATCAAATTGTTCGCTTGTTGTACTTCTTGATCTTACCAGTTTGTCTTCTTAGTGTTCATTTTTTTTTCCTTTGTGCTAGAGGATATGAGAATACAATCGATTTCTGCTTCATTTGATTCCACTTTCAAGACTAGTAAACTGAACTCCCCCGCTCTTCGCTTAGGCGCCACGGCGCAACAGCCTTAATTTCGGTTGCTTGGCAGATTTGCCATCTCCTTGTTTTGAGCTTGTCTATTAGATCAAGTCCAGTCATATGCTTAAGATGGAAAAAAGGAAGAGAAGCTAGAATATCCCATGTCGAAATCATTATCGACGGAAAAAAAAACTACAGAATCAAAGATACCCCTTGCCACACCCATCCCATCTGCAAGTTCCTGATCCCTCTTCAGGCACATGGCAGTTCTTCATCAAATTGACCACTCCGACCAGCCAATCGCAACACCAGCCCCAAAAGCCACAGTCAGCACTAACACCCACGCTGCCAATCCCACAACGGTCCTCATATGAGCCGTAAAACTTCTGTTTCCCCGGATTGCGCGGGGTTCGGGGAGTCCCTGTGGCGTTGACCTGCGAGATCTCCGACTCGTGCAAAATCAAGGCAAGGACGCCACCATGCGGAGAGACCTCCGCGAGCGGCTACAGCCTACAATGCTCACTATTTCAAAAGCGTTTTGCCGAGAAAAGTAAGGTTTTGCTGCAACCATCCTCTATATTTCCTTGAAACTTTGATGGAATTGCATTGTTGAACCAATTAGCGCCAAGACAGGACTGCAGAACTCGGCACTGACCCTTGCGGGGATTGCAGAATTATCTAATGAGGTCGGATGTAATAAAAAATGATGGGGAGTTTTCATCTTGATTATTATCATTTTCAAGATCGTTTCGATAAGAAATGGCTAAGCATCAAGTGATAATCACTCATGAAACAGGAACCTGTTGATCATCGCCGCACTGGTGTTGGGCTCGCAGTTGTTCTTCTGGCCAGGTGTTCCAATGACCCGCAGAATGAAACTACTGTATGTGAGACCGATGGACGCCAATAATGATTCAATGAAACACTGAATACCCTGTCAATATGCATCTCGTATTCATCCAAGTTGACACTTTTCCTAATGTGGAAGTCATTTGAGATTATCCGTGCTGCGGGACGAGAACGTGAGCAGGGGTACTCATCCCTTTCGCTGCTATTTACCCCGATGTCGATTTAACGCTTTTACTACGTTGTGCATCCTCGTTCTATGAGATGATGTTTCATCAACCTGCAGGGCCTTTCAACCGCTGAACCTCTCGAGTGTATTGCGTCTTAGATATCTGCGGCTCTTTAGGCCTCTATCTACTGGATTTCGATCCCATGACCAATTGGGCTCAAAAGGGAAGAGACTAATGTCGCATGTTAGTTTGGATTCATTCCTCTCTTGCTCCTCCATCGTCACCCCTTTTCTGCTAGTATCAACAGCCTAAATTGCATCGGCCGACAATTGGAGATTTACTTCGAGACTCTGTCCAGTATGGCCTCTGGCAAGCATGTTCTCAGGGGATGATTTATGCAAGCTAACTAATGCTCACAAATCAGGTGCTTCCTTATAAAAATGGATACTATCAAAGCCTCAACTAATAACTATGGGGATTGGGGAGCGATATTGTGGGGATGATGTAGTCCCCCCCCCCCTCTTCTCTCCATGTTGAGCCCAAGCCAGGCCAGTCTCTGGGATCTCGACAGAGTATAAAGCAGCTTGCCTCCCTCCCAAGTACCAGCCAATTGAGATATGATTATCCTCTTGACGCTGCCTGTGTTGATGTTCCAGTGGTTGCCTCTTTCTAAGAGGACCATACACTAAAGTCTATTGTTGAATCCCATCCGATCGGTGAACTTCCAACAGTCTGCGCGACATGTGAACAAACTCATCTCCCTGGAAAAGCCGGCGCTTCCTTTATTGGAGTAGAGAATATCCAGAGCTGCCTCGCCCATCGTTGTCTCGTCTCGGTAGCAAGATCAAACCACTCCCGCCCACCGCCGGCATCGTCGCAAATCGCCACAACCGACCGGGAAGTAGTGGCAGCCGAGGGTGCCGATGGGGCGGCAAGGACTTTATCCCCCCGAGTGGGGGAGATCTGGGAAATTTGGAGTCGAGGGGAGGTAAGTGCCGTGCCACGAAAACGAGATGAGACAGGATGGGGGATGCTTGCCCTTTTGGAGGCTTCGGTGTAGATGTGCAAATCGGAGAGGATATGAGCGTTTTGGTGGGTTTGTGTTCAATTGTTCATCTTGTTGTGTGATTTCTACCGCCTCACGCGACCAGCGAAAGAAGGCGAAACTTAGTCAGCACCAAGTAAATTCTACAATTCGAGAATTCGAGCGATTCATGTCCATTTAGTTCATCATAATCCGGTTTGAAGTCGACTCAATCATAAGATATGCACCCATTCCATCAATTATATATATTTCGACTGGAGATACATAAATTCGAAGAGTAGCGACAGCTCAGACGCAAGTACCTTGACGGAGTCTTCCAGATCGACCAACTTCAAACTCGATGCGGAGAATCCGGAGAACGACCTGCCGTACAGACTTTGAAGCACGCGACATCAACAGTAACAACCAAATGAATAAAAATTAAAATGAACATGCGAACTGTACATCAAGAAATGATGTCAACAAACATCGGAAAATAAGCATATTTTCCGGGCTTGTGATTGGTCCAACTTAAAAAATGATGTGCAGGGTGCACTGCAGCTGCAGGCGGATTCCCAATAGTTAATCGTCCCCCGGACGCCTCCTGGGGACTATGGCAGAACCTGGTTAATGTAGATGGGGCTGGGCTGGGTCAATGGCCTGACTACTACGAGGCTAGGTCTTATATGAAGCTTTATCAAGTCAATGCTAATGCATGTTTTATCTGTGTCATATGGTTCTTTCGTATGCACATCAATCAAATTTCATCTCATCTGGGTCTTTTTGCTGAGTACAGTACATGAGAATCAATGAACCCCAAAGACAACAGGAGGTTTTAAAATCACAAAATGAAAAGCCAAAAATAAATCGCTAAGTCCACAAATGCAAATGCTAGAACAGATCGTCTCAGGGACAAGATGGTGGAGAACTCCACATCAGCCCTATATCACATCACATATTGAACGCTCTTTACAGCTTGTTGCCCATAGCACGCTCAAACGAAGACTTGGGGGGAGCCGAGTTGGGGTTGGGGTGGTGCTTCTTCTGGGCCATGGTGACGTTGTACTCCAGGTCGAGCTCGGCCTTGGGGTCATCAGTCTTGGGCTTGAAGTCGACAACAAGGTCATCCTTGACAGCGAAGACAGAGTCGATCTTCAAGTGGGGGTCGGTGCTGGGGTAGATCTGGTTGATGACAGTGGCGTAGTCGGGGTGGGTGATCATCAAGTGGATGTGAGCGGGGCGCATGGCGGAGCGGTCCATAAGGTTGAGGAGGACACCGGCGGGGCCATCAGTGGGCAGAGAGTAGGCGGTAGGGTGGTAGCAGTACCAGTAGAACTCGCCGTTGGCGTTGGAGCGGAACTTGCCACGGAGGTTGTTCTCACTCTGGTTGGGGTCCTGGAAGTCGTACTGGGCGTTGGCGGAAGCCTGCCAGATGTCGAGGACGGCGCCCTCGATGGGCTTGCCGGTCTCCATGTCGGTCAGACGACCGTGCATGTAGGTGACGCGACCGTTCTCGAGAGGGTCCTGGATGATGCTGTCACCCAAAGCGCGGAAGGGAGCGTTGGGAGACCAGAAGGGGCCGAGAATGACGTTGGAGGTGGGGGAGAGACCCTGCTCGGTGACGATCTTGTTGGCGATCTCATCGACGAGAGACTCGAGACCGATCACATCACAGCAGCGGTGGCCCTCGTTACGGATGGGGGTGCTGATGGCACCAATGGAGTTGATGAACTCGACACCGAGCATCCACTCGGCGGGGGTGAGCTCGACCTCACGGGCAAAGTCGTGGATGTGACGGATGAGAGCACCGAGGAGGACACGAGCACGCTCGGGGGTCTTGGGACCCATGGCGTTGACCACCTGGTCAGTGAAGGTAGGGTCGAAACGGTGGTTGGTGGAGGAAGACATTGTGAAGGTGGTGGTATATACTAGAGAAGTATAGAGGATAGGGTATAGAGTGGATCTGGGGAAAGTCGATCACAAGAGACGGGGTTGGGGATGAGGATGAAGAAAAAAAGAAGGTGACCACGAGATGAGCAGGAGGCTTTTATAAGATCCATCGAGGACAGCTCCAGATCTCCAATGGTTCCATGTGTTCCATGTGTTCCATAATGGTTTTACCCCAGTTTGTTCCGATGGCAAAATAACGGAGAGTTGCGGCGGCAAGTCAACAGACAGAGAGTTCACTAGAACTCTGTCAACTCTCGGCCAACTCGGCAGCAGCCCCCCGCCCAACAGCCGATGGCCCCGGGATTGTGTTTTGCACAGTGCCGGTTGGTCAACTGCCTGAACATTCACCTTTACACTTCTCAGAATCGCCACGAATGGAGTTGGGCAGTGGATTAACCCGGGGTTCAGCCACTCATAGCCATGCTCGAGGCTGTTCAAGGTTGAATCATGATGGAATGAGCCCAGGTATTGTTCGTTTTTCCACCCCCCCCCCCCCAAGACTGGCCTAGACAGCCCCCGAAAATGGTCAATCGCATCGGTCGGAGCTACACTCTAGTCCCTACTGTACCCAGCACTATTGGAGTCTATACGCGTGCCGCCCCTCGCTGCCGGACCCCTCGACCTCCCCGCAACTCCACCAGCGCATAGACGAATCCCGCCCGGCTCAAGATTAGCGACGGATATAGTCTGTATCCTTCGCTCGGGATTGTTCAACATCGTATGATCCGTTCATTGCGCTCGTGGGCTCCTGCCTTTCTCAATTCCTCTTACCCCATCACTCCAATTTCCCTCCGTTCGCGATCCTTCAGTACATCGCCAACCCTCGCCATGAAGCATCATTTGATGGTCGGAACGTGGGTCGCCCCCGGGCGCATCTACACCGTTCAATTCGACGATGAGGCTCTGACCTTAGACCTGGTCAAGAAGACCGATATTCCAGAGGCTGAGCCCATCTCGTGGATGACCTTTTCCCACGATAAGAAGACCATCTATGGAGCGGCTATGAAGAAGTGGAACAGCTTTGCCGTCAACAGCCCTACCGACATTGTTCACCAAGTGTCGCACCCGGTCGCGGGTCACCGTACGTACTTGATCTGCTCTTCCCAGGATGCGAATGCGAAAAGGAGCTATTGAAGAGGCTCGAAATATTCTTTTTTTAAAGAAAACAAAGAGAATTATGCGGGGGCAATATCTTCGTCAAATTGCTTGCTATGACTAACAAGATATCTTTTTCTTCGCAATTCAGCTCTCGCTGCCAGCGCCGAAACCAACACCCGCGCCATCTTTGTGCTCGCCGCCCACCAGCCTCCCTACAACGTCTACGGCAACCCCTTCTATAAACACGCCGGCTTTGGCAATGTCTTCTCCGTCAAGCCCGATGGTGCGCTCGACACCAATGTCCAAAACTACGAGTACGACCCCAACACGGGCATCCACGGCATGGTCTTCGACCCTACCGAGACCTACCTCTACTCGGCCGATCTCCAGGCCAACAAGATCTGGACGCACATCAAGGATGCCGAGACGGGTCAATTGACCCTGCTGGACTGCCTCGAGGCGCCCGCCCCCGGTGACCACCCCCGCTGGGTCGAGATGCACCCCAGTGGCAAGTACCTGTATGCCCTAATGGAGGCCGGAAATCGTCTGGCCGTCTACGTGATCGATGAGCGCACTCACAAGCCCGTCTTCACCCACATCACCTACCCTCTGCTCCCCTCGGGTCTCCCACCCCGCAACAAGTACCGCGGCGACGTCACCTTCACCACTCGCAGCGGCGAGTATCTCTTCGCAACCACCCGTTCCAACCACTTCGACGTGACTGGCTACATTACCGCATTCAAGCTGGGCCCCTCCGGCGAGATCGAGCGCCAGCTCTTCATCAACCCCACCTCCACCAGCGGTGGTCACTCCAATGCTGTCAGCCCTTGCGACTTCAGCGATGAGTGGTTGGCGCTGTGCGATGACCAGCTGGGTTTTGTCGAGATGTACCGCTTCCGCGACGAGAAGCTCGCCCGTGTGGCCCGTGTCGACATTCCCGAGCAGGGCTTTGGCATGAACGCCATCTGGTATGATTAGACGAATATTATAACACGAATGTTTATGGTTTAGAGAAGAGAGGACAAATGCATATATAGAGCTGATCACTGTTGGGGTTTTCATGGAGCTATATTCAACCTTGAACAACTTGAAGGCGCATGAGAAAGATGGGATTCAAGAATAATAGCATTACCAAGAAATTCTAAATGAATATACAACCATCTAATAGTCGCGCTATACACCTTCAAAAATGGACCTTTAACTTGTTATTCCGGGGTTTGATGTTTGATCTGAACGTGGAGGGGAACCCCAATAAGAAGTCGAGGGGCAAAATCGGCAGTTTCCATCGGGTGCGTGTTGCTTTCTTCCGGCTGAGGGGCACTGCCGGTTTCTCCACGAAAAGCGAAAGACCATGACGATGGGCTCCGGAACCGGGGAAAACGAAGGAGAGAGAGAGATCATAAAGTTATCGGAGACTGAGAATTGATAACCTTCTTTCCTTCCTTTCCTCCTTGTGATCTCCTTGCCCATATCTCGGTATAATCTGTATACTTCGAGAGCTATATACCCCCACCATGCCGACCCCAGGTCTCCTCTACGTGACGATGCAGCCGCAGGGCTCGCTGCCCGATGCTCAGTTCCACGACTGGTACAACACCGAGCATGGCCCTCTGCGCCTGCGTTTGCCCTTTGTCACCAACGGCTTCCGTTTCCGTGCGACCGACGGCGAGAAGCCCGAGTATGTGGCTCTCTACGATATTACCGACATGGACGAGTTGACGCGCAAGACCTACCTGGATCTGCGCACGGATCTGATCAAGACCGAGCGCGAGAAGAAGACCATGGCCCAGATTGACGTCGGTCGGCTGCTGTACGACTTGGTCGATGAGCGCAGCTCGCCCAACTTCCGCCCGTTGGAGGACCAAGCCGATACCGATGCCGAGACCCACGGAAGCGTCCTCGTCGCCGTCACCACTGCCACTCACCCCGACCCCGAGAAGCAGGCCGAGCATGACCGCTGGTATCGCGAGGAACACTTTGAGATGCTCTCTCGCGTGCCGGGCTGGCGCCGTAGCCGTCTGTTTGTGACTTCATCCATTGACCCCAAGGCTCCTCGTGAGTCGCTCGCCCTCCACGAGTACTCCCCCGTCAACGGTCTCGGGGGTGATGTCCACAAGGCCGCCATGAACACCCCGTGGCGCCAGAAGCTGCAGGATACCGTGGTCACCTCCAAGAAGCGCCGCGTTTATCAGTGGTACTACACCTTTGGTCCCGCCCCGCGAGAGCTGTCCTCCCTGGCCTCTCCAGACTGCGTGGGACCCTGGTCCTCCAACGATGGCAAGACCCGTACCTTCCCTTCCACCACTCGCCCGGCCGTCGAGTCCTTCATCACCACCAAGGATGGTGTTGAGATCCCCTACCGCTTGGAGGGTAGCCTTGACCCCCAAGCGCCTGTTGTGGTGCTCAGCAACTCTATCCTCGTTAACTGGAACATCTGGGACCGCTTCGTGGATGCCTTCTTGGCTCGCAAGGAGAACCAGCGCTACCGCGTTGTGCGGTACCTGGCCCGTGGCCGCCGTTCTGCCAGCGGCGAGCAGCCCGTCACCGTGGACCTCCTGGCCTCCGACGTGGCCGATCTCCTCGAGGCCCTCCGTGTGCCTCCCAAGGCTGCCCGTTTGATCGGCGTCAGCCTGGGCGGTGTCACCGTCCTCAACACCTCTCTCCTGTACCCCGAGCGCGTCGGCGCTTTCATTTCCTGCGACACCAACTCCTCCGCTCCCGAGTCCAACCGCAAGGCCTGGGGTGACCGTGTCGCCATGTCGGAGCAGGAAGGCTCCACCGACCCCGAGACCAACGAGCCCATCGTCGGTGAGCAGCTGGCCGAGATCACGACCCGACGCTGGTTCGTCCCGGAGTCGTACGAGACTCAGCCCGAGGTGCTGGCCACCGTCAAGGAGGCCGTGCGCACCAACAGCTTGAAGGGCTTTGCACACAGCGTGAACGCCCTCTGCGCTTACGATATCCGCGAGCGCATGGCCTCGGCCACCGTGCCCGGTTTGTTTGTGGCTGGTGCCAACGACGGTGTCCTGCCCCAGACTATGCAGAAGATGGCGGCTGATTTGAAGGGTGATGCGGAGCTGAAGATCATTGACAAGGCGGGTCACTTGCCTATGGTTGAGCAGCCCGAGGCCTTTGCGGATGTGGTGACTGAGTTCTTGAGCAAGATTGACGGCTGAATGGGTATTTATGATGGGATGATCATGTAGATAGAGAGGGTTTTGAAAAGAGATACATAGCGAGTGACAAATTTTATGACTTATTATACAAACATTAAACATATAAATTCCTCAAATGTCAACTGAACCTGTCATGTCACAAGTCACCGGTCACTAGCCACAGTCACCAGTCGACGGTCCCACTGCGGCGCCCGACGACCGCCAGCCGCGCAGTTCCTCTTCCTCCTCCCCCGCCTTCACTCCTGCACTTCCACTCTTCCTCCGTTAAATCGCCTCGCCATGACCGACAATAAGGTCCCTCAACCGGGACCCGCCAAACTCAAGCGCAATGCTGGCCCTGACGAGTGGCTTGAGGCCGCCAAGGACTGCAAATACCTCTCCGAGGCCCACATGAAGCAGCTGTGTGAGATGGTCAAGGAGTATATGATGGAGGGTGAGCAAAGAGGAACACAAAAACCGACCAAGTAGACCATATCAGACTAACTCGATCGCTCGCATAGAATCCAATATTCAACCCGTATCCACCCCCGTCACCATCTGCGGTGATATCCACGGCCAGTTCTACGACTTGCTCGAGCTCTTCCGTGTCTCGGGCGGCATGCCCGATGGTTCGGCGCTCGATGCACCCAAAACCTCTCCCTCCGTCATCACATCTGCCGACATTGAACCCCCTTCTACCATCACCGATCCCAAACTCCGCAAGAAACTCCGCGGACCCAGTTCCAACACCAAGGCTGACGGCGACGAGGAGGCGGAGGAGGAGACGGAACCAAATGCCAACCCGCACAGTCGATCGAATAGTCAGACATCAGAGGCGCTTCAGCTGAAGAGCAATTTCGTGTTTTTGGGAGATTACGTCGATCGTGGATATTTCAGTTTGGAGACGTTGACGCTATTGCTGTGTCTTAAGGCGAAGTGAGTGATGTCGACCGTCGGACAAGGTATCATGACAAATGCTTACTCGCCGGGTGATTTAGATATCCGGATCGAGTTACGTTGGTACGCGGTAACCACGAATCCCGCCAGATTACCCAAGTCTACGGTTTCTACGAGGAATGTTTCCAAAAGTATGGCAGTGCTTCGGTGTGGAAAGCCTGCTGCCAGGTCTTCGATTTCATGACGCTGGGCGCCATTATCGACGGCAAGGTGCTGTGTGTACACGGTGGACTGAGTCCTGAGATTCGAACGTTGGATCAGGTGCGGGTTGTTGCTCGTGCTCAGGAGATTCCTCATGAAGGTGCTTTCTGTGACCTGGTCTGGTCGGATCCCGATGATGTGGAAACGTGGGCTGTTAGTCCTCGTGGAGCAGGTAAGACATAGGTTCGATGACTTTTATGTATGATTCAAATTACTAAGCTTGTGCTTGTCTAGGTTGGCTATTCGGTGATCGTGTTGCAGATGAATTCTGCCATGTCAACGATCTCTCTCTGATCGCTCGCGCGCATCAACTGGTGAACGAAGGATACAAATACCACTTCACCAACCAAAATGTCGTCACCGTGTGGAGCGCACCGAACTACTGCTATCGATGCGGTAACCTAGCCTCGGTGTGCGAAATTGGCGAAGACCTCAAACCCACATTCAAGCTATTCAGCGCCGTCAGCGACGATCAACGGCACATGCCCAACTCGCGGCCGGGCCGCAGCGAATATTTCCTGTAAGATGACTGCGATATTTTGCACGGGCGTCGGCGTTTTATTGTTCTTGGGAATGGCAAATTTTCCTCCGTTTATCTTGAGGGAGGGAATTCATGAGCATTATATAATGATCTTAGAGACGAATTGAATGTCTGAGCCACTGGCTCATGAATGATCGATCATATATAGTTTGAAGAGCGAAAAATTTGTCTCGAATACGTTCCGACCGAAGAACAGCCGATGGAATCACCAAGCCTCTAGGTCCCTGTCTGTTCATGAAGTTCTGCACGCTCTCAGGAATTGGCACAAAAGAACTCATAAAAATCGTGTAAACGCGACGGCTCTTTTCTACTAATTCTCCTCCTCGAGGTTTTGAGTCGATTTACCGCGACCTAACCTTGTACATATATTCAGCTTCGCCTCGCAAGTTGTGAAGGGCTGAAGCAAGACTTAGATTCAATCTAACTAGGCCAACATGCTGTTTACAAAAAGCTTAAGGAGGGGAAGTTTATCCCGCGCGTTCTCCACGTCAATACGCCAAGGTCTCGTGATACACGTGACCTATATCGGGCACTGGCCCGTGACAATACCCCCTCCCAGCCTCAATCTCGTTAGGGGCACGACGATATGGGCTTCGGTGCCGATTTGCTGGCGAATCACATCCGAAACGGTGCCGTGCTGCGCTTCAAAGGCATCCAAGGCGCTGCAATCCTGCACTGAGTCTAGCCTTTCCCACGTCTGTTCTGCCCATCCTCTCCATTTCACTAACGCCTCGTCACGATATCCTCGCCCAATCTTCCTCCTTCGTACGGCTAGGATTTGCTCTACGTCGTATTCCTCTTCTCCGTTAACTAGTAGTGGTGGTGGTTGTGAATCGTCTACTAACTGAGATGGGAATGGGTCCGTTGCTGCTGGGCGAACTAACTCAATATGGAACACTGGGTGTATACCAGTAGGCACATCAAGTCGGACTGTGAACGGCGACGGGACGTCTACTACTCGGTATCGAGCATGTAGCCAATCTAACTTCTTTGACGGTCGCTGTGTGCGTACGTTCCGCAGATTTAGCCAAACCCAGTCATCCTTTTTGTAGATAGGCGCTGCCTGTCGACGTCGGTTCGCTTGCTCTTCTTGAAGGGCCTGCGCGGAAGCAATAGCGGCCTGGGACCAATCGGTAGCTTCTCGTAGGCGATTCACGAACGTTTCGCCTGCCTTTCGTGGTGGGGTCAGGGCGTCTTGTAGTTGCCCTGCTTCGTCAATGCCAATCGGATCAACATGGTAACCGTGGGTGAAGAAGAATGGCGAGATTCCTGTTGAAGCGGCATCACGATTATTGATTGCCACGGCGACTATTGGTAGTAGATCCTTCCAGTTATCCTGTGCGTATGTAGTGAACACGCGTAGAATTCGTTCGATCTCCTGATTGGCACGCTCTGTTGCACCGTCGGTCTGGGGATGGAAAGCAGTGGATAATCGGCGTTGAATCGATAGCCTTTCGCATACTCTTTCCCAGAAGGAACTCACAAATTGCGGGCCGCGGTCGCTCACAATCGCTAGTGGCACCCCATGATGCATATAGAAGTGTGTGAGGAACACCTCTGCTACATCCTCTGCTGTTGTATTCTTCATTCCGATCAGAATCACGCTCTTTGTCAACCGATCTGTTATCACCATACAGTTCGTTGCTCCCGTGGGTCCGGAGGGTGGTAGCCCGGTGATAAAGTCAACGGATATTTCAGCCCAGATTCGCTGGGGGATTGGTAGCGGTTTCAGTAACCCATGTTTCGTGTCTCGCCATACTGAGCTCCGTCCGCACACTGTACAGTTCCGGAGGAAACGTCGTACGTCTTTCGCCGCTCCTGGCCAGAAGAACCGTCGAGAAAGTATCGAATAGGTAGCGTCTCGCCCAGGATGCGCCGTAACGTGTGAATCGTGGATCTTCTGTATAATTCCTGTGCGTAGAACCTCGTTGTCTGGAATCCAGAGTCGCTGTCTGAAGTGAAGCACCCCTCGATCATCTAAATGGCACTCCGATAGGCTGGTCTTAATGTTCGTTTCGGCAGCGATTCGGCGCTCTCCCGTTAGCAAAGCGTTGGAGATTCGTTGGTAGATCGAGTCAGACGCCCTTGCCTTTTTCCATTCTGTCTGAAGTTCCGGTTCATCAAAGAGGGGGATATCTCTTTCGAAATCGATCTCCTCACTGGGTTGGCTGTCGGCTGATTGAAGTTTTAGCCGACCCGTTTTGATCTTGACCCTTTTGAGTAGGATTCGGAAGCGATTCGACAGCCTTTCGTCAGTGATACTCTTAGGCATATCCTGACTCCGTCGTGATAGTGCATCCGGCCTTACTGCAAGCTTGCCAGGGCGATAACGGAGGTCAAAGTCGAACTCTGTTAAGAGGTCTGCCCATCGCATCTGCCGTTCGTTGAGATGTTGTGCTTTTCCGAAGTATCGAAGGTTTTTATGGTCCGTCACGATAGTGAATCGAGGCACCATTTTCAGCTCAGGTCTCCATTCGCGCAGAGCACGTATAATCGCTAGAAGCTCCTTATCGTGGATCTCGTAGTTTGATTCTGCTGGGGATAGCTTCTGAGATAGGTAGGCGCATGGCCGTAGCTGCCCGTCGGGTCCATATTGCGATAGAACCGCACCAGTTGCCCAGCCGGAGGCATCAGTTTCTACGACTGTTTGACGATCCTCTTCGAAATGTGCTAGGATTGGTGCGTTTATGAAGAGCTCTTTCAGTTCCGTGAAGGCCTGTTGGCAATCGTCGTCCCATTTGAATATAGCGTCTTTCTTCATTAGCCGTGTTAAGGGTGCCGAAAGGTCGGCGAATCGTGGTATAAATGGCCGGTAGAAGTTCGCAAACCCAATAAAGCTTCGCACATCCCGTATAGACTTCGGTCTCTCCCATGCCCTAATAGCTTCCACCTTCTTTAGATCGACGTGAATCCCCTTTCCAGCCTCGACGATAAAGCCGAGGTACTTCACTGAGTCCTGTTCGAATTCCGATTTCGCAATGTCACATTGGAGGCCAGCGTCCATTAGTTTCTGCAGGACTTCGCCGACCTTTCGGCGGTGATCCGCTAGCGTCCCGTTAGTGTAGATAATTATATCGTCAACGTAGGCCGACACGAAGTCATCTAAGTACTCCCGCAGAGTCTGATTGATATACCTCTGGAACGTTGCTGGTGCGCCAGTCAATCCGAACGGGGTTACGTTCCACTCGTAGAGCCCGTATCGCGTCCGAAATGCAGTCTTCCATTCTTCTCCAGGGTGGATACGGATCTTATGGAAGGCTGCGATAATATCGAGCTTTGTGAACCAGCGAGCGTGGCCCATATTCCGTAGCGTCTCTCGAATCAGTGGTAGGGGGTAGCGATCCTTTACTGTTCGTTCGTTTAACCCCCGATAGTCAACACAGAATCGTACGCCGCCGCCTGGCTTCCTAACTAGCAAGATCGGTGCTGCCGCAGGCGATTGGCTTACACGTATGAAGTTCTTCCCAAGCAGGTCTGTTAAGGTCTTTCGTAGGTAAAGAAGCTCTTCCTTGTTCATGCCGTAGAGAGGGCCATATGGCGGTGGCTCTTCGACACCGTTTCGATCGCGTTTCAGAGGGATTTTATGATCGATTCCTGGCCGGTGTGGAGGCAGCTGATCGGCTAACTGTTGGCTAAAAGCGGCAAGCCATTGCCAGTAGTGTTTCGGCAGTTTGTCCTTTGGATCGAGGTACTTCTTTGGTCGTAATGCCTTCTCGATATCGTCTAACGAAACCCTACCGATCTGCAAACGATTTGCATCCGATACGCTCCGTACAAGCTGTTGGATAGAAGAAGCTTCTGTCTGTGCCACGCGTAGCGCCTTCACTCCAGGGGGCCCGATAGTGCGATCCGCGCGGTTCCAACATCTTGTCCGCTCCCCAGACTTTGTGAAGATGTCTAGGTATCCTTTCCGTGCTGAATATCGTCCGTTCACGTCGTGTAGCCATGGGTCCCCAAGTATCATACTGTCGCTTTGGGGTCCGATGATATACGCAAACACGCGGCCTTGTTGCTGGCCGTGGACGTCGAGGTCGAAATGGGTAATGTGGGTGATTCGGTACTGATCCGGCACCACCCCGTCAAGGACTCGTGGCTGTATCTCAATGCGCGGGAGGTCGAGCGACTGGACTAGAGACTCGTTTACCGTTGCATAGCAGCGGCAGCCGCTATCGACGAGAGCTTGTGTAAATTGGATTCCATTCACTCTAGCATCGACTATAAACGGTAATGTCTCACGTTCCAGTAGCTTCTCGACCCCCTTTTGCTCCTGCTCGCGACTTAGAACAGGAGCTACTCTTTTCCCGATTCATCCTCAGTAGTCACACTCTCGTCGTCAGAAGCCGTTATTACTGAATCTAGGTCACTTGCAGGCTTCGACTTCTTCACTTTGACCGTGCGCTCCTTTCCCTTCTTGCTCGAGGTAGTAGCGATACGTGTACCATTCGGCCGTTGTGCCGGTAGGAGCGCGCACCTCGCGATAAGGTGTCCAGATTTTCCACATCGTAGGCATTTCCCTTCAGCACGTCGCCGATCTATCTCGTCCTGACTAACCCATTGAGCTTGTCTCGGCGTTCCGCTTTCGGGTCGGCGGTGTTTCGTGTGTGGTTCGGCACGGGTTACCGACACGGTCGGTGTCCAATCCATTTCATCGCTATTTTGTCTAGGCGAGCGCGGACGACGTGTTCGTTCCTCTTTGTTGATATTAAGGGCATCCATATCTGAGCTGATCTCGTGAAGCCGGGAGATCAGGTCCGCCGAGGTAGCAGGGATGCCTCGATTCATTAACGCATTCGTCATGGTCTTATTGAGCGCGCTAAGAAGGATCTGCCTTTTTGCCTCGTCGTGCCATTCAAGAGCGTCTGCATCAGCGAATTCCTTTTCTAGTCTAGGAAGGAACCTAGAAAAGCTCATGTCTTCTGGTTGTCGAATCTGGTGGAGTCGTCTTGCTGCGCGTGCTTTGATATTCGGGTCTCCGTAGATATTCTCAAGGTGGCCGAGTAAGGCTTGCGGTTCGCCAGTGTTCCGGCGGAGTTTCACGAAGGTTCCAGTATTCTTCCAGGCGAGCTTCTCTAGTCTAGAGAATACGTACATGAATTGGTCTTGAGGGGAACCGATAGCTTCGCCGTCCACACTAAGCTTGTTCTCCATCGAAATGCGCCAGGTTGGCCAATCGCTCGTGCTTCCACCGAATGGTTTTGGGTCCGGGAGACGTGGTTTCGGTCGGTGAACAATCTCTGTTCGTGGGGGAACCGGCACCGATTCGGTGGCTGATCGTGCAGGTGTCGCCTGCCCTTCGTTCGTCGTGGTTGTCGTTATGGCTAGTGAGGCCTGATGCTCCAGCATTGCCTCGAGGCGACGCATCCGCTCCTCTTGAGCAGCATCTTGCTGGTGACGCCGCTCCCTTTCTTCGTTCTGCATAGCCTGGGTCTGTGCTATCTGCTGTAATAGCGTTTGCGCCCACCCGGGAGGGCTCGTCGATTCCTGGTGCTGCATAGCGCCTAGGGGTTGTGTAGCGTGCCGGTAATGCTTCGGTCGCTTTTCGTCCAATGTTCCAGTGTGCCTAGGAATTGAGATCTTCTAGGGCTTTCTAATCCGTCTCGAGCGCTGAGAGATCTATGCGCGAGGATTCCGTTCCGATATGTGTTCGTCACTGAATCGCTTGGGATTCAGGGGTGTTTCCAATGAGTGCCTAGGTCGCTTTCCTAGGGCTTTTCCAATGACCAATGATACTTCTAGGTGTAGAAGGAAGCTTTTTGTATGTGAAGGGCTGAAGCAAGACTTAGATTCAATCTAACTAGGCCAACATGCTGTTTACAAAAAGCTTAAGGAGGGGAAGTTTATCCCGCGCGTTCTCCACGTCAATACGCCAAGGTCTCGTGATACACGTGACCTATATCGGGCACTGGCCCGTGACACAAGTAAGGTAATTTTGAGGGGGAATATTGTGATATATTAGGCTGTAGCTACTCAGGGATAAAGCCGCAATAATAGAAACAATTCCTGCACTATCTATACGAAGTTCTAAGTTGATTTCCAATCAATTTAGACTTCGTGCTGTATATAAAACTCTACATATTCCCTCAAAAAGATAAGTTAAGTATCCTTTGTATCACACCAACCTTAATTTTAGAAAGAAAGCGTATTAATAGCTATCTTTACCTCTCTCTAGTTACCTACGAAAACTTACAGAAGATAACCGATATCGTGTGTATAATACTATCTAAAACAATCCTGCTATAATACTTGAAGATCTTCTTATAAGGTTAATTATAAGAACAAAATATAGTTAATCTAGCGGTTAACATAACTAAAATAGGACTTCAGAAGCGGCGCAAGATAAATCGGCTATATCTTACACCTAACCACGCCGCGAAATATCTTTTATAGCTCTTGCCTATCGCTACTTTATACCCGAGGATTAAAATAGGATCTTCTAGTCGCGTAAGATAACAGTTAAGCGTGAGCAGGGTCTCTAGATAACTTGTTCGAAAGGGAAACAGCTTAAGCAGTTATTTTAGGCTTAGTTCGCTAGCGCTCTACGCAAACTAGTCCTATTCCTCTATTCGGAGACCAGAATGCTAACTAAAAGGGTATTCCAGAAGAGATTATCTACGATCTCTATCAAAGAATATTAGGAATTGTTGAGACACAGCAGCATTTTACTAGCCGCACCACAAATCATAGAATATCCCTCATTATATAATCAATCTTGCTAAGAATCCTTACTATACATTACTGCAGGGACAAAATATCAGACCAAAGGGTCATCAAGAAGAAGCGCTATCAAAGTGCTCAATTGCGGAGAAACTGGCTATACAATTCGTTCATACAGGTTGTAGGGATATATAAATGATATAAAATAGAATCAGTGAAGGAGAAGCGCGTATAGTAGTAGATAGAATATAGCTGCTAGAGTGTTACAGAGGTAATGGAAACACCTCCCTGTCAACATTGATCAAGAGGTTTGTTGGCATAAAAAGTAACTCGGTCGTTCGTGATAATGGATGCAATCAAAAATCAATCCTATTACGAACCAGCATCTCCGGTGTTACTATCGCCTACTCATAAACAAAGAAATCCAACACGCCCCGCACTGACCTTTACCGCGACTAGCTCAAACGTAAATCCTAGCATGTGATTGATCAAACATATACACTGGATAAGTGATTGATAGTAGCTCACGCTAATGTAGACATGGGCACCTCACCGACTATTCCTTGGGCAGCCTGTAGGAAGAAAGTGTCAAGAATACCTGAATACCTTCGAAATACACTAGGATCACCAGGCGGTTGGCGCAACGGAATGAATAGGGAAATATCAAAAGATGAAAAGAGTATTGATTCCTGTTAATTATCTACTGGGTTCGAGGGGGTAAAAGTACCCTTGAGAATGCCTGTGACTCGGAGTTCTATATCCTAGGTGGCAAAAGTATGCCCTGAAAGCTCTACTCACAGTGGCCAGTTAGCTCCGTGTAACACGTAGGATCTAACTATTCCTATTGAATAAGGAATAGGAATTAATGACGAGTCTATTTTTCTTTTCATTTCTCCAAGGACAGTCCTACTTTTCATTATTTAGGCGGTAATATAACATGGCAACGAGCCACAACAGTAACCATGTCCAGCGTCCAGAGCACCCTTGAAATCAATATTATGACAGCCGTTGCTTGTTCGCCACATTAATGCATTGAATCCGTATCCACCATCGCTAGTTTCCTCAAAGCTAGGAACTATTAGTGTATTTTCGGCATGAATACTGGAGTTAGAATCAACAAATAACTTACTAGACCGAACATTCCGAGGTGGTGCAACCATTGAATCCCCCATAAAGTTGTGCGGCGTAGGTAGATCTAGTGGTGTAGTCGGTCAAATAGATGTTTTGATAGATAAACCCTGGACTGTTCGGCTTCGATGTGTAGGCGGAAGCGGCAAGCTGGCCACGAAAGGCACTAACGTGGCCAGCTAACAATGTGACTCCGAGGAGACTCAGGAAACTCATCTTCAATCCAACGGTAGGTCAGACCCGAGTAAAAGTGATTTTCGAAGAGTATTGGGGAGTGGGCTTTTATTTCAAGAGCTTGGAATCGTGCGCCTGTAGTTGATTACTAGCTAAAGTAAAGAGGCTGAATCTAGCTCACTCTTCCAGAGCCCCACATGAAATTACATACAACTGCCATATCGGGATAGAACCTTGAAAAGGAGAAAATTTTTCCCTAATTACCCTGAAATGTTTATGTAGAACTCAAGAGCGAAACAGCCGCTATCGAAAGCTACTTCTTGTTGTAGACCAAACCGAATTGATCAATGACGTTCCTCTGTTTCATTTTCTCCTAAGAAAGATATTTTCAATTTTCTTGAGATAGGAGATGACAGATACTCTACACATTAGCGCAGAGATTGATCACTATATAGTAGAGAGAATAAATCTATCAATCATTACTAGCTATAGAAAACCACATAACGAAGCCGTGCTTGGCTAGGAATTATGTCAGACTTTAGTAGTTAACGTAGTTAACTATAGAATGCATTTAAAGATTACGATTTGTTGTCCCGGGTGCCAAGCACGGTTAATCCACACCACGCGGATTGAGATACGAGATACCGGAAGATCTGCTCCGGTGGGTTGAGGGGTTCTGCCCGGTACGAACAGCAGACCATTCAAATGAACGGGCTCTTCGGTAGATCTGAATTGTCCATCCCGATATCCAACCCCATGGACCCCCCCCCAACCACTCACGGGGTCGGATATCCGGAGTCTACGGCACAAGAATGGCATGACGGATACCATGAGAGCCGATTTACCTTCTGTTTGACACATGCCGAGATGAAGTCCGTCAAATAAGTACTCCAGAGTGGCGGATCAGCTGCCGGAACACATCCCGAATACCCTCGGGATTGATTCCGTACTGCCATAAAAGTCGTCCCCCGCGGGGTATCATCCAGCCTATCTGCATACTAAATTATATCTATATTGAACTCGACTCGACTTGCATATCAAATTCACATCCACATTCACCATGGAAAAAGTCGACGTCCTCATTTGCGGCAGTGGTTCAGCCGGACTATGCGCCGCAACCTGGCTGGCGCGGTACGGCATCCGCTGCAAAGTGCTCGAACGCCGCGACGGACCGATGAAGATGGGCCAAGCTGACGGCGTGCAATGTCGCACGGTGGAGATCTTTGAGAGTTTCGGAATCGGCGAGGAGTTGCTACGAGAGGCATATCATGTTCTCGAGGTCAACTTCTGGGCTGATGAGGGGACTGGGGCTATCAAGAGGACTGGTCGGACGGCGGATACGCAGCCGGGTCTTTCGCATCAACCGCATGTTATTTTGAATCAGGCGCGCATTAATGGGTTGCTTATTGAGTTGATGCAGAAGTATAACGATCAGCAGATTGATTATGGGTATAATGTTACCTCTGTGCAGGTGGATAGTGCAGCGGCTGCGGATCCGGAGGCGTATCCTGTTACGGTGACTGCGGAGAAGGATGGGAAGACGGAGACGTTTGCTGCGAAATATGCATTGGTCAGTACAAACATTCTTGTTGTTGATCGAGTCTTTTTGGGAGGGGTTGTGGATGGAACATCGGACTAACCCATCTTACAGGCCTGTGACGGTGCCCACAGCATCGTCCGCAAAGCTCTTGGATACAAGATGATCGGCGATAGCACCGATGCAGTCTGGGGTGTGATGGATATGGTTCCTCGCACCAACTTCCCAGACTTCCGCAAGAAATCCACCATTCGCTCCAAAGCCGGAAACATCCTGATCATCCCCCGTGAAGGCGATAACAACAACCTGACCCGGTTCTATATCGAGCTGGCCCCGGGCACCAACCCCAAGGACGTGACATTGGAGAACCTCCAGAGCCAGGCACAGGCTATCCTCCAACCTTACGATATCGAATTCGTCGAGACAGTCTGGTGGTCTGCGTATTCGATTGGCCAACGCCATGCCGATTTCTTCCACAAGGATCACCGTGTCTTCTTGGCTGGTGACGCCTGTCACACGCACTCGCCCAAGGCTGGCCAGGGTATGAATGTTAGCCTGCAGGATGGGTATAATATTGGTTGGAAACTCGGCGAGATCTTGACCGGTCTGGCTGATCCGTCTCTTCTCGAAACCTACGTGTTGGAGCGGAAGAAGACTGCTCTCGACCTGATCAACTTCGACCGTTACTTTTCCAAGCTTTTCAGCTCTGGGGCTAACACATCTCCTGCTGAGTTCCAAGAGGGATTCATCCAGTCTGGAAAGTATACGGCTGGATTGACTGCCAAGTATGATGTTTCTCCTATCACAACTGCGTTGGAGAGCACGCAGCTTGCCTCGAATGTCGTGGTTGGCATGCGTCTGCCCAGTGCCCAGGTTGTGCGGTTCTGCGATTCCAAGCCCCTGCAGTTGATGAAGTCGCTCAAGTCGGATGGCCGGTGGCGTATCATGGCTTTTGTGGGTGATTTGACTGTTGCGGAGAATAAGACCAAGCTGAACAAGGTAAGTCCGCTATCGATTCTTTTTTACCATAAAGAGATCTTTTCTAATCCGAGGTTTACAGCTCGGAGAATATCTATCATCACCTGATAGCCCCGTTCATAGATTCACGCCCAATTTCCAGGATGTGGACAGCCTGATTGAGACTATTGTGATTGGCCACGGAAAGCGTCACGATGTCGAGTTGGAGCAGATCCCAGAAGCGTTCTACCCAGTCGCTGGCAAGAATCAAACCAGAGGTGAGTTCTCTCGATACCCATTGCTGCATACACAGTAATCTCATCTTTTCTTTACCAGATCTCCACAAAATCTACTACGACGACGAGAGTCACAACCAAGGCCACGGCCATGCATACGAGTACCTCGGCATCAACCCTCAACAAGGAGCCTTGATCATCGTCCGACCCGATCAATGTAAGTTCTTTCTCTTATCTCACTCTCGCATCGTTGGCTTTCAATTTACTAACCCATTCAATTCAGATGTTTCCGCGGTGTTGGACGTCAACGACTACGCCCAGATTGGCAAGTTCTTCGCCGGCTTCCTGAAACCCCAAGTGTAGGTGGGTGCCTCCCTCGTCAAGTATGGTGCAAGCACGCTAAAATGGCATCATCCTACTACAGGGCCAGGGCCATGGAGCATAGCTATCGCACGGCCAGTCCGCTTGAGAGCAGACTGTAGTGAATACCCCCTTTTCTTTTCTGCATTGTATATCACATTACGTATAGAGAGTTCTGCTTATCAAAACTTCATGAAACAGTTCATTTTCTCATGTTAGTCATTGTGTTTAGGGAAATAGTAACTAACTAACTAGTTAACTGAGTAAGTTAATTAGACAAGCTTTGCAAATTGCCCTCTTACAAAGTGCAAACTCAGCCATTCAGAAATAAAGTAGATGTATATGCGGTTATATAGACCGGATAATATCTGGCGGGTGGGGCTTTCCTATCTCAACTGCCGCTGCTTTTATGAGGGCGCTCAGGCTCAGGCTCAGTGATCAATCCAGGAGAGTTATGTGATAGATGACTAATGCTCAGTGATGGTTCAGTGACCGCTCAGTGACCAATCAGGACTGCTCAGTGATCACTCAGTGCTTCCTCGCCTCTTTAATGCTTTCACGTCCAATCAGCGTTGGTATCTTAGCGTCCTTCTGGCTCTTCCCAAATTGGTCTGGCCTATAGGGTTATTTATTCTGTGAACACTAGCGCGCCTATGTTTGAAGCTGAGTGCCTCCATTTAACCAAAGTACTGTATTCCTACTATTTGTTATGATATACCCTGGCATGAGGTTATTCCCAAGTGTTAGTGCCTCAGGCTTCCTGGACCTGATAAGCCGGCAGGCTTTCTGTGGAGGTTCGCTGGGGCTTCGTCATCAGTATGTAAACGAACTCCTGCAGGTGAAAGAGCTTCAACACTCTATTTCTCCTGATTTCTATGAGATTCTATTCTGATGTATTGCCTCGATTTCATGAAGTTATAAATACTGCCTGTTTTCTATAGCTAAATTGAATCAAGTCTGACACTCTTTTTATTTATATAAGAGACCAAGTGTCAGATTTACGCTGTGTGCATAAACCCTAGGGCGTGTGCTTGTAAGCGCACACAGGTCGATCGAATACCACGATTATGGAAGAGAGACGAAAGTGCAATAGAGGTGGGTCGGCAGCGAACAGGTTGAACAGTGGAGGGTCAACACAGTTTAATCAGAATTGCCTTGAACTCTATTGGTGAGTGAAAATGGTGTCAAACTTATGACATTGTCGTCAAACTTGTTTTATTTTGCTAGGAAAACAGGCAGTATTTATAACTTTAGGTACATAGCAGAATGTCACAGAAAAAGAGTCATGAAAGTCCGAAATAACATGGGGGCATACGAGAGTGTTAGGAAACTCGTCGCTCTTTCCATTTGGTGCAGTAGTTGATAATCAGCATCGTATATCATGAAGTGGTGTATAGGGATGCAGATTTATGCATCCGATTGCATTAGCGCGCATACGCATGCATGCGCTCGCTTATTGCAGGGATATGCACACACACACACGTTGACACCAAGGCCTACCTAATAGTGTAGCTCCAGTCTAATACTGTATATTACCTACCTGACTACTACCTATCTAAGACTGCCGACCCCCCTTTCTTGTGGATAGTTATTCTTCTATGATTGTGGGTTCTTGGCTAAATCGCACAATCACGACCCGACCTTATTAAGAGAGAGTTCTAGGCCTACCTGATTGTATAGTAGTCTAATACTGTACGCTGCCTACCTGACTACTATCAATCTAATACTGCCGACCCCGTCCCTCTATCGATCGCTTGACCTGACCTATACGATTCTTCGCTGATCGTATAATGATTTGACCAACCGTGCATACTTGCTTGCTTGTGCACGCAGAAGGATTTATGCTGACCCTGTAAATCCGACAATATCATACCGAGAAGGCTATATATCGCTGTAGGCTAGCTAGCAACTGGCTAATCTATAGTAACAAGGCCTAATTGCTAAGGCCACGAACCTAGGCTTAGCAACCCCAGCTATCTCGCTAGCCGAATTGGGTATAGTCTACCCGCTAGCCCTGGCCTTAGCATCCCCCATCAAAAATTTCCCAGCCAAAATGGCACCCTTAGGGTAAGGCCCTTCCACGGGATAATCCTAGAATATTATACGATATTTAGATAGAACACACTATCGGATGAAAAGATCTAAAAGATCCGACCAAAAAATATCAAGATTTCGGGTACTTAGGGGGGGGACGTATCAACTCGTCCCCCACCTTGCCAAGACTTTTTTTACTATGGTACCCCCTCCCGGGGACGGGCCCGAATACCTTTAGGGTTACTATCGCGTCGCAGGGAAGGCAGAATAGGGGCCTATGAGGATGTCTGTCAGCTTTATCTTCAGATCTGTCACCTTAAGAAGGTATCCGCTTTAATGGGCCTCGGGAGCGCAGAAGCTCGTTTAGAATCCTCGCCGTCCTGACAACGAGTGCTAGAGCAACGGGCAAGGTGCAGACCGCTGAAGCTAGTAGGTCACACGGACAAGACAATCGAAGGGGAATGGATGCACCCGAGGTTGAAAGGGGTCGAAGTCTATGCTACACTACCACTGAAATAAAAAAAGGCTGGTTTAAAAACACGACCATGCCATCAAAATATTTGTACGACACTGCAGGTACTAGCTCTAGTACACGGCGTTCGTTACTTCTCTATTGGGTGACTGGGCAGACGTTACACTTCTGCAAATTTACGAGCATGTCGGCAAGCGGCTTTATGCTGCCGTTTGACTCGTTGTCTAGAAGCATTTGCCGCCAACTTATCCACTTATCCTGTCGAGCGACCACCTCCGAACTCGGTGGTGAAGCTCGGATACTCGAAGAAGATGTAACCACAGGAGTGGACTAGGCCACCGAAGCGCTGAACAGGGGTAATATGCTCTCTCCGGTGTGCCTGGAACACTCATTTCACCCCTCAATTACCTTACACGGACAGTGAAATCTTAATCATCATTCTCTCTGCGTCATACAGTTTGGAGTAAACGCCTGTTCCGACTATAGGAACAACAAGCGAGTGAGTAACATAAGTCGTAATATATTATACATAGGTCATACATCACTGAGATGATTGAGGTCTTTCATGAGACGGGGGTTTGGTGGGAAGGTCTGATATAGCATCGTATGCCGAAAATGCGGGGAAACCGCAAGTAGCTGGTAACAGGCTTCCCATTCCCATCGTCAAAGAAAATCGATCCAGTCGGTCGCCAATATCATATGACTCGAGGTCAATGTCTTCTGAATGTTTGTTAGCAGAAGATTGGGTCGTGAGACCGACTGGGGTCTGTGGGATCGTGGAAAGATAGAGGGCTTGGTCATCGTGGTTACCACCATTGCGAATCACCAAACCGGACGATTGTGACAGAGTAAAGCATCTTGAGATTGTTCCAAGGGTCGCCAGCAGATGGTCGAGGAAGGCGACAGCCGAGGCGACTCCTTCGCATGTTCCCTGCACCCAGGTAGTAGCATACATCGAAGGCATCACTCCAACAAAATGAGGGGATGGCTCTGTTGATGATAACATGCTCTCAATTTGAACCAAATACTCCTTTGATTCTGATATCTCGGCTATCAGGGAGCCCAGATTGACTGTCGACGCGGGTGCGCTTACTGTGACCAGTTCGTTGGTTGCTGCCAGATAGCCAGGACATTTGGCGACCTCGCTGAAAGCATAGTCCGTCATCTGACCTAGCAGACTCCCAAGTCCCCCTTTATTTTCCGCTCTGGCAATCTCTTCGTTCATAGATGTGCGTCTCCACTCAGGATCGCCCAGAAAGCAAGGAACCCCATTCACAAATGCATCTGCGATCAAGAAAGGTCTCCAAGCCATCAGCATTGCTCGTCCCATTCCCTGCTGATGTGCGGCAGAGCCACGGGCACGCATGAGATGTGCGATACCACGCGCATGGACGATCCAGGAACGGTGACTATTACCGTCTAGAACCTCGTATCCGCCGAGGAGCATTGCAGCGGCCAGTGTCTCGTCAGCAAGCGCTGCCGGTGACTGTAGGAGAGAAGCCAGATTCTGGATTCCCCGACCGTACATATGACGAGCACATAATATTGCTTGCTTGTTCCCTTGCGAGGCCCCCATCAGCAAGGTCATGAGGGCGCGCAGACTCCACACCAAGGCTGGAGGAAACGTGGACCATCCGCTCCGTAGGAAGTCCATCCACTTCACTTGAAGTCGAGATTGGACGCAAGCGTTATGTTTGGGAAAGTAAAGGTTTAGGAATGTGTCGAACGACTCCCTGGTCTGAATACTGATCGCCTCGTAGGCCAGAGCTGGGACGAGCTGTTCATCCATTGCTGCTCGGGCGTGTTTTTGTATGATGAACTGAGTTTGATCCTTGAATTGGTGCGCACGAGTATAACCCGGGCAGATCGTGCCGCGAGTGATGCACCGCTCGCATTGCGGGCGTGTCTCGTCGCACTATCAGCCATATTAGTTGATCAACCCAAACCACGTTGAGACCACCACGTTGAGACCACCACGCTAGAATGGATCCAAGCGTTATGCTAGTCTTTCTAGAGGCAGGCATGAAATGACCCACCTTGATCCTGCGGCTAACACATTGCAGACACCCTCGACTGCGGGGGACCCCGACCATGTTTGTTTGGCTCGTTCAAGGCAAGTCACTTTCTCGGATGGATATGAGCCGATGGCATGACCGCGCACTGACGACGAGAAGGCTAATGGAGGAACTCGCCTTCTAGCGCTGCGGGTGACAGGATCAATCCATCGGTCGCGGTCAGGGGTAAACATAAGTTGCATTGTGGGAACTTAAGGATTACGAGGTGAGGTTCAATGAAGGGCCAACATGCCCCACTTTAGTCCCGACACGCACACATGTGTCATGTGACTTCTCCAGCTCTGAAAGCCTCTGCCTGCCACTCATTTATCTACATATGTTGTGGTGCAAAAGGAAGCTTGATTATTTATTTCAGGGGGATACAAAGAGGCTATATATACAGTATGAAGTCCTAGTTGATTTCCAATCAACTTAGAACTTCGTATAGATAGTGCAGGAATTATCTCCGATGTTGCGGCTTGCCGGCTTCATTCCTGAGCAGCTACAGCCTCGTATCACAACAGCTTTGAGCGCTTTCGGACCCTCCCTAATACCCGGTGTTGTGTATCAGGTAAGGTAACTTCACTATCATCATCGTTGTTCTCTTCTTCATCCCGCTCAGATATCACACTTCTTCGCCGTTTACCGAGCGCTTTCTCACTTAGAGGCTGGGCAGTAGGCCATAGTAGACTTAATGCTGGATCCTCTTCTTCGTCGTCACTAATTGGATCAAAATCATTATCCTTTGTGTCGTTTTCCTCTTTCGCTGCCTATTTCTCCTAATAAGAGAGATACTCATTAATCAATATACGTTGATCGTCCTTGATGTCAGACTTTGATATCCACATAAACATCATGAGATCCCTGATTGTTTTAGGCTTAAGCGAACCTCGACGATAATAACAGATATCCCGAGCAGTATTAAAGAGTCGTTCAACTCCTGCACCGGTTGCGGGAATTAAGAGAATGTCACGTACAAGACGTGTAAGTGAAGAAAACTTATAGCGATAGTCTCTCCAGAAATTACGAGGCGTTTATATAGTTCCTGTAAGCAAGATTAGTTTAATATATGAAAACTATAATATAGTTATACTTACCCTTTCAAGATATTGCGTGAGTTTATCCTGTTCAGGGGCTGATGCTTCTTGAGACTCCTCTACATCGCATATCAGGGCAAGCTTATCCTGAGTATACACGGATAATAGAGCCTTTATGTTACGGGGAATTGATAGGGACACAACAGATTTTTACTAAGTTAACTACTGGCACAACAATTATGTAATACCCGCATCACATAATCAATTTTGCCAAGAATCATTACTATACATTACCACAGCAACTGCATTACTTACCACTATAGCAACTACATTCTATCAACTATTACTACTATAAGAGCTTCTCTTTCCCTGATTCCATTTCATATTATTTACATAGCCTATTATACCCTGCATGAACGAATTGTATGGCTAATTTCTCCACAATTCGAGCACTTTGATGGCGCTTTCTTTTTGATAACCCTTTGATCTGATGTGTTGTCTTGGTTTTGTTTCCTTTGTGGCAGTGATAATATAGGCTCAGGTATTGGCAGATACTCTGATACCTTATTATCATAATCGATTCGCCAGAATTGATGAATATCGCTTAATTGAATTGGCTGATGTGTTGATAATAAGCTAGCAATTCGGTGGGCATATAGAAGGCCTATTGTCCTAGTGAATATATTAGTACAGTTAGATAGTGGTGCTTTAGGGGTAGCTCTTTTAGCTATAGAAGCTTGATTAGAGATTAAGGATATTGAATATCGTGATGTTCTCTTTGTAATATTCGAATAGACAAAGTGTGAGCAGAAATTTAGCGTTTTAATCCGATCTTGTGCAAGATCAGACGAAAGGGAGGGTTCAGTGCCTTTTCAGTAGAGGGGGTAGAACAGGTCCTTAGTACTATTTCTCCTAGGCGATCGAAGAAGTAGAAACAGAAACTGTAAAGATATAATCTATAAGTCAGGGTAGAGGCCTATTAATTAGGTAGGAGAAACAGGGCTAAGTCAATTAGATAGTCAAAGACTATTTCTTGAGGATCGTAAAACCTCTTCAACATGGGTCAATTTATATACAGTCTCATCGCTCAAACAGGAAGGAGATGTATCCTTGGTAGAAGGATGGGAGCGGGGTGTGTAACCTCTGTCAAGGGTGTTCCCTGCAGGAGTTCGTACACGTACTGATGACGAAGCCCTAGCGAACCGCCACAGAAAGCCTGCCGGCTTATCAGGTCCGGGAAGCCTGAGGCACCATTTATACCAGGGTATTCAAATGTGTAATGGGTTGGCCTCAAGGGACTCTCTTGAAGGAGGCATAGCATGTGGCTAGGGCTCAGTTTAGGTGTTAAGTCTCAAGTGGGACTAGAGCTTCATGAAAAGCCAGATTCATAGATTACATAGAAGCCTTAGTTAATTTGGCTCTTTATCAAACATACTTTTGTTGTGCTAGGTTTCAGCATACTTTACAGAGCTCTTAGTTTACAAGAAGAGTCCGAGAACTATATTCACAGCCTTTGCATTTGCAGAAAAATGTAGGGAAACCTAAACCTGAAGGAGAAAACCCACATTAAGGCCGAACGACGAAAGACGCCTCTAGATCTGAGGCGACAGGAAATGAGAAGACCTCAATCTTTGGTAACCTAAAGCGCCCAAAGTGTTTCGCATTTACTAGTTGAATTGTTAGCTCTAGCCCAGGCCACACGGTTATCGTTCTTCAGTAGGCCAACCCTTACATTCTGTTGACCGCTCTGTTAGCCTTGGACGCGTGTTATCGTTCTTCCGCAGAAGGTACTATCACTTACAACCTATCTCGCTCTCTGTTAGCCCTGGTCGCGATTATCGTTCTTCAGCAGGAGGTACTATTACTTACGCTCTGTTAATCGCTCTGTTAGCTCTGGGGTGGTCACGCGATTATCATTCTCATCAGCAGGAGGTCCTAGGACTTACAACCTGTTGGTTGCTCTCTGTTAGCCCTGGTTATGTGATTATTGTTCTTTGACAGGAATTACTTACACCCTGTAGATTGCTCTATTAGCCATAGTCACGCAATTATTGTTCTTCAGCAGGAGGTACTATTACTTACAGCCTTTCGGTTGCTCTGTTAACCCTGGTCGCGCAGTCATCGTTCTCCATCAGGGAATACCCTCACTTACATCCTGTTGACCACTCTGTTAGCCTTGGCCATATATCATCATCCTTCAGCAGGAGGTACCATCACTTACAAGCTGTCGGTTGCTCTCTGTTAGCCCTGGTCGTGCGATTATCGTTCTTCAGCAGGAGGTACTATTACTTACATTCTGTTAATCGCTGTTAGCCCTAGGGTGGTCACGCGATTATCGTTCTTCAGCAGGAGGTACTATGACTTACAACCTGTTGGCCATTCTCTGTTAGCCCTGGTCGCGTGTTATCGTTCTCCAGCAGAAGTACAATCACTTACAGCCTATATATCGCTCTGTTAGCCCTAGTGTCACAGTCATTATTCTTCAGCAGGAGGTACCATTGCTTACAATCTGTTGGTCACTCTCTGTTAGCCCTGGTCGCACAATCATCATTCTTCAGTAGCGGATACCAGTACTTACACTCTGTTAATCGCTCTGTTAGCCCTAAGGTGGTCACGCGTTATCATTCCTCAGCAGGAGGTGCCATTACTTACCGGCTATCAGTCACTCTCTGTTAGCCCTGGTCGCGCGGTTATCATTCTTCGGCAATAGCCACTATCACTTACAAGCTGTCGGTCGCTTTGTTAGCCCTGACGTCGTCGAAAGAGGAATCTTCTTACCTCAGCGTCGGCTGAAACATCAGAGCGCCGCTCTTCGACAGGTAGTGCCATTGCTGTGGCAAACAAGAGGGTCATCAGAAAATAAAATGGCTGCATTTTTTTGGCGCAATTGAGAAAGGTTGAACGTTAGATGGAAAGAGAAAGAGTGAGTTTCAGCGATCAGCCGGAAATTAGTTGGCAGTTCCGCATCTTATACCTGGCTGACAGCATTAGGATAGGTCCACTCATGAATGGAGAATTACTAGAGTCAGCAGAATACCAGCTAATCCTGCAATTCTCCATATGCAAAAGGCCCGATGTAGCTTATGATCTTCATAGAGGGTGGATTGCCCGCCAATAAACAGTCGCGACTCTTTATTCCACCTCACAAGACCAATTGTAATCAAGGGATAATTCATTTCGCGGTTCACGCACGATCTCGGACATTGTTGAAGCCTGTATACGGCCCCACTAAACAAGTTGATCAAGAGTCCCATCGACTATCTGCAACAACATTGCGCAACTCAAGATCCAGGAACTGAGGACGTCGTAATCAGAGGGTTTCCATTAGATTATTCAAATATAAGTAAAGAGTCGCTGACTGCAAGGTTTCCAACAGCAGTAATCTGCGGCTGCAGGGGTAGTCAACTTAAATACGAGTAATCCATTGTCTCATAGACATACATTGTTAGTAACCCCGGATGGCGATCTTTCCGATCATTTCAGGCTACTGAAACTAGCTTGACTAGCGTCGTATGTTACCAAACTCTATCTGTGCCCTTCGCTACGCTGCGACCCACCCACTCGCTGAGCAGAGTAGCGCAGCGCACGGATACTCCGTACTGGGTCCTGATTCAGGCCGGTTCGTCGTCCGGAGACTTCTTGACTGGATCCGGGTCGAGACTGTGCGATCTCCAGTAATCTATGGATAGTTAACAAAAAACTGCTGTGTGTGTAACAATTCCCTAAGCAGCTCCGGCTGATCAGGGGCGTGCTCAATTCTACTCACTGAGCAAAAGCGGCGAGGGGGTGAGCACTAGAACGGAAGGAGGGTTGCCAGACCTTTCCAGTATATATGTAATCAGCGGAATTTAAGAATTGATCTGATAAATTTGTAATCCATTTGGGAAGAGTAATATGCAGAAGATTACGAAGATTAGGAATGTGCTTTCCAATCTCAGATCTTCATGGTGCCATACGATCGCGCCATCGGCCTATCGGCATGTGGAATTTGCCGATTCCCCCGGCGGCTGATACCAGTCAAACAGAGCAAACACACAATCTATTGAATTTCTCCGCTACTATTGGTCAGTCAATCAATGCAAACAGGAGTATTGCAAACAGGACATATCTCCCGCATGGCTACTATTGGCCACTGCAGTGACTTCTGCTTTATGTTTGGTCAGCCCGCGACGGGAGATTTCCACTTCTGCTCAATAATGGTGTCGGATGAGGTGATAAAGCATGGCATTGATGACACGTCCGTCCATGTCGCGATCCAGGTTCATGATAGAACAGAATGCCACAGAGCATATATATATATAAGCTGTAGATATCACTTGCAATGTTAGCTCATTCTATTAGACTCTCCTATCAATTCCAAAGATCAAGACTTGATCGAGCAACTTCCAATCCACTCAAAAACGCCTTTCAGCACTTCTAAGTTCTATCCAATACATCATGGCAATTACTCGTGTGGCCGTGGCCGGTGTAAGTTCTATACAACTCTCCAACCCCTCTCATATGATCTATTTCTAATTTCTCACAGGCCACCGGTAACCTTGGACCCGCTATTATCACTCAACTGCTTGAGGCCGGATTCCAAGTCACCATCCTAAGCCGTTCAAACTCGCACCAAGTGGACTCACGCGTTCAAGTCCAGGTAGTCGATTACAACTCCCTGGACTCCCTCGTCACCGCTCTCAAGGGCCAAGATGCCGTGGTCAACACCCTCAGCGTCGGCATCGTCCCCCAAGATATCCACCTCCGTCTCGTCGAGGCAGCCCAAGCCGCAGGCGTCCAGCGATTCGTTCCCTCTGAATTCGGCGGCGACACGTCAAACCCGCTCACATCTCAGCTACCAGTCTTCGGAGACAAGGTCGCAGTTATCCAGAGACTGCAGGAAGTCAGCAAGCAGGACAGCGCATTCACCTGGACTGCCGTGGTTAGCGGGCCATTCTTCGATTGGGGTCTTGAACGTAGCTTTATTATCGACCTCAAGGGGCCGTCTACTCGCATCTTTGATGGCGGGGATGTCCCCGTCAGTAGTACGACATTGGCTGGTGTTGGACGAGCCGTGGCTGGTGTTCTGAAATATCCCGAGGAAACTAGAAACCGCCACGTTTTCGTTGAGGAGGTGCAGTTCACCCAGAATCAACTTTTGAAGTTGTCTGGAAATGAGGGTAAGATTCAACGGGAGGCTGTCAAGACTGAAGATTTGGAGAAGCAGGCTTATGAGGCTCTCAAGCAATCTCCACCTGATGGAAGGACATTTGCTACCAGTCTCATTTTGAGGGCTGTTTATGGTGGAAATTATGGAGCTTTGTTCACCAAGACCGATAATGAGCTGTTGGGTGTGGAGAAGTTGTCGGAGTCTGATGTTGCGAATATTGTGAAGAAGTATGCTTGAATAGGCAGATATCTCATAAGTAAACAATTGATGAAATGAAATGTGAGGATAACCCAGTAACTAATATTGAGTCAGTTTTATACTATAGCCGAGTTTTTATTCTTCTCGTAATTCTTTTTTATTTTCGGAAATGCTGTAGTGGCATGTAACTGTCAAAGCAGACAACTTTGTGGTCGAATCCGGGTGCGAGAAGGTGAAATTATCATAGTTCATCAAGCACCAAGTCCTAGCAGGGAGAGGGGTATGCAGGAATATCTTGAATGGACATCAGTACCAATTCAACCCTCGGGGCGAGAAGCTTTTATTAAGAAAGCTTTTCAAAACGTAATGGCAGTTCCAAGAATTTCCTGAGCTTTACGAGCCCGAGAATTGGCATCACGGCCCTTTCGGAAGACCCGCTCATCGTCGGGATTGAAGCCGCCCCGGCCCCACAGAGCCCACTCTTCCGTTTCACGCATGTAATCCTCAGGTCTGAACGAGGTGCCGTCCTCCTTCTCCTTCTCGAGCAATTCAAAGAAGCGGTCATAATCAATACGAGTATGCCACTTGCCATTAACGTTGAATCGCTCCGAGGCAAGCAAGACACAGCAACTGTGAGCGTGCTCGGCAGCAATCCCGTACTTGAGACCGCGTCGCTGCAGCTCCTCATTCAGAGCAACGACGAAGGCAGATACTTCTTCGTAGAAAGGCACGTTCTTCATAGTCAGACCGGCGCCTGCACTGGTGCTGGTTCCACAGAAAGTGACACCCTTGATCTCGACCAAACCCGGTAAGGCCTTTTCAACCAGGTTGGCATACCCAATTACTTCATCCTCGACATTGAAACCCTTCACAAGGGTCAGTCGGAAGACGGTCCGCTGAATATGACGCTTCTCCCGGAGGATGTCCAAACAACGCTGGAATCGCTCCCAGAAATCTCGATGGAGCGGGCGGTCGATTTTTCGCAGACTCTCACGGTTGCTGGCGTCGATAGAGACGTAGAGCTGAGTCACGCGGTGCAAAGCCTCCAGCTGGTCAGGATGCTGGGCATTGCAGACCAAGAAGCTGGAGATACGCTCCACGTGCAGCATGTCGAGGAAGCGGTTGATGTGAGGGTAGAAAATGGGCTCGCCAACCAGACTCAAAGCGCAGTGCCGAATTCGCATGGCTTCGGCGAACCGCTCAGCTCGCACACCTGGCACACCCTTCAACATCTTGATCTTCTTGTAGTGGCCTTCCTTCACACCATCAAAAATTAGCTCCGGTGAGTCGACTTTCCATCGCCAGGTAGTCCCGACGGGGTTAGTGCCGTGGCGCCAGCAGAAAATACACTTGTTACTGCACGACAGCGAAGGTGTAGCCTCCATGCAGAGGTGAGATTTGATGCCATAGAAAGAGAACTTGTAGCATGATCCACGTCCACGCAGCGCGGACTTAGTCCATCGGCAGATCTTAACGCCAGAGTGCGAGCCAACAATTGTATAGCCCTGCTTTGTCAAAGCAGCATAAGTCGGAGATGTCTTCGGAACCATCTCCTTTGCAGTGGGCTCCGCAGACACAGCCTTGCCTACAGTCGTAAAGTCAATTGGAATCGGACCAGCCGAGTCCCCATTCATCTGGATATCCTCAAGATCGACCATGGTCGAAGTTGTCTTCTTTTTGCTCCTGGACTCGTCATCCATGTCCTCTAAATCCCCCAGATCCTCTTCGTCGCTCTCGACGGCATCACCACTACCCGGAACACCCTCTCCAAGACCTCCACTCTCCAAGATATCGAAGATGGTATCCTGGAGTCCCCGAGACCACTCTTTCAACGAAGTCTCTGCATCACTCTTAACATCGCCCATTCCCAATGGGTACGCTCGCTTGCGACCGGTGAGTTTCGCCATCCAGCGATCGACTTCTTTCGCCTGGGAACAGAAGCCTTCCTCCTCAGTGGGCCACTCCTCCTTGTCACCAAATCCAAAGACCGAGTAGCCCGCCAATTGGGATAGGGGCGCAGTATCAATACGGAAATCATTATGGATCTCGTCCAGGTGACCCAATAACATGTTCAGGACCGTATCGATGTTATAGGTGGGAATCAGAATGCAGTAAAGGTAGCGAGTACCGGGAGAGGTCGACGGCGGCTTAGGAGCGGCAGCAAAGAAATCGTCAAAGTCGATGTACGAGATATCGTGGATCTGTGGAGGCAGCAGACCATATTCGCGCTTCTCCAGATCTGCTCGTTCCTGTGCCGCTGCACGCAGATCCTCCAGCAGCACATTGGCATATCGTTCCGTCGTTGTCGTCAACGAGGCAAAGAAAATGACAGGTTGGATAGACAAAGGGTGACTCTCCTCATTATTCACGCGGCGACCGGAGACAGTTTTGGCGGGTTTCTTGCCCTGGACACGCTTGGGACCGGACGTGGACTTGGGAGGTTCATCATTGGGAGCGAGCTTGCCATTGTTTGTGGGGATCGATAGTGGGGGTTGTTTCTCGGTCGGCACCCGGGGAATTGGGGATTTTTCGGGGGACAGACTGCGAGGCGAGGACGGGATCGAGGAAGAGGTCGGGGTCTTTGATCGCGACTGGACTTTGCGATAGGCACGAAGGGCCACGAAAAGCGTGCAGAGGGCAATGAGGAGGGGTAGCCGGTAGGTATGCCAGGCGGCCAGTAGGCCTTGAGGAAATGGTCAGCATGCATTCGTAGGTTCCATTTGCTACAGATTCGAGGGAGAGGCAGGAGAAGAACTCAATCGATCAGGAGACTCACCGTCCGTAGTGGTCGGCATACTAGCCATCGCAGGTATAAGATTGATGATACCCACGAGGGGCGAGGAGAAGAATTGCTCGAACAAAAGAAGGTGGTGGAGGAAAGATAAAAGGGTCAAGCGATCAAAGCGAAGAGGCACAAACAAGCGGAGCCAGTGGGACTGTGTTTCGGACTTGGGGAAACCCGCCGCAAGGCCAAAAAAGTGGAGGTGAACCAAGTAGGGAATTGCTAAAGCGACGATACAAGATTATTACTAAACACACGATATACACCTATTTAGGGTTTAGCGCTGTGACTGTGTTACTATCTCGTAATTAGAACATCCTTGTAGTTGTTCAAAAGTCTGAGTCTGCAAACCAGAGAAATGAACCAACTTGACATGCTTCAATCACTCTTTTTTGAAAGATCTTTTTAATTGTCTTTCAAATCATCTTTCTTGATAGCACAGATACTGTTTCTGTGATGACTAGAAAATAGAAAAGTTGTGTAATTTGAATAGAAAGTAGATTAAAGTGAATATTCAGTGATTTCGTTTGAACTCACTAATCTCGAGGATTTTTTCGACCAGCGTACTAGCGACAGACGACAGTATGACAAAATCACATGATCTCGATTCATGAAGCTATTCGAATGGATTATGAGAACCATATAACCTATTACACGCTTAATATTATTATAATTATACGCAAAGATGAGGGTCTATCTACTACTACTTGATTTGGAGGAACAACAAACATGCCTCATGTATAAAGTATTGGAAGATTGAGCCCTCACCACTTCGACAGAATCTCCTGGACACCCTCCTCCATCCACCCAGCCAATGGCGAAAAAGGATTGAAAGAGACGATACCAGTGCTGATATTAGTGCCGCACAAACAAAACAATCAAGAGCACTTTGCCGTCTTAGTCGCAACCTCCGTGGTAGTCGAAGTCGTCTTTTCCACCTTGGTTGACGTCGACGTGGCACGCTCGGTCACAGTCACAGAAGGGTGATTCGTCACGGTCGTGATCTTGACCTTGGTGCTGGTCACGGCTGGCAGGTTAGTCGTACTCTTCACCGTGGTCGTCTTGGAAGTGGTGATGGTCGAGGCGGGAACTGTCTGGGTACTCTTGATCGTCGTCATCTTCAGGCTGACTGTTGAGACGGTCTCACCGGGAAGTGTGCTGGTGGCGGTCTTTGCTACCAAAGAGGTGACAGTTTCGGTGACTGTGGACGCCTTCAGAGTCGTCGTTTTGCCAATGGATGTCGTGTCCACCACTGTGACGATGGAGGTAACTGCCGGGATGGTTGTCGTCGACAGCTTGGTGGCCACGGATGTGATCGTGGCGGTAATGGTCGAGGCCTTGAGTGAGACCGTCTGGGTCGTGATCTCGGCGATGATGTCCGTTGCTATGGGCAGGGTCACCGTCACAATCTTAGTCATATAATCGATGTCCGTGGTGTAGGCCGTGACAGTGGCTGCGTCGCCGCGGGGTAGGATATAACGCTTCTTCCTCATCTTCTGGACTGCCTGCGCCGCCTCGCAGCTCAGGGTCGTGGTAGTCGTCTTCGTCGCCGTTTTAGTCGATGTGGAGGTAACCACTTCGGTTGTGGCCTTGGTTGTAATAGTAGTTGTGCCTCCATTTCCGACTGTCACCGTGAAAGTCAGGGTAGTGAGGCTGGACTTGGCACTGACCGTCTTGAGGCTAGTAGTGGTTTGCATCTCGGTGCTGGTCACTTTAGACGCAGCAGCGGTGACGGTCAAAGTGCTGGTAATAGTGCTCTTGGTAGTAGATGTCGTTGCCTTGCCGGTCACCGTAACTGTCGAGGTAGCGGTAGACTTCAGGGTGGAGGTTTCCGTCCTCACAGCTGGAGTAACTGTGCTGCCAATATCAACGGTTAAGATTGAAGTCTTGGTCGATGTGATGGTCGGCTCGCTGATAGTTTGCGTGGAGGTGATGGTCGTCTTTTCTGTCGTGAACTTGGACACGACATCTGGGGAGATGGTCACAGTAATGGTGGACTTCACCGTCGAAGTACGGTCAACTGGTGTGATTGTGCTGTACAAAGACACCGTTGAGGTAGCCACTATGTCAATTGTGGTCGTCACAGCCCCAAGAGAAGATGTCGAGGAACTGGTGGGCACAGTGCTAGTGGAAAGAAGCGTTGAAACAACCGAGGTAGTGGTGGAGTTGCTGGTTCCTGCAACAAATGGAGTGCCCTTTATATGGGTAAAGACAATCCAGCTGGTGCTTCCAAAGAAATTGTCCAGCTCAAACTGAACAGCGCCAGTGTTATTCAGCTGCGTGGCAAACGAAGCGCGTCCCGAGGTGCTGGATCCCGGACCATAATTTCCATATTCGGCGAAAGTAACACCAGATGTCTGTGGGCTCGAGGAAGACCATTCCTCCCATCCAGTAGCCTCAACACAAGAGTCAAGATAAGAATCGATGTACGCAACGCGCGCATATGAGTTCCAAGGCCTGCCAAGGGAGATCTTCGAAAGGGATCCAGCGCCGGTAGCTGGAGTGATAGTGCACTGGTCGAAGACGAAACCCCCGGCAGCGGTGCTGCTGGAGCGCTTATCGGCCGTGAGGTTGATATCATCCTCGTTGGGAGAAATTGTCGTGTTCAGGAAGTAGGCTGCGCCACTACCCCAAATCATATCGATGTTACCCTCTACGTAGCCATTGCTCATCCAGAGATAACCGTTGATGAGTAGAGCGTCTTGGTTACCCTTGACTTGACAGCCTTTATATTTTATTAGCGTGGATCAGAGATACATGAAGCATCGGATGACTTACCATAGAGACTGGCGTACTTGCTTGACTTCACAGCGAACCCGAGAGTAGCAATATCCTTTGCCGTGCCATTGTTGTTCACAAAGTTGATGTTGAAAGCCTGCCACTGGGTTAGTGCTTTAGAAAAAGAACGCAATCAAAAAGATAATCACCTGGAGGTAGTTGCCAGTAGCATACACAGTGGCACCGTTAGAGTTTGATTCGTCTGCTTGGGTATCAATACCATGGTTATACTGGATAGTGACCTGGTTGTTGGAGTAGTCGTAAGTCGACTCCGAGTAACCCATCAGAATGACAGTGCCAGACTTGTTAAGGACAAGCTGTTCCTCATATGTTCCCGGATAGATAAAGACGGTAGGGGTTATCTTCGACGAGGTAGGGAGCGCATCCAGAGCGCTCTGAATGGTATCGAAAACAGTCGTGTTTGTTCCGAGACTGGTCTTCGAGACAATATAGGCTCCAGAAGGAGGGGTGGTTCCGTCGTACACTGTAGTAGCCGTAGCCGAAGGCGTAGCAGTGCTTGTGGGTGTAGACGTGACGGATGCCCCTGATACCGAGGTAGGTGTGTCTATAGACTCCCAATAGGTCATATCAATCCAGTCAGTGGAATCCATGACAGTCTCCAAGGCATAAGTGTCTTCCGTGAGCAGCGTGGCATATCCAAAGGCTTCACGTGCAGCGACATTACTTTCCCAATTTCCAGGACCGGAGTTGTTGAATTCAGCAAAAGTAATGTAGTCGGTGCGAGGGTCCGTAGTCGACCAGACCTTCCAACCCGAAGGGTTGATGACGTCTGAGATATAGGAATTCTTGACGACAACCAACGCATACTTGGAATAAGGACGGCCCAGGTACACAGTCTGAGTAAGATCAATTGTAGCATCGGTTGCTGCAGTGAACAGAGTTTGATCGAAGATGTAACCTCCGATCGCAGAGGACGAAGCTCTGCTTTGAGCTGTGATGGCGGACTTGGCTCTCTTTGCTCCGATGGTACAACCCTTGAAGTACGCTTTGGAGTAACCCCAGATGAAGTCAATCGCACCCTCGATGTACGATGACTCGTAATACTGATATCCCGTTGTGCTCCCAGTCAAAAGGGTGTCTTGCCAGCCCTGAAAGTATACGCCTGTGTCCAGAAAGTTAGGATTATCACCGGGTCCGGATTGACAGGAGATTGTGCGTCATACCATAGAAAGCAACGTGATTTCCATATATGGATGCCGCCAGGGTCACGTAAGAAGATTCCGAGCCATCAAGATTATCCGAGTTGATGATATTCACGTTGTAGAAAGCAATCTTGGTCGAGGCTGTGGAAACGGTGGCAGTCTCAGCATCCGAATGACCGGTTGGCAAAGGAGAGACAGAAAGTCCACGGGAGAAGGTGATTGTCACTTCATTGTCGGCATAGCTCTGACCAGGATTTCCGTTGATATAGCCAATGATCATGACTGGGCCATTACGACTAATCGAAGGAACCTGCTCCTCATATGTACCAGCGTACATAAAAATCACCTGAGTGGTAGTGTCATCTGGGAGGGAGGCTAGGGCATCGGTGAGGTTGCTGTAGGAACCGTTGACGGATCCAGACACGCTGACCAGAACGGCACCCGACGGGGGAACGGTGCCACTGGATGGATGAGTCCATGTGGCAGTGGCTGTAGATGTCGTAACGATGGTCGATGTGCCAGTGGAAGTCGATGTGCCAGTGGAAGTCGATGTGCCAGTGGAGCTCGTGCCACTGGCACCACCAGTCAAAGAATAGGAAGGCTCGTAATTGTAAGCATCCATGTCAAGCCAAGCAGTGCTTCCAATGAAGTTGGACAGGGTGTAATCCTCAGCCTGAGTAGCGGTAAGGTTGGTCGCAAAGGAAGCGCGACTACTCGACCAGCTACCTGGCCCAGTGTTGTTGAATTCACCGAAAGTGACATAGTCAGTTTGAGGAGAGCTTGTAGACCAAATATTCCAACCGGCGGGATTGATGTGCTTGTCCAGGTATGAGTTCATGTACACAACCCGGCTGTACTCCGAGTACGGTCTGCCCAGGTAAGTGTCTTGGTAGGTGCTCCCATAGGTCGAGGTGTAGGTGACAAGACAGTTGTCGAAGACATAACCACCGGCTGCAGTTGACGAGGATCGACTCATAGCCGTAACACAAGCGCCCGGTGTGTTTGTGGTAACGATAGACTGGTAAAAATACGCGGTGGAAAAGCCCCAGATGAAATCGATGGAGCCCTCGACGTAACAGTTCGAGAAGACCTGAGTACCCTTGTTGGCAAGAAGTGTATCTTGATAGCCAATGAAGGAGCATCCAAATGCTTGCACGTTACCATAGAAGTCAGCAGCAAGCGCGGCGGTATTTGTGGTCTTAGGATAAGTGTTCTTGAAGTTGATGTTGTAAATGGCCAGGCCCTTGCCGTCGCTGTTTTTGGCATTGACAACCGGGGTGGTCTCGTCTTCATTTGCGCTAGTCAAGACGCCTTTCGAATATTCCACGGTGACAGTGTTCTGGGTGTAATCATTGTCGTATGTGGTCTCACCGCGGAGAATGGTCTTTCCGGTACGAGTGATTGAGATTTGCTCGTTGTATGTACCACTCATCACGTAGACTGTGTATTCCTTTCCGTCATTGGGAAGAGCAGCGATGGCGGCAGTGATTTTCTTGTACGGTCCAGCGGTTGGGTTTACTACAAAAGTGGACGTCACAGCAGTGGATGTGGAGGTAATGGAGGAGCTCGTGACCACCGACGAAGCAAGGCCTGTAGAAACAGCCGATGCCGATAAAGCGCCGGAAGTGACAGAGATTGTTGAAGTAGTAGAGCTCAAGCTTGTGATCACATCACCTGCCTGGATAGAAGCCAAGACAGAGCTATCGATCCATTGTGTATCAGATGTGGCGTAGCTTGGATAAGCAGCCTCAAAAATGGCACTGATGCTATATTGCAATAAGTCCGAGGCGCTTAGGAGGGAGACATATCCAGCCCTAGTAGCAGCGTTGCTCGTGTAGGCCCCGGCACCGGTGTTGTCGTATTCCGCAATGTTGTTATATCCATCAAGAGTCGTGGCATCGTTGTGAGCGCCGGAAGCAGCAATTAAACCCCCCAGAACAGAGTTGCGGTAGAGAACTACCATTCCCGGGCCATTGGCAGCACCAAGGTAGACATAGTTGTTCGATGCGCCCGGCTTTTGCGTAACAGTGACACGGTCGAAAATCACGGTGGAGTTCCAGAGCTTTGCCGAACTGTCCTTGGTACCTTTCATGTAAGCCAGAATGGCGGAACTGTCGACGGGGACAATTTCCGTGTCGTAGATATAAAGATTTGCTCCACCATAAATGACTTTGTCTAGGGCTTCAATGTATGAGTTGGAAATAACACCAAGACCAACGCTAGCCGTGATTCCAAGGGTTCCAGTGGACACCATCTGACAATCGTAGAAGGCATACTTGTTTCCCTTCAAGATCATGGCACCAAAGGCAGACGCGGTGTTGACAAAATTAACATTTCGGAAGTTGACATTTTGGGCATTATTGTTAACTGTGAGAACAGTTCCCGAGTTGGTGATGACGACCTGATTTTGCAAGTAATCATCTTTTGCCGTAGTTTGGCCAACGACAGTCACAGTGGGCGTCGCGGAGATAGTGATACCTTCAGTGTACGTTCCAGCGAGGACAGTGACGCTAGGGATTGCATGACTTTGGGCATAGGAAATGGCGGCCCCAATCGCGGTGAACTCCCCACTACCATCTGTTGCCACGGTGACTACGGTTGTCGACGCTGAATTAGGAAGCCCGTTAGTATAGACAGCTTGATCTTCCTTGTGAGGAACCTTACTGTACGAAGTCGTGGCGGAAGTCGAAGTGACAGTTGTTTCCGAAATGAATGCCGATGTCGTAGAATATACCGGCTGAGTCGATATTGCAGAAGCCGTCGCCAGGCCGGCGAGACCTAACAGAGATGCAAACAACATTCTGTTAAGCCCACGGAGCTATGGAGAGGTGTAAACAAAAGATATCCCAACGCTCCTTTGTTGTATGCTATGTCAGAGCCTGTGGCTAAATGGCACCTTGGTCGTTGATCATCGGAGAATCTTTTGATCCTCACTGCGTGGTGAGATCTTATATTTATCGCTACAGGAGAATAATAGGTATGTATGGCGAGAATCTTGGCGTTTCCCCACCGCCGCTAACTTATCGATCAAGCGCTGAAGCAGAAACAAGCGACGGGTTCGCCAGAGCAACATGAGGGGGCTCTCGGCTTTGTCCGAGCCAGCCGAACGTCTAGATTGATACATATCCCAATATCTGGAGTCTCAAAGATGTTGTGAGGCTCCACTTCTAGATTCTGGACTAATAGTTACCATCAATACTCTGACCACGGACCCAGTACGCCATTTAGCCACATTTCGTTCATCCAGATTGATTTGGGTACTGAACCTTCCAAACCTCAACCCAGATCTCACTAGTCCAGAAATGTAAATGGGGCCGGAACTTCCAGTAGTAGGCATAATCTCCGTCCACCAAGAAGTGCAGCGAAAATAAACATAATGAAGGACACCGTACGCAAAGTTGACTACAGATGCTTGTCTTTGCCAAGACTTTTGATACTTGAAATTCCCACCAATCGAGTCGGCCAATTTGTAAATAGGCCCGATGTCCAAAATTAAGCATTGATGGTGAAGTACATAGGAGAATTTTCCTCCGCGCCCTTGCCTCAAGCTAGCCAACCCGGATGACCCTCATACTCGTTGTTTTTCACCACACTCTGAGGCTATAGAGTTGCTGGTATCGCTTTAACGCATTAGTACTGCACGATTGACAATTTTTACAGTATATAACCGGGTGAAGTTCCATGAATTATAGAGAGGTAAGACTAATCTGTCAAGGTGAGATATAAGCCCGCTGGGGGTGCACTAGTGATTTTTATCGTCAAATCTGTGGCCGGAGGTTATACTGATCAGTGATAGCCTCTCGATGGTTAGCAAACGCGATACCTTGGGGTGTGGCTGGCCGGATAATCTATTTCCATCCAATGCATGCCAAAAGGGAGACGATTTCGCAAAATCCAGAGCCAAACCGGCTAGATGGCATACAACGAGCTATACGCCCGACCGGCCGGAACACCGCGGGTGTTCCTCGCAATTTCTGACAGGAGTTGAAATTAAGATAACGGTAGATAAAGACGACCTGGCAGCAAATACAAATTCAATTGTGGATCCAGGTGGTTCGTGAATAATTCCCGGATCGGCTAAAATCACCACGTTTTTCTTTCTCCATTGCTGGCTGCTGATTGGCTGCCGCGGAATTTTGAGGTATTTTATTTCGCCTCAAAGTGGCCCTCCGCTCGTTATGATCAAAGTCGAGAGTGAAACTCGAACCAACCTTGAAAGAAGCTGATTAGCTGCTATTAATTCTTAGCTTTTTCTCGCTTATCCTTACATGATTGTTCCTTGATTACGATGTCATAGGTGATAATTACAATGACGGAGACATGAAGGTTCTTCTATGTTTAAGAACAGACTATGAAAAGTGTCAACATGTTCCGGTGCTCCTCGTATCGGAACATGCGGTTCGCATCTTTGATTACGGTAAGGGAACTTCATCCATATAAAGATAGCTTATACGCGTCTTTAAAATGGCGTGGAGAATAGTGGGCTCCTAGGAGCAATCTCTTTAGGGGGAGAGGGTGGTTGATTAAAGGTGTTCTGGTGCAGGTGCTCAATAGAGAAATTATGCTTCGTCATAACTGTTGATATGGAGCAGATGAAGCAGGAATTAGATTAATTGAAGCTACGAAGGAATCTCAGATTCGCAGGTGCCCCTCCGGGCACTGTCTGATCGCCGAAGAATGGGAAATTGGGACCGCGTCCGAATGTTGATACAATAGCCTATTTATTATGTTTGAAGACAATCCATGCACCTTTGTGGCTATACAGTGCTATAAGTAAAATAGGAAGGGCCTTCCTTTATCTACACTTGGTGATTTTACTTATGGCACTGTTTAGCCACATAGTCTAATGTGGTACGGAACTACCTTAACTTGTATGATTGTTATTGTTGTTATTTTTATTCTCATTATTTTGTTCTTATGTCTTCTTCAAGTAGATCATTTAGCGAGAGTTATAGGGCTGTTCCGTTTCGCAACTGTAGTATAGTGTAAGTTGGACACTAACCAATGTTCAAAATCATCTTTGTAATCGCGAGTTGAACGATAGACTAAAAATTGATACCTCGGCTATGAAAAGAAACTATTTGAAAGACTATTTGAAAGACCATTAGAAAGACCTTTCGAAAAACAAGAAGTGTTAGCATGTCTGTTGGTCGCTTTCTCTGGTCTCTATCTAGACTCAAGACTTTTGAACTGCCACTGTATTTTTCATACATGGCATTACGTGATCGTAAGGGTCCTTCCTAGTGGGTTGGCACAGACCTTGGTGAAAATATTGTAATCCGTAGACCCTTCCGCCGCAACATCACGTAAACTTGTCAACCCCTTTTCCTGGTTGCCTTTTTTGTCCCTTCATCGTTCACTCATTGCGATCAATTTCTTTCAATTTCTTTTCAACTGGCCCTAGTCACTCGTTCTAATCTTCCAGCAAAATGGCCTCCGTCACTACCATCTTCCGTCTCTTCGCGCTATCTGCAGCTTTGGGTCAGGTGACTGCTTCCTTCAGCCTCAATGTCTCTGGTCCGAATTGGGACTACACGACCAAGGATTTAGCAGATACGACCTCACAGGTTTGCAAGGAAGCCTACAGTGCCAGCATCAATTGTGATGAAACCTTGCTCAAAATCGTCGCCTCCATGGATCCTGACTTCAAACCGCAATCTTCGGACTTGGAAGCTATGTGCACCACGACATGCAGTGATTCCTTGTCCCAGTATGTCAAGAAGGTCAAGGCTGCTTGTGGCCTCCATAGTGACCTTGCTGGTGTAGCGAGCGGGAATCAGGAAATTTATCAGGCTCTTGTGGCCACGGTGGGCGAGGTTTTCCAGTACAAATACGGCCAATCGTGTGCCAAGAATGGGTGAGTTTAGTACAACTTCTAAATTCGCTCAGTGTATCTATATGCTTAAAATCTACACAGGTCTGATTACTGCTACTTGACCTATCCCAAGAGCGACGATTGGGCCAGAACCGAGTTCCCCTGTACCGATGAGTGTGCAGTCAAATTTTACCAAAATGCACACGAGCAACGGGGCTCGGCATATTTCTTCAACTACTTTGCGCTTTGTAGACAATCGTCATACTGGGAGCAAACATTTGCCGGTGGTTGGGAAACGGTGGTGCAATGTGGCGACGGTGGAAACGATGTTAGCTCTGTCAGCACCAGCACAGAGGGAAGTTCGACAAAAGTTGATGGCGTGATCTCATCATCGACCAGCTCTTCTACGACCTCAACAGCAAGTGCATCAGCAACAACTTCCGCTCCGGTTCGGTCTAGCTCTGGGACTGCTTCGCCCACAGCCACCAGCGGTGCTTTGAAGCTCAGAGCCCCCTTCGTCTTCAATCTTTGGGCATGAACGCTCAATTCGATATTTTGGGCGTATTGCTTGGAATCTCAGTCAGGACTCGCTTAGCGGTAGCGAACGCCTTACTTCTCCAGTCAGAGATTCTCGTTATCCAAACGGTCGATGTCTCAAGCCGCCTTCAGTGTCTCGTCCGCACAGCTGACGATAATCTTCTCTATCCGGTCCCAGGTCTCGTTAACCATGTCTGACACTTGACGGAAACCCGCCAGGCAGTTTCGTTTTCAGTACGGATCAGATGGACGGGTGATGCTTTTGATCGTAAAATCGGACTGGATCCTATCTGTCTACTCACCTCTGAGAGACGGGCGCTGAAGAGGTGAGCTAGTCAAGGCTACCTGGTTACTTGAGCGAACTAGACCAGCGAATCCGTCAGCAAAACCTCTGGAATGGGTCAAGTTGGCAAAAAGGAGGCTTAAAATGGGGTCAAGAGGAACCGTTTTCAGCGCCTGATTTTACGTTACTATCCACCCGTATATTTACTGTATATGTGTTCGGTCAGCTATCTCTAATACTCCTTTTTTTCGTCTCCTTGACACCAAAGAGTCAAACTTCTAGAAAGTCGGCCGCTATCAAGAATGGTGCCTCAGGCACGCTACTGCCTAATTTTCATAGCATCAACACTCCCCGCCGTTTGCAGGTTTTTTTTCCACGTAATTCTCTTTCACACCCGTCTTCGACATAGCCTCGACTACAAGAGCTTTTCCTTCATGGATCCCAAAACTATTTGGATATGTTCACCCGACTTGTTCCTATTGGTGAGGGTATAGCTCCGACCGACATGGATGGAACTGATATTATCCCATTTTAGGAGCGATGGGACGAAAATTCACCACTCTCTCTAGACGCCCAACGGGAAAAGCTTTTTACCGAGTATGTGAGCCTCGGAATTAGGGGTCGCAAGGTATCTCTCCCTCGAGGTGTTTCGTTTTACGTGCTGTGCCTGATTACCTTGTAGCCCTACCAAGACCAGAAGAAACAGCGGGGCATCTCCAAAGCCTCAGACCTGACTCCCCAAGAACAAGACCTCTTGAGTCGCGTGCGCCATTTTCCTACTGAGAGGCAAACCCCAGCAGAGAGGCTGTGGCTACGCACATGTTATCAGCCATCATCGGATGCCGCTTTCTCTCGCATCGAAACTCATCTAGAGCTGAAGGGCGGGATTGAACCGATTTTGAATGATGCATCTTTGTACAACTTCGGGCCCGATTGGCAGAAAATCTTCATTCTCATGCCGCAACTCTTGGAAAGTGGACCTGCCGAGGAGTACGAGCAGCGCGTGAAAGAAGCTCTTGATTCTGGAATCGAGGCCGAGGCTGAAGATGCGGAACTGGCAGAGGAAGATGGCTACGATCCGGACGAGGACGGGCTACCATGGCCCTGCTTTTACGGACAATACCATATGGCTCTGATTATTGGCCGCATCTACATTATCGATGCTAAGACGCTTGCCTCCGAGGGCCGGAATGCAGGTAAAGTGCTGGCTGTGTGGTATGATGAATGCGGGCGGGTGATTCGCTCATATCGCCAGACAGCGGACAATGCAGCTGACTATCATTATTTGGACGATTGCTACTTAACTGAACATGCGTGTTGGGCGAATGCCACGATAGGCAAGGAGTATCAATGGGGGGCCTCATTGGGTCCGCCCTATGGTGAGGACAGTAGCGAGGAGGATGAGAAAGATGGAGAGGAATCCAAGGAATAGACGGTCGGAGGGTCTTTTCTCGGGGAATTCGTTGTTATCGGAATCATCACAAGAGCTTTTCTCAACAAATTTATCGAGTTAATGTAAAAGATTTTGAAGATAGAGCGATCTTTAATTAAGGGGCGTTCATTTCACAATTAGAAATGGCGACATCAGTCCATCACACTCGTGGTTGATACTAACGGGGAATAAAGTCACAAAATTCTGAGAGATATCCGGAGGGCTTGACTTCGGAGAGTAAAGAATCCGTGGATATAAGTTGAAGTTGTTTCTTTGTTTGTCCCCCTCGTCCTCTTTCTCCTCTCCCGCATTATTATTGCAGCGTTGCAGCGTTACAGTGTCTTATCAGCCGGAGTCGATCGGCTGCCCCAACTTCTCCCTCACAAACAACTCTCCCACCTTCGCACACTGCAGCGATGGACGAGAAGACTTCATTACAGGATCTCCCTTGGGAGGAAGCAGCTCCAGCGAGCTCCACGGCTTCTTCCACCCCATCTAGATCCTCCATCCGAAGCTGGATTCTGCTTTTCAGCGCCCTGGTGGCTAGCGGGTGGTTCCTCTGGCCCCACTATTGTCAACATACTCGTGTGCACACCATCGAGGATCGAGTGCAACACATTCTGTCCAGCACTCCTTTGATCGGTATGATCACCCGAGGTTGATGTCATTATTGCTGTGCACATAATATTTCAACAATTTGAATTATAAAGTCGAAACTAAGCATCGCATGTTCAAACTAACGATCACTTCCAGACGGCCATGATGACTTCCCCATTCAAATCCGAGCATTGTTCCATAATCACATTAACACGCCCAACTTCACCGAGACATTTGTCCATGGTACTCTTCCAGGCCATGTGGATCTGCCTCGTCTGAGGAAAGGGCACGTCGGAGGCACCTTTTGGAGTGTCTATGTTCCCTGCCCTGCAAATTGGACGGACTTTTCCGATGAGAACTACGCGCCCAGTAAGTAAAATGGGTCGTACTGACTATGAAAATTCATTCCTATCTTTGGACCATATTTAACTGACATATATAAATAGGCGTCCGCATGACCGTGGAACAGGTTGATCTCATGTCCCGCATCCAGAAGGCATTCCCAGAGGTCTTCTCAACGCCCCCTAATGGCACAACAGCCATGGATGCATTTCGCCAAGGCAAGATCATCTCTCCCTACGGCATCGAAGGATTGCAGTCGATTGGCAACTCAATGGCGCACTTGCGAATGTTCTATGACTTGGGGGTATCCTATGCCACGCTAACCCATAACTGTCATAACAAGTATGCCGACGCAGCCATCGTCGAGCAGCCGAATGGTAGTCTGAAAATCGCCACTCCTCTCTGGCATGGCGTCAGTCCTGCGGGCCAGCAGGTGGTGGCCGAAATGAACCGACTGGGCATGATCATCGATCTGGCCCACGTCAGTGTCGACACAATGCGCGATGTACTGGGCGCAGGCAAGACCGAATGGACGGGCAGTCGTGCCCCTGTCATCTTCAGTCACAGTTCAGCCTACGCTCTGTGTCCACACCCGCGGAACGTACCAGATGATATCTTGGAGTTGGTCCGCCAACGCAATTCGATCGTCATGGTCAATTTCTCGCCCGATTTCATCTCCTGCCAGGCCTCTGGTCGTGATGACGGGATTCCGAATGTGGACTATGCCCATGCCACCATTGGGCGGGTTGTCGATCATATCATCCACATTGGTACCGTTGCGGGCTTTGACCACGTTGGCTTGGGTAGTGATTTTGACGGTATTCCGACCGTGCCCAAGGGACTGGAGGATGTCTCCAAGTTCCCGGATTTGATTGCGGAGCTTCTTCGTCGCGGACTTACCGATGAACAGGCCGCCAAGGTGGCTGGGGGTAACCTGCTGCGTGTCTGGAGAGAGATTGATCAGGTGGCTCTGAAGATGCAGGCTGAGGGGGTTCTTCCTGCGGAGGATTAGGAGAAGAATTGGCAAATTGAGAAACAACCCAACTGAGGGCTTTCGGTCTATCTGTATACACCTGGTTATTTACAGGATTTTTATTATTATATCGATAGTAGATACTCCATGGCTGTTATCAAATATTTCACATGATCCGGGTTCACACAGCAGCCTTGTTCTGCTGCTCCGTAAACAACGCAAAGGCTCTCAGGATATTCGGCCCTTGATGTCCCTGCATCGGCAACGGCAGTTGATATTTGCCCTGGCGTGTCTGGAAAGAATGCTGCACATCTTCCTCAAGAGCCCAGTCGAACGCCTGATGTTCCGTTGCCTCCAGCTTCACGGGAATCTCATCGATCCCCACAGACTGGAAAGTCCCATCAGCCGACTGTCTCCTTGACTCATGCACCTCGACGATAAAAGAGTATTTGATAATCCGAATCCGATCCCCATTAGTACGACGGGTATGCATCCAGACATCAACAGCGACCAGCTCGACGAACCGCGAGACATGCAGCCCAGTCTCCTCGAAGACTTCACGCACCACACCATCCAGCAACGTGCGATCCTCGTGAGGCTCGGCTGCCCCGCCAGCACTCTCCCAGCAACCAGGCATGGAATCGGTCATGGCTCGCTGGAGCAATAAAGTGCGTGGCGGGGACCCCGCTTCGTGGGATGTGGGAGTTGTCGCCTGGGCGAAAATGTAGCCCCCCACGGCGAACGCGTCAAATTCGGGTCGGGCTGCGATGAAGTCGGTAAAGGGGATGTTGAAGTACTCCAGATGTGGGGCGACTGTGTAGGGGGGTGTCATGGTGGATAATATTGTGATTTCTGTTTGAGAGTTGTTTTGAGAGTGAATTTGATTTTGACTGATGAGATTAGGAGCTTTTCGCTTTATTTATCCTGCCCATTCGAAGACAAGTGCGGCTCCTTTGACTTAAGCCCCTCTTCCCATTTAGTCACACAGCCTCATGACTCACCCGATACGAGGCTAGACAGCTGGAGTCAAGAAGAGAAAACTGTTTCAAACTATGATACTTATTCGGTTCTCACCTCGTCCTATTTGAGAAGGCTTCCTCAAAGAACTGGCTCTCACCGATACGAATATTTGTTGGTGGGATCTTCCGATCGGCCATGTTCATCCGATGGGGAAAGCAGAAGTACTATTTTGCAACCAAGACTAGCTGACGGGTTGATAGGCTAAGTAGTCCCTGAGCTCTCCATTATTTCGGACCACATTCTATCATCCGAATCGGAAGTGCCTTTCAGCTATAGCCTATAGGAAAGATGATCATTTGCCACTCCAGATAGTTTGCGGGATGCACCTGGGGAAAGGTTCAACGGTTGGCAGTGATTGGCAGAGAGGGTCTCATCCCCCACAACATCTCCGACATCCACGTCGGCTTTAACCGTTCGGATTCGGATTGGAACAGACGAGCTATCGTGTATATAAGTGTGCATGCAATATGACGGGAACAGCCTTCATGCTGGTGGAATATCATCTTTCGATTCCAACAACGAGTCCCCGTACCTGATTCAATCACCATGCCTGGTACTCTACCCCAATCCGAGGACCATGTGGATGTCCTCATTGTCGGGGCTGGTCCTGCTGGTCTGATGCTGGCAAACTGGCTGAGTCGATGCGGTGTCAAGACTCGTATTGTGGACAAGCGAGGGACAAAGGTAAGCCATGAATCTTGATTGCAGCATTGTACACCCATACTGATCTAGTACAATAGATTTTCAACGGCCAAGCAGATGGTCTGCAATGTCGGACACTGGAGATCTTTGACTCGTTCGATTTTGCAGACCGCGCATGGCGTGAATCGAACCATATGCTGGAAATTTGTCTCTGGAACCCTGATGATCAGGGCCGCATTAGAAGATCCGATCGAATCCCCGATACCATCCCCGGAATCAGTCGATTCCAGCAAGTCGTGCTGCACCAGGGCCGCATCGAACGCTTCTTCCTCGACTCGATCAAGGAACACAGTGACATTGTAGTTGAACGGGGTGTACTACCCACAGCATTTGAATTCGATGATGCCAAGGCAGATGACTTCAACGATTATCCCATCAATGTCACGGTGCGCACCCTCTCAGACGAGGAATCCACACCGCAGCAACAGCAACAACACCACAAATCCGCAGTCGGAAAGGAAGAAACCGTCAGTGACGGACTCTTCCGGAGTAATCTGGCAGCCGATGACACGGATGATCTCATTCGGGCCGCCGAAACCAATGCCCGAACCGACCAAGTTGAATCCATCAAAGCCAAGTTCCTCGTCGGCTGTGATGGGGCACACTCCTGGGTCCGTCGTCAACTGGGCTTCCAGCTCGAGGGTGACTCCACAGACTACATTTGGGGCGTACTCGACATCGTACCCATTACCGATTTCCCGGATATTCGCCAGCGTTGCGCGATTCATTCGGCAAATGCAGGCAGTGTCATGGTCATTCCACGAGAGAACAAGCTTGTTCGACTGTACATTCAACTGCAAACTACGGAGCATGCTCAGGCGGGTGGCAAGGCAGATCGGTCCTGGATCACACCGGATATTATCCTCCAATCGGCCCAGCGAATTCTGCACCCTTATAAGCTGGACTACTCCTACTGTGACTGGTGGACGGCCTACCAGATTGGCCAGCGCGTGGGTAACCAGTTCTCGCTGAAGGAGAGAGTCTTTCTGGCAGGTGACGCAGTCCATACTCACTCACCCAAAGCTGGTCAGGGTATGAACGTGAGTATGCAAGATAGTAAGTTACTTCAAAGTATCTCGAGATAGAGAACGAGTTATTAATCGCTCGACTTAGCATACAACCTGGGATGGAAGCTCGCACATGTCGTGAAGGGCTACAGTGACGCATCCATTCTCAAGACCTATCAGTCCGAGAGAAGAAAGATTGCTCAGGATCTTATTGCGTTCGATCACCGTTTCTCAAGACTTTTCTCGGGACGTCCTGCGAAAGATATCATGGATGAAGAAGGTGTGAGCATGGAAGAGTTCAAGAAAGCCTTTGAGAAGGGCAATGAATTTGCCAGTGGTATTGGTGAGTACTGAGTGACATCATGATAAGGAACCATGAGGCATCTTATACTAACGTTTCAACCAGCGGTCAACTACGGAGCCAGTGTCCTTGTTGCGAAAGAGGGCAACGTCGCAGAACAAGGAGACGGCACTGATGTTGCCAGCCAGGACAAAACCACCCGCGTGGTCAGCAAGCCCCAATTGGCAACCAAGATCGACATCGGCAAGCGTATGCCAAGCTTCAAGGTCTTGAATCAATCAGACGCCCGCCCCTGGCATCTCCAAGAGCTATTGAAAAGCAACGGCAAATGGCGAATCGTCGTCTTCCCCGGACAACTAGGCCTCGCCCCAAACATGGAACGCATGCAAAAGCTAGGCGCAAGACTCGGGGCCACAGACTCGTTCATCCGTCGCTTTACACCTGCCAAACAACCGATTGACAGTGTGATCGAAGTATTGACCATTCACCCAGGCCCGAGAGCAAGTCTCGAGCTCTTGGATCTGCCAGAGGCCTTCCATCCATACAGCAAGACTATGGGTTGGGATTATTGGAAGGTCTTTGTGGATGATCAGTCTTATCATGAAGGTCATGGTCAGGCTTACGCTAATTATGGTATTGACCCCGTGAAGGGGGCGAGTGTTATCTTGCGTCCTGATCAGTATGTGAGTTGGGTTGGGGAGGTTGATGACTATGATGATATGGAGAAGTTCTTTTCGGGCTTTATGAGAGTTCAGACTGTGGGGAAGGAGTGAATTAATGGAGATGGCTAATATTTTCTTGTAAATTTGATACGTTAATGGAATTTTTTGATGTTTTAATATTCTTGTCATACTGGAGGCGGACCAGGCTGCACAGCGAATCTATGTCCACAAAATTCGACTTAACAATCAATTATGAACTTACCTTTGTAAATTATGCAAGATTAGACACTCTCACTTACTGTCCATGTTACTTTCAAATTAATACAATCAATCATTGAGGTTCTACTCCAGACTACAGGCCGTTTGAGACAATTTATTGCTGCCTCAGGAATAAGGCTGACTCAGCCCCCTCCGTTCGGGCTCCTCACTCGGAGTGAACTCACTTGCTAGCAAGCTTGACTTGCAGCGCATCACGGTCCTCGAAAAGAGTGACAAGCTCTCATTCAGTGTCACCTTACAGTGGCTTTCTTCTGACCGATCTTGAATTCTTAAAATCACCCTGCAACAATCAACCTACTACACACATCTTGCGACATGACCCAGCCCGCCGCTGGCAGGGCCACTGCCGGCGTGCTTCAAATCCCAGTGGCAGCTACGCAAAAGTCGGCGGCGCCTGCAAAGAAGACTCCTAAACCTCCTGCGGCGCGCCTCAAGCTATTGATTCGCCGTCTACCCCCGGGACTGACCCAGGCCGAGCTCGAAAGTGCCCTTGGGCAGGAATGGAAAGTCGGTGCGGGCAAGGTTGACTGGCTTCAATACAAGCCTGGCAAGGTTTCAAAAGAGTAAGGAGCCTCAGGAAGTGTCTGCTCACAGTGGTATCCAGCCGACATATGCTAACCTTGAATTGTTCTCTGTTCAGCCCCGCAAAGCCCTCTCGTCCTTCCCGAGCCTACATCCACGTACTGTCCAACGAACATGTTGGCCCGCTATCAGATCGAGTACGCCAATCCTCCTTCCAAGATGCGAGTCACACCTCCAATGACCCAGTGCTTCTGGGCCCTCCCACCCTGGAATTCGCGCCTTACGCCAAAACCCCGGGTAGTCGCATGCGCAAAGATGCCCGTCAGGGTACCATTGACCAGGATCCGGAGTTCATAGCTTTCCTCGAGAGCTTGACACAACCCATCACGAAGCCAGCCACCGTCGACTCGATCGAAACCGAGGAGAAGAAGGCTGCAGTGGTGACCACCCCGCTTGTGCAGTTCATCAAGGACAAAAAAGCGAGCAAGGCGAAGGAGAGCGCGGCCACCAAATCCTCCAAGCGATCGGAGAAGGAATCCAAGCAGGAGAAGGTACAGGCGAAGAAGCTTCTCCAACGACCAGACAAGAAACTTGCTCCCGGTCCTCCCTCGGACGAGAAGTCCAAGGGAGAAAAAGCAGGCAAAGAGTCTGGCAAGGCAGCCAAGGCAGCGGCTAGCGGTACATCTACGAAGGGAGGCAAACCAAGCACCTCCAGCACTACAAAGGAGACTACATCTGCCGCTGCATCTGAGCGGAAGAGGGAACGAGGGAATGTCGCCGCGGCGGCCAAGATCCTCCAGCGAGATCTGGGACTGTCACAAGCTCCAGCTCGACGACGCGGAAAAGGCGGAGCGAACGAGACAGGCTCTACTAAGAACGAGAGCTCACGAGAGTCGTCTGTCCCGGCGTCCGAAGGCGGCAAGAAGGATACCCCGGCGAAGCCAGCTAAGAATGCCGCCAGCTCAACGAGAGCCAAGGACAAAGACGGCCGTGAATCACCATCCTCTCGAGCATCTGGCACCGCGACTCCTACAGCCAATGCGCCTGCCCCGTCAACAAAATCAGCCAAGGGAGCCAAACCCAAGGCGACCACAAGCCCGACTCCGACTGCAACCCAGGCCTTCCTCAAGCATGCCAATGCTTCTCAAGGTGTGACCGAGGCCCTCTTAGAGGCAGCGTTCACGCCGTTCGGCACGGTGACCAAGGTGGAGATTGATAAGAAGAAGGGCTTTGGGTATGTGGACTTTGCGGAGCCCGAAGGCCTGCAGAAAGCCATGGCAGCCAGCCCGGTGTCCGTAGCGCAGAGTCAGGTCGTGGTGCTTGAGCGCAAGGCCAACCCTGGAGGAGAGAAGTCACGCAAAGGAGGAGGCGGCAGCGGTGGTGGTCGAGGTGATGCGGCGCAGCCGGCGAAAGGGGAGAAGGCCAAGGCGAGTGCGACTGATGGGAACGGCACGATTAGCGGAGGCGGCGCTGGAGGTGGAGGAGGATCGTCTCGTGGGTCTCGAGGAGGACGTGGATCGCGAAACAAGGGTGCCAAGGGAGGTGATGGATCGAAGGGAGGGGCTGGCGGAGGTGCTGCTGTTGCACAAGCAGAGAAGAGCGGAGGAGGCCCGGAGGCGAAGTGAAAGAGATGGGACATGGGGCTACGAGATACTGGACATTTTAGAGCAGCTTTAGGCCTGACGAGAGCATGATACCCTTAGTACTGACGCAATGATATGCCATGATAAATTGATCCAGACACATCATAGATGACATCCAACCATCTCACAATGTCGCCATATATCAACACGGTGAAGAAGCTATACAGGTGTTTACAGAGAATGTTTACAGAATAGTTGATTCAAAATTTGACAAGATTCATGATAACGGAGAGAGGGGGATTTCATTGGAGTTTAAAATAAAATAAAAGTAGCGATATAAGGGGGGAAAATGTCACATGTAAGGCTCGAATCTGCAGTCACAAAAGAACGCTCTTGGAATTTCCCGAATCCTGTCAGGTACATCCGTCGCTGCAACACCAACGGCGCGCCTTTAGCACTCGGCCAAGGACTTTTGTTGAAAATGACAAGCATTTAAACAAATATAACCTACGCAAAGTTTCAGGCTCGATTCACAAACGCCCGACTCCTTGGATTGTCATCTCCCACATCAAGGAGAAGAAACAAAGAGTCAAGGCACCTTTCAGACCTCCTCGACACCCACCAGGACCAGCCGACCGAAGTCAGACGCCGAGACCAGGTCAAGATCATCACCACTCCCTGGACCAACATGCAGACGCCGAAGCACGCTTGTCAGTCGAGGCGGGAGTCCAAATGGCTTCACTTTAGGGCATCGAGGACATAGCAGTCATCAGCAAGGGTGAAGATTCTGTGGCTCGTTTAAAGAGCTTAGAAGTGGGACGTCTACTCTAAAGTGATTCTTTGAACTGTAGGAGAAGGCAGGTTAGTAGATGTTTCATCAAAATGGTTGAACAGCGTCTGTGAAAAGACCGCTGTATGGGGGTGGGAGGCACATACGTAGAGTCGCTTGAAGAAGAGAAAATGGATCGGGGGGCCAGGGCCTTTTATAGTTGCTAACGGTGGGGCCCGACTGGCGCTAGTGGCTAAGCGATGCTGCCTCTGTTTGCACTATTTGTCTGGAGCGGGACGGGCGGTGTGCACTTCCAGCCAGTCATATCTCATTAACCCCTGAATGGTGGGTCCCTTCACGAGACCTGCGGCAGAAAGGATTTTTCTCTTTCTTGCGCCTCGTCTAATTGGTCAGAGCTTCTCAATGGAGAGAATCTAGAGCTTCCATCACCATAGAACCCCATTTTTTCTTTTCAATTTTGCAGTTTCAATTATTCACACCGCTGTCAATTTTTGGAGTAGGTTACTGAGACTCGGAGTACCGGAACTTGCCCGGTGGTGGTACTGTTCGGCTTGCCGACGCACGGTACGGAGTATCGGAGTATCGGAGTAGACCTTCACCACTTTGTCATCTACTGGAGTGGACAGTCTGGACGCAGATGGATAGAGGGGATAGAGATTCATGCTTCTCATGGATGAGATCAATGGCATGCAGGAGGTATATGCCAGATATAGTGCTAGGCATTCAATTGGTGGATCTGCCATTTCGACACCCAAGTGGACTTTGGTCAATTGCAAAATATATCTGCAAGAACTTGACATCTAGTTCAAAGAATCAATTGGGTAAATACCTACTTGAATGCTGGTATTACTATATGCGACTAGTCAAGCTGAGAAGAGGCTAGTTCGAGGTGGAGACCTACACAAAGCGTTGTTTCAAAAGGTATGAGCATACGCTGCAAATTTGGGCGTGGTCTATGCTTGACATCCGCAGAAATATATCCCGGGAACACTATGTACGGAGTACAGAGGGTCGATCAGCTCAACAGGTATAGTTAGACAACCGGCAGCTCTCAAAGTCTCCCAATATATCCTCAGTCATCATCTTCAGGTTTACCAATACGCATAAAAGTTCATTGTGGCAAAAGATCCCAGATGTATGCAGCTGTCGAGATGAACATCCCGAAAGATCAAGGTCACGTGCCACATGGGCGGGACAGTGATGGAGGGTGCCAGGATATTCAGGCACCCATGGCATTCAACGACAAGATAACAGTCTCTGAGATAAAAAAATATTCGATATGCCAATCTCAGCGCAATCAGACTCCTACTGTGACCCAGTGATAGCGATCTTGCTTCCGATTGGAACGCGATGCTGTTAACGTGCTGACACATCCTTGCAAGGGGGTCGGGCCGAGCACCACCCGACACCCCCGCTGCACTTGCCATGCCCCCATTTGCCATTTGCGGGGATTTGACTGCCTGTTGGACCCCGGACTCTTGTCCAAACCTCTCTCTATACCATCATGGGACGCCCAAAGGTCCTTCCAGCGAACCGCTTGCGGGCCAACACCGCCTGTACAGCCTGTCGCGCGTCTAAGAAACGATGCAGCGGCTCTTTCCCATGCACAAATTGCATCAACAAAGGTCGCGGTCACACTTGTATTCCGTTTAAATCGATATCAGCCTCGGAGTCTCGTAGCCGCCGTCAATCAACTGTCTCCCGACAGCCTATAAAAAGTACCCCCACGGCATGGAATGAGCTCAACACAAATCTACAAAGCCCTCAATCCTCGCAGATTCAAGATGCAAGTCCCTCCGACCGACACATTGCACGTCCAATCGAAGCGGGTTCGAGATCACCAGAAGCTACGCATCGCACCCATCCTCGCATGTTGCGGAATCTTCAAGGAGAGAGAGGTAAGCATGGATGAAGTATTAACAGACACCAGAATCACCAGATCAAATTCTAACGACGATCACAGTTTATGTCGGCAAGGCTGCCTCGCTGTCCTTTCTCCAACTTCTTCGTGAAACTGTCACTCAACATATTGGACCGTCACAATTCTCACATAACTACAGGAGCGAGGATATGCTAGAGACGGAGGCTCATCATGATCCACTTAATTTCTCGGAAGAACACTGTAGTGTCGAGGCCAAGCGCCGCTTTATTCAAACGTTCTCCATCGCGGTAAGGCCCTGATCCGACCCGACCGACCATTGAGGCGGCTACGGCACTACTAACGCTTCATTATAGACGAGTGGCTTCATCTATCTGGGATACGATATTGAGGCACTTTTATCCGATCAAAGCGAGCCGAAGACTAGCCGCGAAGAGATTCATGCAGCCATCCGCGATCTGATGATCGCCATCGGAGCCCAGTCATGCCCTGATGAGCCGGAAAATGTCCAAATAGAGCGATTCTTTGTTGAGCGTGGTCAACGCAGAGCGTTCGCCAATATGCTCGAAGATCCTAGCTTGGATCTGGTAAGGGTATTCCTGCTGCTGTCCTTTTACATGTTCGGAGCATGTCGTCGAAACGCGGCGTTCATGTATCTGGGTGTGGCTGCTCGGGCAGCCGTTGCATTAGGACTTCATGTAGATTCTTCCGGTTCTCTAGACAGGGATGAACAGAAAGAGAGGCAAGAATCATGCCTTGGTAGATATGATATGAGCCCGACTGACTTTCAGCAGAACTAGACTCTGGACGAGCCTTTGCGTGATTGATCTCCTGGCGAGCTCGATCCTCGGCCGACCCGCTGCTACTGCAGGACTGCTTCCCGGAAGCCGCAGAGACCTGGATATAATGATGAATACTACGGCTGAAGTGGGCTTGATTGCTTCATATCAGCTGTCTTTGATTGTTGATGAAATCACAAACTGTTTATACAGCGAAAAAGCCGCTTCGATCGAGAAGGCAGGCCTGCTCCTGGCAAAGCTCAACCGCTGGAGCGACCAGTTACCAGAATGCCTCCGAACTCCATCCTCTAAGAATGAGGATTCCGATGCTGTACAGGAACGCATCATCGGGAATATGCATGTTGCATGCTCTTATCATTTTGCAGTTATCCTCGTTACTCGACCTTTTCTCATTTCAGCCCTGAGCGTCCGGCTGGCCCGGGTGCACCAGGCTTTTTCCTCCGATGGAGCCAGCGAGCTATTGGAGGAAGATCCGGCTCATTCGAGACTGGCGGCAGCATGTATTGACTCGGCAGTATACATGCTCCAAACATGTAAAGAAATTCATCAATCCGAACTGCTTCTTCGGCAAATGTGCCTTTTGAAGTATGATCCCACCCCACGCCGCCCCCGTCTTGATTAAAAATCACAAAAAACTGACATTTGACGTACAGAGCCTTCGTGTTTGCAGCAGCACTAGTCCTAGGCTTCTCAATGTTCTCCCATCGCGATGTCGACACCGAGATCGACAACGCATTCACCGGCGCGCTATCCATCTTACAAATGCTAGCACAGCAATCCGCACAAGCAGCCCACTATCTAGAGATCCTCACATTACTCCAAGCAGCCGTGACACAACAACGACACCGTCTATCATCTCAAGCACGCCAACGACGGAGTCAGTACGTCAGTCGGATCTTCAGTCTGAGCGATACCCCGTCGACACCCCGGGTGCAAAGCGTGGATAACGGCCGAGCTGGTAGTGCGACTCCACTTCTGGTACAGGGTGGTCCCTTTTACCCGTGGATTCAAAATGATGAAGGGGCTGCTATTGCTATGCCGCCGATCATGGATGGGGCATTTCTGGATTGGGAAGGGATGGAGTTGCCGCTGTGGGATAGTTTCCCTTTTACTGAGCCAGGCTCATCTGTATTATGAGTGATGAATGAATCTGGGGACGTTTCCAAGATAGTGTCCCAAGGCTATGAATTTCCTCTACGAAGGGTATAATGAAACGATGGATGAGAAGGACATGTATTGAGCAGCAAAACGAGAAGACACACCAAACTTACAATCAAAGCACGATCATCAACATACTATCAATCTAAAACATATCCCTCCGGAAAAAAGGAAGCCCATCAGCCGACAGATAGCGAATCCACAGATAGACCTTATTCAACGCCAAACCACACATATCCCCAGAACCATGAAACTCACCAGTGACTTTGATCGAATAACAAAGACGAGACTCGCGCATTATTGACCAAGGCGTAATTTTGACATCCCCTTGACTGATCTTATCCTGTATCAAGCCGAGAAGGTCAATGTCACTCAGGTAAGCATCCTGAGGGTCAAAGTAGATATTGACGTACCGAGTTTGCATGTTCGGGACTCGGTGATGAGATGAAGGCATGGCTGGAATTGGATTAGTGGAGATAGTGGTGGATAGTGGTGGAATGATGAGTTTTGTTAGGGAACTTAGGGGGAAGAGGGTAGAATTGGAAGTTGATGATGAGGAGAATATTTGAGAGAGGGCTTGAGGGATTGATATAGTTGTCTATAGATACAATGGGCTTTATAAATAGACATAGGCTTTGTTTGTATTTTTAAGAACCATAAATATTTGTTCGAGGGTCTTTATTTGATGCTTTATTCGAATTGGGATTCATAATGGTCTTCGCTTAGTTTCTTTGACCTTGACAAAGCTATTGCCCTTCACGAGGCCAAGTTCAAAGTACGAGGCGTCCGTTCCATTGGCGAGATACACCAAGGACTGTAGTATGTATTAATTTGTCAAAAATTCTACAAAGCAGTGATTTGGACGAGTCACACTATTCTTAGATCGAAAGAACTTAGTCCACTAGAAAGAACCCATTGACTCTTTACAGACATGCTAATATTATCAGACTCCCAACGGGATTCTTTCTATCGAGAAACACACTTTGGGCGCATTCATCCAAACTGATACTATCGATATCCGACCAACTCTTATCTCCCATTCCGTTAACGTCCGATCAACTTTATTCTGGTCTCTCCTCATCGTCATCACCCGCAATCCGACGATAAGCGGTGCGCGGCCCGCCCTCCCAGCGATCCGCTTGTGCACTTTCCGACCGATTCTCATGACCAGACCAAACAAGATAAATGAGATCAACGACCACCAGTAGATCAAACAATTAATTATTCTTCAAGAAACTCACCTGAGTTCATCAGAACACCTGCAATAATCAACATCACCGAAAACAACCAAATCCAAATCACCAAATCCCAAGGAAGGAGCATCATGTCCGGCTGGAAACGCCTAAATGTCGGCGTCATTGGTGGCGGTATCGGCGGCATGTCCGTGGCCATCGCACTCCGTCGAGCAGGCCACGACGTGACGATCTACGAGAAATCCGATTTCGCCGGCGAGGTAGGCGCATCGGTGTCTTGCGCGGCGAACGGGACTCGCTGGTTGCACGAGTGGGGCGTTGATATCGCCAAGGGTGACCCGGTCGTGTTGAAGAAGTTGATTAATCGGGATTGGAAGACGGGTGAACCTGTTAGTGTGTATGATTTGGATGATTATGAGAAGCGGTGGGGGTATGTGTACAACATGTTTCATCGGCAATATATGCATTCTATGTTGAAGGATTCGGCGTTGGGGGAGGAAGGGGAGGGTTCGCCTGCGAAGTTGGTGGTTAATCATCGGGTATGTTTTTTGCCAAGGATCGAAGAAAAAGGTGTGCTAATGATATTGGTATAGTGCCGTGATATTGATATGAAGACAAGCACGGTCATCTTCGAAAATGGTGTTATTGCACACCACGATCTGATCGTTGGCGCTGACGGTATTGGCTCTGTTGTCCGAGGCATTCTGGGTATCAAGCCTGAGAAGCGCCCCTCCGAGTCCAGCTGCCTTCACGCCAACGTCGACACCGAGGAAGCAATCCGACTCGGTCTGGTCGACTATTCACAGGACAGCGCCCTCGAATACTGGGGTGGCCAAGAAGGCAAATGGGACAAGATCGTTCTCTCCCCCTGCAACGGCGGCAAACTCCTCTCCTACTACTGCTTCTTCCCCCGCGAACAAGGCGATTACTCCACCCAAGCCTGGGGTTCCGAGTCTCGCCCGACCGAGGAACTCCTCAAGCCTTACCCTCAACTGGACCGTCAAGTTTTCAAGCACCTCGCTATTGGAAAGGAGATTCAGCCCTGGCGGCTGTGGGTGCATGATCCTTATCCGTACATTCACCGGGCGAATGTTTGTCTGTTGGGTGATGCGGGACACCCGATGATGCCTCATCAAAGCCAGGGTGCGTGCATGGCTATTGAGGATGCGGCTGCGCTGGGAATTTTGTTCAATAAGAAGTATTTCAACGGTGATGTTGCGCAGTCGCTGGAGGCTTATGAGCAGGTGCGCTTGCCTCGTGCTACAAGAGTGCAGGCTGCGGCTGCTAAGGCGGCGTATAACATTAATGAGAGAATTGGTGAGTATCTGAGTACTCCATTTGAATGGCAGATTTTACTAACGAGGATTATAACAGGATTCTCCGTCAACAAGGATACTCCCACATACAAGGTCGAGGATCCAAAGAAGGTTCTCACGATCGAGGAGATGAACTCGTAAGTCATCACATACTCTACTCCCTTTGGTACTATTGAAGTCCGTTGCTAATGACAATCCAGATACGATATGTACCATGACATCGAGGAGAAACTGGCTGCTATCCGTGGTATCAACTACACCGACAAATTTGTCTGCGGTCTCCCCATGGGATTGGAACTGCCTAATGGCATTATCGTCGGGGCCGCAGCATGATATGATTGAATAGATCCTTTCTGCTTGATTCAGCATGACCAAAATTGTACATACATCATTCATGGAGCATTGAGAATATATTCCTAGCCTTGATTTTATTGATATTTTTTATCCTATTCAGGGTTCTATTCCACTACGTCCAATTAAGCTCGACGAAGCATTAGCGGCCTTCTTCGATCGGAGACTTGCCTAGTAACCTAAGATTTGTGATTACCCGACCGAGAGATTGGACGACTAACATGCCGATCGGGTATTTCGAAAATTCTCATCCAATATCCTTTTTTGACTCGATGGTCCCTGGCTGACTCGCTCGTGTATCTATCTTCCCTCGGTGTATCTCCTCCCGAACGGATTCAAATGACCCGGACCCGCGATACCAACTTTTCGCTCTCGTCCGAACCATCCGAGAACCAGGGATGGCAACACGGCAAAAAGCCGTGATTTGGCTCGTGTCTAGATATACCGAAGACAATCTGGTTCTCTATGTAATTTCTCCCCCAAATAACGATGAATTTTGAACAAGGGACCACGACTTGACGCGTTGTCGCGACTGCCCCGCTGCATTTACCCCGCCACCAAGCCACCGTCAGAACTAAAACGGCATAGACAAAAAGATGACAAGACCAGACAAATACAGTGTGTATGTATCGAAACCTCTCAAAGAAGGTGGGTTGCAATTTTGGTTATATACATTTCAGAATATATAGGAAATAAAGAAAAGAACAAAATGGTATTCATATCCTCATCACTTCATTCGCTCGAAGAGTTTCATGCCTCTCCTTTAAGCGAACAGAGCATCGCCCAGACGGTAGTGGACGGTCTTGACCTGAGTGTAGTTCTCCAGAGCGTAGGAGCCGAGCTCACGGCCCAGACCGGACTCCTTGAAGCCACCGAAGGGAGCCTGGTAGGAGATCATGTTGTAGTTGTTGATCCAGACGGTACCGGCCTTGAGGGCGTTGGAGACACGGATGGCAGTGTTGACGTTCTTAGTGTGGACGGCAGCGGCGAGACCTAGAAGAAAAAGAGTTAGTATGAATGTTTCACCCTAGAAGATGTAAAGTAGATATCCGATGACATACCGTAGCTGGTGCTGTTACCAATCTTAATAGCCTCAGCCTCATCCTTGAACTTGGTGACGGCAACGACGGGTCCGAAGATCTCCTCCTGAGCAATCTTCATGTCGGGAGTAACGTCAGTGAAGACGGTGGGCTGGATGAAGTAACCCTCGGTACCGTGGCGCTCACCACCGACAGCAACGGTAGCACCCTCCTTCTTACCGTGGTCAATGTACTCCATGATACGGTCGAACTGGAGCTGAGAGACCTGAGGACCCTGGAAGGTGTTCTCGTGGAAGGGGTTACCGAGCTGGTTCTTGGCGGCACGCTCCTTGAAGCGCTGAATGAACTTGTCGTAGATACCCTCCTGAACCAGCAGGCGAGAACCGGCACAGCAGCACTGGCCGTGGTTGAAGAAGATACCAAAGTTAGACCAGGAGATGGCGTTGTCAATGTCGGCATCATCGAAGACAATGTTGGGGGACTTGCCACCCAGCTCGAGGGTGACCTTCTTCAGGTTGGACTTGGCGGCGGCCTGGAGGATCATACGGCCAACGAGGGTGGAACCAGTGAAGGCGACCTTGTCGATGTCCATGTGGCTGGAGATGGCAGCACCGGCAGTGCGACCGAAACCGGAGATGACGTTGATGACACCGGGAGGGAAGCCGGCCTCGACGATCAGCTTGGCGGCGTACAGTCCGGAGAGAGGGGTCTGCTCGGCGGTCTTGATGATGACAGTGTTACCGGCGGCGATGGCAGGACCGATCTTCCAGGCCCACATGAGGATGGGGAAGTTCCAGGGGATAATCTGACCGCAGACACCGACGGGCTCGTGGCGGGTGTAGGTGAGAGTCTCGGTGTTGGTGTCGATAGTCTGACCTGTGATCTTGTCGGCCCAGCCACCGTAGTAGCGCAGGCAGCCGGCGGCAGCGCCAACGTCACCCTTGGCCATGGTGACAGTCTTGCCGTTGTCCAAAGCCTCGATGGAGGCGAGGATCTCAATGTCACGCTCGAACAGGTCGGCCAGCTTGGTGAGCATGCGGCCACGGTTCGAGGGAGTCACGTTGTGCCAGTCACCCTCAAAGGCAGTGCGAGCGGCCTTGACGGCGATGTCGACATCCTGCTCGGTGGCCTCGTGGACGGCGGTGATGACCTTCTCGTCAGTGGGGTTGATGGTCTCGAAGGTCTTGCCCTCGACACCCTTGACGAACTCGTTGTTGATGAACCTGTGAAAGAGAGAAGACGTTAGTCACGAAGCTATGCATAGGAAAGAGATTGGATGAACTGATAGCCAGGAGGCGAGGAGGCCACGTAGGAAGAGAAGGGGAGACAACATACAGGCCGAGAGGCTGCTCATAGGTGACGTTGGGGGTTTTGATGGTAGTGGAGAGAGACATGATTGCGGATATGCTAGGAAAGGGTATCACAAAAAATCGACGACGTAGAAGGGAAAGGGGAGAAAATGAGGGGCGAGTGGGTTTATATACTTTAGAACCTCTCTCACTCTTGATCAATTCTTCGGATTGATGCTTGGTGCAGGTCCCCAGTTAATTGCGGGGGTTCGCATGACCGAGGGGAGGACCAGAAAAGAGTGGTACAGTACTTTTTGGTACAAATACAGCGGTAATGATGTATTGACCCCACTTTGAAGGTCATCAACTGTATTCTATGGTATTGGATGGTATTCAACCATTTACAGTAACCAGGCAGTTGCAACTTGGGCTGTAATTACCACTGTGACCATACAATGCGGGTCCGCACAGCTATCGAGTGGCGGATCCGCGTACCGTGCAGGTTTGGGGGCGTTTTAGCTGCTTCCTACAGACTGGACAGTACTTACAGAGTCCTGCAGTCCTGCTTGCTGCTAGTCTGCTTCTACCGTAGCGAGGCCCATCTTCGGCCTTGGTTTCGCTTTGAGTTGGACCGAGGGATGACAGGCCCCCGATCATAACCCGCACTTAACGGATTTATGCCTACTACAAAGTTTCCAACTTGCTCAATCACAAGTCAATCTACACAGTAGTACACTGTCCGATTTAACGATTATCAAGCATAAGAGTCTAGCTACCTCCGCGGTCTCTCAACTCAGTGCGGTGCCGAGGAATCACCCTCCGCGCCCCCTCTCTGCAGGCGCAGGTTTTACTGCATCAGGGCAAACCTTACCAGTTCCCCTCCTCCGGGATGAACCTAGTCAAGCATAACAATAACCAAATTATCACTAATGAAGACCACCGAAACACAACGAAACTCGGACTCCAAGGAGCGGGACTGGATGGCGGGGCGGAATTGTGGGCCGGCGGTGCATCATCCTCGAGGTTAACTCGCCGAAACGGACGAATGTCTCCCCGGTTACTTGCGGAGGGGAGAAGAGGGGAAATTATGGTTGCTATGGAAAGGATACAAGATTATTATTGGATCTGTTGCGGAGAGAGGTCATGGAGCTCCAGACCTGATAGATCATAGAACTTGTTACAATAGAGAATTTCTAGTTACCCTACCAAGCTCCTCATACGAATTACAGACTTGAAGTTATAACTCCAAATTGAAAGCGCTCTTGACCTCTAGTTTATTTAAGAATATTCAAAGATAAACATAGGAGATTAGGGGAGGTACAAAACAAGCTAACAGTTTCACCCTTGACTAGTCGTCTTGCCCCTCCCGCTCTCGAGCCGCTCAAAATAAGCTACTATTATTCCAACCTAGATCACCATGTCCGACGGAGTAGTACTATTTTAGCTATTGACTGGCCAACTACTCACAATTAGCTATTCTTAGTGGATGGAGCACCATCATAATCCCGTCCTTGAAATTAAACCCACAGAACACATATGGATATTTGGATTCCTTCTCCAACTTGAATAATGGAGCTCGTTGGGGACTAACAGACCCACGCCGTTTGGCTCACGTCGGCCGAGAAAAATTACCCGACCCACTCTGTTTTATGGCCTATTGGGGTAATTATCGGGTAAACCAAAGGTTAACATTGGCAGTAAAAGGCAAATAATCTTTTCAATATTGATCACTCGCCGTGCTAGTTGTGCTAAACTGTTCTAACTACTTCATCGACATTGTTAGAGCCAACACAGAAGCGGAAGCGGAAGCGCCAATCCGCCCTAAAGAAGGACATCGGAACGACGAAGTCTTCTAAACAAGCAAATGAATGAGAGCCAATGAGTAAAGAACCCGGAAGCTCGGAAATGAAGACAATTCTCGGCAGTTCGTAGATCTGCCCAAAGCATAAATACACCAGGGTATACAGTATGACCTATACTACCCGCAATCGCACCCTATGCAGCTATAGCTTCCCCCGATTCAAGAAGCGCACGGGAAGATCAACAAGTCGGCTCCGTAAGTATTCCGCCACATTCTTACCCAAAAAGTCCACCGTCGTCGTGACCCCAACCCCGCGATCCAGATGGTTCTTAAATAAGAAATGCACTGCCTGTAGACCTGGTAGCTCGAATCGATCAATCTCCATCCCAGGCTGACTATCTCCCAAGAGCTGGCGTGCGGTATCAACCGAGAGCAATGACCGCAACCATAAATACTCGTCGCGGTGTCGCACCCAGAAGCCGCAGTTTGCATCTGACCCTTTGTCCCCGGAGCGGGCATGAACAATCCATCCGAGCGGGCCTCGGACCGTGGGACCAAAGTCGTTCTTGACATTCACCGGCTTGTCATTATTAGTGACTGGCTGTGAGGGTTGTTGAGCCGGGTACGTCTTTGTCGCCGGTGGAGGGGCGATATCAAGGACTCGTGTCTTGGCCGTGGGCTTCCACGGTAGATGGACCTGATGCTGAACGGCACTTTGAGGCAGCAAAGTCACGTAATACTGGAAGATAGCGCGGGGAAATCCCTGACGTAAATCCAAGTGGAAGGTAGCTCCGGGATAGCCCTGCATGATATTGTCGGTGATGGGTTTGAGGAACCGCGTGGGTGCCAGGTCCTCTGCCCCCTTTGCTTGCACCACGATACGCAAGGGCGCAGTGGCACGGTTTTGATTAGGTGCATCTGATAACGAAGATCCCAGAAGGTCAAATTTCAAGGACGTGAAACGATCCGAGAATGGGGCGAGGAGCCGACGGATCTGCACTTCCAACATGTGGGCCTTGGCTTCGATATCCAGACCGGTCAAGAACCACCATGCCTCTGCCTGGAATCCACCACGCGCTGTGATGCCTACCTTGGTGGTTGGTGGTGGAGGTCCAGAGCGAACTCCATGTAAGGACACTCGATTGACGCCCCTCTGTTCGAAATGGATTCCATTTAGGACCGCGGTGACATCAGAGTTGAAGTACCAAGGTCCTTGGATCTCGTATAGCAGCTGCGAGGTGCATGTATCAACCGTGACAGCACCACCAGTGGAATGCGCTTGCTTGGTGATAACCACATCGCCCTCGGCAGAGATCTCAGCGATGGGATATCCAATGTTAGCCCATCCGTCACCACCGTGCTCCAATTCTTTGAACCCAGTAAAGTTGCCCCCGCAGACATAATTACTACACTCGATCAAATGACCGGCCACGAAAGCGTTGGCTAATTTATCCAGCTCATGACGCTGCCAGCCATGGTACCAATATGCTGCACCGATAACGGGGGAAGCGTCTGAAACTCGACCACAAAGCACAATATCTGCACCCTCAGCGAGAGCTGCTGCAATTCCCAGCCCACCCAGATAGCACTGGGCATAGATGGGCTCGAAGGACCAGTCGGCCAGTTTCTCGCCCGTGTAAATATTGCGAAAGTCTGACTTTCCACCCGCAAGGGACTGTTGAATGGCCGGTAATACTTCATCACCAGATACCCAGGCAACCTATCGCATTATCAGTATGCTGTCACTGGAATGCATCCAGCAAGGTGTCATTGAGTTCTGACCTTCAAATCCAACCCCTTTGCCTGCACCATTTTCATAACCACCTCATATAGCCCCTTTGTATCCGTGACTCCAGCATTGACAGCCAACTTGATCCCATACTTGGCCAAATCCTCCAATGCCGGCTCCAAAGCCTCCAAAAACGACAGGTCATAGGCCGGCGATGCCCCAGCAGCACCATCAGCGACAGTTCCCTGGTCCACCCGCCGCCCAGCAGCGGTGGCCATATTGAACTCGCTCATAAAATCCGCAATAATCACATCGACAGGATCTGTCGGGTAATACCGTGCAAATTCAGCAATGGCATGGCGACGGTCCGAAGCAGAACCCGATGCCCCTTTGCATAAAGTTAGCTATTGACATCCTTTGAATCGTAGAAGATTGACGTACCTGCAATGCGAATTGGTCGACCGGTGAATGCCATTATGTTGTGTATGTGATTAGCCTTGGGATAGGCGTTGGGAAGGCCAAAATAACATTTTAGGTGTAGTGAATGCGGAGTGTGGAGATCTTCTTGGGGAAGTTGGGGGAGACCGAGGCAGCTCGGCTCGACGAAATTGCGGGGTTACACCAACAAACCACCATCTGATAAGAACTGAACTATAAAGTACAGAAAACCGGTGACTTACAACCACGGCTACTCTTGGAAATAGTTGAGACTCACTCAAGGACTTATCTGACAAGTTTGGGGTGGGGTCGGCATGCATGGGCTTCGTCCTCCTTGCATGGCATGTTTAACACACGGTTATTCGCGGGTTGAGCAGCAAACTACCATTTCAGCTTCAACTGGGCAGTGGCCTACGAATTAGTACAGGGGTTCGTAATAAAAACCGGCGTTTTGTTATGGAAGCGCAACGTATGAAAAGTACCATCTTTCTAGAAATATTGATTCGAAGTCAATGAATTCGCTCAGAATATCAGGATGTCATGAGTGTAAGAGTTTCCCCCGATAAGACTGAGCTCCAAGAACACCCTGAATGCAACTGGATAAAGAGATCGCCCTTAACCAAAGATCACCGCCGACGACGTGATGTAGAAGTACTCATTGGCTCGAAGGCATCATCATCATCGTCGTCGTCGTCAATGCCATCGCTAAGGACGCTGACGTTCCGAGTTGTGCGAGCAGCCCGTGATGAACGTGCTGAGCTAGCTTGGGAGGCAGCAAAGTCTAGGGTTGTCTGAGTTGGTAAGGCAGCTCTGCCTCGGCGTGTAGCAGTACCACCAACAGTGGCCGACGACGGCGCTGGTGAAGCGGCCGCTCGGCCCCCGCGACCTCGAGTCGACGTCGTGGTTGCAGATTTGCGTCCTCTCGAGGCGGTCGCAGCACGAGGTTGCTTCACGAATAAAGCTTGCGAGTCATCATCTTCCTCAGATATGATGTTAGCATTTGCGTCGTCGTCATCATCCTCTAGCATAATGACATCCTCCGATTCATCGTCTGAGATGGCTTTCTTCTTGCGTCCTCTAGCTGGAGCCGCAGCGGTTTTGGTTGCGGCAGCCCGGGAACTCGCAGCAGCTCCCCGACCTCCCCTCCCTCGACCGCGGCCACGAGTAGATACCGTGGTAGTTGTGGTCACTCTGCGTGAAGGTGCGGATCCATCTTCTCCAGCCTCTTCTGCGGCGGGATCCCCACCCTCGTTATCGGAATGAATGAGGGCACCAGGTTGATCCTCCCACTCGCCATCAAACTCGGAATCCCAAGTATCTGGCTTGGGCTTGAATTGCTTCTTTCCACGAGTGCGTTTCTTGACTCCTTTGTTAAACATGTCTTCCATCTGTGTGCGATATTTTTCCATAGCATTGACAAGAGAGCTATGCGCTCGTTCCTCGTCCTCCACATCATCTTCATCACGATCCAAGCTCATGAGATGCTTAACTTGGCCCTCGAGGGAATCATTGACAAACATTTCCATCGCATGCTTATCGTCCTTGTCAATGAATTGAGCCACGGCATCGCCAAAGGAGTTCTGAGGGAGGATGCTAAGGGACTGCGATGCAAGATATTCCCTGACCAGCTGTTCCACCTTCACTGTATCCAAGGCGGCTAGGCGTGAAGCTGCAGCTTCATCGACTTCAGCGTCAGCCTTTCGAGAAGACGAAACGTTCTTCTTCTTCCTATGGAATTGCACCACGTCATTAACGTTGGCGACCTTGCCCACAAACCGATTTGAAAATCTCTGCGGATTCTCGCATTCAAAGCTTCCACCCTCAGGGGTAGATATCTCGACACGAAGTCGTACTAACGGGAGAGGCGGTTCGCGAGGCTCTTCATCGTCATCTTCATTCTCCTCACCCTGTATCCCTTGGGCCTCACGCCATTCTGTATTGGCTTCTTCAATCAGTTCCTCAACAATCGACATGAGGAATCGGGTCACTTCTGTCCGATTGCCCTCCTTCCGAGCAAACTTTTGAGCGCCCTTCTCTTCCGACAAAACGATTTCTCGCATGACAAAAGGCCGAACTGATTTCAATCGAATAGGTTCACACTTGAATTCACGGCCAGTAATACTGACGATGGACACCTGCTTTGTCACAGCCTCACCAGGGACCAATGAGGTAGCGACCGAGGACCCGGGCTGCATGATATGAAACTTGGTCTCTGGGTTGAGCTTTGGGTCGATTAAACACTCATGTTCGTGACCCCAGACGACCAAGTCCATGAACTCTGGGAGAAAGTTTTCTGGTAGGTATCCAGTCTCAGTGTATGCGTGGTGATTCTGATGCACCGACATCAAGTTGAACCAGTCACTCTTCTGCACAGACGGTTGGAAGAATTTGACCTTGCCGTCCCGAAAAGTGCGGAACAAGCGCTCGTCACGTACGTTGCTCATACCGTAAAGAGCAAGCTTGGTACGGCCTTTTTGGAGCAAGACTGGTTTAATCTCGATGTTGTCCGACTCTGGAGTTCGCCCGTAGTAATTAAGTAAGCCGGAGACCTGCAAGAGATCGAGTGCAGCTAGATGACCCTCTCCGGATGGGTCATCGTGATTGCCATGGATGGAGAAGATCGGGATGGCAACATTCATATCGAGATCCTCATAGTTGACATGATTGAATGCACCTTGAAAGGTCTCGCTGGCATCGCTGAGCATCTCCAACTCGCAGGGCTTATCACCAAAACAGTTCATCCGGATCGAGCGCATCACCTGGTACATAGATTTTCGAGACGGCTTATTCTCGTGGAAGAGATCTCCAGCGAGCAGGACCATATCAACATCGCGCTCCTTGGCAAGGCACATGACCTCGTGGAAGCTCTTCCAGCTGTCATCTCCACGAATGGGATCCCGCTCATTGTAACCGACATGGTTGTCAGTTGAGACAAGGATGCGAATGGTTTCCGCTTCGCAAAAAGAGTCAGTTTTAGTTTCACGATCACTAAGAAATCGATGACTTGGGGGCATAGCCACTCACCGCTGTTCGACATGATGCCTAATCGACTCCAGGTTGCTCATCCGGCGAGGAATGTTGGAAGGAACGGAGACCAGTGAGACTGGATAAAATCTCCGGCGACCCACTATTTTGACCTGATAGTAGCCTCAAAAGCAACAGAAGCGTTCGGCGTCCAGCGTCAACCGCAACTTCTCCACGTCGAATGGAAGCCGTTTGCTGAGCCACACGCGATACTTCGCGTTATCACGTGCCACTGAACGCGTGAAAGGCAGACTAATAGAGGCCAAACGAGGAAGGCGGTGTGACGAATATATTGACTCCTCTTATGTCATCACTACCTCGTTCAAAGTACGATGAACAGTTGAATTGATGAGGTTACAAGATACTTCATGGGTTACTAATTTAATATCTGGAGAATGGAAACTAGAAAAATTCAAGAGAGAAGAGAATTGTAACAGAACCATCCCCCGATCCTACACCAGATACAGCCATCTATTACCATCAAAAAACCCTTCAGCATTTCTGCCGGTTGGCCACTCCGCGTCGCCTTCCGATTCTCCGCTTTTCTCCTGCAGCGCGCCGTCATCCTTCTTTTCCCTCCTCAACCCATCGCTTTCGCACCCTTTTTATTCACTTCGATTCGTCTCACTTGTCTCGACTGACCCAGGTATACTGCTGGCTCAGTCGCTCTCGCTTTTCAGACTTCCCTTCAAACCTTTTTATGCAATCAGAGCCTACTGCCGTATCTCAACATACACCCCCCGTTGACTCATCCCAATCCTGCCCCCACCCCATCCAACATGGAAATGACTTCGATGATGTTGCAGTCTCTGGCCTCCTTCACTCAGAGGAGACTGGAGACTGTTCAGCACTGGGACCTTTCCCGCCGGGAACCAACAGCGCGCTCTTGAGCGATATAGACTCTGCCCCGCCTTCCTCACCTGTCCAACGAGTGATTGAGTACGAGAATGCTGGAACCCCGAGCAAGAAGAAAGACGACACGGACTTTCAAGTCTCGTCATTCGAGGGCCACTCCAACTTGCCCTTAGAGACGCTCCCAAATGGTATGCTCGAGTTGAGGACCCCTCACCTAAATGGAACCCTCGACTAACCCCCTCCTCCTCCTCACGCAGAGGTTCTTACCCACATATTGTCGCATTTACCACCTCAGTCTCTCTCGGCTATCACGCTGGTATCTCGCCGATTTCATGCGCTAGTCACGACTCCTCATGCCTGGAGAATCGCATTCTCTCGGTTCTTCCCGGGTCCGCAAGCTGCAGACAATGGGCGACGCGCTCCGACGAACCCCGAGGATTTGATATCCGATAGACGATTCTTTGCCAGACTCACCGCGCTAGCATCGTGGCGCAGCGAGTATATCCTACGTACTCGTTTGATGCGGTCGTTGTCTCGAGGCAAACCCGCTCAGTTTCAACCCTCCAAGAGGCAAGGTGCTGTCCGCTCCGCGACCTCGCGCAATGGCAGTGCCGTGGCAACATATACCTCGCAACTCTTATTCCCCGTGAGCCATATTCACGGATCCTTCAGCAACTCGGAGAAGGAGCCCAATTTCATCCATGGCGCATCCGAACAGGGGGTCGCATCCGCCAGTGATCCCTCGGCTGTCAAGGTGACTACTTGGGGCATTTCCGACCATCAAATGTTCCGGCACTTCGCGGATAGCTTCCCCGGTGATGCACCATACGGGCTTGGAGCCGGTGATATGATCGGTGTTCCCAACTCTATGGATGTAAGTCAGCCATACGGTATGATCTATGGCGAGGGCTGCCCGCAGGGCCGCAGCTACTTCATTTCAACCTCGGAGCAGCGCGGTCGCTTCCTTGCCCCCTCGGAGTTGGGCTCTCATCCTAAGTTGGGAATTCCTGCCGTGAACATGATTACCCATGCTGTTTGTTCAGTTTGGATAGCCAAGTCACCCTCAATTCTCAAGGCGACCGGTGGTCTCATTGCGATGATGACTGGTTCGTCTTCGGGTATCCTCTCTGCATATGCCATGGGTCCCCACCCGACCTATGAGAAGAGGTATGAGCGCGGCCAGGTAACTGCCAAGTGGGTTCTCAGCCCTGGTGTGCCTATAATTGGTATCGCTGTGGATGATGGGTATTCGACTAAACGTCATGCCCAGCGGCGCATCTGGGCGGTTGCACTCAATGCCCTAGGCGAAATATTCTACTTGACTGATCCTCCCAAGCAACCAGAAGTTCCATCTACAGCTAAGCTGAACGCTGAGCAGTTTGATGAACTTGCTTGGAGGACTGGTAGAACTGTTCGCTGGGAGCTGGTCGAACTGAGCCGGCGTACCGCACGTCCGGACCCTTTTAATCGAGATCCAGTTGATGGCAGCTATAGCCCGCGCTCTTCGTCGGATTCGATGCTCCTTGAAGAGAGTCAAATTGCCGCGGAGACCAAGGAGATCGAGAAATTCCTCTCTTTCAAGCCGAAGCATTTCCGCAAGGTATGTGAAGGATGGAACATGCGCTGCGATCTTCAAGTCGACTTTGCTGGCGATGATGGATGTGGATACGGCGAATCAGTTGTAGTGATTGCCCGTGGCGAAGGCGAGACTGAGAAGGCTTCCGTTCGGCGATATGTTCGCGTTGTATCGAAGGCCGATCTCAAGTCGTCGCCATCAGCGCCAGGTGGTTCTACTCCCTCCCTGAACAAAGTCCCCACGTCTCTCTTTGGCGGTCTTGTGACTTCTTCGAGCTCGACCCCTACGCAAAGCTTCCCGCCGTCTCGATCATCAAGTCGGTTCGGTGAACAAGTGCGTGCACTACACACTGAATGGCGGATCTCGGATTTCACATTCGGCGATCGAAAGTTTGTGGAAGTCACCGCCACCGCGATCGATAATTCGATGTTTGCGACAGTCATTGCACAGGAAGACCCGTTGTTGGCAATGTCGGGAAGTTCTTTCTCCTCCGCCACGTCCTCGCCAATGTTGCCCCATATGGAACAACCGCGCTCGAGTCTCGAGGTTCCCGGTCAGCGTGCACGGTACCTGGCCGTCGGGACTGCTAATGGTGGGGTCTTTGTCTGGGATATCCGTGCTTCTCCTGCACAGAGTCCAGATGTTATCAACTCGATTGCCCCGCTACGATTCATTCAAACCGAATCTCCGCAGGTATCATGCGTGGCATTGACATCGTTGTACCTGGTTCATGGCGGCAACGATGGCCTGGTGCAAGCCTGGGATCCCCTAGCTTCGTCCACGCGACCAATTCGGACAGTCAACTCGCGCTTCTCTTCTCGTGCGCGACGCCGATTGGTACAGGCGGAGGCTTCCATGCTCGGAGTTGGTAGTAACTACTTTGCGACCGGGGCGATTTGTCTGGACCCAGATCCAACCATCCTCCGTGGAATGGTCTCACTGGGTACCCATCTCCGCTATTGGTCGTATAGTTCATCGGGCGCAGATCAGTACAAGTGTAGCAAACGCCGCCTTCGCCGTTCTCAACGGGGCAGTAATGGTGCTGCTGATGGTCAACGCTTCACTACTAGCGGACGAGGTGCTATTCGCGACTTTATCGAGGATGAGCGGATTGAACTAAAGCGACAAGAAGTTGAAATTGCAAAGGAAAGAGCGCATTTGAGTGCTCGATTCGGTGTCGACCTTCTCGGCCCCGATATCGACGAAGAGCAACTTCTGCTTTACGCACAGCTTCTGAGCGAAGAAGCTTACACTGCGGGTGGAGACGTAGCTAAGCGCGATGGGGTTGAACAGACTGCCATCGCCAGCTCTGCCACTAGTACCTCCGTGAGCGATGCTATCGGGCCAAGTTCCTTCGGTCTAGCCGAGGTGTCGTCATCTTCTTCACCCTACCAAGACCCGGTAGAGGAGAGTCTTGATGACGATCTCGCCGAAGCAATTCGCCTCAGTCTACTTGATGAGCAGTCCTCGTTCCCCCCAGAGGATCTGACACCATCAATTCCCATCAAGTATGCAAAGGGAGTGCACAGACCCCGCAATTCATCACCTGGTCACAATACCGGACCTGAGAGTAGCCAAAAACAGGAAATGGATGACTTGGAATTTGCCATCCAGCTCAGTTTGGCCGAGGACAAAAGTCGCGGCGATGTGACCGGCGAGGAATGGGAGGAATTCCCAGCCCTGGCATCGGGACCGTTGTCGTCTTCTCAGTCCTCTGGCAAGGGTAAAGGAAAGGCGCGGGCGTGTTAATTGACCGTGACATTAGATTTCGAGTTGACTTTTGGTTTGCTTACATTTTTGTTGAATTTTCTGATACATTTTATCTCGATCTCTCCTGCTCTGCCTTGATGATGCCTTGACAGGCTCAACATGAAGGGGAGGACGAATCGATTGGTTGCGATCGCATCATTGCATTAATCTTTGTTGTTTTAGCTATTCCTCGATTATTTTGAGATTTTTTGAATTTTCTTATTGATTCCATCTACTCCAAGCATCAACCACGTTAGATAATACAACGGCGTCGAATCGGCGTTTCAGATTAAGGCGTGTGGATTTCGTCACTAGTATTCATCCCTTTTAATCGTCCTTTTACTCATCTTTCGACACTGATTGGAAAACGGGTCATGGATGGTCATTAGGGAAACAAGTAACATTGACTAGTCATGGACAGACAATTGTCAAAAAGAGCATGACATTATCGTTGACTCCAACGAAAGCATGTGCAATGAAAACCAAATAAAAATTAATCACAAGAACAGCCAACCTTGCGTCAGAAGAATGGGATAATTTGTACAAATCGAGGAATTGGTCACTCGAGAATATCCGATTCTGTGCCCTCTCATGATTGATCCCACGGGAAGAGAAAAACACTCAATGGAGACTTATTTACAACAGCGAAGCAAGCAGCATGAAGACACCACCCAGACCACCGAGGGCAATGGAGGGGGCACCGTTCAGAGCAGAAGCAGCATTGGAGTGGGTGGAGGTACCCGAGGAAGAAGAGGAGGAAGAGGTACCGGAACCAGACGAGGAGGAGGAGTTTGAGGGAGTGTTGGACTCGCCGTTGGCCAGAACCTTGAGCTTGATGTCGGTGAGTTCCTTACCGGTGTAGTCGTACACCTTCTGGGAGAGAGTGGTGGCAGTCACCGAGACCAGAGAGCCGGAGGGCTTGTTGGGCAGACCGTTCTTGATGTAGTCGGAAACCTTGGAGGGGGCATCAGGCAGGTTCCAGGCGTTGTAGAAAGTCGAGTTGTTGATCAGCGAGGAGCTGCAGGTCTCCGGGTCGACACCGGTCTGGGTGCTGTTGCTAGCGGAGATGCGGCTCATGTCCAACTTGCTGAACTGCTTCTGGAGGTTGTCGTAATCGATCAGAGTGGTGATAGTACCGTTGTCATTGACCTGGACAAGGCCATACTCGTTATCTTCGAAAGTCCACTCGTAGACCAAGCCACCGGAGAAGGCCTGGGTCATCTCTTCGCCGTACAGGGCTTGGACTTCGGTGAAGACACGGGGCTTGACTTCGTTGCAGCCATACTCGGAGAAGAAAACGGGGAGGGTGGCGTTGGAGAAGTCCTCGGTCAGGACGTTGTAGCCGCTGGACTTGTAGGAGGCATCACCGCACCAGGAGTAGGAGTTGAGACCGAAGAAGTCGGCACGGGAGCTGGTGGAGTTCTTCAGGTCGCACTCGAAGTAGTGGAGAGTATCCATCAGGATGTCACGGATATCGGCAGCCGAGTAACCGACGGGGATGGCGCGGGAGGACTGCTTGGCGATGTAGTCCTTCATGTCACGGACGACGGCACGGACGTAGGCGGGAGCGAGGCGAGTGGCATCCTCGTTGATAACTTCGTTTCCGGCAAAGAAACCGAGAACGTTGTCGAAGGACTTGAAGGCCTCAATGACACCAAAGACCTGCTGGTAGTAGGCGTTGGTGTAGGTGGTCCAGGGGGCAGTGCGGTCCAGGTAGCCGTTGGTGAGGGGGGAGTTGACATCGAGGATCATGTAGATACCAGCGGCATTGAAGATGGAAGCACACTTGTTGTGGTCGAGAGTGGGCTCGAGGTTGTAAACACGGATGGTGTTGATCTAGTTTGATAGAGTTAGTTGGTGGGTCAACATGTATAGGGTTTGATGGTGGTTGAGATCTTACACCCAGGCGCTGCATCAGAGCGGCATCGCGGAGGCAGACATCAGGATCGCTCAGAGGATCCTTGTCCTTGGTGAAACCGGAGGAGCCACCAGGCTGGTAGCTGTCGCATACGTCAGTTTTTGATTCCGATATTTATACAACGGTGCGCGAGGGTTTCGCGCGTGGCCGCCACTGGAATGCGGGGACAGGGGGTGTGTCTCACTCAACACCGAGAATCTGGAACCGGTCACCGGTCTTGGAGTTGACAAAGTCCTTGCCCTGGACCTTGAGGGGAGTCACAGCAGCGGCGGAGCCGGCGAGGGCACAGATGGCCGTGAGGAGACGAGTGTAGGACTATATAGAGATAAATGTTAGCACTCTGCATTGTGTACTATGTATGCGCATTGCGCAGGGCTGGAAGTTCCATACAGAAACCATCTTGAATAGATTCTATGTCAGACGGAGGAATTGAAGGTGATAAGCAGAGAATCTAAAAGTCGAAAGTCGAGAGAGCTGAAAGAGCGACAGCGCAGTGCGCGGGAAAGAACGAGTGGCAGGCGATGCGAAATCGACCAAAAAAGAAAACGAGTGCGACACGCGACAAACGAAGAAGGGAAGTATATGCTCCTGCGACAAAGGCTAAAGAAGAAGAGAAAGAGGAACCCGGGAAAAGGAGGCGGGTTTAAAATGAAACGAAAGAGGCCAAGGATCAGCGGGGGAATTGGGTCAATTGGCGCCCAGCAGTGGCACAGTGGCACAGTCAGACGAGACACAATGAACTGTGAGACTCAAAGTGGATCCCAGGGGAGTTCAGGGTCACTCCAGTCAGGGACTCAGGGCCCAATAAAAGAGGAGAATCGGAGGGGTCAATTGCTGAAACGGGTCTTAGTCTGGTTTTTCAGTGGTTGAATCAGAGACCATTTAGCCTAGTTTCTTGGGGAATTGAAAAGGAACAAGAGACCCAATCGAGAGGATCGCTAATGATCTCATGTCTGTGCTAACTATGTAATAATAACAATTCTGTAGAATGTGATAACTAGTCCAGATAGTAATCATACATGATACTGCTGTGAGTACTGAATATACCTAATATCATCCTACATGATTCATGCACACATTTATAATGTCAAAAATCGTCTTTTTCATTGCGCTCTAAAATACAGGCCGTATATCCATTCCCTCTTCGCCTCCCCCTCAATGCCCGGAGGGGAAAGGAGACCATGCAGAAAACAACAAAAAACAGAAGACAGCCTCAAAAGAGATAGAACCGACAAAAAAAAAGAGGACCCCGTGTTGCGCGGAAAGTCATGGCGCCCAGAAATACCAAGGCCGCTGATGCCACGCCGCTTCCGGCCAAGACCCAATAGATATACACAGTACAGGAGAACCAAAGGAAATTTTGGGGAAAGGGGGAGAGAAAAAGAAGTGGAGAGGGGGAGGCAGTGTCGAGGAGAGCTCATCGAGAAGAAAGCTAGAGACTCGAGAGAATGGGTGTGAAAGAAGGAGACAGAGGACAGGGAGATATTACAGGCGAGACGGGCCAGGAACTAATGTCCAAAAGCCCGTCCGGAGTGAGGCATCCAGATATCCCAGACCGCCAAGATCCGGGTATCTAAACGACCCGAGAAGCCACCATGCAAGAATGGTGAATTTACTCAACACCGTGACTATCGGCACCGGCAGCGGGGCCTTCGCCAGTGAACGAGCCGCCCAGGTTCAGGGTAGTATCCATGGCGACCATCTCAGCCAGAATCTCCAGGCACTCCTTGGGAACAGTCTTATCGTAGATCGAGATCAGATCCTTGGGCTGGGGGTAGACCTTGAGGGCCTTGTAGAAGGCAAGAGCAGCCTCGATGTTATCAGTGCCTGTCGCAAAAGAAGGAATTCCAGTTAGTAATCCATTAACCTCAATTTCATCATTCATTCACGACTGTCCACCACTTACCCTCAGCACAAAGGCCCTCGCCCTTGGCAACCTGGTTCATGAAGTAGGACTCCTTCTCCTCCAGGTCGGCGGGGAAGCCCTCCTCCTTGGCGCGTTGCACAGCCTGCTTGATGGAATCACGCTGGGCAGCACCGTGGGCTGCCTGCTCTTCCTGGACAGCCTTGGCGAGCTTGCGGTTGTTCCGCTTCAAGGACTTGCGGAACTCGGGGTCGGTCTGTCGCTTGTGATCAAAGTACACGGCGTAGGCTATGCAAGGAGAGAAAGACGCGTCAGTTATGAAGATGGAAAGAAGCAACTGGCAGGATCAAACGAAGCCAGAATGATGGTTCCAAGATAGTTGCCAAGTTGATGATGGTAATGGCATTGGTTCTTACCGAGCAGGCCGGTGATGATCGTGCCGGCCGAGGCGGCAACCAGAACAGATGTGCGCATGTTGGATATGGAAGAATATGTGATTAAAGACAAACAGAAAGCGACAGATTCTAGGACCTGACAAGAAAAGCGATGGGGATAAGAGGGCAAGTGACGTGAAAAGAAGCCGACTGGGGAGCTGTTTCGGGCGTGTTTGGGTGACGATAAATTTGAGGGAGCCGGAGGATTTACGTTCTTCCGTCGGCGTTTCTCTCCCCGGCTGGTATCAACTGGTAACAATGTGTATAAGATTGGAGAACCAGAAGAATGATGAGCTAGAAGTATGGATACTGTAGATAGAAGAGGGAATATTCTACTAAGAGCATGATATATCCAGTAATAATTTTGAAATCCAAAGTGAGGGAAGACAGACATATACAAGACGGTTGATCCATACCTGGACTATGCCTGGAACTTGAGCATATCTAGAATCTACTGTATAGTAAAGTATAGAATATAAAGAATAGATTTGATCAATTATATTGATACAATTATACAGATTTGTCTAGATCTTATTGGATATCTACACAAACTTCAAATACTCCTTGATGGTCCAGACTTGAATATGTCCTGTGCACTCCTTCACTGTATACTTCGTCATCATGCGCTATGCCCCTTTCGGTCCATCTCCAGGCCCGACCGGTGTTGTTAACGTTTCCTCCCTTTCGACAATCCTCCAGTATCCCCCTCCTCCAGCTTATCTGTCTTCCCCGCCAATTGCCCCTTCATCATGGAAGGCCGAGGCTTGACTCTCCGGAGTAAATCTCGTCGCCAAAGACCTCAAATCAGTGCTCCCAAACCCATCTCCGGCCCTCTACCCCCCAACACCCGAGCTCCGGATGCTCCTCAGGGCTCCGTCCCCGCTGGTCGCGAGCGAGCTCCCCAGAGCGAGGCCACCTCCGATCTCGTGAAGCGCCGGTACTCGACCCGATTCAATGCGGCCCCGGACTTTGATGCGAGTGCGCCTCCGGTGCCAGCACTGCCCACGCAAGCACCCGGTGGATATGGAGGGCTAGGAGCTCCAGCGGCAGCTCCAAGGCAACCATCGCCAGCGGATGGCGCATCCACCTCGCCCAAGGTGGATTTGAATGCATTGCGAGATCCCAGTCTACCAGTGGAGCGATGTAGGTATCCCGCGTCTGCTGTACTACCTTCAAGTATCTTGAATCAAGAACCCTATGCTGACAGGTGGCCCCCTCTTCCCTCTTAGATGTCGCAAACTTGCTCGCCAATGCGTCCGAGGAAGATATTCAGAAATACCAGGAAAGCTTGCGCAAAGTGAAGAACCGAACCTCGACCGATCTCCAACAGAATGTCTACCAGAATCGCACCCAGTTCATCAAGATCAGTAAAGAGGCGGAGAAGCTAAAGGATGAAATGCGCACACTCCGTACCCTCATGTCGGAGCTCACCACTGCCCTGGGACAGACTACGGTGGGCAACACGCCCAACCCCATGTCCCCTGCAGATGATCAATTTCCCAAGCGCAATGCAAACCGCAGCTCCGTTGCCAACCTGGAAAGCATGTGGAGTGTCCAATTGCAAACGTTGTGGAAGACGGTGGAGGGATCCCAGAAATTCTTGCCGGCAGTCCCCGGACGGCATATTGTGTTGGAAACAGGCAACTGGGCTGAGCTGGACTCGGCCACCTGGAAGCCCAAAAGACCAGTGCACATTGTCTTGTTGAACGACCACTTGCTTGTGGCCGCCAAGAAGCGCAAACGAGTGGATCAGAACCAGCCCAACCAACGGGGCCCAGTTCCCACCAAGCTTGTCGCGGAACAGTGCTGGCCACTGCAGGACATTGACATGATCGACCTGGCCGCGAATCTGGGAACAGGCGCTGCCCGAGAAGAGGCACTGGATCGTGGTATTGCCAATGCGATCAGCATTCGGGTGGGATCCAAGCCATTCACTTATCGGCAAGACAAACGCGATACCTCAACGAAGAATGAATTGCTAGCGACGTTCCGTAAGACCGTGGAGGATCTGCGGCGAAACTTGCGAACCGAGACCGAGGCTGCGAGTAAGCCTTTGGAGGCATATGGGTACCTCGCCGGGCGACACTTGTCGTATTCCCAAAAGTCAGAACCGTTTGATCTCGCAGACGGCCCGCGCGATAAATCTGACCTGCGCATCGATGTTGATGGCAAACAGCAGAACCTCCGCTGGGTGGAAGGACAGGTCGACGAGTTGGATATTGACATCGCCTTGCAACATTTCGAAGCCGCTGTGGCCAGTATTGAGCGATTGCGGAAGCTTGCAAAGGGGCTCAAGGGGAATACAATTGCGCAGGAGGTGATCAATGTTAAGGTTGATGGACGAGCGACGCGACTGGCTGGCGTACTTTCACGATCGTTGGTGGAAACGCACTCGTTCCCGGGAGCGACCAAGACCAACGTCAATTGGCTCAGCCGCCTGGGTTTCGAGGATCAAGCGCGTGAGACATACCTGAAGGCACGGTCTGATGTGATTTCTAAACGCATCCGGTATGTCCGCATAACTAACACACCTCGGTCAATACTTCCTTGAATTCTGCCGAACTAACTTGTATCGAATAGGGCCTGTGTCTTTGAGGGTGATCTGCCACTTTACATCTTCCAAATCTCCTTCGTCTACTTCTCCCTGATCAAAAACACCATCAGCATCTACCAGCAATGCTTCCCCAGCGTGATGACCAGTTCTTGCATCCGATGGGCGAAGACACACCTCGACGGCTTCAATGCCCTGCTCAGCCGTCAGCTTAGTAGTGTTCAGCGGGGCACTTCTGTCTGGCATGAATGTCTTGACATTGTGCACGAACATGCTGCCCTATTGAACGAGGTCGGTGTTGATTTCACCGACCTCGTGGCTCGAGGGTTGGAAGATCAAAGTGAGGATGGGTTGCGGACTGTTCAACCGGGTCAATTGGCTGCGGCTCAGCCTCCTGTGATCTAGCGATCTACTTGGTGCTATGAGAGTTATAGCTATATTCGATAATAACATGACGATTTTGTTTATTATGGGCGCGTAAGCAGGTCTATCTCTGGTTCCTATCTCTAACTCTACCACCGCATTTCCCAAGGTCAATTGGTCTTTTTGGAGAGACATCCATTTGGAAAGACATCTCGAAAGACATCTCGAAAGACATCTCGAAAGACATCTCGAAAGACATCTCGAAAGACATCTCGAAAGACATCTCGAAAGACATCTCGAAAAAGATGAAGACAGTCGTGTTCCCGTCCACCTCCCTTAGCTACCTAACGCATTTCCTTTTTCTTTTCTTCAATTCTTCGACTTCCTTTTCCAAGTCGCCCGAGCCGTCCTCCTCTCCTGCGCTAAACCACTGTTCCTCGTCCCTTTTCTTCCGCTTTCATTTTGGTTTTGGAAGACTCCCTCCCACTTTTTCTCCGCCCACTCCTTAGCCTCGTGTAACCGTGTTCGTGGCGGTCTCACGGATCAGCATGTAGGAATTCATTAGTAAGTAATTTCAGTCTTTCACTTTCCACAGTACTCCCAGTTAAGCCCCAACACTGCATCTAGATTTGTATTTCACTTACTAAGGTGAGGAAAAAGAGGAAGAAAAGGAGCACGAGGTGACAGGTTCCTTTAGTGGGCGACATCTTGATGTTTCCTTTTGAAAAAAAAATAAAAAATAAAAAAAAAATAAAAGGGTTGATCTTGCTCTCGACAATGTTGGATATGACTTGAGACCAAAGGGAAAGTGAAAGAGAGATAAGAGAAGATGAAAGACGAGCTAAAATTTAGGGGTGTATCCCTCTCGGTCACTACTCCCTGATGTAACGGGTAATTAGAACAGGTACAGCAGGCGGTGACTGGGTTCTACTGGTTCATGCTCGATGAAGGATTGTCAATGAAGGATTGAATTTTGCTAAGTAGTAACAAGTACTCAACAGCATTCTCTTTGAGTCTATTTTCATTAACCCCAAAGCCGGACTCTCGGAAAATCTCCATACTTTATTCAAGGATAGCAAAAACCTGCGTATGCTCATAGTAGGGCTTCTGTAGCCATGAGATTTAGTTGATTGTTCAGCATTAGCATCAGCCAAAAAAGAGTATCGTCATTAGAGCGAGAGCGTGGGCGTGGGCGGCCTTCTGATGAAGACGAGTGAGAAACTGGCGATTTACGTCTAGTTCTCTTCGCGGCGGCTTTTTTCCTTCGCGCCATGAGCCGATGGCGCTGATATTGCGACCAGATGAAGTTAACCCCCTTTCCATTTATTGGCTCTTGGTAAGCGATATGCCAAAAATTCGAACCTATTGAATAAACGGCTCTCCATTTTTGTATTGTTGGTCCTTGAGATAGGAGAGGTTGCGGCCCTGAAACTCCTTGTGCAAGTTAGGTACCACCTCCTCAAAAGCATGTGCGCGGACTCTAAGCCGTAGCAGGGTGTTTGCGTACCTCGAGGGTTACCATAGGGCCAGAGTCTAGAGCATGCGCCCTCCACAATGGATTCTCTTTAGTAAGACCAGAGTCAAGATTAATCCACCTTGTCACAATGAGTGCTATTTTGGATTCAATTTCGACGATTTCGAACTCTGAATCCGTGTTGCAAAATCGGCAATTGCGAGTCAAACAGGCCTGCCTCTCCTTGAATAAAGTCCTCACAATGTGGATGACAACCCCAGAACCGCGATGTAGACATGGAACAGAACACTTCGATAACAGGTTTAATTTTTGTGTAGCAGGAAATAACTCGTCCCGCGCTCTGACAAGCAATATTTCTTGCAACCTGACATGAAGACCAGGAAGCTTCGGATATATCTGTGCTTCTCTCGAGAAAAGCAAGATCATATCGGGGGAGATTTGCCTGACTTGGGTGTAGGACAGAGAATCGGTGCTAATCCCTGCTTTCGGACCGTAGTAGAACCGCTTCATGGCAAGTTTGAGCTGGAGGAAAGAGAGCCGGTTTCGTATATACATCGAACTTGCATGAGTTATCATGATAAACGATATTCCAAACCACTTGTCCACACACGGTAGGAGATGGTTTCTTTCATGCTGCAATCCACTCAGACCAAAACTTTCAGATACATCATATCGATGGAGAACGTTGCAAATATTGTAAGCAAAGTATTCTGGAGAGTCTCATTCTAATCTGTTCAGTACCAAGAGTTTGTCGTTCTTTGTGAGAGGAGACTGCCGGTTTAGTTTCTGTAAAGATAGCTCACGAAGTCGATGATTGCGAACAGATAAGCAAACAAGGTCGACAACCGAAAGAAACTCGGATATTGACAGCAATAGTTCTGGGGGAGTCCGCTGAGTGTATTTGTAAGGAAAGCCTCTGAACAGGATTTAACATCCTTGATCATGTTTTGTGGGCACTTGAGGTAGCGTTTGAGACGAGCACTTGAATATTTCCTTGTGATGGTGTAGCAGGTGGTATTGGTGAAGTCAAAAGCGCGAAGCGAGGTAGAGAGAAGGTGTAGAAAACTAGGATATTGATTATGCGGGACTTATGAACTAGTATGAATTAAACCGACGCTTCCAGATTTGGTATTCTTATCCATGGGACACTTCACATTATCAGCTAAACTGTATAATTGTCCCATTCTGCTTTGGGTAATTTGACCTTTTTCGTGGCGGCCCCAGCCCAGATTGGATTAGTTCCATCATGAATGATCCCCGCGGCCCTCGCAGGATTTCCAATTGATATAGAACCGGAGTCTTGATCATCTGAGAGCAGATAGTCTGGGCCCCTCGAATGGAGCCCCTTCGTTTTGAATCAGATTTGTGTGAGATTGGACCAAAGCATGAGACCAACGGATTGGATGACAGACCAATGAGCCACATACGGGATGTTTGACTCCGATTACGCAGGTATGCCAGGCTCTTGTCGTTGCTATGCTGTGCAGCTAGTTAATTGCTACATAACTAAGTCAATACTCTCCGACAAGAGATCCAATTCCTTTCCTGACATCATCTCGCACTGTCCGAACAATATCGCCTGCCATCTGCATCGTATTCACCATGCCAACACCCGTCCCGGCCCATAAACTGCCCATGTCGTGAACATCCAGGGACTCAGCTCCAGGTTCATTCATTGCCGAGGACAACCACTTCCGAATTTGATTAATATCTTCACCTGATACATATCGATCGTACACCTTATTCCGGAGACATCGTCCATCATAGGTCTTTGGCCAAAAATTGGGCCCCCACATCTCGTCAAACACCCGCGATCGAGCCGTGGCTTGTCCGCCATCGGAGGCCTTAAAGATGGCATCACGATAGATTCGTGGGATGCGTGTTTCAGGCGCTGATAAGAATCTAGTTCCCATCACCACACCAGATGCACCAAGTGATAGTGCGGCGGTAGTGCCTCGGCCATCAACAATCCCGCCGGCCGCGATCAAGGGAATGTCGCTAATTCCATGCTGCAGGAGTGTATCTGTAACTTCGGGGACAAGGCTCACAATACTAGCTCCATCTTGATGACCGTGACCTCCGGCATCACTCCCTTGTAGGACCAAAGCATCGGGATGACAGGCTTGGGCAACGTCCAATGCTGCTTTCACGCTGCCCAACTGAACCCACACCTGCGTTTTTGGGGATGCCTGACGAATTCCTTCGGTCCATTGTTGAAGTTGATTTGTCGCAGCGAACGAAAGCCAAACAACGGCTGGTTTGTGAGTCTTGAAAAGCCTCATCCATGCTTCCATCGGGGACCCGAAAACTATCACGCCAACTCCGATTGGTAAAACTTGCGGATCGGGAAGAGTCGCCATGAGGTCTTGTAGTTTGTCACGCGCGACCTGTAGCTCGTTTGAAAGTTCGTGCATGTCATCCAAGAAACCGATTTGACCGAGTCCCCCAGCACGGCTGACGGCAATGGCGAGTTCGCTGAGTGCTGCGCCGCTCATGGGAGCGTTGGCGATGAGTGGTGATTGTACCCATGGGAGGGTTCTGTTGAAGATGTTGCGAAACGACATTTTCAAGCTAGGGAATCAAATGAGATCTTCCAAAGTTCGCGGGAGCTCAATTAATACGAAGGCCTATCTTATACTTATACGAAAATGTGACCAATGAATGATTAGATTTCGAGGCATCAGATCATAAAATCAAATGCCGAGTGGCACTACAAGGGCTCTCATTGGCTGAGGAGTATGTATATGATAGGCTGCGAGACCAATCGCCGAATCGGCCTTTGATAGGGACAGAGGAGAAAGGCCCCGCTTTTTTTCGGCAATGAGATGAGAAGATCATGACTGGGGTGGTTCTTGATTTACACTCCTCCAGAATCTCATGCTGCAATCAAATCGACCTTTTCTTGAACCTCGGAGATATTAATCATGTCTTCTTTAACCTCACAATGGGCGTGGTCTCTTTTTGAGCCTACATTAATGCTCAAGTCAGCTATCTACCGTACGTCACCACCCATTCCTCTCATATAGTGCTTTCTATTGGTTGCTTGAGAAAATCGACCGAGTCCGAACGACTAACTCGACACCAGACTATGTGAAAACTGTCGTATCGGCTGTAGCAAAGGGAGATATACCCTTGTCAGCCAGTCAATGGCAACAGATACGCGGAACCGCATTCTCGTCGCTTTGGCTTGAATTTTCTGGTATGCGTGCATTTTCCAAGTGATTGATCTCTCGTTCTTGAGCCTAATCCACACTGCAGCTCCCAAGCCTCCGGGTACACCTCCATCTATTTCAGCGGGACTGATACCCCCGATCCTGTCTCAAGCAACGGGGGTCGTCTTAGAGGTTGGACCCGGGAGTGGCTCGCAGATGTCATCTCTCAAGGGACCCCAAATAACCAAAATATATGGTGCCGAACCCTGTGTCGATCTTCATGAGAAGCTTCAGTCACAAGCCAATGACCAAAATATGCAAGATCGGTATCAAATTCTTGCCGCAGGCGCAAGTACCGACCAAATTGTCAAGGAGCTTCTTCGCGGCGGGTTTATCACCTCTTATAGCGAAGGAGATACTCTGTTCGACACCATAATCTGCGTTCGAGCTCTATGCAGCATTTCAGATCCACAGACTGTAGCCTCTGAGCTCTACAAACTTCTCCGCCCAGGAGGCCGCATGTTGATTTGCGAACATGTGGCAAACCCGTGGACCAAGCCGAAGGGAAGTATTGTGGCCCGAATCGTTCAGCAAGTATACATGATCTGTGGCTGGGCATTTTTCATTGGCGATTGCCGTTTGAACCAGGATACGGCTCGAATCTTGATCAAGGCTGCGGAGGAGGATGGTGGATGGGCAGAGAACAATTTGGAGATAGCTGCGTCATTCTCGACATTCCCATACTTGCATGGTGTGCTGGTTAAAAGAACTTGAATTGAAGCCAACTAACCGAAAGGTTTAATGAGACCTGTAAATCACTGCTTCTCTATAAACAGAGATTGTCTCTCGAAGCTCTCATTCAATTGTTCATGCGTTGAGACCAACTGAGAAACAACTCCAAAGCTACCAAGGAAGACGATTTCAGAGACATCTCAAAAGAATGAAAGGTCAAGCCTACATGGAGAGGTATTCTCTCTGGCATCTAGATTGAAAGATTGAAACTTTTGGCTTGGCACTGTGTAAGCAAAAGCCGGAAACTCGCCGATTGTGGGATTTCAAATCCCGAGCGATAAGAACTCGTTTCCTCTCTTCACATACCCCAAGTTCGGAGGCTACGGATAGTGACGTATAAATAGCACCGGTCCTGTCACACTTGCACTTTGTTTTACTCCATCCAATTTTCTACCGAAAACCTGCCTCCGAATCTCTACCACAACCTCAAAGTTCTATACAATGACTCACCCCACCATTCATGCCGAATTGGCCTTTTACCAAGCACCGCAAGACGGATCAGCTCCATACAATTACGTGGGGGAGCCACCACTAGGAGAGCCATGGCGCAACTACGGCAACGATGTTCGTACAGTTCCTATCCACGACATCCGAGGGAAAGAAGATCAGTTCTCCCTCGACCGGGACGCATTTCAAATCCTGAACGATATCACATCGTCAGCTACATACGAAACATTTAACTCCGACGACTCCATCCGGGAGATATACTACCCCGAGGTGGAACGGCTGCTCCTTGAAACGGTTGCCGGTGCCCACACTATTATCTTCTTCGATCACACTATACGGCGAGCAAATCCCCACGCCGTGCGTCAACCAGTCAACCAGGTCCACGCAGATCAAACCGAAAGGTCTGCTGAATCCCGAGTACGCAAGCACGTATCGGATCCAGAGTTGGCCGAGAAGTATCTAGGCGAACGATATCGGATCATCAATGTCTGGCGACCAATTAACGGAGCCGTCGAATCTTCGCCCTTGGCATTTGCCCCTGCAACAACGACTGAGGAGGAAGACTTTGTTACGATCCAACATCGGTATTCTACTTTCAACGGGGAAATCATGGGTGTTAGATACAACCCCAAGACTGAGTGGAAGTTCTGCGCCGGTGTAGATGATAACGAGAGGATTCTTCTCAAATGTTTTGATAGTCAAGATGGAGTGGCCAAGCGTGTGGCACACACTGCATTTGTTGACCCTAATACTCCCCCCGAGGCAAAGGCGCGAGAGAGTATTGAGGTTAGGGCGCTGGTGTTTGGATAACTGCAGGATAACTTCATATTCGTTCAGGTAGATGAGGATTGATGAAGATGATATGGAGAGTCCATTATTTACATTGAGATTCTAATCATAAAATAGGGTATAGACTGACTGTACATCGAGATCACGTCTATATCGTGTAATATCCAAATCTCTCAAAGTCGTCGTTACTGACATCCTTGGAGTTTGGATCCACGGTGGTCTTCTGACTCTTTTGTACGAACTGCTCTGCGGGAGACCACACCAAATCCCAGACTGCCGAGTCACTCAAAACACTGGAATCCCTGAGCATGCCAGCGCGGAAATCGACAGGGTCTGCGCCCAGGCCTAGCTCGGATGGCAGGCGCATATAATACCGTACACTATCGGGGATTTCCTCCTTCACGTGGCTGATCAGGACCAACGCCTGGTCCTCGGACAATCCGCGGTGTCGTAATGGGATGCTTTTGGAGATTTTCGGGCTCTCAGGGGTTTCCCCAGTTTCAATGAACTGCAAGCACTTATCACGTTGCGAAGCTGTCAGGCCTGAAAAGGGTTCGTCAAGAATGACAATGTCCGGTTTATGAATCAAGGCTCGCAGGAACAGCACAATTCGCTGCTGAGCAGTGCTTAGCTCACCAAATTTGATGTTATCAGCGTACTCAACCTGGTATTCCAACGGCATGTAGAAGTTGGTGGCAGCTTTTTTTGACCGGCGCGATCCATCCGGGTCAAGGTTCGGGAACATTGTACCGGTAGAGACCGATGGTGGTTCTTCATGGACTGCATTAGGATCAAGCTCGGCCTTGAAAGCTCGAAGCGCTGCGCTCACATCCAGGTCTTTCTCATGATCGAGCTCTGGCTTGGACAGGAAAGTCTCCGCAAAGGCCGACTCAAGAGCCTCGCGCACTGTTAACTGACGTGGGAAGAAGGCATGAATTTCAGGTGATGAATGGCCGAGGCGAGATTGTAGTTCAAAAATGGAAATGCCGGGCTTTCCCGCCTCAGGAAGGCGAGACCGACCAAACAATTTAATGGGCTGTGAGTATGTTTGGGGATGGTCCGATGTGATCAACGACAGCAACGTCGTCTTCCCGGAACCGTTCGCACCCAGGATTGCCCAGCGTTGACCTCGGCGCACCCGCCAGTGAAGGCCGTCTTTTGTTTCGTCATTCACTTTCTGCTTCCAGTCACCCAGTACGACCTTGTCGCCGTACTGAACACGAACGCCATCCATTTCAATGAGAGCCTCCCCACCCAATGGTGCCGGGCCATGTGTGGAAGACTTTTTGGTCTGGTTCAAAGTGAAATCCTCGAGTAATTGCTCATCGAGGTTCCCTGATTCCAAATGGGCACGGAACTCAAGCAACTTTGCCTTTTTGTCAGAATCCTTCGGAATTCGGTGTCCTTTCACTGGCAACTTTTGCCATGCTTCAAGAGTGGAGTAAATGTCCGACTTCGTCCCCTGTTGGAGGACCTGGTGAGCGTTGCCCACCAGTATTATATGAGAGATCCAGTCTGGCACCCGATCTTGAGGGCGAAGTGCCAGGACCAGCCGTGGTGATTGTTTCCCTGCTAGTCGATGGAGCAGGTTTGAGATGCTTCGGGCAGTGGCCGGGTCCAGTCCCACTAAGATTATAGTTCAGTCTTAATCCAATTTCACAATATGGAACCACATGACGACTTACTGAAAGGCTCATCCAAGAGCAACAATTCCGGCTTCTCCAGCAAAGCCTTAGCGATACGTGCCCGCCGCGTCTGTCCGTTGCTCAGGTTTGCGACTGGCATGTTAAGCAGGGACTCCAGGTGCAGATCAGCGACAACTTCCTTGAGTAATTGCTCATCCTTCAAGGTCCCATTCTCTTCTCCCTCTGGAGGATTCAAAGATGTCTGACCGCGCAAGAATTGCTCCACCGTCCAATCAGTCTCCTCGCGAAGACTTTCGTAGCGCGCACTCAAATATGCGCCACGAGTTCCTCCAATGGCAACAGAGCCTTCGCCACTGAATCCAATATACTGAATGGCATTTCCGATAATGCGTAGCCGGGGGTCCTTCGCGGCAATTTCATCGGAGAGGAGGTAGGGATATGATCGGGCAGTGGGAGGGATCGAGATGTGATGGCCACGGAAAATGTCGAGAAGATCCGTTCGCCCCGAGGGTCCAATGACAGCCCAATGCTGCAGTGAGGATTCGCCCTTCTGAGAGGTTACAACGTCGGAGGGCAGAGTAAAGTTGAGGTTCGGGTAAAGCGGGAGATTGGTTGCAGCGTTGTCTTCGGTCGGATATTGCTTGTAGAAGGTTCCATTTTCGATGCGAACGAGAGGTGCTGAGGAATTGAAGCGCACCGCGCGGAAGCCAGCGGGCCGTAGCGGACGAGCCCGCAGGGCTGTTCGAAACAACATGGTTCGTCAATGGGAAATGTCCCAATTCGGAGGAGTTCAACGAGCTTCGAAGCTTCAAAAAGGCTTCCGTCATCGGAGATTCGGGGTTAACGGGAGTCACGTGCCATCTTTCCTTTGGATGAAAAGAATCGAAGATCAGAACTCGACAAATTAAGCTTAAAAGAAGTTCGAGTTATAAGGAAATCATCTAATTTTACCAAGATCTTTAGGCATATGCTTGGCAAATGTTATATTTGCAACATCCATCCTGCCATATGGTAGAGTATATCGAGTCCTGACCCAAGTGTCCAAACGCAATTGAGTAGCTACCTCTCTTTTTGTGCAATTTTTATTCAACACTAGAAGAATTGTAAAGAAACAATCCGAATTTGAAATGCTCAACCAATTTACTCCAAACCCAACAGTTTTGAATATCAATTCTCGTCGGTGCTACTCGCGACCGATCGGAGTCTACAAGTACACGCCGATAGACTCCACCTCGGCCCCTCGTCGCGTTAGATCGGCTAAATTCATCGGATTCCGATCGCCTAACACCCCTTGCGACTTTCTTTCCATAGCAAATTTCGACCCAGTTCGCGTCAGAATAGTTCGTCTTGAGTGACCACATGCTATCACATTGATTGCGGGTTGATTCGCGCCCAATTCACCGTTTCGTCCTTGTTTCCATATACACACGACCCTTCCCCGCAATGCCTATCCCTTCGCTGCCACTTTTTGTGGCGGCACAGCAGAGCGCAAAAGATGACCCCGAGAAAATCGCAATTATCGATGTGACAAAGAAGGAATCGTACACTTTTACACAGCTTCTTGAGGATACGGCCGCCCTCAGGAAACATATTATTGAAACTCTCAGATCGACGTCATCGGGAGATCTCAATGAGCAGCGAGTGGCATATTTGTGCCCTGCTGGGTATGACTATGTTGCCACGAGCTGGGCAATTTGGGCTGCAGGCGGAGTGTGTGTACCACTATGTAAGAAGAAGTCATCTCTCAAGGCAGATGATTCATTGCGTACTAATTGCAACTAATTAGGCACGTCCCATCCAATCAAGGAGCTTTTGTACACTATAGGCGACTCAGATCCCTCCCTAATCATCATTCATCCCGCTTTCGAGAAAGTTGCGCCAGCTCTCCGTGAGGCAGTGCCCACTGAAATTCCGTTCATCGGCCTCGACCCTTTCACCCGCTATGACAAACCCTCGCTGCCGCCTTTCTCTTCGTCCTTTTCGCTCGACCGGAGAGCCTTGATGATCTATACAAGTGGTACAACTTCAAGTCCCAAGGGGTGCGTGACAACACACGAAAACATCACTTTCCAAGCTAGCTGTCTCGTCAAGGCATGGGACTATAGACCTTCCGACCACTTGATTCATGTCCTTCCACTACACCATGTCCACGGAATTATAAACGGACTCACAGCCAGTCTTTTAAGCGGTGCTACAGTGGAAATGCACCCAAAGTTTGACCCGAAAGTCATCTGGGAGCGCTGGCAGAACCGCGGCTCTTCAACCATGTTCATGGCAGTACCCACGATATACTCTCGTCTAAACGATTACTTTGACGCCCACATCCGTGGGACAGAGAGCGAGAACTCGGCACGAGCCGGTGCAAAGGCTTTACGTCTGGTTGTCAGCGGATCGGCTGCACTTCCAACTCCCATCAAAGCCAAATTCGCAGAGATTACGGGTCAAGTCCTGCTCGAGCGTTATGGCATGACAGAGATTGGCATGGGCATAAGCTGTGGATTGGAAGTGGAGAAACGCATAGACGGCAGCGTTGGCTGGCCCTTACCAGGTGTACAGGTCCGTCTGACAGAGAAGGAGACTGGTCGGATCATCGATGCAGTTGACGAAGATGGAATGATTGAAATCAAGGGGATGAACGTCTTCCGTGAATACTGGAGGAGGCCCGAAGCTACTGCCTCGGAATTCACTGCAGATGGATGGTTTAAGACTGGCGATTGTGCCCTCCGTGATTCAACCGGCGCATACTTTATTCAAGGTCGCGCCAGTGTCGATATCATTAAATCTGGAGGTTACAAGATTTCTGCGCTTCAGGTGGAGCGTGTCATGCTGGCATTGGACCAGATCCAAGAAGTGGCTGTCGTTGGGCTGAAAGATATCGAATGGGGAGAACGAGTCGCTGCGGTAGTGAAGTTCCGTCAGGTCAGTCCCAGTTGGTTTCGAACAATTCTTTCGGTTTGCTAAGATATACATACACTAGGGCGCCGAAATGGAGTTATTGGCTCTTCGTACCGAGCTCAAGAAGGAGTTGGCGGCATACAAAGTGCCTTCTGTTCTGAAGACCGTTGATAATATAGAGCGCAATGCTATGGGGAAGGTAAACAAGAAGGTCCTGGTTCAAAAGTACTGGCCAGACAATGCTTGATCCTTGGACCGAGTGCTGAAAGGCTATTTTGCCAATATATAGACAAATAAACAAAGACAAGTGGGAGAATTTCGCCTTGATTCTGCCTGTGTACATGTTCGGGATGGATTTGTCCCTTGTCATAATTTTCTTGGTTCAATAAATGGCCCTATGTTCTAGAACTTCATCGATCAAAACAATAGCTGCGGGCAAAATTTATTCTAATTTACCTCTCTGAACAATCGTGCATATATGTGCCGGTTCGGGTGTCAAGGTCAGCTAATTCGCCCCCGTACTTACCTGGTCCGAATTCATCTAGAGAAACGCAGCTAATTGGAAGACGATACCAGTCTATAATTCGGCACCGTTCTTGAGCCGGGTTATGTTTAAATTGGAGCACACGAAACGAGCTCTGAAGGCCCTTCGGGAAACAGGCATACATATTAAAGATGGAGACTCACTGCCCCAAACAATCACCCGCACGTTCAAGCTCGGCCCATTCAACTGTTCCTATCAAGAATCGTGAAGGTCGGATATGGCCCCATGGAGATATTAAGACGATAATCTCCTTCTGTAAACAAATAATCCTTCACCCCAGGTTTTTTGTACTTCGACAACGAGCTGACCACGGGTGGTCCAATACCAACACATTGTAGGGTTCCCAGTGTGGCAAGCTAGGTCAATTTGGTCACCCGGCTCAATTGACTGTGGCGGATCAGTGAAGTGACCGACTGCCGGTCTGAAAGTAAACGTATCATCGGTCTGATTGATAATTGTGTATGCTGTATATGTAGGAGGTTGAAGTTAGCGTCGTTACAGCGAGCTTTGAAAAGAAGCTTTTCAAAGAATACAAGGTTCTTACACGTAGTAGAGGACATTTTGGAGTTGATTTCGGGAGATTTGCTCAACTTGAATATGGAAGTGGGATAGGAACGAGGAGAAGGCTGGTACAATCAAGTGTTTTTTATAGTTTTCTCCGTTGAGTAATAATGTGCTACCTCAGCTCACCATACCATAACCTTTGAGGGTCTCTCGGCTAAACTACGCCTCCATGAACTGTCACGATCTCTACTGGCTTCCTGATTAGACGAGAGACCCCGCACCCGCCGTAACAAGCCGCTTAGCGCGCAATGATCGTAACCTGGATGGGATTCTGATTATCAGTAGACGATGTCTTTATTAGGAACCGCCTGCGTCAAGGAGGCTGGCTGAAGAATGGGTCGTTCACAGACTCTTTTGCCTGTCAAAGAGAAAGGCAAGGCATCAACACATACTTAGATCCATCGGAAAAATCCGAAGAGCAGCTATGGAGAAGACGACTAGTAACAGCTTCGAGAGAGGTCATAAAAGTAAAGCATTTGCTGGTATATGAGTCTTCGCTCGCTAAACCTCAACTATTTGACCATGCCACCAATTCAGGTCTGGAACACCCAGCGAGGGTCACGGTCACCGAGGAACTCTCCTTCCGCGTCTCCAACATCGCCCATCAACGGACGAAGACCTTTCTGCTCCCTTTCAACCGTTTTCTGGGCATTCGCTCGCTTGAGGACCCACCAAGTCACCGCGACGACGATAATATTAGCCACCAAATACCCAAGAGCAAAACCATGTCCCAAGAAGAACCGTGGACTTGTCTCAGTTCGATACAGCTGTGTTCCAAGCACTGCTCCAAGATTTCCAATGGAGATTTGAAGGGCGTTGGCGATACAACGTTTGGTCTGTCCCGAGACATTATTTGCTGGCCAAGATAGCACGGTAGCAACGGCGGGGTAGATTCCTGCAGCGGCGAAGATTGTGCCTACATAGCTAACCCCAGCTCGGTGCTGTGAGAGCAAGATAATGTAGCCAATACAAGCGAGAGCAGATCCGCCCATGATAAAGGGAGCTCGTCGGTGTGTTTTCTCAGAGAGCACGGCGACACCGACGGTCATCCCAGTGGCGATTGCGTAAGGCGGAACCGTCAGCAGCTGAGCTTGTGCAGCACTGTATCCCAGCTCTTTGATGATTGTGGGCTGTGAGAATGTCAGTTCTCTGATAGCTGATCTCAATGACCAGACGGGGACATACCAAAAACAGAGAAAGCGTATAGAGCGGCAGGCTCAACGAGTGAAAGCCAAGGCCATATAGCCACACCTTCGGATCTTTGAATGCATCAAGTACCGCGGACCAGGAGAAGGTTTCATCGCGAGTGGAATCGTTATCGTTTTTCAAGCGGAATTGGATGAAGTCTCGCTCCTCCTTTGTCAGGAATTTGGCCGTCGCTGGGTAGTTGTGAACCCAAAAGTAGGCGATCACTGACACAGCAATTGTCAAAAGTCCTTCCTAGATCATGCATCAGTGGTTAATAAATCATATTTGCGACATGATAGGACATACCAAAATGAAGATCCAGCGCCATCCCTTGTATCCACCCACGCCATCCATGTGTGCGATACCCCATGCAAGTATACCACCAAAGGCACCAGCCAACGAGGCCGCAGAGAAAAACAGAGCAACCCGGTAATGCTGCTCATTGCGTTTATACCACATAGAAAGATAAAAGACCACACCAGGGAAAAGACCGCTCTCGGCAACACCGAGGAAGAAGCGAGAGGCTAGATAGCCAGGATAATTCTGGACCACTCCCAAAAGGGTTGCGACTATTCCCCATACCAGCGTGAGGGTTGGCAACCAGAGACTCGGTCTGGTCAACTTCAAGACTGTATTTGCTGGAACTTCAAACAGAACGTATCCAATAAAGTAGAGGGTGAGACCGGTCAAGTATTGGTCACCCGCTGTGAGTTACATCGTTCTTGGTTAGCGCGAGGAATCACTTAGTCGCGCTGGGCTGATGCATACTCATTTTGATATCGGTCGTCATTCCTTCCAACCGGGCATTTCCAACTACAGCAGCCAGTTAGCACTGACTCATTTCTGATTGGGAAGTGATGGTAAACAAACCATTGCTGCGGTCCAGAAAGGACAACAGATATAGGAGGGTCAGGGGTGGGAGCAAACGAAGATCCAGCTTTCGAAGCAAAGATTTCTCGTTGATGCCCGCAAATTCAGCGATACTACTAGAAGAAGGCGACGTTGCAACATTCCCAGGCGCCGCATAAGCGTCGGTCTCCTTCTTTTCGGCAATAGACATGGCGATATGGAGGAAACGAGAAACCGGGGGATAAGGATTTAGTTAGTATCCACGGATGAGCCGAAACGAAGGGCCGGCATTCTTCTTGTTAAGTTTTCAAGAACAAGGCAGTGGAAATTAGCTTTTACGAAGCACATCATTCGCCGCGTGCTTCGCGCGATATGCCACGCGAGAACGAGAATCGATACGGAGTACTACTTGATCGCTACCAAGACAGATCTGGCGGACGGTGTCGAGTTACATCATGCTACATAGCACACTGGCACCCGGCCGAGAGATACTGGCGGGAATCAGGGCAAATAAAAAACTCCAGGGGTTCTTGATTAAATTATTATTGGTCCGCCAAGGTGTGAAGTCGATGAGCAACGAACCGTCCTGATGGTGTCATCAACGGGTGGTTGATGGATTGCCTTAGTTGTCAGGGACTGTTTATAAGTGGGTCCTGTGGTGGGTCTGGTACAAAACAAAGTGTGGAGAGTCAAGTCAGAGGTTAATCGCACGATACTTGCGCTTTCGCGTGACAGACTATACTATGTTCGGATATAGGAGATGAAAGATACATTGAGTACCTTGAGTGAGTACCTTGATATTCTATGATACCTACTAAGCCTTTCATCGAAGATGTTATAGTAAGATTCTATATGTCAGAAACCCTGGAATGTTATTAAGGATGCCTTATCAGTCACAATTCTGAACGATAGACATAAGGAAACCTTAGCCATTTAAAATGGTGTTTCACAAGACCTTTGGAAAGATCTTTCACAAATGAGAAAGTTAAAGCATATGTATTTACATAGTAAAACCGTGTCTCTAGTCTAGACATCAAGGAATCTAGATGTACCCGTTCTCCACTAGATCCAAAAGGGGCTTAGTGCGTCGTGTGAAAGCAGTTGGATGTTGTTGTGTGATTAGCCTCGGCCTTCTTTCCCCATACTTGTAGTTAATGTGATGGTTATCGAGTCACTGTATCAAATTTAGTTCAGGTCAATTGTGGTTCCGAGTAATCTCTAGTAAACTCATTTACAATATGTACGTTGAGCGCACTTGATTCGCCGGTTTCAGTGTGGTATTGACACCAAAACTACAAATGTACTCACTTTGAATGCATGTTTTTAGATTTGGAGAAAATTAATAGAGAAAATGAGTTTGTGATTTCACAGTCAATGCCAATGCAATGAAAAAGAGAGAGAAAGTGGTATAGGAAAGAAAAGTGACCCGATGATGAACCCCGAAACCAAACCAAACCCAAAGAAACGCCAAGAAACAACCCAAAAACAGACCAAACGCACACGCCACGCAAATGACACAAAACGTAGACATAACACATAACACGTAACACATAACGTAAATCTCTGAAATAACCACCTAATATACAGACATACACAGCACGGGGTCATCATCGAATTCATGAAGAAACGGAGATTGTCTAATCTATACAACTCAACGTTCTATCGAGGCAGCTGCTGCACCTACGAAGATATCCAGACAGAACGGGCAGAAACTTTTGAAAGCAGAACAGGAAACAATGGAAGACATGAGCTTGCGTGAGAGAAAATCGAATGGCGCGCATTTTGGTTTCCCGGTCTCAGAGGGGAATATAATAAACGGCGAATGGGAGAATTTAGGGAGCCAAGACCAGGGCCAGCAGCGCCATGCGGCAGTACAAGCCATATCTCATCTGTAGTCGAACTGTCAGCATATCTTCTGTGATAAAGGGCAAGGGGGTGCATCGTACCTGGCGGAAGTAGGCAGCCCGCTGGTCGAAATCGACCTCCTCGGCGATCTCAGCGTTGCGAGGCAGAGGGTGCAGAACAACCATGTGGCTCTTGGCGTGCTTCAGCAGAGCGTTGTCAATGATGAAGCTGTTCTTCAGACGCTCGTACTGGGCGAGGTCGGTGAAGCGCTCCTTCTGCACACGAGTGGAGTACAGGATGTCGGAGCGAGCAACGATCTCGGGAGTGAGCTCCTCAGACTCGCAGACCAGCTGGCCAGAGGCCACGATCTGCTGGCGGACCTCCTCAGGCAGAGCCAACTCCTTGGGGGAGACAAGCTGGATGCGAACATCATAGAACTGGAGCAGCTTGATCAGGGAGTGGACAGGGCGGCCGTACTTGAGATCACCAGTGAAGGTGATGGTCAAGCCAGTGACGGTACCAAGCTCCTCGCGGATGGTAAACAGGTCCAGGAAGGCCTGGGTGGGGTGCTCAATGGAACCGTTGCCACCGTTGATGATTGGAACAGGGGAGAACTTGGCAGCGACGGCAGTGCTGCTGGGCTCGGGGTGGCGCAGGACCACGGCGTCAGCGTAGCAGCCGAGAGTGCGGAGGGTGTCCTGGAGAGTCTCGCCCTTCTGGGTGGAAGAGTGCTCGGTGGCAATGGGGATGGTGCGACCACCCAGGCGCTGCATAGCCGCGTCGAAGGAGGCGGAAGTGCGAGTGGAAGGCTCGTAGAAGAGAGTGGCCAGGACACGGCCCTTGAGGATGTCAAGAACACCGTGGCGCTGGACACCCAGGCGCATCTCCTGAGCGACAGTGAAGAGCAGGTGCAGGTCCGAGCGAGTGAACTGGTTCACGGACAGAACGTGCTTGCCGCGGAAGGTAGAGCGAGAGACCATCTCAGACAGAGAGGACGACATCTGCGAGGTCTGGGGGTACAGAGGTGGTCCAAGCTCACCTACAGCAGGGACAGCAGCATCCAAAGCCCGAGCGCGGGCGTGGCGGCTGGGGGTGGTCTGGCGGTCCAGAGCGCTCTCAGGGCGGACCATGGGAGTGGTGGGCTTGTGCACAGGGGAGCTGGGGATAATGCGGTGGGCAGACATGTCGGTACCCTTGACAGCGTCCTTGGAGAGCGCACCGTCGAGGCAAGAGGTCTTGCCCTGGAAGACAACGCGCTGGACGGAGCCACGCATCATCTTGCCGTTGAAGGGAGACCAGGTGCCGCTGGGGCTCTGGAAGAGGTAAGGACGGTCAATCTCGATCTCAAGAGAGGAATCGGTCTGGTCGTGCAGCTCGAAGATCTTCTTGGGGTTGTCGTGGAGACGAGCAGTGATATCCTCAACAGTCAGGCGGCCATCGGCGACAGCGGTGAAGAGCAGAGGAAGCGACTCAGCAATACCGACCTCGGGAGAGGCCTCCTTGCCAGCAAGCTGGTAGGGAGTGCTGCCAATGGAGAAGACATCAATGGTGCTCAGGTGGTCCCACAGAGCCTTCTGGTCCTCAGCGGTGGGCAGAGAGTTGCAGGCAGGGAAGTCATCCTGGGACAGGAACAGGGAGAAGATGGAGACATCGCAGGTCACCATCAAGCCCTTCTCCTTGCTGAGAGCAATGAGGCTGATGTCCTCCTTAGAGGTCACACTCATGACGTGGATGTTGCGGCTGTGGAGGCTGGCCAGCAGGAGGATCGAGGCCAGATCAGTGCCCTTAGCATCGGTGATCAGAGGCTTGCTCGAGGGCCAGACTCCGAAGTGGTTGGTAACAGTGGCCACCTTGTTGATGTTGCCAGACAGGTGGTTGAAGGGGATGAACAGAGAACCAACCTCACCAGTCACCTGGCCAATCTGGTCCGAGTTGTCGGCAGTGGCAGCAACGGACAGGTTGAAGTCGCAGTAGGACTGGTCCTGGGCATTCTGCTGAACGATCTTCAGGTCGCTGGCCTCGGTGATCGATCCCTCGACACCCACGGGCATCACGCGAACCATGCTGAAACCAGCGGCAATGGAAGCCTTGGTGACCTTCTCGAAGTCCTTGGAGCCAAGGGAGGCAAGGCCGGGAACAAAGGCAGCGATGTTGATCAGGCCGGGCAGTACCACGGTGCGGTGGCTGGTCTGGAAGTCCGAAGTCTGAATGTTCAGAGGGTAGTGGCGAGCAATGGCCTCAATCAGGATCTTGGCGTTCTTGACGTTAGTGACCAGAGGAGTCTGGTAGTCAACAGCCATACGACGAGTGCGGTAACCCTTGGACATGTAGTTGGCCGGGCGGCGGAAGCGGTTGCTGGACGGCAAGTTGATGTACAGGTCGATCAGGTTGTTGGACAAGTGCTGGGTCAGAGAGTACTCGGACTTGATGTCCTCCTCCTCGCCGGGCAGAACCTCGAGGTACTTGACAGGAACACCGTTCTCCTTCAAGAAGTCGGCAGTACCAGCAGTGGCGAACAGGTTGTAGTCAAGCTGATGCAGCTTCTGGATGGAAGGCAGCATCTCCAGCTTCTCCTTGTAGGAACCAATGGAGAACAGGATGTTGCGCTTGGGCAGACGGAAGCCAGTGGACAGCAGAGCCTTGAGGTAGGCCTCGTACTTGTCACGACCGAAAGAAGCAACCTCACCAGTGGAAGCCATCTCAACACCAAGGACGGGATCAGCACCCGACAGACGAGAGAAGGAGAACTGGGGGACCTTGACACCGACGTAGTCCTTCGGGACGCTGATGGGAGGGTACGCCTGGAAGGGAATGTTGATCATAGCCTTGGTGGCCATCTCGATCAGGTCGACACCCATGACCTTGGAGACGAAGGGGAACGAACGAGAAGCACGAACGTTGCACTCAATGACCTTGATGTCGTTGTCCTTGGCAATGAACTGGATGTTGTAAGGACCAGTGACGTTCAGAGCGTTACCGATCTTGCGAGTCGCCTCCTCAATGCGACGCACAGTCTCAGCGCTCAGATCCTGGGGAGGCAGGATGAGGGTAGCGTCACCAGAGTGGACACCGGCATTCTCAACGTGCTCCGAAATGAAGTGGCCGACCATGACACCGTTGCGGGCAACAGCATCCATCTCAATCTCCTTGGCGTTCTCGATGTACTTGGTGATGACAACGGGGTGCTCACGAGAGACATCGGCGGCCTGGTTCAGATAGTTGGCCAGGTCGTGCTCGGAGTAGACAGTGTTCATGGCAGCACCCGAAAGCACGTAAGAGGGACGGACCAGCACAGGGTAACCGACCTTGTCACAGAATGAGCGGGCCTCTTCAATGCTGGTCAACTCCTTCCAAGCGGGCTGGTCAACACCAATACGGTCAAGCATGCGAGAGAACTTGTAACGGTTCTCAGCGCTGTCAATCATCTCAGGGGAAGTACCGAGAATGTTGACGTTCAGGCGGTGCAAGGGCAGAGCGATGTTGTTGGGGGTCTGACCACCCATGGAGATGACCACACCGCTGGAGGTCTCGAGCTGGTAGATATCCAGAACGGTCTCGAGGTTGATGTTCTCGAAGTACAAGCGATCAGCCTCGTCGTAATCGGTACTGACGGTCTCGGGGTTGTAGTTGACCATGATGGTTTTGTGGCCCTGCTCGCGGAGAGTGCGGATAGTGCGCACAGAACACCAATCGAACTCGACAGAGGAACCGATACGGTAGACACCAGAGCCCAGAACCATGATACCATGGTCGTCAAACTTGAGATCGTGCTCAGAGGCATTGTAAGTGAGGTAGAGATAGTTGGTCACAGCCGGGAATTCGGCAGCGACGGTATCGATCTGCTTGACGATGGGAGTGATACCAGCCTCAACACGCATGCGGCGCACAGCCAGCTCGTTGGAGCTCAGGAACTTGGCGAGCTGTCGGTCGGAGAAGCCAAGCTGCTTGGCCTGGCGGATCATGTTGATGGGCACAGTGGTGGCGTTGAAAGTGGACATGGACTTGCCGAAGTCGCTCAGACCCTTGAGGCGGCTCAAGAACCACTTGTCAATGTTGGTCAGCTTCCAGATATCGTCAACACTGTAGCCGGCAGCCATGGCGTTGGCAATGGCGAACAGACGCTGATCGGAAGGAGTCTGAAGCTCGGCCTCAATGGACATAAGAGCGTTGGTCTCGTTGAATCCCAGGTTGTGGAAGTCAACCGAGCGGATGGCCTTCTGAATGGCCTCCTCGAAGGTGCGACCAATGCTCATGACCTCACCAACAGACTTCATGGAAGAGCCGAGCTGGGTAGAGACACGAGTGAACTTCTTCAGATCCCAGCGAGGAATCTTGACCACACAGTAATCGAGCGAGGGCTCGAAGCAGGCGCAAGTGGACTTGGTGACGGAGTTCTTGATCTCGTTCAGGGGAATACCCAGACCCAACTTGGCAGCAATAAAGGCAAGCGGGTAACCGGTAGCCTTGGAGGCCAGGGCGGAAGAACGAGAAAGACGGGCGTTGACCTCGATAATGCAGTACTCCTTGGAGAAGGGGTTCAGGGCGTACTGAATGTTACATTCACCGACAACACCAAGGTGACGGATGACATTGACAGCAGTCGTGCGCAGCATGTTGTAGTCCTCGTCGGAGAGGGTCTGGGAAGGAGCAACAACAATAGAGTCACCAGTGTGGATACCGAGGGGATCGAAGTTCTCCATGTTGCAGACAGTGATACAGTTGTCCTGGGCATCACGAACAACCTCGTACTCGATCTCCTTCCAGCCCTTCATACTGCGCTCGATCAGGACCTGGGGGCTGACAGCCAGAGCCTTGGTGCAGAGTTCCTTCAGCTCCTCCATGTTGTTGGCGAAACCACTGCCGAGACCACCCAGGGCGTAGGCAGCACGCACAATGACAGGGAAGCCAATGTCCTGAACGACACGCAGGGACTCTTCAAGAGTGGAAGCGGAGGCAGACTTGGCACACTTCTCATTGATCGAGTCCATGCTGCGAGCGAAGAGCTCACGGTCCTCAGTGGTGATGATGGTATCAATGGGGGTACCAAGGACCTTGACGCCAAGCTCCTCAAACTCATCCTTGAGTTGAATACCGACCTGGAGGGCAGTCTGACCACCGAAGGTGACGTAGATGGCATCGGGACGCTCGTGCTTGATGACCTTGCGAACAAAGTCGGCGTTCACAGGAAGGAAGTAGACCTTGTCAGCCAGACCCTTGGAGGTCTGGATAGTGGCAATGTTGGGGTTGATCAGGATGGTGTAGATGCCTTCCTCCTTCAACGCCTTGATGGCCTGACTACCAGAGTAATCGAACTCTCCAGCCTGGCCAATGCTCAGACCACCACTGCCCAGAACCAGAACCTTCTTCACGTGCACGCGAGGGGCGGCCTTGATGTTCTCGGCCTTGACCCCACCGGGGAACTCGACGGGCTTGGTCAGAGCCTCGGGGGAGGCAAGGGTGTTCATGATGGTCTTGATGAAGACATCGAACAGGTACTCGGTATCCCGAGGACCGGGGGTGCTCTCGGGGTGGAACTGTACACTGAAGAAGGGGCGGCTGGTGTGACGGATACCCTCGTTACTGGCATCGTTGGCGTTCACAAACAGCTCCTCCCAGCCGTCCTGAAGGCTGGAAGCATCCACAGCGAAACCGTGGTTCTGGGAGGTGATGTGACACTTGCCAGAGAGCATGCTGGTGCAAGGAATGTTGTGGCCGCGGTTACCGAACAGCATCTTGGAGGTGGTAGCGCCGACGGAGCGAGCGATCAGCTGGTGACCGAGACAGATACCGAAGACTGGTGTCCGGGCATCCTTCAGGGTTTTGGCCAAGTTGTTGATGGTGGTGGTCAGGGTGGCGGGGTCACCAGGACCGTTGGAAACGAACAGACCGTCGTAGTCCTTGCCAGCCAGGGTGGGGAAATCGTAGTCCCAGGGGACAACCATGACCTCGACGCCACGGGTAAGCAGGCAGCGCAGCTGGTTATATTTCATACCAACATCCAAGCACAGAACCCGAACGGGGCGGCCCGAAGGGTGCTTAAGGGCAACATCGGCTGGAGGAGTGTAGAGCTTGGGCTCACGGATGGAGACTGCCAAAAGAATGCTGTCAGAATCCTGAAATTCCAATTGATTGTATTTCCTTTTCCAAATTCACAGAAAGGGCCTAGGTTTAGATGGTTCACTCACCCTCAGCGACAAGGTTCTTCTTGTTGGGATCCACCCACTCAATCTGCTCAAAGTGCGACTTCCAGTCCTCACCCTTAACACCGCTAGCGACGCCATTGGGCTCACCAGCCTTCTGAAGAAGCATGCGGCCCAACATACTACCCTTTTGACGGATACGCTTGGTCAGAGCACGGGTATCCACGCCATGCATGGCAGGGACGCCCTCCTCCTTGAGCCACTGACCCAAGGAGGACGTAGCCAGGAAGTGGGAGAAGTCCTCGCCAGCGTAGGTTGCCACCACCAACCCTGCGACGTGGATCTGACTGGACTCAAAGTATGTGGGGAGCTTGAGCAGATCATCGATCTGCTCCCGCGAGGGCACACCGTAGTTACCGACGAGGGGAAAGGTGATGACCAGGATCTGGCCGCGGTATGAGGGGTCGGTGATGGACTCGGGGTAACCGACCATACCCGTCTGGAAGACCAATTCACCGGCCATACTCTTCTCCGCACCAAAGTTGTAACCCTGGTAGACGGTGCCATCCTCCAGCTCGAGGGCGACGAGCCGGTCAGTGCCACCCCGGACGGGGATCGAGGCCGGGGTGATCACAGCGCCACTGATAGCATCCATTGTGGACAGGTCCTTCTTGTTGGTGTAAGCCACTGCACCGCCTGATGTCGGGCTGGTAGGCAAGACTGGCTCCTCGATGGAAGCAGGCTGGGACATCGCAATTGGCGAGGAGAAAGAAAGAATGAGGGGATAAGTCCTCTCGGGGACGAATCTGGTCGAGTGCAGGTCACTCTATCACAGCATCCACCAGAAGGACTTTTTTTGTGCAGATTTTCCTTTTCTGGGGGAGGGGTGTTTCACAATTGTGAATTTTTTTTTGGAGGGGGAGTAGGGTATAGTGAAGAATAGCAGCTGCAAGAGCTGGGGAATGAAGAAAGAAAGAAGAAGAATGAGTCGAAATTGGCAGAATAAAATTTTCGTGGCCGAAGACGGGGGCCCACCGTGGACCGGTTTCGGTGGTTGGAGGCGCTCTTCACCGCCTCAGAATTTTCCATTATGACGATGATCGCGTGGGAAAAAGACCGATTTGGCGAGGGGTTGGTTCGTTTGTTGAGAGATGGGAGGCATTGAGTCATTTCTTCAGCTGGATATTGGATTGTTCTGGCCATTAGATATTTCTATGAACTGGATATTGGACCAAACACCACAACTACTAGATGAGACTCGTGTCCTACCCCTCATAGCTTTTTCCCCCGATCAAATCGCCCAATTTATCGGCCTGCAGAGTGCAGGCGGTGAGAGCCGATAAGGCAGATCGTGCAGAAGAGGCTCGAATGATCATTGCAGGCTTGCAGGTATTGTACAGTAGTCGCAACTCTGCAGCTAGAGAGTAGGATTTTTATTTCCTTCGCCTAGTCGCACAGACAAATACCTCAACAGCTTCATACCAGTAAAGGTCAACAACAACAAACTCTATAGAAACCCTATCTTGCCCCGTCTGTGCACTTCTCGCCTGTGATAGCCACTCAGCCCGAGGAGCCACAATCCAGAAAAATGGAGGAATGTGTGGTCACCTGAGACGTACAATGACGACAGGGCCGCTTTTCTGGACGACGGTCGTCGCGCTTAGAGCGACTGCTGCGGTGCTAAGGGGTGTGTGGTACTAACAGTCTAACCAAGTCGAACTTAGTGGCACTTGGACGGGAGACAACCCGATTGCCCTCGCCGATCGGCGCGAGCTCTCGACCACTGGCCTAGAGGCCCTCGGGCGCGTGTGATTAATTGCGCTATCTTCGGTCGCTGCTCTATTTTCTATTATTTCACACTTGGGCTTACCCAGACGGTCTGTTATTTGATTTGTCTTTCCTTCTTTTTACTACTCAACTGGTCTTTGCTCTTCCCCCACACACGCCATTAGACACTAGCCTCAACTGCCGCCATGCGCTAAGCACCAACCAACCAAAGTACTTCTCCGTACCGAGGTCATGCTGATACCCGAACCTATCGGTCAACAACCATGCTAGCTTCTTTGCTGCGTCCAAAAGCCCGGCGCCAGCAGATTGATCAGACTCCGTTTTCTTTCTCGTCGCCGCTAGCACCCAGCGACAGCTCCCCATGGTATCGAGCAGCACGCCGTCGAGGCGCACAACGCGCGCGACGGGCCGGAGACAGCGAGTATGAACACGCGCCGGAGCTCCAAGAGATTGACGAGGACATGGACCAAGATTGGGTTGGGGAGGAGGATGAAGAGGATCACGAGGACGATGGTCCCTTGGAATCAACTCCGCTCCTCCCCATATTCTCGGCGTCGCATCTCGGTAGGTGTTTAACCCGCGACGTGCAGAGTCGAATTGGTTAGGATCCAAGTCTAACGAGATCTCCTCCCGTAGATGCCCTCCCCGTGTACGACCTCACACATGCGATCCGTCCACTAATCGCCTCCCGATGTGAAACCACCTTGACCTGGGACCAGCTGCGTTCCCCGCAGGTGTCTCAATTTCTAGTCAAGCCTATCCAACAAAAGCTCATGTCCGCCCACTTTTCGCGAGCCACACTCTATGCTTTGATGGCCAACTGCCTACAGTTCGAAAAGGAAATTCATCTCAATCCCGGAAACAGCGGTGCTAGTCAGACTCGGGCCATGGTCAGCGAGCTGCTTGCGATTAAGCTGCTGAGAGAATACACAACCAGAGAATTGATCGATGCCCTGTCGTACGAGTTCTACCCCCTCCAGGGTCAAGATTCGACCACTGCATGGGCTTCAGGTCTTCAAGGGAAGCGATTGGCGGGAACGGGTCGCGTCTCCTGCCTCGAGGTCGCCATTCGGGCCCAGGCGAAGCGGTTCCTTGCCCATCCAGTGGTGGTGCAGCAATTGGAGGCGATCTGGGCTGGAACCATTGTCTTCCACTCTGCGGCTGATCATCTACACCGGCGAGCTCATCAAACTGCTGTGCGCGGTGCAATGGGATACGGAACCTCGGCAGATTTCCGTGGCGACCAGACACCTTTCCCGGGGAACGCGACGTTCCGTCGATCGGTGACTCTATACAACCCACGAGATGCCTCACTATTCAAACTCTCCCGGTTGCGAGTACCGCGCTACCGCCAGTTCTTGTCCACGCTTTCTTTTGCAGTCCTGTTGGGTCTTTTTCTAGCCGTTCTCCAACAACGCAGTCGGCAGATTACATCCCTCGAGGTCGTTTTCTGGTTCTGGAGTGCGGGCTTCATGCTCGATGAGATTGTTGGTTTCAATGAGCAAGGTTTCAGTCTTTATTTGATGAGCTTCTGGAATTTGTTCGACCTGGGCATCTTGCTACTGCTGGTTTGCTACTATTGTCTTCGGATTTACGGCACCTTTTTAACCTACCCGAGAAATCGCCTGGTTGCCAATCAAGCATACGACGTTCTGGCTGCCAATGCAGTGCTTCTGTTCCCTCGCCTCTTTTCAATCCTCGACCACTACCGCTACTTCTCGCAACTGCTGATTGCATTCCGTATCATGGCGTCCGATCTTATTGCGGTCTTCGTTTTGATTGTCATTGCCTGCAGTGGTTTCTTCGTTGCCTTCCTGTCCTTTGGATCGGACAACTCTCCAAACACCGTGGCCTACGCCTTGTTCCAGATGCTCATGGGATTTACCCCTACTGCATGGGCAATGTGGGAGGAGTATAACTCACTCGGCAGAAGCATCCTGACGGTCTTCCTCTTCATCTGTCACTTCGTGGTAGTTACTATTCTTATCACCGTTCTCACAAATTCCTTCATGAGAATCGTTCAAAATGCGAACCAAGAGCACCAATTCTTGTTTGCTGTCAACACAATCTCCATGGTCAAGTCCGATGCACTCTTCTCCTACGTGGCCCCGGCCAATATCATTGCCTGGCTAGTCACACCGTTCAGGTATCTGATGCCATTCCGCCAATTCATTCGACTGAATCGGACGATCATCAAGATCACTCACCTCCCGGTTCTGTTCACAATATGCTTTTACGAAAAGATGATCCTAAGCTCCCAGGTGGTCGAGCCGATGGATCTTGTGGAGGCAACCGCCCGCACGGAGACCCCTGGGCAGGCTGAAAATTGGCGACCCAGCCGGTTCCGTGCTTTCAGTAATCGGGCCCGCCTCGTGCGAGAACCCTCCGTTGCGACGTATCAGAAGGATCAGGCGCTCGAGGAGGTGTTCCGACGACCATTTGGAGATAAGCGCCCAAGCAGCATCCGAGATCGCCAGAAAAGCACTGTCATCAAAGATTGGATGCAGGAAATTGGCTCCGGTCCGGCTCATACCCCAGACGAGCAGGATTCGGCTGCGGGTGACCTTCTAGAGATTCCAGTTCGACGGATGCGATTCCCATTCCGAAAGTCCTTGACAGGCCATGGACGTGACTTTACGGAGACGACTCGTTCTGTGGCATCGAACCCTGAAGATCGGACTAGCCGTATGGCCAGTCCTGTCTTCCAACACCATGGGCGAGAATCAATTTCACCCAGTCGCACTCGACAACTCTCCCATCACACCGATATGGAAGGTGACGATGAGCTTACCAGCGACGACGACCATGATTCCCATGACAAACAGTCTGATAAGGGTTCTGGCAGTGATGACAAACTAAGTCCGATCGGCAACAGCGAGAAGACCACCCCCAAATTCTACAGCTCTCGGCCATCAACGGCACGAGTCTTATCCCGTCGCGCCAGTCCTACACGCCGCCCAAAACACAGCCGAACTGTCTCCGGGGCCACTATGCTCTACAATCCCATCGGGTCGCCAAACTTGGGAACCGATGGCCAAACCACGCCTCCGAGAGATGATAACGGTTCTTCCGACGGCGAAGATCGCCTGCCCTTCGTGTCTACATCCGTGGACCAAGGCACGATTAATCGGGCAGCCCTTGCCCGCAATTTAAGCTTGAACCCAATGTCAGTCCCCAAGATTGATGGGCTCTACTTATCAGATCGACCTCTCTCCAAGCGCCGCCAACGGTCGCGGTCGCTGCTGTTCGACCTGGGATCTGACCTGGGCGACAACAAGGCAGTTGCTGGTGCCTTTGGCGGTGCTGTCCCATCCAGCTTCAATACTCAGCTGGCATTTGCTACTGGAGGCCTCCGCCGTGACGGCCCCAGCCAAGCACAAACCCAAGACATGCTGAGCAAGCTGGTGCTAGCGCGGATGAATAATATCGAAGAGGGCTTCCGGGAGGTGATCAAAGAAGTCAAAGATCTCCGCCTCGCCGGGTCCAGTCGCAGTCGTAGCCATAGCCGCAGCAGGCCGAAAGAGATGCGCCCCCTTACCGCTCGGGACAAGAAGAAGGTTACGGAGAAGAAGGATTCCAAAAAGCGAAGACCTAGCTCGGCAGAGAACCCGTGGGGACAGGACCAGCGGAATAAGCAACTGGCCAAGGAATCCCATTCGAGTCAATAAAGACTCCATTCATGCCAATATCCTTTTGAGATATGTTTTCCTTATGCACTTGCATCACCCATTGTACACTTAAAAATGGGGCGGCTTTTTGAACTTTGCTCTTGTTTTGCATGGCGCTTTGCATTGTTTTGTGTTTCCTCCAGATACCATTGAGATTTCAGACTTGTTCATGTAGACGACACCACTGCATTGACCATGTTTTATCCTCCACCCATGATTAGCGTTGCTTAGCCATGTTAGATTTTAAGGCGGTTTATGATCAATGAGGCTGGTATCCTTGTGCCCCACTACTGTAGTGGGGCATGAGACTGTCTACTGTAGCACAGTGCATTTACTCCATCGACTCAGCAAAACATAAAGAACGGGATGTAGTGCCTCTCGGGTACATGCAGAAAGCTCTAGTGCACGGCCACTTTGACTTTTCATCCATGTAATTCTTAAGTATCCTTTGTTCTTTTCTGTTTGCCGGTGCGCTTCTTATCGATTATGTCTTGCACATCCTAATAATCCTGCTGAATAGCACTGGCTTCAACAAAGATTGAAGGAATGGCTCGCCTAATCAACACTTCCAAAGCCTGGGAAATTCCCAAACTAAAGAAACCCTGCAATGACCCTTGTTCCTAGAAGTCACACTTACGTGGCTAGTGCCCAACCATAGGCAGCAGTTGTGCAGTAGTCTAGTGTTGAGCCTCATTGCCGCTCAGCCTCACACCCCTCATTCCCCCCTTTCGTCATTTCTTCTTTCTCGCGCACTTGGCTTCACTATCCACTCCCTTTTCTCTTTGATAGCCACTGGAGATCTATGTGCTGGGCCGTCTTCTTTCGTCTTCGTTTATTGCTTCCTTCCCGCATGGTTCGCTGTCTCATCAGCTTTCGCTTCCTTCCTTGCTTTCGATTGCAAGTGGTGTGTCTAGTCATCGACCGACAGCTTTGAGACTCTGATTCACAATATCTCCTTCCACCAAACACCATGGCTTCAAATGAGGATCCAACTCTCCCTCCTCCGTCTCCCGTCTCACCCTGGCATGGAATCACCCCCGAGCGCCCCTCAGCTGGTTCACCTACAAACACCGACTCTCGTCCACGCCGGTCTTCTTACACCTTCGAAAACACTGATACTCCTACTACTCCTACGAAAACCATGCTACCACTACTATTGCTGAACGATGCGGATACTCTGGTGTTCATCGATCCCGCTCCAGAGGACCGCTCCAAGAACAATATCCTCACTCCGAGCATTCCCCACCGGGTTCACAGCGAGAAACTCTTAGCCACAAAGTCAACACACTTCCAGCGGCTTTTCAGCCCCCGATACCAAACTCGCGTCCGAAAGCGCCGAGGATTTGCCGACAATCTTCCATCGGGCGTCAAGTATGTCATCGATCTAACTCCTCCCACCATAGATGAGGATGCCATCCTTGTTCTGACTGAGGTATCCTGTCCGGAGGGGATCCTTACATGGGCTTCACGCCTGAAGGAATGGAGCCTGCCGCCTTCTTGTGTCGGGGGAGAAGATGAAATGGAGGTGCGATCAGGCACCCCGAAGCGCGCTGTGGGTCCTAATAACACGACTTTGGCTGCCAATGAAGACGACGCTCTCTATTCAAACGTCTTCGGTGGAGAGGATGATGGCTTGCAGCTGGATGAAGAGGACTACCTGTTCCGGTCTCGACAACCCGCTCGGGCTGCTTTGCCTATGACGTACTCCGCCAAGCGCCATCGTGAGGGCATTGAACAGATTCTGCATGTCCTAGAAGGCTTGAATGTAGCGCTGGATACACCATGCAAGCTGTGGACCTTCTTTGCAGTCGCCAAACTTCTCGATGTTGCAGATGTCCCCACAGTGAGCGACCATGTCATGTCCTGGTTCTATCACGCTTCGAACATCCGATTCCTCGAGGTCCATCCAGAGATAGCATACCGCGTGTCCTGTGGGATCAAATCGGGCCCTCTCTGTGCAGATTCGTTTGTTGGATTGGTCGGGGACGAGGCGCTTCTCTACATCATGCGTGAGGCAAGTCTAAGGCCGCCTAAGTCATGGGCACCTATTCTTGACCGCAGCCGCATTGCCGACTTCCTGGATGATACCGAGGTGCAGCGCATTGAATATGCCAGCAAGAGTTTCGCCGACAAAATCATCGGCGATTTCTTGGATTTGGCTGGAGCCAACATGCCATGGATGGCAGAGGTCGATGAATTCGAAAAAATCAAGCAGCACCTGCGAGACTTTCCGGAAGATGAAGAGCTAGTGAACCAGCTGGTGACTGAACTGAAAGATTTCATCCGCTCCCGGATCTACCGCGTTCTATGGAACACGCGAGACCCTCGTCGATCATGCAATATCACCCCTTCCGACCAAGCTCTCGGTGACGTGAACAAGTTCAATCGACCACAACTTGTACAGCGTGTCATTGGCAGGCATTTCTGGCATGATCTCTTTCGCCTGGACCTTGACTCGACTATTCTTCCCTTGATCGACTGGGACCATAAGTCGGTGGCTGAGATTGGCAATGGAATGACTGCTTTCCAAGGTCATGAAAATGCTTCGATACGTTCTGTTATCAGACAAAACGTCGAACAGAAAGTGCGAGAATTCAACATGAGCGTCAGATATCAGGTTTCCAAAAATGCGTTCTGCCCTAGCAGGCGCAAAGCACTGGGTGCAAACGGCACTCACTTCTCTGGCCTGTCTGTCTACATGCGTAGCCCATTTCAAGCTGCTGAGCCCCCCGCGCCGATCGACGGTGGACACAACAAGCCTTTGACTCTCAACTTACGAGACCCACAATCTTTGCAGCCAGCTCAAGGAGAGGGGAGTTCAACTGCAATTGACAAGCCAAGAAGTTTGGTCCACCGCCCTCATCTTTATTCTTCTGATGAGATTGAAGGACGCTCCTCGGATAGCGTGAGCCCAATTTTCCCTCCTATGACAACGACTGCGACCACGGCCCCAGCGATATCAGGTTCGTCTTCGAGTAGTACTAGCACCCCATCTGACGTGGAGGAGAGATCCTTCGACCTTGGCCGTTTCTTCTCCGGTGTCACCAAGTGGATAAATCAGCTCTCGCTGACTTTGCTATTCCCTCACGGCTCCGGAACCGCGGCACTCGAAGCTACCGACACCCTGTTCTCGTTAACAGATGAGCAGTTTCGATTTTTGCCCCTCTGGGCAGGTGGTAATGACGACGGATCGGGGGGCGTCTTCACAGATCAGAACATCCCCGTCATGGAGACAGGGGGCTTTTCGGCGCCGGGTCCTGCTGTGCACACGGGGAGTGTGGCTTCAACCAATACGGACAGTTCTATGAGTGATATCGGCCCGGATGACTCTCAGTCCACCGTTCACGGAGCATCTCACCATGCTACGTTTTCTCACGCTTCGGATCTCTTGTCCGTGGATTCCTTCGGAGGGCCATCTCAGGAAAGCCACAACGAGCGGAGTCAGGCAGGGGGACATGCGGCTTCTGTACCTGCGTCTGCGTTCTTTTCTGGTGACGATGATGATTTTGATGTTCTGAGTAACGGTAGTGGCACTGTGATCATGGGCTCGACACGACTCTCGGACATTGATGATGACAACGACATCGATATCGATATGGAGCATCCCGATATTGATGATGATGATGACGACCATGATGACCATGACGACTACGATAGCCATGATGACAACTTTGAGCTGATTGAACCATACTGATGTCAATCTTCTGGGTTTCTATTGTTTCCATGCTTAGCTGTCTGTTTTCTTTCATGTCTAACGAGATATTATTAGCCTGGATCTAACGAAATCGAGCATGGAATGTGCATGAAAAGCTCTGTCCATTGATGTATCTTCTATGATCTTTTCATCGGTATCTTTCCCTTTAAGTCAGGTACCAATATGCAGCACTTCATCACAAAGACTTTTCTCTTTTCTCAAAGGCCTCTCAGTAAATTCACCTCAATATTTTCTAGCAGAACAAGATTGAAACACATATCTAGATCAATTTAAATAGTCTGAGATAGCAACTAAGAGGAGAAATGAGCTATAGAGCAGCGTCTCCAAGCAGACACTATGTATTCGGTCTTATATACTTCTCAAACAGGCTCTGATTGGTTGGGCACCCGCATCCTGATATCATGACTAAGCATGTTCACGGGGCCCCGGCCAACCTACGTAACTGCTCGACGCCTCCATCCTCCCGACACAACAGTGACTTCCACATCGGATTCACTCGAGTTCGACACATCTTCACTATTTTAACTACCAGAGAAGGCCATCATGTCTTCCTCCTCAAAATCCCCGAGCTTCCTGCTCTAGTGAGTGCACCTCCATCGGCAAGAGATCATCCCCCGAACAAGCACTCTGACTATACTCCAACCAAAACCAGCTCATGCATCGCCCATCGCTCTACCATCCTAGCCGAACACTCCTCCCCAGGGTCCTCTTCCACAGCCGCTTCCTCCCTGGCTTCGATCATCCTCCCCAAGATCACCCACGACAAGTCCCAGAAATTGACATACACCCATGAACGCCTGTTCGTCCATTACATCGCCGACTCGCCCGCCGGCGGCGCAGTCGATGACCAAAGCGGCCGTACAGAGCCGGACTCCTACGCACCGCTGAGCTTCATCGTCGTGGCCTCCGCCGAGCAGGGCCGCCGCATTCCCTTCGCGTATCTCCTCGAAATGAAGCGCAAGTTCCTGACGACTTACCCACCCTCCAGCACAGATTACTCTGCGCTCCCGGCATACGGCTGCGCAGCATTCAATTCCGAGCTCCGCTCCCTCCTACATACATACAATACCTCTCCGCCGGCAGACTCGCTTGCTTCGGCTCGTCGGGAGATTGATAGCGTTCGTGATATTATGACAGAGAATATTGAGCGGGTGCTCGAGCGTGGGGAGCGGATTGATTTGTTGGTTGACAAGACGGATCGACTTGGGGGAGTGCGCATGATTTCCGCATTCGCAGCCGTGGTTTGCGGCGGCGGATGTGGTGGAAGAATGTTAAGTTGATGGTTCTGTTGGGTTTCGTGGTGGTTTTCCTCCTATACCTTTTCGTGGGTATGGGCTGTGGACTGCCTGCGTGGGGGAAGTGCGTTGGCCACAGCTCCTAGGAGAAATCTCCATGATTCGATTTCGATTCCAGCGAGCGTAGCACCAGCTTCGTCCTTTTTCCCCTTCTCTTCTTTTCTGTTCTTGTGTCTACTTTTTCTCGATTGATTCCCTAGCTCTGATGAGTTACGATACACGGTTGATGCTGTCCGCTCACTTTTCGTTTTGAGGTTTAGGCATTTTTCAGCATGATTCTATGTGTACATTAAGTTCGATATTCAGTATCCGTTCTTCTGTCTTGATCTTCGTTCGGAAATATATAGTATTTTCTTGGTATTCAGATTCCCGAGTAATATTTTGAAGATTGGGTAATTTGCGTAGCTGTACGAGTCCTCATCTGAGACCTTATGCCTTTTTTGTGGTTTGTATAACTGCAAGGTAGCACTTATTCGCTCAGAAGGATAAATAAAGCTCGAACAGCCTAAATACTACATAGAGTGAAGCTGGGGAGTGGCCAGGAGGCACTACCTAATATAAGGTCGGCATATCTATAGGAAGGACATAGACTTCTGTAACTCCAGGGCTGGATCCTTATCTTGGCAGGCCGTGTCAAGTGAAAGGGAGATGCAGATTACTTGAGATAAATAGGTGACAGCAAGTTGAACGAACCAAATAAATGGTAATTGAAAATAAGTTTCTATCTAGTCTAAAGAGATGTACCTCACTATCAAACTCACATCGTCCCAGCCCGAAGGCATCGGAGCGAGTCTGCAAGCGAGACAAACCCAGCTGATCGTTGACCAGTTGATCTGAATCTGTATCTTTTATACGCCACTCGTTTACCTCTTCAACCATTTAGGTCCGTCGAAACGGGATTGACGAGGAGATAATTAGGCGATTGTACTAGCGGGGAATCCAAGAACAATCAAGACCTTTGACACCGAAGCACAAAGGATGAACTTTGAGATTGAACTCAGGGCTGCAATTGTTTCGAACGGGGTCTTCAAAGATGAAGAGGAGGTGCAAGTAAACGGAAATAGCATTAATTTCCTCCATGGCGTATTGTGCTTGTTGGAGTGTGGTAGCCAAAGTCGGGCTGGGCGTCGTGTATCCGTCAGTGCGATTGCAACGAGCATAGTTCACAACGTTCCAGGGGGAATGCTAGGTAGATTAGTGATGAAAAGGGAGTCGGGCTGGAAGGATCGAAAGCGATCGAGATTGTACATCATGACAGCATCATATCATGAATTGACCTTGGAAGAGGATAAGGAGTTGGAAGGAAAGAAGGAGGGACGGTGTTGTTTGGCTGTGGGAGAAAATTACGGATCATTTAAACATCACATGACCAGATGGGATTGGAGCCGCGTGACCCTAAAGGTTTGATTGGTGCAAGAGTAAATGCTCCACTGTTCTTGGACGTGGCTACGCGGGTTTTGGTCGATTGTTCTGATGTTGTCCTGGCGCGACGCTGTCTTGTGCTGATTTGCATTGGCTGCTGGAACACTCGCTGAGCCAGGCGCATCCAGTTTTTTTGGTCGACTCGACCTCGGCGATTCTCCGATTCATAATCACGAGTACAGTCGCATCTTACGTTTCCCCTCTGCCCCCAGCGTCACTGACTTCCATCTGGCCTTCAGCAATGATCCCTTAGCGACACCGCACAATTTTGATATGTCCCAGGGGGAGAATGATGATGACTGGCTGCAGAGCTTCTTCCCTGGATGGAGAGAGGAGGACCAGCATCAAGGAAATCGCAATAATGGCGGCCCTGATCAGACCCATCACCAGAACCCGCATCCCGCGTTCGCCGATGCGGCGCAGATGGCCCAGGCTGCCCACGCAGCCTACGTTCGATTCCAGGAATCCCGATCACCTCAAGCGCGTGCTGCGCAGATGAGTCAACCAGAACAGAACTCTGCGGCATACTCCCAGGGAATGGATCAGACCTTGTTCCGTTCTCAATTACATAGACACTCCCAGCACGAGCAACCTCAGCAACAGCCCCAAACACAAGTGCAACAACAGTATCAGCAACAAGCTCGGCAACAAGCTTTGCATCTACCTCAGCCACAGCCTTATAGACAAGCTCACGCTCAGCTTCTGGCTCAGCACCAAGCCCGGGAGCAAGCGGAGCAAAAAGCTCAAGAGCAAGCGGAAATCCGGGCTCGAGAACAGGCACAGCGAGATGCTCAGCGGCGGGCGGAGATTCAGGCCCGGGAACAGGCGCAGAAAGAATCCCGAGAACAAGCGCCGCAGCAAGCTCAACGACAGGCGGAGCTTCAGGCTCAGCAACAAGCTCAGAAGTTTGCACAGTGCCAAGCGCAGAAAAGATTGCATGAGCAAGCGCAACAAGCGCAACAATACGCGCAGCAACGGTCTCTGCACCAGCCACCCCAGGACCATCGTGACCAGCTACAGCAATACTATCGAGAGGCCCAACAGCACTATCAAGCACAGGATCAGGCCGATTCCCGACCCCAGCAGGATCGCCCGCACCAGCAGTACCAATATCGAGAAGCTTCAAACCAGCATCAATACGTGAGGCCGTCTGATATCAACCCGCCTGGGTCATATTATCAGTCTAACACCATCAATCGGTCTTACACTCCTTTGGCGCCAGTGCGGTCTCCAGTGCCCACTCAAAGATCGGCTTCGGGGCCAACCCTGGCTCAACCGTCCCCTACAACATCGCAGAGCCCAGTCGAGGTCCACTCCCGCTTGTCTACTGGGGAGCCTCTGCACAAGACTTATACAGCGCCAGATAGTCATTCTTCAGGCCAACAGAGTCCGTTGTTGGCGGCGCCGCCTACTGAGGCCCCTCCACATGATCCAAATACACAGAGGAACAGTACACCGCAGACTACACAACAAAAAGTGTCCGAAACACGGCCTCAAACGCCCCCTCGAGCATGTAGCCAGTCTCAGGCATCATCAAACCAGCCGGAAGCCTCAAGACGAGGCTCCTTCCTCGAGGATGCAGCTCTTTTCAGCACCAAGTCACCCCAGAAGGATCCATATACGTCGTCATCTCGCAGTACTCTTGGGCCGCGAGCCAACACTTTAAATGTGGCTGCATCTACGGCTAACGCTTCGGCGCCAACAAAGCCACCATCAGTCTCACATTCACACCCTTCGCCTAAACAGAGAACTAGCGCCGCCCGCCCAGCTTCAGTATCCGTTCCTCCCTCATCATCTGCATCTGAGCCCATGACTGGGCCTGCACAACTTCGTACATCAGGCTCGCCTCCGATGACCAACTCCACGGCTGCGGCTGCTGCTTCCGATCGGGCTACTACTAATAGGCCTCCTATTGGAAGTTTTGCAACATTTGCTAACATCAAAAGCCCCGCTGTGCCACCCGTATCCTATGCGGTACCGCAGGCGCTCAGGACCTATGCGACACCACAGATACTCCAGGCGTATGCCGCTTCTCAGGCACAAAATGCACCTGCTTCTTCTCAACCATCTGCTCAGACAGGCCGCAGCATCTCCTCTAAACCGATTGCAGCACCTTCCACATCTACAAGTGGGCGTAATTCACCATTGTCTTCCCAAGTCAAATCTATATCTGGACCTCGGCGAAAGAAAGGCAGGCCCCCCATATATCCTGATGTTGTGGGTCCGGACAATCAATCAGCAGGACCTGGAAGAGCTGGCGACAGATGGAAGGTGTTTTCACAAACCAATCCTTCTCCGAACGGGATACCCAGTCAGTACCAGCCAGTGCTTTCTGGCTTTCCTGTTCTTCGGGATCCTGCCTCTGCCTCTGCTCGGGCACCGGCTCCTCCGCCATCTTGGAGACCTCCCGCGAATTCTGCTTATCCAGCATCGGGTTCTACGCCGCCCTTGGCAAACAGATATGAGCCTGGTCCAAGCCAATCCGCCACGGGCGCCGGGGCGATCTCTCCAACCCTGCAACCTACCCAGGCTTATCAACCTCAACCGGCTATAATTTACACGTCAGGTCCTGTGCAGCCCCGTCCAGCTTCTACGCAACCACCACCTGCTAAGATGCGGAAGCTGGATGATAGCTCCAGACAGCCTGTGACACCGTCATCAGGGACTTTGAACTTGGGTCAATACCTCCGACAATCCCCAAGTCGGAGGCATATCACATACCGATCTGACATTATCGAACGGATGAACTCCTCGGACGTACTGATCAAACTGGAATATGACCCAGCCACTATTGCTCGGGATATCTTGATTGTTGCAGATAAGCACCCGACTGAGAAGAGCCTCAACCATCATCTGCATAGTCTGCGCCAGAATTTCCAGGCAGTAGACTATTCTTCAGATTTGGCCAGTTTTCGGTGGGACATTGTGGATCCTTGGGTCAACTATCCGCCATCAGTTGAACAAGCAGCATCCAGGGTTAATCAGATGCCTGCAAGTTCGGTATCGAGGCTTGAGACAGTTTCTTGCCCGCCCAGCTTTCCGCCCAACCTTCCGCCCAGCTTTTCGGGGCCTACGAGCCCTGGTCAGAGTATGCCCCACGGGTATGCACGTGATGTCCCCACAGCCCCGCTTGCGCGTCCCGCAGAAAGTCGTCCAGCCTACAAAACCAACACGGGCATCACCACCATTACAGGCACAGCCAATTCAAGCCTAACTGGTTCAAACCTAAACAATTCAGACTTCACTGGTACTGGCCTACGCACTATCCCCTCAGGCTCTTTCAGTTCAGGCAAGTCCGGTGTAGGTGTGACTAGCACAGGTGTGACAAAGACCAACATTGGCCCGAGCTATCCTGCCTCTTCCCCTGCACTGGCATCCACGACCACATCTACATCGACAACTAGCTCTCCGCCTAAATCTACCCCAAAGCCGGCACCTACACCGCCTTCGGCAGTGGACTTGAAGGCGTTCGGAGCTTTGCCTTCCAAACCTCCCTCTTATGACTCTCCTCTTCGCCCCACTGCACAACCTGTTCCATACCCTCTTCCCTCTCTTCCTCCAGCCTCATCTCCTCCGAGGGTGTATCCTTCAGTTCCATCATCCTCAATTGAGTCTCACCCTCCAGTCTCAACTCCCGTCTCAGCCACAGTTCCAGCTCCGGCACCTAAGTCTTCACCTAAAAAATCAGTGAAGTCAACACCGGTGCCACCGTCCTCATCCTCATCTGCTGCTTCTCGTCCTCTGTCCAAGACACCTCAAGGTTCATCACAGTCTCCTCGGGGCAAGGCTCCCCGACAATCACCTCTACCCAAAGGGCTACCAGAGCCCCAGGTCGTCATTCCTATTTCTCCACAAACGATGGCGCCCCCGAAGAAAAAGCCCGGTCGCCCACCTCAGAAAGACATCCAGGTTGAGGTGGCCATTGACAATCGGCCTACCACTCAGTATCCAATCTTCAAGTGCAAGTGGACCGGGTGCCAGGCAGAGCTCCATAACCTGGAAGCTATCCATACTCACATTCTGGCGGTCCACATTCCCCACCACATCGTCTGTGCCTGGGATGTCTGCTCCGATAAGAACCTTCGCGCTGCTGCTGATATGTGGGAGCACGTCCGAGAAAAGCACATGATCCCCCTGGCCTGGCAATTCGGGGATGGCCCTTCGGCCTCGGCAACCGGTGAGGATTTTGACCTACTTGCATCTACTCCTTTGACCTGAGATGATTTACTTTTGTCAATTTGGAAATTGAACACATGTCTGATGGGATTGGATTCTAGCGGCAGATAGCTATGAACAACCTGAGCTGTCCGGCCAAGGACGCCAGGACACGATGACTCTCCCAGCGGATCGCGATTCCGTCAAGATCTTCAGCCGCATCCATGGCACGCAGACGAGCAAGCAGAAGGCCGAGCTGATGGAGGAGGGTGGACGTCGGTGGAAGGAAGATGCTGGACCCGACACGGACACCAGCGATCGACCACTTTCCACCCCACTCCGATTGATGGCCAGTAGCCACACCGAAACGGCTTACACCATGTCTGAAGTGAGGGTGGTGATTAGAGGGGCCTCAATGGAATGAGGCTGATGGACGATATCTTTCTGGTTTGATACAGCCAGTGTTGTCGACAGGAAGAAATGGCGTTTTGGGAAACGATCCAGCGAATCTCTACATAGCAGTACCCTCACAAAGAGGAAGCCACAGCGATACTTGCTTAGTCGGCTGATCCATGCATGAACAAATGAATCAAATAATTAATGAGATCCAACATCCGAGTTAGTAGCACTGCTTAGAAGAATGTAGAAGAAGAGTCCAGAGAGACAAGAGAAGGCCAATTGGTATTTTGCCAGAAAATCATCAACCGGCGTGCTGCTTGTATTATTATACATGCGTTGTATTCGATCAGGTGTATGGTTTCCATTCATCCTGCCTCTTTGCTATCCGCATTGCCCAAAATTAACCCTAGGATCTGGAATCCTGCCCAATCCATTGATACTCATAGTGCATTCCCCGTGGTTGGCGCTGAGGTGGTTGTGCTCTCTGAAGATGTTGGCGACGTGGCCTTGACTGTGGCGCGGGCGGGCTTTGCGGAGGTGTTTTCGGAAGACTCCTTATCGTCGCGGGCATTGACATCGAGGAAGTGGTAGAGAACAATCATCATCATGGCGCATGAGCCCAAGAAGATGGCCAAGCGGTAGAGATCGCCGTCGGAGATCATTGTGGAAGGAGGTGGAGGTAGAGTTGGGAGCAGTTGAAGAGCCGAGGAACGATTAAGGTGGACTGGCTGGACGACGCGCGAGGGGCGAGGGGCGAGTTGAGTGGAGTTCGGGGACCCGGAGAATGAAATTCAAATGGCCTAGAAAGTCGAGAAGGAATTGAATAAGGCCAAGGGGTAAAAGAAAAGCGAGAGGACCGAGGAAACACCAGTACCAAAGTTCTGCAGAAGTATGGAGAAGTGGAAGCCTGAAAGACAGTTGAGAAGGACGTGTCATCGGTTTTTGTTAGCGCCACCAAACGGGGAACATCCCTGCTGTAATAATAAATAACAATAATAATTACTGTACTAAGTTACTGTAGTTTGGGTCCGGCCATTCTTCCTTCTTCTCGCCAGTTGCCCGAGTCCAAAAAAACGTTCCCCAACTTCTTTTCTTTCCCCCTCCTTCTCTTCTTCTTCCAACCTACACCATCTCCAGTTCTCTTGGTTGTCGATCTCTTCAATATAGTACTCCGACAATCTACGACTCTCCCTGTGTCCACCCATCCTTCCTCCACCCATGCGCCTCTTCTCTTCATCATGAACGATCCGCAGGCCCCGATCCTTGTTCCCGGGTCCGCGAAGCCCGCCGGCCCATCACTACTAGCATGTCTTCTCTGTCGCCACAAACACCTCAAATGCGATGGCAAGACACCCATTTGCGGTCGCTGTCTTCTGACCGGCTCGGAATGCCAATATACTAAATCGCGACGGGGCTACAAAGGCCCTTCTAAGAAGCGTCGCGCCGAACCATACTCCCCCGACCAACTTGTCACGGATCCCGCACCCGGCATGGTCGAAGTTCCCATCGACTGGTCCCTACAAGGGAATTTCAATTATGCGCCGACCACGATGCCGCTGCCTTCGTCAGGATCGGCCAGTCCGATATTCAATGGCGTGCCATCGATGACGACGACCATGACAACAAATACAGCAACGACCACGCCCCCCGCTCGCCCGGTGACAGGAACCCTCGCAGGACCGATGACCCCGGAATCTGCTTCCTCGGTCGGCGGCGACGGCTACCTTCTCGATATCTACTACACCTACTTCCACTCTGCTCATCCGGTTCTCCCACCGCTGCGCTTCCTCTATCGTGGTAGCCAATGCCCCCCGTACTTGGAACAGGTGATGAAATTCATTGCCGCCCACTTTACTCCCGCGGCTTCGCCGGAAACCTATCGCCCGACCGTCGTCGCAGGTGTACAGGACCAACTGCCCTCCGTGGAAAAGGTGCAGGCAATGCTGCTCTTGGCGATTGTGCTGCACTCGCGCAATGAGCGTGGGGAAGCCAAGGAATGTCTAGATGTCGCGATCGACCTGGCATTCGAGCTAGGCTTGAATCAAGCCACTTTTGCCGAGACGGCAAGTAACGGCGACCCAATCCGAGCAGAGTGCTTGCGCCGTACCTGGTGGGAGCTGTTCGTCGTTGAGGGCTTATTGACAGCCCTGGGCGTACAGCAGGTCTACCGTACGAATTTGGTGCCACCCGAGGTGCCCCTCCCGTGCGAGGAGCGCATCTACCAGGATGGCCTGACACCGCCGACCCCGCCGACCATCGCACAGTTTGATGGACGTGTGTTTGCCGACGATGAGCGCGATTTCTCCTCGTATTCGTACCGAATCGAAGCTGTGCGAATTCTCGGTCGCGTAGTAGCGACCCAGGACATGGTGGAAGGCCAGCAGGACCATGTCGAAGCCATTGATGCGCGTATCACGAGCTGGTTCCTCCACTTGCCCGAGTCCAAATCCGAGCTGATGCGACCGGATGGTTCAGTAGATGAGATCATGTTCCAGGCGACCATGATTGTGAATGGTGCTTCCATTTACCTGAACTTCCCTCGATCGGATCTCCTGTCGTCCCCCGCGGTCGCTTCAGAGGTTATTTGTGGTCACCACGGTCCGATCAGTGTTCCCGCCTTCTCCCATCATGCTCATGCCATGAAGGCAGTCAAGGCAGCCAGTGAGTTGTCCTCTTTGGCAGCCATTCGTCTGCCCGTGGAACGGCACACCCCGTTCTTCATCTGCGCTCTCACCCTGAGCTCTATGGTCCAATTGGCGGCTTGCTCCGTCAAGGCAGGCCAGATGCCTGATCCGAGTCGGGATCGTATCGGTCTCACCATTGGTGTGTTCAAGTCGTTGGCGCGTACCTGGGCAATTTCTCAATCGATCATGCGTCAGATCAAGGCCGTTGCCCGCGATGTACTGGACATGGGTGTGCGCCCTAGCATTGAGTCGCTTGATCTTACCTCGATTCTGGACGTCAACGATCGCTTCTGGATTCAGGATGGTCCTAGCTGAACTATTTCCAGCTATGGTACGATCTCACCTCGGGATCCTCTGAGGTCCCCCTCACCCTATAAATGGTCCACCATGGTAAGCATCCTGGCTGACCAGGGGATCATGGGTCAGCACAGAATCCCCATGTAGTCAGCGTGGATGATCTCCAGCTTACACACCCTACGGGTGTCGCTACATGGCCCGTCGCCGTCCTGAGGGGCTTGGCGACTGCCCGCTCCGACTCCAGCAGAATGCTGTCTTGGCCCAGCGTTCTATCGGAGATGATTCCGGCTGACTGGGTGTTTTGATATGCATAACAGCACAGTCAAAGCCCTTCCGCTGTTGGTCACGGGCGACAGAACAATATTTTGGGTAAAGGACATGTCAAATAAGCCATTGATGGTATAAGTAGAAACATGCTCGCATAGACCATTATATCATGGCCCATAGCGGCTAGCCTATCTGCAAGAAATCACACCCTTCTTTTCCCATGGTTATTTTACCATCGGCGCGGGTAGACACTTTCTGATTATCTGTTCGTCAAGTGGCGTATAATCACTTAACTCTTTTTGCGTGTGTGTCAAATAACCCTGTTCAATCAGTCTGGACTTCTCGTATGGCCACTGACCTTCTTATATATGGTGTCAAGTCTCCCGACAAAAATTTGAATCATCTTGTCGATCACAATTTGGAAAATAGACTTAGAGGTAATACGGCCATGGAGAAAGACGATTCAAGAGACATCTCGAAAGACATCTCGAAAGAAAGGATATTCAGCATATCTCAATCACGTCTCTGATCTTGGGGGTCCTAATATTTGAAGTGCCAATGTACATATTTCCTTACAATCATTCCTCCAGTCTCAAATGCGCAAACCAAGAGCGAAGGGCCTCGACTCGAGGAGAGCGATAAGGCGATGATCCACTCTCGGCCATCTCGCCGAGCCCTGAGCGTTCGGGGCCTCCCGCGAACTATGAATTTGCCGGACGGAAAATACCATCAACCATGATTCATACGTTAAAACATTTCACTGTCTCGCGATAGAGAGATCATCCAATCCCTCGTAAACACTCTCGGTAACTCGAAGTATACCATCCTCTCCAAGATATCCACGCACTCGCATACCAATGACATCGCCTGCCACAACATCGGAGATCATCCGCGCATCTAGAACTGTGGACCCAACCTGCATCAATTGCCGATCGTCAAGTTGTTAGAAGACTCTTCGAAAAAGCCAGACTTCTTCTCGGAAGCAAACAGTCTGTTTCTCACACCTGCCACAATGCAATCGGTACCAGATGGTGTGCTCAGAGTCAAACAGACCGACAGAGCCATCATCAACCTCATTGCAATGCCAGACGGTGTGGAGACACCCAATGGATTGGGCACTCCACCAAATGAACCTGCATCAGGCTTCGAAATAGTGACTTGGAATGGCGCCGATGACCCAGAGAACCCGCAAAACTGGCCGCTGCAAACGAAATTGTTACGATCGTCTTCACCGTTAACCGTGATCTTCGCTATTGCATTTGCATCTAGTGTCTTTGGTGCCGCAGCCGACGTTACTGCAGCTGAATATGGTGTCTCGCAAGAAGTCATGTCTCTGGGAGTAGCCCTATTCATTGCCGGGTTTGCAACGGGCCCACTGGTTTTCGCACCGATGGCTGAAGTAGTCGGCAACGCTCCCGTGCTAGCTGTTGCACTAGCAGGCTGTGCGCTCTTTCAAATACCGCTAGCACTAGCACAGAGCGTTGTCACTATTCTAGTTTGTCGGTTCCTGGCCGGGATGTTGGGCAGTGGAGGTCTTGCTGTGGGCTCTGGGATCCTGGCAGATATCTATGGACCGATTACCCGCGGTGTCGCGGTAGGCATTTCAGCCTCAATCATGAACATAGGATCGATTATTGCGCCTATTGCTGGTGCGTACATTGTTGATCGATATGGTTGGAGATGGACAGCGTGGGTAACCCTGATACTATGCGGCGTCGTGGGCATCCACGCCGCACTATTATTACGCGAGTCATCCCACAATCGCATCCTCATGCGCCGCGCAGCTAGGCTCCGCCGTGAAACGGGCAACATGAACCTCCGCGCTCGTGCGGAGATGGCATCTCTAGAGCCGCAGGTGCTCCTACGCAAATACTGCACCAAACCAGTGCGAATGTTCATCCAAGAACCCATTCTGATAGTCATGACGATATACCTGACCCTCGTGTATGGCACGCTATATCTATCGTACCAGCTATTTCCCAAGGCATTTCAGAATCGAGGCTGGAGTAAGTCTACCGCGACCTTGCCGTTCATTTCCGTCGGATTGGGAGTATTGTCGGCATTGGGATTATTCTCTTTGTTCACGATGACCTGGTACAAAAAACGATGGCTAGCGTCTCAAAAGACAAAAGAAGAGGAAGGAGGGAAATCTTCGACCCAGATCACCCCGGAACATCGATTACCACCTATGATACTGGGGGCAGGGATTCTCCCACCAGCACTCCTCTGGTTCGGTTGGTCGGGAGACGTCCACTGGGCATCGCAGCTAATAGCCTGTTTCTTCATCGGCATGGCGCTACAAGTGATCTTCATCAGTGGCATTGTTTACATTGTCGATACTTATCTTTTGAATACCGTTTCGGCGATATCAATTCACGTCATGGTTCGCTCACTCGTCTCTGCCGTCTTCCCAATCATTGAAGGGCCTATGTATGAGACGCTGCATATTAATTGGTCGGCCACGTTGCTGGCAGGTCTGTCGGCGGTGATTATGGTATCACCTATAGTGTTTATGATATATGGATCACGAATTCGAAGTTGGAGTCGGTTCTCGGTGGGGGATAATCAAAACAAGTGAGTAGATTTTAAGAGATACGGTTAAACAGCAGACATCAAATTTAGACGCGAGGATTGGATAGAGGAACGAACGTCATGAGACTATCTTTGTGACTCAATTCTAATTTTTGAATGCAACTCTAGACAATGACAATAAATCGAACAAATCGAACCCAGTTGTGGAAGTAGTTGGGGGTATCTTGGATGCAGAGATTTAAGAAGGAAAAGAACGAGCACATCAATTCGCGGAGATCATGTGAGAAAGAGGTCCATAGAGGAAGCCAGAAAGAAGAGGGAGCAGCGCCAAGGAATGAGAAATAATGGGATATCATCGGGAAAAAAGAATAGCCAAACTCCTTACCCAATGCTCGGAATCGTATCAGCATAATCTCACAGGCTCTAGATGGGAACAAAAAAAAAGGAAAAACATGGAATGACGCTTGGTACTCCCACATATGGAAATGGTTGAAGAAATAAAGGATCGATGTGGACCTAAGTCCGGCCACCGCTAGACTCACGCATTTCCTGCAAAGCAATAGCTCTGCGAGCGACGACGTCTTCACGACGGACCATGTTACGAAGCGCCTCGCTGGCTTGGATCAAACCGTCGATACTGATTGCATGGTTGGTCATTTGGTGGTTGATGTAGGTGTACAATGCGGCCGGAGTAGTACACGTGGTGAGCAGCTGTGGCTCATTGAGTTTGAGGAGCGCCAGGGCGACCTGGAAGAGGAACGTACTTCCTCCTCCGCTGCCGGAAGCAAGTTCGTCTGTGGGGGGAGTAGCCTTGTCCTTGCCATCTTTGACGCTCGATGCAGCTGAAGTGGTCGTCGGTGCAGGGCCAGCAGAGACCGTACTGGTACTAGTAACGTTGAGACACAAGACCACGTCCCATACACGATATAATGCTTCCGCAGAGAGACAATCTGTAAAGACGGAAAGGAACCACTGGAACGTAAGTGCTTCCAGCTCAATGCCCAGGTCTTCCAGGTGAGCTGACAACTTCGGTAGAAGTTCTGAAATGTACTGGCGGAGGACAACCTGATCTGCGCGGGACGCGAGAAGCCCATGATCATAATAATGATGGGGCAAGATGATCTCTATCATCGAAGTCAAAATCCAGAATGCATCTTCGGCTGTCGGCATGATAAGCAGGAGCGAGGCTGCAATCAGGTTCATGCCCTGGCAGTATCCAACCTCGGGGTTCCGGCGTGAATATGCCAGAAGAACCTCCTTCAGCTTACCCACGCCAGGGCCCTTGCGGAAAAAAACATTGTCGGTGAGAGTGCGGCGAATGTCCATGTCGATTTGGGCAATGACCGAAGAGTCAGGCTCGGTACCCCCGATTCCTCGCACAAGATCTTCGTAGTAACCAGGAATCCGCATTGCAGATGCACCGCTGCACTCGGACCAAACCTTAGCGCGCAGGGCAACGGGAATACCGCCGAGAACCAACAAGCGGAACTCTCGCCACTTGGCACGACCGACTTTACCCTTGTTGCCGAGTCCAGCGATGCCAATGACCTCTCCATCTGCGAGAGATGCTTCAGGCGTGTCCACAGCAGTCACAGACCGGTCGGCGGCTGCAGCGGCCGCAGCTTCGCCTTCCTTCCTGCGCTCAGCACGAACCTTGCGAAGGAACTCGTTCCATCGCACTGTCCGATCTCGCTGGAGAGAATCATGAAGATCGGTAAGTTGCTCTAGAAGTAGCTTCACCGGTTCGGTTTCAGTAACGCCAGCTCCGGTTGACGTTACAATGGCCGAGTCCTCTGAGGTGGTCCCAGCGAATTCGGGACGATCGGCGGTGATAGTTGAAGTAGATGCAGAGGGCTGTGCGCTTGCACCAACCGATACAGCGCCATCTTTATCCACAGAAACTGACGAGCTGTGCGGACGGCTTTCTCCCGCGGTCATCAAGGAAACGATGGGACCAGCAGAGGGTGTATGAGACAGAAGCTCTGTCGGGCGAGATGGCTTTCTTAGATAATCCTGCCAGCGACGCATTCCAACAGCTCCATTTTCCGGATCATCGTCAGGAGAGCCGGGAAGAGAGCTCGGAGTGTCAGCCGGTTGCTGAGTGATAGGGCTTGTTTGAGCGTTATCCTCAACATCAGAGTCTGCGCGGTGATTGCCAAGAGTCTCGGCGATGCTTAAGCGTGACTTATGACCCTTGCCTGCGTTAGCTTCTCTTTGACGCTTTTTCCGCCGCTGGTCGTAGATGAAGCCAAAACGATCTGTCAGAAATTCGCCTGGCTGGGAGTTGTTGTAAATGGGAGTTAGAGTTGGAGGTCGAGACTCCAAGGGTAAGATAGCATCCATTTCAACGGGTCCCAAGTTGGTCGAGCTTCGGTCGGTACTTTCAACGGCTGCGCCTTGTGGAATGATTCCAGCAGGGTTCCTTCGCTGGGGGTTTATCTTGACCGTACCACTGCTACTAGTGGTGCGTCCCGCCGCAGTAGTAACGTTGGAATTGCTGTTGATTCTTTTCAGTGCAGCGACCGCAGACAATCCACTTTTGGAGGAAGCAGCTCCGGATAGAGTAGCCCCAGCTGACTTGTCTTTGTCTTGATTGTCCAATGCGGTTCTGTTGCGGCTGGTCTCAGAATCACTAGCATCCTTTGATTGCGCATTGCCGGCGAACAACTTCACCGTCCATGAACCGAGCGAGCGCGAAGATTTTCGTGAATGAATACTTGCATCGTCACCAGTGGGAGATCCACTGGCGATTCTCCTGTTCAAGATCTCGCTTACCGCCACACCAGGAGGATGGAAAAGCTGGTCGTCAAGGGCTTTGCGCCTCACTGATGGGTTGCTGGGGACGCGAACACGCTCTGCGGTGTCTTCTTCTTCAACTTCGTGCATATCACTCATAATACTGCTAGCGCGACTTGTCTTTCGACTAGCATTGGTGGAGCCAAAGAAGTATTCCTGCCAGCCACGAAGCGAACCTTGTCGTCTCCGATTGACGCCAGCGTCGGATCTTGGTGTGCCGCCACCACTCCGATTCTCATTTTCTGACCGCTGAGCAGCCCGAATGGTGGCCTGTAGATCGGATGAAGTGCCCTGAGACTCCCCATCCGGTTGGGATCCGACAGTGTCTGTCATGGCCTGAGACATCAGCCCATTCAACCCGGCATGATCACCGCTAGTGCTGCTCTCTCCATCAGAATTGCGGTCATCCGTAGGATTCTCAAGCTGGTAAAGGCGGCGTTCAATATCCTGATTCGAGACGGACACTTCACGCAACATCCTCTTTAATTCCCGCTCCCTAGCATCAGCGCGTTGTCGAAGGGATGAAATTTCCGCATCCCGCTGGGCCAGATCACGGGCGAATTGGCGCACAATCTGAACAGCCCCGGTGGTGGCGATCAAACGCTCAATATGCCCATCATCCGCCAAGTGCAAAGCTCCTGGAATATCGCGCGGGGGGACCGAATCGGCGAAGAGGGCGCCCCTACCTGACTTATGGGACAATCCCGTCGTCAAACTTGCAAGAGTAGCCTTGCGCCCACGTCCAGTCTCATTCGCGCCCTCTCCTCCCTCACTACCTGCGAACAGTGTATTCGTCACCCCTCGAGTCAAGGTGGGAGATCGATCAGGCGGCGAAAGCGAAGGAAACGATGTGAGGTCGGTAGTTTCATTAGGCGAAGTCGAATGGCGCTTTTGCGACTGGTGTCTGAGCGTTCTAGCCCTTTGACTCCTACTTGAAGCAGATGACGCTTGAGAGGAGGACCGCCGTTGGGGGTGAATATCGGGCTCTGCCATGACTCAACGACTGGTGGATGGCAAAGACGTCGAAATAAGAGATTGCGGACTTCATGAATGCTTGCGTAGTTTCATTGGTCGAAGATGAAAAAGCGAGAAAAGAACACACAGAAGGAGTTCCGTCTCAGGACCGGCTGTTGTTCACTTTGCTTTTCCGCGCCGCCTTTTTTGGTCTTATTGCGCGCGCCGTAGGCGATCCTAGGCGATCCTGAGTGGACCTGTGGAATGTAGGGAGATCGACCACGGTGTCAATGAACAGACAACACGCAAGTCGGCCTAGGAGGCATAAGGGTAGAAACCCAAATGAGACTCTCGCAAAGGGGTATTCTATGCACAACTCTATCGACCAGATGCGAGGCTCTTCTGCCCGAAACAAGCACCGGCACATGACGTGATGTATATCACGTGAGGTGCTAGCCAAAGGTCACGTGTATTACAAGGTTCTCCAGGAGTAACGAGTCCACGTGACCTGGGCCTCGGCTCTCCGCATAACCAAGTGGGGAACAGAGTCGATGCGGTTCAGCTCAGCTCGGGAGTCGGTCCAGCTCCTCATTATTTAGCGGCATCTCCCCCAAGTGGTTTTAACATTCCAGCCAGAAGTAACCCAAACTTGGTCGTCTTTCTTTTTATCCATTTTCACGACCATCATGTCCTCCTCAGCAGCAGCTCGGCAACGTCTCCAGGCCCTCAGCAAGCAGCTGGTCGAGGGTATCCCCGACGAGGGCAGCTTTGAGGGTATTCCTAAGATCCGCCATATTGCTTCAGACTCAGCAGGGCCGTAAGTTAAATATGATTGTCACTTCCATCCGCCCCAATTCTCCAATTGAAACAAACAAGGCTTATATCAGCTGCTAATTTATCCATAGTCGGACAAAGGGCAAGGTCGTAATTGTAACCGGTAAACTTCCTCGGCCCAAATATCCCACCATCCTGTACACTAACAAACCTCAGGAGCAAACTCCCCTAACGGCATTGGCCGTGCGAGTGCCCACCAATTCGCAAACAATGGCGCCAAAGCCGTCTATATCTGCGATTATAATGACTCTCACCTCGCCACACACAAGCGGGAAATAGAGTCTCTCTACCCTGGCGTCGATGTCCATGTGCGGCAATTCGACGCCGGCGAGGAAAAGGCCGTTGTCGCGGTCATTGATGATGCGATTGCCAAGTATGGCCGGCTAGATATCTTCTTTGCCAATGCAGGCATTGTCGGGCAACCCAAGATCTTTACTGAGATTGATGGTGATGGTTTCATGAACACGATGCGGACAAATGCCCTCGGGTAAGCTCTCTTGATAGCAAATTAGGGGTTGAGCCAATGCTAAATCTTTCTATCATATAGTGTCTTCCTAGCAGCAAAGCATGCCGCCCCAGCCATGAAAGTGACCTCAGAGACCAAGCCCTATCCCAGCGGCTCCATCATCTGCACTGCCTCGGTTGCAGGTCTCCGCTCCAACGCCGGTTCAACCGACTACTCTGCCTCCAAGGCCGCCGTCGTCTCAATTGCCCAGACTGTTTCTTACCAGCTTGCCGGCACGGGTATCCGCATTAACGCCATCTGCCCCGGTCTCATCGAGACAGGCATGACGCAGGCAGTCTTTGACCATGCCCGTAAGCGTGGCACCGAGCGCAAGATTGGCCAGTTGAATCCGTTGCAGCGTGGTGCCGTTGCTGACGAGGTTGCCCGCGTGGCATTGTTCTTGGGAAGTGATGAGAGCAGCTATGTCAATGGCCAGGCTTGGGCTGTCTGCGGTGGCTTGAGTGCGGGACACCCTGTTGTTCCAGGAAAGCTGGCATGATCATGCCATTTTGTTGCATAGCTTTGTAAATAGTTCCAATTGGCAGTTTTTGGGTTTCGTACCTACGACGGGCTCCTAGTGCAAATTACAAAGTGCAGCAAGCGCTGGTAATACTACTCGAAGGAAAAAGTAGAACAATTAACAGAATCCCATTTTTTTAAATACAGCAGGTGGGATGGATCGTCCCTATACAATCGACGAGTCCAGGTCGACGACTTCACACAAAAAAGAGACAAGGAAAGTTGTGCATGGCACACACAGTAGACAATAAGGAAAACATTCTGCAATTTAGCAAGTTTGCAGAAGGAGTAGTGCAGAGTGGAGCGCTCTCTCTCGGGACTGAGATCTATCAACGCAGCAGCAGTCAAGGCTCCAGGCGCAAGAAAAAGGAGCGGAAAGCAAGCAAAACAACAAGCAAACAAGCCGGTCCGACTCAGAAGGCACGGCCACCAAAAACACAAGACAATAATAGACTTCCCGGGGAGGGGCAAACAAAGGCTCAAAAAAAGCCCTCCCACAGGACCCAAAAGGTGGAAGGGTAAAGTGGATAGACAAGGAATAGTGGGTAAAACGGACGATGGATATAGGAGTATCAGAAGTTGACACCACGAAGCGAAGAAAGCAGATGGGAAAGAAGACTACGCCGGACAACCAGAACATTGGTGTACGTGTCAGATTCACGGCACCAGTCAGAGAGAAGGGAAAGGAGGGAAAGGTAAACACCACGCCAATATAAGCAAGAATGTGTCAAGAGGAGAAATGTAAAAAATTCAAGGTCGTCTCAGGTCAAGCGTTGCACATCGTCCTCTGGCAGAGCTAGTGGAAGGGAGGGCAAAACTAAGAGATCACCCGTGCGGTCTGAGGCCGCATGAGATCCTCACTGGCCTGCTTAGACAGAGTGCCAGTCTCGGTGGCCTGGTCATCCGTCTCGTGGGCATGCTCATCGTCATCCTCGACGATACGGGTCGGGATATCGCCAGGGCCGTACTGCTGGCTTGATCGCTCCGGGAAAGTCGAGCTGCTGACCATGGACATGGAAGTGCTGGACCGGTTGTGAACCAAGTCGGGAGTGGGCGGGATGCTGGAGTGACGATTGTCAGGGTGCAGCGAGGTGTTGTCGTTGTCGCTCACTTCGCTGGTGGCGCGGGTGGTGCGACCCTCACCATATTCGGAGCCGAGACGGTCTCCGTTCTGGTGAGAGACGGACTTGGAGTTGGAATCAATCTCCTCATCCTCCTCGGCGTCCTGGGCCAGGTGGAGGCCCTCAACGGCGGCGGCGCACTGGTCACTAATGCTACGAATGATGTCCGCGATAGCATCCGTCTTGTCGCGAAGGTAACGGTCCGCGACATCGGTGATGCTCAGACGGGCAAGGGTCTTGTGGTCCTTGCCAAGGTTCAGCAAGTGCTGCTCTAGCTCGGGTCTCATATCATTTACCGAAGTTGCCTTTGGAGCATTGCTCTCCTTGCTTGACTCCTTCACCGTCTCCATGCGCTCTTCGCGGTTGGTAGTCTCTTCGGGGGCGTCTTCGTAACCCTGCTCGACCATCTCAGTAATCTCGGAGCTGCTGCCAATGGAGCGAACAATGTGCTCCATGTGGTGGCTCTGGCCATTGATCAGACTGCGCAGGTGCAGAACCACACGCTGGGCATCATCGCGTTGACGAGACAGGGTGGCGTTAGTATGGGTGAGGGCAGAGATCTCCTTCTGGTTGCGCTTGCGCTCACGCTCGAGCTCCTCGGCAATCTCTTGCTGGAGGACCAGAGCCTCGAGAGCATCGTCACGCTGCTTCTCAGTGCCAGACAGACGAAGAGTGAGACGAGCCACATCATCCTTCTGCTGATCAATGAGACCAGTGAGACGACGATTCTCACGCTTGTGGTTCTCGATCTTGACCTTGAGTTCTGAAGTCTCCTTGGTGAGCTGCTCAGCAAAGGCCTGGAACTTGAGGAACTGCTGCTTCCAGGTCTCGAGCTCCTCGACCAAGAAGTTGTTGCGCTTGGTAACCTTGCTGAGCTCGGTATCCATGCGGCCCTTTAGGTTGATGAAGTCCTGCCAGGCCTCCATGGCATCGCGCGAGTACTGGTTGCGCTCGCGAACGATCTCGTTGAGGTGACGCATCGACACCTTGGTCATCAGGGGCTTCTTGACGGAGCCGCCGAAGATGGCCTTCATGCCGGTGTTGCGGCCGAGCTTCTCGCAGACGTGGTCCATGACGCCCATGACGGCATCCTGGTTCCACCAGTTGGGGTCCTGGACGCTCTCCACCTCACCACGCATGACAATGATCTGACCAGCGGGGATCAGTTTGCCACCCGCGTAAGCGGAGCGGAGATGAGTGGGAACACCAGAGGGCGACACATCACCGTTCAAAGCCTGAGTCAGGCGGCTGATGAACTTGGTGCGCTGACCCTGGTTCAGAACGTTGGGCGGGCTGGAGGTGAGGACAAAGTTGCGGTCCAGGTCCACCACGAGGGCATCGGAGGGGGCGTTGAAGAGAGTGCGACATTCAGCAGTGATACCCAGGATGTACGGGCCAGGCTCCTGAACAAGCTCCTTGACGTGACGGGCATGCACCACGGGCACGTACAGGCCGCTCCACTCGTAGACACGAACGCAGTAGCGGACAGTCTCGGCGGCCACAGTCAGCATGGCCGCGTAGTGAGAGACGAAGATAATTCGGCGAGTGGGGGAGACCGCTGCCTCAATAACTCCAACAATGTTGGGGATCGACAAACAGTTGAAAAGGGGCCACATGGAGAAGTTCTGGAAGCCAGTCGGGGACGAGGGGAACTGGTAGCAAAGAGCATAGTCCTTCATGTCGATACGGACCAGATCGTTAAGTCGAGGGGCGGGGAAGCTCAGAATTCGAGAAACCTCCTCGGCGTGGAACAGGTTCGTAGCCTTGTTCCAGTGAATCCACATCCCTCGGAGATAATCGCCCAGCAGATCGTACAGGGGATAACGGGAAAGGAAGCTCAGGCAATAGGGGATCCAGTAGGTCTCGTCAGGGTTGTCATAAAAGTCGGGCTCGGTCTTCTTGCGCAATTCACGGATGGTCTCGGCACGCTTCTCGTCGGCACGGGACCAGACGCGCAGCGCAATACCGTACAGAGTGTGAGAAGAATCTTGCTGGAGGACAAAGGCGTGGTGGGCGCAGTGAGGCTGGCTCTTGCCAGTGCAAATCTCGACATCGTGGGGGAAGCAAGCCTGATGGACAGATTGTTAGTTGATCTCAATTCCTCCGATGTAGACTTCATGAATGCATATCATGCAATTCCGTAATACAAGACATTTCTCTCGATATGTATCGAGAGCTATTGGTATGGATGTAGGAATAGAAGCTTACCCTCATAGCCGAGTGCAAGGCTCGTGCAATCTCATTATCCTGCTCCAAACGAGGGCTGCTACCCAGGATCTCAGGAAGCCAGAATTGACCAACAGCACCCTTCATATGACCAATCTTGCCCTGTTCGGGGGTGGGTGCCTTGACCCATTGTGAAGGTTCACGGCCGACACCGCAGACCATATATGCATGAGTAAGAGTTTTGGGAGTCCGCTGAGCGGGCTTGATGTTCAAAGTGGAGGGAATGGGTTGGGTGATGCGCGAGTGCAGCGACGACGTGCGGCTGGGGACGACCAGCGAATTTTCCCCCTCGCCGCGAGTCGTCGGCCGATCGCGAGTGGATGGCCGCACGAAGGATGAGTGATCTCTCAAAGATGGACCCATTGTGACGGTATGTGGTGGTGTTGGTGGTATAGATTGGAATATCTAGATCTATAGATGGTATCCAGGTGGTGACAGTGGTCGTGGGAGAGTAATTGTAGTGGCGACGACGTTGTTAGAATGATACGGGTCTTACAGCGGACTGTCAAGAGCTCGTCTGATACTGCTCGAGTACCAAGTTGGTTATAAGATCAATGGTCGGGCCAGATCAAGAGAAGGACGAGGAATTGGCGTGAATGATGAGCCGACGGAAGAGAGAGCGACGTCAGGTGAGACTCTAATCTGGACTCAAAGTCGATAAATGACAATGCAGGCCATTAATCAGAGTGGCGAATAAGTATACTGGCAGAGGTATACAACGGCGTGGAAAAGGCGACCACGCTGGATTCGCAGATACTCGACAATCGAGATCCGAAGCCAAGAGGATGGTGGTGGGAGAAAAGAAGGGAAAGGGAAGGGAATGGACCATGGACCACGGGGGAAGATTAGGGGGTGGATGGAGGAGGAGATGAGGAGATGAGCAGCGGGCTCGGCGAGACTAAGAAACTAAAAAACTAAAAGAGACTAGAGTACTCCTCCGTAAGTTTACTCGTTTCCTACGTAGGGGAAAAAAAAGCACTAACTGTCAAAAGAAGAATAGGAGAACAGCTGGGCCGAAGCTAAGGCCCAAGGGGGTTTCGTCTGGTGGGAACAAGTGGGAATAACGAACGGGCATCCACCAGTCACCAGAGTCATGCACCCGGACATCTCCACTTAATCCCTGGTCTGTTAATTAAAAGTCAGGAGGAAGCTGCTCGGACAGAAAAGCGGAGATTTTGGTGAGTATTCTATTTTCCATGTTTACAGTAAGTTATTATTACTGATCCTTGATCAAGTAGTCCATATCAGGGGCTGTGTATAATCATAGCAAGATGCAAATGCCAGAATAGCTGCCAGATTACTATTTGAAGAGATAATTGATAGTCTATCCTCAACAGTATAATGTAGTACTCGTTACTGACTCCTATTGTTGGCTTTGTTCTTATTGTAGTCGGGCTGTATGCGGTGTTATTGTCTACAATGGCATACAGTAGTTGGTCCAGCATACTTTGGACCCCTCTCCTCCCCCAAAGTCGATATATCCAAAATGCTGCAGGTCTTCAGACCTGCACGCAGCACCACAAGGACAACACCGTTTCATCGTTCCCCAACGGTTTGACCGCCGGTTCGTCTCACTGTCTTTGCCGGCTGTTTCGGTCTTCCTCAGACCCCTGGACTGGTCCAATTCCTCTGATAGATCAACGGCGCAAATCGATCCATAAGAGCCCTTCATTATCCTCGCCACCCGATCTGCTCTACGTACAGACCGATGAAACCGCCGCAGTGGCCCAAGTCTATGCCTGTCTGCTCTGTCAGTCAGTCAGTCCATCACTCTCTAAGACTCTTGAGTCAACTTGTCAAAACTCGATCCTCACGCGCATTGGCCATGCGACCGGGCAAAAACAAAAAGCAATACCAGCTGCAGGCTCTGGTTGACCTCCCATACAAGGTCACAAACAATTCATGTCTCGCCTGCGAGCAGCGAGGAGACCGCACAGTTAATCTGAGGCCTTTGTGCAGCACTCCCAAGGTCACATACAATGACCAGAACACCCTCACAATGCGCATTCTTATCATGGAAATGGTGACAAATCCAGGCCATCCATCCCTCCAAACATTCGGGCCCTTCCCGAGGACTTTGTCCCCCCTGGAGCTCAATTTTCAGCGAATACGGGATTCTGGGCCCGACCGTCCAGTATGTAACGCGCTTTCCGATCGCCTTGAAATTCGAATCGCACTCCAGAACATGCCGATCAAGATCTCCCACCTCCAACATGTTCGTGTTGGAACTTGGATTTGAATGTACTAAACCTGCATAGCAAAAAACATCCACAGCGGCACAACCAAATCATCAACTGTCATGGTCCGTCCGATGGGCCCCAGCTGTGGCCCATGGTTCCTGGCATCCCTGGGGCCGGAGCTTCCCAGAACCATGGCCAAGTCACTCCAAGAGTCCAAGTTTCCCCTGTCAAGCCCCAAGCTCTCTGCCGTCCTGCATCAAGTTGCTGCTGCGTGAGTGGTGCAAACCCCCTGATGTACCTGAAGCTAACCTCCAAGGGGACTAAGCAGAATAAGCAGACTCGGCAGACGGAGCAACACTAGACTCAAGTTCTCAACCCATCATTCATGGCATGCCCCAGCAGCGCGGGCCCCACGGCCGAGATTCGTGTTCGAACTTCGAACTTCGGCTTCGATCGCACTCCCGCGTGCAGCTTTCCTGGTTGGCAGTGGTCTGTGTGTTGAGCCGTTCCCTTTCTTAGGCCAAATTTAGCTGACCCCTGAATCTTGGTGAATTCGGCCTTCCCGCGCTACGCTGCGGAGTACTAACAATCTCTAACGGAGTATAAACTATTGTTTGTCTCCATTCTTTCCCTCATATATATGAGAGACATTGTCCATGCTCAAAAACAAGTGCTTTTTTTCATCCGGAGACTCCGAAAAAAACAGTTCTCCTCCTTGACACCGGGATGTCATCGACTGTTTCCCTTTTTATCCCTCAATCACCCACCTTCCCGACTCCACTGCCCGTCACAATTTGTCAAATCCTACGGAGTACAGTAACTACCGAACCAACTCGGGAAGTTTGTAATGGAGATCCCACTTCCTCCCATCGGGCCAATCTCCTGGATCTGGGTTGGTGGGCAACCTTGTCTCTCGAATGGCGCCTGTTATTCGTGTATTCGATGGAATACCACCGCAAAAAAGTTGCTCGCCGCAGTAGATTATGAGGAGCCTTGGCAGGTGGCTATCCTTCCAGGCAGTCTGAAAAAGCTCGTAAAAAACATCTTTATCTCAGATCTCGATTCAATGAAGGCTGGGCGATGCCGGATCATAGATCATAGATTGTTTTGCAGGTAGGTCTGGATCATCTAGCCCGGGGTTCATTCTACGACAGACACCATGAATTCAAGGATCAGGATCAGCCCTCGTTCTCAGCTCCCCGCAGGAGTTCCTTTCGCAAGGACCAACCACATCGGTACATCGCAATGCACCTGCGTGTCTTTGCCCGCCCTAAGACCATCGTATATGCAAGGGCAAGGATTGAAAAATATGAGATGCATAGTCCCCGGCAGAACCGGCTATCCATGCGTCCGACCGGGCAATAAGCACGCTTAGAATGCAGCCGAACAGAACCTTCGTATGAACATACTCCAGACAGAGTAATGGTTATGTAGTCTTTGTTCGGGGTGGAGGCCATCCTGGTTCGGGGCGCGCCGATCAATCACTCGATCCATCCATCAATCCAGAAACCACTGTTTCGCATCGGTGGATTGAGACCCACTGGCTCAGCTACACTCCCGAGTCCCGGCAGTGCTCCAGCCCTTAATCCGCATTCCACGATGGATGTACAGTAGAAAATTTGTAAATGCAGGTAATACTGTACATATGGTACATACATATGTACGAATTACGGGGGGTACATCACCAGAAGTGCATACAAATCATTTGTTCTACAATTTCCGTAGTCTATGGTTTCCGCTTCACTCAGCCCAGAGCTGTCCTTCAGTCACAATATATAACCGATCATTCGTCTCGTGGGGTAATTAGCCCTTAAACGGTATGTGTTGGAACGAACGATTCAGAATTGTAACCACAGATTCTCCCAATCATTCGGAACATCTATACTACTCTAGTACTAGTCGGAGAAGATGTTTATTGCTCCCAATATGAGAAGCACGCGGGATACAATCATCTCCAGATTGCCGTTCTGATGACAAATTTTCGCTATATACAGTAGGTAGCTACTACCATCTAGCTGTGCCTTGCAGGAACACCAACGCTTAGTACTAGAAGGATGCTCACGTCCAAGAGTTAGTCTGGAGTAAAAGGATCATGAAGACTGGAGAACAGAACATAAGACACAGAGTCTCGGAAATTGTTGTCCATAGGAAATTCCAGAACTTGAGGCATTCTCCCTCATCTACGTTGATAAGTCTGATCGACGTGAAAAAAGATCGGTTTCCGACGGATGACTCGCTTAGCTACCACTCAATATAGGGCCCGTAAATCCGGACGTGATATAGTCCCATCGCGAGGACTAGACTTGAAATGTATGTTGAAGATGGGGTTTGCTCGCTTGCATCCATCTTTTACGGCTCAACGGATGTCGCTGTGGAGAACAGACGATTCGGAAGCCGAAACCTATCTTGTTACCATTCCCCCACTCTGAACTACCTACTACGCATAAAAATGCTGATATAGGAATCACTGGACTGTCTACCTCCTAGCACTATCTTTAGATGCAAGAATAACCCTGCATATCACTCTGAGTCCACGTCAATTGCCATGCCAAGGATAATCAATACTCAGTTCCTAGTTATCGAATGAATATATATGCAGCTCTCGACAAACTTGCAGTCAGAAGGGAAGACAATTATACCTACTACATGCATCATGCACTGCTCTCCCCTGTGTGCGATTTGCACACTGCGGTCTTCCTCTCAATTGTCATGAACTAAGTCGTCCAGTAAAAATCACCCCTCTCCAAAATATTAGGTGATGTTACCAGCAGACCTGTGTGGTGAATTGGAAAAAAATAACCTGCCGAAGAGGCATATGGTACCGGTTAGGGTGCCCGTCGATGTCACGGTCAGGTTGTTTTACCTTGATGAGGCTAGGTGGTAGTATATGGAGGGTAGCCCTGCCCAGTAGAGTCTAGGTCAAAGGGAAACGGAGTTGGTAGAACCGGGCTGTTACCTCTACTTAGGCACGCGCTTCCAATCGGGGAATACCTCTCGAGCGATTCTCATCGACAAGATTGGAGCGGATAACTTTTAGGTCCGCTAGAACAGATATACTACCAGTTCCCCGACATATATGTGCGCTTCCAGGCTGCTCCCAATCATCAGCTAGATCACTCTCCTTGACCAAACATAAAAATCAGTAATAGATTGTAGATAGTAATGGCTTCTGATTTTGGGTATCTATTTGCTACTGAAAAATGAATTCATCGAGGAGAGCAGGCAGCCTGGCCCTGAAAAGCCCGCCTACTTAAAAACGTACACCATACCCGCCCTGTCTACACTCACGATCATCCCATACGGCTGACGTAGCACCGCGACATCCTGAATGATATCCAGATGACTCTTAAGAAGCATCTGCTGTTGAAGACTGATCACGGTGCTGCGGGGTGGCCGTGGACTAGCTCCCTTCTTGGAAACAGCAGCAGCGGCACCATCGCCCGACGAGCGAGGCATATGTTCTATCACCATCGAGAGGTGGGGTCCAGGCTGGGTGGTCTCGTACTGTGGCTTGCTCGCAGCAGTGCCATTGGCAACGGCATCCAGTCCGCTGACTATCATCGAGCCTGCCGGGTTGGCAAGATCCCAGAACCGAATTCGTCGGTCGCTTCCAGCCGAGACGATGAATCCGAGTTTGCTGTTGCTGCTGGCGGCCTTGTCATCATCCGGGGTATTCAGACCTCCTATGAATGCCAACGTGCCCATTCGATCGCCTGCGAGGTTGGTGGGTGCTGCTGCTGAGCCGTTGTTGCCAACGACCGGTGGGCCAGCCTCGAGACCAGCTGCGGCGGGGCTCGTTGTAGCAAAACGGCTGAGCATGCCCTCCGGTCGGTCCTCGTCAACAGGCCAGGCCTCGAAATCCCTTGCGCTAAGACGGTGTGCCCGGCTAGTGGCGATGCCCCGGGAGCTCCGATGATGAGTAGTCGGGGCTGAGCCATTGGGAGTGGCCGTCTCGCTGGAATTCAGCGGCGCCGCTTGGTAGACTTCGCGACAGCGGAACTTCTCAATATCCCAAACGGTGATTTCATTCCCGTGAATCCCGCTGCTAGACACACAAACCCAGCGCCCTCGTGATTTGATGGGATGTAGCTGAACCCGGTGGATATAGCCCCAACCTGGTAGACCCCAAGCTTTGAGTCGTACCCGGAACCGAAGGTCCCACAAATCGAGAACTCCATGAGTGGTTCCGATGAGCAGCCAGGTATGGCGCCGGTCGCAGCAGAATGTTGTTGGAGTTCCATGGTGGACGGGGTTCTCCAAAGTAAAGACTGGTAGCATGGTCTTCATGTCCAGTGCCAGAATGCGGCAGGTATTCGTGGCGATGAGGAGCGTTGACTGACCCTCATCTCTGAAATGCTCCATCCAGACCGCATATTCTTGTAACCCATTTTCAGCCACAGGTAGCTGATACTCACGGACAAGTTGAAGCTTGCCATACCGAGCAATTTCATTGACCTTTTGATAGTCAATTCTAACAGCGTGAATGCTACCATCGGTGGCACCGCTGACGAACGTGTATGTATTTTCCACAAAGGTGAGGGCCTTGACGCGTGCACCCGGTGAATGGCGATGAGTTTGACGAGATCGAGGAGTCAAGTTGCGCTCCAGCCGAATAGTATCCCAGATCTTGACTGTACTGTCATCAGAGGCAGTCACAAAGAATGAATGATCTGGGGGCACAGCAATGCGGTTAACGGGTCCACTGTGTTCGCCGAAAGTGGCGACCAGGTTGCCTTCAGGCTTCCAAAGTTTGTTGACATTTTGCGAATTGGATTTGGGAATCGGTTGTCGGGAATCAAGCTCTTTGACATAGGGTCCCAAGTCAAACAAGTCTGTAGGATAATTTTCTGCGAAAACGTTGTCCAACAGTCGCAGCACCACCGGATCATCACCAGTGTAGGAATGATTGGCGCGATACCGTCGCGATGCCACCACAGCCTGGGTTGGTTTACGCTCGTATGCATGGGAGAGAGCAGAGGGTTGGGGGGCTCCGCTTCTTTGAACAGGTGCGTCTACCTTTCCGAATACATTTGCGGCGCTCGTGCCCGTTTCTGCATAGGCCTTTGCAGTATCGTTGCGGTTGAGAAGATTGATTGCACTAGACTTGCGTTGCACGGGTAGACCTCTCAGCGACAAGGTGTCTGCGTTAGTAGGAGTTGTTGACGAGCTCTCTTGACCGGAGCTCAACCTGCGATTTGCATGAATGGTATGTCGCTCGACGTCCGAGCCTGGTGGCGACATTGGGCGCGACCCGGGAGCTGCGGCTGGAGAAGATGCTGCGGGAGATGATGAGGATGACTCAACCGCAATGCTTCGTGGATGTGGGATTTCGATTTCTTTATGGAGCTGGCTTCGGGTGCGAATATGTCTGCGATGAGCAGATGGTGATCGTTCAATTGTTGTGGAAGCATCAAGTAGCGCGTCTGCAATAGTTCGTGGTCTCGGGTCGTCAAGAGGGTTACGAGTGCGACTCGTGTTTCTTTCTAGAGATGTATTGCGTGATTTCTCATTCAGATTCTTGTCGAAGAACACCGTCTGAGGCGTGACTCCTTGCTGCGACAGACTGATGATTTCGCCTAGCGGCAATGTGGTCTCTGCTTCAACATCTCTTGACTGCCGGAGCGAGACTCTGCATATGTAGTCCCTGAGGGCTAGGATTTTGAATTCATCTTCGACCGTCATCCCAAGATTTCGCAACCGCGAAAGCCATTGCTCATCTTCCTCATTCTTGGACTGCGAACTCATTGACGGACTGACACTTCGACCCACACGAGAGCTGTGACTGCCAGGTTCCGAGAGACTGAACGCATCTCGACTTGCGGATTTCCAAAATATACCCTTATCCGTTTTGGAAGCCCAGAGGAAGACTATTTCGTAGATGTTTCGTGACATGGGTCGCTTTAGAGCGTCAAGAAGCTCAGCCTCAGAGAAACCCACAATTTTCACTTTAAGATAGGGTCGAATGAGAGGAGTGAGGATAGAAAAGATATCCGCGACTGACAAGAACTTGGTCGATTTGACAACAAGACTCACAGCGGCCTCACGGATCCAAATGTTGGGATGAACAAGAAACCCGATGGTGATATGAAGAAGATCCCACGTTGTTGATCGCTGGAATAGACCAAGATCGGCCATGGCGGCAAGAGAGCGAATCACCTTTTCGACGACGAATTCTTCCGGTTCCGTCATAGATTGAATCATGAGAGGAAGGATATACTGTTCTAGGTTGGTGCTTCCGACATATGCGGCAACACCCACCACGGCCTCGAAGAAAGCACATTTCAAGATCCAATCTCGGTCATTGAGATAAGTGTTCAAGTGACTTAGAATAACCTCATTGGCCTTGAGGTTACCGAAGAACACGCATAGACTGGAGACAGATCCCAGGAAGGCCCGGCGAACGGATGCATCCGTGTCTGTCAAAAGCGCCTTAGTATGCACTTCAAAGTATTCAAGAAGGTCGATTCGAGCCACGTCGTAAAGATTGTGATAGGTCGCGTCCTCGGTCCATCGTGGCTCGAAGCCAACTGGAATAAGCGAAGTCAAGCGAGTATCCGAGCGTAACGCTTGGATCATGTCCAGGAACCTCAAGGAGGATTGCGCCAGTGATGCAATGCATGAAGCATAAGCAGCCCGGACCATTGGGCTTGGATTGTGTTTGGAGGAGATGATGAATGGCTGAAGCCGAGGGAAAATGTATTCGGGGAACAAGTAGGCGTTTACCGGCGTGACTACATGGACCATCTCCAGCAATTGTGTCAACGTGCGGATTGCTGCAACCTTGACGGAGTCGGTACGATCTGCCAGAAGAATCATGACATACGGCAGAACTCGGTCAAGCTTTGCTTCATCTGATAATTTCTCCGCAAATGCAAGCAGGACGTCGCATGCTTTGATTCGAGCTGAGGCCTTGGATGTCGTCCGGAGGTTGGACGCAACTAGACCTAAGAAGATCAAAACACCTTCATCGGACTGCAATTGAGGGGACGATGCTGTTATTTGGTTTCCATCACCGTCACCGTCGGGTAGATCCAGCTTCACTGGGAGAGTGCTTCCTGTGAGACGAGGAGCTGGATTTGTGGCAGACGGACCGCCAGCAGAAGCTCGGGGCGGAACCCCGAGAAAATAGGATATTTTGTCAAAGTCCAGGCAGACCCTTTCGATGCGGTCATCTGTTTCCCCTCGGTTATTCGATTCCGCATCCACCTTGGTTCTTCCCGAAGACGGGTCTGTCATGAGAGACATGTACTGGTGAAGAAAGCTGTAGAAATACTCCGGAAAGGCCTTGTTCTTCCAGAAATTGAGGTATTCCTCAGCAGAGTAACGGGATTCTGGCTCCAGCTGAATCATGTGAAGAATGAGCTCTCGAATTTCGAGGTCTTCAATCTTTACCAGCTGGCTGTGCTCCGGGCTATATTCGCCTTTCCGATACTTGTATATCTGACTGAGCGTGAAGATCGGGGACTCCAAAAAAGTTCTGCAATTACGCAGCCCGCGCTGAAAATGTCCATCGCCCAGTTGACATGGCGGTTGCCCGGTTCTTCGCCAGCCACTAGAAATCGCTCTGGGGCAAGATAACAGGTTCTTCGCCCGGAGATATCGAAGTAGAACGAAAAGTCCGCAGGGTTGTCCTCTGGGAGGAACGTGGGTTTGAATGATGAAGAATAGTCAGATAGGTAGAGCCAATTCCACGATGTCACTAGAACATTTTCTGTCTTGATGTCACCGTGGAAGACATCGAGCGAGTGGGAATCCCGCAATGCACAGAGGAGCTGGAATGCGATCCATTTCTTCTCAATATCCTCTAGAAATGGGCGAGTGCTGCGAGGTTGTTAGAGACTTGCATTATTCACGATATTCCATTGCTGAAGTAATACCTCATCCGATCATAGAGAGAGCTATGAATGTACTGGCGAACCAGATATCCGCTGGTACTGGTTTCCAGGATCCTCTCATAGCTCAATGCATTTGGTACATCCGATAGGAGCTTCCGTTCCCCTACACAGTAAGTTAGCTTTGACTCTAGTTGGCGACAGATTGAGAAAAGCTGACTCATTATTGCTTTGACATATGGCCCCAGTTGCATTGTTGGATATGGCTTCATGATCACCTTGACGAAGACTAGTCCGTTTTGTTGCCTAGCACGGATACTCTTCATGAACCTGCCCCCACCCATCGACTTCTCATATACCAGATCCGAAAGCTCCGGTACGTCGATCCCTGCAGACCCCGCCGACAGGGTTGTGAGGGAGTAGCCTTGGCCCATGATGTCGCTTGGGCCTCATCTCCCAGCTTTGAAGATGGAGATGTGTGTCGAGGTGTGACAAGTTGATAAGCCTGGACAGTGAGGTCACTTGACGCGTTCTCACGTGATGGCGCGGAAAGGCGGTGAGGGAGTATCCACCGCGTGTGTTGTACTTTGATTGCGACAGGGGGGGAAAACTACTTTTCGTCCTCGAAAATGTACCGAAAGACAAATCTAGGAAAAAAGGGGAGAAGAATGCCAAAGAAGGATATTTCTGATCCTTCCGACTTTGAATTGCCATATTCAACCATGTTCTTTTAACGGTGTTACGTCTCTATTTCGATCCCGCGGCACTTGAACAGCATTACCCTAGAACTTGCTGCTCGCCAAGAGCGATAAGCTGTCCAGCCAAGAGAGCCACCATTCACTGTGCATGAGACACCAAGCTCCCACAACGTTTGCATCTGCTTGTTTATTGATTTCTGAGAATTTTGAACTCTCTGCTTGAGATGGTCTACGCTAGAGCTGCAATGAGCGGTCGACGTCACGACACCACCACATCGGATGTGGCATCCGACCTTGATCTAGACATGGACTCTTTTGATATTCCCGTCATCGAAACGGAGGAGTCGCTGTTTGTTGTGATTCCCAAATTGTCCCAGTGAGTGAAGCCTTTTTTTTTTCTCATCTTTATTTATCCTTTGACAGTCTGACAATTTTCAGGTTCATTAGCATGGCTGTCGGCGAGATGGCCTATTCCTTTGAGCAAATGAGATATGGAGCTCGAGGGCATCGTCTCAGACAGTTGGTCCATGCTCTTGCAAGTGATAGCCATAACCCGTTCATCATCGTCGCTTTAATGTAAGCGCCACCTGCCCCACGCCGTTCAAATTCCATTGTATTGACCATACTCACCACAGGATACTGAAATGGGAGTTCTCTAACGCCGCCGAGGACGACTGGGGACTGAATGAGAGCCGTGGGGCAGCTTGCGAGTTTGTCGCCTGGCAGTTCCTATGTCATCTCAACCAACGGGAAACGATTGAGTTCCTCTTGGAGGAGCTTCCAAGTCCCAGGCGCAAGTCGACGAATATTTTTGAGACGGAAACAGGCACCTCTCGCATTACCAGAGGATCCGGCACCGAGTCCACTCCCTTGCTGTCGGGTGCTTCCACACCTGGCCGCCAATCGGAGCCGAGCAAAAAAGGAGTTGAAAACGAAAGCCGTCGAGCTTATCTGGGCACCCAGACTGAATTTCCAGATGATTGTGATGTCTCAAGATATTCGAGATTTTTTGGGTTGAACGCGTTAGAAGTTGCAGCCATCGCGGGGGCTAAGAGATTCCTCAGTCAGCGGGTTGTTCAACGAGTGGTCAACGACATTTGGAATGGCGAAATCGTATTTTGGGATTCTCTCACGGTCAATTCAATTAAGAAACCGCAAATCTTCAACAGGAAGTGAGTCTTGCAGCGAGCCAGGGACAATTTACTCGTTGGTGCCAATGCTTACATACGTTGTTCAGAACGGCAGATCCCTACTCACGGCTGCGTGTGCCTGTCTACCGAAAGATGTTCGAAGCGGGCTTCTTCATTTCGTTCTTACTGCTCTACTATTCAGTCCTCGTCGAGCGCAGACCAAATGGCCTTGGATTCTTTGAGGTCTTCATGGATGTTTGGATCGTGGCCTTTGCATATGACGAACTGAGTGGGCTCATTGATGCCGGAATGCTTTTCTACCAGATGGATTTTTGGAGCCTCTGGAATTTAGGAATCATCGGTGTCGGATTTGCTTTCATGGTCACAAGTAAGAATATTCCATTCCCTTGTCGCCGGATCTGCCTTGCGGTGGTTGTGAATGTCCCGTTCGTGAAGGTTTGGGGGCTGACGAGAGATGTCACAGGGAGCATCGGATTAGCCAGGGGGGATGACTACATTCTCGATATTTCGTTCGATATCCTGTCCCTGGAGGCGTTGTTCCTGGTTCCTAGGTAAATTGATCTACGCCCCCAGGTGGTATGCGCTAGGAAAGCTCCGATTCTGACGAAAGACTGGGTATCGGCAGGATCTGCTCGCTCGTGAGCTTGAACTCATACTTCGGCAGTCTGGTAAGTTGAGCTCCACTGCGAAAGATGCCTTGGACTTAAGAAGTTTCTGATGGTGTGACCAGATACCCGTGCTGAAAGAGATGGTAAGGTCTCAGTTCCAAAAACACTACCTGGGGGCCATAGGTCCACAAGGCTGACTATTCTGTTTTTTTCTGCAACAACCTCAGACAAAAGCATTTTTCCGATTCTTGCCAGTCGTGATAGTCTTGTATATTGGTAAGGCAAGGTGGTGATGGGGGTGGCTCAGATGCACAGCCCCACTCAACTTGAAGCATAGTTCTGACATCCGGTGGATCTCTGCAGGGTTCCTCACCACGTTCACTATGCTGGCCCGTGACCGCTTGTCCCTTAAGCAAATGTCGTGGATGCTCGTCAAGGTGTTCTTCGGGTATGGCGGTGACTATCAGTTCCTGGTGATGAATGAGTCTTAAGCTAACCATGTGAGGCAGATCGGGCTCTCTAGGCCTAGTGGGTTTCCTCCCATTTTTGCGTTTTCGCTTGTTGGTGACTGACGGTGGCTGAATTGATTGGATAATAGGACAGCGCATCAGATGTAAGTGGCATGCAGAAGCGGTGGTTGTGCAACGCTAGAGTTGGCATCCCGGAGGATTGGCAAAATGGTTGGCTGTCGCGTTTAGTTGACTGACGCGCTAATATGGTTTAGATCTCCCCGATCTTCGGCTATGGCTTGATGTGAGTTCCTTGTTGATTAAACTGCGCCCCAGAACAGCAAGAGGAAGAATCCCGCATGCACGATCGATCACGTTTCGCCTCGCGCGAAGTGACACCGACCTGCAGTAGCTGGTTGCTCTTCTTCCTTATCATTTTTCAGATTGTGGTTTTTTTTTTTTCCTTTTTTTATCACTCTTTTTATCCCCGTTACGAGGGGCATTTCAACGGCGTCTGCCTCCGAACACAAAACCCCACAATTATTGACACGCTCACTACAGTGATCGGCGTCCGCCTCGCCTCAGAATTATGCTAACAAGAAGGTTTGCAGGATGATTTTCGTCGCTATGACCAACATTTTGCTCCTCTCTTCACTTATTAGTTTGATGAGCATGAGCCTAGAAGGGGTGAGTTTACGCTTATAGGTTCGCCTATGCTGAATTATTTACTGATCCTTCTTTGGGGCCCATCTGCTAGGTGATGCGACATGCCCGCGAAGAATACCTGTTCCAGTTAGTAGACTTCTTTCCAGGAGCATGAGGGCGAGCTCTATGAAGAAAAAAACGAAGACCTCCCACTGACGGTGAATTCTGCTAGGCTGTCTATCTATGTCTTGGAGAGCAGTAATTCCCGGCGACTGACGTATTTCATGCCGCCCCTGGTTAGTTAGCGCCCATACCTCCTTGGCAACCGTGTCAAGCGACCTGTGGAACGGCTGTTCCTCCCATGTTCTAGAATGTCTTGCAAGCTAACACAGACACAGAATCTCATTCCGCTCCTTTGTATCCGGCCCATGCGGCTCTTCCTCTCAGCGGGGGCTGTTCGTCGAGTGCGCATCATGCTCCTTCGGGCAACGCATTTGCCATTTGTCATGATGATTTGGGCCTATGAGTCCAGCCGACGACATCTCCATCGGCCAACTACCCGCCTACCCCCAGTCTCCACGGCACGACCTCATAGTACTTTGGGCGGCGAACCGAATGTGTCGAGATGGCAGGACCCACTTCATTCCTCTATCACTGAAACCCGTCGAATGAATCTCAAAAATCGACGAATCAGCGCTGACCTGCATGATTCGCGCGAACCAAGTCTGGCGCGGGCCGAAAAAGCACAGCTTGCGGAGATCCTGAGCGTGGTGGATCAGCTTCGAGAGCAGGTGGAGCGCGTAAAGACTGGACTTTCCACGAAAGAACTGGGCTAAATGATATTGTTGGTTCTACAAGGTACTTCATGCTGCTAATTCTTCGTGTTGTAAGCGAAAAAAAAAAAAAAAAGGGGAAACGGTTCGTCACTTTGAGAGTTGGGGGCCATTGGGCAGTCCTGACCCCTTAGCTCTTAAATCCACGCACCGCCCCCTGCACGGGCCTGGCTAGCCCTTATCCATTAGCTAGGGGCAAGTGTGGGATAGCGGCAGCCACTCTGACATCTTATATTATTTGAGGTCCTCAACTCAACCCCCATGGATGAAAGGCCAAGCGATGAGGGGGCGCTGGTTGGGGCCATATCATTATGAAAGGTGGTTTCTGCATCTTTATTCTTGGGGTGTTTCATATCGTCTTGTAGATAACTGCTAGGGCTGTTCGCGAGGCACCTTTGACAATAGAAGAAAGCTTTTCCTAGGAGGACACAGTATGTTTGATTCTAAAAGAGTATCAAAGTTCTGTGAGGTTTGCCTGTAGCATGCTAGATACCGAATTTGTACATCCAACATGGTATAAGGAAAATGACTCAGATACTCGAGCCTACAAGGAACAAGAACCATGATGGTGGGCTCCAGTCGTGCTTGTAAGCTGATGACTTGAACATGTATATGGCACATTGCACCTGTGCAGTTTGATTCACCAACTACGCCCCTCTGAAAGAGACGCGGCTGAGTATGAGAAATCGCTGTCACACACCCTTGCACCTTCTCAAGCCAGGAGCCAAAATCCCGGGTTCTCACTGCTTCTCTGTTTGGCCAGTCTACCTGCATGGTAGCCCAAGCTGTTGGACAGACCATTCCAGCGGTGACTGATTGAGTGGTTAGCCTTTTCCAAATTCCAGGCCACAGCCGCCGTTGTATAGGCATCAGCCCTCGTAGGCTGCCGCTCCTTTTGGGTCTTCTGCAAAGTGAATTCACGGGCCATAGTATACTCAGAAAGTCTCCTTAATATGTAATCCACAATCTTGCCCCCAACATACGGGAGTATCCGTCGTGGCGTGCTGTTGTCTCTACAGTGCAATGCTCGGCAGCCAGAAGAGAGTGCTCCCTAGAGGGGGGCTATGACGGGCCCCAGAAACGAACGTGACTACCAATGAGATAATCCATGTAATCTTGAGGCTAAGAAAGTGGAAAACTATGTGATCACTATTGTTTTAGCGCTAAATACCTGGGGCAATGGAGCCTGGTCTATGCGGACCGGGGCTGGCCTTCGATCTGGCTTTCGGACAGCCCCAAGCCGTTAGTCTTTTACAAAACCCCCCCACATCATCTTTCCACCGCAATTACAGGTTACTTATCCTCCCAACTCCGTTTCTACTTGAAAATCTGCCTTGTCTGGTGAAGGAGTCAAGTCAATCGGTTTCTTCACGCCTACGGTCTCGATGCAGCACCGACTTTTGTCTCCAAATGACCCTGTGCTCGTTCTTCACCCCTCAGCCACTATCCATGTATGCAGCTGCTCGTCACCAACAGCGATAGCTGTTGACTTACAACTACTTATTTATACTTGGCGCTGCTGCCATCCTTCTTGATCCTTCGAGATAAACACTCTGTCTGGTTGGCTTTGGTCTTTCGAAGGTTGTCATAGTTGGCCATTCTGCACATGCTATTGTCCTAGCTTCTTGAATTGGTATTTCCAGGAACAAGGCACCATGGACCGAACATCTCGCTCAACCTGTCGGTCGTCATCTATGGCTTCTCCCATCCCGGATGCTACCTACTCGTCGCCGGTATCAGCAACGTCATCCCAGGGAAGAGGCTTTCCGACGACTGTCGGCCTCGGCATCTCTGATTGTGGGCTTGAAGCTTCCGTTGACCCTATGACGGGCTACCACAGTCAAATATCTTATTCAATGAGCTCTGTCATGCCGCATAACCTCATGTCGGCCGAGAACATTTACAACCTCCCTTTGGAAGCTGATGACTTCTGCGGTAGGTCGTGCTACGAAATCTACAACGGCCTTCCGGATCCCTCGCAAACCTCGCTCGGTTTCTACGGAACCCAGCCCATGAGCATGACCCACAGCTATGATCCTGCAATGGAGGTTGGTACCGGCCAGGGTATGTTTCCAGGACAAATGAATGGGATGCCAGGCCTCTGGGCAAACACGCCACTTTCAGCACCACCCACGCCGCTACAGTCCATACCTGCCACAGCAGCTCGGACGATAGACAACCAGTGGAATCATGGGATCTATCTGCAGACCAATACTTCTTTTCAGTCACAGGCTCTACCACACACTAGGGCCTTTCATCCACCGATCCCAATTGCGAGCGACAGCCACGCAAGCAGGCCCACCCGAGAGCATCACACCAAGACAATGCCAACTGTTTCCATCCCTCAGGATATCACAGCCAGTGACAGCACAGCTGACGCCGCCTCCAAGACAAGCAAGCGAGGAAGGAAACCCTCGGCAGAGAAGGGCTGTAGATGCCCCGTGTGTGGCTTCTATTTTACTAGGCGCTCGAATTGCGTCGCGCACCAGAAGAAGCACGACCCTACTTTCCATCGAGCTATCCCCTGCGACGAATGTAATAAATCGTTTGGGAGGAATGCGGACCTGCGGAGACATATTGATACCGTGCGTGGTGGCTTATTCAAGCGTTGCCAAGAGACCAAGCTGATGCACTGTTGTTAGGTTCACCGTGGTATCCGCAAGCACGTCTGCAAATGGTGCTCTCGCCGTTATACTCGGTGGGAAAATATGGCTAAGTGAGTGACACCCTTTGAACTTGTACAATTATTCTACAGCCTGTATACTGACGAGAACATATTGTGCTAGACATTTTGCCGAATGTGAAGAGAGGCCAGCGAACGAGAGGATACCCTCTCCTACCCCTCGTCTTTCCCAGGACGCCGACTACTGTTAGTCCTCCTAGACTACGGAGTACAGAGCTAGTGCTTTCCCTCAGTTGAAGAATAAGTGCAGCACACGCGACTATGTATTTGAAGATCATCACATCATGCATTGCATTCAGGATGTCCCCGATTTCCTTTGGCGTTGGGTCGGTTTGAACTTGATTTTTTTTTCCCTTGCATTTTCTCATTTTCTTGCATTTACATTTGCTTTTTGCTCCGATGTATAAGGAGAAGATCGGCCCCTGATGTAAATGTACACTGGTTCATGAATTGTCATTGGTGAATTTCCCAGTTTTCCGCCTTTAAAACCCCTGAATGTTCATCACGTTGGTCACATTATTAGATTCAGTTGCCTTTGGCGTGATTTCGTGCAGCTGGGCTTGGATACGCGCGCGGTAAAGCGCACGGAGCGGGTCTTCCCTGGTACAGCCTGCGCGTCGTTAATTTGTCAACTTTTAAGACTAACTTAACTAGCTCACGACTCAATTCCACTGGACCCTCCACTTTCCAGATTCCACGCGAGAGTAAGCGGGGACTTTGGATCCAATTGGCAATCCCATCATGTCTCGGAGTGTCGGACAACCCTCGAGGGCACGCATTGCATTACTCGTGGCGGGCGAGACCCCTGTCTCCTGAGTTGCGATACAACCTCAGGCCCCAAGTGCCTTGTTGCGCCTCATGGAAGACAAGCGCATTCCTTCTCTGCGCCTGATACCAACTTGTTGTCAAGCCTCTTTCACCCCTGACACTTCCTTTTTCTCTCGGTGAAATATCCACCAAACAGCATCCTACTGTACTCGGAAAATCACCAGCGGCCTGACCAAGTCTCGACCCTTGCCGCGACGCTGAGGTCCACTCCGCGGAGCCGAATCACACGCTAAGGATGGGGCGATGGATCTTCCAAACAGACCGGCCCATGATCGACGTTGATGGAAATGCAATTTCAAATCCAAAATCCGTGATATTTTGATTGGTCGGGCCCCTTTTGCTCGTTCTCCGGAGGTTATCCCGGTCCAAGCACCTGCCCCAAGCTCCCCCAGCAAGCTTAGATCGCTACAAAAAGTACATACGAAGGACGGAGTATTCAGTGAGTAGTACTCCCAAATGGTACGGAGCACGGGCCTCTGCATCGCAACGGGGCAGCCATTTGTTAAGAAGCATCTGCTGGCCAGAGTGTTACGGTCAAGTGCTCTTGCCCGTGTCGGCAAGAGTATCTCGTGTCTTAGCGCGCTTTTTGACTGTGTACCCGGACCGTTGATTGAAAGTGTGCAACCGAACTCTCTGCTCGAATTCTGCTTTCCCCGCGCAGTCAAATTCTTCTCCCAGAGGTCAATGCTTGAATGCAACAGGCAGCAGTGCACCTTGTCTGTGCAGCTCTGGGGCTCTCATGCCAAGGACGCAAACCTGACTATCCACTCCACGATCAATTAATTCCTGGTGGCCAATGACGTAGAAAATAAGCCGCCAGTCGCTTATCTCCGGAGTACTCCGTAAATAGGCAGTCCCTGGTCATGTGGATGTGACTGAACATTCAACGGGGGAAAAGGGGAAGATATCACAGACGCGCTAAGAGCTTGGTGGAGATTAAGGTGTAAATCCTTATGAACATGACTCTCCAATCTCATGATAGGCAGCAGTCGTCTCCGCCACACGTCCAGAGCTGATTTTGTGGGATCACCCGTTCCCTTACCCTGTCCTCCTAGGTTGATGGGCGACAATCAGGTTACTAGACACAAGGTAACAAAAACTGTAAAGATAAACGTGAGTCGAAAGAATTTCAGGTTTAATCTCTTGAATACTTGGTCTGCAAATATGCGAAATGACCCGAATTTTCGATAGAATTTGCGCAACGCCCCCTAATTCATAACATCTCTTGCTGACACACTTTGATCTCACGGACGCCGTACGAGGGCACATCCTGAATGGCTAGGCAGATATGGAGCTAGACCTACTTTTTGGCAAGTATAAGAACATATGGATGAACATAATAGCATCTAGCCAAGGGTGGACAGGAGTCAGTTCTCAGAAACTCTAGATTCAGTGTCTTTGATGAAAGGTCGTATGTTGTGGAGGCCTCTCCATTCATTTTCTATATAATTCACTCCATCATTTCGTGACTCAGATGTAGGTAATCTTTCTGTTGATCGATTTCTCTGTGTATATGCACATAAAGCTTTGACTTGCTTTGAGCCAAAATATGCTCTTCACGTCTTGAGGACAGACTGTGAACGATGGGGATCTGCCCTGCGGAATGCTCCAAGATACCTCACCATATGCTTCAGAGCTTTTGAGGCTGCTGCGTGTCTACTGGAGTAACAGAGACAGAGTCAGAAGAAACATCTTCTGTTAACTGTCCCTGGCTTTCCCGGGCCCTAACAAAAGATATTAGAAAAGGAAGGTCTCCAAAGAGTGTCAAAAACTCTCTGATCAATGGCAGTCACATACCGTCGTAGTATGCTCTCCTTATGATCAAGACTTCGAATGACAAAGGTTGTGATTATCAAAACGAGTGATATACAAGACACTGTGATAAAGCCCTTTCGATATTCCGGTGCGTCGACTTGTTGCCACACGATGAGTGGAAGCCATGCTTGGAAAACATACGCCATTTCGTTCATACTGGCTATGACAAGCGCTCGCTCCTCGTTATCTCCGGAGCAAATCTCGTGAGCCCAGCTGCGATTGGTTGTCAGATCCGATCATCTAGGTGGTCGTAAGAGGAATTTCCTTACGCCATGCATAGTCCGCTAAGACCAAACCCTGCGCCAGAAATGATATAGCAGGTCCACTTCCATCCAATTGGAATGTTCCAGATAGCCAGTGAAACATAGCTTATAATGTTGACCACCTAAAAAACCCGTCAATATAGGTAGCTCGTTATAGATAAGGTCAGCCTCAGGGGACTAACGGCGCCAAATATAATCGGGGGCCAGCGACGGCCATTTAAAAACGTGTCTGAAGACCCTGCACAAGGTTAGTATGCACTAATTGGCTAATGGCGGCAAGTCTGACTAGAACTAACAAGCATAAGCGAGTGTTGTTACCACCTGTACCGCACTGGTCGTTGTCGGATATGCGTTGATCTGGCCCACAGAATATTTCGGATTTGTCGAGTGTTTGAGAAATCTATCACATTAGCCAGGGAGGATTAAGATGATTGGTGTATTTCTCATACTGTTGGAAGATAGGCTGACCACCGGCAGCGCCATTGTTGAAAAGTCTAGATTATGTGTTAGTTAAACTCACGGAATTTGGGATTCTAGCACGCACACATATAATAATGTCAAAAGATATATGTGCCAGGAAGAAAATATCTTCTTCAATTTCTCTCTTGTGAAAGGGCCTCTTTCCCGCCTACCCTCGAGCTTCATTCGTTTTTGAGACAATGCAACTTCCTAAATTTCAACAAAGGTCAAAATGGCTCGACTATTGGTGAGATATTTTGGTGGAACAAACCTCCTTGCTAAGGTACCATGGGTTGGAAATCTCCGGCACATCAGGCAGCACAAAGAACCCGCTGATTGCGACTGGAAGAGAGATGACGCCGTCGATCACGAAAAGCCTGTGGGACATACTCAGACTTGACTTCAATTTCAAGGAGTGGCTCTTGATTTGCTTACCATTGCCAGCCTTTAAAGCCCCCTCTGCCTCCGAGATGATACACACCTTCCATGAGATAGCCGGAGAACATACTGGCAATACCGCTGCTGGTATGAAAGATGCATGATCGCTTGGCCAGTTCATCCCGTCGATACCATGAGCCGATGATGTATTGCATTCCTGGGTAGAATGTACTTTCCGCAAGACCTTGGTGTCATTAGTCTTAGTGTGAAAATTGATACTCAGAAACAAAAGGTATGCTCACCAATGAAGAACCTTAAGACATAAAACTGAGTGGCGGTATTACATCTGGACAGCGAAAAGGTAAGAACTGTCCATAGTAACTGAGAAGACTTAGTATGGAAGAATCTCAGATCACCAATCTTTTCAGACCTACCTCTGCGGCTGGTATCCAGTATCGCGGCCTGACCTTTGTCAACAAGATGTTGCTTGGAATCTCTCCAATTACATATCCAACGGTCCAACATGCTTGCATGTAGTTTAGCTCATTGCCATACAGGCCCAGATCCTCCTTCCTGAGCAATAGAAACCGTCAGAAAATTCCCGTTAGTTAGACAAAACTGCACGCTGTGACGTACATCCCAGATACGAAAGCATTGTTAATATTGATTTGATCGAGATATTTGATAAAATAACCTGACACGAAATGTATTAGCCATATCTCTAAGGTCAAGCGGCAAATTCACTAGTTTGGAAGACCTACCCAATGACGCAAATGTCAAAATGGCAGTGTCTAGCTTAAAAAGCAATCGGCGTTCCTCCGGCGATTTATCGAAAGTGTCCCAAATATAGCTTGTCCATTTGCGCTTTGGAATTTTTTGAACCTTCAGTACTGAGCGAGGCTCTGTCGCTTCGTCTGCATGAGATTCGGCAGTCATGATGAGAGTCGTCTAGGTTGAGACATCCACATTCAACAACCAAGTTTTAACTACCTTGGATGCGTCTTATAAGGACGCAATAGAAAGCCTCGCACTTCATCGTGCGGGGTGGAGCATACTGCAGCTTCGGAGGATTTTCGGGCTTCGGAATTTGATGAGATGCTGACACTCAACCGTGCCAAGTGCATTAGATGCCATCGCGTGATTTTGGGACTTTATGTGTCAATTACCCGAACGGGGTTGGATCAACAACTATTTACTGGGGCTCCTGATACTTGACAATCGGCCTAATTGGAGAGGCGCATGTCAAACCGGCAGTCGAATTACCGTAGACGCTATTTGCGCAATTTATGCGAGTATGGAGAAAGTTTTTTGACGGATTACATTCACGCTTGTTATCGGGGAATCGCCGAGTGCAATCTTGCCAGTACTACGGAGCTCGCCATCGAACCCACGAATGATGACAATAACCCCTCACAGATGGAATCTGTGTACCCAAGATACATTTGACCAGAACAGCCGGTGGTGGCTATGGAATCAAAGTGATTGGAAATGACCAGCATGGTCATATTTACCTCAGCAAGAATCTATACACACTGTGACTGCTGCACTGATATTGCGGGTCTGAAGGAATTATCTTGGAATCAGGAGCTTCGTCGGTTCTATTTTGCCGCACTCGACAAAGGTTTAAAATGATATTGAGTTGAAAAAGATCTAATGGGAACCTCCTATCTTAAAACGAAGACTCATGCCGAGACCTTGACTTCAGGCAACGGCTCGGCAATGTTTCCAAATGGTATAGCACCCTGGAAAAGCAGAGTAAGTCTCTCGACATGAGCCTTTTTCCCTTCTAACCATGAATCGGTGTGACCTTGGATCGAAGGCAATCCCTGTCTTTCCCTACCACTATTTACCCAACCAATGATCTTCTGGACGTATGGCTCTTCCTCGCCCTTGAGCGAATGGAAACTCCTTCCGTATCCTTTGAGATTGACTCGTTCCTGATATTCGGCTCGCATACTCTCGAGGGATGGAAGTTGAGCAGTCCGAGATAAGAATGCCGCGACCGCAATTGCTTGGAATTCGAAAAGCGTGAATGTAGCCGTGTAGAACGAGACGCCAACAAAAGCCAGGGTTGGATCTGGGATATAGAAGATATCTTGATGCAAATTGTGGAATTGCTGACCATCAGTCACAATAGCTGTCTCGCTGAGCTCGCCCTCATTATAGTCTGGAAGGAACGGAAGAACCATCTGGTAACCTGTACAGAGGACAATTGTATCGATGTGATTGAAGATTTCCCCGGTCTTCAGACGAACAGTAAGAGGGAGGTGTTCAGGGCTTGTCTCCGAAGCGGTAGTTTCGAATGCCGCAACCTCCCCAATTCTAGTAGCGTTGCTAGGCAGTGCACTTTCGGGGATATCAAAAGCACCATTCCTGGTACTCTGATATATTTTGCGCGCGACGGGGCTGATTTCCCGAGCAATGTCTGCAGAGGAAACTCCTCCTCCAATGAGAAGTACATTCTTGCGATCGATTTAGTAAAGAGCCAATCCGAGAAATGATATGGAGCTGATTACTCACTTTGTCCTCAAATCCCTGGGAATTCCGGAATGATTTGGAGTGTGTGATTCGTGACGGCCATTTCTCCTTTGCTTCAGCCAACCCTGGGATGTTTGGAATCAAGGGCGTGTGATAATGCCCAGAAGCAACTATAACAGCATCAAAGATCTAGATTCGTTGTCAGCAAAGTTCCCAAATTTTCTTTGTTCACGAACCGACCGCTGAATTCTGACTTTCCACCAATTCCTTTGACGCCGAGTCTTCATGCAATGAAGTCCAAGTCACATGCCATTGGGATTCTTCTTTATAGACCTTGGTGACTAGAGCACCGTATACTGTTGCGTTCTCAACACCGGCTTTCTTTGAGGTGTCTTGGATGTATTCTTTCAAAACATCGTGTCTGACGTATGGGGGTGTCCCTTCAGGCCATGCGTTGAGTTTGGTTCGTAGCAACGAAGTCGGAACATTATTGACGAGGCCATCGTAACACGGTCTAATGAAGCTTAAGCATGATACTTTTTGAAGGGAGATCGAAGTAACAAATGCTTACCCTGGTGGAGCATGTATTAATTTCTGCCTCTCTATTTCGTCCCGTTCATCTCTGACGTGTTTCCCTATGTCGGACGGCTTGACGCATGGGTAATGAAGTTCAATCGGTACTCGCTTGTCATGTAACCTGGACCGAAAGTTAGAAATAGATTTTGAGAGAATAGTATTCAAGTCTTACCACACCCCTCCCGCTGCTTGACTTCTTTCAAACACCGTGACATCTAGTCCAGCTGCGAGAAGATGGCCAGCACTCACCACGCCACTAATGCCGGCTCCAATGACCGCAACGCGTCTGATCGCGCCGTCAGTCATGATTGTATCGAATCCTAGAGGCATAAGAATAGAAGAGAAGAAAGTCTAGAATTTATTGCATCTTGCTTCGAGGTTATATTATGAAAATTGTCATCCCCGCCCCAATCTCAACCACTCCGCTGTTGCCCACAATGAAGCATTTATGGCTTGAATTTCGTCATCCAGGCTACTACGCCGAGGTCTGGCGGGGTATGGTAGAAGTGGACAAAGCTGTACTTATCTATCGGATTTATCGGCATTTTAATCCAGGAGGATTGGAAATTGGGAATAAACGATCCGCGTGATTATCGTCGCGGATGAGCATCTTCCCCACCTGTAGGGATGCCCACGCCCGTTGTCTTGTCAATCAAAACGAGCAATGACATTCTATTGGACTCAAGTGAGGGGTAACGATACAAATGTACCGAGTAGCCAACAATAGAGCATCATGAACGAATCCTGATTCGAGTTGTTCCATCCCAGTCAGTCAAGAGAAGAGGAGTTGTACGGAAGGCGTGATGCGCCCGCTTGATGAGGTGCTTGCAATGAGATACTCAACTTACCATGGCCTGTTATATATTTGAATGCAGAGTAATGTTTCTGGCATATGTGTGAAGCAATTCAAAAGCTTAACAGAATATTTTATTCATCAAATCTCCAGTGGTAAGATAGAGCACAGAATTTGACCTTAACTGGAAAATCATCATGGCTCCTGTTGCCATCGACCCCCGCATCGTAGATGTTGCAGTGCCAAAGAAAGACACTCTCGGCCTTCCTGAATCTGCACGAACTCGCCTGGAAAAGGCGGGCATCGACCTGAGCGATGGTTATCCTTATAGGCCTTCGCGCCCTCTTTACCTCGACGATGTCTACAATATCAGAAACGAGGATCGCCCCCATGTAGATCCAGGCACTCGTGCTGATCCCGAAAAGAAAGCACTTCTCTCTGCTGCAAAAGAAGTCATTCATCTCACCCGGCATATTGGCACGGAGATCGTCGGTCTTCAACTCAAAGACCTTACAGATCAGCAAAAGGATGAGCTTGGTCTGCTCATCGCAGAGCGAAGCGTTGTCTTCTTCCGGGATCAGGATATTTCCCCACAGCAACAGAAATCTCTTGGGGAGTATTTTGGGGAGGTTGAAGTTCATGTATGCTTCCCTTATAACCGAAGCTTACGTTGACACCTAGTGCTAACCTAAGCAACTCTTCCCTTTTGAACAGCCACAAGTACCACAAGTGCCCGGTTTGCCTGGAGTGAGTGTAATTTGGCCTGCACTCCAAGCAACCGAAAACCCAGCTAGCTTCCGCCGGCCAGGGGGAGCATCCCGATGGCATAGCGATCTCGTTCACGAGAAGCAGCCTGCTGGAGTCACACATCTGCACAATGATACCGTCCCGACAGTCGGAGGAGATACACTTTGGGCAAGTGGTTATGCTGCATATGAGAAGCTCTCACCATCCTTCCGCAAGATTATTGATGGCAGGACCGCCATCTATCGTTCTGCTCATCCTTATCTCGATCGCGAGAATCCCGAAGCCGGACCGAAATATGTTGAGCGCGAACATCCAATTGTACGGGTCCATCCAGCTACAGGATGGAAGGCACTATGGGTGAATCGAGCCATGACAAGCCGAATTGTTGGTCTGGACAAGGCAGAGAGTGATCTGATCTTGGGATACCTGTACGATGTCTATGAGGAAAATCCTGACATCCAAGTCCGGTTCAAGTGGAGCCCAAGGACTAGTGCACTGTGGGATAACAGGTACGTAATAACTTTCAGAATTGGGTTTCTGTCCTCCAAGCTCACTATTCCGCAGAATCACAATTCATAACGCAAGCTGGGATTATGAGGGTTCGCAGCCTAGGCATGGAACTCGAGTGACTTCTTTGGCAGAGAAACCTTTCTTTGACGCAAATGCGCCGACTAGACGTCAGGCATTGGGGTTGCTGGGACCGGAGGAGATTGAGGAGCTTCGAAAGTTTAGCCAGCTGGAGTTGTGATTGAAGAGAGTAATTTTTTGCTTCTGAAGGCCAGAATCTTACAAGAAATTGAACTTTATGCATATAGCCTGCAGCAGCAAAGGCTCGTTGTCGCCTTCATCCAATTGGACGTAGAATTTCAATTATGGAAAGAAGATAAGGTCAGATGATCGCGTGGTGCGTGGTTCTGAATAGTCCGGCGCAGTTCTGGGCATCAAAGGGCCCATCTGCCAATGTTTACCGCCTTTGGGGTAGCGCCCCCATGATCGCCCGCATTTCGTCTTTTCGAGGGGAACATCTATTCACAGTCGACCCAACATTGAGTCTCAAAACAGTCCAAGATGAGCGCTACAATGACAGTGACCGCTCCGGTGGAGATCACGGCAGACAATGTTGCCACTATCTTCCCCGACGTCGATACCTCTCTCGCTCGGGATATCCTCCCCTCCGCCACTAGCGACGGAGCCGCCCAGAGCTCTGAGCTCGCGGGATACGATGAGGAGCAGGTTCGGTTGATGGAGGAAGTCTGCATTGTTCTGGACAATGAGGACCGTCCCATTGGAAGTGCCAGCAAGAAGACTTGTAAGTTTTTACATCGAATCTTCTCTCTTCCGCGGACTTGCCCCTCCTAAAGAGGGGTTAGGGAGACAACAACACGATAAATCAAAACATGATCGCTAACCACCCTACTTTATCTTTATAATATAGGCCACTTGATGACCAACATTGACAAGGGTCTCCTCCACCGTGCCTTTTCCGTTTTCCTCTTCGACTCGAAGAACCGCCTTCTGCTCCAGCAACGCGCCACCGAGAAGATCACATTTCCCGATATGTGGACCAATACCTGCTGCTCCCACCCCTGGGCATCCCCGGTGAGACCGGTGCCGAGCTCGATGCCGCGGTTGAGGGTGTGAAGCGTGCGGCGCAACGGAAGTTGAACCACGAGTTGGGTATCAAGGCGGAGCAGGTGCCAATCGAGAAGTTCGAGTTCTTCACTCGCATCCACTACAAGGCTCCCAGTGATGGCAAGTGGGGAGAGCACGAAGGTATGTTATAATAGATGCGCGGATCTTGTTCCGGTTGGAACTACTCTTACTAATATCCCCGTCTCTTTAGTTGACTACATCCTTTTCATCCAGGCTGATGTCGACCTGGAGCCCAGCCCGAACGAGGTGCGGGACACCAAGTACGTCTCGGCTGATGAGCTAAAGGCCATGTTCGAGCAGCCCGGTCTCACGTTCACCCCCTGGTTCAAGCTTATCTGCAACTCGATGCTGTTCGAGTGGTGGAGCCACCTGGGCACCTCAGCTCTGGACAAGTACAAGAACGAGACCCAGATTCGCCGGATGTGAAATACACTGGTGACATTGGGGTCATCATAAATCCCCTAGACCTTTATTTCCATCCAAATTGTCCTCCTTTCTTTTGGCCAGCCCCATGCATTCCCCCACAGATACCTTCCATCTCGGTTTTCATCTTCACCACTGTACCTTCGTGCATAATATTGCCCACATAATAAAGAGAATTTCGGAGATCTTTCGAACGAACCGAGATCATCATTTTTTCACATCCACTGAGCTTATATTCAGAAAATTAGAAAACTTCGTTAAGACATGATATATACACCCCGAGATGGATATAATGCAATGCAACGCTTTCATGACCCAACGCCAAGATAGAAGCAGGCGAAACCAGAGGTTGATAAAACAATGAGAATTCATGACTGCCGACCAGTCGATAGGAACAAGATGCAGCTCCCCAAAATGACCGTCCCAATGACTGTCATGACGACCTGGGTCTTCCAGCCACTCTGAACCAGCGCCGCCTTTCGGCTATACTTCATGACGGTGCGGGCATAGTTGAAAAATCCATTCACCAGGCACGTCAGACTCAATAGCCAGAAGATGATACCGAGAGGTAGGGCCATACGCCGCTCTAAACCCGAGGGCTGCTCGCGAAAATGGAAGGAGATGATGATGGCTAGCGAGACAATGGCCAAGTACATTGACAGACGCAGCCAGGAAAGGAATGTGCGCTCATTGGCGCAGTGGTCCCGAGCATCGGAAGTAGTGTTTTCGAATAGTAGAGCGCCCAGAAGGGGCCTAGAAAAGAGGATGTGCTGTTGATCCTCAATATGTCTAGAAGCTTGTCAGATGTGGGAATGGTACTTATGATCAAGCAGGAATGCGGAGAGGTGCAGATATCTGGCCAGGCCACATGCCCAGTAGCCTCCCGATGGAATCACACCGATTAAGCCAGGGAATGCGCCAACAACCTTAGAGGTTAAAAGGCCTGGTAGATTTGGACTAGGGCGAGGGAAAAAGACAGCAAACAAGGAAATAGAATAATGTGTTTCGAGCGCGGTTAACGTGCAAGATCTGAATTGAAATTTGGACTTACTCTTCCACCAAGGCCGGCCTGGAATGGGTTGGGTTGATGAGTGGGTTATAGCGGCGTGGTGTGCATGAGGCCACGCTGGTTGTGATCGATTGCGCCATGCTGTCCCACAAGCTGCAAGGGATGGCCTGGGTGTCTTTTGAACGTCCAAAGAAGACTTTGGTCTCGAAACCTGGAGAACTGGAGATCTGGAGCGACTGGATCAGTTGGAGAAAGCGGGCCCTGTTCATGCACACCTGACATATCACGTGATGAGGAACACTAGACCCGATTCGGTGATGTCATTGCATGCATGCGATCTATAGAGTAAGCAAGTATACACCAGTTGGATCATGTAACTAGTTATATTTCAATATTTTAGTCATTTCAACTGATTCACTCCATTCTATTGTATCGAACCCAAGCTAATGCTGTTCTTCCCGTCCCCTCTTATCCCTAGAAGAAACGGTGAGCAGCACCGCACGGCCGGTGGGGCTTATCGCTTGGGTCTCCACTCAAGCGCCGTCCGGAGCGATCGTCGAGTCATACGAGCTCTTGACTCATATGACAATCTCTGTTATTGGGGGAGGAAGTGCATGCCATATCGGATCTTGCAAGATCCAAGCACCATCGACGAGGACAAATAGTTGACTTGTACGCTTCGGGGCACATATCCGATGTGGAGTCGGCAGCGATAGGCTTGTAACATTGACTAAGTCGATCATTGGACCTTAGTAAAGCAACTAAATCCAACGGCGATTGAGGAACTCCACTTTTCTGTATTTTCTGCCCGCACGCCTCCAACTTCCGCATTCACCTCCAATCTTTTCCCCGCGTAGCGAACCTTCTCTCGCTCCCTTCCTCTCCTCATACCCTGCTTGTCCCCTGGTAGATGATGCAGGTGGTGCTGTAGAAAGTCACCCAACCTCGCCATCCAACACGCTTTCCGCCATGGCACCCCGCAATATTCTTTCGGCGGGTTCCGTGGAGCATCATAGCCCGTTTAGCCGATCTTTCCAATCCAGTTCGCCTCTCGCCGAAGCCGCCATTGCTCACGATCTGGCTCACTATTCCGATGAAGACTCAATTTCAAGCACCGACGAAGCATCCGAGGCCTCCACGGTCCGCCCAGCAAGCAGACGCCCATCCAGTACATATGCGGGAACGAATCCGCACTCGTTAACCGGGTCATATCGCCGCCCAAGTTACTTCACCACCGTCAACCATGCTACCGTGCTCCCGTCTCAAGGAGACTATCAACCGCTAACGGAAGCTGAGCTTCAGCAGGCAATTGCGGAAGAGCGAAATTTGCTGAGTGATAACCGAGTCATTCCAGCGGAAGAACCGGAGGGATTGCAACATAAATTGAGTAAAGTCTTCTCGGCCTCTTCGGGGCAAGGAGGACCATCGAAGCAATATGGTGGTGCTGATGGACGGGATACCGAGACTACTGCGCTGCTAGGACCTTCGGAGGACCATCAAATGGGGCCAGAGGAGATTGATCGCAAGTGGGAGGAAGCCGTAACGGCTGGTCTGATCAACACGACATGGAGGCGGGAAACAGAAGTTATCGTACGATACTCTGCTCCGTTGATGGTGACTTTCCTGCTACAGTACTCGCTCACCGTGGCGAGTATCTTCTCGATCGGCCATTTGGGTAAAGAGGAACTGGGTGCTGTCAGTCTCGCTTCCATGACGGTCTCCATCACTGGTAACGCCGTATACTCCGGGTTAGCCACCAGTCTGGATACTCTCTGTGCCCAGGCTTTTGGATCGGGCAAGAAGAAGCTGGTTGGACTACAAATGCTTCGCATGATTTATTTCCTTTTGGTCGTGACCATTCCCATCGCTACCCTGTGGTACTTCTCTGGGCATATTTTGGCCAAAATTGTGCCGGAGAAGAGGGTGGCTGAAATGGCAGGCTTGTACATGAAGGTGGCCCTCCTAGGGTTGCCGGGATATGCGTGCTTTGAGAGCGGCAAGCGATATCTACAGGCTCAGGGTGTTTTCTCTGCGTCTCTCTATGTCCTGATTATCTGCGCACCGCTCAATGCGTTCATGAACTGGTTCTTCGTTTGGGTAGGTGGACAATATCTGATATTGAGGATGTTTTCATACTAACACGCCTCTTTAGAAACTACAATGGGGTTTTGTTGGTGCTCCTATCGCCGTTGTCATTACCGAGACTCTCCTACCTATCTGCCTGTTTGCATACATCTACTTCCGTGTTGGCTCTGAATGTTGGTGCGGCTTTACCAGACGCGCCTTTGACAACTGGGGCCCCATGATCCGCCTTGCCCTGCCAGGTCTTATCATGGTTGAAGCAGAATGTCTCGCCTTCGAGGTGCTGACACTGGCTTCCAGCTATTTGGGCACATCTGAACTCGCAGCTCAATCGATTTTGTCAACCATTGCAAGCATCACTTGGCAGATTCCCTTCCCACTGTCAATTGCCGGTAGCACCCGTGTTGCGAACCTGATCGGTGCTTCCCTGGTTGGCGCCGCCAAAACGTCGGCTAAGGTGAGCTTCTGCGGAGCTACCATCGTTGGTCTCTTCAACATGATTCTTCTCTCGAGCCTTCGATCCTATATTCCCATGCTATTCAGCTCCGACCCCGAAGTCATCGACATCGTCGCCGAGGTCCTTCCTCTATGCGCTGCTTTCCAGCTCTTCGATGCCCTTGCCGCCAATTGCAATGGTATTCTCCGCGGTCTGGGTCGCCAGGAGATCGGTGGTTATATCCAATTGTTCTGTTACTATGCCATCGCCATGCCTATTAGTATGGGCACAACGTTCTCCTTGAATTGGGGTGTCATGGGTCTCTGGACTGGTGTGGCTATTGCACTCCTGCTGGTCTCTGCCACTGAGGCGCTCTTCATTAGCCGAATCAGCTGGGAACGATCTGTGGATGAAGCCCAACTGCGGAACGAGTTGATCTGAGTGAAGGTGTGATAGCGCAATGCGCATATAGGAGACAGGCGGCGATTCTCCAAAACACATATACACGATGCCACGCTTACGAACAAGGGTCTGTGGGCTGTCTTTGAGGATACCACTTGGGGGATTGTACATAGAAGAGAGATTTAAGCCTCAGATAACGTGTGAAAAGTAAAGAGATGAATCATGATATCATTTGGATTTGCAGGATCGCTTCTAATCCGCTAGAGAAGATCGGCTTTTTGATCATGCAAACCTGTCAATAATCGGAGTCTACCTAGTACTCGAGAATGGCCCAGGTCTGCTCATCCGACGTCGAGAAAATCACACCAGCACCTAGCAGCTCCTCTCCAGCGCGAGCAACATCTGTAGCTGGAACGTTCATCTTCGCAGCAATCTGCTGCACATGCAGACCAGTATCATCCTGGGGCTCGGTCCGCAGCACCTGGTAGACCTTCTTGGCTAGTGCTGACATAGACATGAGGGCCCGGTTCTGGCCCGCACCATATTCATCCGCACCGCCCATCGCTGCATCCCCTCCAGCAGCGTTGGCACCCTTACCACCAGCGTTCGCACCACCAGGGGGACCACGAGTGAAGAACAGGTGTACAACCGTAGCCTCGAGGATGTGACAGTGCAACTCATTGATATCCTTCACCGGGAGCACATTGTGGGCGCCGATATACCGTTTGTTGCCAAAGGACTTGATCGCGCCGGAAATACGAGCATAGCCGTTCAGCTCGATCTCGTTCTTGCCGCTCCCGGGGGCCTTGCCTTCGTCTGTGTCCATGCTGTCTGCACTGCCCGAGTCGACCCACTTCTTGACCTCGATTTCACCGGTGCCATCGTCAATCTTGTATGTGACGTTGGTGCTTTGGGAGCTGATGTTGCGCACCTGGCCGATGAAGAGCACGCTGGCTACGTCGGCACCATCGACTTGGTAGTTGGCTTCGGGGAAGGGCTGAGATGCGTCGACAATTTGCTTGACTGTCACGGGACGAAGGGTCTTGTTATCACGGTCACCACCCTAGAGATAACACAGCGAGTCAGTAATTCAGTCACAAGTAAATACTAAATCTGTTCTCTCACCTTTCCGCCTGAAGGGCTGTTCATCTCGCCAGGCATGAAGCCGCCGCCGCCGCCGCCTCCACCGTAGGAGTTGTAGTTGTTGTAACCTCCGTCTAGGTAAAAGAGTCAGAGTTTGTGCTGGAGAATCAAGTTGGCAAACGTGGAACTTACCCATAATGAAAATCTATAATGAGCTTTGTGCAGTCGTGAAATCATTTTACTCAATTGGGAGCGTGTTTGGACGCGTCGCGGGGAGATGTTTGCTCTGTTTGCAGCGGGCCATGGTTGATCCGCTACTCACCGCCTTGCGGATTATCTCGATTTTTTTTTCGGCAACAGAGACGACGGCTGATTTCGACGCTGGTGAACCACCTGCTTGAAGTATTTTCAGGCGTGGACTCGGTTGGATATAGTGCTGACCGACATTACCTTACCTGTGTCTGTTTGAGGTCATTCGCCCTCTCTTTGTTGAACGGACTCAGCTATTGTACGGCTATTATCGCTGTTTCTCGCCTTTTTTGATCGGGCGCTATCATATCGAGGCTATTCGCTCAAACATCTGCCACCATGCCTCGCCGTGGTCGTGAAGCTTCTCCGGCTATGTCCGAGAACGAGTTCGACATCACGAGTGCACTTTTCCAAAATGACAACGATTCCGACGTCGATGTCGGCAACTCGGCTCCCCGACAGAAACCCAATACCACGCAAGACCTTGATTTTCTCAACGCCGATGATGACGGTGATGCGGCCTTCATTGCGACACAACAGGCATCGGCGAACCGAAAAGGCTCCAATCTCAAGGGGCGTACGGTGAAGAAAGGTGGTGGCTTCCAGGTCATGGGTCTCAATTCCAATTTGCTCAAGGCCATCGCGCGCAAAGGTTTCTCAGTCCCGACTCCCATTCAACGAAAGACAATTCCTGTGATTATGGACGACAAGGACGTTGTCGGTATGGCTCGAACTGGTTCCGGAAAGACTGCAGCATTCGTCATTCCCATGATTGAGAAATTGAAGAGCCACAGCGCCACGTTCGGTGCTCGCGCTTTGATCATGTCGCCCTCGCGTGAACTTGCTCTCCAGACTTTGAAGGTTGTCAAGGAAATGGGACGTGGTACAGATTTGAGATCGGTCTTGCTCGTTGGTGGTGATAGTCTGGAGGATCAGTTCGCCATGATGGCCGGCAACCCCGATATCGTGATCGCGACACCCGGTCGATTCTTGCACTTGAAGGTCGAGATGGACCTTGACCTTTCGAGTATCCGTTATGTCGTTTTCGACGAGGCTGATCGACTTTTCGAAATGGGTTTCGCCGCACAACTGACTGAAATTCTTCATGGCCTTCCGTCCCATCGACAGACACTCCTTTTCTCAGCTACTCTTCCCAAATCGCTTGTGGAATTTGCGCGCGCTGGTCTGCAAGAGCCCAGCCTTGTGCGTCTAGATACTGAGAGCAAGATCTCTCCCGATCTTCAAAATGCGTTCTTTGCTGTCAAGTCGTCCGACAAGGAGGGTGCATTGCTTCATATCTTGCACAACATCATCAAAATGCCAACTGGTCCTACCGAGGCTACGCAACGGTTCAAGGCAGAAGGCGACAATTTCAAGGACAGAAAGCGCAAGAGACCGCACTCAGGAAGGTCTATCTACAAGGAGTCTCCCACAGAACACTCTACCATTGTCTTCGCTGCGACGAAACATCACGTCGACTATCTCTACTCCCTCCTGGTTGAAGCCGGGTTTGCCACATCATACGCCTACGGTAGTCTTGACCAACTGGCAAGAAAGATTCAGGTAGAGTACAGCCCGTGTATTAAGTACTGTAAATGGACGAGGAAGCTAATCATAATGGCATACAGGTCGAGAACTTCAGGAAGGGAATTTCCAACATCCTTGTTGTCACTGACGTGGCTGCTCGTGGTATTGATATTCCCGTTCTGGCCAACGTGATCAACTACGATTTCCCTTCCCAGCCTAAGATTTTCGTTCATCGTGTTGGTCGTACAGCCCGTGCCGGGCAGGCTGGTTGGAGTTACAGTCTGGTCCGCGACGCGGATGCCCCATATCTACTTGATCTCCAACTGTTCCTGGGTCGACGTTTGGTCGTAGGCCGTCAATTTGGGACTGAGGTCAACTACGCCGAAGACGTAGTCACCGGTACTCTTTCCCGCGATCCGCTTTCTCAGAGCTGTGAATGGGTCAACAAAGTCTTAGCTGAGTCTACCGATATTGCCTCGCAGCGTCAGGTCTCAGTTCGAGGTGAAAAGCTGTACATGCGCACTCGAAACGCTGCATCCATCGAGAGCGCCAAGCGAGCTAAAAAGGTCACGGCCACCGAGGATTGGTCTACGCTTCACCCCCTGTTCAACGACGATGAGAGCCAGATGGAAGCAGAACGTGAGAAGATGCTCGCCCGTATCGGCGGCTTCCGGCCATCGGAGACCGTCTTCGAGGTCCAGAACCGACGTGGAGGCAAGCAAGAGGGCGGAGAAACTATCGATACCATCAAACGACTCCGTGCCACAGTCGACAAGAAGAAGCTCCGTGCCCAAAGCAAGGAACAGTCCGAGCTGGCCGAACTGGGTATCACCGTTAAACAGGCGAATGGTGGGAATGACGATGTTGAGGATGATGACATTCCCGACGAAGCTGGAGATAACATGTCCGAGGCAGACGAGTCTGACCTCGAAGTCACTTTCTCCTCCTACAACCAGAAGGGCAAAACTGATCAGTCGAATGAGATATCGGCAACTTCATTCCAGAACCCCGATTACTTCATGGGCTACACACCCGCAAACCATAACAGTGCAGAAGACCGTGCCTACGGTGTTCACTCTGGTACCAATTCCAACTTCGCGCACGAGTCGCGCAACGCGACTATGGACCTCAACGGAGATGAAGGCCAGAAGAACTTTGGTGAGAACCGTTCTGTCATGCGCTGGGACAAGCGACACAAGAAGTACGTCGCCCGTCAGAACGACGAGGATGGATCCAAGGGCACACGCCTTGTCCGTGGTGAGAGTGGTGCCAAGATTGCCGCCAGTTTCCGCAGCGGACGATTCCAGAGCTGGAAGAAGGGCAAGCGTATGAGCAACCTGCCTCGCGTGGGTGAAGCGGAGACGCCTGGTCTCTCGACCGGTTCGGGCATACCGGGTGCGCATGGCCCCGGTGGTCGATTCCGACACCAGAGGCAACAGGCTCCCAAGCGGGCCGACCCGTTGCGTTACGACTACGAGAAACAGAAGAAGAAGAACGACACTGCTCGGGACCGTCAGCAATCACAGGTTGGCGGTGCTGCCTCTCACGGAAAGAGTGAGATTCGCTCGACTGATGATATTCGGAAGGCGCGGAAGCTGCAGCAGAGACGCCGTGAAAAGAACGCGCGCCCTTCGAGGAAGCGTTAAAAAGGGGAAGCGAGGGAGGATGGATGAAGTCTTGTATACATAGTCTAGGGAGGTGCATCGTTTGGATGATGTCTATACCTGCCATCTGCATTGGAGATACCACACCAATTATTGTTATCATGAACACAACCATATTCAGCCATGCTCCGTTTTCCCCTGTACATTTCACTCGCGCCCAGTTTCGATGTCATATGACCTGCACCTCTTTAGTCCATGCGCGTTTCCTTTTCAAGTTAGCTATACTAATCTCGAGCTGTAGGACCGTACTAGCCAAGCGCAGTACCTGACATGCACACCATGCACCAATGCCGAACGGCCGCTACTCGTCTTATACATGCCAAATTTCCAACTGGTCGGACAGTATTGACGGACTATCATGTCTTGATCAGCACAAAGCACCCGAGGGCCCAATCAGAGGATGATCTCGGCCTCGAACCGCTGAGAAGAACCGTTTAAAATGGATGGATCCTCTAAGTAATCCTGTTTCTATTTACCCACCGTGGCTCTGGTTGTCTCTGGGCCAAGTTATCACATCACGCACATGTGAGCTAGATCGCCGAGTATCTAGGTGGCTAACCTCGGGCTTTTTGTTTGACAGGAGATGGGCCGTCAACCCCACGAGGCGTTAGTCCCGAATAATCTCCGTTTCCTTAATGTTTTCCCGGCACGAGACTAACTAGTCGGACTAACTAGTTAGGTGTCGGCGAATTATTCAAGAGGATCCGCGCTGGGAATTTGACAAATTGTGGGTGTCCACATCGACGGGATGTTCTGTTCTCGCGCTAACGTCTACTTCGAAAGTTGTCTCGGAAGTTGGAACGCAAAGACCAGTGATCGACCATCCTCAACTTTTGGTGCTTTGAGCCCGTTCGGCCTTCCAAAATCCACGAACTAATCACTTCATCCACGTCACCGACAGCCAGGCTGTCACTTTGCCTAACTAACTACTAGACATTTGCTTTTGGATTCGAAAAAGGGCCCAAGGAAATTGACTGACCATGACTAATCGAGAATGGGCAGACTAAATCACGGACGGGGGGGCCACCGAGTGGTTCGCACTATTGACTCCCAGTGGCCGATCGTGCATGAACGGGGTGACAGACCCCTTGCTGCTCCGCGTGCCGCATGTTCCACACAGCTATGCACAGCTCTGCTGCTCTTGCTCCTACCCCCCCCCCCCCTTGAGCACAATTGGGGGTGGCCAGGCCCCCGAGTCGCCTGTTTCCTCTGTTTCTTTGCCCGTAAATGTATCTTGGGCATTATCCTCCGCACTCAGGTGCCCAATGCCTACGATCCCTCGGCAGCACCCGGCCATAATCGTTCACCCCCCCTCTTCCTATCCCGTCTCCCCCGTTCAATCAATTAGCATCATTGGCCCCTTCCCACCTGTCATTTGCCCAATGACGTGAGCAGGATTTACCCTGCAGCTGGAAAGGCAGCAAGATGCCAGGGATGAGCAATGCGCACGCGCTGGAAGACAGTGATCGCCCACCAAGGCTGCTGAGGCTGCAGCCACATCTTGGTGCTCAATGCTGTTGAACAGTTGGAGACTGGGTGTCTCCGGAAAATAAAGGATAAACTCATTCGAACAACGGGTGATTGCGAGACCCTAAGGGGGGATTATTTCCGTCTTCGTCCTCCCCCCGCCCTCTCCTCTTGTTCTTCTGGCTCTATTCTTCTGTTTCCATGCTGGCCCTTTTGTCCGGATGTGCGAGGTGTGATGGATGGTATCACAACAGGAACCCGCCCTGAATCGAGGGACTGGCCCTCCTCGTCGGTATTACTTGCCCGTCGCGAACTATTTCCATACACTGCCGGGCGAATCAGGACGAACCAGCAGACTCGAAGACTCGAAGACTCGAAAACAAATACAACAAAAACAAGCGCGAGAGCGAGAGAGCTTACTTTGCCCTTCTCCTCTTTGTTCCTTGGTACGACTCCTTCTCTATCCTTATTTTCCCCCTCTTTCCAACCTCTCCAACCCCTGCCTGCAGCTGTCCGGCCCATGGTTTATGGAAGAACTACGGGCTGCCGTGAGACCTCTTCTTTCTCCCTTTTCCCGCCGTCGAGTCTTCAAATCTACCGTTTGGTCAAGCTTCATTGTAACAGTAACCCCTTCTTGTATAACGGCGCATAATCACGGAGGATCGACTCGGTCATCCAGTGCCCCGGTGGGGCAACCCCCTTATCTCCACTGCGGAGAATAATGACCATGGGATGGGCGTTCGCGACCGCGTTCTTCCCAACTTCCCGGCTAGTTTGACATCACTAGGCGCGAGTAGCTCTCCTCTGTACATTCTTTCCAGTCTATCTGATGACATCGTGCGGAGTATTCCTGTATGAAGGGAGTATAATCCCTACCCACCCGATTGAGTGACGAGTCTTTGAGGTCTCAAGTTCAAAGCTAAAGACTAAGAAAGCTAAGACAAACATCAAAAGCATGCAGGGACGCTGAACAAAATGCCGGTTGATCCATTTGACCTTCGGTACTCGCCCAGGCGTAACCCGCCGGCGTGGATGTCGGTGCTGGTGATGGAGGCTGGAGCTGGCCTGGTCGCTGCTTTCATTGAGTCGTTAGCCTATTCAGCCCTCACGAAATCACCCAGTAGTGATCAGAGCAGCGCACAGTGGAGCCCAAATAAGGTGGGAAACTCAAATAAAACAGAATAATCAGAATTAAAACACCAAGATGGGAAAGAGACTATATCAAACTAGGATAATAAGATCAGGATCGGGGAACAAATAATATTAATCGCAGTAATCATAATACTGTACAGATCACTACTGTACTCGCTAAAATAATTACGGCGTACAATAAATCACCATTCGATCAATAATGGACCCGACCGACTGGCCAGGATAATACGAACACTCCCTCTAATGAATAAATTTGCCCTAGTCGATTTAGCATTGGAATTGGATGAAGTTTGAAGCAGAACGACTGGTTCTTATTGACCTATTTAATAGACCAGGTGTTCCTTCTGAGTGGTAGACTCCCTTTCCACGGACTTGGGGCTAAGCATACAGTTTAAAAGATCTTCCTTTTGTTTTCTTACTGTATAGCTTCTGGTCCCATGATAACGTGTGAGCCTCCCCCTCTCTCTTACCTGATGACGAGGAAAATGCATGTACTTGTGTGCATGTCAAACGGAATGCACAATTCACTGCCGAGCCCGACTATTGGCAATGGCGACGGGCACCGGCGTCGATCCGTCAATCGTTCGCCTTACTTCGTGGGTCTGATTCGGTATTGAATGATTTTTCCCCCTCCTCGCCAAAAAAAAAAAAGAAAAAAAAGGTTCAGAAAAATCATCCAACCCTGTAATCCATGCAGGAAAATCATAAAATCATAGAATAAGGACAGCCACTGCAGCTGGTATTTCCTATTTCGTGTTTAGTGCAGGTTAATCCCTTCCTTTCGGCAGGCTGGTTCTTTACGAATTACAGCCGCCTATTCTCTAATTTACAGAGGATACTGAGCATAATGCTTAGCTAGTGCATATCCTAGTACAAATTATTAGTTAATGATTTATACGCTATTTTACAGTAATAGGCTAACAGTTCCACAGAGAGGGAGGGGGGTCACTGACAGCGACTCGCCGTCTAATGCAAGCCAACCCAGCCAGTAGCTCGAGCAGTTCCCTAACCCGCAGACTTGAATAAGCAGATCAGTCTATGGTCGATGGATTCTGGACTCTAGACGGAGTGGTCTTTCCTTACTCCGTAAGGAGAAGTGTCCCCCTCTTTTTACCAAAGCTCCGTCAAAACTCCCTCATTATCACTATGGTTCCTTTTTCAGTTCGGAAGAATAGGGGGTCGGAAATGGTAAATCGAGAGCTTGAATGGGAATAAAACAGTAGTTAATGGGGCATCTCCACTTGACAAGCGCAACGCTAGAGAGTCACTAATTATCCTTCCCCCTTCGGTCCAGCTACCGTTGGACCCATTAAAATTGAGAAAAAATCATAAAATAACAATTATTAGATTTACAGTACATACATACCCCCCAATCATCCGAAAGATCTACCATGATGGAGATCAAGTCTATTAGCTACTAGTGCCGTCTGCACTGACCACTACTTTCAGTTACCCTGGACCAGGACCCGCCCACTTGACCTCTCTCTCTCTTCCCCATTTCCGATACTGGAAGCCTGAAGCCTGAAGCCCTAGAGTCTGGAGCCCGCAGGTCGTGCTGCTCCATCCTTGGCAGCAGAAAAGAAGACTATTATTCTTCCCGTGGATCCTCTTTTGTAGCTTTTTTTGACTAAATCTTTCTCTTTTTACTCCCTTCACCTCCCTGTTCCTAACGTTTTCAACCTCGTGCCTATCTAGCAATCTATACGATACAGGGGAGAGCACAACAAGCCAAACAGGATCCAGGAAACTGAACAAACCAATACTTTCCAGAAACACCCGGACACTACCAAGCATTTATCTGCAACATAAACCGGAGTACATACTATACGTATACCGCCTATACTACCACTCCACCGGAACAACAAGGTCCGAGCTACGTTGCGTCCTACCATCACTGTCGATATTCAAATCGAACGATCAAATTTAGGGTATAGTTCACCGTTTCTATCCTTTCCCTCTCTTGTCTTTTCCCCAGCCCTTCGGCCCCCTCCAAAGGGTCATTCTCTATTACGCCCCATGTCTTTCTCTACCCAATCCCAGCCGTACGGAACGTGGGCCTTAAAATCAAGACACCGGTAAGGCGTGGGGGAGTGGCTTTGACACTGGCGTTGCTGCAGTTGGATCCTAGTTCGATGATCGACCGCCATCCTGCAATAAATCGCCCTAGGAGGGGAAAGACATGCGCGGCTATGAGTAACCCTGCTGTCATGATCTGGAAATCTCCCGCTGATCGATGCAGTCTATTTTCTGACTCCTCCAATAGCGGATCTCTTCTGTCTACGGATTATAAGCTCGGGTGGTCCACTCGACCGGCTATGAGAGGATCTTGATGACGCCCGGATATCGACGCTTTTATTTTCTGGTTTTCGCCTTTTTTGGGAGAATCTATTAAATTCGCCATTTTATATTGATTCTTTATTTGCTCTGATTGGTTTTTGTCTGCCTATTTTTCCCTTTTTCCTTTCCTACACCGCTGCGAGCCTTTATGCTGATGACCTCTTGCATCCTTCCCTGCCTCCCTTCCTCTCCGTTGCCCCTCTTGGTCATTATTACCCTTTCATATCTTTTGCCTTTCTAATTCCTAGGGTATTCCTCCTATTCCGAACTCCTACATCCTACACATACTTCCCTTCATTCGCCTATTCTACCCTGCCTAATACCCCGTCTCATCCCGTCCTATCCCCGTCCGGCCCCTGCCCGGTTTGTATCCAGGATTATACCCGGGAATCCCTTCGCCAGGTATGCTGCTGTCAACGGTCCGACGCAGAGCCAGTTGTCCCCTATAGTTGGAGACAAAAACCCCCGTTGGGTCATCTTCTCCCAAGAAAAGAGAAATTTCTTTTCTTGTTGCCTCTGTGGGCCTTTTCTACAGTGCTGCCTGACGCTCGATGCAACCACTCGTGCTTCATCCCCCGAGCCTTGCTACCGCCCAGTTCGGACAGCCCCGGTTCAACTCGGGCCCAGAGCGGCTTCCGTTGAATCGATCTTGGTCTTCCAATGCTCGAGGGTATAGCCCCCGGGCTGCTCCTCCCCGTCAATCTATGTCTGGCTCGCCGCCGGCCGAAGAGCCCCCAGTGACAGCCGGACATGCTAAGCCTGCTCTAGAATACTCATCAGTATCCTCGCCAGTAATAACTACTGGCGTTGAGGTGACTTGCAGTTCTAGTACTCATATTCATGGACCAGCACTATCACAGCCCTTATTGTCCGCCAATGAGCCTCTCCCAGCGCATATCGCGCCGCCGCGATATGGGGAACTTAGTGGACAGCCACCGCCAGCATTCGGGGTTGGCTCGCCACAAGTATTACAAGGAGGTCCACAGTATGCTCTTTCAGCGCTTCAATCATCGATAACCGGACCAGCAAGTAGATCACTTGCACAGAAGTCAACTCGGCGTACCAAAGCCCATGTCGCTTCAGCTTGTGTGAACTGCAAGAAGAAGCACCTTGGATGTGATCCTGCTCGTCCATGTCGAAGATGTGTCCTCGCTGGCAAGGCCGTAAGTACATGTTACTACATTTTTATACAAGATGAAAGATCGCAGACTGATTATAAATGGTGGTAAAAGTCATCATGCGTGGATGTTACGCACAAGAAACGGGGTCGACCACCATTGAAAGCCGAGGATTCTTCTCTCCGTTCGTACTCCAACACTCATATGGATACTGCAGTGCATGCCGAAGTACAGCCGTCGACCTCGCAAAGAACAGTGATGCATCGAGCAACTTCATCTCGCGAACTGAGACCGATGACGGACCTCCAGGGAATAGGTGAGCCAGGACCAGCAAATTCCGCAGCAATGCGTGTGCAACGTGGTCAACCACATAGATGGTCTGCGTCTGTGTTTCCTCTTACGCGGCCTATGGAACAATCTCCTTCGATGCCAGGTGCCGTAGGAAGAAGACCGTTTTCTTCATCTGGACCACCAGCCTATACGGCTCCACCACCTCCACCTCCAGCATTCGTGCCAATTACGGGTGGATTCAATCCGGTTCTCAAGCCTGGAACAATGCCTCCCGGAATGGAGAGAAGATACCCACCATATGCAGGTCCAGCTTTGCCACCTCCGACTTCTCCTCCACAACTTCATTCGCCAGGTGTACACTATTTGCCCTACAGCGAGGCTCCTCCTGGCACTCTGCACCAGCCGTTAAGTGATCCTCGAATGCCGCATGGCCCTCGCGAACCGTATCTTGAGTCACCAGTCCGACTGCCACCTATACATCAAGCGACGGGCAGCCCCCGACTTGCTCACCAGCCGCATCATGCGCACCGCTTGAGTGATCCATACCCGACAAGCTGGAGCTCGTCAGGACGCGAGGATATCTCGAGGGAGCCAAGGTCTCCAGCACAACTACAACGACCAATAAGCTCGGCATTCTCGCACTCGTCATCTCACCAGCGCTCGTCGTCCTTGACCGGTTCCCTCGATCCAGTGCCACGGCATCTAGGTCCGGTAGAATTGCCCTCGCCAGTGTCACTCAGCCACGGTTTACCCGCGACTACGCGAACCACTAATCCGACAACCGAAGGCGAACAGGAAGAACCCCGGCCGATCAAGCGTCGCAAAATGGCCCTGGACGATATGGTCAACGGTTAACACTGACCTGCCACCCGCGAGAACCCGGATTTCTCGGCATCAACTGCCTGCATATGTTGCTAACAACTGCACTATGCTGTCTTATATTGTATAATCTACCATCCTGTAGCAGGGTCTACGGGAAGTGATTGATATACCCATTTCTTTTTTTTGGATTATTTCCCATCACGGCGCATTGTTCGACTCTGCTACAAGCAGCAGAAATAATTTGTACTGAAATCTGGTTGCGCTATCTTTGTTGAGTCTCATGTGTTTGATGTTGGTTTCCAGGACGTGAAAGGCTTTGATGTCCCCACATGTTCCACGGTTGCAGAGTTGATTCCTCTTCAACTGTTTTTTTGTTAACGCGTTTTGGCTGCTGTGATTCATGGTTTTTGATTTCAATCCCGGTGCCTCTGGACTGGATCCGATCGGCGTCTTTGCAGCAGGATCTGTCCACCGGGTTTATTTCCTTTATTTCCTTTGTCTGTCGGTTTTCTCGTCGTTCTACCCATTTCTTTTCTCGCGATTACCCCTACAGTTATGGTGTTTTTCTCAAGACATGGCATGGCGTTTCGCGGAGTGGGAAGGGTGCGATCTAGTATCGCTTTTTTCTCATTTTCATTTTCATTTCTATCGTTCCTTTTACTAGATCCATCTGGCATGCATTACGTTGGGATGTCTGGAACAGCAGCATGCTGGATATGTTATGTGGGATTGGTGGCACACCTGTTTGTACATCAGAGTGCAATTTTTTTGCAAAAATTTTCGAGGATTCATAAGACTCTCCTAGACTACAAGCGCTTAATCTATTTGTTAATTATTTTCGAGAATGACTTAATTTCGTAAGATTATCATCAACTGTAGATTCAATTCAACATGAAGTGAATTATTCTTCATGTCCAGATGCAAATATAGACATTACTGGTATCTTAAAACAAACTAAAAGAACAACCACTGACCGGCCCGCTGGAGCTTGCCAACGAATCCCTTTCGCTTCTCCTCCACTGCAATTTCCTCGCGATAATGGCCATCATCCGCACCGCCATCATATCGATCTGTACGAAGATCCATCTCAGACGTACGCACAAACCGAGTGCGCTTAAGCAGCTTCCAGCCCAGGAACATGACAACCATAACGGCAATCTCGATATAATACGAGACAAAGTCGACACCCTTGAAGTGCGGGCTGAAGCACTTCCATCCCTGAACGAGGACTAGAACGACGTTCAGACCGACGGCAAAGATAGGTCCGTACGGATAGGTCCAGTTCTTGAATGGAAGGAGGTGCTCGATACCTTGTGCCTTAATCGCACTGCGGAAGCGGAGAGAAGCAAGACAGATACAGATCCAGGATAGCTGGTTAGAGACACCGACAATATTTTGCAACCAAGTCCACAGCTGGCCAGCTCCAATATAGCTAGCACCGAAGCAGAGTCCACTGATGACGGAAGTAGCCAGCACGGCGATCCAGGGCACTTGGAAGCGGTTCAATTGACCGAAGAATCGAGGAGCATAGCCATCAACGGCAAGTGTGTAAAGCAAACGGGATCCAGCGAAGAGAGCATGGTTCGCGGCGGAGATGACGGAAGTCATGATTACCGCGTTGATGAAGCTACCAGCAACGGTACTGCCGGCCTGCTGAAAGACAATGGTGAACGGGCTGGTCTTGGTGTTACGATCGGAGAGGCCTGGGTAGTTGTATGGCACATTCAGACCGACGATCAAGATAGAAAGAAGGTAGAAAAGCAAGATACGCCAGAAGACGTTACGGACGACCTTGGGCATGGTCTTGGCCGGGTCCTTCGTCTCTCCGGCGGTGATGGCGATGGACTCAGTGCCGCCACTGGAAGGGGTTAGTTAGGATTATCTAGAGGGAGGAGCAACCAGAATAATGACGTACTAAGCAAATGAGGCTGTAACAAAGACAGAGGCGAATCCACCGATACCACCAACGAAGGGGGCATCTCCGGTATGCCAATACTTGCCGCCGATATATTCATGGTTAACGTTGCCGCCGCAGTTGACAGCAATACCGAGGATAATGAAGATCTATAGGGAGAATTAGCGCGGCTCGATGAGATAAAAGTGTCATGTTTGACATACCACAATAGTGATGACTTTGAGTAAACTCAGCCAGTATTCAACCTGAAATAGCAAGTTAGTAAATAATGTGCAACCCGTGAAAAGAAAGCCGCTCGTACCTCGCCATAAACTCGGACCGAAAGAACATTAAGCGCAATGACCACAACCAAAAAGATCAGACTAATCGCCCAACCAGGGAAATTTTCCGTCCAAAACTCCAAAAGAAGCTGAAGCGCAATAATATCCGAAGCCGTAGACACAGCATCATTAAACCAATAATTCCAAGTAAGCGCAAAACCCAGTGCATCATCAACAAACCGCCTGTCCAAAATAAGGTTAGTCATCCAGGTCGAATGTAACGTCGGATCCACAAGTCAAGAATCGCGTCACTCACCCCGCATATGTGCAAAACGACCCAGCAACGGGGATAAACGCGGCCATCTCGCCGAGGCAGAGCATGGTGATGAAGACGATTCCACCGCAGATAGCGTAGGCAATGAGAGTTGAGGCCGGTCCGCCCTTTGCGAGAGAGCTGCCAGTACCCAGGAACAAGCCAGTACCGATCGTGCCGCCAATGGCAATCATCTGCACCTGGCGGGCAGACAGGCGACGGGCCAGCTTGTCGGCATTGACGAAGGGGGTTGCAGAGCCATCAAAGATATCACCTTGAGTCTTTGACTCGGAAGGGTTCTTCTCGGGGTCTGATACAGTGGCCATGATTTATAGATAGGCCGACTGAAAGAGGTCGAATATCCCCAAAAAGTGCAAGAAAAAAGCAGGCAGTGAAGATGATCTGGCTCGATATCAGTCCTTCGTCCCTTCCTCTCCGCAATGAAGTGTAAACACAGTCGCAGTAGAGTAAAACTCTCAACTAAACTCACCAAGCCCTAAAATCTAAAATCTCGTGACCTGCACGTGGCTACCCCAGATTGTCAATCGTAGTGACAGGCGTAGCGCCAAAGAAATGACAGATATGATAGAAGGAGGAAAGCCATTTCACATTCCTTTTGCATGAAAATTGAAGTCTCTCAAGCGTGTTTCTGCGATGGCGTGCTTGAACGCTGCGATGAGTGGTCGGACAGGGCCCGCTGAGATTCGCTATGAGTCGTCCGAATGGCGAGGCGATGACATGAAAAAAACTCGAACGGCTCCACTTGCTCGGCAGCGGCAAATTTTTGGAATTTTTTAGATGGCATTCCTGGAATAGTTTTCCGGAGAAAAGCTTGGTGATAGACTGAGATCTAGTGCTAGCAGCTGCAGGCATGTTAAGTGTGAGAGTTAGGGTGTTGCAGGGCTGAAACAAGTCTGTCTAATTGGGTGTTCTTTATCTACTGCATGCTTAATTTCACCTCCAAACTTTTTTTGATCTATACAACCCACAGGCTCAAGTATACCAGAAATGATCATAGAAATCGTCGGCTTCACTATATACTTCATGCTGAATAAAACATGACAAATGCTTTTTAGAGGCTTCGCTAGCACATGAGAACATGTCAAAAAAAAAAAAAGAAATAAAAGGACGCCCAGGAATACGCCAATCGGTAAGGTCCATGCAATATTAACCCAACAATCCACTGGCCAGTTCCTCCAGGTCGGCAAGAGTTTCGATCTGGGGCTGGGCAGCAGTCTTCTTGCCCTTTGTGCGCTTCTGGCGAGGGTCCTCCTCGCTGTCGGAGTTGGGCTCGGCAAAGGTAACACGCTGCTTCTTGCTGGGTCGAGATGCCTCTTCCTTCTCCTCCGCCTCGGACCCAGAGTCTGACCCGGGGATCTCGAAAGGCACGAAAGGCAATCCATGAGGAACACCTCCCTCTTCGTCGTCCTCTGCTTCTCCAGCGGCAAGGGCACGCTCGCGGGCCTTGCGCTTCTCCTTCTTCTCGCGACGCTTCTCGCGTGCCACCTCCTTGTCCTCGAGATCGGCACGACGAGTGCGCTCGGTCTCCTCGGCCAGGAAACGCTCGCGCTGGGTATCGGCATCGCCACGGGCCTTGAATCCCTCCTCGTCCTCCATCTCGTATACCTCGTGGGCGTTGCCCTCGTCGTCGTAGACAAGTCGGGTGCCCTTGCCCTTGAACTTGAGGAGCTTCTTCTTCGACTTGAGCAGCTTCTCGCGGCGCTTTGAGTCAATAATGAGCTCGTTCTTGCCATCCAGCTGCACCACCTTGGTGTCCTTCTCGCCGTCGCTAGATGCCTCAGAATCGGATGAATCAGCCTTGCCGAGGTTTTCATCGCCGATAGCAAAGACGCGCTTGACGGACAGGAAATCGGCGTCCTCGTCAGCATCTTCACCAGCGGCCGTTTTAGCGCCGGAATCAATCATGGTGCCATCGTCATTAATAAGTTTGGAGTAATGACCAGCCAACACATCCTGGTTTCGTCGCTCAAACATACGATCGTAGCGGGTCCGGACTTCCTTCTCATCCTTCTTGTCCTTCTTGGCCGCACCCTCCTCGCCCGACTCGGCTTCAGAGTCAGTCAGGTGAGCCATCTTCCAAGAAGCATTCTTCCTTTCCTTGGTGTCGTCTCCCTTGATGAACTTGATTCGAGGAGCACCAGGGAGACCCAGACTAGCGGCGTAATCCTCCAACTTCAATTCCTTCAAGTTGAAGATTTCCTTATCCTTTTGCACGTAGATAGACTTAACATAAGAGATAAAGGCCTTCTGACCCAGATACTTCAGCTCGGGGTCCTTGAAACACATATTTTGCAGCTGGTTCTTGATGCTCTGCTGCTTGGCGGCTTTGATGTTGATTTTCTCGATTGGCACCTTCTTTTGCTCGAGCCGCTTGAGCATGCCCTTCTCCTCACTAGGATCCAAGAAAAGCACAGCACGACCAACTCGTTCGTAACGCGCTGTCCGTCCGACTCGGTGGATGTAGGTGTCGCTATCTTCGGGGCAATCCACTTGAATGACCCAGTCGACTGCAGGGAAATCGAGACCACGGGCCGCCACATCTGTCGCAAAGAGAACTGCATGTTGGGACTGAGAGAATTTCGTAGTAATGTCAAGTCGGCCACCCTGTTTTTGCTTGCCGTGAAGGTGCATCAACGGGATACCGGGCTGGAGGTGTCGGAACGACTCGTACACAAATCGAACCTGCTTTCCAGATGACAGGAACACCACCGTCTTAGACTTCAAGTTGCTGCGAATAAAGCTCCACAGGACATCCAATTTCGTTGCCAGCGGGGTGATGGTGTAGTGTTGCTGGAGGGTGGAAGGGGTCGCGGCGGCGGCGGTTTCGTGAACGGCAACGTACTCGGGGTCTTGTAGACTCAGACGAGCCAAATCTCCAACCTTCTTCGTCTGTGTCGCACTGAAGAGCATGGTTTGGCGCTCCTTGGGAAGATGGTCGACAATAGCATCCACGGTCTTCTGGAAACCCATGTCCAAAATTCGATCCGCCTCGTCCATCACCAAGAGCTGCAAGTTGTTGGTCTCCAACATGGCGGTCTGATCCAGATGCTGGAGCATACGTCCTGGTGTACAGACCAAAATATTCATCCTTCCCAATCGTTCTTGTTCCTCGCGCAAGCTTTTTCCACCAATAACCAGTCCAGCGGAGAAGGCGTGGTATCGACCCACCTTACGGAGCACTTCGAAGATCTGAATAGCGAGTTCACGGGTGGGAGCGAGGATAAGTGCACCCAGGCCATCGTATTCGGTCCATTGCCTGCGGTAGAGATTCTCTAGCACTGGGACCAAAAACGCCAGGGTTTTGCCGCTACCGGTTTTGGCGGCACCGAGGATGTCGCGTCCCTTGAGGGCATGGCTGATCGCACGGGACTGAATGTCGGTCAGGGTCTTGAAATGTGAAGCAGTCAGGCCCCGCGCAGTGGGATCGGAGAGAGGCAAGTCGGAGAAGTTTTTGAGGGCAGTCTTGAGGTCGAGCTCCTCGACTTTTTGGGCGAGGGTGGTAATCTCGTCCTCGCCACGCTTGCGCTTCAAAGTTCTGCCAGAGTCATGCTTTTGCTTGGGACCTTTCCCACGAGACGTCCGTGGAGGAGCCATATTGAATATTCTGGATGTGTTGTAGAGGTTTTGTCCGAGAGTTTCTTATCGCGAATCTCCAAATTGGTTCCCGCGACTTTTTTTTCTTGCTGACTCAGCGGCCGATAAGCGGGCTTATCTTTCCTCATTGCGACCAGCCGATCGCGTTGCGCCTCGAGCTTTCAACACAGTTTCCCTTCATGGCGGACGACGAGGTGGATCAAGACGTTTTCGACTCGCTTGAGCGAGAGGCCTCGGAATTTACAAAGGTTTGTCCTTATTGCTAGTAATGATGATACTAAACAGGACTTGACTAACGCGCAATCTCAGGATGCGGAGATCGACCGCATCCGCTCAGCCTTCTCTCTCGATGCGTGAGTGGAGCTATCTCAAGCCTACGATGTCTTCACCCAATTACTAACTTACTTGATGTCCAGATATGCTGTCCTCGATCTTCAGCCCGGTGTGACCGAGAAAGACATAAAAGTCCAGTACCGCAAGAAATCCCTTCTCATTCACCCCGATAAGACCAAGAATCCCGCTGCGCCCGACGCCTTTGACCGGCTCAAGAAAGCGCAAACAGCCCTCCTTGATGAAAAGCAGCGCACCTATCTGGATGAGTGCATTGCCGATGCTCGGCGGTTGTTGATCCGCGAACACAAATACACGCTGGACTCCCCTGAGCTACAGACGGAAGAATTCAAGGTGGAATGGAGGAAAAAGGCTGTCCACGTGCTTCTTGAGGAAGAAGCCCGGCGACGTCGCCAGGCCAAGGCGCGTATGCAAGAAGAAGGTCGTGAGAAGCGCAAGGAAGAGGAAGAACTAGAGGCGCGCAAGCGCAAGCGCGATCAGGACAAGGCGTGGGAGGATACACGAGAGGAGCGCATTGGGACCTGGCGGGATTGGCAGAAGGGGCATAAGACTGGCGATGAGAAGAAGAAAAAGAAAAAGATGAAGGTTCTGGGCTAATTGGAGGAGTCGAGCGTTTTAGCGTTTGGAATTGGATCTTGCGTTCTGTGGAATTATTATCTGGATGAATTGATTCCTTTGAACTCAGATTCGTCAATTCTTATCCTTATGTTCGTCTGTATGGAACAGGAAGGAGCGACCTAGAGACAACACCCAAAGTGCACCGGATCTCTCTGCTTTTCTCTTCTCCAAGATCCATCCCACGTTCCGAGAAAATCAACTTGAAGACCACGATGATGCTCGCCAAAATAGCAGACTCTGCTCTCCTCCTTTCCTTCCTCCCGGTAACCGCTCAACAAGGCTGTGGAATGTGTCAGGCTGATCACTGACTAATGAACTTATAGATGCTCATCAATCAGTCCACCGCAGCGCCTATCACTCTGCTCTGTCCAACCACGAGTACAATGTGGAACTTCTGAACGAGGATATTGCCCAAGCTGCCATGGATGTAGCCCAAGCTGGACAGGATATTGCCAACGTCCTGGATAAACTTGCCGAGCATCAAGAAGGTGCGTGGTAGTTACAGTTCGTAACCTTTTGGGGTCGACACCAACTGACTCTGCATGAACAGCGCCCAGCGAATGTTCTTTCACTCCGATTGATTTGCTGCTTACAGCAATTGGAGTGGGTGGGGCAATCGGCATTCTGCTTAGCTTGGGGGTGGTCTTCATTGGCATTATCTATAACTGATGGAATGAGGAGCAGGAAGGTCAAAGTCCTCATGAAGAGTAGGGAAGTGCTCCAGTTGTATATTCTTAGACCTTTGAACACAGTTCCTTGTCAAATAGAGAGTATGCATGTTAGCCGAATATCATAGCAAACAGATTCCACTATGCTTTGATATATGATAGCTGGACTTCAAACAGTAGCTATGTATTTTACTCCAGTGAGTCAGTCGCAAGTTGAAGGGTACCCTAGACTGAAAATTGTCTATATCCATGCCATCGAGAACGTCAATCCAGTGGAAGTACATTGAACATCTCAGCGTATATAGTCTGCGGTACTTTTCCCGGGTCGAAATCCTTGCCACTATATATCGGTATGACCGAGAGGGATGATACTAGTTAAAAGATAAGTGGAAAAATTGATGGAGTTGACAGTTTTCAATTCATAATGTCTCATTTCAATTCCAGATCCAATTATGACGTATTCCTTCTTCTTCTCTGTACTTGGTACTTAGCTATGTGGTTAGTTATTTGTTAAACTTCTTCTAACGGGTTCTCGAAATTCCCCCCACATGGGATTAGATCATTCTCCATTCTGGATTCTTCCCGTCTCCCCGAGGTGCCGAGAACCAACCCACTTCTCCCCCGCCTCGACCTCCATCATTTCTTCTGCAAGCCACACCTCACCTGCACAATGGCTCAGTTCACCGTACCTGGGCAGAGGCCGGTCGAGCCTCTAGTCTCTACATACTCCTCGACATGCGCACAGGACCATCTACGACCGTTCCGACCCGTCACCACGGCGGTCCTGCAGGAACCCCGCGGAGCCGACCAGGCTACCACCAGCACCGAGATAACATCCCAGAAACAGAACGGATCGGCGCACGCGCATAGCAATGGCAATGCATCGTCTATTCTTGCACAGTCTGGTGAAGAAGAAATCCCTCCATTGCCGACGGTGATTGCGCGCATTCATGCCCGCGTACAAGCCTTCCTGGAGGAGTCACACCCGCCAGACTCCCTCCTCGCCTCGGTCCAGCGACAAACCCGCATCTCGCTCGATGTCGTCGCTAAGTCCCTTACTCAATACAAGTTCTCTGAACTCTCGGTCTCTTACAATGGCGGCAAGGACTGTCTGGTCATGCTCATCCTCTTCCTGGCGGGGTTACACCCCCACCTGAGCGCGTCGCAATCTGGCAAACAATCCGACGATATTACCTCTACCACGACGACCACCACCGCGACAAATGAAGCCAACCCCTCCACAATCACCTCGATCCCCGCCATCTACGCCCTCCCCCCAGACCCCTTCCTCGCCGTCGAAGACTTCGTCATAACCTCCGCACAAGCCTACCACCTCCAAATCACAAAATACACCACCGCCCCACCCGCCACAACCCTCCGCTCCAGTTTCGAAGACTATCTATCCCGGCACCCTCGAATCCGCGCAATCTTCGTCGGTACACGACGCACCGATCCGCACGGCGCGAAACTGACACACTTCGACCGGACTGATCAAGGCTGGCCTGATTTCATGCGCGTCCACCCGGTTATTGACTGGCATTATGCGGAGATTTGGGCTTTTATTCGTCATTTGGATCTCGCTTATTGCTCGCTTTATGATATGGGGTATACCAGTTTGGGGGGTACCTCGGATACGCATCCGAATCCGCGGTTGCGGAGGGATAGTCAGAATGGGGATGGGAGTGCGGCTGGTGTGGAGGGAGATGGGTATTTACCGGCTTATGAGCTTACCCAAGATTTGGAGGAACGACTTGGACGCAATTGATTGTCTGGTCTGGGGTTTATTGGAATGGAGGCGAGCACAAACATCGCTCGGCGTCGTCAGATCATCATCATCATCATCATCATCATCATCATCATCATCATCATCATCATCATCATCATTCTCACTCTTTTGGAATTGCCATTGGCGTTGATGTCGGATTTTAATCATAGAATAGCCACCATTGTCCATCCGACAATTATGAATTGGTTGCCCATATGAAATTTCAGCATCTTGCTCATAAATCTCACCCTATAGCTTCCGGAAGATGTGAAGATTCTGTTTCGTAACATGAGAAATATAGGCATAACCTGTCTGGGCTCTTTTGATCACTCACTAAGAATCTGAAGCGGCTATATTGGGATTTACGGGCTATGGGTAGCTCCTTGGTTGCAGGGTTAAAAATGCATTTGTTATTCCTGCGAAAGTATCGTGGTAGTACTGATAATAACAACATGGGCCTGAACATAACCATATTGGCCTGGACATAACAATATTGGCCTGAACAATTCATGAGACAACAACACTTGGGGGCAAAGCTGCATAAACATAGAGTCGGAACAGATACTGCGAAAGACATGAGGCCCCACGAAGAAGAAAAAAAAGAAATAAAATACAGACGTTACCACCATTTCAGAGACTCGTGACAGATGTGGACCGAACACATGAAAAGAAAAGCTGCACCGTTGCCGATAAACACACAAAGTTCGAAAGGATAAAGAGAAAACTGGATCACAATCATACATTAAGGTACATTATGCGGACAATCAAACGCACGTCACGGGTCGAAGATGAAACAAGGAATCGAACAGGTTCCGCCCAGTCTCACTGGAGGCTTTGCACATCGGCTTTGAATCCGATGTTCTCAAGACTCAGGGGTCAGAACAGTGAGCTTCACTCGAGATGGAATGGGGGACATCGAGCCAGCTCTGGAGTTGCCCTTCTTGGGGTTTGAACTGCGAGAGTGAACCTCAAATGACATGCAAGATTGAGTCTCGAGGTTGTCAGAGTCGGGACGAGCCGTCTTGGACGAACTGGAGATTTCAGTCATCGAACGGCGATGGATGAACCCGCGTCGGTACATTGGGGTATTCTCCAACGCTTTCAGGCTTCGAGGTGGAGAAGTACGTGGCACTCCCTTTCCAGGCTTCTTCATCAAGGCGTAGCTAGAATACCTCTGTCAGTACACAAACCATCAATGCAACCATCGATCTCTCTCTCACACACAAGGGGACTTACGTAGGCGAGATTGAAGTTGCAGGTGTCCAGTCGGAATTGGTCGAGCCCAATTCGCCTGGCGAGATATTGACGCTCTGCTGAGAGTTGGGTGTGACGTGGACAGAAGTCAGTCGAAGGCGCCGCGGCATGGGGGGCGATGGGGTCGATCCCTGTACAACTTCGACCGAGTAATTGTACTCTCCGGCCCGATATGCGCGACGCTCGTTGCTCTGCTGCTTCAACAACTTCTGGGCCTTGGTGTCCGCAAAGCGCAACAGCAACTTCACATGGTCATGCTCCACGGTGATGTTGTGGAACTCGGCCAGCACTGTCTCAGCAATTTCACGGGTTTCGAAGCTATATATCCCGATGTTTAGTTCAAGGACGATGATCAGAACTGGGTAGATGTTCATCCTCTTACCGAGCGAAGCCTACTTCCTTGCTCACGCCAGTTTCCTCGTCTCGGCTGATCTTCTCCGACACAACCTGATAGGGCTCAAAGTGACGTCGAAGATCCTTTAATTGCAAGAATCAATCAGTCTTGGTGATCACAGCAAGATGTCTCCTCGACTTACCGCTTCTGTCCAGTCGATTGGAATGTTGGTGCAATAGATATTGGTTGACGACTTATCCTCCAAATCCTTGAGACGAGAGTTGCGAGATTTCTGGGCAAAACTGGCTTGATAGCCAAGATAGAAGAACCCACGAATGCAGTTCTCACAGGACTCGAATAATTCGAACTGGACGAATCCAAATCTGTTTAAATCACGATCAGCATCAACAATGAAGGAGTGGATTGAAGTACTCATACCCCTTGCAAAGACCCGTCTCAAGGTCAACGATGGCCTTGCACCGTTCAATTTTGCCAAATCGAGCGGCATATGCATAAAGCATCTCATCATTCGTCTCAGGAAGGAAGCCTCGGATGTAGACGTTGGTGATGCCCTCACGGTTCTCAAGGCATTTGGCGAGAGTGAGCTCGGATGGGTTGGTCCACATGGCGGGCACTGCACGGGGAATTGCAGGCTCCTGCTGCGTGAGAGCCTCCATATCCTGGGGAACATATCCAGTTGCAGATCTCATCATTTGCAGTGAGTAGGGTCCGACCTGTGGGTACATGTTCACACCAGGGAAAGTAGGACTGTCCATGTTTGGAGTGACTGGACCCTGGAACTGCATGGGCGTATTGTTCTCGCCCCGGGCTCTGGTGGCCTTCTGCCAAGCGGGTACGATCCACGGAGGTTGCTGGAAATTTCTGTTCGCAAATGCACCGCTCATCATGTAGGTCCACGGGTTTGCCGGCATCATGGTGTTCATATGTTCGAAGACACTCCGTGGGCCATTGGTATTTTGGTGTGTCGGGGTTGAAACAGAACCGGGGGGAAAGATGGAACCTGGGCCAGGCCATTGTTGAAGGCGGGATTTGGCACGACAATGAATGGGTTATTGTTGCTGTAGGGAGTGCCATTGGCAACCGACCAGTCCATATTGGCGTTCATGTTCACCGGGGCGGATGTTCGACCTCTACCGGCATAGTTTGAATGGTGATTCTGGAAGTTGACGCCGGGGACTTGACTCATTGTCGCAGTGTTCTCATGAACTGGCGAATAGCCGGATGCGTAAGGAGTACGAGGCTCATGGTGGAACGAATTGGTCATGCCATTGTTCCCCTGGCCCGCACCAGAGGCAGCGGTTGCTTGGTTGGTTTGAGCCCGCATTATCCCAATTGGTCCCGAAGTTGGGTTAGAACTGAGGTTTGCGAATTGAGTTAGCATGGCTGCAGAAAAACTCGCAAGCAAGCGGAGTTGCCCGTCTGAGCCGTGAGGACAAAGTTCAGATGGGAGTTGACACATTTCAAATGACTCAAAGATCAGAGAACGCTTGTCGGTTTGAATGCAATTGCTTCAATTGAACAGATGGACAATTGAACAGTGCAATTGCTCACCTCTCAGTGCTTCAAGCGAAAGATACACTGAAAATTGAGGAAGTCGTGGACTCAATGACTAGCTCTATGTCAGTCAAGCTCACCAAGCAGGGATAATGTTGTAGAGTGCAATTGCAGGGTGCAATTGCAGAGTATAGAGACAGAAGTACTTACATGAGCTGAAAGAGCAAGATGATGAGTCTCTCTGACAGCAATTGAGTCGAGGGAGAAGAGTCTGATGGAGCGAGAGGAGATGGAATGTGAGGCGATGGAAGTAATTGAGAGAGGATAGAGGAAACTCTGTCTAGACAGAGTTAGGGCAAGGTGTGATGGGACGAAGATGTAGATGATGAGTATGGGGAACGAGAGTAAGAATGGACGGGAGTAAGTCCAATGTGGGAGAACGACAAATGAGGAAGGTACGGACAGGAAGGAGGGAAGAGAGCGGGGTAGAGGGAGACAAGACGGGAAGGAGCACACGGAGATAAGAGTGAGATGGGATGAGGAAAGAGATGGGAGGTAAGATGAGTATGGGAGGAAAGAGCTGAGACGAACGAGGAAAGTGCACACCTGCACAATCCACTCACCACGGACACTTGATAGGCCGGGCTCGTGAAAATGCAGATTCGAAGAGCGAGCGAGTGAAGAGGAGAGTTGCGAAGAGGAAAATTGCAAAGAGAAGAAGAGGGATGAAGAAGGAAGAAAGAGGAAGAGGAGAAGGGAAAGAAGAAGAAAAGGAAAAGGCCATTGAGGGACCCAATGGCCTCGTGACAGAACTTTAGGCGGAGAGATTGGATACATAGGGCTTCATGAGGCGGACAGTGATATTGCCTGATCAAATTGGATGAATCGGCAAGATCAGATCAAAAGAGAATCCGAAGACGTGGAATTGAGGATAAAGAAGTTTGGTTGATACGTATGATATCGAATGTCATATAGAACGTTCAATCGAGAATGCTAAACTCGTCGGTCTATGGCACAGCACAATAAGCAAGACACTTTGGGGAATTCAGTAAAGTACCACACAGTTTTAAAAAGGACAGGCTGATGAGCAGTTAAGCAGTCAAGATAGACAGGATACAGGATCTATTGAGGCTCAGACTTGCCCTTGAGCCACTGGTAGACAATCGAGAAATCCTTGCCCCGATGGGCTTCCTCCACAGCATTATACACTTCCCGAGCTTGGCTACCCAGAGCCAGAGGAGTACCAGACTTCTCGGCAGCGGCCAGGGCTAGACGTAGATCCTTGTTCATTAGACTGACCCCGAATCCTCCTTCGTATCCACGAGAGGCCGGCGCTGTCTCAATGACTCCGGGTACAGGGTTGTTGACCTCGGAGGGCCAGCAGCGGCCGGTGGAGGAATTGATCATATCAGCCAGGTTCTTGGGATCAAGTCCCCAGCGGATACCCAAGTTCATTGCCTCCGCGGTAGCAATGTTGTTGATGGCCAGCATGTAGTTGTTGGCCAGTTTGCCGGAGACACCAGCTCCAGGTTCACCGAGGTGCCAGGCCTTCTTACCCATCAAGGCGAGGACTCCGCGAACACGTTCCAGCAATTGACCGGTTTGCGAGGAAGCACCGAACATGAACGACAGTGTGCCTGCGCGGGCACCAACTACACCACCGGAGACAGGGGCATCCACGAATCGACCAGTTTGAGTAGTGTGAATGGCATTGGCAATGTCCTTTGATGTCACAGGGTCAATAGTAGATGTGTCAATGAAGAGACGCTCCTGTTCGAGCGGAGGAAGCTCCCCTTGCTTGAGTATTGAGTGATACACCTCAATGACATGCTGCGACTCCGGCAGGCTAGTAATCATGACGGTCTAAAAATCGCGGTCAGTGATTGGGGTTTGGATTTCATACTCAAGAACATTCCCCTTGGCAAAGCCATTGAAGACCGCGGCGCAGCCATTGAATCTATTAGGAAAAGTGAAGTACTCACAGACTTCTCTGCAACTTCGCGCGCATTCTCAGCGATCTCAACCCGGCCCTCGTCGGCGCCAGCACCGTTGTTCCGAGCGGCCTCCTGAGCCTCCGCGACAAAGCGCTTTGCAGCCTCCTCGTTCACGTCGCGGACGATCAATGTATCAGAAGCGGGGATCTTAGCGCGGAGGTTTTTGGCCATATTGTAACCTATCGGTGTGACGTCAGTGAATGATCAGGCCATTTCGCTCAAAAAGCTGATATAATGCATGTCGGTCTATAGCTTCACATATACATACCCATCTGGCCCAATCCCACGAACCCCCATGTCGCGTCGCGGTGCAATGTCGTTGAGAATGCTCGGGCCGAGCCCGCCGAGCTCAAACTGGGCGGCCAGCGTCGGGGACAAGCCGCGGTGCGGAGGCGGGCCACTCTGGGGAGAGTAGAAGCAGCGCGGACACTCATAGCGTTATTCTGCAGGGACAACAGGTGGAAAGGGGACAAAGAATAGCTTGATACGGTCGGATTGTTTAGGGAATGAGGAATAGCAACCTACAATATGCAGACGCGGGGGCCTAAGGTATTTAAACGTTAAACGGGGCCTCGGACCGGATGTCTATCCCCTCAGACCCCATCGCCGTGGCTTTCCGAGGTGCCAAGTCTGGGAGTCCGGGGTTCTTGTCTTGCGGGGAGCTGCAGTTAGGGCCAAGAGAGTCACGTGAGGTCATGTGGTGATAAGGAGTTACAACATGGACGTTCTAGAATACAACAAAAGTTATGACTTTTTGGGCATTGTCTAGTAGTAATGCGTGGCAACAGATCATCTTAAGTTCCTGAGTATTATCACAATCTGTATTGCTTCTAAGCATGCCCAGGATCGGAGTACCTCTAAGATTGGGGGCTCAGGAAGACTGCTTCCAGGCGCCGCGGCTGAGCGTTGGACAAGCCCGCGGCCCGCCTTTCCATTCATAACTACGTAACATGACTGGAAGATACCTAGCTCTCCTCAACACCGAAATGGTGTAGCTTTCTGTCTAAGTATTCCTCAAAAAGCAGAGTGAACACCAAAGCCAACTGATCACTCATTGGCGTACCGTCCCTCCATGTTGCCTGCAAGACAAGGCAGAAACGAGCATTATAATCAATGCGGCCGCGGCCGCGGCACTTGCATCCCTATGCCCTCCCTGTGATTTTGCTACAAAAACTTTTGGTCACAAAGACCGCTGTGAGCAGCGCATCTTAACTAATCTCCTTCCAGATAAATCACTTTCTTCCAGAATACAAAACAACCATATTCGGAACCAGAAAAACAATGGTCGTCACAAAGGTGGAAAAGTTGGAATCGTTGTCCCTACGACTGGAATGGATGAATGATCTCGCCCAAGCGGTCACTTTCTGGGAATCTCTCAGCCTCGCACATGGCGACCTACGTCCTGAAAACATTCTACTGGATCGAAATCGACTGAAGCTCTCCGAATTTGTTTGCACGGCAAAAATTAGAAGAACTTTTGAAGCGTGCAAGGCTCCATATGGGAGGATACTCAACAGCAACGAGGCAGATCAAGACGAAGATGGAACCTTTGGCTTCCTTGGTCCGCGGACATAGCAATTCGCTATCAGCTCAATATACTATCTCATCAACTACGGCTTTGAGGTTGATGGGGATCGCTGCCTGGCCGAGGATCCGTACGACCATGGTCATAAGGTTGTGGATCTACTATGGGATAAGGAGTTCCCGAAATTGGATGGCAATCCATTGATCAATGATATTATCGACAAGTACTGGCATAACCAATGCGTCAAAGTTGCAGATTTGGCCGCGCATACAAAGAAGCTTTTGCATGAAGGCCCAGACAAATCAGGAGAAAGCAGATCAGACGAAAATGAGCTACAAGCAAGCAACAGCGTGAGAATTCCCATGGAAATGACCACCATTTCTTCGTGGCGCATGATTATGGGCTACTTCATCCGTGGACTATGGTACGCTATCAGAAACTGGTGGACATTTGCATTACAAAATACCCACCGAGATGTTGCAACCGCTGAACGAGCTGATGGCGAGAGTTCCAATCCGGTGGATGAAAAAAACCCCCCATTAGAAGAAGTTCTGCCAGGACCTAGAGCAACGTGGTCTTCTACAGCTTCTTTCCTCCGGTGAACCTGAACAAAGTGTGTTCAAATTAGCTTGGTATAGACACAGTCTCTAAAAGTGAAGATAGAAAATCTCTTGAACAGGCAATCCATAGCTACACAGTTTATAAGGCTACCTTTCTAATGGGCGTACACTCAGAAATTGACGTGGACATGACTTCGATTGCTCCCAACCGGTGAATCCTTCCTTGATTCGAACTGAATCGTTTGTCAATCTACTCTGTAATGATCTCTTCCCACGACGACGAGTCTTGCCCCTTACCTTCTTCCCTCGTCAACTTCCTCCACACTATCATCTCTCCCTCTACACCATCATCTCTCCACATACGCCACACCAATCGCAGAAACACCCTCATACTCATCCTCATCCTCATCCTCATCATCATCATCCTCTCTATTTATCAAAACCTACCACGATAATCACCATGGCCGGCCAACGTGTCCAGCAGGTCATTATCCGTGAAGATGTGAGAAGAGCAGCCGTCATTTCTCTCTCCAACAACGACACGAACCGGGTGCTCTGGGAGACCTGCGAGCCCGTCTGGGACTCGGCCGATCTCTTGACAAGCCCATCTGGCAGCACGGACCAGGTACGTAACGCACGGACCATCTGTTCACTGTTGACACCCTTTATCTGATCCGCTGATCCGCTGATAACCCTCACTAATTATCTAATCTAGATGGCTGTTTTCGGAGTAAAGGGTGTCCTCGTGACTGAGTTTGTCGGCCCGTTCTCCCCCCAGCATCACGGCTACTACCGCTTCATCATGCGGTACATTATCGATTTTTCTGCGCAGCCGCGCTACCGGTACCGGATGTACGTGTCCGTTGCTGGTCCCATCGGCATGCCGAATGAAAATGTTGGCGAGCTTCATGTTTTCCAGGAGTCTTGGCCCAGTGCAAACGCTCAACGAGAGTACATTGAAGGGGACATTCGTACTCTCACCAACTCTGTCAGTCTGTTTGGTTTCCCTGCTGCCGCGCGTCTGTTCCTGTCCTAGATACATGTCAATGTACGTGAGAAGTGAGATCGTCCTGTACACATGGGACTTGTGATTACGAAATGCATAGCAAAGGGAAAGAGTGGGCGTTAGATATCTTCCATCTGATGTCTTGATTCTAATATCATTTTTCCTTTGAAACTGATCATCTAACAAACGACCATGTACGACAAGTAGTATACAAAACATCGACATGACAACAGTAGTATTTCCTGGTGGACCCTTCGCAGATTGAAACAAGAAGGTAGAGAAAAAAAGGTTACAAAAAAGGGTATGTATGTTACGAATGAGGTCTCGATCCAAACGCCCCAGAAATGCCCCAGGCTGAATACAGCAAAGACAGAATCAAAACTAGAATCGGAAGTTGCACGTCGGAGGATTGGTGAAGGTGAATCACGACCTCGGCGACGTAGGATGGCTGGTTGGGCCTGCGAGATACTCCTCAGGTACTTTAGGCACTCGAGGTGAATTTGCGGTCTGAACCATAGCGCGGTGCTGAGCTCGGAGATGATCACGTGAGCGCTCTTTCTCACGATTGTTCGCTGCACCGCCAGTGAGCCGGCGCATACCGCTTCGGATCATAGACTCAAGAGAGTGGGAGCCATCTGTAGCGCTGCGCACCATGGGTGGCATTGGGGGATGAAGTCCTCTTTTACCATGGGAGCGGTCATCGAGGTCTGAATATGCGTCTTCGATCTCATCATCCGAAAGGAATGCTGACTCGTGCAAGGTCACTGGCGGTGTGCTATGCGGGATTGGATGTTGGGTGTGGACGTAGAGGTTGTTTGCGGGTGACGTCACCGAGCGAGTGTGGGAGGCAGGACGGATGGTTTGCGAGCTGTGCGGTGGTGGATTCACGGGAGAGTGCATGCCAGGGCCATCAAAGCGGAAATTGGCAGGGCGAGATTCGGCCAGGCCGTTATGGAAGGATGAGGTGGAGCCCGTTCTTGCAAGGGACTTTCGCAAGATTGGCGCGGTTTGCTGATCATACAGATGGGCGTTGGTATCGATATAGCTTCCCGTAAACCCACGCAGCATTGGCGGGGCCACTGGATTGAAAGACTGTACGCTTGACTCTGTCTCTTCAAAGAAATCATCCAAGCTATCCAACTTCTGAACAATATCGCCCATATTCCCATCGGTCTGTGTGTCGATGGACTTCATGGTATCCGCTCTCATCGGGAAGAATGTGTCCTTGAACTCGTCCGCACGGAACTCAACATCAGGCGTCATAGTATCCTCCACGTTCATGTTATCCGCATCGGCGCACGTGTAGAAGACGGCGTGGACGTTGTTGCGGGTCATGCTTGACTGCGTCGCAGGCATAGGCACAGACCATCCCGTCTCCTCTGGAATACCGTAGAGACTCTGGATACGCTCGTACTCCTTGCGAATGGCACGGGATGAAACAGCCGATGCCATGCTCATGCGAAGATGGTGCCGCTCCATTGGATTCCCGGAGACGGTTATGATATTGTCCAGAACTCCGAGGGCCTGGGGGCAGAGGTTGGTCTGGAGGAGGCGCAGCAACGGGGATATGAGGTCGGGACCATGGCATGTCACCTCGTTGCGGCGCATGTCCACCTCGGGAATCAAGACACAGAGAATCTTCATTGTCTTAATCCGGAACCAATCAGTCGTATTGGTGAGAAGACCCATGAGGAAAATCAAGCACTGGAAGTCAAGCTGCGGGAAGTAGTACGACTTGATCTCCGTGATGATGTGATCCAGGAAAACACCCTCAGTCTTGTACTGTTGGTTGGCGAATCCAAATAACGACGCGGCAAGTCGGGGACAGCGCTCATTCTCAGCGACTCGAGCAAGCAGGCTAGCATGCATGATGGGCTTTTGATCCGTGAACCCTTGATCGAAACTTTGAAGGAAGAAGGGAAGGTTCGCAAGAATGGTGAACAGCTGTCTAGTGCCATCTCCAATAAGCTCGTTGTTGGGAAGTCCACTCAGGCAATGCAGAACGTCCAATGTTCGATTGAAGGACTCGGATGACTTGAGTCCCTTGAAGACCAGGTCCTGAAGACCATCAAATCCACCCTCCCACTTCGGTGGCTGGCCTTCCAAGAGCTGTGTCACCGCAAGGGGATCGCTAAGATCAATCCGATCAAGGATTTTCTCCAGCATGCCGAGACTCTCGATAAACTCGCTCTCGTGGATTGTATTAAGACAGGCGCAGGTCGTCCAGAACAACTGTGGATAATGCAGGAGATCTGACGGGGCCAAAGAGCCGATGATAATCTTCAAGGTAGTGAGGATCTCCATTGAGAAGGTTTGGTAGTCTTCTTCCTCGTCAGCGATTGTATTCGATAGTCGAGCCAACATATCCGCCAGCATTCTCGAATCCAACGATGTTGAGATGCACCGGAAGACCTGGAACGAGCGGCATGCCAAATGCCGCACGGGGCAAGACGTCGCCCAGTACAGCGCCTCCTTGGCCCACAGATCACCAACACCCTCGTACTCGAAACTGAAAAACTTGACCACCTCGCGCGTCACGGTCGCCATGGCCGTAGGCACACGGCGATCATCCGCCTCCTCATCCTTACCCTGGTTCTCCTCATATTCCCAGACTACAGCGCTGTCACTTTGACGGATTGACTCGACGAAATCCTCAACAGCTTGACGATGTTCAGCAGGGGCATCATCTGCCAACTTGGCTGCAACAAGCTCGTGGATGAGATGAACCAGCATCTCTCGAGCCTGTTCCTGCACAGTGACGGTGTAATGGTCCCAGAGAATGAGCACAACGTGGAGAAGCTTGACCACATCTTCTAAGGCAAGGGTAACGGGAGCAACCATGAGGTCAACAAGGAAGATAAGAGCAACTTGTCCGAGCGAAAGACCGGCCTGCTTGTTGCCCACAGGCAGCACTGTAGCCAGATCCGCGACATACGGCAAACTTTTGAGATCTGGAGGCTGTGGGGTGAGGTCTTTGCGCTCCTGTACCATGTTCTTAGGAATGACCAGCAGAAGGAAGAACTCAATGACCTTGGATCCTGCTGGAGTCGCGGCGAGGAAGACGACAACCTGCTTGGCATATTCTACAAAATTCTGCTCCTTGCGTTCCAAGCAAAGGCTGATGATGAAATCCAGGACGAGTTGGACATTGCCGCCGTGAGGGCCCGTGGCCAAAGCTTGCCACATGGCTTGGACCTGGTTTGGCAGTGTAGTACTACAGCGGATGGTTATCTCAAAGAGATTGGCAAGCAGCATATACGACGACGCTGTCGGGCCACCATTCGGATCAACCTGTAACTCCATAGCCTGCACCCAAGGCAAAATAGCGGCAACCATGTTTCGCTGACTATCGGAGCGCAGATTCCTGAAATGCAGCGAGAACTCGGAGAACAGAGTAAACGCCAGATCAGAATGCAGGATGGCAAGACGTTTCGAAGTCTCGAACTGTGCCAACTTGTACACGGCCGTGGTCTTGTCCGAAATGCTAATGTCAAAGTCCTGAAGACGAGAGCTCTTCTGCTGCCGCTCCTCAAGGCGCCGGAGGAGCTTGGCAGACTTCATCCGAATCTCGCGCTTCTGACTGCCAAGGGTAACCAGCACGGCACCCAGGATCCTCCAGAACTGCATTGGGTAGTCTGGATGCTCGATGAGTACCTCGGTCGATACTTCGAAATAACTCTCAAGAGCCTTGGGGCGCTCGGCCACATAACACATCTCAATGGACCGCTCCATCAGGTATGAGTGCTCCTTGTTGTGAATGATCAGGTTCTTCAGCGCACGGCGTCCAATCGAGTGCCACTTGTCGCTGACGGTATTGAAAATGATATCAATCCACGACAGCATGCGACCCACATCGAACTGGAGAACAGATCCACTCTCCGTCGTAATACTGATTGGTCCAGCCTATAGAGTCAAGTTAGTAGAAGCAAACGTAATAGCAATACGGTATCAAGCACATACACATAGAGAGGCCATGGCACTCAACGCCGCAGCACGAAGATTCTTCTTCTCGATTTCCATCGCGGCAGCAGCATTTCTCATCTCGCCGCCTTCATGCGGCTGGGCCGCCGCAAACTTGCGCATATGCTCTTCCCTTTCAGTGATTTGAGCTTGATTGGGCGAGTATCCACACCAATCCTCCATCAAGGAGAACGCGGATTTTCTGGACTCAAAGGGCATCCATCGAGACGGGTCTTTCGTACGATTGACCCCTTCAAAGAGCTCCTCCATCAAGCCGCAATAGTGGAAACGCAGACGCTGGAATTCCCAGTCGTTTTGAACCTCGGCATCGCTCAGGAAAATACGGAGGTCCTTGGCGTAGGTAATGATGTTGTTGACGATCCAGTCGTCGTTGTAGACTTCTGGCTCACGCAAGAAGTGTGATGTTAGTTTGTAGACGTGGGTGACTTCGGTACGCAATCGGTCCGTGTTGCGATTCCGTTGAGGACTACTAGGCGTGCGATGATGCGCGCCGATACGGATCTTCGCCTCTTCGTTGCAGGTAGTGACTGCGTACTGCAGGGACTCCAGGAGAGTGCGGTACAGGTTCTTATGAATAGCACCCAGGGCGACGACGATGGCATTGCGAATGGAGTCCCGCTCGGCAGATAGAAGAGGAATGACAAATGCAAACAAACTTCTAGCAGAGCTAATCTTATCAGAAGATTGTGCTCCTTTAGAGGCTTTCCGCGCATGCTGAGCATTTGCCAGCTGGCTCTGGGACTGGGCACCGACGCTAGTAACAGTTGTACAGGCCATGACGAGGTACAACTTCCACTGCTCGACCAGAATCTCCGCAGTCATGTTGCTCCGCCCCAGAGGACGGTTCTGGTAAACATCTACGGGAGAGTACTGCGGATGCCTCGTTCGTTCCGCAAGTGAAGTGATCATCTTGTGCATCCGAACAAGGCGCGCGCAGACAATCTCTCGTCCCAAAGTCACGGCAAAGGGACAAGTCTCGAAGCTAACCCGAATGATGTTTGGGAAAACCTTGGCCCACAGAGTGGAATCGTAAGAGACCTCACTGCTGCAGAGCTCGATGAGGGTGTTCTGGGAGGCACTCCGCCTTTTGCCCTTTTGAATCCGACTTCGCTCGGCAACGGTGAGCTGCTCATCATTCAAATCAAGAATCTGCTGGGAATCAGCCTCGAGAATTCTGATAATTCGTGTGTTCTCCTTGCCCAAAGCGCTGTCAAATTCAGTGATCAATCGTAGGACATTGATAGCAAAGGCGCGAACTCGTCGAGACTGCGAGCATAGGAAGAACAGCCCATGGGACTCAATTTCCTCAACATGTGCGAGAACACTCGAAAGATCAAGGTGCAGAGCCCGACTACCAGAGACAGACTTCTCCAGCTGATCCGAGGCAGCTTCCTTGGTCTTCTGCTTGATCTCGCCGATCCAAATGCGAAGCAACTCCACATACAGTCTCAGTGTAGACTCGATATGACCAGGTCCGAGCATGCCCTCATCAGACATGGTCGAGTACCGCGCATCGAAGTTGAAAATAAATCGAGCGAAGCCAATAGTCACATGCTGAGCATGTGACTGTCTGGCGATCGCCTTCAGCGAATCAGCGGAAGAGGTGGCAATGTTGGACTGAACATGAGCAGTTCCAGTGCAGAGGAGGTTGATGAGAGAATTAAAGGGGATATGATCGGAGAGGCAGCGAGGCAGGGCTTGCACTGCTACGTGAAGCAGATCGTAGAACCCTTGCTTTTGATCCAATGTGCTCAAGTGGTCATCACGTCGGCCAAAGCCGAATGCTTCGGTGATGGGAGTTTTAGGGGTGGTGCCGCCAAACTTTTCATCCAAAACTGCTTGTCCGCCAAAGGTATTATCGCAAAGGATTGTGATCTTGCCAAGAACCTCGCAGAAGCGAAGGTAGTACTCTCTGACGTTATCGCTCAGTCTCGAAATATTGACTGGGCATGGGGAGGAAGGTTCGGGCTTTTGAGCAGCTGCTCCAAACTTAGGCTCGGTGAGCAGCTGGGAGCGATGGAAGTAGGCAGGTGTGGAACTATCCATGAAAGGGTTCGGAAGTGAGCCCGTGGGGAAGGGAGGGCACAGCTGATCACTCGTCTCAAGATCAGACATGGTAGCCAGGAATGAACGAATACCAATAACCATCTTCTCCGGCTCCATCTGTTCAATCTTCAGTTCCCGGCCAGAGAGAAACAGGTCCGAGTTGATCAGGGGGAAGATGATGCTCCGGAAACAAACGTCGGGGTGCTTGAATCCAATCATTCGGATCAATTGAATGAGGGGGTCTACAAAGGCCGGCTCTGCGCTAAGATATGTCCTTTTGCCGGTAGGCAAGGCAATCTTGGCCACCTCCTCCACCTTACGAAGAGTCGTCGTAGGGGAGTCTGAATAACGGAAGAAGTAGGTCCATACAAGACGGCAGATGGCGTGCAACGCTGGGGCGCGCGTGGGACGATCCTTAAGACGTGCGGGCAAACTCGAGATCATCGACAGCCATTGGGAAGCGAATGTCTCTTTATTGGAGATACACAGCAGCAACACATTCAAGGAGAAGGCGGCAGCCCAATGCCGAGGTTTAGTGAGCAATTGTGCCAGACGCGGTTGAACAAGGTCCAAGAACTCCTTCCACCGGGGCAACGATAGATCAGCAATCGGGTTGGCTGCCACTGGAAGCAGAAGCTTCTCAATTACGTAGCAGTATGCTTGCTTGATTTTCTGCCCGTGTGCATTGACAAACAAGCGTGCCACAGATCGCATGAAATCGCAAGACTTGGACCAGCCTTCAGCAGACGTTGGTAGACGCAAGTTCCTCATTCCTAGGACCAGCAGCTCGGCTCTCGCATCACCATCGCGTGAAGGACCGCGGGCCACTTCATCCTTCTGATACTTGTCAAGCTCCGTTAGGAAACGGTTGGCGACACTCGTGAAATTCAATTCGCTCATAATTCCAAGCAGCTGGCCATAGATCCTCCAGTTAGCCATACGAAGTGGGGATGCAGAAATTTGGTCGGGATCGACGGTCTTGATCTGGCCGAATACGATGTCTTCTAGGCGATCTGCCATATCCAGGGTGATTGAGGCGAGACTGCTCTGGTTGAAGATTTCGATCAAAACTCTGCAGACCAGATAAACAGAGACCGTTGCACGGCGCTCAACCAGCGCGACGTCGTCATGCCGGCTAAGGAAAGGTGTTGGCGGTTGAGGACGATCTGCTGAGGCAGGGTCGCCAGGCACTTGTGTAGGTTCGGTGTTTCGACGCATGAGCACTCCATTTTCCGTCACCATTGGTTTGGGCTAAATTGACCGCATCGTCCCAGGTTAGCCACCTCATTCTGTTCTTTCAACGGAGAGTTGAGCTCGAAACATACCAGCTCATTCGTCATTTGTCTCGCGGTGATAGCTGCATCGCCTTTACTCTTCCGCCACAGCATAATGGTATCGATCAATGGCTTTGGCTTCTGTCTTGCGATATGTCCCAAAGCTGAGATCAACTGATCGAAGTTGGGATCCGCGCCTGGTCCGCATACTTCCTCTACGGGGGCATCTGATTCCCCCAACTTTAAGATAGCCTGATTGATCTTACTCTCTGCCTTGCCAACGAACTATTAAGGAGACATGATGTCAGTTATTTCCCGTGCTTCTTGATCTTCCATCCATCCCCGCGGTGTGTTGGTGCCTACCGAGTTGAATAGATGATGCAGCGCATACTCCCCCACTGTTTTCGATTCCGAATGATGTTTCGAGTGTGAGCGACTATGAGAACGATTCCGTCCCCCTATCGTTCCCCCCGAGCCCATCCGTTTGTGGACCACGCTTGCCGAACTCCCATTTATCGTGTCGTCAGCATCATGGTCCTGGATGGTGCTCAGTGTTCCCGGCACGCCATGGCCAGCCGCCATCCCGGGACTCTGATGATGAGAATCCAACTGATCAAGCTTATTAGGTAGACCGGGCTCATCAAAACCCCCGCGACCGAGAGACGCAATCAACTCCGGGCTTAGCGGGCTAGCAGAAGCAGTCGAACCGGCCATGCTCGGATTGCGCGAATGTTGCATGCCATGGACGATGGAGGTCTGGCGGTGGTGGCCGTACGAGTTTGACGGTCGTCTTTCCAATCCCACGTCGTATCCTGCAGGGTGACCAGCTGAAACGTCGGGGCTTTTGGAACCGGAGTGGCCGCGGCGGGCTTGGAGGGTTGGGGCTAGGGTGGAAGGGTCGGCGGGTCGTCCACGAACCGCGGAGGGCTCACGACTGTGCATTGGAGTTGACTGGGTGGTTCGTGTGCCTCGCCACTCCGAGGGGGATGTGAGATTATGATGCGACGCTGATTTAAGGTCGTCAGGGATGAGGGGCAGCGGTGTTTGCTGGCCGGGGCCAGCAGCTTTGGCCGGATGAGATGCCACTAGGTCGGAAGGCGCGGTTAGCAAGGTCTTCTGGTCTGGAAGTAGAGCACTGTGCAATATGGTCGAGGACGTGGTGGGTAATGGACACAAAGAAGAAGAAAATAAGATCGGGCGGCCTTGGTGCTTTGGGGGTTCCTTTGGGGAGAGGAAAGCGACCTACTGGCGTATCGACGAGTCAAGGACTCATTGCCGGGTAAATCTCATGCAGGCTGCCGTGTGGAGAAGAGAGTGAGCAGGAGGCAATAAGCAGGACATAGCGAATCAATCCATGCTCTCTAGCTGCCCAAGGGGGGTGATGTGGTTGGGGGTGGACAGAGAGGAGGTGAGGCGTTCTAATGCTCCGCGGATGACGAGCTTTCTTTGGATAAACATTTGGGTGTGCACGGGTACCCGTCCAACTTTTTTCTTCTGGCACGGGCGCAAGTGGTTGTTATCTATGGTGGTTTATTGGTTGCTAAATGTACGAACTGACTATATACAAGGTCCAATATAATCTATAAACGAGGGTATGTCGCAAAGTATATTATTTTTTTTTTTCAGGTCGGCTCCGGAGTCGTACTTCCGTTGTTTTCAATGGTGGGCCGCTCAAAGCATCTCGGGTTGGGCGTTTGGTGTTCCCTCCATACGATGGACATACATTCATGATGGAATCCGACAGGTTAGTATACCCTCCGAGATCAGCTTGACATTTATCTGTACGATAGACTGATATATAGGTATAGGTCAGCATACCTATACTTAGAACATGCAAGGTACGCTTATGATCAGCTCACTATACAGGCTAGCTACCTATCCAGTTACCTCGGAGCATCATGGTGGCAAATGCCGATGCGGCTCGCAGGTGCGAGCTAAGAGAAGAACGGAGCTTCGCTTTGCATGGCGGGGTTAAATGAGAAGTGGCTGAAACATTCAATTCAAGGAGAACCCGTGGAGTCATTTATCTGAAGATCTGTCTCAGACAAGAGGGTCTTCTGCCTGGGGCTGTTACATACTACTCCATCGTGATTGATTACCCCAGAAGAGACTAGTAGAGATTGGTCGCTTCATATAGATGGAAAGCGGAATGGCCGATACTAAGATTGTGGATGGTACGATTTTACAAGTCTACCTAGTCATATAAAATACATTGGTCGTTTACTTGCTGGTTCAATGATTCCTTAGGAATAGATAAAGTGCGGCTAGGCTGTCGCGATATATTGTTGAAGCGGATGTACAGTGGGGTTAAGTTTGAAACTCCGACAAGTTTTCGAAACCATCTTACTAGCGGTCACGAGTTGAGCGATAGACTACAGATATGGTATCTGTGCCATTAAGAAATCTAATCCGAAAGCATTTTTTTTAAGAAAGATACTTCAAATGAGAGAGATTGAAGCATGTCTGTTTCTCTGGGTTCTAGACTCGGACTTTTGAACTTCCACTGTACAATCGGAGCACGTGCTCTTACGCTCGGTAGGCGAATGGTGGAGGGCCTCTAGAAGCTACATAATGGAATGGAAAAATGGAAGAACAGTATCTTAGAGTTCTTCAGAGATATCATAGCGCTGCAACGAGAATATTTCTTTCCAGATAATCGAAAACACCCCTCTCGCGGTGTCAAAACCATCATCAGCGGGGCTAGGTTGTCCCCACACCAACAGTGCAGCGATACCACGTTAAAGATCATCTTCAAGTTGTGACTCGATCCAGCCAATAGCCCCAGGCGTCTCCTCCCAGGCCTCGTAGTTCCAACGCAAGACCAATTTCACTTCCTCCACGCTACCCCTCGAGTACGCGGCAGGCATCCCTTTCAAATAATCATCAGGATCGATAAGACCGGGCCAGAAATGCTTATTAGCCTTCTGGACTGCGTCGAATACAACATCAATCTGCTTCTTCAACTTTTCAATCAGGGCTCGGCGGGTATCGCTATCACCGGTAATGATCTCGTGAGATGCACGAATGACGGTGCTCTGAGGGATCGATGACTGGATGAGATCGAGGAGTTCGCGAGGCACAGTTGGTCCCAGACTCGAAGTCGACTCCTGCAATCTCAGGAGTTCAAAAAGGAGCTTGATTTTCAAGAGGGCCAGGCAGACCAAGTGGCTGAGATCAGGGAAATCACTACTACAGATCTGCTCCACAGGCTCAAAAACATCGGCGTTTTTGATGTCTAGGTATGGCAAATCGGTGTCTCCCCAGTCGTACTGCGAATTTTTATTGACGACGGCCCACCATTTGATAAAGTCGTAGCATTCCTGATCCTTGTGCAGACGGAGCATGAGTCCAGGCACGAGATGTCGCACACCCATATTGTCACCACGGCACAGGCGCAACATATCCATAAAATGGTCCAGCTGTGCCTGAACAGATTGGACATTCTGGATCTCGCCCATGTGATCGACTAGTGCAAATCGCGAACGCATATAGTCGCGAGTGTCGTAAATGCTCCAGAAGTGCCCGACGCTGTTGGTAAAGGGATCTGCCTCCATCGTGAAGTCTCCCGGGTGAGTCCGCAAGATTTGCTCCTCGTGCTCCATCTTGACGCGCGCTTTTCTGATGGCGCTGCATGCAGATTTGTGCAATGGGCGATCTGCGACTTGGTGATCACGGCCACAGTATGACACCACCTTACAGCCAGAGCATTGAAGAAGACCCTCCTTCTGGCCACAGACTTGACAGCCAGAAGGTAGTTGCACCATGTCTGCCATGATTGCTGGAGACTAAATGGAGAAGTGAGGTATGGAGTGTCCCTGGCTAGAAGGGTCAAGTTGGAAAGAAGCGGTGTAGAGACGTTTGATGGTTGTCTGTGGGGGGAAGAGGAGTTGAGGATTATGAATGAACTAGGAAGTAGTAAAGAGGTTGAAAGGCAGTATGATCATTGAATTGCCAGGGCACCACAATTGTTCTGTGTTGACAATTTCGTTGTGTTTGCCCAGGCAAAGGACCATCTGGATCAACGGATTTCCCGCGGCCGACCCAAATATTGATCTAATCTTCAGATCAGGCAGTCAACACTGTCAATGAAGCACAGTCAAATACCTCTAGGTGTAGAATCTTTCCATCACGCTTTACATAAACCGATTCTAGACGGCCCCTGGTCTTCATAGGTCATAATTGATCAAGTATTATGTAGCGTAGATAGTTGATTAAGAAAGGAACCATTTGAAAGAGTCAATCCCCACATTGATCCGCGCCAAGTACGGAATTCTCAGCATTCGATGTACAGTACTCCAGTCCCTGGACTGCCGAGTGCGTGGGGCTGTCACTGTCAAATAGACTTCAAGTCGCATAGACTCTTAACAAAGAATAAAGGGAACTGAGCCCATTTATATGCCATTTCCCTGCAATCAATAGCTTCTCTGTTCAGTCAGTCAGGGCAGTATGTGGGGAAGCTCCGCCTGGCAGTCAACAAGAGCCACTGCCGCTGCCACAGGCCGGTCAAGTGAATCCCGCGGAACCATCGGATCCTTCAGTCCGACCAGGACGAATGTCATTGACCCCACAATCTGAGGTACAGTATGGGGAAATGTCTCGATCTTTGCGAGGGGCGTCGGCCCCCTTTTGTAGGCTCGCTGGGTTCTGCCCGATGCGGAGATGGCCGAGTAACCCGGTCAGTAAAACCAGTAGAACCAGGATCAGATGAGAGTTGAGAGGCAAGACCCAGCAAGGAACGGACGGCCGCACCTGTGCGGAATCCATCCGCACTTGTCAGTGTGGACCAACTTCGGTTGAGTTAAACAGCAACTGAGAGTCTCTGACTGGGACGGGAGGATTTCGGGGGAGCGCGGAAGAAAAAGACACAGCGGGACTCCGAGCAAAGGAATGGCAGATGCAGGCACATGCAGTACCAAGCACTTACTGTAGTTAGTTAGTTAGCCCGCGGGACTACTCAGACATCAGCAACGGACTCAGCAGACTCTCTGCTGATCTCAGCGGGATGTGGCTCAACACGGTCATTGTCATTGCGGTGTCCCAGTAAAGTGGATGCCAACTCTCCGACAAACCCGCCCTGACTGTGTCAACTGTTTCTGGGGGTGGCGGCGTGTTTGGTCGGCCCAAGCGACTATACTCGATCTCCCGGACGGGCGTGCCGAATAGGGCCTTACCCGAGGGAATGGGGGTTGATCCTGGGTCTGGGGATGAGGGAGGCAACGTGTATGATTCGCAGTCGGGGTGTTAGTGGTGGGGGAACCATACAGTGAATCTTCTGTACATTGAGGCTGGTGAGGAGTGACGATGAGGAAGGGCCTTCTCGTTCAGGCAGCTGGCCGAGTTTACGTTCCGGTGCAGCAATTCTGCCCCACGCCGCCATTCCCACGCTGGTTCCAGCCGAGGGCAACAAGACTATAAAGATAAGAGGCGGAGAACGGAATATACGTAGTAGAAGGTCTTCTATATATCATTTCGCCAATATCCCTGGTCTGGAATTCTTCGACTGAAACTCTGCGATCTTCTTCCTCTTTTGGTTGTTCTCTTGAATAACCTCATTCCTCTCTCTCCGATTATTTACTCCGTATCGACACATCTGTACAACCTCCCCCTCTTTCCGAATTCCTCTGCAATCTCTCAATCTGGCTTATCTAACTCGTCCTTAAATTACCTAGCTAAAGACTCTTCCAACGTTATCGACGATCTTCTACTGCAGGACTGCACGACTATCAAGCACACATTCACACCGATCGTACCGGAGGGGGTCCTCGTTCCTCGTTCGGCAGGTGAAAGATCCACTTCGCGCCGACCGGCCTCCCCGTGGTCAGACCACTTTGGCCTTCTCTCTCATCCTGCGTCCTCTCTTCCACCTCTTCCCTTTCCCTCGTCGAATAGGGGTGGTTTTACTCTTGGAGATTTTGCGGTCATTTTAGAATTCCGGCCGACTTGTGTTTTCCTTTGCCTCGAGTTTCCTCCCCTTTTTCGCCTCCTCCGACTTTTTATCTCGTCCGCCGCCAATTCTCCGCTCCTCCCCACTCACTGGCGCCGCCCGCCAAACTAACTCGCCGACTCTCCATCTCTCCTCCCCTCTGTCGTTGCAGAAACGGATCGATTGAAGATCTCGTTTTCTCTTTCCTTTGATTCCCAGCCATTATGGCGCAACTCGACACCCTCGATCTGGTCGTCCTAGCGGCTCTCTTGGTGGGTAGCGTGGCCTACTTCACTAAGGGAACCTACTGGGCCGTGCCGAAAGACCCCTATGCCTCCTCCGCCACTGCGCTGAATGGCGCCGCCAAGAGCGGCAAGACGCGCGATATCATTGAGAAGATGGAGGAGACCGGCAAGAACTGTGTGATTTTCTATGGCTCCCAGACTGGTACCGCAGAGGATTACGCCTCGCGCTTGGCTAAGGAAGGCTCCCAGCGCTTTGGTCTGAAGACCATGGTCGCGGATATCGAGGATTATGACTATGAGAACCTGGATAAGTTCCCCGAGGACAAGGTCGCCTTCTTCGTGTTGGCAACCTACGGTGAGGGTGAGCCGACCGATAACGCGGTCGAGTTCTACCAGTTCTTCACCGGTGACGACGTCGCCTTTGAGAGCGGCGCCGCTGCCGAGGACTCGCCTCTTTCGTCCCTCAAGTATGTCGCTTTCGGTCTCGGAAATAACACTTATGAGCACTACAACGCCATGGTTCGCCAGGTTGATGCCGCCTTCACCAAGTTGGGTGCGCAGCGCATTGGAACCGCTGGTGAGGGTGACGACGGTGCTGGTACTATGGAAGAGGACTTCCTTGCCTGGAAGGAGCCCATGTGGGTTGCCCTGACTGAGGCTATGGGTCTTCAGGAGCGCGAATCTGTCTACGAGCCGGTCTTCTGTGTTTCCGAGGACGACGAGAAGTCGCCCGAGGATGAGTCGGTCTACCTGGGAGAGCCTACTTCCGCTCACCGCGACGGCCAGCCCAAGGGTCCTTACTCTGCTCACAGCCCGTACATTGCCCCGATTGTCGAATCCCAGGAATTGTTCACTGTTAAGGACCGTAACTGCCTGCACATGGAGATCAGCATCGCTGGTAGCAACCTGAGCTACCAGACTGGTGACCACATTGCTATCTGGCCCACCAACGCCGGCGCCGAGGTTGATCGTTTCCTCCAGGTCTTTGGTCTAGAGAAGAAGCGTCACTCTGTCATCAACGTCAAGGGTATCGATGTCACTGCCAAGGTTCCCATCCCGACTCCTACTACCTACGATGCTGCTGTTCGCTACTACATGGAAGTCTGCGCCCCCGTCTCCCGCCAATTCGTCTCAACCCTCGCTGCCTTTGCTCCCGATGAGGAGACCAAGGCTGAGATCGTTCGTCTCGGTAACGACAAGGACTACTTCCACGAGAAGATCACCAACCAGTGCTTCAACATCGCCCAGGCCCTGCAAAGCATTACCACCAAGCCGTTCAATGCCGTTCCATTCTCCCTGCTCATCGAAGGTCTCAACAAGCTCCAGCCTCGTTACTACTCCATCTCTTCCTCGTCTGCGGTCCAGAAGGACAAGATCAGCATCACCGCTGTTGTCGAGTCCGTTCGCCTGCCTGGTGCCTCGCACATGGTCAAGGGTGTCACTACCAACTACCTCCTGGCTCTCAAGCAGAAGCAGAACAATGATGCTTCCCCCGATGCTCATGGTCTGACTTACGAAATCACTGGTCCTCGCAACAAGTACGACGGCATCCACGTCCCAGTCCACGTTCGCCACTCCAACTTCAAGCTCCCCTCCGACCCCACCAAGCCCATCATCATGGTTGGTCCCGGTACTGGTGTCGCTCCTTTCCGCGGTTTCATTCAGGAACGTGCTGCTCTGGCCGCCAAGGGCGAGAAGGTTGGCACTACCGTGCTGTTCTTCGGATGTCGCAAGCGTGATGAGGATTTCATTTACCAGGATGAGTTCAAGGTAAGCCACATCCATTCTCTCATTCTCTCATTTCTCGTCGGAACAACTCAAAATACTGACCGCATTTCTTCCAGACCTACCAAGAGCAGATGGGTGATTCTCTGAAGATCATCACTGCCTTCTCTCGCGAGGGCTCCCAGAAGGTCTACGTTCAGCACCGTCTGAAGGAGAACGCCGAGCTGGTCAGCGAGCTCCTCAAGCAAAAGGCCAACTTCTACGTTTGCGGTGATGCCGCCAACATGGCCCGTGAGGTCAACCTGGTGCTGGGCCACATCATCGCCCAGCAGCGCGGTATGCCTGCCGAGAAGGGCGAAGAGATGGTCAAGCACATGCGGAGTAGCGGCAGCTACCAGGAGGATGTGTGGTCATGATTGATGATACTGCTTCTTTTTTTACGGTCTGCCCTCTTCCTTCTCGCAGTGTAGTCATATCTCCCAACCTACCTTCTCCCCCTCCCCTTGATGTCTAGATGACCCCAGCATATACATATATTCTCGGCTCCTCTGTGTCCGCCGAATAGGTACATTTTCAGTTCTTGGCGGGCTTATGTATGCCAATCGGTTCTTTTTCTTCTTCGTTTGAAATTTTCTCCCTTTCTTTTTTCTGCTTTCGTCTTTCTGCCTCGATTCATGGATTGATTCTTCTCCATGGAGACTCTTCAGCGTTTCGTTTCTGTTTGGAAATGGAAATGGGAGCGCCCTTGTTCTTGTGGGTGAGAATGGATGATTTCTTCGTTAGACTTGATTGGAATTTACCACAAAAGAATTTTAATTGATTCAAATGCCCTTTAAAAGACGCTTGTATTTCCACCTACGAAACTCTCTTAATCGAGGTAAATTGAATCGAGTTGACGCAACAGCGACTAATGCTCTGTCTGGTTGTACTGAAGGAGCTACAGTAGCAGTACAAAAGTCTGGGTCTAGAAACCAGAGAAAAAGACCAACCAGATATGCTTCAACTTAATTCTTATTCGAACGATCTTTCTAAATGTCTTTCTAACCATCTTTCTTGATATCAAACATACCGTTCAACTCGGTACTGCAAGGATGGGTTGGAAAAATTGTCGGGGTTTCAACCTTATGAAACCTCACTGTACTACACGGAGCTACGTCTTTCTCTTCAAGTGGCAGAGATCAGATAAAGTTCTGTTGATGAAAAAAGACGGCAAACCTTTGATGAAACCCCAATCTTATCTTTGATCTACAAATTACAGAAATCTCCACACTCCTGCTTTGTACGGAGTACTGGATTGTCACTGGACTCGCGCCTGTTTTCGGCTGTAAGCGCGGACTTAAAACGTCGTCATTGGCACCCGCCCCGGCAAACCTGCGGCCTTCCTCCCCTCGCTACAGCACGTAATCCTGGAAAATTTCCAAGATCATAAGGAGATGCGCCATCACCGAATCGAAGCCTAGCTCATCATTCCCTCGCCCGACCGGATTCGATACTAGCTCTCCTCAATCCATCGGTGCTCGTCATCCCCGCAGTGGTCCTGCGACAAGCTTCCGACCCGCACGAATTGCTCGCATACCACAGCTCTGCGGAACACCCACCATGGCCTACGTGGTGCCGATTCACCGGGCGAGCGGCATTAGGCATGCTGTGAAGCTGAATTTCATGAATGCTGAGGAGGACTGCTTGGTAGTAGCGTGAGTGGAATGAATGAATGCAAAGATCCTTTGGGAATCTCGTTATCTGAGCCCATTGGCCTTGGATGCTCAAGCGCTGCGATAGAAAGTCAACAGAAGCTAATATCCAGCTTTCGCATTTCTAGAAAAGCCAACCGTCTCGAATTCTACACCCTCACCCCCGATGGCCTGATCCTGGCCCAGACCCGCGCGGTATACGCCCAGGTCACCATGCTCGCCCGACTCCCAGCACCAGCCAACTCGCCGACCGACCACCTCTTCGTCGGCACAGACCAATACAACTATTTCACACTTGCGTGGGATCCCGAGAAACGCAAAGCCCGGACAGCTCGCAGCTACGTCGATATCACAGAACCCTCAGCCCGCGAATCACAGACCGAAGCGCGGTGTCTGGTCGATCCAAGTGGGCGCTTCATGACACTGGAGATCTACGAGGGTGTGATCGTGGTGATTCCCATCGTTGAGCCAACAAAACGGAAGGGTCGGGTCTCACATGCCGCACATCAGGCTGATCCGCCGCAGGTTGGCGAGCTCGGTGAGCCGACATCCTCGCGGATCGATGAGTTGTTTGTGCGGTCATCGGCGTTTCTGCATTCTGGGTCTAATCAGCCCTGGTTGGCGCTTTTGTATGAGGATAATCAGAAGACGATGCGATTACGGATTCGCGAGCTGGAGTATAGTCGGGCGACGTCGAGTGGACCGGCAGACGCGACGTTTAAAGAGGTCCAGGAGAAAAAGTTGGATGGGGGTGTTTTTGCACATGAGCTAGACTCGGGTTCTTCGCATTTGATTCCCATTCCGGCTCCATTGGGTATGTTTTCGCTTTCTGTGTCTATTGACCCTTTCGTCCTGAATGGCGTGCTTACATCTTTTCTACTGGTGCAGGTGGTCTGATCGTCCTGGGAGAACGATCTATCAAATACATCGACGATAATGCGAATGATATGATTTCGCGAGAACTCGAGGAATCAACCGTCTTTGTGGCCTGGGAGAAAGTCGATAGCCAACGTTGGTTACTCTCGGATGACTACGGTCGGTTATTCTTCCTGATGTTCGTGCTGAACAATCAAGGCAACGTCGAGGACTGGAAATTGGATTACCTTGGAAGCACATCTCGGGCTAATAACCTGGTGTATCTTGGTGGGGGAATCTTATTTGTCGGCTCGCAACAGGGTGATTCTCAGGTACTTCGCATCAGTGATGGCTCTTTCGAGGTGATTCAGACTTTGTCCAACATTGCACCTATTTTGGACTTTACCTTGATGGATCTGGGCAATCGGACGAGTGAAGTTCAGACACATGAATTCTCAACAGGGCAAGCTCGAATTGTTACTGGATCGGGTGCTTTTGATGATGGATCTTTGCGAAGCGTCCGGAGTGGTGTCGGCATGGAGGAACTGGGTGTCCTTGGTGAAATGGATCACATTACTGATCTATGGGGCCTACAGGCTCAAACTTCGGGAGAGTTCCTCGATACACTACTGGTCACATTCGTTGATGAAACACGAGTATTCCGCTTCAGTCCTGAGGGAGAAGTCGAAGAGCTCGAGGACTTCCTTGGGCTCTCTTTGGCAGAAAGTACGCTGCTAGCCGCCAATCTACCAGGGAGTAGGATTCTGCAGGTTACAGAGAAGAGAGCTGTGATTGCTGATCTCGAGAGCGGCATGGTGACTTTTGAATGGACACCTCCGACCCAGAAGGCGATTACTGCAGCCTCGGCCAATGACGACCACCTGGTGCTTGTGATCGGTGGCCAGATCCTGGCGACTTTTAATATCCAGAATGATGCCCAGCTCATCACGGAGAAGGATATGGGTACAGAACAGCAAATCTCTGGCGTGACAGTCCCGTCCAAGCCTGCAGGAGTTTGTATTGCTGGATTCCCTCAATCCGCCAAGGTGTCCATCTTAGACATCAAGGATCTATCCGAGCTTCAAAGCCAGTCACTAGGCCTGACAGGGGAAGCATTTCCTCGATCCGTCCTGGTTGCAAATGTTCTAGCTGATAGCTCGCCTACCCTTTTCATCTCGATGGCCGATGGCAGTGTGATCACCTTCGCACTGGACCCGCAAACATATGCCCTGACCGACATGATGAAGTTGATCCTGGGATCAGAACAACCGACCTTTAAAAGTCTCCCCCGAGGCGACGGCTTGTACAACGTCTTCGCCACCTGTGAGAACCCGAGTCTCATCTACGGCTCCGAAGGGCGGATTATATACTCTGCCGTCAACTCCGATGCATCTCGAATTTGCCATTTGAACCCAGAGGCCTTCCCAGGATCCATCGCCGTGGCCACAGTCCGGGAACTCAAAATCGCGCTCGTGGATAAAGAGCGCACGACACAAATCCACACATTACCAATGGGATCGACTGTGCGCCGTGTCGCCTACTCACCATCCGAAAAGGCGTTTGGTCTGGGCACTATCGACCGCAAACTGGAGGGCTCTACGGAGGTCGTGACGAGTCATTTCGTGCTCGCTGACGAGATTCTTTTCCGTCGTTTGGATGCTGTCAAACTGAATCCAGATGAACTCGTTGAGAGTGTCATCCGTGCCGAGTTCACAGCTGGCCAGGATGAGAATGGAAAAGAGCTCAAGAAGGACAGGTGGGTTGTCGGTACGGCGTACCTGAATGAGGAAAAAGAAGGGGCAATCCGCGGGCGGATCCTGGTATTTGAAGTTGATCACGGCCGTAAATTGACCAAGGTCGCCGAGTTGGGCGTTAGAGGTGCTTGCCGGGCGTTGGCTATAATGGGTAATCGTATTGTTGCAGCATTGGTCAAGACTGTAAGTGATGAAGCTGTCCTGTCCACCCCCAAAGTATACATGAAGATTTATCTCACTAACTCTCCTTTTCTCCAGGTTGTTGTCTACAAGGTGATCAACAACAACTTCAGCTCCTTGAAACTCGAAAAGACTGCTACTTACCGCACGTCAACGGCACCCGTCGATCTAACAGTCGTCGATGATTTAATCGTGATTGCCGACCTGATGAAGAGCGTCTGCATCGTTCAATGGAGCCCGGGCCAGAACGGCGCCAACGACAAACTGGTAGAAATAGGTCGGCACTACCAGACTGTTTGGAGCACGGCTGTCGCCTCCATCGAGAAGGATATGCTCCTCGTTAGCGAGGCCGAGGGTAACCTCATCGTGCTGTCTCGTAACCAGGGCGGCGTCACCGAACAAGACAAGCACCGTCTCGTCCCTACGAGTGAAATCCGACTAGGTGAAATGGTCAATCGGATTCGTCCTATTAACATCCAACAACTCGCCAGTTTGACGGTAACACCGAGAGCTTTCCTCGCAACGGTTCGTACACCTTTCTCCCAACGACATACATCATTCATATACTAATTTACATTGTTACCTACTACAGGTCGAAGGCTCCATCTACCTCTTCGCCCTCATAAACCCAGACCACCACGACTTCCTCATCACCCTCCAAAGCGTAATCGCCAGTAAGATCGATTCTCTCGGCGATCTACCCTTCGACAAATTCCGCGCCTTCCGCACGCTCACCCGCTCCGCAGATGCTCCTTATCGCTTCGTGGATGGCGAGTTACTTGAACAGTTCCTCGATTGCGAGGCTGCGTTGCAGGAGGAGATTATTGCTGAGGTGGGATCGAGGGATGTTGCGGAGGTTAAAGGGATGATTGAGGCGTTGAGGCGGTTGCATTGAATTTATTGATGAGGTTGGATGAGATGACATCAGACGTGATGTTCTTGGTTTCTTCTACATAATGGTCGTTCTGTTTATGATGCATGGATTAAGACAGGGGGTGGTTTGAACACTTCTTCTTCCTTACGAGTGTTGATCTTGTTACTAGACCGATGACTGGATTACAGTGATTAAGCGGAAGGGAGTCGATGTTCTGTTTGGTACGAAAGTACGGAGTATTAAATCAGTAGTTGGATGATTCTACTAGACCTGTTTAGCAAGTTTACACGGTTGGATGAGCGTCAACCATGACATCGATGTTTCCAGGTCATATCTGCCATGATGATAGATAAAAGTACACATGAGCAAAGTACAGACAATGCATTCAACGCCATCCCCCATTCTATTAGTTTACAAGTGTCCTTCAACCTCCAAAAAACCCCTAAGCCAGCCCAACCACCAGCAATGTTAGACCTGTCCAAATCCAACCCATCTAAGCATCCTTCTTATTCTCCTCCTCCTCCTCACTCCAATCCAACAACTCCATAATCTGCTCCTCACTCAACTTCTCCGCCCGCTGACCCTTCGCCAAATTCTTCAAATACTTCTTCTGCCTTTTCCTCGCCATACCATTCCACTCGGGCACACCACTAGCCTGAGCCAACTCATCCTCCTCCTCCTCCTCAACCTCATCATCCGTATTGTCCACCTCCCCAAGAACCTTGCCCCCCTTATCACCGCCCCGCAGCGCATTCGCCGACATCTTCGCCTTCTTCCCACCCAGCGCAGCCTTCTCTTTCTCCTTCTTCTCCTTCTCCTTCTTGCGCTCGCGCTCGTGCAGGTATTTGAAGAATCGCTCGATGTAGGGGCGCAGAATGAGGTAGAAGATTACACTGGCGATGACCTTGGTCCACCGTTTGGCGCTGACTTCGGCGAAGGAGGCGTAGAAGTTCTTGAAGAAGCGGCGGACGCCTGTGTCGACGAAGCCGAAGAGTTGTGTGAAGAAGTCTGAGGCGGCTTCGGCGGCGATGTCGCCGAGGTCGGAGGAACGTTCGTCGACCATGATTGATGTAGTGGAATGTGCTTGTGCTTGACAAGTGTGTCTGGCTCTGTTTGAGTCGTCGGTGGGGGATGCGGGAGCTCGGGTTACCCGCGGATGGAAGACCGATTGATCAATTGATCACGTAATTAAATAGTAGTGAATAAAAATGTCCAGTGGTAGGATAGAATAGAAGAAGAGCTGAAGAAGAGAAAAAGCTCAAAGTCCGCAAGTGAAGAAAAAAGAAAGGAAAGCGGAAAATGCGGCACTTGCGCGATTAATGGTTGAGTTTATCGAGCCGCGATTGTCCTTTTTTTGGAAGGCACCAGAACCCAGAGCCCCGAAAAAGTTCCAAAACGGAAGGCGCGACCCTCCATGATCGGAATATCTATTGATCCGTCATACGCGTCTACAGCCAATCATCGCCCCTTGAGCTCCAGTATGGGACGCGCCTTGACTGACGGACTCTCATCTCTATCAGTTACTGATCATGGAGCAAATTGAAGAAGCTGGGCTCGAAGAGGTACATCGATCTCTATTCAGAGTCCATGCTGGTATACTGATCTGCTTTCTCCGTGCAGCGCCTTAAATCCGCCCTGTGGCTGTCTATCGGCAAGATCGTGGACGAGGAGACTATCAAGCTAGGCGTCAATGCAACACCTCAATTCATCGGGGCCTTGACGGAGATGGTGTGGTCACAGATTGGTATGTATATATCCTTGATTTTCTCTTGGGGTATCGACCATGCTATGTGGTCTTTGTCCTATGTTTCATGCAGTGGACGCGTCGCTGACGATTCTACAGAGACTGTCAGTCAGGACCTGGAGTCCTTTGCCAAGTGAGTACATTGACAGCCGCTGTACAGCGCTTTTTTTGTGTTCTGAAACTTGAACATAACTGTCGGGCAACAACAGCTATCAAAGGAACCTCGCTGACTGATTACTATTGCCCAACATAGACACGCCGGCCGATCGACCGTCAACGTCTCCGACGTGATGCTGCTCGCCCGCCGCAATGAGGGACTGGACTCGATTTTGCGTGCGTTCGTGGAGCAGCAGCGCCCGGGAGGGTCTTAAATGGCAGCATAGCTACTAGAAGTCATGCTGGCTGTATCTTGATCTCCGTGATTATCATCACGATACTTCCCGCTCCTCGGCGAGGAACTTGTCCTACTATCTTATATGTCGAGGGAAAGCCCCTGGCAAGTCATGATTGATGAATGAACGACCAACTTAATCCCAACTTTCTTGTCAGTGTCTTGATACTGTCTTGTGCTGCGGTTAAACCTGTTGACCCAGGCTCACCTTGGCCTCTATGTGTAGTGGCGATGAATTATGTTCAATGAGGGAAGCTAACCCGGGAGATGATCTCTGATCAACACTCCGATCATAACTCTCGTGCAGTCTATGGCTCGTTTAAGCTTTTGTTGGATCTCTACCGGGTACTTTACACTTGCATTAGGCTAAATCATGACCTAGGAAAACTGTAGATGTGCACAGTTCCCTAGATATCTCATCGTGTAGATAAGAAAGAACTTTCCATAGATTAGTATGGGAATTGCGATAAGTACTGCTGGATCTTGTAGTTGTATGTAAGGCTGGGAGGTTATGATATCGCATAGGTAGATCGTGTTCTACATGAATTACGCTAGCGTGTCCTATAATTTATGCCTAGCATGTTATAGTGATTTGCAAATAGTCCAACTTGCAAGATCGACCAGGTTTGAGTTCCGTTCCCAGGGAGATGCTCCCAAATAATAGCAACCCTCGGGTGATTGTGGCTGGTGCCGCTATTGAACATTTTTTATCCAGTTGCTAGATTCATTTACCACATCGGTCCCCGTTAATGAGTGCTACGTAAAGAGCGCGATTATACACTACCTACAGTATAGGCCAATTTTTAGCACATGTTACCATAATTATTCAACCTGTCAAATCCACTTGCCATCATCTTCATTTCTTCACATGCAGCAACGGGTCTCCACTCATCCAGCCACCGACGAACCCCAAAATCGTGTGCCATCTCAAAGGGGCAGAGTGGATCTTCGATCTTCATCAACCCTGGTCTCTCCACAAATCATAATCCTGCCAAGCAACTAACTTTTGCGCATCCTGACATCACCGACTCCACGCTAGTCGCTGGTAAAAGGGACGCCTTGTGGCGCAGACCAGTCTGCGCCCATTCAGGACTGCTGCTGCGCCAGGGATCCGTTGGGACCGGCCTCCACTGATCTTCAACTATTGCGTCGCGCGTGGGTACGCAGGGCTTTCTTATAATCGGCCCTGAATCCTGCTGCCTCGAGGGGGTTGGTCGATTTTGAAAATATATCAACCTCACACCAGCCATTTTTCGAATCTCCCATTCACCCCATCAACAATCTATATCGTCCATCATGGGAGTCGGCGGAGTCGTTTTACGCTTTTTCAGTCTCGCCATTCGAGTGCTGCAGTTCCTCGCTTCGGCTGTTATCCTCGGCATTTTCTCATACTTTCTCGCCGTCCTTTCCCGCCATAATCTGGACATCCCGACATGGATCAAGGCTGTTGAGGGTCTGTCCGGTGCTGCCGCTTTATACGGCATTCTAGGCACAGTCTTCGTCTGTTGCCTGGGCGGAGTTGCTTTCTTCGCTTTCCTCGGTGTTGTGCTCGATGTCTGCTTCGTTGGTGCCATGATCGCGATCGCAATTTTGACCCGCGACGGTACCCAGAAGTGCTCGGGCAACGTCAAGACCCCGCTGGGCAACGGCAACGCTGATAACAACGGCGAGACTCCGGCTGGAACTAGCTTCCATCTGGCTTGTGAGCTGGAGAAGGTCGCCTTTGCAGTCTCCATTATCGGAATGTAAGTACATAAGATCTGGTCCCTACCGCCACCACCACCACCACCACCACCGCCGAACTATAGTCATCTAGATCGATCCAATACTGACTTTCTATTCTTACCAGCTTCTTCTTCCTCATCTCCATCCTCTTCCAGGTCCTCCTGGCCCGCCACCACAAGCGCGAGAAGCGCTTCGGCCCCTCCCCCGCCAACAACTACACCTACGGCACCAGCCGTAAGTGGTGGAGCCGCAAGAGGAACAACCCCGAGGCCAGTGGTGGCGTAGATGCTTTGCCTAGCCACCCCACCCCGGCCGACGTCGAGTTGGGTGCTGAGAAGCAGCCCGAGAAGAACTGGTTCGGCTCGTGGGGCAAGAAGAAGCATGACGCTGCCAATGCCCCCACTGCTACGGGTGCGCAGAATGGTTATGGCTATGGTGGCTCTGCCTACACAGGTAACATCTAAGCTCGGGCTTTGTGAAGTCCATCTTGCTTGGATATAGCTAGCAAGGCATTGGGGGTTGGATGCTCGCTGTCGAGTGATTCTTCTTTGACATCCAGCCCCTGTACCTCTTCTTTGCCCGGCTAGCCCCATTGTTGGGTGCTAGTCAATGACTGTATGAACTCTTACGCCATTTTTGAGCTGAGATACCATGTTTTGCTTGTGAGATTTGGTGTATATTATGCTGCAGGACAACACCTGGGTTAGCAAGGATTGACAGACAGCCTTGCAAAGGATATAATGATAATACTAGTGAATTCAATAAGATCTATATGAAGTACTTTGAGACGCAGAAAAGATCACTTGATACTTAAGAGTTTGTATTGATACTAATGCTACATAGACATAATCCTGAGAGACCCCAGCCAAAAAGCCCAACTCTGATCTTCCAAAACATTAAACACCAACAACAAGCCATCACAGTACAGTCATTAGGAATATCAATAACATGAGGACATCAGCACCGACAAGGATATCATAGTCATCACAGTCGATGGGGAAATAGCAAGAACAATTTCCCCAAACACCAAGGGCGCCTGCATCCAAAACAAGAACAGATAGAGAACCAAGTGCAGAAGAAGCATCAACCGACCCAGTCGGGTTAGCTATGATCTGCCGAAAAATCGGGTTCCAAAACAAGTGAGAACTCATAACTCAGACCCTTACTAGCCAGCCCTAACCATCTGGCCGAAGCGGCACGTCATACCAGGTGCAACATTGCCCATGAAGATGGGGTGCTGGTTGGAGCACATAGCCCATGTGTATCCATCTGGAGAGCACAGGATCTCACCAGAGGTGCAAGTCCACTGGCCAACGTAGTTGGCGAAGGCATTGTTGGTGGAAGCCACTGATGTACTCTGAGCACCCACGACACGGGGGTCAGCAGAGGGAGAACCAAAGGCCGACGCAATCATAGACATGGCCTGGGTGGTGCTGCTGGTGAGGGTAGTGCCGCGAGTGGTAGTAGCTGGCTTCTTGTCGGAGGTGTCGGTGGCCTTCTGGGCAGACGAGGTGGTAGTTGCGTTGTTGTTCTTGGAGTCCGACTTGGAAGCATTGGAAGAAGAAGTAGAAGTAGGGCTCGCAGATGAAGTAGAGCTGGAAGAAGAAGAAGAAGAAGAAGAAGAGGTAGAGGAGCTAGTATCGGTGCTGCCGCTGTCATTGCCCAGGAAAGGAGCGTTGCTCGTGCACTTGTAGCCCTTACCAGTGCCATCGACCTTACCCAGCACCTTGTCACCAGGCTCGGGGAAGTTAACCGACTCGCCCTCGATGGTCACACAGCCACCAGCCTGGCCAACGTTGGCGAGGAAGAGATCGGGCAGACTGTCAAATGTAGTAGCCTTGGACTGGCCCATCATCACGGAGACATCAGACTCGCCAGTCATCTCACGACGGTCCACGGTCTTCTCCATAGGTGGGTGGCTGATGTGGCTCATGTGCTTCATCAACTCCTCGGTCATATCCTCATCATCCATCTGGTCATCATTCATCTGATTATCCATGACCTTGTGGCCGTGTGAATTCTTGCTCTTGCTGTTGCTGGACTGAGTCTTGTTCCCACTGCTACCAGACCCACCAATAGTAACCATAGCACAATTCATATACATCTCACGGTTACCGACCTTGTTAAACCAAGTCCAGGCCAACAAAGCCTCGCCGTTGGGTGCATCAGACGGAATCTCGAAGTTATACTTCTTGGCAATGGGACAATCACCAAGCATAGACTCAATAACCTTGAATGTCTTGCCGCGGTCATAAGTCAGGGCAAGCTGGCAAGAGCCGCCGCTGTGAGTCGCACTCCCGTCAAGCTCCATCTCGTAGGTCTGGCCGGGCGAGTAGCTCGCCTGGGACTGGAAGGGGTCGTTTGCATAGCCCTTGCAGGGGTAGTCACCGCCGGATGTTTGAAGTGGGTTGGTGTAGGAGTAGTCTTTCTTCTCGTCGCTGTCCTTGTTGAGAGGACTGCGGATGGGATAGGGCTTCAGCATTTGCATGTGTGCAGAGGCGCCAGTAGCCAGCAGGCCGGCGAGAACTGCGATACCCTTCATTTTGGAAGTCTGGAGCTTATCAACAAGATGCTCCCGTCAACTCGACTCTCGATTTACTCACAAGAAGTTTAGAATAGGATGTGGGTATAGTAGGAGATGGATATGATGGTCAACAATCTGTAGCCAAGGAATCAACCACCAGGGTATAATTTCTCAACTTTTTTCACAGGACAGACGGTTGAGCGAAAAAAACGAGAGGCGAATTGACAACGCCAACTATAAATATTTATCTATTGTCTGCCAGCATTCTCCAGCGTTCTTCAGAGGAATGGGAAATGCCTTCGTCCCGCGATCCAAGCCCGAGTTATTTCCCGGCTACGCTCCCGACCTCGCAACGCGAAGAATGCACCCGACCATGCGCTCTTGCCTCAACTAGCCCAAGAGATCAATAAGTGAGCAAATTGTACAGTTCTTTGGGAGAGCGCAAATTACAACTCGACGCGCAAGACCACATTTCAGCGGAACAAAGCTGATATCCTCCATTATGGCTTAAAGGATACATCGAACCAGTATTCATCAACGCTTGAACGGTATTCGAGGGACATATCACATAGCCTCAACTTTCAAGTCAACAATTTTGTCTCTAGAGGGGAATGAATGGCGTACGTGTCCAAAATATGACAGCCACAGAACTATGAATACCTCCATTCCAGACCACATTTATTCTCCGAGAAGCCAGTTGCCGGGGAATTCGACAATGAATTGCACATGTAGTAAACAGATCGTCCAAAGACACATTTCTTACGATACTGTAGGATCAAGTCTGTTAAATTACTAAAGAGTGGGAGAATGAAGAGCTAGTGAAGTCTAGACAATTCTGACACTCACCTTTTGGGACAAGATTTGCTTAAATCCATTTCACTTTTGCATAGCATTTGCTGTGCCTGGTAATAGGGACAGGTCCACTACCTGCATATGCCCCCTAGTTTATCATAGCTTCTCTGCCTCAATCTGGTCCCTACCTTCAGTCCCAGGCCTTTTGAATAACAATATGTTCTCTTTCCATATGCTTCTTTTATGGTTTAAAATGCATGCCTCTCATGTCACAAAATGCGGTCTCTCATCAAAATTATGCAACCATGTTTTCGTGTCTTTTGGAAACACTGGGGTGCAGGGATGTGGCCATACTGGTTTTATGTACCAAGGGGGTTGGTGTTGAGTGTGTTCACCTTACCATCCCTAGAAGAGCCTACATACCGCGAATCAGGGGGCGACCAATGAAGTACTTATCACTGACATGCTGCGTGGTTTAAGACCTTCCAAGTGCTATATTAAGGTGTGCATTGTCCCTGGCTAGTAATGGGTTGATGTCATGCCCAGACCAGGGTAATGGGACCATGTTATAGCCGAGCGATGGCACAAATCATGTTCCTGACACTTTCTCCCCACTTGACCAAAGTACTACTTATGATCCTGTAGCAGCTTCAGCATTTCCAATTCCTCAATCTCCTTCGCCCAATCGGCGGCAGTCAAGCCGTCAACGGTCTGAATTTCACGGTCCGCTCCATGATCCAATAACCATCGCATTAGGACTGGATCGCCTATATCGACGGCAATATGCAATGCAGTGCCCCTAGGCTCCTGTCTATTGATGTCCACGCCATTGTCTAGCAGGTATTCAAGTATAGATAAGGTTTCACCTCTGTACGCCGTATTCACCCGCGGTAGTATTGATTGTAATATTCTAGGGCCGAGAGTCTCCAAAGAAAACCTGCACACCACTAGAAGTTTCGTTTTGTCCAATGTACCCACTATAGCCGCTGTCATAAGGCGCGTGGAACCCCGAGTGCCAGGTAGCTTCGAGTCTGCCCCATGTTCTAAGAACCAGAGTACGACTGCCTCGTTTTGTATCATCAGACTTGTTTGGATGAATCAGTAGTCGCTCTAGATCAGGCAATGCCTCATACCGTAATGTAGGCTCCCCAAATGGTCTTGAATTGATATCCCATCTATGGTCAAGAAAGGCTTGGAATACAACAAGGTCATTGCTATTGCAGGCTCGGCGAAAAACGGCCTCAGTCACTTGAGCTCCGTGTTCGAGCAATAGAGCCACCAAGCCATGTACTTTGTCGGTGACAGCATCTTTGAGAGCGTCATTTAAGTCTTCCTGGGGTCGGCAGGGCAAATTCAGAGGCAAAGCATCCATGCTCCCGCTTTGGTATAGCTCACTTATCAACCGATAACGCTCCATGGAATTGTTTGGGGCGAAAGAAATCGAGGGTCAATACACAAAATGAGGAGTGAATAACGAAAAGAAAGATTGAAATGAGGGGGAAAAAAAAGATGAGGGGCCCGATGAAAGAGAGAACCTGGGGTACCTAAGGGATGGGGGCGGGCTTGAGTCTACTTGGATAGGATTCAACTTCTTGTCTTTCGAAAGGTCTATCCGAATTTTGAATCAACTTCCTAGATGGCCAAGGTAATATCTTCTGGTCTATCTTTTGAAGTATGAATGCAACTAGATCTATCCTGTCCACAGATCATCCGCATCCTGAAAAGATAATGAAACCATGAATCCAATCTATGAACTTATCGTTAAAAGGCAAGTGCTATTGAGGAGATGATATCTATACTCATTGGAACTTATCAAACTGTCTTGCTTCTGCTGGAATCTTGATCTCGATGACGTCTTTGCTTTAGACCAGCTGTTTTGGATTCTGTACGATTAATCATCTCAATCTCTTCTTTCTTCGTTCTCCGTATGAATATCCCAATTGTTAATGCTCATTTCAATAATTATGATTGAGATATTTCTTTGACTCTGTATTGCTCGTTTTGTGCATGCCTCAGCAAAGCCTATCAGATTAATTGATTCATGTACTCCGCGTCGCGCGCGCGGTCGCGATTAGCGTGTCATTGTCCCGCCGCCAACCCTTCATTCAATCCTAACATTAACATACTTCGTCTTTCCCTCTCTCTCTCTCCAATTCCTGCTCAAGGCTGGGTAGCACTACTGCTGCATGTGTCAGTCTTTTGCACGGCTGTTGCGTGCACCGCCTATCCAGCATGCTGCCAACTCTGGACTAGGGAGTTGTCGCCACCCCTCGTCACGGATTTTCCCCGATCGATCGATTTCAATCGTGGCGAGTGCCAATCCACCCGCCCTGCTTCTGGCCCATGTTCGTCATGCGGCTCGACCGGTTTTGCGCATTCATTATCCTTTGATTCGTCTCAATCGCCTGGCTGGTCCGGCGCAATTCTCAACCTACCCTAGCAAGCTTGTCGCATCGTCTCCTCGCACCCTTACCCAGGACCTTGCGCGCGATATCGAAGATTACTTTGACTCGGAAACTGTGGCCATGGCGGTGGATCCAACAATTGCTGATGTCAAGCCGGCCGATATATTGAATGGAGATGTCCCTCCGTCTGCTGGTCGGGCGGAGGCTGCTCTTGATCCAGAATCAGATGAAGATGTTCCCGCGGACGCGGAGGAGCTTCAAGAAGCTCTGGGACGGCCGCCCCCAGTGAACAGTAGCTACCTTCCCTTGCCCTGGAAAGGGCGCCTTGGATATGTATGTTATCAATTGCACCGAGCGGAAGATGTGTTGCTTTGCCTGTTCGTTCGTGGCTTTTAAACTAACTGATCTATGCAGGCCTGCTTGAATACCTATCTCCGCTACTCCAATCCCCCCGTCTTTTGCTCTCGCACGTGTCGCATTGCCTCTATTCTGGAAAACCGGCATCCGCTACAAGACCCAGACCAGCCTCCACATGCCACGAAGAATCGCCCGGACCGTGAACAACCAGCGGATGTGGCGCGCGGGCAGGCATTTGTCGAGGCACTAGGTCTCGCCAATGCGCGCGACCTGGTCAAACTTCTGCGCTGGAATGACAAATACGGCATCAAATTCATGCGCCTCAGTAGCGAGATGTTCCCGTTCGCCAGCCACAAAGAATATGGCTACAAACTTGCTCCGTTCGCATCTGAGGTCCTCGCTGACGCGGGTCGAGTGGTCGCAGAATTAGGCCACCGAGTATCCGTTCACCCAGGGCAGTTCACACAGCTGGGGTCTCCCAGACGAGAAGTAGTGGAAAGCTCTTATCGAGATCTCGAATACCATTCAGAGATGTTACAGCTTCTCAAGCTGCCCCCGCAGCAGGATCGCGATGCCGTCATGATTCTGCACATGGGCGGCGTTTTTGGTGATAAGGCGGCGACATTAGACCGCTTCCGCGAGAATTATGCGGTGGTGTCGCAGGACATAAAGAATCGACTGGTCCTAGAGAATGACGATGTCAGCTGGACTGTTCACGATCTTCTCCCTATTTGCGAGGAATTGAATATCCCTCTCGTACTCGACTATCACCACCATAACATTTTATTCGATGCGAACGAAGTGCGTGAAGGCACGGAAGACATTATACCGCTCTATGACCGAATTGCGGCCACTTGGTCCCGAAAGAATATCACACAAAAGATGCATTATTCCGAACAAACTTCGGCGGCCATCACTCCTCGTCAACGACGCAAGCACAGCGACCGCGTGGCTACATTACCACCATGCAGTCCTACGATGGACCTCATGATCGAGGCCAAGGATAAGGAGCAAGCTGTGTTTGAATTGATGCGGAACTTCAAGCTGCCTGGTCACGAACTAATCAATGAACTAATTCCATACACTCGAACCGATGAGAACAAGCCATTCAAGCCACCCCGAAAGTCGAAGAAGAACGGCGGCTTCGTCGATCTGGAAGGCTCCGTACCTCCACCCCGCACCATTCCGGAGGACGAAGTTGGCATGGGCGGACCAGACAGAAGAGTCTACTGGCCGCGGGGCATGGAAGAATGGCTTCGTCCCGCGAAGAAGGTCGTGAAACCCAAGGCTGCCGCAAGCCCAGCTAAGCGCCCTGCTGCCAAGAAGGTCAAGAGCGAGCCTGCAACACCGACTAGCGAAATAGAGACGCCGGTAAAGAAAACACCCATGCCTCCGACACGACGAACGATCTTGTCAACCAAATCGAGCACGAAACGAAAAGCTGAACAAATCGAGTCTACCCCCGAGTCGGAGGATTTGAGCAGCCTCTCTGTCGATATGGAGGATACCGTGACTGCGTCTCAGACATTGACTCGGCGCAGTAGTCGCGCGAAGAAAGTCAATTATACTGAGGATAGCGCATAATCGGCCTTGGCTGTTGCTTTGTATATTAGATGGATTTGTACTTGATAGCATTTGGCATAGGAGGTGTTCTGGTGTTGCTTGGTACTGTTCTACTTCGGTTCAATAAACTCAAGACTTTATGATCAATGAGGATTTTTTTCGTTTTTTTTGTTCTCATTCTATTCCATTACCTAACACGTCTTTCGTCAACAAGAGCCTAGGGATGATCCACTAACAGAGCATAAATTGAGGAACATCTACCGCCTTTTATTCAAGAGTATGATAGATTTTTACTTTAGCAAGTCTTCAACTTCCTGTCTTTCAAAGCATCCTTGTGTGAACGTCCTTTTCAGCATCCTTTCGAACACCCCTCGAATCTTCTTTGTAGATAGCCCGTGCTTAATACTCCCACTCCGAAGTATCGAGTGCCAAAGTACTGCCAGGCCAAGACGAGTCAACCCAAGTATTATTCGGCACATGAACGAGATCGAAGGCAGGCAACCACTGCTCTTTCCAGGGCATTGGCTTGATATCCTCGCAATCCCAAAACCCTACCCAGGTGCTATAGAGCATGAGTTAACCTGTTTACGGCTGGGGGACATAGCCCTCGATACTACTTACAGAGTTTCAGTATCTGAGTCCCAGACGAGATTTGAGGGACCGGGACAGTCCGGCAAGATGCCCATCGATGTAAGTTTCCTAGTCTCCATTAGTACAATTCCCGTTTTAGTCAAAAAGTTAACTCACAAAAAAGTATCCTTGAAGGCAGAGCGGATTTTATCTCGCTCATCCTTGTCCAAGGTCCAGAACTCATTAGCGTCCCCGGTGTAGTCACCTAGAGGTTTTCCAGGGACAACCTCCCAGGCATAATAAGTAATGAAGCCACCAGGGACTGGTCCTGAGCTGCCCTGCCGATCATCGCGGTATCCAAGAAAACGAGGTGTAACTGTTGAGGCATTTTTGGCGAAGGTCATAAAGGCGAGGAACCCCGGTGTCCTGAATGTCGTTGAGGTGGCTTGCTTCCCCCGAACTGCCGAGTCCTCATGCTCCGTTTTGGAAAAAGGAATTTGCATAACGATACGCATAAATGCCCGTCTGCTAGAGCCACCGACTTCTGCGCAGGTTAGCTGAATAGAGGCATAAGAGGGATCTTCTGCACCTTCGTACTTCTGGGAGTCGTGTTCATGGAGGACTTCGAGAATTCTCCACTTGCTTGGGTGTAGGTGATTAAGGCTGATAGTATTGCTGATCTTGACATTATGGCACATAGGTTCCTTCAGGAACCAAAATATTGGAGACGACATTTTGTGAAACGGTGAAGTGTGAAGTGGTAGAGAGCAGTGTAGTGTTTGCAGCGGCAGCTCTATAAGGGTGGAGAAGGATTGACGGGGAGATCCTGTCATGATTCGCGGATGACAGCACAACTGGGTGGGGCGCCGCCTGCGCATCATAAATGTCCCGTATATATTTCCCAATGCATAATTAGTAATCAAATTCGTCATAAGTTCATGCATAATTTTGACCGCCTCTTGAGGATGATTCAAGAAAGAATAATATTCATTTACCGTGATGATTAATTTGAAGAATTACCAGCAAGATAAGATACTTTGTTTCAGATCAAGCGAATCTGATTAGTTAGTGATTGGTTAGTTGGTCATATCAGCCAAGGTGGGCCCGAAACAAGCTAGCGTCATGACGGTGCAGGACAGTAAACGTCTCACTCTCAGCTCGGTCAAACCTGTCGTCTACAGCATATCCTTAGCGTTCTGCGTCAGCTCCTTTCCCGAGTCCCACTCTCTGAGTGCCTTGATCGGACTATCTATGGTGTTCTCTTACTAAAGCGCACTTTCACTGTGCCAATCTATTCTTACCTTCTCGACTTAGCCGCACCTAACGGCCGAGTCCTCTCGCAGAGAGGCACCACCGACCACCAACCCCTCCACCCTACGAGAAATCCTGGCTCCAAAACCATACTTTCGTTGGCCCGTCGCCCGGTCGAGACTATCTCCCTTTAGACGGCCACCCACGGCGAGTTCGTTGCTATCCCAGTGGAAGCCCCTCTCTCGAGCTTCGCCCCGCCCTAGCAGGCTTTCATCCCTCCTTCGCATCCTCGTCGGCCCTCAAGCGACTCGGCGCGCACAAAACCGTCTTTGGAATATCCGACACGAAGCCCTCCCCGCGCTCCGACACCGGGCCCAATCGCGCATCTACCGTGCTATCGTCAAGCGGCAGGCGCGGCTCGCGGCACGCAATCGCAGACTCGGTGGGGGCTTCGTCGCATCCCTCCTTGGGTCAAGAAGACAACTGCTACGTGGTGGGAGGATCGGTACAGCTACATCAAGTAGTCCATTTGTGAGACGTGCGAAACCGACCCAAGGAGGAACCCCGGACGGGGCGAAAGATGCTGTGACAGACTCGATGGCATCAACATGGGGCACAGGGAGCGGGGACGGCGCTGCCCAGAGCAGCCGTCGCAAGAAGGCATATGAGTGGATCAAGGCTGCGAACGAGGTCGGCCAGGCCTATGCGTCGCGGTGGACTAGCCAGCGGGGTGAACCTCAGGAGGATTATTACAACACGCCAGGCGCGTTTCCGGACGTGGAGATTGCACGGTCAGGCGATGAGGAGATGGTACTATTCCCCAGCTATGCAAGACGGCTGGATATCAAGAAGAAGAGTGAGACCAGTACGCAACGAAGACGGGATTCATGGTCCGAGACCATCGACGAATACCGTGGCATATCGGATGAGAGCAACCCTACCAGGGATAGCTGGGAAGACCCAAATCTTGAGAATGCGGTTGTCGACGTCGATGTGCGTGGCTGGATCTATGCGCCTAGTCGGGGTCCGATGAGTCGCAAGCACCGTCTGATGATCAAGCTGGCGAGAACGTTGAGCGGAATCCCAGCTCCTTCTGGTGCAACACCCGATGACAGCTCCGACCGCGTACCCAACAAGGGCGAGGATGAACTTGTGGATAAACAAATGCAGACTCTCGTGGACACTGCAGAGAAAGATGCAGATCAGGCCTGGAAAAGCTCGAATACCGACCGGACAAAGCCAGGCACAGGCGCAGGCAACGCCGTAGGCCAAGCTGTGGCTATGACCAAAGACGAGATATCCATGGCCAATGCTCATCTGATGGAACGACTACGTCCGTTCTTAACGAACCCTATGGCCGGTATGCCGGTGACCGTGTTCTTTTTCAATGACGATGAGAGCGAGTCTCGGAACCTTCTAACAGACGAGTCGGGGCATTTCAATATTCGCGCGGCCATGCCCTTTGTCCCAACTCATATTCGAGTACTTGCATCAGAGGATTTATCCGCGGCGAGGCCGATCGACATCATCGAGCCGGTGGGTATCAGTTTGATTAGTGACATCGATGATACTGTGAAGCATTCAGCCATCGCCAGCGGCGCGAAAGAGATGTTCCGAAACACATTCGTCCGTGAGCTGGCCGAGCTCACCATTGACGGTGTCAGCGAGTGGTATACCCAAGTAGCTAAGAAAGGCGTGGAGATCCACTATGTCTCAAATGCTCCGTGGCAACTATATCCCCTTTTGGAGAGATACTTTAAGCAGGTTGGCCTGCCACCAGGCTCTTTTCATCTGAAGCAGTATTCAGGCATGTTGCAAGGCATTTTTGAACCAACTGCCGAGCGCAAACGAGGCTCTCTAGAGCAGATCATGCGAGACTTCCCCGAGCGCAAATTTATCCTTGTTGGTGATAGCGGTGAGGCTGATCTTGAGGTCTACACTGATATTGTGCTAGCCAATCCTGGCCGCATTTTGGGCATTTTCATCCGTGACGTTACAACGCCGGACAAGAAGCCGTTTTTTGATCAATCCGTTGGCCATTTGGAACCGGCACCGGAGCCTATTCGTAGTCGCAGTACTCCACAACCTTTCGACCATTCGGACTCTCTTGTCAACAGACCGTCTCTGCCACCTCGTCGGCCACTAGCACCACCTCCCGGCGTCGATTTTAAGCGCTCTATTAGTGAGGACTTGATTGATTTACGAGACGATGAGCCAAAGGAGAAGGATGTTGCGCCCGAGATTCCTACCGCGACGAAGCCACGGCTGCCTCCTGGCAAACCGACGAAGCCATCTTCACTCAGGACGACATCTGGAGTCGGTGATGTCTCTGATCCTGTGACAACCAATGAAAAGTCCTTCTCTCAAGAGACCATTCGCCGCAAGCCAGTCCCTCCCCTACCACCTCGACGTCTTGCAGCCAAGACAGATTCACTCATTGATCTGGATACGTCTCCGCCTCTCTCGCGCTCTCGTACGGAGCCATTCACGAGTGAGGGTCACCAAACCGGTCCGCCGACACGGTCCAAAGCACCTCCTCCAGTCCCTCCTCCACGCCGGTCAAATACAGCCTCGTCAACAACGGGCTCCGGATCCAGTGGGACCTCCACACCACGACATGCAACACCAGCCACGAAATCATACCCCGCGGCCGCCGGAGCCGCCGCCCAAGCAGCCCTTAATTACGCCACAGAGCGGCTCAACTTTTCGGCCTCCCCGGGGCAGAACCTCCGCACCTCGGCATCAAACCAATCCCTCAGCCGCACATCTACTAGCTACAGCGCTGCCGAGCCTCTCCCGAACAAACGGGAAGAACTTTGGCGCCGCCGGTGGGAGCGCGCAAGCAATATTCTCGAGCAGAACGGTGTTGTCCTGGGAAGCTGGCGTATTGGATCTGATGCACAACCTGTTTGTTTGTGGTTAGTTGAGGAGGCGATGAAGAAGATCCAGGTGAATGGATCGGAGGTGGGTGCTGGGCGCCGGCCATAATCTTCTTGCCCTGCATTGCTACGTGACTGCTGGGGTTGGGATTTGTACATAGGTCATAGATTATTGATACACACTGCTATTGTAGTCAATACAGTCCCTACCTCGTCTACAAACAGCTGATCAGTCCTTTTTGCGGAGACTTCTAGCACTATGTTTGATTTCCTCCAGGTTCCTAACAAAATTACTGATGCGTCATCGCAGCGAGATGTTTTGTTTATCTTCAAACTTTACCAACTATCCTCTATATGTTATTTATAAGGCCAAGATCCAGACCTTCGTAGATGACATCTCCTCAAATAACTGAGATGACCATTTCGCTGCCAGTCATTCGCTGTGTTGAAGCATGTGGATCCACCTCACTGATCGTGCCTCGGAAGTTACCATCTGATTGTCTGATGACTACCAGAACCGGTTAGCTCCTCCGTTGCTTCCAGCATGAAATCTCCGCTTCAAGTGGATCACTTTCTATCCTCCGCAAATCGATTGGCCAGCAGCTCTTGAACTTTGATTACTCACGCTCTTCTCGGGCCTCGGTTGAAAATCAAGTCTGCGATGATTGGCAGCCACTAAAACCTGGGGAACGCCAGTACGCTTGCTGGCCAAGGTCGGGTCCGACTAGTGGAGGGTTGCACCGGATTACTTCAACTGGTCGTGGGCCAGCTCTTTACTCAAACTTCTTTTCCCTCTCTACCGACCGACATATTCCCCCTCTTCTCCAACCATGCCCGCCCAAACCCTCACTCGCGCTGAGGTCGCCAAGCACAACACCGAGGACTCCCTCTGGTGCATTATCGACCACCGTGTATATGACCTAACTGACTTTGTCGACGCCCACCCTGGTGGTAGTGTCGTGCTCGCCCAGGTCGCCGGCCAAGATGCCACAACTGACTTCTACAACCTGCACAGACAAGAAGTCCTCGAGAAGTATCGTGACCAACTATGCATCGGCACAATCGAAGGCGAGAAGCCCGAGGTCATCGAACCCAAGGTCGGCGCCTTGAGCCCCGTCCCCTATGCGGAGCCGATGTGGCTGCGCCCTCAGTTCAAGAGTCCCTACTACAAGGAGAGCCACCGCCGGTTGCAAAAGGCCATTCGCGAATTCACGGATAAATACGTCACACCCGAGGCCCAGGAGAAGGAGAAGGATGGTACCTACATCAGCCAGGAACTGATCAACCGTATGGCCGAGACGAATGTTCTCGCCATGCGACTGGGACCCGGAAAGCACCTGCACGGCCTCTCGCTGCTCGGCGGTGTTGTGGATGGCAAGGAGTTTGACTATCTGCATGACATGATCGTCACGCAAGAGCTGGTGCGGGCAAATGCTCGTGGTTTCCAAGATGGTAACATGGCTGGTATGGCTATCTCGCTTACTGCGGTGCAGCAGTGGCTGCACAATGCGGAGCTTAAGAAGCAAGTTACCGCTGAGGTTCTCTCTGGCCAGAAGAAGATGTGTCTCGCCATTACCGAGGCCTTTGCTGGCTCGGATGTGGCCGGTCTGAAGACCACCGCTGAGAAGACGCCGGATGGCAAGTATTATATTGTCAACGGTACCAAGTGAGTGTCATAGCCAGTTATAGGGTCTGAATTCATGAACTAATATCTCTCCAGGAAGTGGATCACTAACGGCATGTTCGCCGATTACTTTGTGACTGGGTGCAAGACCGAAAAGGGCTTCTCAGTTCTTCTGATCCCCCGCGGCGAGGGTGTCGAGACTAAGCAAATCAAGACCTCTTACTCTACTGCCGCCGCGACTGCCTTTGTGCAGTTCGAGAACGTCAAGGTCCCCGTCGGCAACCTGCTGGGCGAGGAACACAAGGGCTTCATCGTGATCATGAGCAACTTCAACCATGAGCGATTCATGATGGTCGCCGCCGTGGTGCGCATGTCCATGACAATTGTCGAGGAGTGCCTGAAGTGGTGCAACCAGCGTATTGTCTTCGACAAGAAGCTCGTTGAGCAACCAGCCATCCGCCAAAAGTGAGATTCCTCCCCCAGCTTAGTCCAGCTATATGTCCATCCACCAAACTAACACACCAAAACTAGACTCGCCCGCATGATCTCCCTCACCGAGTCCAACCAAGCCTGGCTCGAGTCCATCGCCTACCAAATGTGCAACATGACCTACGCCGAGCAAGCCACTCACCTGGGCGGACCCATCGGTCTGCTCAAGTCGCATGCCACCCGGGCCGCTCAGGAGATTGCTGACCACTCGACCAACATCTTCGGTGGTCGTGGTCTCACGCAGAGCGGTATGGGTAAGGTGATTGAGATGTTCCACCGTACATACAAGTTCGATGCTATTTTGGGCGGAACCGAGGAGATTTTGGCCGATTTGGGTGTTAGACAGGCGATGAAGAAGTTCCCCAAATCGATGTTGTAGATGAGTGGGGTTTTGTAGAATGTTTGATTAGCTAGGGCTCCACTGGTGTGGTTGATATACGTTACTTATCTTGGGATCTCAACTACAATAAACAATGTCCTTGGGTCTCTTCCACTACATCCAATCATCCAATTAACTGACACCTCAGGATCTCTTATGAGTACATGTACGGAATACAGTGCAAGCCACTTTGTGGCTCACGGGCCCAGTACACACTTCACTCAGCCTCTCCCGAAATCGGCCTAAGTAGGTGTGCCAGAAAATTTGGGCTAAACACAAGAAGTTCACCGCGCCCTTTTTTTCACTGCGGCGGCTGGCCACCACCGGATCCACGATCTGGATCCCATCTTAGTCCATACTGCCATGCAGTCTGTTTCTACTCCTTCCTTCGTTATACTACTCGGGCATCGAACTCTTCCTTCTTTCTCGATCACAAGTTTCTCAACTAAAGTCTAAACTTTTTAGAAAGCCAAAGACAACAATTTTACACATCAGCAAAGCTTCCCCGATCATCTATTTCTCTATCTATATACATCTTCCACCATCATACTATGGCATCCTCATTCCACGATCAACCTACAACTACTTCGACCCCGATAGAACCTACTATGTCTTCTCCATTTCCAAACTCGGATTACAACAATTCTTCTATGAATCTCCGACCGATTTATCCCTTCTCGTTTTCTAACCCATGGATCCCACTTGATCCCATGTTTCCATGGCCCTGCCCGTCAACTCAATACAATGATCCACGTCTCTGGGCCTGGGCTGCGGGTACCAACTATCCACTTTTCGGCCAAGGACCCGCTTTTCCTAACTACAACTACAACTACGCCGAGACCCTATCGTGGATGAGGAATCTGGGACAACCCACATATTCGAGTCCTCCGATCGAAGCCATTCCCTCTAGTACCTCGGTCGAGGTGCAGCCAGAGACTGTTATCCACGAGACGGCAGCTATCGAGGGGCAGACATCTCGCGAGCATCGACACGCAACAGCTACAAAGTAAGTTAATCTTTAAAGATCTAGAAACTATAACCGATCTAGCCTGAGTTATACTAATCGTTGAACTAGCGCTAGCGCACCGAGTACCTTCCGGTGCAAATGGGAGGGATGTACATACACTGGTACTTTTGTCATTGAATCTAGTCTCTGGCGACACATTAAATCGACCCATCTCGCCCCGGACTCGCTGAAGTGCCCTGCACCACGATGCAAGAAATCGTTCGGTCGCAGAGATAAATACAATGCTCATATTCGACTTGTCCATCGGGATATCGCAGATTTGCTTGATACGCCTGAAGTTGAGGCCTGCGCTTAATGATTTTGGTGGATTTTTTGTTCTTCTAGGCCTTCTCCATTTATTTCTTTTGTTCTTGCTTCGATCTTCCTTAGTATATTTTGACCTTCTAGTTCTGTTCGTCTCTCTTTATTTCCAACCTATGGCGCTTGGTATTCTCCGGGAATCACATAGACAGCTGCAGAGCTACAGCCCTTGACCTGCTTCACGATTTAATGCAATCTGTTTTCCCACGCTCAACTTACAAATGCTAGATCATCACTAGTGCAAGAAGGCTTTTGGGCGCAAGGATAAGTGCGACGAACATATCCGTGTATCGGGGCATGGGAGACTTTCGGAGTGATACCCTTGGCCGCTTAACTTGCACTCAGGGGTGTTGATAGATCTTCGTCTTCCATTTGCATCTTTTTCGTCACTCATGTTCTTTTTTTTTTTTTTTTTTTTTTTTCCGATGCTTTGCTTTCGTTGATTTTCAGCACGATGGCGCTGGACACATTCTGGAAACTTCAAAAATAGGTGCAATTGTGCAATTCTTCCTGTGCTTGACATTTTCGTTTTAGTTCATCTTCGTGTAACTTTCAGCAATCTTCTAGATAAACTTCACATTCAGTATTATATAAAGATCTGATATTAGGAAACAACTTTTGTCAGTTTGTCTAGATTCTCCTTATTGATGCCCGAGGCGGACTCTGCGGGGAGGCTGTGTATACCTCGGGCTTCGGGATCATTGTTGATCCGTGGGGCGGCTCTTTATTGCATCACCATCACTGCCTGGTCCGCTCTCAACTACTTAAATCACTCCTGTCTCCTGCAACTTTCATCACAGTAACAGAACAGACAGCTCACTACCACGCTATGTCAGGAACAAATCCACTCAGCCCGGACAACATCCTGGAGCTCGCAGCCAAAGCTCTTGGCTCCGGCCAACCGATTCTCCAAACACCCTATGAAGCTCTGGCTCTGATCGGCCATGCCTGCATGGCAGCGGTGGACTTTCGGCTAGTGGGACTTGGAGAGGATCACAATCTAGGTTAGCATACCCAGTCAATATTTGCGCGAACCAACTTAGAATTCCCCTGCTAACATTTTGACAGATTCATCAACAGAGCCCTCCGCCCTCCCCACTGAATGGAACGCCAACTCTACCTTTGCCTTCCGATATGCCCACGCACAATCCTCGATGCAGTACTTATTCAAAGTGAGCCGGCTTGGAAATAATGCTGTGATATTCGCGCTAGCCCTGGGTGATGATCGCACCAGCTCCTTCGACCTCCCCGCCAAAGACTACATCTCCGCATCCGCTCTACCCCTCACACAAACCGAAAACCTCACCAGTGACCTCCGCGATGTGTTCATTTCAACAGCTCGACTGAATGATTTGATCGGGCTGTTCAAGATCAACGTGATCCAGAAGCTTGCGCCAGGACTATACAAGGAAGGATACGAAGAACCGAGTCGGCCCACGAGGGAACAACCCGAGGATTCGCGCCAGCGCGATCGTCTTCGCGATGACTCTCTTCCTCAACCTGCGCGTCCATATCCATTTGAGGATCCCCTAGCCCCGGCGCCTCGCCAACCGAACCCCGCGGGGGATTTTGCTCCTCCGGGATTCGAGGATGAATTCGAAATAAACCGACCTCCGCGTGGGTTCCCCCAGGCTTCCCCGGTGGCCGGAGTCCTTATAACATCGGAGACCGCGATCTCTACCCTGCCGGTCTTGGGCCCAATGATCCACTCCGCGGAACGATGGGTCCGGGCTTTGGTAGCGGTGGCGGGATGCATCCGACCTTTGACGATCCCCTCTTTGGAGGCACTGGGAGCTCAGGTGGTGGTTATGATCCTCGTGCACCCCCTGGAGCACGCTATGATCCTCCGGGGCCATTCGGACCCCCATCTGGCAGTGGCCGTAGGCCTGGTGGAGGTGGCTTTGGAGGCTTTGGAGGTGGATTCGGCGGCGACATCATCTAGATGCGCTGCGGCCAAACACAAAAATAGCTACTGAATTTGACGATTTATGACTGCGACGATTAAATGGGGATTTCTCTTCCTGTGACATGTATTATTAACATTAAATCAGATCAATTCTTCCATATTGCTCGAACACATTGCTCCCACATTCCCATCACTGTGCAGTAGTCCCAGCTCACTTCATCTCAAACTTACTCTCCGTCTCCAACCAAGTCCCAAAGTCCTTCAGTCCAGGATGAATCTTCCTCACTTCCTCAATATCCGCCGCATACCCTTCATCATAGAACCACTTGAACATGTAACCAAACTCCTTAACCATACCCATAATACCCGCACCCACAAAGCTAAACGTAGTAGGAATATCCCGACCAGTCTTCTCCTTGAAAATACGCACAAACTGATCATACGTCAACTCATCACCAGCCAACGAGATAGCCCTCCCCTTGTAATCCCTCGCATTCAAAAAGACTTCCGCCGCAACCGCACCTATATCACTACAAGCCACCATCTGCAACGACTTCCCCTTCAACGACATCCTAAAGCAAGTCGCAAAGACTTTACCGATGAAGTCCGGGGTGAGATTATCGTAGAAAGCCGTCGGGCGCAAGATAGTCCAATCCATCTGGCCATTCTTGGTCTTTTCGATCAGATGTCTCTCGATGTGATACTTGAAGATCCAATGGGGCATTTTGGTCGGGTTGTCGATTGATTTTGCGCCATGGCGATCAACAGAGGTATAGACAAAGTGTTTGACGCCATTTTTGATGGCTTCGTCGATTAGGGCTTTGCCTTGGACGTCTTCGGCGGATTTGTTTCCGACGGAGGCCTATCATCAGATCGTCGTCATCAGTACACATAGCATACTTTGAACGGATTATATTGTTAGACGCAAAACAAGACTTCATACCTGAACACTGAAGACACCCCAAATCGGCCCCGCTATCTGGGGTGCCTTCTTGAATATCTCGCCAGGATTATCCAAGTCACCTTGTAGAAGAGTAATGTTTTTGGAGAGCTTGATGAGTTTCTGTGCAGAGGCTGATTGTGTGTTGCGGGTGAGAGCGAGGATCTTGAAGGGTGCGTTCTTCTTGACGAGATTCTGGACCACAGCACCGCCTTGTTTACCTGTGGCGCCGGTGACGAGGATTGTGGCCATTGTATGAAATTTGAAAGAGGGATGGAAAATCAGATATTGAGGAGTATACTGTAAAATGCGATGGTTGTAGCAACGATTTTTGGGGAGGATAGTGCGGAGGTCAGCTCCTATTTATACAATCTTCTCTACTCCTGGTATTTGGTCAGATATTATCATGTAGTTCAGCTGATGCGAAACAATCACGGAGAAGGTCGGAATTTGGAAGCGTAGCCGAGAGCATCCTATTCGAACTAACACAGCAAAATGAGGCGCTACGTACTCCGTAGAGCATGTAGATAGCGTCTCGGGATTGAGATCAAGGCCGAAGCCGGGCAGCCGGGCTCATGATAAGCAGCCTAAACTACATCCAGCATGTCTTGGACCCACAAGGATAGAAGGCCAAAGTTTATTTGGAGCTTCCAAGCCTTCCAGCCTTCCATAGTGGATCCCTAGCTTGGGGTCCAAGCCAGGATAAAGTGTACAAGTTGGGATGTCGGGTAAGATAGCTCTGTGAGTCCGTTCTGAAAGAAGTACAGTGCCAGTCCAAAATGTATTCCAGGGATGTAATGAATTCTGATCTAACCAATAGTCATATCGCGAACGTTGTCCCTGTACATTTCCATCACCAAGGTATCCGATCCGGGGTCAAATGCACTGCTGGTACTTGTTCCTGGCTGCTGAGAGGCCCAGATCGACGAATATGGGTAGAATCAGCTAGAAAAGACACGAGTGACTTCTGGGGACTACCCGTCGATATATCATTGGCACTCTTAGCAGTGACGCGTTCCATAAGACGAGAAAGTGGCTTCCAAAGGACCCATCCCTGCGGCGGCCCATCTTGCTGCCAACGCTGAAACATTAAATTTGCAATCGTCCAAGCACGATCAGTCGCCTGTGATGGTAGCCGTACATATATCTCAGAAAGGACAAAGGCAAACGCATGCCATTGCCGATACATCTCAAACATCCAGGACCAGTGGGCAGTCTCATCGCTACTTTCGAGTAAATGAGTGAATTCAAGAACCTCAATGGCGGTTTGGAAGAGTACTTCGCGCCGTTGCTGGCACAGATCCGAGATCAAGTCGTCGGACGCGATGAGCGAAAGGTGGGCTACTAGCCATGATCGGGCTAATGCGATTCGCGTCATTGTGGCAGCGACCCATTGAATGGGGACGCTGAGAACGCAGTATTTCAGACGCTTATTTTCGATGAATGTGCTCATTTCGGTGAGTGCGTGTGTTGTATCTTCGACCGACAGTCGCGTGAGTCCAAGTCCTGGCATGGTGCCTTTGAGGATCAGGCGATATCGGACGTTGATCTCACATCTGATCAGACAGAATGTCATTTCAGTAAATCTTCTCTCTCTTGAAAAGGAACAGTTGCTTCAGGTGATAGATCATCGTCGTTGACGTTAAGTGGAAACTCGGTGTCATATGTTCCCTCATAGATCTGAGGGCTCATTGCTTGGTGTTCGGAAGTTTGCGAATCAAGCAAGTAAATGTACCACCGCAGACGCCGATGCATTTCCGTTTCAAATGGACCAAGACCAAGTTTTAAGATGTATTCTATCCCTAGCTTGACGCAGCCAGTGCACGGTTGAGTCTTGCTGCAGCGAGTTTTTCGTTGATTGCATTTCTGACAACTGCGAGTTTGTATTGTGCTCTCGGTATTGACCGAGATACTTGGCCCCGATATGCTTGTCATCAAGAGACTTGAAATCAGGTTCGGGGTCAAAATAGCGATGGTTGTTGGTTAGTTAAGGTTGGAGGGTGGCGGATTCGGGCTTAATATAGCGCCCGAGATGATTCAGCGGAAGTCAATCCACCATCTACTTTAAGGATTGTTCTATACACTTTACTAAGCTCCAATATGAAGCTAAATTACAAAAGAATGGGAATCTTGACGTATATAAGTCAATGGTGATGCCTCTATCCCTAGGAAATTTTCCGATACACTTCCACTCATCATTCTATATCGACGTATCAACTACCAAAGATGACCACCGTTGGCATTACTGGTATCACTGGCTAGTTTGCGAGAAAGCTCGCATCCCATATCTTGAAACGCTCGGATGTCGCTATCCCCGGCTACTGTCACGACCCGAGCAAGGTTTCAGAAACCATCGCCTCCTCGCCTAAAGTGACACTCATCAAAGGTGACGCATTTGACCATGATTCTATGAGCAACTTTGTCAACTCCTGCGACGTGGTCTTATGCTGCTATCTTGGCGACGACAAGCTTATGGTTGACGGCCAAAAGGCCTTGATTGGTGTGTGCGAGGAATGTAATGTTCCCCGCTATGTCGCTAGCGATTGGGCATTGGACTATACCAAGCTGAAGCTCGGCTAGCTGTTTCCCAAGGACCTCCGATTCATGTCAAGGCCTACCTGGAAACAGGGAAAGTTCAAGGCCCGCATACCCACATTGGAGGATTCATGGAGCCAATCTTCAGTTCATTCTTCAACATTTTTGACCCGAGCACTAATACCTTCCGGCATAGGGGTAATGGCGACGAGGTGATGGAGGGAACCACCTATGATAATGCTGCTGAATTTACTGCTGCCGTGGCTTTGGAATCCAAGGCAACTTGAATTGTCCGATATAAGGCTTGCCCATTGACGTTGACTTGCTTGAAGTTTCGCTGACTTTTGATGATAGTTCTTGGTGGGCGTGCAACAATTCGTGAGATCGCTCAGTCCTTTGAAAAGGTGTTAGGAGTCAAGCCTACTCTTGAGAGCCTCTCCCTGGGTGATCTATATAAGACGATGCATGGACTTCGCCAGAAGAACCTGGCTGACGTCTTTAGTTACATGTTAATGTGAGTACTCCACTTTTCCCATATAAGGATCCGACATGAAACTAATCATATTGCTTCACAGGTTCTTCTACTACTGCCGGATCAATGGCCAGACCTTTGTTGGAACAGAGCTCAATAACTCCCAGTACCCTGATGTCAAGCCGGTAGGTTGGGAGAATTTATGTATTAGGGGCCTCTAGAGCAGCTCCCAACCGCATTCTTTGCTCTGAATGCCTGGATTAGTCAATGTCTTGTAATAGGAAGAGGTTTCAAAGAACAGTTTGGAAAGGAAATGAAGCTTTTCACAAAGTCATCTGCAAAATCCTCTGGCAAATTAGGAGCAGATTGACGACATCAATTGATTTAGTTTACTATGATCACCTCCAGCTCTCTTGAAATCGACAACTTGTACACTGGGTCTATTTAATAACTCTAAAAGTGGGTGCGCATGGCTGACAGCACACATTCCTTGGACTGCTTGCCTGGCGGCTACACTCAATTTATTGATCTCGTTATTCAAAGTCTGGGAACAATTAAAAGGTTCTTGTAGTTCCTTTGTCAAATTTAACTAGATAAATCTTGACGTGCTCTGTCCTTAGTATAGTTATGAGTGGCGCATGAAATAGCCGCCGTAGCCCAGAGGTGTGGCGCAGATGTGATGTGGCGCAAACTCAACCTCCAAACTTGCCAAACCTGCCTTGACCTTCCCGCAACTCCCATCTCTTCTCCCTTTCCTGCTCTGTTCTCCCCTCTAGTCCAACTCCAGCCCCCCTCATCCCTGATCCCTGGAGTTGATCCTGGGAAAATTCTTTGCCTACTTCGAATTGCTTTTTCTTGGATCTTTTACTACTTTCAGTCTTCGCTTTTACGATCCCTGGACGAAAACTCAGTGCCTATTTCTCACGAGACCGCCCCTCCACCCCCCAGCTGGCCCCTCCTCCCTGTTTACGCCAGCTGTGCCCACCATGGATAACAACATGGAAATTGATACCGCGCGGTCACCCGAGCCACACAACCTCTCGCCCACAAGTGACCCCGGCTCCATACCGACTTTGGATGGCTGGATCGAGAGTTTGATGACGTGCAAGCAACTAGCGGAGGAGGATGTTCGGCGGCTGTGCGATCGGGTGGGTTTCTTCGCTGAACGCAGCGCATAGCTTCAAGAATTGACGAATTTTCTGCATTTCAGGCACGAGAGGTATTGCAGGAGGAGTCGAACGTCCAGCCAGTGGTATGTTTATTGTGATCGCCTCCTCCGGTCGGGGGATTCGCCAGCCCACCTAGGAGCGCCGCTGACGACTCCACCACAGAAATGCCCAGTCACGGTCTGCGGTGATATACACGGTCAATTCCACGACCTAATGGAACTCTTCCGTATCGGTGGTCCCAATCCGGATACAAACTATCTCTTCATGGGTAAGTCGGTGTAGCTTTCCTGTCGGTCGGTCGGGGGAGCTAGTGGGGCCAAGTTTCCGTGCTGTTAGCTGGACGCCCACCCAAAACAACAGAATATCACTCTGACTAGAATTTTTCGCATTGCTGCAGGTGATTATGTCGATCGAGGCTACTATTCCGTCGAGACTGTGACCCTTCTGGTCTGCCTGAAGATTCGTTACCCCCAGCGTATTACCATCCTCCGTGGCAACCACGAGTCCCGTCAGATCACCCAGGTCTACGGTTTCTACGACGAGTGCCTTCGCAAATACGGCAACGCCAACGTGTGGAAATACTTCACCGATCTCTTCGACTACCTTCCCCTCACTGCTCTCATTGAAAACCAGATCTTCTGTCTGCACGGTGGGCTGAGCCCGTCTATCGACACCCTCGACAACATCCGATCTTTGGATCGTATCCAAGAAGTCCCGCATGAGGGTCCCATGTGCGATTTGCTCTGGAGTGATCCTGATGATCGTTGTGGTTGGGGAATCTCCCCCCGCGGTGCGGGGTACACATTCGGACAGGACATTTCGGAAGCCTTCAACCACAACAACGGCTTGACTCTGGTTGCACGAGCTCACCAACTGGTGATGGAGGGATATAACTGGTCGCAGGATCGAAACGTGGTGACAATTTTCTCAGGTATGTCTCGGCGTTGGGGGTCAGCGGAGGTGGAAGCTTTGTTGAGCTTCTTGTTGGGATCAGATGGCTAACCCACTATCTACTACAGCCCCCAACTATTGTTACCGCTGCGGCAACCAGGCCGCGATTATGGAGATCGATGAGCATCTGAAGTACACATTGTGAGTTATCTCTCGTTACCCTTTCTCGTCCTGCGTCCGTTTCGATCTCGTCTGGGACTGACCCTTGCTGACTTGCGCCTCTTTTAGTCTACAATTTGACCCTTGCCCCCGGGCGGGAGAACCCATGGTATCGAGGCGTACACCCGACTATTTCCTGTGATAGATTTCATTGTTGTCCTTCTGAAGGCTACTGGGTTAGCGGAGGGAGGAAAATGCATCCGAACAAGGCTTTCGCTGCCGAATTAATTTTGTATGGTGTTGTGCCTGGACGTTTGTTGATACCAATTATGAAAATAAAAGACCCTTTTGCGAGATCTGAATCACTATTTATCCTGTGTTTGGGTTTGAGGGTTATGTATGGGCCTAGAACAGCTCTGTAATTGGGAGATGTCCAAGACGTCAACGACCTTCAGAGCCGAGACATCTAAACGAGCCTCCAGCCGTCAAGGCGGATGGACTGGTCCACCATGTTATATGTCTGGTATGTCTATAGCAGTATTGTGTCATTAGATTGACCTCCTTGTCTCTAATTACAGTGTCGCGTGAGCAACTGCGAAACATTTGGCACCCTATCATCCCATCTACGACTAATATTCCCACGAACATGTCAAGATGAGAATCGAAATCATGAGTAAATCAAAAGGCAGTGGTCATTATCATTCAATTACTTTACAAATGCAGTCTATCCGCCAATGGTATCTCTAATATATGCATCACCTTCCCATCCCCAGTCCTTGTAGTAGCAACGCTAGCTGCTGCTACTTTCAATATCTCGCTCCGTGTCATTTTTCTGAACCTGCTGCACCGAAACATCCTTTTCAGAATCATCATTCCCACGGTAATGCCGCACCTTGGAGCTACCATTCGGGACATGGAACCGCTTGTCGACACGAGAGAACAAGAAAAGGATCACAACCGACAAGTCGAGTCCGAAATTAAAGACGTAGAAGCAGGCTTTGTGCATGTACGCTGGCGGGTCGTAAATAGGATGAGGTCTCATCCAAGAAGTTCCAGCACGGAACGAAGCACCGAGACACAACAAGGTCCCAGCAACGAGGATGATAAGACCTTTGGTCCGCCATGATCCAGAACCGAATTGGGCAACCTTTTTCTCATCCGCGAGGAGCAGCACCAGCGAGACAATAGGCAGCGGTAGGAACGAGACGATGGCGAAGTATGTCGAACCGTAGAGTTGGATATCACGATCGATGCGATGCGTATTCGCATTAAGCGTATACATACTCTGAACAACGACCGTAATAACCATGATAATGGTAAGGGCCACCAAAACATAAAGAACCTTAAACGCCCAAGAGACAGGCCGCGACCAGCCAATAGCCGGGAACGCAGCACGTAGCATGCGTTGGGCATATAGCAAATTCAAGATGAACAGGAGTAAAACTCCAGCAGCAACGAAGATCTGCGCAGCAATTGCAACTGAAATATTTTTCGGATAACAGGCCCAGGCTATACGGGTCACATTCGCGACAACACGCGACATGCAAAAGCCGAATGTGACGGCGGAAGGGATGAATTTGTGGCCTCGGGCGAGATTACGACGGAAGATAACCATATGGCTAATACCGAAGCCGAGGAATGCAGCGAGGAAGACGGAGCAGATGGGCACGTCGACACTCTTCGTTGGACGACCGCCCAGTTGGGCTATGACGGAGGCGTAGGGGCCTCCCATTGTGATGGCGATAGGAGAGTTTCGATCGGAGGATTGAGATTCAGACTTGTGGCGCGTTCGAGCGTGTAGGGGGTCTTATGAGGAGTATAAGACCGAAAGAGAGGATATAGCTGTATAAGCTTTTGATGGGAATGTACCCGGCTAGGCGTGGTATTCGAAATGTTCTGGAAAAGAAATCATGATGGAAAGCTTATGAGGTCGTCTACAGGGCTATATACCAGGCCGGCCGGCTGCAGATAGCGTGGCATTTCCGACTACAAGGGTCCGTGAATGGACCCCACGGAGGCCGAAGAGGGCGAGACACGGTGCTAGCGATCAGGTTCCGAGCTGATTGATCGGTGGGATGAGCTTTGACTGGTTTCAAAACTTTTCCATGGGACTGGTCTCGAGCTCGCGTGTTTAGAAGAAAAGAATTAAAGTACCCCATATCTGGGAAAGGGGGTATCCACTTGTCTAACCATATTTCACTAGTAACTAATAACTGGTAGAAGACAATAGCATCTCGATCTGCCTATTTACTATTCCTATGTCTATCTCAAGAGACCAACTTTCAATCTACACTCTCTGTCTGTCTGGTCTTGCAATTCCACATACATCATACTACATCTACGCAGCAAAAATAATTTCTAATACGGCCACGGGTCATCCAATCCTGATTATACGGGTTATCGGAGTATCTATTTTAATATAATTCTCCGGTTAAATCCAATCAAAGCTCGCACATTGTACTTGCAAGTCGGCGGCAGCGGTGGTTCGCGCGCCGGTGAAAACGGAGACCGAAACGCCGACTGGCCGAGTGGATCCGATCAGGGATAAATTTGCATTGGAGGATCAAATCAGCTTGGATTCTGGAGTAACGAATACGAATGAGTTGGATTTAAAATCGTCGACAAAGAAAAACAGATACATAGCTTGCCCGATTTTTGCTTTTCTTTCTACCTTGACATAATCTCCATTCGGGCTTTTTTTGGTCCGTCTGCGTCATCGCTGTCATACGATCGATAGAGATGATTCCTGAGAGTACATACGATGGAGTTCACAACCTCTACATGTGCAAACAAAAACACTTTATGCAGATAAAAACAGGCTAATCGCTGACAACTAGGCGGTATAGGCCACAAAACTTCATCTGCCTCCCATTTCGTTTATCATACAGATCAGTTCTTCGCCTTCTTCGCCAGAATCTCCTCCACCTCCTTTGCATGCTTGGAGAAGTTATCCACGAGACTATCCCACATCTTGGGCTCATGCTCATGCTTCTTATCACTGTTCCAGGCATAATCCGTAATAGTGAATGGCCGGCTAGACTCGAACATGATCGCGATCGAGGCCTCGGAGATTTTCATCACAGGTGGCTCCTCATCACTCGCCGCCTTGAATTCTTCATAAGCCACACCGTGGGGCACCACTAAGAAGAGGGACAAAGTCAATATGATGATCGACATATAAAAAGCCTCGTAGGAGCAGGGATGTGACATACTTCCGCATTCAAAGGACACACTGCCTGGCTTGAAGGCGTCGGAGCGACCGCCATAATCGCCGTAGATAAGGCCCATTAGTTCGGAAGCAACATTCCGGTGGTAGTATGGGGGACGGTAGGTGTCTGCGTTGATACGTTAGTATGTCAATCGATTTAGCCGTTGGGTATGGGGATCATACGAGATGCGACATCCCATCGCGGGGAGAAGGTCAGCAAGTCGGCCAATGGCGAGGTCAAGTCGCGCGACTTGGCTGTAAGAACACAGAAAATGGACGGGTCGATGTGATCAACGGAGATGGAGCCCACATTGACAAATTTGGTGAGGTCATATTTATAGGGGATCTAAGGCAAGATTAGCAACCATTCAGTAGTCTCGTTCAAAAAACCAGCACATACGTAGTTTCCATGCCAAGCGACAACATCAAAAGGACTGTGGTTCTGCGTGCTCTTGAAAAACTTGCCGCCAAGCTTATACACAACCTCCCAGGGCTCCTGGGCAATCTCATATTGAGCAACGGGGTGCAAGAAGTCCCGTGCATTAGCCAAGCCATTAGCGCCCAGGGGTCCAAGCTCCGGCAGTTCGAAGCATGTACCCCAGACTTCAAGGATATAACCACGCGAGGGGCCGTCGGGGAGTTCCACACGGAAGCGCAGGCCACGTTGGATGACGACGATCTCGCCGGGTTGGACAAACAGGGGTCCAAACTCAGTCTGAATATTGAGTGCACCCTGCTGTGGAACAATGAGGAACTCTCCATCCGAGTTGACAAAGGCCTTCTTCTTCATGCTGGTGTTAGCGACATAGACGTGAGTGGCTAGACCCTCGCGCAGTGTTGGGTCACCCGAGCCTGCGACAGTCTTCAGTCCGGAGACAAAGTCCACTTCCTCGTTCTCGGGAATGTCGAAGGGATGCCATGCGAGCTGAGTGGGGGAGACGTGAATGCGAGGGTTCAAAGGCAAGAAGTTGGACTCGGTGTCTTTGTTATCTGGGAGCTCGGTCTTGAGAGATGTTAGCATTTGTTGGTATATCAAGATATTCGCAGTAATGGTAAGGACCAGTGCATACAAAGCCCTGATGAGCGACTGCGGGACGGGCACGGTACAGCCACGCCTTCTTGTTCGCATGTCTCGGGGCCACAAACGCTGTAGCAGTGATCTGTTCGGCGTAGAGTCCAAAACGAACATTGCGGGGACTGTTCTGACCGCGTGGAATAGTTCCAGGAACTGCCTCTGATTCGAAACTATAAGAGATCAGCAAGTTGAATCGCTGAATGTATGAGTTGATACATACGAGTTGCCAAACCCGGCTTGGTACTGGAAGACATTAGCGGATGAATACAATTTCAAGTAGCATGATGTAGTGACTTACCTCATAAGGGTCATTACGTCTTGTAGCAAAGGAAGGGATTGTCCCATTCTTTTGCGTCTCTGCCCAGTGGAGAATCTTCTGATACTCCTTGGGATCGGCGAGGTCACTTGTGGAAGGCATGATGGATAGGTATAGTTCAGCTGAACAATTGAATCCAACCCAAATGGCAGTTTCGTCAAAATGTCCGATGTATTCACAACTCGAATCATATCTGGGGGTACACTCCCCTCCTTATACTTCAAGTTGTGGGGTCATACCCCTTGATCCCCCGGAGAACAAGAGACCCGAAAACAGGCGCTCAGTGCTTCTGAGCGCCTATTTGCGCGATCCACCCGGATATAGGACCAGAGCATCGTCATCGCCGCGGCGTTACCAGCATCAGCTGAGCGCAAAATGGAACCGTGAATGGGCAAATTTGAGCGGGTAGTCTGCCTCGGGTCCGCGCACCACGCTCAATGCTCATACAATCGCATACAAATCGGCATCTCGAAAGCACGACGCTCTGCCGACCTCCCCGGGGTGTGGATCGCGATTCGCCCACGGGCGCAGTGGGGACAATCCGGCGGCTTCGACAATTCGAGGGACCGGGTTGGAGACCCCACATGAGTCAGGCCTGAGTAACCGGTGGAGGAGCTGAATTCTGGAACTATGCATACGTGGGGTACGGGCAACGGGAAAGAGAACAACGAGTGTTCTGTTGTTCCTGTGATGGTGGTGGTGTTTCCTGATTGTGTGTGCGATCCACTGCTTCGCAACGCCCGGAAGTTGGGCGGCGTCAGTGGGGGACTCCTTTCTAAGAGGCCATAACCAGGAAGAGGCGGTGCGGGAATGAAAAGTGTCGCCAACTGCCGAGAATCCCAATATCGTTGATGGGTTATCTCGATGTGGATTTCGTCGAATATTCAGCTGGGCAAAAGAGGTGGTTTGTGGATGGAAATAGGAAACAATTGGGTAACACTGATTTAACCGGGGATGTTTGTCTAGCTAAAGAACACCAATTTATCTATGTGCTGTTTATTCCAAATGCTATGTAGGTACCTCAAAGTATAGAAACTGCATAATCTATTCTAGTTGAGCAGGCTAATACGCCCAGCAGTCAAAGAAGCAATAATGGGCATGTAGGTGCCAATGCCGACCTCTTGCAGCACCTTGCAGTGCTCAACTCGTCGTCGTGCAGCAAACTGCATCGCGTCGATCTCCTTGCATTCGCCAAAAGGTCCATACGCAAAGCGAGACTCCTCAGACCAAGGGCTTTCACCGGAGACAAATTGGATCCAGCGATTGCGCATTTCCTTTCCAACTGCCTGTGCAGCAGGATTGAAGGACAGGTCGACGCCATCAAAAAGGAATAGCAGATCAACCGCATGATGGGATCGACTCGATGGCTGCCAGGGATTGGTCTGGTCAACAACATACTTGTAGACATTCTTGTTGGCCACCTCGAGCTTATTGGCAACGAGTTCGACGGGCAGCGTGTAGCGCGCATCGTTGACAAGATCCAGAGCACCAAGCTTTGCAGCCGTAGGACGATCGCCCACGACTTGGTATAGTTTGCGAAGCTTGGTACCCCACTGCTTGTCACTGTCGAAAGCCGCGGCAATAGTCTCGCCATCAAAAAGCTCAACGCCATTTCGCCAGATCACGGACTATACAACGGTTAGACGAGATTGAGACATATCTCGGTTCAATGACCTGGAACGTACCTCATATTCTGTATCTCCGATCATAAGCTCGTCCACTTGCTCCTCTTTAGTTTCCCAATTCTCTAGCTCGAGTTCTTCCTGAATCCACATTGTATTGACATTACAGTCTTTCAATGCCTGAATCAGGACTGGGACAGATGATTCCCGAAGTGAAGCCTGGCCCAGTTCTTGAACCTTTGCTTCAAGGGCCTTGATCAAACCGTTACCTCGCTCCACGGGTAGTGGCGAGGACAGGTACAAAGTGCCCGATGCAAGAATTGCCCGCTTTACAGGCGGTCCAGTAATCAGGTGCGCATGAGTATAAATTGCACCCGCGCTCTCACCAGAGAGGGTAATATTCTCCTATGCTGAATTAGCATTTGTCATTGTCATAAAAAATGTCAAGTCACTTACAGGGTCACCACCAAAAGATGCGATATTCTTGCGCACCCAGTCAATACCAAGCTGCTGGTCCTTGAGAGCCAAGTTCTTCTCTTTACCGTCCCCGAAGCTGAAAATGTTGAGGCGATAGTTGATTGATACAAAGATAATCGGCTTTCCCGCTTTAATGGAGTCCGCAACAAGCTTTGTCGGATCTATTCGTTGTTCAGTCGATTAACTTTTGTGCAATCAATATTGACTTCGAGACATACCACAGATCTTGGATTGAGCCGAGCAGAAGGTGACAACCTGAGAGCCACCATGAATCCAAACAAGCACTGGGAGGGGCCCAGTAACCGAGGACACTGGAGGGCAAGTAATCTCAAGATTCAAGCATTCAAATTCATCCTCTGCCTCCGGGGCAATGGCAAAGTCCTCGGGAATGCGTAGTAGATGACGGACATCTATGTCGACTTGAGGACATCTCGGCCTGTATCACATTGTTAGAGATCTATAATCTTGAATTTCCAAAGACCAAAACTAACCCGTATTTCGTAGCGTCCACGGTGGCGCCAGCAAAACTATCTACGGCAAGCGCCCTCTCAAATCGCGCCGGCACGCTGGCATATTTGATGCCTAAGAATTTGTGGACGGGAATACCTCCGTCATCGCTTTGACAGCCCTTGAAAGTGGCATTCAAGATCTTGTGCTGAACCTCCGGGGCGGACATGATGGTGTGTAGTAGTAGTAAAGACAAAGCCACAAGTATGAAGTGAGCAAGTATCTCCTACGTGAGCATACAAAATGTGGTCCAGGGGCAGTCACGGCTGATACCACCGTTGTCAATTCCCGAGATGCCCACCTGGCGTCAGAGTCGGCGTGAATTCCGTCCATACTTTTCCAGTTTGAGTTGTCGTGGGGCTGATCGTGGGGAATCCACCTCGTGGGGTACAGTATGTAGCTTTGGTTAACGCACAGTAGTTACCCCACTCTCCTAATCCTCGGAAAGCCTAACAGAAAGTCAGGTATCTTGCTGTACTTCGGCTGGAACGGAAGAGAAGAGGGCCCAGGCTCTTGGTAATTGATTGCTAAGGAGCATAGGAGATGGTGCAATTCAGCGAGAAAGAATTTATTCCGTCAGCTGGTTATTTGTAGTCTTCCTTCCTGTCTACCTCAACTCTTAATTTCTCACAACTTCATAATCAGGCATCAAGGCAGAAATTTCTCCCCGGCGTGGGGTTCTCCCTGATCTTCGCCAATAAGAATGTCCAAAATTATGGTTCTTGCATAAGAGCAGAGGTCTATTTTGTCATTAATGTACAATGTGTGAGAAGAGAAACATGTTGTTATGTACAAAAAAGAGGAGATGCCTGGTATGTGAACGCCTGCTCGGAAAATGGAAACAACGAACTTGGCAATTCACCACCTACTCTGGTGTCGGTTGATCGGACTCATTTGGAGGAGATGGCTTCTTACCAATCAAGCCTCCAATGAATAGCAAAATTGGGATAGCAGAAACACCAGTCATGATGGCCATAGCCCATCCCATAGTGCCCCAACCAGCATCCTCACGGATAAAGCCAGCGAAGAACGGACCGATCAGACTGCCCGCAGCAAAGCCCATGTTAGACAGACCGAATGCAAGCGCCATAGCACCTCCGCGGCCAAAAATATCGGGGAACTCGTTTTCCTTTTCCTTAACGGCATGGAACACCTCTGTGACAAGAGGCGGCATCGCAACGGCCAGACATAGACCGAGCATGGCTAACAAAACACAAAGGACGACTTTATGATGCATCGTGTTGTCAGTCACCAGGCGCAGTAGAACAGCAACAGGAACAGCACCGATGAATGCTCCAGTTGCAAGATATCGCGGAGACTTTGGGTATTTGTCGATGATATACCCGGTTATTGGGTCGCTGAGATGAGGTATCATCATCGGAATAAAGATTAACCCTTGGCCAGTCTGCTCCCAGCCAAAAGTTTCCTGCACAAACAGTGGAAGGACACTATCGAAGGAGGTTAGAACCAAGGATACAATGAAGTACCCCCAGAGCGAGACGATCAGACGGGGAGAGCTCAAAAGAGTGATAGCCTGTCCAACAGGGTTTCGAGTTCGGGTTGACTTCTTTTCAGACATCTCAGATGGCGGCCCATTCTCAATCGCAGAAGAATCAGATGCATCCTGTGCTGGTGTCATCTTGTTATCGTTCTGCTCTAATGATGATGCCATTGTCTCCGTCTCCGGCATGAGCCAGCGAGCAGCATGCTTCTTCTCGATCAACACTAGCCGAAGGAGAATATCGATACCAATTAAACCAAAGGCAAGACCAAAGACAGAATAATATCCACCGTGTTGGTAGAGGACACCACCAAGAAGGGGACCGGCTAGTGTCCCAATGCTTAGAGACATGGACACATATCCAATAGCCTGGCCCAACCCTTCTTTTCCAACAGTGTCTACCAGCAATGCAATGCCGACAGTCCAGACAACGGCTGCCGCGGCACCTTGAAACAGGCGCCCAGCAATCCAAAGACCGATGTTGGTTCCGATACATAGTAGCGCAGTCGCGGCAGCGAGAAGAACAAGGCCAACGAGGAATGGCCATCTTCGAGATCCGGCTCTATCAGCGAGGTAACCGATGATAGCTAGCAGGGGGGTTAGCATATAGGTACTCTGAAGTGAAAGGAGGACATACGAGAAAAGGCAAGCAGTGCAGCAGAGTACAAAGCTAGCAAGACTGATGTCCATGTTTGAACTACCAAGAGAGAACATAGTCAGTACGAAAGATTCGAAATGAGAGAAGTGAAACAGCATACTCTTATCTGCCGGAAAGCCAACTCTGTGCTCCAAGGCCGTAGGTGTGACAGGTACAATCTAGATCGAGTGTCAGTCGTGCAATTCTTATACCGAATCAACCTTATGGGGACATCGACGTACCAGTCCATACATAAAGATATCCTATATTGATCAGCCATCTAAATGCTCCCAGCCCAATATTGAAGCATCACTTACCGTGCATGCGGCAAAAGAGACCGTAAATAGGATGAACCATCTTGCCGATCTTAGCTCCAAGAGCCTCGGCCGTTTAGATTCACGTCCACCGAGGAGGAAGCCCAGGATCTTATTATCCCATGACCCCATAGTAGCAACAAAAAATCTGTAAGGAGAAAGCGGGTCCCAAACGACGTCACATGGACCAAACCAAGTTTGAAGAGTCGATCAACTCTGCAATAGTAATTACCGACTAGGCAAATAGTGAGAAGCTGATAGTGATAGCAAGATGACAATGAAGGTAGCTTGATTCACTTTATAATTGACCCATGATGGCTGTGAAGAGAAAAATCATGCTGGTTTTTGACGGAAGCAGATCACACCCCGATGTGCCCCCAACGATCGGAACCCGCGGGCTCCGAAGAAACGCGGGCGCCTTTTCGGGCGAATTTCCTGATTCTACGCGGTCTTATCAGATGGGTTATTTAGCGAATTCTATTGAGTCTTTCATTCATCCAAAAAAGAGTCATAGCTGTGCCAAGTCAGAACTGAGTGGCTGGTATTTGTTTGTAAAAAAGACAGGTACCTATGCAAAGCCTGCGTAAAAGTCGCGGATGTGGCTGCATTCACCAAAACAGGATCTAAGACAGCAATAACAAACAAGCGGATCATTTTTTCCGCTTTACAACTGCGCCTTTGGTTTCCTGTTCTTCAGAAGCTCTTTAAGCTGTCTTCGCAAAATCTTCCCACTAGGACTTTTCGGAATCTGATCTATCACATGGATACCACCTCGAAGGCGCTTGTGGTTTGCGATCTTTGGGTTCAACCATGAGTGGATCCCATCTATAACAGTCTTGAGATCTCTATCCTTAGCCTGGCGGTTGAGAACGATAAATGCCAATGGCAGCTCAGTTGCTTTCTCGTCCACCCACACTCCCACAACGCCGGCATCCTCGACGTCCGGGTGGTCGATCAGCTTGCCTTCGAGCTCACTCGGAATGACTTGGAGACCCTTGTATTTGATCATCTCCTTGATGCGATCTTGAATAGTGACATAGCCTTCTCGGTCGATCGTCGCGATATCTCCGGTGCGGAACCACTTCTTCCCATCCGAGTCGGTATGGAATGAACCATTTGTCGCTTCTTCGTTGTTATAGTACCCGCGAGTAACATTGGGGCCACGACACCAGATCTCGGCAGGCTGTGTGGTTCCATCAGGGTTGACCGCAGCATCCTCCATGGTATCCGGATCAACGAAGCGGAACTCCATGTTATTGGTGATACAACCAACGCCCGATTGACGCTTATCCATACGGTCATTTGGAACAGCCGTGGCCATGGGCGAGGTCTCGGTCAGACCCCAAGACTGCGTACAAAAGACCTCAGTGCCCCAGACTGTTTTGAACTTTGCCTCTACGGCAGATGATAGCTCATTGGTGAGAGGGGCAGCAGCAGAAAAAATAATCTTCACGCTGCTAAGGTCATACTTCTCAACACGCTCGTCTTTGACAATCATGAGCGCGATTGGGGGAACCAGGGAAAGCTCATCGGGTCGGTACTTCTGGATACAGCTCAGGTATGTGTCCAAGTCGAATTTGGGCATCATGACCACGGATGTTCCCCAGATCAAGCATTGACACATGTACAAATTGAGGCCATAGATGTGGCTGAATGGCAGGAATGCGATGGCATTCTTACGCTGGACCCGTTGCGAGGGAGAGCCCGTCTCGAGCATATGGGCACGCCATTGTTGGAGGTTGGATGTGAGGTTCTGATGCGTGGTGATGACACCCTTGGAGGGGCCAGAAGTACCAGAGGAGAAGCAGATAAAGGCGATCTTCTTTGAGGCTTCCGAGGACGGAATCGTCACCAGAGGAGCGGGGGCAAATGTATTCGCGATGTACTCGCATGTAGGCTGACCATTGACTGGCGACGAGCCATCTAGAAGGATGATCTTCTCAATAGAAGTGGCCTTCGCGGCTCTTTGCGCTGTGTCAAGCAAAGAGGAATGGACAATGATGAACCGGGCTCGGCTAGTCTTAAGCTGAGCATTGAGTTCCAAGGCCGTCAATGCAGCACTGGTCGGGGCCACGATAGCACCCGCACCGACAATCGAATGGCATGCGATAGGATACTCGATAGAGTTGGGGCTGAATAAAGCCACCACATCTTCGGACTGGAGACCAAATGCCTGCTTCAGTCCGTTTGCCAAGGACTTTATGCGTTGGATAACATCGCCATAGGTGTATTGCTTTCCCGAGATAGCGTCAATATATAGGGGTCGGTCCAATGGTATGTTCAAAGGATTGGAAAACAAGTAAGAGAGTAGATCTACAGATTCGATCTGTAGGTCCGGGAATGGCGACCGATAGATTTTTGCAGGCATTGCAAGCGAAATAAAGACTCACTTATCGATTTGTTGATTTAAATCCAATTCTGCCACATTACAAACAACAGGCAAGGCCTTTGTTTAAGTATAGCGCTCTAGAACTGTTGAGATATCGACTTCGAGCGTTGAATGCAGATCGTACTTCCCGCGGTATACTTTGTCGGATCAGTAATCGGGTGTTGAGTTTGCCGTCAGCGAATGCCGACCGACGAAATCCCCACAATCCACCAGGTCCAACACCTATGAGATCCCCAGATTCTGGGGAAGCTCCAGCCCCCACAGGTTTTATTGGTTTTGGTTCGCCTCGGTCTGGTTGAGAGTCCTCGGCCCTGATTGTTGGCTGTGAGGTTAGAGGCCTAGGCTGTCAGTAAATCGGCCTGCAGGCATGATCTGGCGCTTACTAGCATACGTGGAATTGTTTTTACACTTGCCAATTTGAGAAAGAGAAAGGCTATAGAAGTACTCAAGCTTTGAATTAGTCTACTCAAGACCAATTAACTGGATTGGAAATTCACGAAAACCTTGGCCAAATCGTCAAGAGATACCACAGAGGAGCACTCAAACAGGATACTTCTGCGCATAGTCTCACCACCGAACGCCTGTGACGCAACGCTTGCAATCGTACCCTTCTGACTAGGTCCATAAAGTCGTGCCGAAAACCCAGAGTCAATAGTTCCAGGAGTGACAGCCGGCCACGGGGCAATTCCATGGCAGAATTTGAAAAAGTCTTCCGCAAAGGCTTCGCCGACTTGCTTTTGTTCTGGGGTCAGAGAATCACGGAGATTCTGGAAGAAGTAGATCACATCGAGGATGTGGTTTGCATGACCTTTCCATGGTCCATCCCAGGGGTTACCCTCGTTGAAGTAGTAAACGTAGGCGTTTCCGTTCCAGCCTCGAGCAAAGCTCAAAGTTGATGAGTGGAATGAAATGTCCGTGAAGAACATGAGGATAGAAGATATGGCTTCTTCGTCAGGAGTATCTTCGGAGATCTGGTATGTGTCCAGAATACGGTGAGCGATGTCCGGGTGCGATGCAGTACTTTGGTTCAGAGCAGCAATGAATCGCTTTGCACAGTTATTCTGCATCTGCGGCGAGAGATAGTGAAATATGCTTGCCTTTATCAGTCATTCCTTGTTAGTAGAATCAACCGCAGACACGAGGGGTTAACATACGTCAACTTCAGCATCCCCGATCAACAATTCCTGGCACCAAGCCTTTCCAGGAATTACTTTGGACTCTGGATCTCCAACCTCCGAGTGCGTCGCGCCGGGGACAACGATATCGCTGTCAAGTGCCGGAACATATCGTACGGATGGAGGGAGCTTGGTGACAATCTCATGGCCGGGCATCTCCAAGAGTGCCTTGACCCGGTCTTCGGCCGAGGCATCCTCTAGGCCCAACGCTGCCATCGCCTTGCTATAATTATCTTCGTGCATTTCATATGGAAGTGCCTGTATGAGTAGCGATGACCCACTCATAATGATTGCACGCTTGAACAGTGGAGTTTGCGAGTGTAGATGGTATGTCACGGATGCTAGTACTAGTCAGTTCTCGGTTCCTGGCTGAATATTTGGATACGCACCTGCTCCGGCACTCATTCCCCCCGTCGTAATATTCTCTGGGTCGCCACCAAAGTCACGGATGTGCTTATGTACCCATTCCAAAGCAACTCGTTGATCGCGTAGACCATTATTAGAACTGTAGCCGGCATCGCGCAGCTCCTTAGATGTGAGGAAGCCGGGCACACCCAGTCGATAGCTAGAAAAGTATCAGTCTTTGTTCGCACATGAAAAAAAAAATGACAGGTATCCTTACTTGATAGCTACAATCACCATCGGTAGACCTTTCTCAATGGACAACTTCGACAGCCGAGTAATATCATATTGAGGCCAGGAGTTAGCACCAATGAACAGGCCACCGCCATGGATGAAAAACAAAACGGGGAGTTTCGACGATGGAGTAGCATCCGATGGGACTGCAATATTGAGATTGAGACAATCGATATCGGATTGGGCAAGTTCCTTCTTTGGTAATGGATGCTGCACATGGCCTAATTCGATATCACATCCGATGGGGAGCGACAATGCCGTCGGTCTGCAATCAACGTCAACGTATGTTCTACAGTGGCACACCGGGAATAATTACCCATCTTTAGTCGCATCGAGTACATCTCCATGTCTCTCTCCAACCAGTTGTGCATCCGCAAAGCGATTTTCCAAAGTCGCGTATTTGATTCCCAGGTACTGAGTGACACCATCTCCGGATTTCCCCCGGATTTGCCCAAGTTTGGTTGTGGATATAGTGGTTGGCATAGCGCTGAAGTATAGATGAGCGGATTTTCGTAATGAAAGCAAGGCAGGCAGGATAGGGATCCAAAGGGAATTCTATTGTACCCCGGAATTTTTGAAATCAAATTTCCCCCACATGAACACCGGCATTCCTCGCGCTTTATATATGTCCTCCCACCTGGAGTGGGGTGAATTGGTTGGCACACCGGGTTCCCGGGGGATTTCCGCTCGTTGCGGGCAGCAATTGCCGGGGCGAAAGGAGAGCCTGAATTAAGGTTATCGACCAGAGAGGGTTAGCCTGGGGTACATGGGTCTATACAGCGTACAGACGGGTCTTGATTTTTATGTCACATAATCAGTTATTATCAGGTGTATTGCTGGCATTGACAGAGAGGAAGCGGTCTATATCTGGGTTACAGCTGAGTGTACACACTAAAGCTGGGGGTGGTCAGAGTGTATTTTTCTTCCATTGTTTCTGACCATAATTATCCTGACCAACTATTATATCACTTTCAAGTAATCAGGCTATGCATCCTTATTGATGCTTATACACACCAGTATCCGATGGAATCTTTGGAAGATTCTACAACATCCGGCGAAGATCTTGGTTTCTTTTTATGTGTCTTTCTTCATGAATACATATATCTTTCAGCCGCATTCTTTGTCAATTAAGATTAGCAAGTTCTACTCGGTCGTAATAACTCGAGTGAATAGGCTATGGCGGTAGGATATGGCGGTACAGCGGGGTTGGAGGACAGGGTAAGCCCAAGTGCTTACGTGCCAATTGTAAAAGCCCTCTTAAACCGCTAAGACTAATTACGTACAGTTCAAGTAAAACAACGTCTATCTGAGATTTTCTTTTCAACCCCAAGATGCTTGCCTCGTCAGTGTTCACTCCACTGGGCGCTCTGTTGCTGATCACGGGATCTCCGATAAGCAACCCCCGCGGTCTTATCTGGCAAGGGACAGCAGACAGCCTCCCTCATCTTCCCCCGCCGTCACAGATTGTAAATAGACAGCAATCCACCATGTCGTTGAAAAAGGAGTACGTACAGCTCTGAATTCAATGTCACAGGCCATTCAATTAATATAAATGGCAGAACCCCCCGCATTCGAGCATGTCTCTTCGACATGGACGGTCTCTTGATCGACTCCGAAGACCGATACACCCAGATCACCAACGAAGTGCTCCAGATGTATGGAAAGCCCAATCTACCCTGGTCAGTCAAAGCCCAGCTACAGGGACGACCTCAAATCGAGGTATGAGTACACGTATTCCCCTCGTGATCATCCAGAATGTAGCACTCACGCCTCCCATAGGCAAGCAAGATCTTCCATGACTGGGCCCAACTCCCCATCACACCAGAGGAGACCTTTGCCAAGCAGGCGGGCTTAAAAGCCAAGTACTTCCCCCAGTGCCAACCACTACCGGGAGTTCCATCTCTCCTGTCCAACTTGGTGTCCACGCTATCCACCGAGGAGCCAGTGTACATCGCCCTGGCCAGCTCATCCAACAGCCAAAACTTCAAGCTTAAAACCGATCACTTGTCCGACTTGTTCTCTGCATTCCCGCAAGTGCACCGTGTCCTCGGTGATGATCCTCGGATTGGCAAGGGACGCGGCAAGCCATTGCCTGATATCTATCTCCTCGCGTTGGAGACTATTAACACCGAGCTGCGCAGCAGTGGTAAACCCGAGATCACGCCGGCAGAGTGCCTAGTTTTCGAAGATGCTGTTCCCGGTGTGGAGGCTGGACGTCGTGCTGGTATGCAGGTGATTTGGTGCCCGCACCCAGGTCTTTTGGAGGCCTATCAGGGTCGTGAGGAAGAGGTGCTTGCTGGTCGGACTGGACAGCACAAGGAGGAGGAGAAGCCGGAGGCTGAGAAGGAGGCTGAGGAGTTGCAGGCTTGGCGTATTCAGGGTGCAGGTGAGCCTGGTGAGATTGGTGATGGGTGGGGTCTGCTGGTCAACACCTTGGAAGATTTCCCTTATCAGCGGTTCGGAATTCGGATCCCCTGAAGTCTATAGTCATGTAAAAAGATCCCATGCCTACATATCTACAATAAAGAACAGAGAATAAAGATTCTTAAGCAATTATTAATTCGGACGTCAAGTCCTGTTCTCTTTTCTCAATTCAGCTCAAAGGGTTGATGATTGAAGCCAGAAAGTCATCAATCCCGTCCCAGATAAGTGCTTCAATTAAGGTTGGAACAGCTCAAGCAATAATGAGCGAGACTCGTTCCAATAGCCCCGATGATTGAGGCGCCATCCAGCCGTGCTCTACTCCACCCCGACAACGCTTGTTCCGTACCAGAAGTGATGGAATTACCGTTCAACGGCGTGAAAGTATCTTGCTGACATTCCTCAGGCCTTTGTTTTCCGATTCCCTGACGAGTAAGGCTGTATTGTAAAGTTGATTGCTGGCCTGCTCAGTGCCTGCATACAATGGATCGCTTCGGATTCGGAGGCGAAGCGGGATCTCTCGCAAGGCTAGGAAAGTCGGTCTGCCATGCTATCTGATTTACAGCATGGTAGTGCAGATAACCAATCTCTGTTATGGTTTGTTGCAGCAGTTGGACGCTAGATTTCCTCAATCTTCCTGCTTCGATCCTTCGTTTGCATCCTCAACCTGGTCACTGGATCCCAGGAACGGCAGTGACCATACCTTCAAGCTGTTATCGGTCTGTTTGATACCCAACTCTGACTGGCCTTCCTCTGACAACTCGTCTGCGGCGCGGTGTCTCTGGCCAGAGCACGTTGCAACCACATCGCCCATTGGATGGAACACCGTACTTGCAACAGCATCTATCTTATGTGAGCATTCCGGTCTCTCGAAAAGGTTCAGGAATACTCACCATCGTGTACCTTAAACTCCCAATCCGGATTTTGTCCACCGGCGGAATAAATTGGATTCTTCCAACACCTCATTATCCCGTCGGTGCCTCCTGCCCAGACTTCATGGGCCCCATCAGCCCCAGCAGAAACAATGTCAATGTCCATTCGCTGGTTCGTCATGGCCTTGCGTCCACGAAGATAACCCAGCATCTGACCAGTGACTCGAACGTCATACACCAAAACTCCATCACTCTTGCGCTCCGCAATATACAGGTACCGACCACAGGGGCTCCAAGACAGTTGGGTAACACCTTTACCTCCAATGACACGGTTTGCATCAGTCTTTGCAATGTTGAAAGTGCCAAGAAGTTCCCCAGAGCCATTGGAACTATACAGTCCCACATGTCTGGTAAAGGTTCCTGCGGCTAGGATGCCATCGCCGCTTGGGTTGATAGCCAAGGCTGACACAATTCCTTTCATGCCGACCCCTCCACCAACGATCTGTTTGCGTTTGCTGGGAATGGTTGGCATCCATGAGACGGGACCGCTAGTTCCTGGGCGAGACACGTCAAAAAGGCAAATCATGCTGTCAGAGCCTGTCAGGAAGTGGGTTCCTCCAAGTGTGGATGGGTAGATCATTGAGTGCGGAGTGATGAAGGCCTCTGTCGCTGGATTGACTAGGGAGTAGCTCGCCACGGATACTGGGGCAAGTGTTGAAGCGAGCCGGATCGGATGATCACGGACAGATGACAGGAACAGAGTAGTGGAAGGATCTTGGAGGCTGTAGAATGGATAGAAAGCTGTGGCATAGGCGGGTTCTGCTGAAGGAAGTGTCGAATATGGTGATAGGTGGTGAGTAGAGGTCTTCTCTAAGAGATCCGGTGGCCTGCCTGAAGGTTAGTATGTGGTGAAATGAAGATCCAAAGGGAAAATAAAGGACAGCATAATCCCAATGTCACAGACAAACAGAGGATGCCATCTATCTACACAAAGATGAAGCAGTATCCCGTGAATGGGAATTCCAGCTCCTTCCAGCTCATGAAGTGACTTACAGAATATAAGACCGGATATGATGGTCGGCAGAGTTCGCTAAGAGGGTAGTTCCATCAGGACTCCATTGAACAGACTTGAAGTAATCGTCACCGGCAGGGTCAAGCGATTCTTTTGTTTGCTCAGTAGTCGAAGCCACACACACCGGTCTCAAATCCTTTTCATTGGATGTATCCATATTTGGCATGAGCTTGACCCGAAATCTCTAGAATTATTATCATCGTTTGTTTTCCTGAAGCCAACGACTAATCCTCCAGGTCAACGACCCAAACGCGACGGTCGCCGCGACGATCGTTGCCTACGCACCACCTGCCCCGCCTGGAATCTTTCAAAATGATCAGAAACCAAAATCCTTCGATGGCCAGGAGAAAAAAATATCAAAAAGGAGTAGGCTGGGCTGATCACCAACTTCTGCAGAGTGGTTCCAACACTCTCGCGGCTCCCCAGATACAGTCCTCGGAACAACGTTCAACCGTCGACCAAATCTTATCAGCACCGCTCCGTACTTGGCTCCAACCGTCGCAAAGTGAAAACACTCAAAACAGTTCTGCATCTTACGCGGTTGGCAAGATGTTCGCCCCCAAGACAACTGCGCCTGCTTCAGGTGGGCTGACCATCAGCACTTCCTCGACTCCCTTGTTGTGAGTAATTCGCGCCCCTCCCTCAGTCAGCCCTGCTCTCGCAAGCTACTTTCGAAGCCCCCGCAAGATCTTCCAAAGCTCAACGTCTTTCCCTGGTCGCTTGGCATGAACAGTCTTGGAATCTGGGTTTCGGATTCACTGATTACTAAGTGAATCTGGCGCGCAGGCTCCCTGTCCCAGCCGGGTCAAGCGGATGTTGAGTGCGAGGTGCTGAGAATAAAGAAATGACGCTGGTCGGCGCGGCTAGCCACTCTTCACTCGGTTTCATTGGCTCTTCGAGAAGCGCAGGGCTGGCAGATAAATACAGTCCTTGGGAACATAGCTAATAGCTGACTTTTTCTCTTTCATAGTGGTGGCAACACAAACACTCAAAACACATCCACCGCGGCAACGGGCACAACAGGCACCTCTAGTCTTTTCGGCGGCAACACTGCCTCGACCGCACAGTCAAAGCCCCTGTTCGGAGCTACACAACAATCATCAACCCCGGGTTCAAGCATGTTTGGTGGTAATCAGCAACAGCAAGCGGGGACTACACCAAGCATGTTTGGTGGTGCCCAACAACAACAACAGACTGGCGCTACCTCAGCCTTCGGTGGCCAGCAGCAGCAGACTGGAACAACTTCAAGCTTGTTTGGAGGCCCAGCAACCACCACAGCCACACAACCCGCACAGTCAACCGGCCTTTTCGGACAACCGGCAACCCAGACTCAGGCAAAGCCTGCATTTGGCCTCGGGGCCTCTACTACTGGGGGAAGCTTCTTGTAAGTAGAACATCCATCTGACACTCATCACCAGCCGAGACTAACGTCTATGATTAAACAGCAACTCTACTCAGCAACCACTCCAGCAGCAACAACAACAACCCGCGAAGCCCTCCCTCGATGTTTTCAGAAACCCAGGCACAACCCAAACCGCTCAACCTTCCTTGCTTGGACAAAGCACCGCAACAGGGACTGTTGTTCAGGGTGTCAAGGTCGATATCAGCAACCTCCTTCCCACCACCAAATACGAGAGCTGTTCCGATGAACTTCGCAAAGAGATTGAAGCCATCGACAATGCCATTCTTGGTCAGATGAAGCTATGCCACGAGGTTGCAGACATCCTCCCCACAATCGAGTCACAGGGCGCCTCGATCCCCAATGACGTGGACTTTGTGCAAGGAAAGCTGGAGACCATGCAACATGCCTTGGAAAATGACGCCAATGAAATCGACCAGCTGCGCAGCCTGGTCACCCGGGATGCGGCCGAGGCTCAGGTTGCATTCCGCGCCATCGATACCCTCAAGCTACCCCTTCAATATCAGACGACAGGCGGCGGTGGCTGGTGGTCACAGGACCAAAAGGTCGCCGACCGATCGCTTCGGTCGACTCGCAAGAACACCCTTGCGCTACCCGATGACGTAGAAGGGGATCCGGCTACCGTCAAGAGTGTGAATGGTGTTCCCGTGAATCTGGTGGACTACTTCTCCCAGCGCTCAGACGAGATGGGCTCTGTGCTTGACCGCTACAAGGGTAACTTGAAGGAGATTGAAGATCACCTGCACGGCGTGGAACTCTCTTTGAACCGCCAAATCAACGAGTTTGTCAGCAAGTCTCGAGACGGAGCTAGCGCTGGAACTCCCAAGTCGGTCGTCAATGATTTGGCCGCGGTGCTGGGAGATGTCGAGGCTGGTATCATGGGCGTTGCGGCCCGCCTTGGGGGTGTGTCGGAGCAAGTTCAGGAGATGACGCTCGGCCCACTGTCTGTGGAGAGTCGATATGGATACTAAGAGAGGAACTTAGGAACATGTTTCCTCGCAATCTGTACAACTAATACAATCAATGGCTGGCCTTGGGTATCATGGCTGCCTTATGGCTTACGAGACGATCCTCCCAGAGATGACGTAGAGATCGAGTAGTAGTAAGCTACGTAGTAGGTCAAATATCCCCTATTGCTACGTACGATCGTACGTATACATTGTAGCATGAATTTATGGGGCAACGACTCCATTCTATACCAGTTGTTTGACTAGTGATTGATTAGGACGGCAGTACGTATACTTCGGCTATTGCAGAACCCGAATTAGATGGAGCTCATATCAGCCACCCGCAACTATTTCCAGAGCTAAAAGAGCTAGAACAAGTATCTTCAGTCCATTAAACTGCTCAGTTCACTGGAAAGCCCCAGATCTGGGCCCCTGGTCAAGCAAGTCGAAAAAGCAAAAATGCGCAAGAGGCCGCCACTCTTGCGTGATCGTCCCGCAGCTAAAACTAACCTCCACTTTTCCTTCCCCACGATCAACACCACACATGAACTCACATATAGACCACCAATCCTGATAATTTGACCTGCTATATCACAGTCTATTAACCAGCGGTGAAGTTCAATTCCCTCATTACAATCCTTTCCGTCCCGAAAATAACTGCACGGGCATTGAGCCGCGATGGCAAATTTTGCTGACGTTGATGGCAAGATGGCGTGATCGGTCCCCTAGCTGCCTGCTTAGATGCACTGGCGACAACTCAATTGCTGGTGTTCTGTCTGGAGACATGGTCTTATTCCTCTGAGGCGGCCCACCGTTCCATTGTTCTGACTCTCGACGATGGAGTCTTCTTGCCATCTGTCGTCACTGGCGAACCACTCCCTGAAGTAAGTTGGTTTCAAGCGTCTTGGGTGATTGCCGCTGTCGATGGCGCCATTCCCGTGCGCTCCGAGGATTTCAAAGCTGCAATCACGCCAACTCTCCTTCCCTCGATAGGATGGAATGGGAATGGAATGGGAGGATCCGGGGTTGACTCATGCCCCCAGTTCCACAATAAGCTCGTTTCTGGTGGATCGCCCTTCCTTTCTATATAAGTCGTGGTAGCCGTTCAATCTCTCATTGTTGGATTTATACTTCCATCCTTCCATATTTCAATCCTGTCCACAACCAGGGACTCCTTATTCTCTAAGATATTCTCCATTCCTGCCATTGAGGCTATACACTCACCATGGCTCCGTCATTGGAAGTCCCCGTGGCTGTTGCACCGGCACCCGTGGGAAACATCGTCATTCCTAAGAAGGAGATCGCCAGTGACAACAAGTTCGGATATATCCCTGGTCGGACAACCGTGGAAGACCATACCGAGTACGCTCACGAAGATCTGCTGCCCTCTTTTCCGGACATCCATTGGGACGCTCTTGAATACACACCCTACGAGGATCGAGGCTTGAGGGGAGATCCAAAATTCCGGAACCTATTGAAAGATGCTACGGCTGTCTTTGATTACAATCCGAAGATTGGCACTGAGATACACGGCGTGGATCTAGCGAAACTCACCGATGCTCAGAAGGATGATCTTGCCCGGTTGATCGCCTATCGAGGAGTTGTCTTTTTCCGGGCTCAGACGGACTTTGATATTGACGCCCAACGGGATCTGGGAAGACACTTTGGGAAGCTCCACAAGGTGAGCTCTCTTTAAACAGTCGACTACTTTATGCAAAGCAAGTACTAATGATATGCAGCACGCTACTACCGCTGTCCCAAAGAAGAAGGGTCTCGAGGATGTTCACGTCGTTTACGCCGGTGACAACGCTGGAGATAACCGAGCTCTGTTCAGCCCAAGCTTCTTGTGGCACTCAGACGTACGTTGCATCCTACCAATCCCAAATACAATCCAGTTCAGTCAAATACTAACATCTCCTCCCAGGTCACCTACGAAGTACAACCACCATCATACACATCACTAAAACTCCTAACGGGCCCACCCCTCGGCGGCGGCGGCGACACACTCTGGTCCTCCCAATACGCAGCCTACGACATCCTCTCCCCCTTCATGCAAACCTACCTCAAAAATCTAACTGCCCTCCACTCCGCCGACATGCAAGCAAACGACTCTCGAGCCATCGGCCGACCCGTCCGCCGCGAACCAGTCACCACCAAACACCCGCTCATCCGCACAAACCCGGTCACCGGCTGGAACGCGCTCTTTTTCAACCCAGGTTTCGTCACTAAAATCATTGGGATCCCCAAGGCTGAGAGTGATGCTATTATCAAGTACCTCACGGATGTTGTCGCCACCACCCAGGAGATTCATGCGCGTTTCCAGTGGGGTAAGGATGACGTTGCGTTCTGGGATAACAGGACGACGGTATGTATTTCTCAACTATCATCTATCCCACATAGTAGAATATATGCTGACCTAGTTGATCTAGACTCATTCTGCTTCCTACGGCTTCTCACCACACCGACGCCACGCCGTCCGCGTCGCAGTTCAAGCTGAACGTCCTGTCCTCGAGGAATCGGGTAAATCCCAGGAAGAAGACCTGGCTGCCTTGTATGGACTGCCGGCGGTCAACAAGGATGGATCTCGCCAGTCAAACTACAATGACTGAGTGGGATGGAAATACAGGAAACTCATGACGGAAGCGGGCTTCTCATTCTTAATACATAAGCATACTTGCACTTCAGACTTAGCGGAATCAAAGACGGGCGTTATTTTTCTTATCTCAACAGCTCTGCTTCGACTACACTTGAATTCACGTGGTAAAGTAGTGAGTGGTCCGATTTTGTGGGCTTGAATGATCACTGTGTGTTTTCCGCGAAGAATTCGTACTTGGGGCTTCAGGCTTTAGTGGTTTTGGGGCTAGATGAAACTGCCATTGCCATGATTTGCTTGGAAGGCGTGAAAGAATGAGGCTCTTGGAGGCGTTGGAGGAACATGCTAGAATCTTAGCATGTGTTGGAGAGTTGCGGCTAAGATCGCGCTGCATTGAGTACTTGTTCAGTAGTCATTCATTATTGACTTGATACCCCAAACACATTTCTTTCGAATATTCCTATCCTACTGAACTTTGGTCAATGTCGAGGTGTAATAGAGCAGGAGGTTAAACGCCTTCACAAACGAGAAAGAGGGAATCTAGTGATTCTGTTGAGGAGAGGAAGAAGGAGAGACCTGGCAGGGCCTTAAGAGGGCCTCAACAACGGATGAAAGAATCCGGCAGTGGTCGAAGACTGCCTATCTCATCAAGAGCATACTGAGATCAAAAGTCATTGAGGGGAGAAGGATCATATTGAATTACTCAACTACTGCCAGGCACATCACAGCACAGCGCTAATGGCGAGTTGCAATTTGATTTTAAAAGTACAGTGAACAAAGACATGCAAGACCCAAGGCCAATCCAGCGCTTCAAAAACTCAGTATGCAAAAGGAGCAGGAGATCCAGAAAGGTGTTCATCAGCAGAGAGGATCTGACAAGCGCGTTCTAGACCACCATTGTTTGGGGGTTTTTTTAAAATTATTTTCGTTCTTGAGATCGTTGAAAAGTGGTCGAGCTCATGACTTCGCTTCGGTATAATACAGGCCATGTGTCTTTCATCTTCTACCTAGCAATTCTACAGCTGGGTAGACGAGGCAAGACACGGGACAGGGGTGGGGTGAAGGCGAGAGAGACGAGAAAGAGAACCGCTTGTTACTCAAGACTCGTTGATCTTAGCGAGGATCCTATAGAGACGTTAGTCAATGGTCCTAGATGGGTTGCGCTGGAATTGAAACGTGGTGAACATACTCAGAGTCCCGGAAGAGGTGGTACTCCTCCTCACCGACCTTGACGGGGCTGCCACCGAACTGTGAAGATGTGTTAGCATGATGCTCTTTTCATCGGCTGGAGGTTGAGGATGGGGGCATTCGCGATGATCGATGCGACACCGCGGGTACACCCGGAAGATGATTGTAGACGAAACATACCTGAGGAATCAGAACCTTGTCGCCGGCAGAGACACCCATGGGGATGCGGTTGCCATCCTTGGTCAGGAGACCGGGGCCAACAGCGAGGACCTTGGCCTCATTCTGCTCCTTGACGCTGCTCTCGGGGAGGAAGATGCCGGAGGCGGTCTTGGCCTCGGGCTTAATGCGCTGGACCAGGACGCGGTCGAGGAGGGGAGCAAGGCTCTTGATGTTGCGGAGGACAGACTATTGAGAACAAAGTCAGTGAGTTGCGCCGGCGAAGGGAGGTGTTTGCCGGTTGAGTTGTTGATGGAAGGTGGATGTCGGGACTGTCTGTGGGAATTGATTACAGAGGGATTGTAGCTCGAAAAAGAGCTTGGATCAATTGGACGCATTGAATTAGGATGCAAACATACCATTGTGAAGTAGATGGAGTCTTGAAGCCAAGAAGTTGGGGATGGGCGTGGGATGGAGAAAGGAAAGAGAGTTATCCGGGGGGAAGGAAGATCTGGGCTGTCGCGGCGAGAAATTTCCAGAATGCCAAGACCGCGAGCTTCGACTCCCGAGGGACACCCGCGCCGACTTTCGGCTTCTAACCATTTCTATGCCGTCGATGAAGCGTTCTACTCCTCATATGGAAGTAGACCTGTGTTATTTACTACTCGGCTGCTTTTATACTCAATTCTACCTCTTTACTCGCTCATTTATAGTCTTCCACTGACTATCTAGCTCCGTTTCCCTGGGCCGAAGCTACCCCCAGCTATGAGAACCGCCATAAGGCCGAGTTTGGGCACTGTTAATTTTCGTTCCATTTGCATTAAAACGCCGCGGATAACCCAATCCTTTCTCAAATGTAAATTCAAAGTGATCATGAAGAATTTGTAAAGCAGCCGCGTAAACTACCATCTCCGGCCACGCCCACGGCCTCCACCATAGTTGCCGCGCTGCTCATACCCGCCGTATCCCATCTGACCTTGTCCTCCTTGTCCAAAGCCCTGTCCCTGTCCTTGTCCACCGAAGCCAGGCTGGCCTTGCTGGCCTCCACCAGGCTGACCACCCATCATCCCCTGCGCGTGTTGCATGAATGCCATTGGGTCCATGGACGATGGATCAAGTCCCTGGGCCATCATCGACGCGAGCATACCCTGCATCATATCGGAATTCATATCTGGCATTCCCGGCATACCAGCCATAGGAGGTGCACCAGGTCCTGGCGCACCAGGACCGGGAGCTGCACCTGGCATTGGGGGCATCCCCATGCCCAAGAAGGATGACATGTCGTCCATTTGTTTCTTCTGATCTCCAACCTCCTTGCGCACCTCTTGCTGCTTCAAGCAATAGCTAACCCAAGTGAATTCGTCAAAGCCGTAATTGAAGAAGTCTGTGATATCGGTCCCGGGGCGTCGCCAGGGCTTGTCGTCTGCTGGAAAGTCGGCATCCAAATCAGTTGCCATGATTGTCTTTCCCGTCGCGGGGTAGATCGGGTTTCCATTGACGTCGATTGTAGACGTGTGGATAGCTGGATATGAAGAGCCTGGTCTAAGCGGCACGGTCTGTTGTTTCGCGATTGAGGCGGCCGCCGCCGCGGGTACGGGGGTAGAGACATCGAGGTGAGGAGTAGCAGTAGGTGTCGCGGACTTGGAAATTATCGAGGAATCTGCTGAGGGGGGGCGCTGTGGCTCTTGTCGTAAGCTCGCATGGCGCGGATGAGAGCTGTCAAGGTTAGCAAGGGCCATACGTTCGGCGCAAGTACTGAAAGTTGCTTACATCTCTGGTGGAGGCGCATCGGCGGGCGCTTCTGTGATAATATTGAAGTCGTCCTGGGTGATCAAGTCAGCAGGCGTTGTAGATAGTCAAGGTTGCAATCATACATCGTCATCTTCGACCTCTTCTTCTTCCTCGTCCTCGTAGCCGTCCTGGTATTGCTCTGAGGCTGCATTGTGGGTGTTGTTCTGTGCCTGGCCAGCTGGCACAGAGTCTGCGGGATCGTAGAAATCGTCTTCTTCGTCCTCCATGGTTTTTGATTTTCGATCTCAAGGATATGAGAGCAGGAGGAAGTGTAGCAATTATGCGGTCGAGATGCTCCGCGAGTTGATTGCACGCAAGTTTGTTCTGTTTGCACTACCGCCGGAGCTCGGTTTTCTATGATGGGAGAGTCCAGGTTATTGCTTTGCAAGTCGTAGTACTTCCAATCACAAATTATGCTCTGCATTTCTAACAATCAGTGTACTCAGAACTATGGCCTTGAGATGAGGATCCGGATATCTTACCTAGAAAGCAAGGTGGTTCTAGCAGATCATGCAGTCAGAATCCGGGGTTAACTATATATTTTGTTCTCCTGTAGGCATTCCCCACTATATATCCTGATACCATTCATTATCTCACTAATGAACGTATTCTGGATGGATTGCGAATAACAGATAATAGACTTTGGCAGGCTCAAAAACCTCCGACTTGCTCTATTCCTCAATTCTGTCATGTCTATCTATCTCTCTACCAATTGAAGTGAAATTCCCCTGCTTGAGTATAGTCACGTGCCAACGCGCCAAAGACGTCAGTGATGCGGATGTCTAACGGTTTTTCGTCAGTACCAACACCACTTTGAAATCTTCTCACAAGTGTGCCTTGGAAGACTGTTTAAGATGGAATCATCCGAGCAAGACAGCCGAACCTCCACGCCACGGTCGTTCACCGGCCAGACCGTGTCCGCCGAGGACATGCTCAAGTCGCAAACCGTCGGTCTCGTGCATCTGTCCGACTTTCGCAAGCGGCGCGCAGAGGTTCTGGAGCAAAAGGAGCGCGAGGCACATGATAAGTCCCTTGGGCGACTGGCATCTGGTAATTCACGAAGCGCAACTCCTTCTGCAGGCGAAATAACTGACGGGTAAGTTCCAAGGACCGCATTTCCGTGCCGCGCGAGTCTAAGCTGATCGCGTCGCAATAGGTCTTCGACTCCTCGAAGCGACGCCCCTCCGAAGAAGAAGAAGAAGAAGGCGCTCGTCAAGAGTAAGCTTTCTTTCGGTGATGATCATGACGACACAGGGGAAGACTCCGCCGCAACTCCGCGCGACTCGAGTGTATCACGATCCGGTTCAAAGACACCTGTTGATGACGGCGCTATGTCTGCTGCGGCTGTCCGTCGCATGAAGGCGAACCCAAATGCGCCACCTCCTCCCAAGGCGATGACCAAGGCCGCGATGGAAGCGGAGGCGCAGGCTCGCGATACACTACGGAAGGAATTCTTGGCGATGCAAGAGTCGGTTAAGAATACCGAGATTGCTGTTCCGTTTGTCTTCTTTGACGGTACTAGCATACCTGCTGGCTCAGTCAAAATGAAAAAGGGAGACCATATCTGGTTGTTCCTCGATCGGTGCCGTAAAGTGGGTGCTGAACTAGGAGTTGGTGGAGCCAATGGAGCCTCCAAGGCACGCAAAGAATGGGCACGCATCAGCGTTGATGATCTGATGCTTGTCAAAGGCGATGTGATCGTCCCGCATGTAAGTTTGTTCACTGATCCTGTACTTTCGCCGATCTCGAACTGACATCTGCATAGCATTACGAGTTCTACTACTTCATCGCCAATCGAATTCCAAGTTACTCCAAAGCTGGCGGTTTGCTATTCAATTATTCAGATAAGCCTGCGCCAGCCAAGTCAAACGATGATGATCCGCTCTATCGCCCAAGTGATCACAAATTAGAAGGCGCCGATTACGATGCTACCGAAACCAAGGTCGTAGATCGACGTTGGTACGAAAAGAACAAGCACATTTACCCGGCCAGTTTATGGAACGAGTATGAGCCAGGGAAGGAGTTTGAGGAAAAGATGACGTCTACGCGGCGTGATGCATTGGGAAATACATTCTTCTTTTAGCGGATTTTCATGGTGGCTATTTACGTTGATATCCAGGCGCTACAAGGGAAAAATTAGACTCATGCAAACCCAAGCTCAATTGATGCTTTTTTTGTTACCGGCGGCCGAGGCGAGTCCTCGGCCTCAGGTGACCTCCCAACTTCCATCCAACACTTCCATCCGTACTCACACTTCGCACATCATGGATTTCCACTTGCGATGCAATTCGCTTAAATGCAGGGCGCAATTGAAGGAGAGGGCCGTGGTAACGACTTGTTCGTAAGTCTTACATGTCTTGGTTTGATCTTGGCATGGCGCTGATGTTGCCAGTCACATCTTCTGCCTTGGATGCGCAGACGGTCTCGGCCTTTCACTTCCCACGGCAGACGATCGCCGATGCCCTGCCTGCCAGACTGTACTTTCCAATCCTGATGATGCCGTGTCCACCATCTTGAACCCAACAGAAGACTACAAAACAAGTGTGCTGAGTGGACTCGACCCGAACACAATCATGGAGTGCGCTGGCCGGGCATTGGGATTCTGGGCTTATCAAAGTACCCAAGAGATGTGAGTCAAAACACCCCGGCATCATGCTTGAAACATACCAACTGAGCTCCAATACACAGATTCTACCAGGAATTCCTTGGGAAGAGCCTCACCGACAAGTATGCCAGTCTGAGCACACAGATGGACAAGGTCATCCACAATGCAAACTCAGAGATCTCAACCTTGCATAGCAAAGTCTCAGGTATACTACACTAGATGAATCTCTTTGTGAAGCCTTGTTGCTAAAACCGCCGGCCTCCACCAGACTTGCAAGCAGCACAAGAACAATTGCAGAAAAAGAATCAAGAACTCGTCGATCTTTACCGCGATAAATCAAAGAAGCTCACCCAAATGAGAAACCTCTACAACCTGCTCAAGGCTCGCGCCATGAAATCCCGAATGGAGACCGCCGCTTCGGAGAACGTTTCTCAAACCCTGAATACCATCTCACCACGCACTGGTCCGGCCATGCCCCCAGCCCAACCTGGAACGTCAATGCCGAATATCCAAAAAGCCCGTACTCCCAAAACACATTCGTTCCCTTTTAGCCCTGAAGGCGTGGAGCAGCTACACCGTTACCAACGCAGTGGGACTGGGAGCTCGAAAATGTCGAGACCACAGATGGGAGGCAAGTCAGCCATGCCACCTCCAGGGGGTCATGCAGTTTTTAATATTCGGACTGGTGAGTCACACATAAGTCCTCTGATGTTCGATACTGATTCGTCTTGTCCAGCTCAAACAAATGCGACGAATCAACAGCATCGAACCCGTCTTCCACATCAAAATCGCCCGCCGACAGTAACGTCTCAGCTTCCTCCAGAGAATGAGATTCTTGCACGCTTTGGAAATTAACACGCGGCTGTTCTATATATGCTTCGTACCCTGGAAAGTATGCCATAGGAGTTCTATATCAGTTCCGTGGTGGGTTATTTGTACCTTCAACCTTGATACACCGCAGCTTTGATGAGGTTGAGATTGACAAAGGCATTGCTGTTGCCTGTCACCATATTTCCCACAATACAATGTTTACTTGAAAGATATGTTTATTCGTGCTTGTATTTAAAGGCGAACCTGTAGCTCCATTACTCTCATGGCTAGTATCTGGCAAGACAATCCTGTACAAACGCTAGATTTCATCCCTAGTATACCCGCGGCTTCTGTACGTCTTATATCTTAAACAATGATCATTTTTAACAATCGGAGTTTCGCATGACTAGCGTAGCTCCTGGTCTACTAATCTCTTATATAGTACCCTATACATAAAAAACAAGATCAAATCCCAATCCACAAGCCTCTTTCCCTCGTAAAATCTTGCTTTCTATATCGGTAACGACAAAACAACCATTCCAACCAAGCTCTACTTCGCAACCCAAACCTTTCACTCTCCAACAATCCTAACTTAACAATATCTCGTCCTCTTTACACTCCTACACTCACACCTACAGTACTACAACCCAATCTCCAGCCCTATACTAACTAACCCCATCGGGTAATCTCAAACCCGTCCCCGTTCGCCCGCGGGCCGCCCTCGGATTAGCGGAAGCTCACCACCTACCCGCCCCTCGGTAACCCGCATAACCATGCCCCCATTCCCCTTCAGTTCAAGCTCTAGAACAAAGCTCAAGCTCTAGCACGGTCCTTACCTTATCGCTTCCCATGACGATCCACGATCCCAGATCGATGGTTCCATCGGGTAGATGGTAAATCTGGGGTGCAGGAGCTTGTGTGGAGTTTTTGTATTTGTGTATTTTTGGAGTTTGGGTGTATTTGTGTATTTTTTGTTTTTTATACTACATACCACCTATATAACACTTTACTGCCCTCTTTGCTATTGTTTTACATGTACTCTAATGGACAAGATTGATTTGGAAATTAGTTCCGAGAATAATTGAAGCAATGGTAATACTGCTTATAATCCTCTTTATTATAATACTAAAGGATATCAATTCCTGTTGCGTGCCATAGCAGCATGTTGCATTACTTCAACGGAGGATATTGTCCACATTACGTAGTCATTTACTTCATTGTCATCCCCTGGAGTACAACCTTATGCCTCGACAGCAATGGAAAATAAAACATTGTATCATCACTTGATATTATCCGAAGGGAAATCCCGATCTAAATCCCCCCGGTACGATTCAACATAAAAGGAAATCTAATCATGTACGTCGGGCACCAAGCATCCGGTCTTTTAGTCCGGGCGGGAAGAAACGCCATACCCACGACCAGCAAAACAGGGCCAAAGCCTGGGGGAAGTAAAAGAGAAAGAAGCCAGGGTCCAAAATCCCCAAGACTCGCTTTTCTTCCTTTTTTTATAACCCAGGCTGAGAAAAAAAACCCCGCAAATTTCATATCATGCCATGCATTATCACAAACCCATGCAACGGAGTTGACGCTGCAGAAACAAACAAAAATAAAACAAAAAAGAAAAGAGAGCACGGGGGTAGTCATTTATGCGCTGAATTCCTTGACATCGGACTTCTTGCCCTGAAGGGCCAGAGGCACGATACCAGAGACGTGCATCTCGGGGCCGTAGACGTGCATGTCGAGGCCAAGCTCGATGCCGACGGACTTGATGTTCTTCAGACCCTCCTGGTAGTTGGGGCCGGCACGGCGGACCCAGATCTGGACCTTGTGCTCAATGAGGACGGGGGCGAATTCGCGGATGGCGCGAATCACACCCTTGAAGGTGGAAGCAACATTGGTGAAGTTGGCAATACCTCCACCGATGAAGAGGACCTTGCCCTCGGGGTGGATGGGGGCGCGGAGCATCAGATCGAGGACGGTCTTAGCGTAGGAGTATGTCTGGCCTGTAATGCAGTTAGTGAGAGCTCAACCAAAAAAGATTTTGAACGGGAGATTATCAAACGTACCCTCGGAGGGAGCACCGGAGTATTCGCCGTAGTTGGCGAGCTCGCTAACGAAACCAGCAGAGGCAATAGCGTCGGCGTAGACGACGGAAGCACCACCACCAGCAACCAGAGTCCAGATACGGCCGTTGGCGTTCAGGACAGTCAACTTGAGGGAGGCACCAGTCTTGGCGTCCATGTCAGAGATGAACTTCTCCTCCTTGCTCAGCTCACGGCCGAAAGGAGCGGGGAACTCCATGGGGGGACCGGCATCGATGTTGACCTTGCCATCGGTGGAGGGGAGGGCAGGCAGACCCAGAGCGGTGGCGCTACGGGCAACAGCCCACTTGGTACCGCACTCGAACTCAGCAGTCTGGTCAAGCTTGGCAGCCAGGTCGAGGAAGTAGACATCGGCGGAGGTGGCATCGGCGTTGGGGATGACGACCAGAGGGTTGATCTCCAGGTAGGTGAACTGGCAGTCGACGTAGACGGCGTACAGGCGGCAGATGAAGTCCACGAGGACGTTGTGAATGCCCTTGGGCACCTTGCTCAGCAGAGCGGAGGCAATCTCCTCGTTGGAGGGGAACTTCTTCAGGTCGACGGGAATGAGGAGCTTCTCAGCCTTGGCATCGACATCACCGACATCAACACCACCCTCGTGGTAGAAGAGGATCCAGTCGCCCTAAATTTGGGTTAGTTTACTAATTTTACTCCAATTGTTTTGTTTCAAATCCAATTGCTATCATCTGATCACAATTGTTTTCCTCGGAAGGGAGCTTCTTACCTCACGGACGGAGTTAATGCAGACGTAGCTATAGCCCCAAAGTTAGTTGCTGAACCAATTGGTTGACACTGTTGCAAGAATCTCATACCTCTCAGTCTCCTGAGCGTGGGGAACCATAGGCTCAACGAGGAACTGGCGCAGAACACCGGTAACGTGCTCAACGGGGACCTCCTTGGTAGCGCGGGCCTCAATCCACTCCCGAGCCTCAGCCCAGGTCTTGTTGAGGGCGAGGAGGCCGGACTTGCCTCGACGCTTGATCAATTGATCGGGCTTAGCGACGAATTTAGAGCCGGGAACGAGCAGCCATGGGTAGGTGACCTCGGCCTGGTCGAGGACATCCTTGACGGCCTTGTCTTCGGGGAAGTGGAGGGAGGCGAGACGAGGAGGAGGGTTGTGTGTGGAGGAAGGAGGGAGAGGGGTAGGCTTGATGACGGGAGCGCGAGTGAGGTGGTAGTTGAGGATGGCCTTGCCGTCGGCCTCGAGGATAGACTTGGCGGACATGGTTGTGTGTGTGAGGTTGTATGTGTATATGGGAAGTGAAAAAGATGGAGAAGGAGGAAGGGAGGGAGAGAAGTAGTCAAGAGGAGGAGTAGCAAGAAATTATTGCAGGAGAAGGTTTGATTGAAGCAGTAACCCACCCAGTTGAGTCGGGGTTGGCGGGACAAGTAGTGGACTGGAAGATACGGCGTACGGAGAAGACAAAAAAAAAGAATTGTGCTGGAGATTACAGCGTACAATTGAGAGGTCCGATCCACCGGTTGAGGGAGACTTGAGAGATGGTGGGGTTCGTTTTGTGAGAGAGGCCACCAGCTTAACTCCAGTAAAGAACTGTCCCGAGTGAGTCTTGCCAGGGCGTTGGGGAGATCTGCCGTATGGTAATTACCTGTATCAGGTATACTCAAAGCTACACCGTAGCTTCTCGAACTTTTTGACAGAATCCACTCCACGAAGCAGGATGGTGTAGCTAGCGGTGACCCCCGATACCGCTCCTTTTTTGTTTTGTTGTTTCTATTCCATTCTGTTGGGTTTTTAGAAATAATTGAGACAACTCAGGGGCGAAATATAATGTGTGTCTGTATTCAATAATCATTCATGATGGACTTCAGTAAAGTACCCCGTACTTTTGATAAAGACAACAACACACCGCCGGAACTGGAGCTACACCACTGTACACTTTGTACCCCTCCATTCGGTCATAGTTGACTCGTGATTTTGTCGCCGGTTCCCGAAAGACTAGCAAAAATTCACCGATATAATAGGCCATCAATTAAGAGATCTCTCGTCAGCAACCCATGCAGAAGGTGAAAAGGGTGCTAGCCTCGTATAACTGCAGATGGATCGTAGTCCGAACGATGCTCAATGGCTGACAATGGCACGAGACAGCCAGAGTCAATGACTACTATACTCCGATGCCCGAGTTTATTCTCCTAGCATAGTACATAGTGATAGACTCGGGGATACCAGTCCGGGCGGTGAAGTGGGAGTGCCGGGTACCTGGTGGTGTGGTAATTTTAGAGATCTACCCACAGTGGGGCGACCAGTCTCGATGGTACCCGGTACTTTGGGGACTGCTGGACGGTAAGTCACTTTCCGCTCTCGGTAACTGCAGAAACGGAGTATAATTGACTGCTAATTTTGGTTGGAGTTGTTGAGAAAAGACCACCCCCACCATACTTGACCTCTTCCCCCTCGTATGGCCTATACAGCTCGTACAGCTCATACACTTGATATAACTCATACAGCCCCGTAACGCCCCCCAGTCCCACCCACCTTCAACTTGTAAATCAACTAAACCACCAGAAACTAAAAATTACCGCAGGAGGAGCTGTACACCGTACCTGCGAGTACTCGGCCCCGCGGATTTTTCTCAACGCTGCTCTCCTGTTGACTTGCTTCCTCTTGTCTTGTCATTTCTCCTTCTCCTTCTTTCTCCTCATTCTCCTTATTCTCTTGGGCTGTTCTACATACATACGTGAGTGTCCTCCCCCCCAATCCATCCATCCATCCTCCTCCAACTCACGGCGTCACCACTCTGCCATCCCTACGGTGCAACGTCGATTCACCTACACACCTCCCACTATCGGACAAACTAAGACATCACCACCATCAATTAAAAGCCTAACACCTCAATTCCTCCAGATAATCATCATGCCCTCCTCTTCCCTGTCCGCCGCCGGCAACGGCGTGCAGAATGCCAACGACAACATCACCCGCTTCAACCCTCCCAGCCGTGTGCTCTCTCCCCTCCAGAACGCTCTCTTCCACAACAAGACACGATGCTTCGTATAGTAAGTCAACCTGTGGGGGAACCCTTCAAACCTCCCAGAAACGAAGCAACAAGGATCAATGTCCTTGCTAACACTCGCACCTCTAGTGGCATGCAACCCCGAGCCGTGCAGGGCATGCTCGACTTTGACTTCATTTGCAAGCGTTCCACCCCCTCCGTGGCCGGTATCATCTACACCTTCGGTGGTCAGTTCGTCAGCAAGATGTACTGGGGTACCAGCGAGACCCTCCTCCCCGTCTACCAGGACGTCGAGAAGGCCATGGCCAAGCACCCCGACGTTGACACCGTTGTCAACTTCGCCTCCTCCCGTTCCGTCTACAGCTCCACCATGGAGCTCATGAACTGCCCCCAGATCCGCTCCATCGCTATCATTGCCGAGGGTGTCCCCGAGCGTGTAAGTGAAGCCTACAACAAGAGTTGACCCGTGCAATTGAGGACTAGAGACTAACTTCGATGATAGCGTGCTCGTGAGATCCTCGTTGCTGCCAAGGAGAAGGGTATCACCATCATTGGTCCCGCTACCGTCGGTGGTATCAAGCCCGGTTCCTACAAGATCGGTAACACTGGTGGTATGATGGACAACATCGTTGCCTCCAAGCTCTACCGCAAGGGTTCCGTCGGCTACGTTTCCAAGTCCGGTGGTATGTCCAACGAGCTGAACAACATCATCTCTCAGAACACCGACGGTGTCTACGAGGGTGTCGCCATCGGTGGTGACCGTTACCCCGGTACCACCTTCATTGACCACTTGCTCCGCTACCAGGCCGAGCCCGAGTGCAAGATCCTTGTCCTGCTCGGTGAGGTCGGTGGTGTTGAGGAGTACCGTGTGATCGAGGCCATCAAGAACGGCATCATCACCAAGCCCATCGTTGCTTGGGCTATCGGTACTTGCGCCAGCATGTTCAAGACCGAGGTCCAGTTCGGTCACGCCGGTGCTTCTGCCAACTCCCAGCTCGAGACTGCCGTCTACAAGAACCAGGCCATGCGTGAGGCTGGTATCCACGTCCCCGAGACCTTCGAGGACCTGCCCCAGCTCCTCAAGCAGGTGTACGATGCCGAGGTCCAGAAGGGCAACATCAAGCCTGCCCCCGAGCCCGTTGTTCCCAAGATCCCCATTGACTACTCCTGGGCCCAGGAGCTGGGTCTCGTCCGTAAGCCCGCTGCCTTCATTTCCACCATCTCCGACGACCGTGGCCAGGAGCTGCTCTACGCCGGAATGCCCATCTCCGACGTCTTCAAGGAGGACATTGGTATCGGTGGTGTCATGTCTCTGCTGTGGTTCCGCCGCCGCCTGCCCCCCTACGCCAGCAAGTTCTTGGAGATGGTTCTCATGCTCACTGCCGATCACGGTCCCGCCGTGTCCGGTGCCATGAACACCATCATCACCACCCGTGCTGGTAAGGACCTGATCAGTGCCCTCGTCTCCGGTCTCCTGACCATCGGTTCCCGCTTCGGTGGTGCCCTTGACGGTGCCGCTGAGGAGTTCACCAAGGCCTTCGACAAGGGTCTCAGCCCCCGTGACTTCGTCGACATCATGCGCAAGGAGAACAAGCTCATCCCCGGTATCGGCCACAAGGTCAAGTCCCGCAACAACCCCGATCTCCGTGTCGAGCTTGTCAAGGAGTTTGTCAAGAAGCACTTCCCCAGCACCAAGCTGCTCGACTACGCCATTGCCGTTGAGACCGTCACCACCTCCAAGAAGGACAACCTGATTCTCAACGTCGACGGCTGTGTTGCTGTCTGCTTCGTTGACCTGCTCCGCAACTGCGGTGCCTTCTCCGACGAGGAGGTCGAGGACTACATGCGCATGGGTGTCCTCAACGGTCTGTTCGTTCTGGGTCGCTCCATCGGTCTGATTGCCCACTACCTCGACCAGAAGCGTCTCCGCACCGGTCTGTACCGCCACCCCTGGGACGACATCACCTACCTCCTCCCCACCCTGCAGAAGGGTGGTGCCGAGGGTCGCGTTGAGGTCAACATGTGATTTTGATGCCCTTTTTTCTCTCTATTTTCCCTCTTACCCCCCACACACATGATATGATTTGCAGCGCCCGTCCGCTGGTGGCATACAGTCCGTCGTGAGAACCACTCCTTGGCATATATATGGTTCTGGTTCCGGCGGTGGAGTTTGGATGGGTTGAATCCCTGTTTGGTTTTCTATTTTTTTGTCTTGTTTCTTGAAGCAGTCTTTGCGTGTATGCCATGTTTACTGCGCCTGCCTTTTGTGGTGGGCTTAAAACCGCGGCCCTGATGGGGATGTCCCGGATGGAGAAAACGGTGCGACGCCCGACTACGGATCTGTTTTTTAATTTTGTTTAGATGACTAGACCTCTCTGGGGACCTAATGAACGTGCCCTCTTGCATGATGAATACTTTGTTGATTGTAGAGATTGTAGACTCCTGAGACTGGTAGACTGGATCTGTATGACGATCTGAACGAATATTCCCTGAAATCAATTTATCTAAAATTTGACATTCAATTCATCATGATTCTCATACTCAGTTTCTACCATCCTGTACATGCAGACAGATGTCAATGCCTATCATATCCGATATCGTGCCCTCGCGGTGCCCTCGTGCTCCACAGTCCCTACTACTCCATAGCTCCATGAGTCCGTCCACATTTCAGCCTTATCGCTTATCAGCAACTGCATCCAATCTTTTTTCCGCCCACCTGTGCTCCAACCAACATACTTCCAATCTCCAGCCTCTACTCTCCCAACACAACAATCCCAAAATGGTCCGCCTCAAAAACCGCTACCTCCTCCTAGACATCCTCTACCCCGACTCAACCACATGGCCCTCCACAAAAACGGTGTCCAGCGGACCACACGCCGCCCAACTAGCCATCCACGCACCGACCTCTGACGCGTTGACGCCGGGGTTACTGGCGAAGATGATCCGCGAGGAAGTCGGGGAGATGTATGGGGATTGGGGGGTGGGTAAATTGGGGGGTGCTTCTGCGACGGGGGTTCAAGGTAGGTAGCTAGCTTTTCCATGATTCACTCCCTCTAGACACCTGAGATGGGACATGTAGACTGACTAGCTGCGGTTTCCAGTGAAATATCTCTCCCCGGCTACATCAACAGCCATAATTCGGTGCCCCCGCGCCTCATTCCGCCTCGTCTGGTCCGCGCTCACGTATATGACTCACGCCCCCGCCGTGACGGAACCCGGTACAGGCGGAGCTGGACAGAGGAGGCCGAATGGAGGGCGGGAACGGCCGTGTGTATTTCGGGTTTTGAGGGTTTCGGGGACGATGCGGAAGGCGGAGGAGGAGGCTATTCGGAGGGCGAGGCGGGAGATTGTTCGTGTTAGGGGGTTGGAGGAGAAGGGGGTTTTGGGGGATTTGATTTCCGGGGTTGAGAGGGGGAATGTGAAGGCTGTTATGACTAGTGTTATGGATGAGGATGAGGATGAGGGGATGTTTGATGATAGTGATTGAGATATCCCGGTCTCGATCATCATCATACTAGAGAGCAAGGCAGTGGTTGGGATGGACTGTACATTATGATACCCCATTTGACTTTTTTTGGTATAATACATATCCTCCCCCCAAGGGAGGGAGATCTTCAAAATGATCTATCGGATCATGTCTGCTTGCGCCGTACTGTGATCCCACTATCCGGCACTGGCCCACTCCAATTCGCCAGCTCATCATCATCAAGATCATCCATTCCTGGACCCATCGCAGATTGCCTCGCCTTCTCCTCCATCTTTGCAATCTCTTCCAACTCCTCCCGCTCCAACGCATCATATTCATCCTTAGCATCCAACCACCGCTCCTGCACATCCCTCACATCCATCCCACCCATCCCCTCCCTCACCGCAACCGACCAAACAGTATCATTAGCGCCCTCCGCAGGCCCAAATGCATACCCACTAGCCCGATCAATCGCTTTCAGCAAATTCATCATACTCTTCTTATCTTCCACAGCCAGAGTCTCAAACGCTACAAGTCCGAATTCCTCGACAAGATCGATAATCGCGGTATTCAAAGCGCTGAACTTGGAATTTGTCAGGCGCGAGGACTCGGCTTCGAGGTGTGGGAGGAGATAATTGAGGTCTTGGACTTCGGTGTAGAAGTCTAGGTTGAAGGGGAGGTTTGTGTAGTTTGAAAGGTTGTCGATTTTGGTTAGGACGTTTAGGTGTGGGAGGTCGAGTTGGAGCATGGCGCGGAGGGAGAGGAGGAGGGCGGATATGTACATTGATGGGAGAGTTAGGGCGTAGGAGTCAATAAGGTGAATGACTATTAGCTGTAGTGAGGTATTAGCTAGGTCGGTCTTGAATCTCTGCTGATTCAGGGCCAAGACATACTCGATAGCCCATCTTCTGGATCTTAAAGAAGATATTGCGTAATGAGGAGTGGTGTGTGAAAAGCTCGACTTGACCGGGACAGTCGAATATAACATAGTCCTCTGCATATCACCACTGATTAGCACACGAGCTCAAGGACAGTAGGATATAGGATAGATCCAACATACCCCCAAGCTCTTTCAACCCCTCCTCCAACCAGTCAAAGTTCTCCTCAAGATCCTCCAACGCATAAAGCGTAGCTCCATTCGGCCCCAGCTTATGTTCATCCATAATCTCCTCCAGCGTCACCAGATCGCGCACGTCCAGCGCGCACGGGTATGAGGTCTTGTCATTGGCGGGGTCCAGATTCACCACCGAGCACTTCCGGCCGATCGCACCGAGGAACTGGTGCATTCCATTGCAGTAAGTGGACTTGCCTGCACCAGGGGGGCCAATTACAAGCTGTGCAAAAGGCATTTTGAATATATGCTTATTGAAAAGAGACAGACTCGCGAGGAGAAACTGAAGTAGAAGCGGTGACACTTTTTTTGCCCTTATCGAACAGCGCGGGGAATGCGATGGCGGTGGAGATGGGCAGAAAAGGCCCTCTTGGAGCTAGCTCCAATGATCGATCCGCTACTCTTCAACACCGCATTCTCCGTCAAAGATGTCGTCAAGTGAGTTGTGCACCACCCTGGACTGGAAAACTGCCTTTTAGAGCTAAGCTAGAGCTGAGCTAACATCTTTCAGATCAATTCACCGTGGCGTCGCCGCCTACGGACGCTATCTCCGCTTTAAAGTTCTCGCCAGACCCCAACTCGACGCGGATGGTTGTTTCGTCATGGGACAAGAATGTTTATCTGTACGACCTCCGAGACGAGAACGGTGCAGTAGGTGAAGGGAAGCTCCTGCAGAAGTTTGAGCACCGCGCTCCGGTACTGGATGTCTGCTTCGGCGAGAACGAGAATGAGATCTATACCGCGGGTTTGGACTGGGATGTGCGGAAGTAAGTTAGACAATCGCGAGCTTTATTTGCAGCTTGCATGGCACCTAATCCTGGTGTGGCTATATGCTAATTGATCCAGGATTGACCTAAACACATCGGAACAAACTGTCATGAGCAGCCACGAAGCCGGCGTGCGAAACGTTGTCTACAGTCGCGAACACAACCTCATCATCTCCGGTTCCTGGGACTCAACCCTCCATGTGCACCGCCCCGACGCCGGCACAAACACCCAATCCATTCCATCCACTATTCCTCTCCCCTCGAAGCCCTTCTCTCTATCTCTCACACCCACCAAGTTGGTGGTGGCTATGGCCTCGCGCGCCCTGCACATCTACGACCTGAAGGCATTGGCCCTCCTAACCGCACAGGCGGACAGCGATACCGCTGATGGAAACAAAGTGGAGATTGAGCCATGGCAACGGCGGGAAAGCAGCTTGAAGTTTATGACACGGTGTGTTGCGTGCATGCCCGACGACGCTGGGTATGCTTCATCCAGTATCGAGGGCCGTGTGGCAGTCGAATGGTTCGACCCCTCTCCCGAATCTCAGGCCCGCAAGTACGCATTCAAGTGTCACCGCCAGACCGCCGAGGATGGCGTCGATGTCGTCTACCCGGTCAATGCGCTCGCTTTCCACCCTATCCACGGCACGTTCGCATCCGGTGGAGGTGACGGCGTCGTTGCGCTGTGGGATGGTATCTCCAAGCGCCGTATTCGCCAGTACCAGAAGTATCCTTCCAGCGTGGCTGCTCTCGGGTTCAGCGGTAATGGAAAGTACTTGGCCATTGCGATTAGCCCTGGGTTTGAGGATGGAAAGGATGATGTTCCTGAGGGAGTTGTGAAGATTATTGTCAAGGAGCTGGGTGAGACAGAAGCCAAGGGCAAAGGAGCGAAATAGATCTCAGGAAGACGAGGTAGATATGCTTGCTGAGGATGGAGTCCTGTGAGCACCCTTTTGATACCAAGGACCGAATCTAATGAAATGAATCATGTTCAATTGGCAACTACCAGTAGTCCTGACAGTAGATGTAATACAAAAACAAACGTCTCTTCGTTTCTAGGCATCTTGGTATCATCTAGTATATATATAAGGACTTGCGCTATATCACGTCCATGCCATTCCCATGCTGTACAGGGTCGTCAATCCCCCAATCAAATTCCCCTTTTACAGCGCCTTCCGCACCGAAACAGACCCATCAGGCATACCAAAGTACGCCGCAACAGGCCGCTGACCACCAACACCACCCGCAGCAGTAGCCTCAGGCCCCGTCAACCCAGAGAAAATACCAACATCCAAAACACCAGTGATCTGCTTAATCTCGCGCGCAAGCAAGTTGACCTCCCAAACACCGTCCTTGCCAGAACCATCCTGGCCATTGGCAACGTCGGCCTTGGTCAGGAGCGGCTTGAAGGGGGCGTCGATGAGGAAGAAGTCCTGGTCGGTCTTGAGGGGGCCTTGCTTGGGGTCCTTGTTGGTGCGGATGATGGGGTTGATGGCGCCGAGTTCGAGGAGTTTGTTTAGGACGCGGTAAGCGGCGATGGGGGCGACTTCGATGGGGATGTATTTCCAGTTGGTGAGGAGGCGGGATTGGAGTTTGCGGGAGTCTAGATAGTAGAGGGTGTGTGAGTCAGTAGATGTGCGTTTTTTTTTCCCCTCTTAAAGAATTCCACGGGAGATCGTAGACTGATCCAAGTCTTACCGGCAACGCAAATGAACTGCTTAGCCTGCATCGCGACAATCTTCTCCTGGAACAGACAGGCGCCACCACCCTTGATACAGTTCAAATCATCGTCGACCTCGTCAGCGCCGTCAAATGCGACATCCAGGACGGTCCCTGCAGGCACAGCGTCAAACTCGACAGCAGTCAGTCCAGCACTGACAATCAGTTGGCGCGACTGGTAACCCGTAGGCACATAGCGAGTGTTGGAGGTATCAACACCAAGAGCCTTGATCGCCTCGACAACGTAGACGATAGTAGTGCCGCTGCCAATGCCGACCCAGCGAGCGTTTTCGGGGTAGTGATTGGCGACAGCGGTCTTTGCGGCAGCGCGCTTAGCGGCTTCGACGGCGTCGGCCATTGTAGCAAGGTGGCGGGGGAGAAGGAGGAGGGGGGTGGTGAAGGAAGAGGTGAGTCTCGGTCGAGATTGAAATTGAAAGTGAAGGTGGAGGCGGGGCGATTGCGGAAGAGAACGAAGAGGAGGGGTGACGCGGAGAAAAGAAAACCGGGGCAGAGGGACCATGAGGGAGGGAACTCGGAAGAGTTTATGGATTGAGCCCGTTTCTTCTTCTGGAACCCGGTCTGGAGGTTTTAGTTTGTTAGCTGTCGCTGACAGCGAATTTAGTTCGGAGTAATCAGGCCCGTCAAACCACGTTGGACCTGCAGGAGAGCGTCATTGGTGTTGATCGCGATGTGGGGTTGTTGGACTTCTGAATGCAGTAAGTAGAACCACGGAGGAGTGGGGGGAGGCATTCAAAGGGATTAAATTAAATTCTTGGTTTTGAATTGAGGTCTAGATACCCATTCCCCTCCACTGTGATACCTTCATACTGGTAGTTGATCAAATAAGTTACTTCCTGGCTCATTGCTATCTGTAGACTATACTACTACAACTCTACCAACTATCGCTACTTCTCTACATCAGACTCGCCAGTTACATTCCATAGTGCTTTCCCCTTAGTTCAAGAAAAAAAGTAGATTTGAATAGGATCGCCGTTCAAAACTACTTTTTTTTGGCCGAAACGATGATCGACTAGAGCTTGACGTTTTAGGCGTTCGTAGGGATTTGGGCCAAAAAATTAAGGTCTAGAAATGGAACAGAGCAGAGATCAAAAATGATAGTAGCTATATCGCCTGGCTCTCCTGTTCTGCTCTCATTTCTGACCATATATAGACCGCATACAGAATACAGTAGATTCAGTCATTAGTTACTAAATTGTGTTTCTTTTAGGGTCTATATTGGAGGGTAGAACAGTTTAATTTTGACAGCTTATCGCAACGCAATCTACATTGGGTGATAGCTATAGATTTTGATAAATAGCTCTTGTATACTTACTCTGATTGATACTCTATACTAGTGGTGTTCTCCAATGAATAATCCACAAATTACATGCATTGATCCCTTCTGTGCTCTATTATCTGAGTCTTTGTTACTTCCCATCTTAGGTGAGGCTCTGTTTATGCCTTGAAGATCAGGCCGCCAGTCCCCCACGTAGCTTAGTCAAACCACCACGCATCAACAACACTTCAACTTCAACTGAAGTTGTTGGATAACACCATCAGACCAGCTCAGAAGTGATCATCACAAATAAAAGGAACTGGCAGACAGTCAAAACAAAACTGTTGCATGATTTGATTCTTCAAAAATTCAGCATCTTCGCTTCTCCACGCCCATTCCATCAGTTACACCAACCTCTTCAACCATGACTGAATCCTTTCCCGCCGCATTAGCAGGGCCAACCTCCAAGGAACGCAAGTATGACCGCCAACTGCGATTATGGGCTGCCACAGGTCAGCAAGCCCTGGAGGATTCCCGTGTGCTGTTGGTGAACTCCGACGGCCCGATAGGCGCCAATAGTACCGGAGTCTCTGGCGTTGTTGGCGTGGAGGCCCTCAAGAACCTGGTCTTGCCAGGTATCGGAGGATTCACTATCGTGGACCCAGCTACTGTCACTGAATCCGATCTTGGGGTGAATTTCTTCTTGGAAGAGGAGTCGCTTGGCAAGTCCCGTGCGGAAGAGACATGCCGGCTGTTGCGGGAGTTGAATCCTGACGTTCAAGGCTACTCTTATTCCAAGGTATGTTTATTTTCTTCTAGGTGTCTCAAATTCAATGTTCTAATTCAAAGGTAAAGCATATCACGGAGCTTCTCAACGATCCAGACTTCTTGCCCCGGCATAAGCTGGTGATCATCTCTGGTCCGACCAATCGGTCATCTCTGGGCTCTCTCACCCAGCAAGCGCAGAGACTTGGCATTCCTGTGTTGTATGTTCATTCAGTTGGATTCTATTCAACTTTTTCGTTGCAGCTGGATGCGGAGTTTCCCATTGTCGAGACGCACCCAGACCCAGAGACAACGCAGGACCTGCGCCTTCTCAACCCCTGGCCAGAACTTGCCGCTGCCGCTGCGGGCCTTGAAGACTTGACTGCCATGGACGACCACAAACACGGCCACGTTCCATATATCTTGCTCCTACTCCACTTCCTCGAGCAGTGGAAGCAAGCACACGAAGGCAATGCGCCTGGCAGCTACAAGGAGAAGACCGAATTCCGGGAATTCGTCCGCTCGAACACACGCACTGACAACGCCGAAGGTGGCGAGGAGAACTTTGATGAGGCGGTTGCAGCAGTACTCAAGACGATCTCACCATTCAGTCTACGCAGCTCTACCCGCGAGATCTTTGAAATGGAACAGTGCAAGCAATTGACACCCCAATCAGTAGACTTTTGGGTGATCGCGTCTGCAATCAGTACCTTCTACACTACCCACGGCGTGCTACCCCTACCAGGATCCCTCCCCGACATGAAAGCCCAATCAGCCGACTATGTCGCATTGCAAAATATCTACAAGAGCAAAGCCCGCCGGGACGTGGAAGAAGTCACCGCTACGATACGCCAGCTGGAGTCTCAACTCGGCCGATCCACTCCGCAAATTCTCGAGCGCGAGATTGAAGTCTTCTGCAAGAACGCCGCCCATATCAAGGTCGTGCATGGCCGTGCCGTGCCTCAAATCAGCAGTGACAGCGATTCAATGACGCTCAAGGCTATCCGGAATCAACTGAACACGCCCGATTCCCTGATCTCAGTGTTCATCGCAACCCAGGTCCTCGACGCAGTCGTGGATGAAATTCAAAGCAGTGGCCAACAAGGCATCCAGCTTTCCATTGATGACGAGGGTCTATGGACCAGCCACACCGAGCGTATCCTCGCTCTGCTGAGTCGTGACCAACCCGTTCCCCTTGACGAGGATGTCCGTGAGAGCATCGATAATGCTATCCAGGAACTTCGCCGTGCAGAGGGTGGCGAGTTGCATAACATCTCGTCTCTAACTGGTGGTCTTGTTGCGCAAGAGGCGCTCAAGGTTCTTACCAGACAGTATGTGCCGCTTGATAATACTTGTGTGTTCGATGGGGCGCGGAGTCGGAGTGAGATGTATAGGCTTTAAGGAGGGTTGCTGGCTGGATGCGCTTGATAGCGCGGGGGACTAAATTCATGGCTGTTATGATTTATGATTTGTGTGCATTGTGGTATTTATCATTAAAAATGAATTCCATATAGATGGGACAGACATGTCGATTGGGTAGAGGTTTGATCGTATCTTGAGCTGTCCTCAGCTCGTTTCGTCTCATCTGAAGCTCGAAATAACCGAATGAACCACATATCTATCGAGGCTCTGGAAATTCAGCTCAAGCAATGAGCATAATCACCTCTTCTTCTTCCTAAAATTTCCCCCCCTTCTTCGGCCCCGTCGGCGCACTCGAACCCTCAAACAACCTCTCCTTCCCAAATGCAACATCCGCCACCCTCAAGAAACTAGTAACCCCCTGATCCACAACCGCCAAAATAACATTGCGATACCCATGCCGTAACCGCATATACATCTGACGCTCCATTTTCTCGCCGCGCGGTGGATCAAGCGGTGTACTTTCCAGGAGCGCGCTAAGCTCCGGGAGAGTCGGGGCGGTGGTTTGTTCGCGGGTGTTTATGACTGCGATGCGGAAGTCTGGAGGTGGGAGGGCGGATTTTTTGATGGGTGTTGAGGGTTTGTAGACGTAGAAGATTACGCGGAAGGGGGCGGATGTGTTGAGAGTGTTTCGTGTGGGTGCGAGGGTTGGGTCGTACCAGGGGATTAGGGCGAGTTTTTTGTAAATATCAGCTGTGGAGTTTTGGTTAGATGTGTTATCTGTGAGAGGAGTGTGGGTGAGACTTACCGTAATTACGATGGATTCCATATCCGATGACGGGACCAGCCGCCATAGAGGATGTGGATTTTGGATCATTGATCCAGTTGAAGATGCTTCCCAGGATACCGGCGAGACCTGCGCCGCGCTTGAGAGGCTGCGTATAGGAATCGCGGCTGTGTTCATCGACCGAATCGTCTACCTCCGTAGAATCGTCCCACCCCGGCGCTCGAGAAATAGCATATCCGATCCTCTTCAAGCTCGAGAAGACCGTAAACCGCTCAAGGGTCAACCCACCTCTTCCAATGAGACACGTATAAGCCGCCTGCAAACTCATCGGAATCGACAACTCCTCCTCCTCACTCCCCTCTCCAACAGTAGTCCCCCCGTAATCGAAGTAGGCCAACGAATATCCAAACTACCCCGCTCAAGCAGGTATAACGCCTCCTCGGGCAACAACCAGATAACACCCTTCCGATCCGCTTGTCCCATACTCTTGAAATATTGGCCCTTGGGAGAAGGAACGTAGACACATGCATCCGGCGAGACACTCGCGCCCCTACTGGGCTGGCCCGGGGTTACCGCGGGCGCAGGTGGAGGACCTTCAGGGGCATAGATGGCAATGACCTGAGTCTTTGGGTTGTGTAGACGGGGGTGCGCGAGCGCATTGTGCATCGCCTGGCGGGAAGCGGAGAGGACATCGGCTTGGAATTCGGTTGGATTGGGCTCGAAGTCTTTCTCGCCGCGGCGGGGGAGGCTGGAGGATGATGTGTCGGTGAGGCTGTTAGAAGTGTTAGTATATAGTCTTTGGTATTCGCCGCGGAGGGTATAGCTGTGAAGCTAGTGCAGTCTGTTGGCAGCTTGCCAGTTCTAAAGCACGTACAAATTGAGGTGGTTCAGTAGGCGAAAGTCCTGCGTTTCGTCGGAGAGATCGACTTCAATTTGCGTGGCCTCGACCGTAGTGCCACGGACGGCATCCTCATCTGCGTCCGCCATGGATATCTGCGGAGGAAAGTGCGGCGAATGAGTAATTGTCGAATGAGTCGCAAAGACGAAGTTCGGACGTCGCGAGAAATTCGGAGCTTATCGATAAGCGCTATCATCAGCCCGCTTTGACGGGGTTCTCCTTAAACCCATCAACATCCTGAACTTGAGATGGCAGACAATACAGATTACAATGAATTGCTGCGCAAGGTGAGTGCTCTATATTTAAACTAAAATATATTTGAAACTGAATTTTTTCTGCTAGATATCAAATAGTCTTGAAAACGCCCTCGAGACATTCGGGCCATCATCGAGGCAATATCAAGCCATCCTGAACATTCTCAAAGAATGTCTGCAGGACATCGAGAATCAAAAACAGACACAAAGTCAGGAGCAGGTAGTTGACCCGGATATGCTCAGTGCTGCTATGGGATTTCTGAAGATTGGAGAATAGAATCATTGCAGGAAAGGGTGCAGTTTTGCTTTTTGATACCCCGCATGTTATTTTTTTGCCTATCTTGGGCTCAGACCATCGATAGAATATAGTCCTATCCACTCGGATGATCTGGAGCAGCTTACGGAAACTCAATTGCGACTATTTTTTTTTTACTCGAATGCAAGATTAGACATTTACATTTCAACTCTACCTAGTACGTACGGCCACCACAGAGTGGTACGTGTGTATTCAAAGTGTGATATCAAGAGCGGATTGGAAGTAGATCAAATCAATCAAATCAGCTCAGACAGAAGATTACAGATCCCGACCAGAGCCGGAGCAAAAATTGGGGGAATGGTAGTCGGGAATGAAACCCGGAGATTCCTGTGTAGGCCAGACATCAAATATCAGCCTTATAATGCCCCGGGTCCCGAGCTACAAATCCAAAGAAGAAAGAGATGGGCCCTCCAAACACCCCGTTCCCCTCCTGAAGAAAAGGCTGAACAAGCTTCCGAGAATGCCATGTAACAAACTCCAAGCTCTATGCAATCATAAGACATAACATGACATGGTGTGGTGAGGCGAGAGGCTACCCGGGGGGTTCGGTGCCTATGAGAGATGGCTCCCGTTAGACTCCTTTGCATGCAGCCATTGGAGTCAAACGATCCACTTGTGCAGTCTAATCAGTGCATCAAAGGAGCCCCCGGGAGGATTTGAGATGAGTGTGGTGAATGTCCACGGATTTAGGGTAATGCAGGCAGACGCTGCGTTCTCAGTCGATCAGAGGTTTCTTTTGATTCCCAACCAAGGCCACTCCAAGATAATCTAGAGCGTTGGGATCATTGGGTCGGACGATGGATGGTAGTGGCAGCATTGGGTTATCAGGGTTCACATGAGCGGCGTCTCGTGCGGCTAACTCGATGGCTTCCATCTCCTCTTTACAACCAGCGTGATCGAGTGGGCAGACCACAATTGGTTGGCGAATGGTAATGTCTCTCGCAGATGTTAGATGTGCCTGATGCGACATAGGGTCAGCTTCCAAATCTCATAATCTGATACATTTGCAGACTTGCAGAGCAAACTTACCCGCACGGTGAGGTAATACTCGATTTTATACAAACTCGCCGTCGTCGTGAACCCACTCACCCCATACATGGGAAACGCTGTCCGACTACGCGGCAATATACCTTCCGCATCCCGCAGGTCTTTGGCTGGAAACACCAATCCCAGATTGGTGAGATAACCCGACGGGGGTAGCCTGACGCCCACAGCTTCTGTTTTCTTAGCCAAGGTCTTGACCTTGCGCTGGGGCTCGTCACCCTCGTGATTGTAGATGATCTCCTCATCAATGCCAATGGTGATCTTACTGATAGTGACTTTCCGGGCCTTACCCATCCAGTCCTGGTTTGGAGATAATTTCACATAGACACTGACAGGATCCAGTGGACCGTAGGACCACCGTGGTAATGAGATAGCCAATGTGACGAGATGATCTGATACCCGCTCAGCGGATTCAGGGCGATTATACATGCCAAAGGTGGAAAGGGTGTCGTAGCGGGCGATGGGGACGGGAAAGGTGTATTTGCGTTGTTCGGAGTGTCCTTGTTGTACCATGACGACCATCTCGTAGTATGTTTCGGCCGTTCGACTGGGTAGTTGTAGACTGGCGGGGGGTACCCGCCTTGAAGCATCGCGGCCGCCGCGGCCAAATGGGATAAATAGGACAAATGGTAGATCCATGGCAATGACTTCCTCGTATTCTTTTCCGGCGGGACATCGAAATAATAGCATTTCCTTGCCGACGATATCGGTGATTTCCTTGCGAGGAGGCGCCAGGCGCTTCTTTGTGACAGAGTCGGCGGACGGGTGAATGGTCTCGCGGCGGAGGAGAGAGATAGTGACTAGGGAGACATTGACCGGGGCGGAAATACCGACGCTGGGCCGGATCTCGACTTTACCTTCGATTCGGGGCTGGATTTTGGGTGATGTCAGTGGATCTGAGGTTATCTATCTTCATCGCGTCCAAGGGGATAGATTGGCGGTATCGGGAAACCAGGGACAGCAAGGCACAACCGCGGGGAGATTCAATCGAAGCAGGCGCTTACCATGGTGGCAGAGATGCCGGGGTATCCGATGAGAAAATTGCCATTTGCCGGGCCTGAAACGCGCACAAAGGCGGCCATCTCGATCGAACTGTTCCCGCAACACCATGGGCATGCGGCGGAGGGGGCGCAATGAAGTTGTGGGGAATCTGCGACCTCGGGACCCTGTCGCACGGTTCATATGTGGCCCCCCAACGGGGGATGCGGTGGTCGTGATGGAAGATGACAATTTCCAGCTGGGAGCGGGAAGTGCGGCTGGAAGTTGGAAGCACGGCGGCAAAATACGAAGGGTGTGGACGGAGAGTTTGTTTGATAGATGTGGAGAAGCGCAAGGTTGGTTGGGTAGAAGGAAGAGAAGCTGAGGGCAGCTTTCGATGAGTCTCGATGTGGGGGGAGGCGGTCATTCGAAGGCTCAAGGGCGAACCTCCAGCCCCCCCAGCCGGGCCTAACTTGAGCCGCGATTGCATCATGCCTTTTAGGCGCGCGGTATAACTCACGACATTGGTCTATGATGGATGGGTAATACGAGAATATATAAAATGGACAGCGCATCTACATTGCGGGCCAATTCGAAAGCTGCAACTGGACTGTTAGGGCTGGCGGAGTCGTCATTCTGCCCGCGTGCTCACCTCAGCTCAACAGTACCTCGTGTTGACGAGGGGGATGTTACTTGTGGAATATATAACTATTGGAAGGTGTCCGCTTAGTTATTCAATTGTACGAGCTTATGTCAAGTCAAATCTCGCTATAAGCAACACCCTACATATCTGTACCTCAACCTACCTAAATTTACTTGTTAGAATAGTCTATAGATGGTGAAATACAAAATGTATAATTCATCTACGGATCGCTATACACATTCTCTCCGTGAGGTACCTATTTTATCTACACATTGGAGCGCTATAGATACTGTAGAAACCCATCAGACCCTCTAATTCCAGTTATGAATCCAGCTCAGGTACCAGTTGAGCCGCGTGCGGGCAACCTTGAACAATCGTTGGTTGCGGTTGTTGCGGTTGCCAGGCGCAACGCCAACCAAACGACATCATCCGGCTCCACCAGAAATCCACCCACATTCTACCTTCACCCCCAGCTTTCACGAACCTCAAATCCTCCTTACTACTAGACAACTCTAGCTATCTACTCCAGTCGCACCATACATCACAATCTAAACTCACCATGCCTCCCCGCCGTCGAGCCGCCGCCGCCCCCAAGGCCCAACCCACCCTCTCCTTCGGCAACCAGTCCCGAGTAACCAAGCCCTCCAGCACCCCGACGGCAATCAACAAAGCCAAGAACCTCGATTCTCCCATCGAAGTCGCTTCCTCATCGGGGACCCCAGAGCCTCAGCAGGTTCTGGCAGATGCGCACCCGTCTAAGCCGCATGTCGCCGAGCTGATTGTTCGACAGCAGGCAGCTGCGGAACTGAAGGAGCCTGTATCGGCAGAGGATGAGCGGGCGCTAAAGCTAAGTCGTAAGGACTTGCAGACATATTGGAGAAAGGAGGAGCAGAAGCGGAAGTCTCCTAGGGGTGAGTTGAACTGTACTGGTGGGAGTTTTGCAGTGACGTTGATGAGTATGGAGGGCTGATAGTGATTTTTTACGGAATAGTTCATCAAGCCGATTTGGATCTGGAAGAGAAGATTCTTCGTCATTTTGACTTGTCTAGTCAATATGGGGTATGTGATATGAAGCTCTACGTCGAGACCTGTCTTGTTTCTGCCCTACGAGGAGAGAAGCACTGCTAACATCTGTTTCTAGCCGTGCATTGGTATCGCCCGAGTCAAGCGCTGGCGACGGGCGAACATGTTGAAGTTGAACCCGCCGATCGAGGTTCTCGCGGTTCTCTTGCAAGATGAGAATGTGAAAGAGCGGGCGCGTATGGATGAACTGCTCTCGTAAGAGTTTCTCGAGAGGGCACAAAATGAGGTAGAGAGTCAGCTCAGATCGACTATTCATGAATTGAGCCACCTCTGGGAGGGATTTGATTTGATTGCAAGCGGGCGTTTGGGAAAGTTAGCAACGAGATATGAAATTTCAACTTTCAAGTTTTCAGAACCGTCTCCCTTTTTCGCCAAGTCGATAGTCAGCGACTGGAAGGATCCATGTCTTCGGAATTATTGGTTGGGGCGCCGCGTTATCTTCGCATTCGATGCGACATGACAGGATCCATCTACCATCTTCATATGCTCGCCGAGGCAGAAAGAGAAACAAATGCTCGTTATGATGATTCCGATAGCTTCTCGTTGGGGCTGTCTCAGAGAGATTATTGCATCCTTCCTTTTCCACGCAAAACAAAATGAGGCCCGTGATACCAGGAATAACACGAGCCTCGAGCCACTCAGGGGCCCTCCAGGATCGTACTGGACTCGAGGGATCTTCGATCGGAGATTATCATTTCGAATGCCCGGGTAGTCTGTCTATATTTAACAACTGCCTTCACGGAAGACAGTGCCTAACCATATGTCCCACTGGGTGATATTGTCTAGACCGAAAGTAGGTAACGGAGTATTATCCTTATTGTTTGTCCCACCGAGTCTGGACATGAGTCCCGAAAAGACATGCTAGAAAGAGTAATTGATTCACTTGAAGTGGCTACTGTATATCCACCCGTCTGCGATCAGCATGATCGGGATATCCAGGTCCAATCATTGAAGTCGACACGCCGGCTCGCTTGCATGTACAAGGCTTACAAGCTAGTCGAGCAAAGAATCTCCCCGGATTTCTGATTTTCCGCTTTTCCACCGAGTTCCACTCACATTCTGGATTCTGGATACCTTTCCCCGTAGTATCTGGCCAATGGATCCACACTAGTTGTAGTTGAATCCTGCTGACAGGACAAGACGGGCTTCCACGGGCAGACTGACAGGTCCAACACAAGCCTCGCTCGATTGAAGAAAGCCGTTTATTCCCTTAGGTTCTATGGAGTTCCCGAATGACACACAAGATAAAATGATCCTGACAGGGGTTATGAGCGGAATATTCATCCTATCCAAAGTGAGTACACTGTTATCCATCCTGTCTACCCTGTCCATCCAAACGCCTCGCTGTCCACTTCCCCAGCCGTTGCCGTAGCCCTTGCCCCGTCCCATGCTCATTGACTTCAAAATATACTAACCCGCCTCCAATCTAAACCCAATGCAGGGTTCGTGTCCGGTGCGCCCAGCGCAGAACCACCAGGGTCGCCAGGGTCGACTGGTCTACTGTTGGGCCCTGGCATAGGCTTGTTGGAGTGGCGTCCAGGAACCCTCTCCTAGTAATCCACCATCCGAATTTCCTCGGCCTTGATAAGACTGTCATATACTATGCCCAGTTCATCAAGACTCCTAGATTTCCATGTGATCGTCGTTGCTTTCTGTTCCTGGCCCCACGCTGCCCGTGGGCTTGACGGGTTGATTCGCTCGCACCGACTCCTCCCCACCTCCACCGTGTCTCACTCTGCTCGGATCGAGTGGATATCCGAGGGCCCGGCCAGAAACACTCAGACACAGACACCCCGGACTCTTCCAATTGACCTGATGGATCCAGCAGAAAGTACACCGAACAGTACATACATATAGTTGTCCCACGAGTAACACGGATCCTGGGAGGAATGCTACACAAAGGCCAAACCGCCCCCTTTTCTCGTGAAAACTTATCATGCATGGGCATGCAATCTAGGGAAAAAAAAGCCTCAGATCCCGAAAAAAGCTAATTAGCTCCCCTGTTCCTGAATCGCCATCATCGACGTACCCTAGCCGAGGACTAGGACTCGATCACGGCCGGTATGCAGGTACGAGCGGATCCAGATCGAAGGGACATCGCTTAGAGCGAGCGCCAGTGCGGGCGGCGGTCCCTCACGACGGGGACAGTTGATATCCGGGGGGCAAATTAAACCTTGGGAGATCGCAAGAAGACGAAACGGAAATATACTTCTAGGGTCAGTCCTACGACGATCAGGTCCACGGAATCAAATCTGTTCCCGCGCAGGTCAAGGAGGGTCGAGGGTTCGCGGTGCTACCCACCATGATCGAAACTGAATCCAACGGCAAACCGATTGCCTATCTCAGTAGCTATAGTGAATATCAGTTCAATTTTGATTGTACAGAGGCGATGAACATGGCCATCATACATTCCCAGCCCCACATAGTACGCATTGAACATCCCCCGGCCGTACGGCCGGATAGACATGACGGGGAAACCAGTTGAGGCTAGTTATTCCGAGAATAACCCGCCCAAGTTCAACTAACCTCGTTATCTTAGCTCAGAGAGGTATTTTGGACGGAGTAGTATTCCACACTCCATATAGGAGAATAAATGGCCCCTGACTAAAAGTCGAAACCTCTGGAAACTAAAGCAGAACTAAAGTAACTAAGGAAACTAAAGTACGGAGGGCAACGGGTAACCCTCCAAGCCCCCAACTGCCAATAGTGTCGCCTCTGACGTGCAGATGAAAGAATTCAAGAACCCCTCTTTTTATTTTCATTTTTGATTTGGTGCTGGCAAATATTAATGCCTCAATGCCCTATGCTTCATAGAGAGCCTAAAGCGGGAAGCATCAATTCTGGGTAACCAGGACGCGTAGAGGGTTACTACAGGGCAACCGCACCTAATTCTTTGCCACTTGATTTACTTCACCATGAATCATTTAATTTCCAGCTGAATAAACTATCCTCTACAGTCCAGTCCAGTTTCTACAGCTGACGGGCTTGTCGGGGCAAGACCTGTTTTAGGGCAAGGCGGATGCTACCTCATGACGGGGAAAAAGAGGGTCGAGATGGATCAAGAGGGTCTGGGTGGCTTGGCTCTTCTCCCACTTCTCTTCCCCGGATTTACGATTCCGCCTGGTTGGTGCGTGAGAAGAAACAATCCCATTTACTCACCTGATTTGGACTAGCGTATTTAGATAGGACCAATCAGATACAGGATACCCCGTGCTTGCTCTATTTTCTCTCTTTCTGGGGTTGCCCTTTGACTCTGGTTCACTCGTGGTGTCTTCCATAGGTACAGTGCTACCTGACCTGCCCCCCATATTCTTGTTGACTTTTTTTTTTTTACTTTCCCGTGTGTGTCTCTGCTGGCTATATTTATAGATGTGATATCCCTTTGTGTTAAAGCATGATTTTTGGAATCTCTGCATTCATTGCGTATCTGATATTGACTGTTCTGCACACTGCGGAGGGGCAGCACCTTGAAAACCCACTAATTCAATTACGTACAGGGCGCTGGGAAGTACAGGCCATACTGCAAGTGGGGATCTGCACGGTGCTACAGTATGGATCCAGTACCTCCCCCATGACATACTATACTTTGTACTTTCCTCAAGTCTTAGTCCAGCAATAACAATCAATAGCCTGGTGAAAGGTAGTATCTCTCTTATCTATTATTGTTCACCCTCGATCTCCATCTCAGGAGGCTGGACACGGAAATTAAAGCTCAGGCACCTTGAAGCCGTGTCCTGCACCGGGTACCAATAAGAACTCAAGAATCAAGTCTGCATGCACAGTGTCTATCAATTGGTGCTGAATCATGACCCATTCGCCACTGATCCCAGCCGCCAAACCGGATCACTGGCTCCTCGTCTCTCCTCGGAAGACTCAAGACATTCTTGTCCAGGGTTTCCCCCATCGTCTCGTCTAGCCCCATTGCGGCAGTCTCCGGCTCGGTGGAGAGCCATACATCGATACTAGCAGGGATCCACCGTGGTACTGGCTAACTATGTTAGTCTCAATGTGGGGTTAGTGTACTAATCTTTTCCGGTCTATACGCAGGTCTGTATACGCAAGTATCGTGCCAGAGACCCAAACTAGACACAGAGACCCCAAATTACTCGTGCATTTGCGCCTGCATCCACAATCCACATTCCACGCCAGGATCTAGTGTCTGTCATCGGTGGGCTTGGCCCTGGAATAGAGGGCCCGGGGACCCCAGCCTTGTTAATCAAATGAAAGAAATAATAAATAAATAAAATAATATATGCATCTGAGCCAACCGCGGTCGATGCATGACTCTTGACGCGCAATTTTAGGGCAACCCGCAAGATTCGACGACATGTGATGGCCAGCGGGATATGCGGGATGGTCCCTGTTTACTGTACCCAGCACTAGTCTACCTCCAGTAGCAGTACTTTCGTAGTGTGACCCTGAAAGGGTAGCATGGCCACCTGCTAGTGGTCTATGGGTCCATCTTGGCTGTCCTCGTCCAAAGTGAATCAACTTTCCACCTCAAAAGCTTATAAAAGGGCATCTCCGTCCCTGACCCAGACCCAGTCTTCTTTTCCCTCGATCACCCCCGCCTCTCGTTATCAAGTCTTCGACTGTCGTTTTCGAAACACCTTTTTGTCAATTTCGATATATCAGCTTTGCTCAGCAATTCTTCAATCCCGTCAAAATGAAGTTCTCCACCACCCTGATTGCCCTCGTTGCTGCCGGTCTGGCCAACGCTCAGCTTCCTGATGTGCCTTCTTGCTCGGTATGATATGCCCATCAAAGATGATACGTGATATTTGGTATCATGTCAAAACCATGATAGAAAACAAGACTAATACTATGTTTTCTCTCCAGCTGAGCTGCTTCGTCACTGCCCTGACCACCGATGGCTGCTCGTCCCTGACCGACTTCGCCTGCCATTGCCAGAAGCCCCAGCTGGTTAGCACCATCACCCCCTGTGTGCAGAAGGCCTGCGCCGTCTCGGACCAGATCTGTATGTCATCACTTTTCCCATATCCATCCCATTCCCATTCCCAAACCATCCATACTAATAATCATATCAGCCGTCTCCAACGCCGTCGTCGCCCAGTGCTCTTCCGCCGGCCACCCCATCTCGGTGCCCCCAATTGAGACCGCCACCTCTGCCAGCTCCACCAGCTCTTCCTCCTCTGCCTCGGCCACCGACAGCTCCAGCAGCTCCGCTACTGCCACTGCTACTGGCTCTGGCTCGTCCTCCGCCTCGGCCTCCTCCACCGCTACCGGTGGCTCTGGCTCGTCCTCTTCGTCTGCTGCTGGCTCCACCGGTGCTCACGGCTCCACCCCCGCTGGCACTTCCACCCCTCTGCCCTCCAAGACCGCCACCGGTACTGCTGCCGGCGCTACTACTTCCCCCGCCTTCAACGCTGCCGCCAACATGAAGGGCAACATGGCCGGTGTTGCTGCCATTGCTGCTGCCGCTGCTTACATCCTGTAAATATAGCTAAACCTTAATTGTTGGGGGATTGCCTTTGCTAGCCCTGTTTCGTGATTGGTGATGTTGGCTGTCTATTGACGTTGACGTTGCTGGTCTGGTTGCCCAATATTCCTTCTTCCTTATGTCTTTTCTTGGGTGTGCTCTCACTATTGGGGAATTCCTTGGAGAGAAGGTCGAGAGGGAATTTGGTTAGGCTATTGAGACATTTGGTGGCTTTGTGCATGTCTTGTATAGTTGTGACACGCTTAATATAACGGAACGATTGATTTGGACTTGATGGTGAATGTGATTTTGATTCATTGAACTTGACTTCATTTGGAACCTCAATATTTGATGTAGAGTAATGCCTTGGTAGGCTTGTGATCATTATTCTATCACAGGAATAAGCTTCGAAGTGCATACCGCTGCTTCCACTAGACTGCGGTGGAAGGAGCTCTTAGTCTGAGAACTAATTCAGTTGTCCTAATCTAATGGACTTGAGATGAAACATTTCTTATCAATCTCGAGAAGTCCCTTTAAGATTGTCGAAGGTGACGATCCAGAATTCGTAAACAACAGTACCCACTCTATTCAAGTATTCATCTGCCAAGCTTAAATTTCAATGAATTCTTGAGCGCAGAGCTTTTTAAAGATATGATATATATTGAACCTAGTCTGACTTCGCTCATTACTCGAGGGATAATCCGAATACCTCCCCGGGTTATGACTTCCACCACACCTCTCCCATTACCCCTTCCTCCACAAATCTCGCTCTCTTCCAACAACTATTCAAGCTGCTTCTCTCTCACATTATTATGCTCCAACGCAGACTCAACATGCTCATTCATCATCCGCTTCACGCTCTTCAAGAAACAAGCGGCAACACCATTCGCCGCAATCAAGCACGCAAGAGTAATCCACATGTACTTCCAAGCCCTGGCACTCTCAACTTTCTGAACGGGGGCCTTAGAGTTATTCGCGATCTCGGGCCCGACGTATGAGGCATACTTGTTGTCGTATATAGCTGTGAAGAGGGTGATGCCGACGATGCCGCCGAGTGCTCGGCAGGACATGGAGACGGTAGCAGCTGTGCCGATTAGGAAGGATGGGATTGAGAGTGCGAGTGCGGTGACTAAAAGAAACTATTGATTAGAATTGCTATGTTGAGTGTCCGAAATGAAAGGTAGAATCTTACCTGGGATGGTTGTCGTTACGGCTGTACCAGCGCCGAATAACGCAGAGAAGGCATATGCCCAGCTTTTCCTCTCCGGAGTGATGAGCCCCATTAAGCCTACATAGATGATGCTTTAGTAAGACATCCATATGCGTATCGAAGACCGTAAGAAAAGGGGAGATCATACCTGTGAAAAGCGAACACCAGAGCAAAGCAGCAACCAGCAGGGTTTTATAAGACTTGGTAGCCGCCATGATCCAACCTGCCGGGATACAACCAAAAGTGGATAGAGCCAGGTACGGAGTGAGCATCACCGCAATTTTGACAGCATCTTGAGTGAACAGATCAAAGATCTCCTGCGAAAGAGCGACGTTCACACCAAGAAGCAAAATTCCATCAATCGTACACACAAACAGCAAGATAGGGAAATTCATCGACTCAGAGAACAGACGACGATCAAGAATACCCTCCTTCACAAAGGCTTCGTACAATCCGAACAGAACAAGACCGACACATCCCATGGTCAGCGTAGCAATGATCCGCCCCGAATTCCACGGGTATGTAGTACCGCCCCAAGTGACACCGATAATAAGAGCGGTAAAGGACCCTGCCATCAACATGATACCGATGAAGTCCACATTGGTCAAAATATCTTTGAAGGCGCGATGTCGGCCAAGTTGCGGACGAGGTGGGAAATAGGTGAGCCCTATTGCGACCGCAGTGAAACCATAGATGATTCCGTTGAAGTAGTACGCCCAACGCCAGCCTCCAGCGCCCCCTATATTATGTTGCACAAATGCAGCTGCGATGAAAGTTCCGAGGATCACAAACGCGCTGGCCATTGCTTGGGAGACGCCCATTGCCCAGGGGCGAAGCTTGTTGGGCATGATCTCTTGGATGCAGGAGATGGAAACGATCTGATGCATGATTAGTATCGAGGGGACTGATTTCAATCAAGTTAGTTTCTCTTACACAGCCAGCATTTGCAATTCCAGTTAGGATATTGCCGCCGATGATATCGGTGATCTTATGGGCGGACCCGGAGATCATGGAACCAATGACTCCAAGTGAAGCACCTCCCACAAGGAACCACTTCTTGCCCAAGCGATCGCTAACGGAGCCCTGCGTTTGTTAGATCATGAGCAAAGACGGGTTGGAGTGTATTATAACGCACGAAGATTGGACCCATGGCAAGGCTGAGAAGGAAATTGCCATTGGCAATCCACGAGGCGAGAGCAGCATCGGAAGGCGATCTCGCGACAGTAGCTACCTGGAATTTGATCGTAGTATTCGTCTATTCATTAGGAAAAACCCTGCATTAGCTTGGCTATTGATCGCATGGATAAAAATTAGATGGACATACGGTATTAGACAGCGCGGCACAAACATTGGCCATAGACAGAGTTAGGACTGCAAGAATCGTCCGCCAACCAAGCTGGTAAGGGGTTTGAGGTTCATCCTCGTTCTGCACTGGAGTGACATCCTTTTCGGTCATGACATGCTCTAACTGAGACACCCCAGTTTCGCCTTCTTTTGTTTCCTGCGAGATGTCCATCTTGCGAGTTGACGAGTACTCTACAAACGGGCACCGGCACCGGGCTTAGAGGTATCATTTATGTCACTCCTCCATGGGAAATCCCAGGGCGGATCTCCCGCTGTCATTAACTAGTAAGATTCTAGGAGGCGCTCAGACAAGAGGAAGGACAGCTATGACACGAGGTCTGGTGAGCCGCCACAATATCTCATCTTCGGAATAGCCGCGAGGCTGACTTGGATAGGTAAAGATGCGGGGGAATGACAAGCTGACCCTTTGGGACCCTTGTTTCACTCCGAACAAGCATCTGGGAGATCCGGAATACAAGCCCCAGATGCTTGACCCTTAACGTGGAGACTGTGTCGACAAATCAGGAGATATTATTTGGCTGGGGTCTGTTCCCCGGTGTGCGGGGTGTGGGTATGGGGAAGGCTGTTGGTATAGTCGGAAAAGCCGAGCTCACGGAGCTCCTACGATTGAAGGATTGTAAATCAGACTTTGAATAGCCGAACGAGGGCAATAAATGAGAAGAGGCTTACGGAAAGTCCTACCAATCGGATACTATGAACTAAAGCAATAATCCTTCCAAGCCCAACAGTGGAACAGAACTAGTTCTCTATGCGTGCAAATGACCAAGTAACAAGTTCAACTCAAACACTCCCTTCCCCATCCGGTCGTCCGACCTTCAAGAAATCACCAGTATGATAAAGAACCTCGGGTCGAATCTCAGAAATACGCCACTGGCCATCAACTTTCACAAAGATCTGCTGCATCCAGCTCCTTCCGTCCGAAATTTCGTCAATCTTGCACATTGGATGCGCATAATCTTCTCCCTCAATTCGGCGTCCGTGGCTCGCTAATTGCTGCCACTCAATCACAATCTCCTCCTTGGTGACAGATTTGAAGTATGGTGCTCCCAACAGATGCTGTGTTGCTAGCGCCTTAACCCCGAGGTGCGTTGGTCCCAGCCACTCTTCAACAAATACATCCGCGGCAAATGTCTTGCGACCCCACTCTGGGACAACTTTACTATAGTCGACGATTATGGTAGGAGCTAGAGAAGCTCGGACGCGGGATTTGTCCTAGTAATCAGTCGGTATGAGTGACAGGACTTGAGTGTGTTGAATTTCGATAAGCTTACCTTGCGATCGTAACCATCGGCTAGCGTTCTAGCACATTGGGAAATTCCGATGTAATCTTGAAAGGTGAGGGACGCGGGGATGTAAATTTCAAATGCCATGATTTATTCCGTATGAAACTCGCTTCAAAGTAGTTGAGTATATTTGACGGAGAAATACTATAATGGGCGGAAACTGGACGCTTTAATGGTCGTTGATAACCATGTAGAACCGATGCGGTCCACTTCGGGTATTCCGCAGCGCTCGACATTAGTCTCGGCTCCTCCATACAAGTTAGGAGTATAAGACAGTCGGCTGTCATTAATCTCCACTTGGACTCATCCCTCAAAAACCAAATCATCCCAACCATTCCAGCTACCATGACAGGCACTGTAAAGCCGGAATTCACTCTTCGTGCGGGTGTCTACCCGGCGATCAACCCAGACCTTTTTGCTGGCTCGTTGGAGGGCAAAGTCGCGCTAGTAACTGGCTCAGGGCGGGGAATTGGACGTGAAATCGCATTGGCTCTGGCAAGCTCTGGTGCGGCTGTCGCTATCTCCGGCAGAACACAGAAGGAAGTTGAAGATACTACGCGCGATGTAGCGAAACTGGGACGCAATTGCATTGGTGTAGTGGCCGACGTCTGTGTTCGAGATGATCTAGAGCATCTTGTTAAAGAGGTAATCAATTTACACTTAAGATCTGCATATACGACTCCTATATCCTTGGCTTACGCATATCCTTCTCTAGGTAGTTGAGAAACTCGGATTGATTGATATCCTTATTTGCAACGCCGGCACAAACACCTTCATGCCATTTCACATGACAGACCCAGACCAATGGTGGCGTCAGATGGAAGTTATGGTGAAATCGCCTACGGAGTTGACACGAATGGTTCTCCCTTCAATGCAAAAGCGCAATTCCGGTACTATTATCTTCACATCATCTCGCGCCGCCGCAGCAGATCTACCATGGGCAGCCGCATACAGTTGCGCAAAAACTGCGATTACACGCTTCGCTGGAGTTCTGCAGGCGGAACTCAATACTTTGCAAAAAGACAATTTTGGGTTCGCATCCAACGGTATCTCGGTATTCTCTATCCATCCCGGGGAAGTCAAGACTTCTCTCCATGATACGGCCTTTCCAGAGAAGACTAAACAAGAAGCGCCGTATGTGATCGAGATGATGGCAAAAATGGCCAAGTTGCATCCAGATTTTAAGGCAGAGCTAGCTGCGTGGACTTGTGTACACCTTTGCTCTGGGAAGGGCAAGATATTGGAAGGGCGTCTTGTTGATTGTACGAGGGATATTGACGAGGTCAAAGCATATGTATCTAGTTTACCTCAGCAGAAGTTTGGCAATGCTTGTGGCTAAACTGAGAATTTATGATAATGGACTGAGCCGGTGTCTGTAAATGGGCAAAAAGAGCTAGCTTGGTACTGAGGATCAAGATAAATAAATCCAAAATGCGGCGTACACATTCCTCTCTTCCAGACTCAGCTGCCCATTTGAGGACTGTGCCCATGCTTGGATACTGCGCCAGTAGATATCGATAAAGTCGATGGTTGAGTAAAGCGTGTAGCCAGTGACAGGTAAGAGACATCGAGTTAATTTCAATCAAATGATCCAAATACTCGGAGATGATAAGCAGAAGCTCCGCTGGTAACTCAGTGAGAGATATAGCTCTTTGGCACCCCATTTTGGTCGATACCGGGGACTCGTTGAGCGATGGCATGATATCAAGCGGATCATGCGCTGACCAAATCCCAGCAGGGTTTTCTTCCTCTTCCCTTTCGAGCGCGCAAATTTTCAACGAGACATAGCAACAGGCATAGGTGAAGGCAGGACTTCGTTTTTGATGCGCTCGATAGCGGCTGAAACCGATTCAAGAATTTCTTCCAGTAGGCTAATGAGTAGCCCGTAAGAGGAAAGGAAATCCCAGGATTGCCTTGAGGATAAGGTAATGGAATCTGGCTTGCGCTCCGTGGCTGCTGAGTGTCTATACCAGCTTGGTAGTAGGCGCGGTCGAGTCGGTCTTTGAGCATGAGGCGGAAACGATGACTGGCTTTGGCCAAGGAATTGAGGTCAATGGAGTATTTGAGATTCTCCGAGATCATCAGAATTAACTCTATTTGGAGAGCCGCCAGCGAGTTGTGAGGACGTTGTCGGGTTGACGAAAGTTTCCTGTGCACGATAAGTTTCGGGAGGAAGTGAAACAGAGTCTCGAGTGGAGGGGAATCTTGGGGACTTCCAGCTAGGGAAAGACCTCTGTAGGAGTGTAGGTATGAAGGTCCAGAAGTTTGAATGTTCAGAAGGTTGGAGGTCCAGAAGGTTGGAGGTCGACAAAGAGTCGGAGGTCGATAAAAGGTTAGATATAGAAGGTTGGATGTGGACAGAAGATTTGGAAATAGAAGATGGAAGGTTGGAGGAGAATATAAGGTTGAAGATCGATAGATGCACGAATTTGGATAGAAATCTCGATGATGAAAGAAAATTAGATGCCGACGGGAGGTTAGATATCGATAGAATGATGAATGTCGGGTGAAGAACGAATATCGACCAGAGGGTGTTGTACGCAGCTACCTTGGAGTCATGGAGTGGAGCGGTCAATGTGGAAGATCTTAGAAGATATAATCATGATAGATGGTAATAACAGTTTGCATAGATGATGACTGAGCGTTGGAAGTTCATTTCCTTGTGAGAATCAAAGTCAAAGTAAGAGGCATAGCTCCTAGCTCCGGGAGGCGAGTAAGCTAGTAGAGAAGCATAATAGCGTAGAATAGACTTGGAAAATTATATTTAGCTTGGAGACAAGTATAGCCTCTGATATTATAGAACCAAGAGCTGTAGACATTATGATATAATTGATCCAAATGTGCATGATGAAACTATCTTCTAACATGGTGACTATGGGTATGGGGAGGTTGAAGAAAAGATCTAGATGAACGTGGAGCTCCACCCGGTTAAATTCTAATAAAAGGTGGAATGACATCAGCGGCCGATCAGACAACAGGAAATTCCCGGTTGTATCACAGCAAATCTCCCCAAAGGAGTTTATCACACTGCGAGTTTTGCTTTTAAATTTCTGAAGATTCTGCATCTGCTCTAATTTCGTACCGACCAGCATCTACCGCGAGTCCACGACCTCGCATTCCACAACCCCGCATCAGCTTATCTCCCCACCTTGTCGCGCATATCACGACCATAATGTCCGCTCTGAAGGGCGCATCAAAGTTCAAACATTTGCCTCGAGTAGCATCGGGTCCCTTGAAATGTCCATTCGAGGGTACATCCCTTCTCACATCGTCCCAGTTCAACAAAGGATCCGCTTTTCCAAAGGAGGAACGCACGGCTTTCAAGCTACATGGACTGCTGCCGCCAAACATCCAGACACTAGATGAGCAGGTCCAGCGTGCGTATCAACAGTACACCAGTTGCGATAATGACTTGGCCAAGAATACATTCATGGCTAGTATGAAGGCACAAAATGAAGTCCTGTACTACAAGGTCAGCGATTGGAAATTCCAAATATCTACCGGTAAGTTCAAGCTAATTGACGGAGCTAGCTATTGCAAACGCACCTCAAGGAAATGTTCAGCGTGATCTACACACCAACTGAGGGCGATGCAATTCAGAACTACTCTCGGCTCTTTCGAAAGCCTGAGGGGTGCTTTTTGAATATTCGCGATCAAGACTCGATCGAAGAATGCTTGTCTGCCTTCGGTACTGCCGAGGATGTCGATTACATCGTCGTTAGTGACGGAGAAGAGGTATGTATTCCATTCAAATGCTACATGAGGAAGGAGCTAAGTTTCCCAATAGATTCTAGGTATCGGAGACCAGGGCGTCGGTGCTGTTCTTATTTCCGTCGCCAAATTAGTCATTACCACTCTCTGCGCCGGCATCCATCCATCGCGCCAGCTACCGGTTGTTCTGGATTGTGGAACAAATGTATGATCTTATGATATGCTGCTGAAGAAAGGATTTACTGTTTGGATTACTAACCAGTCCCATAGAATGAGGAGTTGCTCAATGACGAGCTCTACCTTGGTCTACGAGAGCATCGTGTGCGAGGCAAAGAGTATGACGACTTCGTGGAGAGATTCGTCCAGATCGCCCGCAAGCGCTTTCCTAATGCCTACATCCATTTGTGAGCGAGACCTCCTGGCAATTTCCTCCTCAAAAGTATCACTGACATAGGCAGTGAGGACTTTGGTCTCCAAAACGCCAGAAGAATCCTCGACAAATATCAATCCCAGATTCCCTGTTTCAACGACGATATCCAAGGCACCGGATGTGTCACTCTGGCTGCCATGCTAGCAGCACTGCATGTCAGTGATGTGAAAATTGACGACGTCCGTGTGGTGGTTTTCGGCTCCGGAACTGCTGGTACTGGCATCGCGGATCAAATCGCGGATACTATTGTCACTCAGACGAACAAATCCAAGGAAGAAGCATCAAAACAGATATGGTACGTTGATTTCTTGAGGTGGCACTTGGACGTATCGCCATGAAGAATGTCAATGCTTCGATTTCGTCCCATCGCGGGCTATTCCCCAATCGAGACACCACTAGCCACGCTTGCACGTATAGCTTCTAACGTCAAATATTCATGCAGGTGCATCGACAAGCCAGGTCTCCTCCTAAAATCCTACGGCGACAAACTAACCCCCGCCCAATTCTCCTTCGCAAGAAACGACAACGAATGGCCATCAGACCAAAAGCACGACTTACATTCCGTCATCCACCAAGTCAAGCCCCACGTTCTAATTGGAACATCCACCAAACCGAAGGCATTCACTGAGGATATCGTTCGAGAAATGGCGAAACACGTCGATCGCCCTATCATATTCCCCCTGAGTAACCCGACACGTCTACATGAAGCTCAGCCAAGCGATCTCTATGAGTGGACCGATGGTAAAGCACTCGTTGCTACGGGAAGCCCATTCCCGCCTGTGGAATATGGGGGCAAGAAGTACGATATTGGTAAGTGGAGTGTCGATGGAAATTATTGGCGAAGACAATTGAAGCTAATAGTGCACTACAGCTGAGTGCAATAACTCGACCTGCTTCCCCGGTATTGGACTAGGCGCGGTGCTATCGCGAAGTCGACTGGTGTCTAAGAAGATGCTCGTGGCAGCTGTTGAAGCGTTGAAGGCAAAGTCGCCCGCGCTAGAGGACCCCAATCGTCCTCTTTTACCTGATGTGGAAGACGTTCGCGAGGTCAGTGTGGACATCGCGGCTGGTGTTATTCAATGTGCTGTGAATGAGGGTCTTGCTCAGGAAAAAGACATTCCCACAGATGACGCTGAATTGAGAGAATGGATTCGGGCGCAAATGTGGGATGCTGTCTACCGACCTCTGGCTAAAGAGTAAGAGCCTCGCCACTGAGAATCTGATCCAATCTGTTCATATGGAAGTGATGGAGGCCCCAAGTTGATCGATGCAAACTTATCATTCGTGAGTTTGGTTTAGCGCGTGTGTGTGATAGTATCCGAGCGAGACTTGTTGATAAATGATCTTGATATTCAATCTTAATTAAACCTGAAGCCCTAGATATGATGAAAAATCAACTCTGTGCAAGAAGAAAGAAAGCCATGCAAGTCTTGACAGCCACCGATGTGGAACGACCAATTCAGAGAAGTAGATGCAATATTATACACGTTGTCAACGCATTACCTTGTAAGAATAGCGAAAAGGATAAATGGTCTCTTCAAGAGAAAGAAGCAAATAAATGCAAAGAGAAGCAAGGTGCGTGAACGCGAGAATGCCGATCAGGGAACCCATAATCGCATGAAGCCGCCAACTTCTTGTCGGCAAGTCACACAGCTGCCAAAGTTATTCATGGCGAGACTAACACGGCAATCCTCACATATGCATAGACAACGGCAAGGCCAGGTGATGATCGACCGTGGGTTAGTCTGGCATACGACACAAGGAGGTCCATTCGGACCAAGACCTGTTGCACCATTTTCCCAAGTATTAGGATCCGAGCTAGAAGACATCTCCGACCGGCGTGAGAGAATCAATTGCTCGAGCATCTCGGTTTCTTCATCCGCCGATGGCTTCCTTTTGTCACTGCTAGACTGCGATGCAGCTGCATGATGATGCAAGCGAGAGGACAAGAGAACACGAGATCTATCCTTTTCGACTTGTTGCCTGTATTGGCTGCGAGTCATAATCCGATTAGAGTCTCGGCTAGGGCTGAGATGTGCGGCGAGAATGCGGGCTTCTTCCTGGCTTTCGCGGTCGCGGGGGTCAAGGAGACGTGCAAAGGTGCTCATATCCAGCAAGGGGTCCAGAGCGGGGGTGCTTTCTCGAGAGAATTGGGGGTATGGGTTGGTCTGAGTTGGTGTACGACGTCCGTCGGAAGGATCATCTTCCCATTCCGACTCCGATGCACACGTGGACATTGATACGACGCTCGTTGTATCGTCGTCATCCGCAGGTGGGTTGTAATCGGGCGTGTGGTCCTGGTTTCCCCACGATCCTCCTACTTTCCACCAAGAGTAGAGCTTTTCATCCAGTCGGCGTTCATCAGCCGTGTCCCAGTTTTGTGGGTAGGATTGATCTTGCTTCTGCATTTCCAACTCAACATCAAACTCATGGTCTTCGGGGAGCTCCAGCTCTCCGTCATCTGTAAGAACCCAAAAGTCGACGGGGCCGGACGGAGTGGACTTCTTGGGGACTGCCTTGTCTTTGTGCGTTCCAGACAGACGCTTCAGCCACAGTGGGCGAGCATTGATACCAAGCCGGTCAAGGATACGACTAAACCCATACGCGATCCATCGCGAAATGAGCAAGCCAATGGCGCGGAAGAAAGAGATGCAATGGTACAATCGAACGGACGCCCGCACTGCACCCACGCCGCCCAGTTCAGCCTGAGGCCGCACCTGTCGAGATCCGTTCTTAGGTTTCTCGATCTTCTTTTCGCGATTGTAACCACTCTCCCACACGGTGGCTTGTTCAGGCAAATCAAAAGTGCCGAAGCCCACAGCTTCAAAGGGCCCGCCATCGAACTGGTTGGGCAAGTTACGGTAGGATGAGTTTCGCTGTCGAGAGGCTTCAATCTCAGCCAGTCGGTCTCTCTCAAGCCAGGTCATCTGTCTGGCGATGACTGCTTTGCCTTCGTTCAAGAATACTGCTTCGCTAGCAGCGGTCAAAGCAACATAGCCAACGCGAAGCAAAGTTGTATAGAAGTCTTCATGTCCGTTGAGGCGGATGCTTCGGATCTGGTTGGAGCCTTGCATGTTCTCGTGGGCCAATACGAACCGTTCTCGAATTGAGACAGATTGGCCATCTTCGACTGGTAAAGAGAAAGCGGTGATGGCCAGAGCTAAGACGTAGATTGCAAGGCAAGTGACAATGCCAAGGAGAACGAAAAGATGAGGAATAAAGCCGATGATGCAGACGGTTGGGAATTTGAGGACACCTGTCTCCGGACTCAATGGAGGGCCGCTCTCTAAGCCCCAGCACATGGCAGCCATGAAGCAGAGACCCCAGAAGGCAGTATTGTATAGGCGATAGCGACTCTGTTTGCCGAAAACGTCGAGAATGTGCGAAGAAAGACTGTTACAGCACGAAATCAAGACAATGAGCAGGAGTTCTGGCGTAACGTTCATTCGCTCCAGAACCTGCGATCTGGTGAGAAGTTGAAGAGCAGAACCGGAGCTTTCTCCCGATGATCCTTCAGCCAGGGGACTTTGCTTGGCGAGTCCAAATATTCCAAGCCCAATTGACTTGCTGATCATGGACTCAGCTTCGGCAAAGGCAAGAGAGTGCTCGAAAATCGACATTCCTGTCTCGGTCATAACAGGCCGACCCTGTAAGGCGCACGAAAGGGTCTCGATGAAATGGCTGAGACAGAGCAGCAGGAATACCGGCCACAGCAGAGAGAATGACCCGTATGGGACATCTGAACTGCCCCAGGCCCGTCCCATCTTTACAGCACCACAGGCCTGTGCATCGGACTCCCAAGCCATGAGACGCGAAGTCATCGAGTAAAGAGCACCTCCACCACTAGCATAGTCAAAAATCAATGGCTTCCCTGGCTTGCCGTAGCGCATTTCGGAAAAGGCTGGAGAGGATTGGCATCGAATGCCGCGCAACAAAGACATAATCTGAGTGACAAAAAGAAGAATGGGAATAATGCGCAAGGCAAGTCGTCTCTCCCAGCCCAGTCGAAGATGTCGCCGAGTCGACGCGTAGATAGTGATTCGGTTCAAAACCAAGGCCTGGATATTCTTAGTAAAGCTCTGAGATCCAGGTATTCTGGGTTAGTACTCACCTCGACTAGGCATGCAAACGACCAGATACTGGTCAAATACGCGAAGAATCCGCCGACTTTACGCATCGTCTGCGTCAACTCTGCGACGTACCAGCTATCCCCATACCCGACAGCCTGAGCAACCCCTTCGCCCGCCGTATTCGCCGCCGCCATAGCATCGCCTCGTAACCCAGTCTCTCCAATCGCATGCGGCCCTCCGCTCCAGAAACTCACACTGATATCATTTAGGCCTGTCAACCGTGCGATATGTCGGGGAACCGTACTGAATGCAAAGGTCTCCGCTTGATTGAGCGCGCGAAAGGGAAGAGTAAATAAATCACGAGGCGAAGGAAGTAACGAGGAGACGGAAGTCGCGGAAACGGTATTATTGATGTTATTGGCAAGCGATGCAGCAGATGTGCTCGGCATGGACGCTGTTCCGAAAACTCCGGACATGGTGAGAAGCGTTTCTCGTTCTATCGGTGATCACTATCGATGGTCGGATCCAAGATCCGGGGAAGATGCAATGGGGATAGACCCCCCAACGCAAAGATAATTGCTTTCGACGGGCGGAAAAATCGACACTCGATCAGAACCGACAGGGGAGATATATGGAACAACGTTTAAGACCACAGTGAGCGCAGCCTTCAGGCACTGCATTCCATCGAGGGAAGTGTTGGATGGAGCATCAAATGGGGGGCGGGCGGGCACTATGACCGGCTGAGTCAGCTGGGGCCGAGGCCCGGGCACAACCTACAGTAGTAAGGCTGCGTAACAGTGAAGCCGAATAATGGGTGCTATCCACAAGCATGTTCTTGGAGGGAAGCTATGGCGCCAGTCTTGATTTGTATATTGAAGCAACAATCATTCTTAGGTGGTTTTTTGTCTACTAGATATCATGGTTTGAGGGGCAAAAGAATCTCATTGACGTCCAACACAAAGCTACCAGAAGCGAAGCCATTGTCGATACAATGTTGAAAATACTCCTCGCTGGAATATCTCCCTTATAATGTATACTATCGCTCATCATGGGTTTTCAAAGCAATTTAAAGACATGAGGGAGTAAATTTTTCAATCTGCCATCCATTTTAGACTCATTCGTCCACGGTGTTATCAGGTAGAATGTATGATGCTTGGATGGCTCTGAACGCGACTAGACAGTCCGTTCCTTATAGGGAAATCGGAAAAATCGTTTTGGTAAAGCTCTTTATCATAGCAGAAGCACAGGTGCTTGCCAGGTGTTGATTAAATCAATGTCAATCGGGTAAAGCCAGAGCCCAGTCCCTTTGAGCAGGCCTAAAACGCCATGTATAATCATTGTAGGAAATATTTTCCATCTCATTGCGCCGTAAATCATGTCAGAATGCCAGTATCGGAACTAGAAGGTGTGGCAGTCAGAATTGGCTTTTCAAAAAGAGCAGACGGGAGATTCCTACGCCAGTATCAAGGAGCTACCTAGGATCAAGTGTCCAAGTAATCGGCAGCCATCAAGAGCTCCAGACATAGCTCCGCTGGAATCTCCATATCAGGCACATTTGCCTGATCCTTGTGCTTCTCGTTGTACATAAAGTATTCGCATACTTTCTCGAGGACGATGCCACTGCGCGAGAAAGAAACGAGTTAGCTGCCGACTCAGCTCGATTGCGAAGGGTTCAAGAGGTATCGGTCCGACGAAATACGAACGTTAAGTTCTCCAGCACACAGCGACCACTGAGTGCCTCTGAGAATTTACCTATATTGCAACCAAGGGATTAGTCCACGACCTTTAGAAGATTGAGTACTCCGTCATCGTAGATCAACGTACTTGCAGGGTCCAACATGCGCCGGATGGTCCCCGATATGCAGGCGGCACTCCCGGGGATAATGAATTCAAAGCCATCGCATGACACAAGTGTCACGAACTCTGACGTGGTAGGGTCGGCCATGGTGAAGTGAAGAGGACGAGTTTCGTGTCTCAGATAATGAAGCGGCGCGCGGAACTTGTTCGGCGAGTCAAAGAACTTGGTCCGTGCGTTCCCGATAAGCCGATAAGCCCATCGCGGGCTTCGACTTTCCGCGGTGTTTTTGGGTAAGTACACTTGCCATTAGTTTTGGCTGTCCTTCCTTTTACCTGTCGCCGAAGACCTCAAAGGTTATCTATACTTTCAATGGTCTAAACTCTACACATGGCCACTTCTGTTACCTCATGGTCCCGTCTGCGGGCGCCAGCATCATCCCTCATCTACTCCCGGCCGACATATGACATCAGAAGGACATCTCCAGCCTTTGCTAAGGCAAGAGGAAATGTGTGTTTCTCATCTTCCACGCCATCAGACACAGCCAGTCCAGTAGCAACGTTCCGGCCTGCAGGCCGGCTATCCGGGCGGACCTGCATGGTCACCGGTGGAACCTCGGGTATTGGCTTTGCCATTGCAGAACGATTCATGCAAGAAGGCGCTTTAACAATCATTCTTGTTGGTAGATCCCAAGAGAGGCTGCAAAAAGCCGCTGAGAAGCTCTCTATCATCGATGGCACGGAAACCTCCTCTGACAAAGTTCGATTGGTTGTCGGAGATGTAGGGAAAGCTGGAACATGGATGCGTGAGTTGGAGAAGGAAATGGTAAGTCCGAGTCAAGTTGTTATGAGCGTTATGATATACCCAATTCTGACAGAGTGTACAGGCCGGCGTCGATGTTTTAGTCAATGCAGCTGGAATATCGATTTCAAAAATCCTTCCAAAACTTGAATTGGACGACATCTCCCAGGTTCTCCGTACCAACCTGGAAGGCGCGATACTTACCTCACGCGCATTCCTACGCGCCGCGATCAGAAGCCGAATCCGGGACCGCAAGAACACAGATTCTGGGCAAAAACCTCCTTCAAAATGCATTATCAACGTCTCTTCATTGCTCGCCCTAAAAGCAGGAAGCGGCGCAGTTCCGTACGCTGCATCAAAAGCTGGACTTTTGGGTTTGACGCGGTCATTGGCTGTTGAATCCTCCACTTCCATGAGAGATTTGGTAGTCCGGTCAAATGCCATTGTACCGGGTTATATCGAGACACCGATGATTGAAGATTTCTCTCTCGGGGAGGTCGATAGGCTGAAAGCTTTAATTCCCCTCCGTCGATTCGGTGACCCGCGGGAAATTGCCGATGCGGCTGTTTTCCTGGCGCAGAATGAATACGCTAACAATTGTGTCTTGAATCTTGATGGAGGATTGAGTGCGGTTTAGCCAACTTTTGTGTTCAGCGGCACTTGTATGTACGGAAATGGAAGTGTACGATAGTCTTATGATAGCGCAGAATAGCTAGTCCAGCCACTTGCCTGGGCAAGTCGATCTTAATGGGATGGCAAGGTCACTAGGTTGTCACCTTGAGAATCTGTTCTGGTGCCAGAGTCATTTGAAAAAAAAATGCCATGAATATGATACAAAAAAGTGTAATAGAGGCCAATTTCCGTGCCCATGCCAAACGATCCTCTACTCTTATCAAGAAAATCCAAACACAGCCATTGACCCATCCGCATGCGCCAAAAAGATGGGACTCTAATCGTCGATCAAGATAGCACCCTCATCATCATCGATGACGACGACATCTTCATCAACTTTTTGTGCTGACTCGCCAGCAACTTCCTTGGCGATACCCTCAGCATCATCGATAACGACCGCACCTTCGTTACCGTTCTGTGTTGACTCGCCAGCAACTTTCTTAGCAACATGACCGTTCGTCAAAGGCTCGTCTTCGCCTTCACGCTTGCGTTTACCGGTGGTCGATGTACCGTTCATCACGCTTGGAAGGTCTGGTTCAGGCTCGACCTTCCTGGACCGGCGTGGTATGTCGAGAGGCTCTACTAGCGTAACTGGCTTCGAATCTTCCAACGGCTCAATTCTAGTTAACTGTCAGCATCTAGCTCAACGATTCAGCAATAGTGCGTTGAATTGCACGTACCTTTCGACAACCCTGAATTCTAGGTCGACGCGAGGATCTTTCTCCTCGTCATCCTCGTCCTTGATAATCAAGGAAGAGTCGCTCTTTATTCCCAGTTCTGATAGCTTCTTAGGGAGGTTGTCCTCCAGTTCAGGGTCGTAGATAACGCCCTCGTCAGTCAGGACAGACATCTCTTCTGTGTAGCCAAGCTCCTGCTGGAGCACGCCTTCCACAAGATCTTGCAATGTTGCATTTGGGTCGACTGAGATACCCCCTCGCACGATGGAGCATACACTGCAGTCGGCGTGAGGGGGTCTTAGTTTTTCCGAATTGATTGCACGTGGGCCAGATCTCTCAAGGAAAACCTTCAATGGGCGGCAAAGTTTAGTTTTCAAGGCACAACTCTCATCACGAGATATGGGTCTCTTACCATTTTGGCATGTGCCAGATCGTTTTGAAGCACCTTGAAGGATTGAAGAACACAGAGACTAGCAGTCATTGCATTGGTAGTGGCGATAGCGGGGATGATGTTACCCGCCATTTCTGTCAATCATCAGTTTGGATTATCCTGGCAAGACTCGATGCAATTCAACTTACGCTTGGTATCAAATTTTGATGTGCGACCAATGTGAAAGGAGTCTGCCCGTAGATTTGCCGTAGCCGTGACAAAATCCAGGGTATCTTCATCGTCCTTATCAAAGGTCAGGATTGGTTCAGGGTCGTCTGGTGAATTCTTCGCCTGAAGCTCCTTCAAACGTTTGCTTAGGCGATCCAAGCTGCTTTCAAGTTAGCATCATTGTGTGGAAGATAGGGCACGAAACCGACTCACCTGTCCTTGAAAACAACAAAGTTCTCCTCCATGCTCCACTCGCTCTGATCGCCATTCGAATTTGGAAGCTTGGTGGACGTAGAGCTTTCTTGGAGCTCGTCGAAAATCAGTACTTTTGGCGCTTCGCGTTCCGTCCACATGCCTTCCAAGCCACGAAGTCGCTCCATGTCGGTTTCAAAGACCTTCTTGAACACGTTTTTAGAGAATTCCTCAGATCCCATGGATTCTCGAATCACTTTCAAAGTTTCTGCCTCTTTCCTCAGGTTCGCGATTTCTTCGGCTGTTCAGAGTCAGTCTTACTGCTTTAGGCACACATTGGCTTGTCTTGTCAATGGACTTACCATTCTCGGCGTTCTCTGTCGTATCAAGCTCAGCCTCTTCGTCTTCGCTTGCCCCGAAAAGCTGTCTAAATGATCATTTCAGCATGCGAATTCAAGGGAAATGATTGAGAGTATCATACGGCATAAGGTAGCTCTTCGCCCATACAATGCAATGGATGGGTTGTGATGGTGTAGTACGAATGGTGCAGACGGGGAAGGATTTGGGTGTGGCTTTGGGATTGCAATCGTAACACTCGGTTTCACCCTGTGGTCATTAGGACGAATTTCACTGTAAAGCGCTGGTGTGTAGATGCAGCGAACCTTTCTAATGACCTGGACCTGTCCGTTGAAGCCGGTGGTTCCACTCTCGATCAGAGGCACACCGGCTGCAAGGCACATCCGGTTGACATAACGTCGAGCCGCCAAGTTGTCCAGGGCGTTGAAAACAATGTTGAATGTCTTGAACCAATCCACGTTGAATTGGCGGTCCATGATGTTCGCATGATAGGCCTCCAACTTAGCGCCAGGCTTGAAATTGTGCGCAACTTCTTTCGCAACCTATGAGCCATAATTCCAGTGTCAGCACATCGGTTCGTTATTCGTAGTAAGGCTTTGGCGCAGAGTGGGTGAGCGTGTTCTCGTAAGGAAGGGAGGGAACGATGGTTTGCGCATGGAGGTGGAATGGAACGCACCAGGGCTTTGGGCTTCTTGATATGTTCATGGCGGAAGAGGAACTGTCGATTCAGGTTACTGAGGTCGATAGTATCCAGATCGATTATGTGGACTTCGCCGAAGCCGGTAAGGACGAGGTTTTTAAGTAGCTCGCAACCGATGCCACCAGCGCCGACCAGGAGTACGCGCGACTAAGAACGGAGAGCATATAGGGTCAGCATCCAATCAAAGCATTCATATTCATCAAATTGTGTTCGTTCCCCATCATCAAAAGGGCCATACCTCCTTGATCTTGTTCGTCAGGTCGACTCCAAGGGAGCGCTTGATAGAGCTGGCTCCCATGGCGGCGGGCGGGCAGGTAGGTGGATGAAGCAATCGCAAAGAGAATCGGTAGAAAATCACTGGGTCTGCAGTATCATGCCAATTGTGGCATATGCCAGCAAATAGAAGAGAGTTGGTAGTGAGGAGGGGGAGAGAAGAAGACAAAGAGATAACTGCGCGTGAGGTCCGGAAGCAGAGGCCGAGGTGAGGTGCGATGGCGATGACGGCAGAGCTTCCAAGGAGCCGCAACTGGATAAAATGATCGACCACCACTAGTTCGAATGGAATGTGCCGACTCTCTTTTATCTTTGGGAACTTGCCAGAGTAGTGGTTCTTCTTGGCTAAGCGTTTGTCAGAGGACAGGGAGTTTCCTTCTTTTTCTGCATGCGCGATTGCCTGCAATAAATCACTCCCTATGGATGCGCCGTGTAGACTTGCGGATTCGTACTGGAGTTACTATGCTACTAGCGTTCTACCTAGCCCCCACGCTCAATGAAGTCTAAGGTCCTAGAACCTAGTAGTCTCAGATGTTCTGCAGTATATATCGCGGTGATTGTTTTCATAGGCTTGGTATCAAATGGCTTCTATCATTGTTTGGAGGGAAATGTGCTGCTCATTGGGAAGGACCACTCGACCCTACCTGGGGGCTCGCTTGAGCAAAGAAGTCACAAACAGGGATTCTCAAAGCCAATAGAGGCCACCAAGCATCTGATATGGATTATTCTTCTAGCAATTCAAAATGATCTCACTTATCAGATCCAGGTCTTATGGAATTATTCGATGTATCGATCGCGACCGATGGACGGCGACACCATGCTTAGGTAATAAGCCTCAGAGTCCGGGGTTCGATGAAATTTCGCCGTGGCGACAAAGAAATTCCTCTCGGTTGAAGACGGTGATAGTTCAAGGGCTGGCTACTGCACAGATTGAGAGGCTTTGAATTTACAGCTTCGACTACGACGGAAATTTGACCAGCGTAGACCGGAATTCGCCTCTTGGCCGATCCACCAGGCCCTGCATCTGGTCCCCTGTCGCACATCACAAAAGTGGCTCGCCGGAGCACGAGATATAGAAGATACCATCCACGTCAACACCTCAATTGCCCTTTCAATATTCCCAGTGCGCTTGATCTATCTACAATCAGCAACCATGCCTTTGTTGGATCCAAACACACCCAGGAGAAACGACCCCGTGGACTCTGGCTCCGAAGACGAAGCGGACCCAGAGCTGCTCGAGCTGCTGCGCCAGCATCTCGGATTGGGCAGTAAACAGAACAAGAATCTCCCGCCCGAGACCAAGGTGCTGGAGAATGCCCAATATGTGTTCGACAATGCCATTGACGTGGCTCTCAACCCGGCCCAGACTAAGGAGGCGGCCGAGACGATATGGCGGCTGATGCAGAAGAAGGCGTATTCTACGCAGACTTGGTCGGAGCATGAGCTTCATCCGAAGACTAAGGATGAGAGTACGGTTGATTTCATCTTTACGATGGATCTGCTGAATTTTAGCTTTTGGTCTGAGGAGACGGATGAGTCGAAGCGGTTTTCTATTGAGTATAGGGGGAAGCGGTGGACCGGGTATTGGAGTTTGGTCGCTGCTCTTCAGCGGGCTCTTGACGAAGGTATGCTATATCATTATACTTCCAGTGTTAGGAGAATGGGCTAACACTTACATCACAGATATCCCGATTACCACGCCAGATTTCTGGGTGAACGAAGAAGAGTGCACGGCGGAGGTCCTCCGGCACGTCTTCCGCTCCGCCACAGATGAAGAGATGCCCATGTTCAAAGAGCGAGTACAGTGCTTGCGCGAGGCTGGCGAAGTTCTTTGCAATGTAAACATCCCACTCCTCCTTTATATATATTCACCTTACGCTGACCCATATCTCCAGGAGTTCGGAGGCAGCTTTGCCAACTGCATCGACAGCGCCGACTACTCCGCCGCCGGCCTTGTCAACCTCCTCACAGAGAACTTCGACTGTTTCCGCGACGAAACAGTGTTCAATGGAAGGAGAGTTAGGCTGTACAAGCGCGCCCAGATCCTCGTTGCAGATCTGTGGGCCTGCTTCAACGGCGAAGACTTTGGCGAGTTCCGCGACATTGATAAAATCACCATGTTTGCCGGTACGTACCATCGGATCACCCTAGTAACTCACGAGCCTCACTCTAACACAAGATTCCCAGACTACCGCATCCCCCAGATGCTGCACCAACTGGGCTGCATGCGCTACTCCCCCTCCTTAGAGTCCCACATCCGCAGCTTGAAGCCCATCACGCCCGGCTCAAACTGGGAGATCGAACTCCGCGGCACCAGCATCTGGTGCGTGGAGCTGATCAAGCGGGAAATTGAGAAACGGCACCCAGAAGTCAAATCTGCTGGCAAAAAGGGCGTCTTCAAATCTGTCGAGAACGACGACCAGGACGCTCTTGAAGGCGTCGAAATTACCGAAAAGATTGAACAACCACCCAAGACATACGGCATCAATGCGATCTTGATCGACTTCTTTTTGTATGATACGATGAAGAACCTAGAGCAGGAGAAGAACGAGAGCATCCCGCACCATCGGACTCGGAGCATTTGGTATTAAGGCGCACCGGGTTTGGCTCTGGCTCGCGGGTTATGGCGTTTTGATACCACTAATCATGGGCTCTGGAAGCCTGGCGCCTGGTTACATAGTCTTTTCCTTCCTTTTCTTTCGTTGGTTCATTCTCCATTTTGTTGGATACAGTGCATAGATAGATATTAGACTTTCTATCAATAGATCATCCTGTCGCACGTTTCAAATATACCGAACATCTTGGTTGTTTCATTGCAAAGGGTATCATATTCATTCTAGCGCGGATTTCCTCCCAGTACTCCGCCTCGATAACACAATTCACGCAGTAGCACGGCCAGCCCGAGGAGTCGCACCCTCAATGCGAGCCAAGATATCTGCCTTCCACTCAATATAATCTTCCCGACGATCCTCACTCAAATAATCCACCCGATCTTGCATCATAGTACCCAGACCAGGCAAGAGCCCGCCATGGACAGGTTTGCTGGATTGCCCCGTGCGAACTCCAGCGGAGCCATCATTGCGCTTGGGCAACTTGACACCCCTGAACGCGGCATCCTCCTCATCAAGATGGCGGTATGAATTGCCCTCCTCGTCCTCGCCGTGCAATTCACCGGCAAGCGGGATATTATCAAACCATTCCTTGCCATTCGCCCAGCCTTGTTCCATAATCAATGCAATCCATTGATCGACATCGTCACGATGCCGCCTGTCGTTGGGGAGACTGAGGCTGGTCAAAGCGGTCTGACGCATCTCGGTGAATGTCTTTTTGTCCATCTTTTGTCCTTCGGTATTGGCCACTTCGCCGTCTGCCGAGGGCGCTGGGTTTCGTCGCCGTGCTAGTACGATGAAGTAGACGGCGACGATCATTGCGTAGACAAGTTCCTTGAAATCGTCCTCGTTCCCTTGAATGGACACGATTGGTTCCAGAAACTCGAGGGTCTCTTCATCCATTCCTTCCTCGTCATTGGACATGCTTGCCGTGAGATAGAGGATGGATGAGACACCGGAGAAGATGTGAGGAGGCAATGTCCTTGAAATTGGAGGTCGGGACAAGCTGGTTGTTCGTGGTGCGGGCGTTGAAAGTGTCTTGCAGACTGTACGAATCGCGGTCATCACCCAGGCTGGGGCATCTGGAATGATTGTTGAGTTGGAAAGTCCATTGGGTTGTTTAGGGGCTACTTTTCGTGTCGACTTTGATGGCGAGCCGAGCTTATTCGCAACGCTGACACTTCGCTTCAAAGGAGTTGATTTAGATGGTGTGTTCTGGAGGCCGCGAGGTGTGGGCCCGACTCTGGAAGGGGTGTTCCCTGTCTTCGTAGGAGTGGTCTGTGTAGAGCCGGCTCTTGAGGGTGTTCCGGGCACAGAGCCATTTGCAGAGCGCTTGATACCTGCTGAGCTGGCGGAAAGGGAATTGTCGAGGAATGTGTAGAGCTTCTTGTAAACGCGCGGCGGACAGGGTGGGCGGCCGAGTAGAGGAGGAAGTTTGAGAGCTCGACTCAACCTGTATTCACAAGCTAATTAGTATATCAATGCCTCTTAAATCGGACTCGAGGGGAGCGCAGGACTTTAAACATACTTTTTGCAAGCAATCTCCGCACAAGCGTAGGGTCGAGCGATCTCTTCGTCGGGCTTCAAGCTGGCGGAGAACGCACGGGATTGCGCAACAAGACTCAAAGCTAAGCTGAGAAGCTCCTGGGGCAATTCGCCGGCATGAGTCGGGACCAGGGTGCCTAGGGCCTGCTCGACTGGCCGGTTATTCATTGTTGATGTGCCTGCAGAGGAGTTGGCAAGCCTTGACGGAAAGGGAGCTATTCGGCGTGGAGAAACAGGAAGGTGTCGATTGAGTGACCAGGCACAGTAGTAGTTGAGCAATTCGTGCAATCCTTGACGTCAATTAGAGTAAAGCCGGCGTCTTCTCCTGCAAATGCTGTTGCGAAAGGGTCGTAAACAATTCCCAGCAACCGTTCCAGGGCTCCGGCGCATGCCATGACTAAGCGCGATATTGAGGCTCGCCCGCATTGATCGACTTCAAGTTCACATTCTCGATTTCTAGCTGGTCATTGATCCTCGAACACAGAGACACCCTGATTCAAGATGTCTGTCACTGTAAGTACAAAGATCTGGAGGAAGGCATCTCCCCCAAGAAGTTCAATCTCCAAACGGTACGCTAACATCTCCGTCCGCAAAGCTCCATACCACCCAAGGCGACCTCAAGGTCGAGCTATTCTGCGAAGCAGTCCCCCAAACAGCCGAGAACTTTATCGCCCTCTGCGCAAGCGGGGCATACAATGAAACCCCCTTCCACCGCCTCATCCCCGGCTTCATGATCCAAGGCGGCGACATCTCCCTCGGCCCAGCCGCGCAACAGTCAACCACCACCAAACCCATGCTCTCCCATGAGATCCCCAAAGGCGGCACATCCATATACCACCCCTCAGCGCTGAACCAAGAAATCCACATCCCTGCACTGCGACACAATGCGCGCGGTATCTTGTCCATGGCCTCTCGCCCGGTTAAGGATAAGACGGCGCCGGGTTCGCAAAACGCAACTGGCGCTACTATTAACGGGAGCCAATTCTTTATTACCTTTGCGCCGGCGCCGCATCTTGACGGGGCGAGTACTGTTTTTGGAAAGGTGTTGAATTTGAGTGCCCAAGATGAGGGGGGGAGATGTGCTTTCTAAGTTGGAGAAGGCGAATGCAAAGGTTGATAAGAAGGGCAAGGTGTCTCAGCCTAAGGAGGGAGATGACTTTGAGCCTCTTAAGATCAAGCGTGTTACGATTCATGCGAACCCGTTCGCTACGTGATCTTGAAGATTTCGGCACTTTTATATATCGATATCTCCCCTGGGAACTGAACAATTTTGCCCAACGTCCATGACCGATAGCCGAGTCTCTTGGTCCAGATCTTCTTGAGGCCTGCGAATTGCAATCGCCATCATCCCTACTACCCAATACCATGGGCTGTGTCACACCAGGCGACCCATTCGCCACACTCGAAATCGAAAGCGACATCTCCTACCTGGAAAGGCTCTCAATTGAGCTCACTGAATCAGGGTCTACAGCTCATGACACATGGACGAATTTGACCTTCACATGGAAATATCTATAACTCTTCCTTAGGATGAAAGGCAACTACAATACAGGACCAATATCATAAAAATGTATAAAGCTTTTTGTATCAACACATCAACGGATATCTATCGACAAAAAGAAATCAACCAACCAAAAGACGCCATGCATCATAACAATAGGATATCGAAAGTTGTTACCACAATGATAAGAGGGAATATATGCAACCGATGGCAGATGTTTATGCCTTCCTCTCGGCCTCCGCCTCCGCCTTCGCATCCTCCTCGTAGCCCTCAGTCTTCATATCATTCAAGCCAAGCTCCTCATTCTCTTCATTGGTACGCTCGTATTCCTCGACCTCGAGTTGGGGATCCTTAGCGGGGGAGCACAGATCCTGGACGTAGCTGTTGGCTAGGGGATCTTCCAGAGTGATGGTGAACTTCAGCTCGCCACTGATGGCCTGGTCGAGACGCTCGAAGAACCGGTTCCACTTCTCCTTATCAGAGGTGTCCATGCTGTCACCACCTCCGGAGCCAAGGTCGTAGAGGTTTCCGTGCAATTGCTTGCGCATATCGGTAAGAAGACCCTCCACAGTGGTGAAGCGGCTAGAGATAGAAGAAGCGCCGAGGTAAAGCTCGAGCTCCTCACTGTGCAGAGCGCAGGTACCAGACTTCAGCACGTCACGGTTAAGATCGGTGGTGTTCTCCACGCGCAGGGTGATGCGGCGACCCTTCTCGGGGATCTCTCCGCCGACCTTGACCTCGTTCTGCTTGTAGGAACAGCCACCATCCTCCGGAGCGCAAGAGCTGGCCATAATCAGGACATCCTTGAAGTAGGGAATCGTGACCCTCTTAATGCGGAGGGCAACAGGCCTAGTGCAGCTAGGGCACTCTGCGGGCAGAGTATAGACCTGGCCATCGACAATCTCAGAATCTTCGGGGTTGCCCATATCAACTGCACTGATAGCAGCCTGCTCAGTAGGCTCGGCGGTGATACCGAGCTCCTCGTTCTGCTCGTGAGAACGGGGGTACTCCACGCGGCGGTAGTTGGTCTTGTCGCTGGGGTTGGGTGCGATCCAAGAGTTTCCGGTGGGATCGTCGAGGGTGATGGTGAAGGGGAAGAATTTGCGGTCCAGGATATCCTGCAGCTTCTGGATGAGAGGCTCAAGAGCATCGTGAAGCTCAGGAGCCTGCTCCTTGCGCAGAGGCTGTTCGCCAGAGAGGGACTCGTGCATGCGCTGAATCATTCCCTCCACGTTGCTGATCTCTCCGCCCTTTGGCATCTCAATTCCGAGAGTGTCGAGCTTGAATGTGGCAGCATCGGATCGGATAACTTGACGCTGAAGATCGTTCGGGTTGTTCACATCCAGGGTGTATTTCAAACCAAGGGGAGAGATGGGGCCGGCAGGCTTCACAGTGTTGTTCGAGAAGTGGCAGTGCTCGCAGTAGAACGAGTCAACCACGATGTCCTTGAAGAAAGGCACGCGCAGGAGAAGGATTCTAGTAATTCCCTATGCAGTCATAAGTCAGTACGAAGCTTATCCAAGCGACCATAATCACATACATTCTCATGGCAGTTCATGCAGAGCGACTCCACACTCATGACACCGGTCTCGTCATTGCGCTCGACAAGATCGCCGATGTTCTGGAACTGCGACTCTTGCGCACTGTTGTCGGCGTCGGTCGACATGTTGTAAACTATTAAATGACTGGAAAGTCACTCAGATAATTGCTGAATGGAGAGTGACAGGGGTAGTGGGACGAGAAGCGGGAAAATGGCGGAGAGCAACTTGATTTTCTTATCGTCAAAAAAATCTCCAGCGCCCGCCGGAAGATTCCTTTTTGTTCTGCGTGGCGGGGGCTTGTGCAATGGAGGGGTTTATGCGGCTGACTAATTGTGCATTTTGCACAACGGGAGAGGTATCCGCAAGTACGAATTACTATGTTGTATAGGATGAACAAGTTCGGGATCTAACTCAAATGAGTATCTGCAATTCCTTTGTATCTCGAGAATAATAATTTCCCAATCAAATGGTATGGGTATGGCAATCCCCAACCAATCATTCAGTCAGTATGCCGAAGAAATGAAGCCGCGAAAGAGGTAAACTGCGAGATGGCAATGATTGTGATGCTGAAGGCTGTCAAATTTGTCGTCAAGGCTGGCTCAGTTCTCTGCATCGATAGTTAGCCGTATCCAGGCAAATCAGGTGTAAGAGCGGGCACTTATAAGAAAAAAAAAACGGGGCCACTTCCCCTATCGAAGTAGAGAAAGCAGCCGTCCGTGGATCGTTGCCATGTCCATGCATTCTGCTCCCATCTCACAGACCCAGAGAAGCTCAATCCCCAAGCCACACAGGAAATTCCTTGACGACTGGAAGAAGAAGTGATTCCCCCCGTTGCTTCGGATTCTATTCCAACCTAACTCAACATGCAAGGCTCCGCCGAAAGTATACGGCGGCAGAACGCAACGTGGACAAGCCAGAGCTTTGATCCTCACTCGAGAGAGGTCCCACGTCAGCGCCCTACCAAGTGCCACATACTCGAACCGACAGAGCCCCACAAGCCAAGCTGGCGGCGATAGAACCGTAGTTCAAGCAAACGGGGGATACGAATACCCCAGGTTCCAATCAGAAAATCTGAGTTCCTTAAGGATTGAGCGACTCACGAGAGTGATAAGATAGGTGTTGAAGAACGAGTAGAGCCATAGCAAGACCCAGTGGACAAATTCTAGCCGATGCAACGTCCCGACACATTGCAAGAACAAATCGAGAGTGGGTCATGCAAATCCAACCCATCGAATCAACCTTGAAGACTGTTCCATCTCCTCGGATCTGCTCAAACTCGCCAGTATCTCATAGCGGCTCATCATCAATGTGGAGACAATCTCTCGTGTGTAGCACAGTACCCTCGGGGACAAGTTTTTGTTTCCTCCCTGCTCAGCCCGAAGACATGACAGGAGGGCATGAAACGAAGCGGACAAAGAACATCCAGAAAAAACCGCTTCCATCTTCCCAAAGGAAGGATCAACGATGAGGGAAAGTCATCATTGAGGTAGTCGGCGCCCATCAATCGATTTACAAAATGCATTGCAGAGAGATGGTTGACAGGGGCGGTCAGGACCTTCCGAAGAAGTCGGATCAGGTGGCGGGTGCCGTAATCCAAGGTGTCTAGCTCGCTGAAAGCTGGATGGCAGGACTCAGAGGCGCAAAGTGGGGGCAAAATACCCAGGTATCTTCATTGTGGGAGTACGCGCGGGATGGCAGACAGCTCGATGTAGACAGAGCCAAAAAGAAGTGCAGGCGAACAAGATCACAAAACATCAGACTGATAGGGAAAGAAACATTGCCAGCCGGAACGGGACAACAGTCCATAGACCTTGATAGGTATCAAGGAACCATGAAGCCAGACAATGCAGAAGAACCTCGCGGCAACTTGAACCTTGAAAATGCCTGGGTAGAATCAAGGATATGAAGTTGGTTCTGACGAGTGGATTTGTCTGAAAGTCGGCGACACGGCTGTGTGTGATGGTATCTGTTGTGTTCTAGGCGCTGAGACTCTGAACCAGACCAGGAGATGCCCCGGGATTTCGAGACCAGAACGTCGCACTTAATTTCGATCTGCCACACTGTCGTGGATGCCCCCAAGGACAATCTCCATGCTGAGATGTCCGACGTGCTCCACCCACGTTGTTCCTGTTAAGATATCCTGTCGATGAAAGCATAGAGCAACCGTCCGGTTATGACCAACATGAAGGGTCCAGCATGGGAAAACCGACGCGGCGTCCATTGTAGACACGTGCATAGTAAACCGTCTTTTGTGCGCGTGAAGGCTCTGGACAAATCGAATAACTTTCACCTGTTCAGTCCATCATAGACCGACTAGACTAGTCGTAGTATTCGTCAAGTATTGCCCTTGAGACTGCTGTCGTAGTGACATCCGACTGAGATAGGCTTAGGGTTAGGCAGCTGTAAACAGCTGATACCAGGAGGGAAGTGCTGTGCAAAGGTGCCTCGGAAGGCGAGAGACTTGGTGGCTCCACACCAATGAGAGACGCGATAAGAACTTGGACGCGTGTAAATAGAACCTCGGGCTGACAAGACGTCGTAGAGAACAAGATCGACCCAAATGACAGGCTGAATCAACATGACCATCAAGAATGTATCTGTCAATAGTGTTGAGGGGAGTTGAATAAAGCAAGACTGTTATGAGAGGGAAGAGAAGCCGAGCCAGGATGTTTGGTATGCACGGTAGCTGCGCTGCGTGCCCGCGTGGTCACGTGTAAGACGCGTATTACATAAGCAATATATCTGGGTGATCACGTAATCACTTTGATGCCCTCCGCCAAGACCAGGTCCTCTTTGCCTCTGGCAGGCAAACAGAAGCTGCTACTTGCATACATTTGAGATTCCGGATTATGGGTCTGAAGCAAGCTCAGCCTCCAGAAGATGAGTGATTCAAAGCAGATTCGGGATGCGTTTAACACCGCCAGTGGGTTCTTGAACCCAGTCCTCGACAGAGGCATGCAGATCCCGCACCTCCCGTTTTATCGATACAAAGCTAACGATGATGTAGATGAGATCCAAAGATCGCAAGGAAAATCCCTCGTGGAAATATTGAGCCAATATTTGGATTTCCAACCAGCCAGTGACAAGGCTGCTAGAACGGCCGTCGTCAGCAAGGCATTGGATATACTCAGTGCAATTCACAATGCATTTGTCACGCCCGTGAGCCATCAAGACCTGTTGCAGGAACCCCAAACCAAGGTCGAACACTCAGACCTCGAAGACGCGAAGCGCCGGCAGATGATCCATGCGTTGTTAGATCTGATCTCCCTGGAGGGAATTTACCCATCTCTCTCGTCCGGTGTTGGCATTCCATTGCAACAGAGAGTCATTTCGGTCCTGCCAGCCGGAGTTATTGCAAAGCAGACTTCGGTGCCTGCAAGCAGTGTGCCACATGATGAGGCTCTTCTTAATCAGATCATGAAAACAATCCTTGGTATCACTTTGGACGACAAAGATAGCATTCAGCCTATCATTCGGGGTCGCATTTTAAGTGATATCATCAGTGGATCAGCTGATCTTGCCTCCAACCCCAATGTTGTCGCTTCGGAGTCCAAGGTTTATTACCAAAAAGCGCTCCTCAAGATTATTGATGAGTACGTTCTAACATGATACAACGCTGGATAGGACTAACGAAGTATAGCACTCCAAGCTCAGTTCTCCTACCCACTCTCTCTGCATTCCTCCAGACAGATACCGCAGTCTGGTTCAAGTCAACCATCTCGAAGCAGATTGCTCATGTGCCACTGCGACCAGGTGGAGTTTTACACACAATCTTATTCATTGCGTCGCAAGTTGCTCCAACTCTTGGGCAAGAAGCCCAAGAGCCATCCAACGGTCCTCATTTCACGGTGCAGGGCATGATGCAGATTTCAAGACTACTTTCGTCAGTCCCACAGGATGTTGAACCAGCAACATACTTCAATGCTATCGCTCCACAACTGTTGGAGCTACTCGATGGGGATGATCCCGACTTGAAGAGAACTGCCTCCTATGTCATTGGGAATGGTATTCTGGGAAAGCGTGCCTACGGTGCCCCGGGGACTATAGGTCACTCTATCTTCATTGAGCCAGTTTTTGCGGCGCTGACTGCGGAGCTTGGTCATTCTTCAATCCGTTGGTTGTCATGTCCAACCGAGGGTGGAGGATCAGTTTCTTCCAAGCCTGGAAAACAATCGTCATCAGGCATAGTCGTCGAGGGTGACATCATCGATCTCGCACTCGAAAGGCTGAAAAGCCTCGCGTTGCATCATCCGAATCCCGGACTTGTCAAGAGAATCGTGTATCCCATTCTACTGCCACTCTGGGGCTTGGCTTGTTATTCTCAACAACAACAATTGACGGACACCCATGAAAAGGTTATGGCGCTTCTGCAGACATATTTCAGCATATCCGTCGGCGTACAACCACTAAAGAAACTGGTTGATAATCTGCTATGGGACGGAGGATTAGCCTGGGATTATACCAAAGATTCGCAAGGGCGAGTGGCCTTGAAAAGACGGACAGGCTCTGAAAGCTATCGCTCCGATGTCATCCAGTTAATGGATTCTCTGCAAAGCCGAGTGGATCTGTTTGTTAGCCTTCTAGGCTCAGACCCGAGTACCGAGGAGCGGACTGGTGATATATTCCTGCACGTTAGCCAGTCCTGGCTCGTTCAATCTCACGACCCTACCTCGGCTAAAGCCGAAAGAATTGGCGACTCTGAAAACATCATGAAGAAGCTCGTCTGCGCAAAGGTGGCTGAGAAGCTGCTCGATAATTTCAGAGACACTTTGTCACGGCATCCGTTGCGAGTTTTGGAACTCATAAAGCAAGTCATTGATGGAGAGCTGCATACATTTAGCGGCAAAGAAACAACAAAACGATCACAAAAGGCCGACAAGGTCTCACTATCATCACTTGCCAGCATTGTACCGGAGGACACCCATAATAAAGACGACGCCGCTGATCAAGAAACCTCCGAGTCATTATCGACTGCTTTCAGCTTATTGTCAACGGTTCTTGCATCTCCCGAGTTCGCTATCTCAGAAGAGACGAAAACACTCATTGAGTCGATTAAAGAGCACCTAGACCAGCTCATTCCATTCCTCCCAAGTGCACTATCAAAACCAGCAACCACCTCATCCATGCTCTTGGAAATCCAGCTTGCATCTCCAGAGCACGATGATACAAAACCAGCACCGCCGCACATCACAGACCTCGAAACACATCGACAGGCACTTGCAAATCTCAATTCAGAGCTGCCCCCAGTCCAGGCAGAGGGATTCTCACTCCTATCAAAACTTATCATGAAATCGTCCCCTGTGCTAGACATCCCGTCGACTCTAACTCTCCTCCTTTCCATCATCACCGATGTCTCTAAGACTACCGCAAATGACGAATTCATCTACCTCAACGCTATCAAACTCATCGGCACACTTGCCTCACGCCACCCACGCACAGTCGTCAAGACCTTGGTAGACAACTACACCGACAAGAGCGAACATCGAACCCTAGACCAACGCCTGAAAATCGGCGAATCACTCCTTCGAACAGCACAAGACCTAGGCGAAGCATTGGCCGGAGAAACAGCCAAAATCCTCGGCGAAGGTATCATCGCCGTCGCCGGCCGCCGCGGCCACAAACCACAGACCCAACAAGCACGCCAACAACAAGAAGAGAAGGAACGGAGACTCAAAGAGCGCGAGGAGCGAAAACAGAAAGCATTGGGCTTGCCGAATCTCGCAGAACTCATTGACTCCGACTCGGAAGACGAAACCCCTGAACAAAACGCCCATGCCGCAGCTATCGTCGCCGCATGGGGTACCGGCGCGTCTGCGGATGAACAACCCGAAGACCTCCGCATACGTGCTTCAGCACTTTCAATCCTCGCCTCCGCAGTCCAAACCAACATCCTCGGCCTTGGCCCTGCAATCATCGCCTCCTCAGTAGACCTAGCCCTAGCTACACTCACGCTCGAACCCGCTCCAGAAAGCGCAATCCTGCGGCGCGCCAGTGTAGTCCTCATCCTGGATATTCTTAAGGCCCTTGACACGGCACGAGAAGCTAAAAACGGGCAGGACATCGGATTTGGATTTTCCCTCATGGATGACGGGATGCTTCCAGGTCCTAGTCACACGCGTGGTCCATCGACGGTTGGAAATATCCCGAGTATGTTGCGTACGCTTGGGTTTGTCGAGAGTGTGGAGACGGATGGGATTGTGCGGGGGCATCTGCGTGTGCTGATTGAGAGTTTAGAGGCTTGGATGGAGAAGTCGTTGATGTGGGGGATTGGTGCTCAGGGAGATAGAGAGCCGAGACTGGAGCTTGGGGATCATATTGCGGGTTTGAGTGTTGATCCTTTGGCTGGAAGAGGTTCTGGGAGGCCGCGGATTGAAGAGATTGAGTAGGCATGTACTGGTCAAGATATTCGAGCACTCCATTCTATCCATTCTATCCATTCTATCCATTTTAGTAGTACGGTGGCACTCGGACAACCTTATACAATTTACAATTCTAGGTACTCATAGAAAGTTTCCAATCTGGACTTTTGTCGTTCACTACTGGCTCTAAGACCAGACATATCAAAAACCACTTGAGTACATTTGCACCACATGCTATCCGTCCATGAACCAGCTAGGTCCGAAATGGTCCTCAAACATCCCCAAAAGGATGCAAGGATTAACGTAGACCCGGCCAAGGAAACATAGGGGAAACAAGATCGTCAAAAGTTCACGAGGGCACGCTCAGAGGGAGGGGGTATGGGAAAGGGGATTCTGTGACTAGCCTGGTCCGCAACGATCTCCACAAAGTCCCGAAAGGATGGGAAGGTCAACGAAGAGACGGCCAAAGGGGACAATGGGGAAAGGGGATGTGTAATCAGGCAGATCCGCAACGGTCTTCATCAAATTCCCGAAAGGATGAAGAGACGATCGGAGACCCGACCCAAGGGGGAAATGGGGGAACAAGATGATAGCCGATCCACGAAGGCCGACACAAAAGGAAATGGGAATCTGTAAGGATCACAGAAATTCCTTATCGAAGGTCTGGATCGGAACAAAAAAGACCGGAAAACGCCATGTGCAGAGCGCTAAACTCCACGTAACCCGTCCGACCGATATGAGGAACATTGAGGAAACTTGGTAGATGCATTTTCATCATCAAGAGGATTGGGTATCCACATGACTGGCACCTCGTCCGCGGCCACCACCGCGTCCACGGCCGCCACGCCCACGACCAGCACCGCGATGACCACCGCCACGATGGCCACCACCACGGCCACCGCCGCCGTGTCCGCGACCACCATGGCCGGCACGCATAGGACGATGTCCGGCTTCCATTCTTGCTTGGCGGTCGGCCTCGGGAAGATCAAAGGGGTTAGGGATCTGAAGCAGCTTGCAGAACTCAGCTGTCTGGGAGTTCGTGTACTCCTTTGGTTGCTCGACACTCGTAAGGGGAACGGATGGATCAAAGTTGGGAGCGGTAGGCTGGAAATTGTAGGGAATTTCGTGTGGCCAGCCCCTGAAAACGTTTTGTTCGACCCATTCTTCTTCCTCAAGGATTCGTTTGAGGTAATAATCCTCGCCCTGATCGGCGGGAACCTTGGCAGTAATATCACCCAGGACGAGATCGTTAGCGAAGACGCGGGTGATTGCAAGCCATTCCTTGTCGTACTCTAGACGGAATGGCCCGGGCAGGGGATGATCACCAGATGGGTTGACGGGATTGACCTTCACCAGGTGCATAAATGGATCCCTGTTATGGGGCTTGTCCAAGGCAAGAAATTTGGTGACCTTGTTGGCGATAGCCGTTGGGATAGTCTTCTTGTGAGTCGGGTTTGTGGCAGCGACGGGGTGGGAGAAGCTGGCGGGAAGCTTGCCGCGTAGGCCTTCGGCGACTGCGCGATCAAGGAGAGGCTCACTGGCAGGGGGGTCTGAAGATCCGTCGGAGGAGGCGATGTTCAGCTTAGGGAGCTTAACGGGAGAGAGGTTCCCCGAAGCAGTCTTCCCGGCCTCGCTGCCAGAATCCAAGTCAATTTCGTCCTGGTTGGCCTTGACGGGAGAGGGGTTCCCGGAAACAGCCCTCCCGGTCTCGCTGCCAGAGTCTAAGTCAATTTCGTCCTGGTTGATGCCAGGAGCGGGCTGGTCGACATTGGATTGAGCTGGCTCGTCCTTCTGGGCTTTTGCTTTTAACTCCTGTTCTCTCTCGTGACGCACATCATTCTCGCGACGCAAATTCGCAATGTGATCCTCAATTTTGATGCGTTCTTGGGCCTCAAACGCACACGCACCACCTGCGGCGAAGTTGTTCCACGCGTTCAGCTTGTTCTCTTTGGTACCCGAGGCTGGTAGGATCTTGTTGCTGACCATAGCTTGTGTCATCGAAGTCACCCGCTCGTCCGATGTGGTATGGCCAGAGGAGGTGGGATTCGGAGAAGTCATGGTGCTGGAACCCCCCTTGGGGGAATCGGCGGCAGTCTGAGCCTGAACTGCCCAGACGGTGGGTTGGTCGGCAGAGAGAGGGACGCGCTTGAGGGTGACCCCGTCATGGGGCACGGTGGCGGCAAACTTGACATGGAGATGAGCGGAGAACCAAAAGGCTGGTCGGAGGCGATCCAGAACGTCACGAGCCGCGACATTTCCAAGTTTCCCGTGCTCGGAATCTTCTCTGAACCCGCGCTTCTTGCGGAACAATTCTTGGTGATTGCCATAATTTTCGATGCCGCGTGGCCAATCGTGAGAGAGACCAATGTCCACTTGAGTCCGGATTTGCAACAGTTTGCGAACATCCAGCTCACGGATGTGATGAATGCTATGCAAGTCATCTCCATTGTATGGGAGGCGTTCGAAATGCGGCTTCCGATAATCATAACCTTTCCAGATTCCGGACATGGCCGAAATGCGGAGCGGACCAAACTTGACGACATTGGCGGCACCGAGATAGTAGATATTGGGGGCTGCCCATCCGCCGTAATACAACTCATAGAGGTAGTTGCTGGCCTCATGGTTCCCACCACAGAAGATGGTCAGGTATGGGGCGACGCTCGTGCCCTCATAAAATTCGTGAAAATCGCCCATGGACTTGTACTTTGCAGGAACAGAGATGCAAGCTGCATCGTTTGCGTTCCGGAGCGCCTGTTTCAGGTCAGAGTGAGTCGACTTTGAATCAAAAATGAGAGAATTAAGATGGAACTAACCTGGAAGTCTCCGCCAATGATGACCAGATCGATGGTCTCCCAGCCCTTGGCCTGAGCCTCGGCCTTCAGGAGATCATAGATCTCCTTGAATGCGCCATGGGCCTGTAGGGACGATAGTCAGTATTATGGTTCCCTTTCATCTGGAAGAATGGGATGAAGTGAGAGGAGAGTTGGGAAAACTAACGCAGCCAACGACGGCAACACGGATGCCTTGGATCTCAGACACCTCCATGTTGTCTGAGAGTGATGTCAGGTGGACGATGTGTGAAATTCAATCAATAAATGAAGGAACAGTGCAGACAGAGATCGAAACAGGGACGGAGAGGAAACATCCAGGATGAAAGGGTTGATGGGGAGAGGAAAGGAGTGGAAGGAGCAGGAGGAAAGGAAGCTTAGATATTCGAGGGATTGGGCGATGGAAGCTAGCGAAAATCGTCCACGGAAGCGCGAAGAAGACTGCTGCCTTAGTTGGGCCTGCCTTGAAGGCAAACAAGATATTTCCGTTCTAGGAACAAAACGGGGATCGTAGCCTTATCACGGGATTGTGGGCCTGGGGAAACTGGCAAACATGGAATCTCCCGTAATCTACCACTTTCCGCTCTCAACTAGCAAACACCAGCCGCCTTTTTTTTGGTATCCTCCGGGCACTTCTCCCATCATCTATTCCTATTGGTTTGCTTCCACGAAATTAATTCCCCCGGATTCTTCCTATCGAGGCAATGGCACCTCCCGAGGCCCCACAATTGCGCTTTCTCAGTGAGGCGGCTAATTTGCTCGCCTCGCAGAGCCCATCTACAGCCGCGCATATGTTCTCGGTACATACGCATATCTTGCACGACGAGTTCAAACCGCTTAATGTCCGCCAGCAGAAACATCATTGTGGAGGATGTGGTAGTATTAGACAGTCTAAATGCTCTCAAGTTACTCAGGTCACGCCAAAAGCCAAATCTCGAGTGATATCTAAGCTGGATACAGCATCTGCTGGTGGCGCAACGGTCTATAAGTGTTTGCGCTGCAATCAACGCACTATTCATCCCCGCAAACGAACCACTAAGCCATTGCCTAAGGCCTCATCGCGTGTGTCTACATCTACTGCTTCACCAATCCCTACTACCACCAGATCTACTCCGGTAGAGTCTTCAACTCCGCAAGCTCTTTCTTCGACCACCGCCGAATCAGCTCCCCTCAAGACAGCCGATAACGCCAATAGCAAGAAGAGAGCCAAGGCTCGAAAGCAAGGTGGTCTGCAAGCTTTGCTGGCTGCCAAAAAGAACAATCAACCTTCTCTTGACCTTTTCGACTTTTTGCAGTGAAAAAACACTTCCACGCGGCTCTGCGAGCTCGGACCCGGCATAACCTGTTTTTCCGAGATTGGCGATCTCCCGCGGGGCAGCTCCAGCTTCCCTCCAACTTCTCCAAGCTTGTGCTCGCTTGGTTCGACCAATTCCACTCCACCTGATCGACAAGCTTCGCCTGATCGATTAATATTCATTCTCTGGAACTTTCCACCATGTCGGTCTATTCCGAGGCGGAAGAGCACGACCCTCAGGCGGATGAGCTCCGTGAGACGGCGCTCGTCACGCTGGAGGCCCTGATTAGCTCGTGCAACCAGCAGATGCAGCCGTACATCACCAACGCCTGCCAAGCTGCCCTCCGATTCCTAAAATACGATCCCAATGTCGCCGAAATGGAAGATGATGAGGAGATGGGCGGAACCCAGGATGATGGCAGTGAAGACGATGCCACCGCTGACCTGGATGACGACGAGTTTGGGGACTTTGAAGAGGAAGACGGATACAGTGACATTGATGATATGAGCTGGAAAGTTCGACGTTGTGCTGCCAAGCTACTCTATTCCCTAATCTCAACCTATGGCCGCAGCCGTGCCCTGGACGATGTCACCCTCTACCAGCAGATCGCACCCTCCTTGATTTCTCGGATCGGCCGTGAACGGGAGGAAAGCGTGAAGATGGAAGTGATTTCAACCTTGACGGCTCTGGTACACAAGACAAGTGAAGGCTCCGTCATTGTCACCTCGAATGGTTTCCTGGAGACCGTGGGTGGCTCGAAGAACTCCCGCAAGCGCAGACGTCAAGACAGTGATGCCAGCATGGTCGACTTTGAACCCAGTGCCGGGACCTCCTCCGCTATCGATTCGCCCGTCGTTCCCTCCTCTCCCAAGTCGGGTCCTCAGGCCGATCTCGCCCGTTCCGTGCCCTTGATTGTTCAGAGCTTGGTGAAGGCCTGGAAACAGGCCTCCATGCCCTTGCGGCAGGCTGCCGTGGTACTTCTAAAGAGCCTCTCCTTGGTTCGCTACGGTGGACTGGCCGATCATCTTCAGCAGATTGAGTATCTTATTGCCGACGCCCTCAAGACTTCCTCCCTAGCCGGTAGCTCGGCTGCTCATTCGGGTGCCGCTGTCAGCGCTGGCTCCCTTCAGATCGAGACTCTTGGCCTTATCTCTGCCATCGCCGAGACTCACTTGTCCGATGCCCTACTCCCTTTCCTCATTGCTCTGGTCCCGGGAGTCGTCGGAGCCGTCAATGAACGCAATTACAAGGTCAGCAGTGAGGCCCTTGGAGCCGTGGAGCAGATTGTGAAGGCCCTGACCCCGCCTCGTGCATCTGCAAATACCCCCGAGGTTGCCAAGCAACTGGAGAAGCTTTACGAGGTTGTTCTCGCCCGGATTACCGATACTAGCGCCGACCTGGAAGTTCGCCAGCGAGCCATTCATGTGTTTGGTGTGATCCTGGCTTTGACATCGGGCGAACGGGGTACCGAGTACCTGTCTGCGGATCACAGAGCCAAGGGTCTCTCCATTTTGGTGGACCGTGTCAAGAATGAGACCACCCGCCTGGCTGCTGTGCGCGCCATTGACGACGTTGTCGTTCTCGCCACCCGTTCCGAGGACGTCAGTGCGGATTGGGTCAACGAGATTATCCTCGAGCTTGGATCCAATCTTAGGAAGTCGGATCGTGCTTTGCGAGGATCATGCCTGGAGGCTCTTCGCAGTGTTGCCATGAACTCCAGCATCCGATCACAGCTGAGCCCCACTACCATGACCAAACTGGAGGGCTCTCTTCTTCCACTGTTGTCCGCTCCTGATTTCCATCTTCTAACGCCGACCTTGATCATTGTCGCCAAGCTCGTCCCCGGAAACTCGAAGTCGCTTGTTAACGAGGCCCTGATCCTCTCAATTTGCTCCATCGTCAAGCAACCGCTTGTCGGTACCGTCCTGAAGGCCCTCCTCCTCTTGGTGAAGGTTATTGGTGATGAAGGTGCGGGTGCTCAATTGATGCAGAATCTTTTGCAAAATGTCGGTATTACTGGAGACTCCTCCGTCGTCGGTCGGGCTATCGGCACTCTTCTGGTACACGGTGGACCAAACCTTGGTGTTACCATGAACGACTTCTCGAATGAACTGAGTACTGCCAAGGATGACAGCCGCAAGTGCCTTGCCCTTGCAATTCTGGGTGAGATTGGATTGCGCATGGGCGCCGAGTGTGCGCTGACTCCTGAAATTTTCATTGCACACTTCGATTCCAATTCAGACCATGTACGTCTGGCTGCGGCTACTGCTCTTGGTAATGCAGCGGCGGGAAGTGTCAAGAGCTACCTCCCTGTTATCCTCAATGGTCTCGACAAATCTAATTCACAAAGCTACCTTCTATTGCACTCGGTGAGAGAGCTGCTTCAACACCCCGAAGTCGTGCGACCAGATCTTGCCCCGACTGCACTCAAGCTGTGGCAGGCACTACTCGTCGTATCCGAGGAAGAAGATAACCGTGCGGTTGGTGCCGAGTGCGTTGGTCGTCTAGCTTTGATTGACCCCGTGAACTACATTCCACACTTCCGGGATTGTCTGAACAGCTCCGACCCTGTCGTCCGCGGTGTGGTTATCTCCGCCTTCCGCTACACCCTTGCTGACTCCAGCGATGCGTACAACGATGTCCTGCGTCCGTCGATGGTGCCTTTGCTCACCAACATGCTGAGCGACAGCGACCTGGGTAACCATCGTCTTGCGTTGACCACACTCAACTCCGCCATCCACAACAAGATGAACCTGCTCCTTCCACACCTGGGTGAGCTGTTGCCCGCTGTCTTTGGTGATACCCAGATCAAGCCCGAGTTGATTCGCGAGGTGCAAATGGGTCCGTTCAAGCACAAGGTCGACGACGGACTAGACCTGCGAAAGGTATGTCCCATCCTATGTTCTTATCTCATGCCTTGCCCATACTAACTTGTAAACCAGAGCGCCTACGAGACCCTTTACGCCTCCCTGGACACCACTTTTGCCCGCAGCCACATTTCCGAGATCTTTGATCGTGTGATCGCTGGTGTTGAAGACGAGCAAGACATCCGTGCCATTAGCAACCTGATGACCTCCAAGCTGGTCATCATCGCTCCCCAGGAAACCGAACGCCGCCTTGATGCGCTTTCCGAGCGCTACACCACCGTGCTTTCCTTCAAGCCCAAGGAGAATGCCGTGAAGCAGGAGCTGGAGAAGGCACAGGAGGCTTCGCTTGGTATCCTCAAGACCACCAAGGAGCTGAGCAAAGCCTTCCCTGGCGCGGAGGCCTCGAGTGAGCTGCACAAGTGGAAGGGGTACATGGAGTGGGTCCGGAAGACTTTTGCATCGCAGTGGCAATCTCTTGACTCGGAGTTCTGAGCTGAAACGTGGGCTCATCCCAATTTCCGCATTCAATATCTTAGCTAGCCCCTGTCGCTTTTGGCGGGTTCCAGGCGAGACTCATGACTTATGTAACGTGAAATTCTCATAAAAGCGAGTCCATTCTGCCCCGGTTATGAGATTATCATGAAGTAGTTCGCAATCAGACGCTTCAGCATTTGATTAACCATCTCATAAGAACCCCCTAGACTCTCGTAGTAGCTCACATGATCTCAAGCCTGAGGAGCTGGTTCACACAGTCATCCGTTCAGCTGCTTCAGTTTTCCACCATTGCGCCCATCTACAGAACCCCTTAAAGAGACTTTTGGCACGACGGCAATAATTCCTCATTCAAAGAAGTTGCAGGTGCCAAGTGGACTGTTTTGACACGGCGATGTGTTTCAAATTATTCCCCCTGTTAGAGGGCGTCCACGTGCTAACACCGTGGCTTGCATTAACTATCCATCGCTTGCAATGAAAATGTTAACCATAATGTTAGCTGTTTACCCGGCATACTTACCCGACGCCACGAGGCAAATTATACTTTGTTGCCTGGGCTGATGTCAAAGGGACCGTCTAATGATCCAATGCCAATGATCGACATGGAGTCCGGTTCGGCGAGGTATCCAGAAAGGTAAAACCCCGATGGGTCGGCCACGCCCCGTGTTGCAAGATGACCTTTCCCCGCAATTTCACCGGTTAATCAGGGTCTCGTCAGCTTTTGCTGAAGAAAATCGGCTAAGCTCTAACTGGACATATGCCGACGGATGAGTTGATGAAACATTGGGGTACTCCGTGGTTAGATGCGTCCAAGACATTGTTTTTCTCGTTTGGATGAATCAATGGCTAAGTTCATTGTCGAGGGGTTCGCTTGGCGATAGAAAGAAAAGGTATATAAGGTGTGCCATTGTGCTTTGTTTTCTGTTATCCAACTCAAATCCTTCTTGTACAATTCCAAACCATCACCATGAGATCTACAGACCTGTGGTCATCCATCGCCTTGCTGCTAGCATCGGCCAGCACCGCGGCAGCAAGCTGCGCTCTCCCATCCACCTACAGCTGGACCTCAACCGGGCCCCTCGCACAGCCCAAATCCGGCTGGGCCGCCATCAAAGACTTCACCAACGTAGTCTACAATGGCAAGCATCTCGTCTATGCCTCCGTCGCCGATACCTCCGGCAACTACCACTCGATGAACTTTGGCCTCTTCTCCGACTGGTCCAACATGGGCTCCGCCAGCCAGAACCAAATGAGCAACAACGCCGTCGCCCCGACACTGTTCTACTTTTCGCCCAAAAACATCTGGATCCTCGCCTACCAATGGGGATCCAGCGCTTTCACCTACCGCACCTCCAGCGACCCCTCCAATGCAAATGGATGGTCCTCCGAGAAAGCCCTTTTCACCGGTAGCATCTCCGGCAGCAGCACGGGTGTCATCGATCAAACCGTCATCGGCGACTCAAGCAACATGTACCTCTTCTTCGCGGGCGACAACGGCAAGATTTACCGCGCCAGCATGCCCATCGGCAATTTCCCGGGCTCTTTCGGCAGCGCGTATGAAGTTGTGCTGAGCGATAGCACGAACAATCTCTTCGAGGCTGTGCAGGTGTACACCGTCTCGGGACAGAATAAATACCTGATGATTGTGGAGGCAATGGGTGCCAATGGAAGATATTTCCGCTCTTTCACCGCGAGTAGTCTCGGCGGGGCTTGGACTGTTCAGGCTGGTACTGAGAGTAAGCCTTTTGCTGGAAAGGCGAACAGCGGTGCGACTTGGACGAATGATATTAGTCATGGTGATTTGGTTCGCAATAACCCGGATCAGACTAATACTATTGATCCCTGCAATCTGCAGTTCTTGTATCAGGGACGTGACCCGAACGCCAGTTCCTCAAACTACAATACCCTGCCTTACCGCCCGGGTGTGTTGACCCTGAAGCATTGATTTGTTGATATATTGTGGTGTTTGCGGGTCAATTGATGGTTATGACTGGGAGTGATGGTGTGTTTGTACGGATGGTGTGAGGGTTGAGAGAGGATGGAGATTGTATATGATAGTGCTGAATGTTGAGAATTTGTAACTCGAATGAATACGTAAAACTTATTTGTTTTGTGAGGTGACTTGTAGATGCCCGTCGGCAGACCCGAGTAACTAGATGTTAACAACGTAAATGTAGCCATGGACAACCCTGGCCATCTTCGGGTTCCAGGTCCAAATCTGACGACTGTTGGGCCCAGGTAATGACAGCTGACGGATTCGAGAACCAAGATAGAGTTAAGCTTAAGTCAACCACCTTTGACCGCTCCACAGTACATACTGGCTTTGTTTATTTGGAATCAAACTCATGATCTATACTATAGCATTCGAAGGCGGGAATGACCCTGCAGGAATATAATAACCACAGGGTGCGACCGGGTATGACAACCTACTTTGTTGCGAAAGCAGCTCCTGGTTGGTGAATCTTGCGCGATGACAACAAGGCGAAGTACTTGTTACAGTCGTTCTCGAAATCGGCTTGACCGATACACACTGAGAAACTCTTTCCCGGCCCCACCGCAAAGACCTTAGCGCAGATAATTTATTGAGCGAGCCGCATCAAACTAAGGGCTCAGTAAAATGCGTCGTGTGTGTTACATTACCACGTGATGTAAGATTACACCCGGTATGATGGTATAGTACAAAATAAGCCGATGACAACACAGGCGTGACCTCTGTGCCTCTCGTTTATGCAACTTCAGGTTGTAGCATGGTTCATCCCTAACCATCCGTAAAATCCATAACCAGTCTTGATTTGAAGATATTATGTATCTATAACTAGGATATTTAAATACATTTGTGTCCACCTATGCTCTCTCTAGAGTTCATATAACCATCGCCGGCACCCTCTTCGTGCAGTGGTACCAATACATCATATATCGTGGTCCATTCACGAAGCAGCCGATCAACCTCGGAATCTAAGCGTTGCGAAGCTCGCGTTCGGCGAGGTGTTAGTGAGTTGTTGTAGGCATTCGTAATATCTAGCAGGTCTTTATTTCGGAAGTGTTCGCCCGGGACCTCGGGGAACGATGTTCTCTCCGCAGTATTAAACCCCGAATCTTCCATCGTGGTGTGCGCCTTTGCAGCCAAGGTCCGACTGGCTAGGGGGAAAGCATAGCTACTTTGCGTCTTCCGCCCGTGTTAGAAACAGACTGAGTGGTTCTATCGTTAAGATTGGCTCTGCTCCGTTCTATGGGTTGTTGGTGAGATGTTGACAGTTGCAGAGTACTTGACGAGATATCATGCGGTGATTGAGAAGAAGATGATCGGCGAGTCATACGAAAAAGTCGTTGAATACCTGCGGAAAAACATGGACAGCATACCACTGACAATGCAAGCCAGTAAGAGACTTGGGCGTCTCCAGGTGTGTCTGGACTGGGATCTCTTGAAGGATCGTTGTTTTTATAATGATCACTTTTATGTCGTCGTCGCTGTCCGTTCTCAACTCGTGGCTTTGATGACGTAGCAGAGCTAGTTGCACTATTTGGCCCCCCTATATTGCGTACCGCTTCTGCATGGCATTCCGAAGGCCATCCACTGCTCTGGTAATTGTCTTCGGGCCTTTGAAGGGCAATCAAATTTTGGGGACTTTTTTTTCCAGATAAGCATCTGAACACTTCCCAAGGTAAAAAAAACGAACTAGATGTGTCACATACGCCATTGATGTCCTTTGATCCACCTGTGCCGCATGAATAACTCTCCTATGAGCGGCATTGCGCTCCTCGATTATAGATTCAATACTCTTACGTTGATTGAATTTATCCTCAGATGACCTGGACGATCTCCGTCAACCAAAATGGAAACAAAAATGCGAGACCAAGTTATTCTCACCGAGGCTTATGCTTTAACCGGGCATAGAGGATGATTTGCATCATCAGCTGGAGGTCTATCTTCGACTGCTCCAGTCTCGTTTGTAGCAATTTGAGGCGTGAGGTTCTTCAAGGAAGCATCAGAAGCCCCATTGTGTTTTTCTGCGCATTGTTGGCCATTTCCTGTAAGGTGTTGAAGGTCCCGGAGCACCGAGTGACAATTTCAGTGGCAGTCGTAATGGCATTGTTGGATATAAGGGGCTTCGTTGATTTGCTTTCTTCTTCGAAGACTTTGCCGATTTCTTCTAACACAGTTGCCGTTATGTGAACATAGGAAGATAAATCGTTCAGCTGTTCGTTTCCCGCAGGACCTTTATCATAGAGATTATATAAAGTCTTAGCAAGTGTCAGGCCAACGCCAGCTAATTGGATAATAGCCGCGGCAGATCCAACCACATCCATAGCTCGCCCTGCAGCGACCACTACGGAATACACGGTGGTCGAGAGGAAGCCTAGACCTTGAGGTAGGAAGAGGTGATATAGACAAGTAATAAGAGAAATACCAGAGAAATCAAAAGGGAAAAGGGGCTTTACGTAGGTATCGCTCACATGCACGGACCGCTCCTGCGCGAATCCAAGGTGGGGGATATTCTCATAGATGACTTTATAGTACTTAACTAGTTAACTAACTGTAACCGGACAAACACGATTACTCAATCAGAAGATCAGACGATGACTCGGGTCCTTAGGACTGTATCAATATCTCGATAGATTCACCCCTGTCGCCGATAATGGATTAGACGGTAGTAGCCATACGATAGGGCTAGGAGATCTCTATAGGTGAGGATTAACTATCACGCGGGGAAAAGAAGCTTAGGACTTGTTACTCGCTGAGCCCTGAAGTCTGAACACTGCCCCCTATACACAACACGACATGAAGTTGCATAAACTAGGGGCATAGAGGTCACGCCTGTGTTGTCATCGGCTTATTTTGTAACATACTATCATACCTGGTGTAATCTTACATCGCGTGGTAATGTAACATACACGACGCATTTTACTGAGCCCTTAGTTTGATGCGGCTCGCTCAATAAATTATCTGCGCTAAGGTCTTTGCGGTGGGGCCGGGAAAGAGTTTCTCAGTGTGTATAGGTCAAGCCGAGTTCGAGAACGACTGTAACTAATGATTGCGAGAAGGATCCCTAATCTGGCGACACCCGGCGATCTGGGAATAAGCATGTTTGCTATAGTGGGAATATGATTGGCCCATAGAGCTTGAACACACTTACTAGAAAAGACTCTTTGATGTTTCATCCAGACCAGTTGTGACCAGTTGTGAGTGATATGTAATATCGACATGACGACTTACTCATTTTGGAACTTTGAGCAAGTAAATCCGAAGATTATTATTATGATCATTATTATTATTAGCGCGTGCTTGTTGACTACTGTAGAAGCGATTCCAAGCAGTTTGATCAACGATCTTTGCTAAGACTTTCAGCCTGAGGGGCGAAGCGCTGGCCTGGTCAGCACTCCCTCTCCACTCGTGAGATTCGTGATTCAAGCTGATTGGCTCGGCCGTATAAGGGCCAATAAGACGATGCGGCGATGCGGAAAGGGGGTTCAGCGGGTCTCCGCCCCCATAAGGCAGATTGCAGCATGCACAAGCGAGTCTTTCAGGAGACCTGTCTTCTGGTAATAATCCGGGATGGCCAATACGCTAGAGCTGCTTCTGTATGACCCCAAGGCTGTGACGTTGTGACGCCATACCGCAGTGACGCCGAGGACCCTGCGGCGCGTCCAGTAACCGCCTCCTCTCCGCCTAGACGAGGAAAGTTCAGGGTCCAAGCTTATTTCCGGTCAACCGCATTGTGAGTGGGGAGGCATACCGTGGATGAATATCAATGGTATAGCAGGAGGGAAGGGTTCTAGTGCAAACTCAGACCATGAAAGATCGACTCTCCGTGCTTGATTCCCTGAATACGAATACTCCGTATTCAACTTCCCCCCTGATCACGCGAGAAAAGTCGCGAGGAACAAACTGGATTCAGGGACCCGGTGGCGCCGAGGTTTGGGGCTGGCAGTAGTGCCAATAATAGCGACGGGAGAAAACCTGGTGGTGAATACGAAGTGGGGCGGTGGCGTTTGGAGCAGAAAGTCAGGCTGACCAGCCGAAACCATTTGGATCTCCCCTTTTATTGTAGATGATGGAGTTGGTGTATGTACTCCGTATTGTCTGAACATTTAGGGCAGTGGTATTGATAGTATGGTCTGGGGTGCTTGAAGTTGTGATAATCTAGAGCCACATGTATGTATGGACGTGTATGAAAAGTTGGAATAATTTCAGGGTCGCCAAGCTTCATTTAAGTTTGTCACCCTGAATTAGTGGGCCACAGCCAACTGGAGGGTAAAATAATTAGTTTTGACGCTGTAACAGGAACACGCGACACATTATAAAAGGGGAAAATGTCCTTGTGCCCAGTTGCTGCAGAGTGTACGGAGTATACAGAGAATAAATTATTGTACACTATGACTTACAGTTTGTAGTTTACTTGAATCATATTGGTACGATCCTTCTCTTGGCATAGGAGGATTTCAACTGGTCTGTAATTTAATTGGAATTGATCCAATACGATGTACAACCTGGATGCTGGATGGATCTCCGACCCCAGTCGGTCCGGTTTTTTGTAAGGCAGCGGAGTACTGTACCAGTGTACATTATGTACACACGACTTGGCCCCATTATTCGCATTATTTGGCCCCGGCCTCGTGTCCGCTTATGTTCTTGGTGATTATTTCTCGTGCAAATTTCTTTTCTATCATCTCTGTCTCTCTGTCTCTCCTTCTTGACGTCCCCTTCTGATTCTCCCTCGTTTGCTCCCCTCCATCCCTACACGAAAGGTGGAATGGAGTGTCTCGGCTTAGTTGCTGTATGAAAAGATCTCCCCGCGTGGAGCTCTCCACCATCAAAATGAAGCTCAGCATTCGCCAGCGCTGTCTAGAATTCATCCGTGTCCTTCTTTCGCCCACGCTTTGGTTCGATGTTTACTGGCCCGCCTCGCGCAAATACTGGTTTTCACTGCTACTCATCGGCGTGATCTGCGCCAAACTACTCCACATCTACTCCCACCTCAACTCCCTCTCTCCCGGCCAATTCATCCTCTGGGGCCCGACCTTTTTCCTTCAAGATGTCGTATGCATCATCATTGCACAGACTCTCAGCCAGAACTTCCAGCGAAGATGGCTCCGTGTCGTCAGTGCGCCGATAGTCATCCTGACCAGGTATGGGAAACCCTTTTTCGGTACTGGTGTAGTCATTGGCAAAATACTGACCTGTGTTCAATTCCCTTCTAGTCTAATGATCTCCGGTCTGGCCGCCGCCAATATCTCCTTCTATACCCAAACCGGCGCTGAAATTCACTGGCGACAAGCACACGCCTTCCACCGCGATGCGGCATCCGTCAAGACCCTCCTGGCCGGACTGACTGGCATCCTCATCATGGAGGTACTGTTTAGCGCCTCGGCATGGATCTCAACTCCATATCTATACAATTGGGTGAGCGCAGTGACCCGAGTCCTGCACGTCGCCGCGACTCCGCTATTCTTCTGCTGGAAGCGAAAGCCTAGATCCGACCCCGAGAACTATGCGCAAGTCGCCAACAAGGATTGGGATGAAGAGGACCCTGAATCTGAGGCCATGCTGGGCATGCACGATCCTATGGCAGCATCGCAGTCTTCCTCGTCGCGGCCTCTACCATCTCTGTTATTGCGCATTCTTGTGGCCTCTGTGACCGCCTTTGTACTTCTATTGCGCTGCATTCGCCCATCGGATACCGCATACTCTTTTCTTTCGCAAACCGTGATCGTCACACCTTTCGAAAAACCGCCACAGCATGAGACGACTTACTCAGTCGACCTCCCGCCAGACTTGCCAGGCGACTATAGCTGGCTCTACAACCACACCGCTCTCGCAGCGCCGACGAAGTTCGACTGGCTGCCGTCGAAGAAGATCGGTGGGTTCAGGGACTGGTATGAAGAAGGCAAGGAAGGGACGGCATTGCACTATGATCCGGCACACGACCCTCTGAAGATTTCGAACCTCGATCGCGAGGTTCTGGAGCCATGGCGTGACGCGCTGAAGAGCGGTAGTGTGAACATCAAGCACGTTTTCCTACTCAAGTTGGAAAGTACTCGGTACGACGTCTTCCCGGTCCGGAAAGAAGGCCATGTTGGTGATATCATCCGCGAATCGTACGGTGGCACCGTTCCAGACATTGTAGATCAGCGCCTGGCCAATCTGTCCCGCAATGCCGAGCGGTTAACAGGGGTCTCCGCTGGTTGGGACCACAGTGACGATTCATGGAAGCCGCGCGGTGGCATGTACGCCTCAAATGCTTATACTGGCGACACGTTCACTCTCAAGAGTATCCTCGCCAGCGTCTGTGGAATTGCCCCCTTAGTCGTCGACTTCAACAAAGAATACTTGCATCACATCTACGAGCCGTGCATGCCTCATATCCTCCATGCATTGAACTCCATGTCTCGAGAGAACGACACCAGCAAGGTCAAAGAAAATGATTATACTACTTGGCCCTGGCACTCGACATTCATGCAGAGTATCACGGATAACTATGATAACCAGGATCTTCTCCTTCCCGCCTTGGGTTTCAAAGACAAGATCACAGACAAGAAGATCACTAAAGACTGGAAGAAAAAGCCCGGTGAAGGGCCGAAGAAGTTCAACTTCTGGGGCTATCCCGAGCACGAGCTGCGACCGTATTTCATTGATGCTCTGAAGCATGCGGAGAAGCACCATGAGCGTCTTTTCCTCACTCATTTGACGGGACAGACACATTACCCTTGGGATATGCCAAAGGGTGATACGATTGAGGAATTCATGCATCACAATATTTTCAACGGCAGGAATAGGATGAACCGGTACTTGAACACGCTTGGGGTTGCCGACAGGTGGCTTGGCGAGGTTCTCGAGATTATTGAGGAAGCCGGAGTCGCCAATGAGACCTTGGTTGTCATGGTTGGTGATCAGTACGTTTTTCAATTACAACACTCGCGCTCTTACTATGATGCTAACTTTTTTAACAGCGGCATCTCGCTGATCGAGGACGGCGGTGTCACCCCTTACGACAACCCCCATGTCTCCAACTTCCATGTCCCACTCGTCTTCTCGCACCCGCAACTCCCCCAAATTACCATCGACGGCCGCGTCACTTCCATGCAAATCGTGCCGACTATCATGGATCTCCTAGTCGAATCAGGATCCTTAGACAAGGACGCCACCCACGCAATCAAGGACCTCCTCCCCTTATACGAAGGCCAGTCAATGATCCGCGAGCTTGTCCCAGAGAAAGATGGGAAACTTGACTGGCAATTCACTGTTATGAACACCGGTGCTACTTGGCTTGCTCTGCGGTCAGGCCCCAAGCCATACCGTCTTGTCATTCCACTCGTTCCTGACGTCGAATGGCGTTTCTCCGATGTGGATAAAGATCCGCTTGAATTACACACTGTTCAGTCGTTTACTTTGCCTCCTCTTCTGGAAGAGGTGGCCAAGGTCCACGGTGAAGATGCCGTGAACTGGGTTATTGAGGCTGCTCATGTCACCCGGTGGTGGGTGAGTGAGAATTGGCGCCGTTACGAGTACAAGCCTGATGCGTGATTCGTCCGGCTGTTGAACTTGACATTCGCGTGAATGATTTGGTTGATTTTACTGTGAATCTTTTTTACCATTTTTGAGGGGCGGATTTGGCGTCTTTGGTGTACATTTCTCATGGTATATGGGCTGCATAGTTCTTGATCTACGGGTGTTCATTCCCGATTCTTGTATAATACATTTACGATGTCCATATAAAAACATCACCATCAAACAAATTCGTGACTTGTCACACATGCGTCTCTGAACAAAACATCATCTCCGTTTCTCAACTACCATAACTATCACCTCTCATAAACAAATCCCAATATTCTTCTACTCCTTAACACACAGAATCTCCGCACTCGGAATAGAAATCCACGCATCCTGATCCTCCCCCCACTCCCTCCAAGCCCTCGAAATTCTCTCCAGATCCTCCCTCCCCGCAATCCCATGCTCAATAGCCGTCGTGGCAAACGACGAAGACACAGCCCTCTCAACCCATGACTCACTCCACCAAGTAACATCCTCCTCACTAGCATAACACCACATCGTACAACTACACCTCACATCGCCAAAACCCGCCTTCCTAGCCCAAGCATGCAACATCCGTCCCGCATTCGGCTCGCCTCCATTCCGCCTCGCAATACGATCATACATATCCTGCCACTCCTTCAGTCCGGGCAGTTCAGGATACCAAACGAAAACACCATAATCAGCTTCCCGGGCTGCAACGATACCGCCCTTTTTAACGACGCGTTTCATTTCAGACAGCATGCCGATCGGATCACCGACGTGCTGGAGGACTTGATGACAATAGACCACGTCGAAAGTGTTATCAGCGTAAGAGAGTGCATTCGCGTCACCCTCGACGAAATCAATATTCGTCACGCCTTTGGCTTCTGCGTTGGCGCGCGCTTGTGTTAGGATACTGCCCGCGCGCTCAAGGCCGGTGATATGACCCTGTGGAATAAGGGATGCAACGTCAACGGTGATGGTGCCGGGTCCGCAGCCGATGTCGAGGATTTTCATGTCTGGCTTCAAATGAGGCAGGAGAAAGGCGATGGAGTTTTGGGCTGTGCGCCAGCTGTGGGAGCGGACGACTGAGGCGTGGTGGCCGTGGGTGTAGATGGCTGATTCTGTTTTGGCGGACATGATTGTGTGTGGAAATAGGATAAATTGAAGAAAGAGGGAATTCAAAGCGAAGATTTTGTGGTTTTGGGTTTTTAGAGAGAAGAAAATTGATCTCTTATTATGTCTTGTGAGTTCTACTGTGATCTTGTTGGTTTATATACCTGTCGAGCTGTGGTCGATGTCATGTAGTTCACACCCCGATATCGGACCCGTATAGCTGGGAGGCTCCGTCGGGGTTCCAGCGCTGCTCCTGCCAGATGAATCATGCTGTATCAGGGTGTCTACTATTGGTCGTGGAATAGGGAGTGTGTTATCCTTGCTTCGGGGGTGCTTTTACTCCGATATCCAGAGCTTTATGCCTTGCGTTGTACGGAAGAGGGTGACCGATGTCGGGGGACGCTTATACAAGCTAGAATGCTGCTTCCAGTGCGTAGTATAGCGAATGCGAAAAGAGAGCTATGATCTTGTCTGCAGGGCATGATGAATATAATACATTGACGGAATATATTCAGAAGCAGCATTTTCTAAGTAATTACTTCCTAAGATAGAAATTGTAACTAGTGGCTCTGGTGAGGGACAAGCCCATAGATGCCGAGATCAACCCGCTATTATTAACACCGCCAGCGACTGGCCCTATTTCCTATATTATTTTTTTCTAATGATGGACATCGTGCAAACCTCAGGCTTTCTAGATAGTCTACCACTTCGACCTTCAATCGCGATTGCAGCCACGTTCGATAGAAAGCAAAAAATTGGCGCTAATGCATGGACTGTACAGTCCCCGCCCCACTGTGGAGAGTAGTCTCTACAGTACCGGACTTAGGTTACGCGTGGGGGGATTGATAATAGCTCAGCATCAAAATCAAAAACCAGCCTTAAGTGAAGGGAATTTGAGGCAGTTGGCTTAGATCTCAAAGCACCGTCACGCAGGTAGCACCCGGTCGCATACCGCTGCTGGCTGAGCTGGCAGGTACTCAAAACTACAGGACCAGAGAGCCATTTGACATATCTCTCAGATTATGGTAGAATAGACATATGGAAACCCAGAGATTAAGTGAAAGGAATAACAAATTGCTGTGAATTCTGATCCATTTTATCTCCATCAAACCTTCTTCAGCAAATTCTATACAAGCATTAAGCTTGACCAATGTTGTGAATCGTCTACGTTCCAGCAACTGTCCCCGTGTTTCCACCTAATGTGAACTGAGCACTCTCTGCCATCCCAGTTCCTTGCGTCCACCAGGCCGTTGAAATATCAATCGGCGTCGTATCTAGTGATAAGGGCGGAAATTGGTAATTGTCAAAGGGCACGTAGCACTCAAGTTGAGTCATGTCGGGGGTGAGTTCCTCATGGCTCAAAGTGTGTAAGAGGTCGACTGTTGTGTGGGGGGATATAGAACCATTCAACGAGGTTTGAAAGAGCGTTTCCGTAGACAAGGAATATTGAGTAAGAGGTATAGACGCAGCTGTGATTTCATGTTCATCCAGGATTGGACCCTGAATCAGTGGTTCGACTGCCACTGCCAATGATATGTCTTCCGCAGGCGAGCAATATACTGCATGATCCATGACAGCATCACTACTTTGCGAAACCAGAACATCTTGACATTGAGACTCGCAGGCCCAATTGTCTCCAAAGCCAGCTGGAAACGTCCCACAAACCTCATTGGGTACGTTCATCAGCTCGATCATTGCCTCTGAGAGGGGCTTTGGCTCCAACGGCGGTGTGGTATTCCGTTCACCCGTCAGGAAACGCAACTCATTCAGTTCAGCGATTAGTCGATGATTCTCCGCGACCAAGTCCCGCATATCTTCTGCAGCTGATAGACACATTGCGCGCTGTTTCTTGAAATGCTGGAGGCCTTCTTTCACAATAATTGTTTTGGAAAGGCGTCTGACTGGCGCTAGAGCAGGTACTAGACGTGCGAGCTCCTATAGCGAGATTAGTCTTGGATCTGGGATAGTCATAATCGAGAAGGATGTTCTGAGTAAGTAATTACCAGTAGGTCTTTTTTCATGTCCTCTCGGCGCTCTTTCTCTAGAGCGAGATTACGGGCATTCACATCGGGAGGAAGAGGCCGAGGGCGACCTCGCCTTTTTGGTTTGCTTTGATGTGTACCAGGTTGACTCGCCATCTCGCAGGTGGTCTTGGTCGAGAGAAGAACTCAGGGAAGTAGTGAGATCAAGTCAATCCTGCGAGTCGGTTAAACGTTGTGTTGATAGTAGTAAGTCAAGCAACAAGTGTTGGCCTAACACTTCTCCGGCAAAGCGGCCGTAGATAGGCCGAAGTGGGGGTGTGGTCGGGCCGGCCGTGTCTTCGGAGTCGTTTCCACTTTCTATCCAAGTGAGTTAGTGGCTTCTAAAATGGGAGGCTATTGGACGCTTGGGGCAACAAGTTAAAACAAGTGATTCGGTGGCAGTTGCCAATATGAATTTCCAATTTTTTGATTTATCACTGGATATCTCTTTGACATCGTCGTATAATATTTGTGTTGTTACATGCTGGGCACAGTATTGAAACATAAGACCAAAACTCGGCACCTACAATCATTCGACTGCCGCGCTGGCGCAATCGGTAGCGCGCTTGACTGTACGTAACCTTTCCCGCAACGTGATTGCGTGGGCCCAAACTAATAATCTTCTAGTCTACACCCATATATAAGTGTATCAAGCGGTTGCGGGTTCGAGTCCCGCGTGTGGCTTTTTTTTCTTTTGGCTCGGTATCAAATTAATTAGAATAGCCTACGTACAATGATATAATTAATAGAATTAGGTAAATGACGCATTTCCATTTCACCATATCGAAGGTAAATCTCCATTAGAAAGCCGTGCGAGTCTCTCAGGGCTGAACTGGAAGCACTCTGGTAATCCAGTTTCACTCCACTCATATCCCAGCACAATTTTAGCAATTCCAGGAGCACATGTAAATATCCGCGCCATTCCTAGATTAAAGAGAAGATTTAGCTAATGCCAGTTAAATCCACTGTTCTTCACTTACCATGACCGTTAAACCCAGCACATATATATTGACCTGGTAACGAATCAATCGCGCCGACAAATGGAACCGAGTCCGTAGTCATCGCAATGATCCCAGTCCATGCATGGTCCAAGCCTTCACCATGCAACGTCTTGCTTCCATCGGGCGCGTAATCAGGGAAAAGGTTGTTGAAGCTCCGTAGGGCATCCTGGGCAATTTCCTCGTTAAAGTGAGAATCATCGGTACTGAAGCGACTATCCAGAGTCTCAGGACTTAGTGTGGGGTTAGATCGAGAAACTCCTAGAATGAGTGTGCCATCACCCTTGCGCTGTATCAATGAATAGAAATGAAGGAGGCTGTAGCGTAGGGAAAATGTATTCTGAAGGGCATTCTCGGCTGCAAAAGCTGGGGTTGGCACGAGCGAATGGGCTTGTGCACGATTTGGCCGATTATAGGTTTCAAGTTGGGGCAGCAGGAGAGCTGCGTGGGCATTGGTACAGTGAATGATCCTCTCTGCTGTGATGATACCCCGAGGTGTATGCACATCCCATAAACTCGAGCCAGTTTGTTTCACCTCGGTAGCAGGGCAAAATGTAAACAACTTCGCACCACGATCAATCACGGATTGGAGCAAGAAATGGGCTAGTTTGGCTGGATGACTGGATCCAGCGGGCCATTCATATGCTGCAGTGGCCCCTGGAATTCTTGTCTTCGCCTGGGCTTCTAATCCATCATAGAATTTGATATGGGACACATCACCTCCTGCTTGTTTGTATGCCTCCAGACTCTCCGCTTCGTACTTGGCAAACTCAGGTGTCATACAGACATCAAATGTGGTCGTCAGATTGAAGTCACATGTTACTTGGTGCCGTTTGACGAAATCGTTCACTTTTTCAAGGACAAGTCGTTCGTTCGCGATGATCTTTAGAGCCTGTTCGGGACCGTGGACTTTCGAGTAGGCATTGAAGCCCCGAAATGCGTCTAATATAGGTCAGTTCTGATGTTAAATAGTTTCCCAAGTAGATAGTAACCCCGGGCCTCCGTTTGAAACAAACATACCCGGTCGGACATGACCTGCATTTCGTGAACTCGCACCACTGGCCGCTTCTCGTGCCTCCAAAATCACCACTTCCTCACCCGGAACGCCTGCTTCTAGAAGCTCAAATGCGGTCAGACCACCGGATATTCCAGAGCCAATGACCACATATTTAGCCTTAGAAGGCACGGTGTTATCTTGGTTGGCGAAGAGATGGGGGAATGAACGGGTAGTGCGTTGCCAATAGCTCAAGCAGGGGGTGGTGTTGGGCAGATTCCTGCTGGATCCGTTGTCGGAGCTGGCCATAATTGCGACGACGGAGTAGATGTAGAAAGATTTTTATGTGTCAGATCAGATCGCGTCTATATACATGAGCTGGTATTCTCGAGTGATGTGTCGGCAAGTGCCGATTAACCGTGATGGTCGTGAAGAGTATGTATTTCGTGCGGGGATGACTCCACAACTTCTACTCGCTACTTTCCTATCGCACCACCCAGACACACTTCCACTTTCCTGTTCAGGCAATTGTTTTATCGGGACACCATGCTCAACATAGTCAACGGTTTACAAAAGAGCCCCGAGTGAGCGGTTAGCGCCCCCTAGCGCGGCACTATTCCGACCCTATCGTGTCCAAGGGCGCTTGGCGGCCGGCATAGTCTCGCCTCGACCTGCACCAAAAGCCAGCGGAAGCCAAGGTGGGAGTCCCCCAGGCGGGGTAAGACCAGCTAAGGCCAGTTCAAATCAATCCACACGAGCTCCCCAAAGACATTGGGCGCTGCTTCCAAGGCCTCGGAGCATTCCCGAGGTTACGCCAGGTTCCAGAAGGAGTCTCACGATTGGTGGCTGACGCGACTTTCTTATCACAAGACATCCAGCCCCCCTCCGATCTGCGATCTGCACGGGGCATATTAACCCCCGGATGTGGCTCGAGTCGCATGCGAGAGCTTATCGGGACGATGACTCCTTGGCTCTCTTTTGCTCTTAAGAGAAAGAGCAGCTGCTCAGATAAAACGTCTCTGGTTTTTTCTTCTCCGGTTCAGCGACCTTGGATCCCTGCCCAGCAATGATGGGCCTGTCTAAGCTCTTTCGGCATGGTGACCGAGTGGATGAGTATGTGCGAACGGCGGATGAGCGGGCTCTTGTCCGACGTCTGGATACATTCCTGCTTACTTTTGGCTGTCTTTCACAAGGTACGCATATCGATTTACAGTCACCATGCAATAGAAAGACTAATCGTTTTTAGTGATTAAATACCTTGATCAGCAAAACATCAATAATGCCTATGTTTCGGGCATGAAGGAGGATTTGAACCTACAGGGCAATGAACTAAACCTGTGTGTATCCCTGCTCTCTGCAAGGAGCCCGACTCACTTCTAACACAAACCAGCTTTACGACCTACTTTAATGTCGCATATTGTATCATGCTTATACCCTCACAAGTCATCTTGACTTACATCCGACCAAGCTTTTGGCTGCCTGGTCTGGAGATCGTCTGGGGTGTGCTGACTGGTCTGATTGCCATGGCCACGCACGCGAAGCAAGTCTACGTCCTCCGCGTCTTTTTGGGTCTCTGTGAAAGCAGCGCATGGCCTGGAATGATGACTTTACTGAGTAAGTCAGCCCTAGCTTTTTGGCTCAAGACAAATCGTTGGAATATAGATGCAGATTTGCTAATGTTTTCCAGTGTATTGGTACACTCCAACTGAGCTGGCGAAGCGCATGGGCTTCTACCATTCCTGCCAAGCTGTCGGCCAAATGATGTCCGGAGCGTTGCAAGCTGCAATCTCCGACACACTCAACGGCCACGGAGGATTGGCCGGATGGCGATGGCTTTTCGTCATCAATGCGATCATAACTGTTGTTTGGGGATTCGCAGGATTCTTCATGATCCCAGATCTCCCCAACAACCCCAACCCACGGGCATTCTGGTTCCGCAAGGTTCACGCAGAACTCTCCATGGAGCGGCTTGCTCGCAACGGCCGTGCTGAGCCGAAGAAAATGACATGGGCGGGTGTCAAGCGCACATTCTCAGGCTGGGTGGTCTATTTCATCGCCATTCTATACATTGCGACCGTCCTCGGTACATACGGCTACGTCTATTTCTCTCTCTTCCTCAAGTATCTCAAAAACCCCGACGGAACTCCAAGATGGACCGTGTCACAAGTGAATGCGATTCCGATCGGTGGCTCTGCCATTAACGTTGTTTTCGTGTGGATCTGGGCGTTGTTGTCGGATTTCCTGCAAACAAGATGGACACTCATCGTGGCCCAAGGAGTTATTGGTATAATCCCCTGCATCGTCATGAGCATCTGGACTTCTCACCCGACCGCAGTACCACTGTCTGGTGTCTATGCGTCATACTTTATATCGTTCATCTGTCTCGGTACGGCGCCACTTATCTTCGCCTGGCTTTCGGATCTTATCCCGCAAGACCCCGAGGCTCGCTCACTAGTCGTGGGTGTTTCCGTGGCTGGTTATTATGCCATCTCTGCTTGGTCGCAGGTACTGGTATGGCCTGCGTCGCAAGCACCATTTTATAAGTACGGCTGGCAATCTGCGTTGGCACTGTTGGTACTCGTTATTATCATGACTTGTGCCCTTCGCTTTATCGATGTCAGATATCTTCTGCCGAAGCGTGAGGCTTTCCAGGAAACACTGGAAGGGACAGTCGTTGGTAGAAAGGATAGTGTTTCGGGTCTGGGGGAGAACAATGAGGCTTCAGGACCGAGTTCAGATCCTGATCGGAAATCTGCCCACAAGGCTACTGTTGATGAAGTTTGAGATGATCGGTTCATATGAATGAATGTGTCTATGAGTTCTTTCTAGCTCGTTGATGTCATAGAAGAATAAAATGCTATTTGCAGCACATCTTACTTTGGAGTATTTGAATCACTCAAAGAGATCAATATTAAAGAATGTAATAGCACTAGCGAATAGTACAAAAGCGCGAGTGGCACGCTCTGCCAGCGAAGATTAAATATATGTCCTATCCATATCACATCCCACATTCCACGCGTATACTTCTCCCCTCAAGCTGAACCAGTATGTGTCCTCTAGTAGTAAAGCGGGTTCTCGGGATCAGTCAGATCAAAGATGACACTGGAGTGAGGCTTAGCACCACCACGGTTGGAGAACTCTTTGCTGAAATCGATAGTCCGGTTGAAGCTCAGGCTACCGTCATCGTTGATGTCGATGTACAGCGCCTTGAAGTCAGCAGGAGTATTGATGATGCCAATCTCGCCAGTCTGAACGAAGTAGTCGGTGACCACGAGGTGCTTCTGGTCCGGGGTAACCTTGACATAGTGAGGTCCCACGGTAGGCTGGTCCTCATCGGGGTTGTCCAGACGCTTGACGTTGCTCAGGTCGCTGATATCGAGGGCGGCGATGTGGTTGGCGGTGGTGAGGGTCAGGTAGAAGAAGCGACCATCCTGGCTGATGTCGGTGCTGGTAGTAGAAAGGAGGGTCAGTTCATGTTATATGCATACTTGATAAGGGGTGATTTGACTTACTAGATTGCGACAGTGTCACGGGCCTTGGGACCGAGGTCATAGAGCAGCTCAACGACACCCTGCTTGCCGTTCGCATCCTTGCGGAGGGGATAGATGACCCAGACCTGGCCGAGATGGACGGCAGTAGCCAGAGCGGCAGCCTCGGGGTGGTTGGGGATGAACTTGACGTCTTGAATACCACCGCCCTGTTGCACAGTTAGTGACTGAACATTTGGGGTAGGTATTTTTTTTGAATACTTACATCAGGGATAGTCAGAGTGTTGAGAATCTTGCGGCTGTCCAGATCCCAGAGACGAAGAGTGTTCGCATGACGAACGCCAAGGGTGGGCTTGAGGATAGAGATGGGCTCGACAAAGTCCGAAGTGAGAATGAACTTGTTCTTCCAGTCAATGCTCAGACCGTGAGGAGAGAATTGCTCTCCGAGAATGTTGAGGGTACCCTCCACATCTTCGGGCCACTCGTGGATGATGTCAAAGTTGGCATCGGTTTCAATCAGACGACCGGGGGTAGTACCGACGGCAGAGCCCATGTAGGTGATGAAGAAACCACCGTCTGGCTTGGCACGAACTTCATCGGCAATGGATGAGAGAACGGCACGGTTGCTCTTCAAGAACTTGGGACGGTAAGGGTCGGTGGTGTCGAAGTAGAACCCGGTGTCCTGCAATGTGTATTAGAAAAGGAATCATAAATTTGTGATGTGATTATGCTTACCTGGGTCTTCAACAGCGAGAGCAGACCACCACCAAACAGGGTCTTTCCATCAAGGGAAGGTCCCAAATGGTGAGGATCATTGCCACTGGATGGCACATCAGTCACCCACAAAAGGGTGCCGAAAGTGTCATCATCCAAACTGTACGTGGCAAGGAAGTCCTTGTGGAACTTGTCGGCAGAGCCAGTCCAGAAGTAACCGATCTTCTTGGGCTTGATGTTGCTCGGAGTGAAAGGAGGGCTCTCCAATGGAGGAGTGGGAACTTGCAAGATTGGAAGAGGAGGGGCATTGGTAGTCAACGGCTCAGTGACTCCCGGAATAGAAGGAATGAGTGGAGGCAGCGACAGACACTCCGCAAGGGTGATCAGGCATGCTGCAGAAGCAAGAGCGTACTTCATCTTGAATCTGTTTGGCTATCAAAGACTAGTGGCAACGATGATAATTGACTCAAATGTGCGTTGTGTTGAGTGGATTTGAGGGAAATACTGGACATTATATAGACATTCTTCCTGCTACGGAGTCCAGATATCGTTCGCTTTTTTCTTTTCACTTCATTTCAGCTCCAGAACTATCGAACCCCAAGCACGCAATCCTGTGACTCCTTGAGTATGAAGTTTCTGATGGATATCAAATACTTCCAAGGCGAAGTTGATCTGCGAAATGGCGAATTTCCAATGTCATCCGGATGCGAAGGGCAAATGATACTATTCAGATGGCAGATCGAGCCTACCTCGACGCTATTGCCCTAGCTCATGCAGGGCCAAGGCCAAAGTAATGCCGATGTGATGTCGTGATCGGGATCGAGGCCATGTTCCTGGCAGATGAACGGCACATTTCTGCAGGGATCAGGACCCCGGGAAATGAGTAGTTCGTCTGATGGTCCCCGATAGTCCCTGATTTCCATCTTCTACATACTAAGCATCTCGAGTGCTTTACTGCCTGGTTTGATACATTTGAGCAGGTCTGGTATGTATCGAATGCCTCCGTTGTATCCTAACAGATATTGATACCCTCGACTAACTTCTCCGCGGGCTTACTAGGTCAATTCAGGCAAAATGTCTAGACACCAACCGTATATCACAAAGCCATTTCCAATCTTGTTTCTTAGCAGAATCTCGGGATTTGACTCAGGACACACTATCGAAGTCCCAAAATCGAGAAATGGGGGTCAAAGCAAAGCTTACTTCAAGCGCCTCGTGAACTATTCCGTGAGGATGGGATGATGATCCGCGAGCGCCAAGACGAACAAGATATTTCCGACCAGTCAATCAGACCATAGATGGTGTAATAGAAAATAGGCTGAACTTGTCTTCCGCCACTTTCAACTAACGTAAACTTTAGGGTTGGTGAGAGGGTCTCTGTCAGGGCCCTGATCGGCACTGATATTTCCCCATGGGGGCCATCAGCACGGGCGACGCCTCGTCGATTTCATCAGTATGCCAAGGATGTTGCTATACATACAGCCACGCTAATTTCCCCCCATCCCAGAAAACAGAGAACAGGTTCTTCTTTGCTTGGCTGTCGATCCAGGGTTTTGGCTTTTCGCAGGCTATCGCGCGGGACTTTGAAATTAACAAATGGTCGCTGAATCTCACCATCTCTTACCGTGGAGGGGATGTGTCTACTGTCTACTCCAGGACGGGAGATGTTTACACTTTTCTGAGTCAAGACGATCGTGGTATATCGCAATAGTTATTGATTCTGTTGTCATTGGTAATTTCCCGTCGTAAAGGCGCCACAAAAGCAGAGAATGATGATGCAGGGCGTAAGAATGTGTATATAAAAGACCTTCGAAGAGCGTCAATAGCAGAATCGGCCAAGACCATTCCCAGCAGGTTGCTTTTAATTCATTCATTTCAATTATCTACAGCAATGCGATTCCAAAGCCTCGCACTTGTTGGGCTCCTGTCCGGCTCTGCCCTGGCAGTTCCCAGAGCTAGCAAACGGTCTGACCCCGAGAACAGCGGGCAGCCTATCAACAATGAGAATGGCAGAGGCGCTCCTCTGCTTGGTAAGATATGACCCCTCTTTCATACTTGGTTTCTTTATACTTATCAAAGAATTTTGCAATAGGTGGAACGAACAAAGCCGTGGATCTCCAGAATCCAGATCAACTTCGCACCCCGACCACCGACAATGGCTTCGTCCCTAACGTCAAGTGGAGTTTTTCCCAGTCGCAGACTAGGTTGTTCCCTGGCGGTTGGTCCCGTGAGCAGGTCATTCAAGATCTGCCTCAGAGCCATGATATCGCTGGTGCTCAGCAGCATCTGAAGAAGGGGGCCACTCGTGAGCTGCACTGGCACCGAGTGGTATGATGATTTCTCCCCAAGCAAATTGTTGGTATTTTTACTGATGATTGTGAACAGGCCGAGTGGGGATTTGTCTACAACGGATCCCTTCTCCTCACCGGTGTTGATGAGAATGGAGGCTTCACGACTGAAGTGTTGGAGACCGGTGATATCTGGTATTTCCCCAAGGGTGTTGCCCACAATGTCCAGGGTCTTGATGACGAGAACGAGTACCTTCTTGCCTTTGATGATGGTGACTTTGAGAAGATTGGGTACGTGAAACCCTTATTGAATCTATTTCCAGCTCATACTAACTATAATAGAACTACCTTCATGGTCGATGACTGGATTGCTCACACTCCCAAGGACATCCTTGCCAAGAACTTTGGTGTCAATGCCTCTGTCTTTGACAATGTCCCCGCTAAATTCCCATACATTCTGAACGGTACTGTCAGCAAAGATCTCGAGAAAGCGCCCGAGGGAACTCTTAAGGGCAACAGCTCTTATGTCTACCACACATACAAGCACCCCTCTGAGCCCGTCCCAGGCCATGGTGGAACTTTCCGCAAGATTGACTCCACGAACTTCCCTATCTCGAAGACCATTGCTGCGGCTGTCGTCGAGCTTGAGCCCAAGGGTCTGCGTGAGCTCCACTGGCACCCTAACGTAAGTTGACCTACGCTTGATAACTTTGGATTGACACTAACTTGGACATGTATCTAGGCTGAGGAGTGGCTCTACTTCCACCACGGCAATGCGCGCGCAACTGTCTTCCTTGGCGACTCCAAGGCTCGTACTTTCGATTTCACTGCTGGAGATACTGCTGTCTTCCCTGACAACAGCGGTAAGTAACTCGTGAATTCTTTTAATGGAAGACTAAAAGCTAACCTTCACTCTCAGGTCACTACATTGAAAATACGTCTGAGACCGAGAAGCTCATTTGGATCGAATTGTACAAGAGCGACCGTGTCGCCGATATTTCGCTGGCTCAGTGGCTTGCCCTGACTCCTGCTGATACCGTGGCAAATGTGCTGAAGGTTGACATTGAAGTCATCCACCAGATCAAGAAGCAGAAGCAGATCCTGCTTCCCGGCAAATAGGCCCTTCTTCCTGGGAACCTCATGACGGGCTAGTCTTGACCCGAATGAGGGAACGTGGGCTATCTTGTCTTGTACACATAATCTCATTCGCCGAGCTACTTAATTTTCTATTCTCCATCACCAATTAATTCAATTAATTTTTCCTTCTATCTTCCAAACACGAAGTCAACCAAGTTCAGGTCTCTTAGAACGGCTGAGCGTAGCTGATGTGCCAAGGACATAAGTGGCCTTTTCTGTCCACCATTGCGAGGATTACTGTAGAATGCAAGGTCGGAACGTCCAACCTTCTGTAGACTGTGGGAGGCCTAAGAGCGTTGCACTGCATGAGTGATGTAAAAGATTGACTGCGCCTCTCCCACGCCTCTCCGCCAGTGGACCCTCGTATTTCTCCGTCATCCATCGCCCTCGAGCAGTCCAATCATGTCTAAGCGCCGAGATTTCTCACGTTCAGCTGAGTTGTTCTGTAGCCATGGATAATATGAGGCAGCATTGTAATGGCCCCAAAGAGTAGGTTTAAATATCGCTTGAAGCCCCCGTCTTATGGAATTAAATCAGAAAGGAAAACAGACATTCACGATATAAAGCAAGATGGATCAACCAGTCCAAATCCTCTCCTACAATCGCATCAAATCAAGCAGTACTTTTACTGTCTCTCTTCGGCATGGTGATGGCACCACAATACCCGTCTACGAAGTTCTAGTGTCAAATCTAGATCCAACCCTCACGATAACTCGTCTGCAATCTATATATCCTCCTCCACAACAGATACCTCCTCCTCCGCCAAGTCAATATGGCTATCCATACACTCCAACAGCTCCACCGAACCTGAATGCATATTACCAACAGCAACAACCACCATATTCCTACCCCTCTTCATATCAGCCCCAGATACCCCAACCACCACAACATCAACTATACCAAATACCCGGTCCGCCTCAACAGGCCAGAACAACAATCGGCACGATAACGCTCTCCTCTATGTCTTCCAAAATCACCTTCTCAATTCACAACCAAAAGGATCTCAAGATGAAACGCCCAGACTTTCTTTCCAGTGCACACCAATTTACTCATCCGCACTATGGCACTCTCTCATGGAAAGAAAGCGATCTGTCGGACAAAAAGTACAAACTTCTGGACTCAAATAAGAAAGTTCTAGCCCGATTCGATAAGCTTAAGTCAGTGGAGCAGAAGACTAGCTCGTCCCTGTGGGGCTCATCATCAGCAAAGAAGGGGAAAGACTGGGCTTTTTCAATATTTGTGAATGCGGACCCGGAGTTCTTGGACTGGATAATAGTTTCCGGCTTAGGAGTGGTCGAGTATCGCATTACAAGTGATCGCGCGTGGGGAGAGGCGCTAGTCGAAGGGGTGGATGCTAGCTTTGGGTAAACTACTACGTGGGGGCCTTTTCCCCTTGAATACTGTATATCGTTCGCAGACCCCAGGATTGTTCCTCTCCACATAATCCTCGGCCTCACGGGAAATCAGGGACTCAAGTCTAGCTTGGCGCTCGAGCGCGAGCCTAACCGAAGGCATTCTCGTCGTCTTACAGGTCCGGTCTCATGTGCACGGAAGGCGGCTCTGCTTGGCATGCTTTAGCGTCTGACATCTCACTCGAGACGGTGATTTTATCTTCCTTTCAGTATAAATAGAAATTCCTGTTGCCTGTAACGCATAGCATTCGAATAGAAATGAGTCAATTCTGAGACCCTACGTACTCTCTTCTCATATCAAGGTCCGAGGGCAGAGCGCCCCGGGAACCAAAAGCACTTATTTTGCGCCGTTATCCCATATTCTTTGTCAACTCCAGAGAGCGATTGAGACTACCCCTTTTCATCACAACTCTAGTCAATCTGCTTACGGAGACACTATGTCGTACACTTCGAGCAGCTCTTCATCGAGCCGCACTTCATTGACGCGCACTACTTCATCGACATCGACGCGCATAGCAACAATATCGGCAATGACGACGCCATTTGTACAGCCAGCTTCCTGCGGGTCACTATGGAAGATGGAAACCACTTCGATAAGTACAAACGGCTCAACAAGCCCTCTGACACTTCTCATGCCAAATACAGCCGATCCCAAGTTCTCTTCTTGCCAGCCAAATGGGTGGGATCTCAACACTTCACAACCATTCACGTTCAGTCCAGCTGTCTGCCCAAGTGACTGGGTCTATTATGACTTGCAGGAATCTATCTCACACATTCCTATCACCGAGTACAACACGGATATTACAACTACATTCTCAATGGCCTACTGCTGTGCAAGGTGAGTTGACCTCAAGCCTTGCATCATTGGTTGAATCCGCTCGATTGATAACTTAGAATAGCGACTACGCCTTGTGGAAAAATTATGATTACAACTTCCGGAACCTGCAGATTGGATGCTATCAGACTTTCAACGATAGCATTCCTACTACCATCACACCGACGACAGCAAACTTTGCAACCACTGGAAGCTTGCCAGTATTCACAAACGGGATCGTGGCGCATCAACCATACACTGTCAAATGGGCTGCGTCCGACACTCATAGCATGACTCCGTCTCTTCCACTGTTGACAAATAGCATGCTCGTTCCTACGTGGAGGCCTGGCGAGAAGATACCAAAGGGAGAGTATGACAGATACGGCAGTGACAGCATAGAGCCTAACGATGGCGTAAACTGGATGCCTCTATTCTACTTTCTTGTCATCGGCCTTCCTCTCATCGGAGTGACGTTAATATCATGCTGTGTTTGGTGTTGCTTTCGGGCCCGAGATAAGAAATGGAGAAAAAGGATGGAGCAGCAGGAAATTGAACTCACGGCTCGATTTGCCAATGAGAATTCTAAGGAGCGGGGGACTACCCAGGTGACTGAACATGATGGGCAAACTAATAGTTAATGATAATGCTACTCTATTGATCAGGAAGGAATGACACCATAATTCGACGTGCAAGTTATCACCTTTTACCAATTTACATGACATCGTTTCCCTATTCTCAGTGACGGATGCATGAGTAAGATGACTTTGGAATAGTATCCACGCGGGAAATCAAAGTGATATCTAGTGATCATTCCTGTTTCCTATAAGCACCGTTGTAAGACGACTTTATAAAAGAAAAGGTGAGGACAGAAAGCACACGGTCCAGTGTTGGGAGAATAAAAAAATTATTATTATAAACGAAACTTTTCGAGTAGAAACAAGTAAGTCAGGAAACAAAGGGCCCAAAGAATATCTTCGAACCATGCCGTTGAATCGGTGGATGATATCGTTTCGTAAGCGAGCTCTGTCCCCGCCTCCATCTCATGTCGTATTATATTTTAATGCACTCGTTCAAGAATAACCTTGATCTTTCAAAAAGCAATTTACTAATTATCCTGGTCTATCCATTGTAAGAATCGCTCGTTTGTTGGTCTCGGTTCACGGTTACTGACACTTGTATGGCCTACGCCGGCATAGTCCATCGGGGATAGAGGTATATTGAACCCGGTTAATCGGTAATGAATCATCCTAGGTCAATACAAGGTTAGTCTTTGTCTTGAACTGGACAAGAAATGCTCACAGCCGGAAATGTTCTCAGGTTATCTAGAGTTGATTGTGGTTGGGATGTCCCTAGGACTGTCATCCCGATGGCCACACTCAGGACAAGGGCACCGTATAAGAGGTAAGACATCGCTAGCAATAGCAAGACGTAAAGAAGAGATAGCGTATGGAAATGTTGTCCATGTCATCCTCAAGCTCGAGGGACTTTAGATATATGTGGGAGGCAAAAACGTACGACATGGGAGGCCACGCACAGGGATTTTTGACAAGCGAAGATGACAGATCATCCTCCAATTTGGATATCAAAAAGACATTAAATGAGAACACAATCACAATCATAATTCTCCTGTAGAAGCCTAGAAGAGGGAAAGGTTCTAGATAGTGGGGCAAACTACCATGTACTGGGACGGGGGGAAGGGGGGATCGCGCGTTAAGCGTGTCTCGACTGACACAAATTACACACCTACGAAAGCAACCCCCGCTGAGGGACCGAATTTCACTTCGCATCACCTCGCATTACTGTAGTTCAGGTTCATCTATCTCGCCGAGAATCATTACCAGACAGGTCTAGCGATAGTACAAAAGACACTCGACTCTTGCCTATTGGAACATTTTCCTACAATATCCCCGGCAAATGGAAATCATTCTTTACTAGCCGAAACACGCTTATGCACTGCCATGCATCTCCCATCATTCCCCGAGCAATAGGAACTTAGACAAGTCTGCGGGAGATGAACGCATGTCCCAAGACCGTGTTGGCGGCGCAGGGCAAGAGCCCGGAGCCCAGAGCCCAGATCCCATTACCCTGGCTCCTGGGTCGTTGACTTGTCGGTCCCGCCGGGCCGATCCCTGGCCAATCTGTCGGGACCTTTGTTATAAAAGAAGCTGAAGCCTGAGGGAGAGTTGGTGAATGCTTGGGCCCTCTCTTTACCCCCCCTTCCTCCATTTCTTCCTTCATTTCTTCCTGCAAACTCTCCATCGTTCCCATATTTCTCTCATCTAGCCAATGAAATCATCACCTCCTGCAGATCCATGAGGCTCTTTCCTCTTTCACTTCTGCCCGCAGCCCCGGGTCTTGTTCCCAAATCCCCGGCCACGGATCAGGGCAAAAAAAGTAAAGAACAATGCCTCTGCATTATAATTGGTAGCTATCACAGAATGAGAATCATACCTCCTATCGATAGCCATCACCCAGAATTTTCCACTATGTACTTGGAGGGGTCCTGCAGGTAGGGCAAGCCTACACCGATGCCCGAGGAATTCCCCCCCCTCGCTACGGTCGAATCTCGGAGCCGTGGAATCGAAAATCCAAAATTCAAAATTCAAATGAAGACACGCTGTCGCTAGTACCCAGAGCCCGCGATGGAGCGTTCAAAGAATAAAACTCCAGTAATGCGAACATGCATATGTTGTGTGGGAAGAGACCAAACACCAGGATGCAACCACGTCCGACCAAAACCGATCCAAAAAAAATTACACCATACCCACCACTAACAATAATGTTTAAACAGAAACCCATGCCCCCTCCCTGACCCATGAGATGCAAGTTCAGCCCAAGCCTCACTCCTTATCTTTAATTGCCTTTCGACGAAGAACGCCCAGCTCCTCCAATTTTGTCCAGGCTTGACCCATGTCTGGATTGTCTTGGCCCAATGATGGTCGCAGCTCCAACCCGTCGAGATGATGCAATGACCCGCTGGTTCCCGCATAGAGAAGCAGCTCAAGTACACTTCGGCGCATACGAGTCGCACGATCCAAGCGAAGGAGATATTTCTCATCCGCCTGTGCATCCGCGGGCGGAAGAGTGAAAGGATCGTTCACTTCCACATCCCGATCGGGCTTGGACCCCTCATCCCAGCTAACTGCATGAGCAACCTGGTCGTTGTGGTCGAGATCAGCGAGGGCGTCAGACAAGTCTCGGCGGTTCTCCTGTTGTGGAATGACTGCGTTGACCTGGTCCTTTAATTTCTTGCGATCTGCATTTGATCCGTTTCCAGTGAGAGCCGGAGGGTAAAATCCGATTGTAAGAGGATTACCCCGTATATCAAGCTTGCGAAGGGAACAAGTGTTTCCCTTGGTTGCTCTTCCAAGACGACTCAAAATTTGGCAAACGCGTCGCATCCTCGCGAGTCGGTTTCCAGCAACGGTCAACCTAGACAAGCAGTTCATGCCTACTAAGGGCTCCAGATCCGTGACCGAGTTGAAATTCATGTTCAACACCTTCAGGTTGGGGAAGCGTGACGCAAATTCGGAAGGAAGAGCATTCAGCGCGCAAGCAGCGATGTCGAGAAGTTGAAGTCGTAAGAGAGGGGTTGTCGGGGTAATAGATCCACGAGAGAGCTTGTTGGATGAAAGGAATACTTTTCGAACGTCTTTGACTAGGCCCAGGTCAATATCCAGAGCAAAATCAGAATCGTCACGAGAGGCTGGCGTCTGCTCGCGGACTGAGAGGACCTCTAAATTGTGACAATGCTCCAGGCCCGCAATGGTAGACAGGCAATTCTGATCGAGATAGAGAAGGTTCACAGACGAGAAGTTTTGTACGTCAAGCACGTCCAATCGATTTCCCGACAGTCTCAGGGCACGAAGGCTGATAAGAGCAGTTGGGGACTCGAACCGAGTGATTTGGTTGGCGCTAAGATCAAGAGTCGCAAGCGACGGGAGCCATTCAATGTTGCGGACAGATGTCAAGCAATTGTGACTCAAGTCAAGATCGCGAAGTCGGGTCCTATGTATGGATCCATTAGTATTTGCATTCAAATCGTAGAACTACACCTGACGTACAGCTCAGTTCCTTCAAAGTCCACAGCTGTCATCGAGTTGTTGCTGAGCTTCAAACTCAACAGCCCATTCAACTCCAAAATCCCGTCAATGTTCCGAATTTGATTGTCATTCGCCTTCAACTCTCTCAGATGAATAAGACTGGAGAAGCCATCCAGGGTCTCGATATCGTTTCCAGAAATGTCCAGGTATTGCAGGTTGGTCAAGTGGCTCCATGGGGTTAAGTTAGAGAGGCAATTCCTGGGGATTTTGAGGGTCCGGAGGCTTGAAGGAACGCCACTCAATTGGCCAATGTCATTGTCAGACACATCAAGATCCTCGAGGCGGGGACAAAAGTGATTCAGCTTGTGCAAGGTGATCAGCCCCTTCTGTCGTAGCACCAGGCGACGAACATGCTCCCAGTATGGCTCATACGGCTCCACATCCGTGATGTGCTTGACCAAGTCTTCTGTTGCAAGTGCAAAGGTTCCGTGCACTTGTCTAAGGGACGTCGGGTTTGTTCGCTGGGCCACATAGCTCATTTCCAGATTCAAAGGTCGATCAGGTTGGTTGACAGAGAAATCTGGCAGTGGGCTGAGGTGGAAGCTGTAGCTGTTTTCCTGCTCAGGGGATAGAACGGGAACCAGCGATTGCTCTGTAGTAGTTGCCCCCGTCGCATCCGTCGCACCTGGGGAATCATTCAACCGAACAAGACTGAGATCGTCTCCACCCTCCTCATTGCGCTCGTCGATTCGAGAGACAGGTCGTCGAACGAATGGTTGCCCTGCAAGAGAAGTTTCGCGCTGCCTTGGGGGTAGAGACGAGCGTGCAGGGCCCCCTTTCTGATCGGTCGGGCCGGAAGGTTCATATTTTGACTCTTCTTGCTGGGTGCTTGGCTCTGACTCGTTCGGATCATCTCGATAGGCAACATGGGAAACGAGAGGTGACGAGAAGGAGATTGTCGCAACGCGTGACTTTTTCGGCAGTTGTTCAGACGTTGTACCAGCGGCCCCTCGTAAAGAGGACTTCCCTGGAACCCGATTCTTTTCAGAAATGTCATCCGTCCCCCATGATGTTGCTCGGGTGCCTGAGTTGGGAACGCTCGACGTGAAGGGCGTGCTCCGAGACTGTAGAAAGCTTGCATTGGCAGATCCATCCCTTGTGTGTGGCCGTTGGTCAGGTTTGACGGGGGAAGCGGTGGCACTTGGTGGCTGACGCTGACTCTCAGTCTGATCCCCAGCCTGACTCTTTGCAGGAGAGCTGAGACCATAGACTCGCATCATTTCCTGAAGCTCATCTACACTCAAATCTGGAATGTCCTGGAAAGGGTCATCAAGATCATCTCGGTGACGAGTCGCGGGCTCCGGCGGCTTTGCATCGTCCTTCACCCATTGATGCTTCGATCGATCATATACAAAACCGTTAACCTCTTCTGGGATCAAATGCGCAACGAGATCTGACGACAGCATTCCCTTTGCGGAAGAGTTCTGCGAAGATCCAGTCGGAACGGAGCGAACACTGAAGCCAGACATTTGAGTGTTGATGGTCATCAAATCATGAGCGATATCCTCCGCAACGTCATACATCGATCCGCTGGGCTTTCGCTTCCTCTGCTCAGGTGCCAGTCCTCGGGATAGTTGGGTATCCGGCTTGAGCTGACCATCCACTTTCAATGACATGACAGACTCATTTGCCCCAAATTCTAAATCTTCTCTTTCCTGGTACTTTTTCAAGTAGTTCAGAATTTGAGGGTTCAGCTCTTTCGGCTCGCGCTGCTTTCGCAAATCGGTTCCATCTCGGCTAGGAGGACGAGAGAAGGCCTCTCGCGTGGATTCGTCTTCGAAGCTAAGATCCCCGTCTTCGCTGTCCGGATCAGACTCCTGCACACTTGTCAACCCCGCCGCGGGTCGGCCTTTGGAACGGATCAAATCCATAATCTTCGTGGCCTCGTTGAGGTAGTCCTGGGTAGTGATTGAACCCTTCCGGGACGAGTCGCTAGTGCCGGTTATCTTGACAAGAGGAATGTCGCCCTCGAGAGAAAAGGAGTCAGAATAGTCAAGCTCATCGTAGTTCGCTTCCGAGTACTCTCCACTCGGTGCGATCTTCGATTCGTGGGATGATCGAATTTGACTCGGAGTCGGCGTTCTTGGACGCTGCATTGATTGCGAGATACCCGGAGGTGCAAGGTAGTCTCCATTCTCAAATTGCATCCCGTGCTGCATCAAGCTTCGCTGCAGCAACGACATGCTGTCACCGAATTTTGAGGGTGAGTCACCGTGAGTACGTGGTTGTTCAGGTTCAGCGCTATCCTCTCGCAATATTGTTCGACGGCGTTTGGGGCGAGGATCCGCGGGAGTTGCTTTGGGCACTCTTTTTGTTTCGGGAGACCCGACATTCTCTTTCCCATTAGGCCGAGATGATCCTGTCACATTCCGCTGGTGATCAAAGTAGCTCTGTCTGGTCCAGGCCGATGGTTTTCGAGTAAAACCGGAGCTAGCAGACCTCGCGTATCGAAGAGAGTCAAGCTTCTGAGATGGCCGCCGCAGATATTGCTGCCGGCCTGACGATCGCTTCCGTGAAACAGGCCGAGATCCAAATCCCTGGATTTCGTCATAGACCAACTTGTTCTCGTAAGGACTGGCGTCCGAAAAATCAAATTTGTCGAGTTCTCCGTCCCCGAATCGACTTATGCGAGGGCGATTCGCGTTTCGCGACGCCAGCCGCTCGTTCAGTCTTGAGGAGATTTCATTGAGCGGCTCGTGCCGAGCATTCAGGAAGCTGCGACTCTCGCCTTTGCGACGGGCTTCCTCCGATGGTGATGGTGGCTCATCCCCGTCTGAACCGTCGCCGAAGGTTTCTTCAAACTGGCTCATGCGTCGCAAAAGTCGGTTGTTTGTGAAAGTGTCGTGCTCACCAAACAATTTGAGGGGACTGCCCGACGAAGGCATGGTTCCCTCTTTTGATGTAGCATCCCCGGACGTCGAAGGACGCACGTGCGAGGAAGAAGGGCGAGGTAGGGCGGGTGATCCGTTTGTCTGTGAACGGCTGAAGAGAGGAGAGCTGCGAATTTTGGTGTTTGCGAGGGCTGCAGGTAGTTTGCGGTGGGAAGGGTATGGGGAAGGAGAGAACCGGTGGTGGAAAGCACGACCGGCACCGCGGCGGTTAAAGTCGACCGTGCCCATCGAAAGGTCCTGCGGCAAGGAGTGACTGGTCACATCCAGCAGGCTGTCATCTCTCGGTGAGTCGCCGAATCGGGGTTCGCTGTGGTTATAAAAGAGGAAGCTGTCGCTAGCCGGTGAATCGGGCCGGTTGTCAGGGTCAATGGACAAACTTTCAAGTTTGTTTGTGACCTGCTTGAGCGCAGACTTGATCACTTCCGAGGCGGCTCCACCATCAAGGGTATTCGGTCGAGTGAATGTGATCGGTGTAATTCCTTCATTGCGAAGATCCTCGAGTCCGCTCGCGGTTCGCATGCCCGTGTCTTCTCCTTGTGAATGTCCCTCTTGGGTCAAGTCCGTGTCGAATGGCGGTCTCTCTGCCCATGGGGCTCGATTGACTGTACCCATAGGCGATTCTGCTCCAGGACCTGAAAATTCATCCTCGAGATGTTCTGGCACACTCTCGTTCTCCCCATCTTCCCCATTCGCGCTCCCGCGCCGAGAAGTCGCGTCGGTGAATTCCCATAATTGATCGTCCTGTCTCGTAAACGGGATGGAATCTTGCTGGCCGACTCCCGAGCCAGGCGAGGGTGGCTTAAAGACACTCTCGAGACCCATTGGCGCAAACAAGTCGCGTTGTTCGGCCGCCAAAATCTCCCCGCGCACTAGGCGCTTCCGCCATTCTGGTGTAGCTCCTCCTCCATTTTGACCCTTCTTCGGCTTAATCTGCACGGTGTCTGTGCTCTGGTACTCCGATTGAGTGCTGGAAACATTCGAGACCGATCGTAATGGGGAGCGCGTGTCCATGTTTACCGGTTGTTTGCCTGCCGCACCCGAGCTCGGCCTCGGGCTGCGCTTTGGTGTTGGTCTCGGGATTGGCTTCGGAGACGGCTTCGGAGAGGACTTTGGGGTATCTGATCTGGCTTTCGCGGGTGTCGTTGACTGAGGCTTCACGGGCGTCCTGGGTTTGGGGGTTCGACGGGTCTTGGGGGTCGGAGGTTCTCTCCTAATGAAATGACATGGTCGGGTCACTTTTTTCGAGTGATCAACCGGGGATGACTGTTGTGCCACAGATCGGCGGGCAGCCACTGGAATGCGACTGGGGGAATCCTGTGCACGGCGAGGAGAAGAGGCAAGGAAGGATTTGGCCGGTCCAGGCGTCGTAGGAGTCGCAGGCGCTGAGGGCCAGTCGTCGGACAGACTGTCGAGCCATGGTTCGTTGCCCATTTTCTCGAGTTGTTTGAGGGGGGTCGTTTTGTTATGATGCGGCCTCAAAGGCGCGCGTCTCGGTGATCGGCTCACTCTTGGTAGAGATACTCCGAAGAGAAAACCAAAAGGACTTGGGAGTAATAGACTGTGTATTAGTCCAGCATGGAGACATTGATTGCACCAGGGGTGGGCTTGAAGTTCATGAGGTTCGGTGGATAGCGAGTGCGGAGACTCAAGAGGTGTTGGTCCGGGCAGTTCAGCTCCACCGAAGCTCCCTTGTTTATTATTTTTTGTGATGACCCGGTTTATTATGCGATGCGCCCTGACAACCCGCCACACTGCTTCCAGTTCTGACTGGGAAATCTTATACTTTGACCTGAGGTCTGAGCATTTTAACTATATCTTTTTTTGTTGTTATCAGTCTGGTTGTCCAGTCGATATTCAACAAAATCCTCTCCACTTGTCAAAAATCAATAGTCTGATTGGTTCCCCCAGTGGTAGCCCGATGTGTTGGCCAGGTCCACAACAAACCGATCGCCCTAAATCTTGACCGATACTTTCATTCTGTGTACATAACAAAATACTAAATGGACCTTCTGTTTTGGTGGGTGTCCTTGTTCAACGACTCAAACAATGCATTGTTTATTGATCCTTCTGCATTGATCGGAGTTGGCTTGGACGTGTTTCATCCGAACCTCGAGTTTGTCCATATATGACCATGTTATGCATCCCCACATCCTATACTACCTAGGTAGTGGGCTGATCTGAGAGCAAGTTGAATTTGTTTTGCAGATGTCAGTTACGGTTATTCTCAATGCATGCTTTTTTTCCCAGGCACACTCTTGCATAGCTGCGTGGCAGGAATCCGATGACGGGTGCTCGGAGTTTGGATATATACTCGAGCTCACTGGTCAAATGTTTGGTCTTGATAACTCCCCGATGAGCAAACCGTGATGTAGCACGCTCGATAGTCCATTGATCCATCTAATTTTTTAAATGTTATGCATTCCACGGACAGGGCAGAGCCTTCTTAGTGAAAGAGATGCCATGCAGATACCGTGGTAGGGCTTGCCCAATGATACCAATGCCCTTCCCAAAGAGGACTAGTGTGGAATCAAAATAGACCCCAATCATGAACTAGTCCCAATCTAGCATACAGAAGGAATCAACTATTCCTAATACAGTAAGTAGCATGGAGGTAGAGTAGAGAAGAAAGAGCAGTCTAGTAGCTCTATCTCTTCCTAGAAATCTTGACTTCTCCAACATTTGACATTCACAACTCTCTCATTCTTACTCTTCCCTCACCTTACCTTCATGCACCCTCTGAACAATCCCAACATGAAGGCAATCACCTGGCTCGCCCAACTAGGGCAGTTCGCAAAGCTACCAACAGAGATCCGTCTGTTAGTGTGGGAAGCTCTTTTGACCTCATTCCTACCAAGCTGAACCCTCCGACTGAGGATTCAGTAAATATCTTGTCTATCCTCTCCTGCAGTCGATTGCTCTATAACGAGATTGCACACCACCTCTACGCGGACATGGCCCGGGGTTTCCTGATATGTTCCAAAGAACCCGACACGGTCGGTATCAGAATGCAACTTACGTCCAGATGGGTCACAATTGAACGAGATTTGGACAACATTCAGACTACTCGAAAGATTCTTGAACATTTCCCCGGGCTCTAATGCGGGATGACACTGTCTACGCTGGTATTCGACCCTCCAACAGCAACGACCCTGGCAGAATCATTCTGCTGTCAGAACGTGTCAACAAATTCATCAAACTTCTGACCGAGTTGTCGTATACCCCATGCGTGCCTGTGGGGCTGATCTGGAGATGGTGTCACCACGACGGGAAAGCCAAGGAAAGCATTCGCAATCCTATCGAGTACCGTCCTGATTATGAAATAGTCCTCATGCCCTTCACTCAACTGTCAAATTGGGGTTATTCTATATCGGAAGATCTCTCGACTGTCATCGTAAATGAGAGCAAACTCTCGAAAGAGCCGGTCGCAAAGAGATCCATGATATCGCTCCTCAGAAAACATGACCCCAACCGCAGTGAACGTCAATATTTTCTCAATACAGCGTCTGATCTGGTGGATTCAAAATGGCTATTTGAAAGATGGCTCACGGAAACACGAATATTCCTCGACACAAGACTCGACACTCTTCCAGGGGAGACGGCAATGCTTCTCCGCTGCCGGCGATTGGCACACTGGTTCGAAGATAGTACTGAGTGTAAGTCCCAGTACGAAGAACAACTTCTCACGGATATCTGCAACAACCTCCATATTTTCATGAAGCATGATCCCAGGCTCGCTCAAGCTCGGTTACGACATCGAAGTGCGATCTTGACACACCATCAAATTTGTGCCGAGAAAGTTGACACGAATCCACGGGGAGTTCCAATTTGTCAACCCTGGGACTCTTCTGTATGGGCATCTGCCAGACCGGATGGCATCGGGACACTATCATGCGCGGAGACGATGACGAATGAAGTGATGATAGTCTTTGACATCTACTCTTTCCTGAACGAACAAATTGCTCAGTTCTTAAGAGATTTGCATTGGTGGGGGTGTATTCCAAGGATGTCTTTGACAAGAGGAGGCCATGGTCGTTTGCGTGTATTGGGTGTCAAGAGCTTGAAAGGCCCTGCCGGTGGTGTGAAGAATACGACGTAGACAAGGCATGTCGACTTTGCCGGGAAGGAGGATTCAAGACAACAAGAAATGTTATATTAGGGGGATCTGCTTGATCATGGAGTTAATGGGGGGAACTATTGGCTTACAGACAAGACAGACAGATCAAAATTGAGACAGAAGATGAATGTTTACCATTTCGGGGGTGCCGTTCCTTTCCACTAGTAAAGCTCATCGCGCACTTATGCTTGAAATGGAAGTAAGGTACCGGACACGCAGCGCTTACATTGGTCATCTGTATGCATGAGGATTGAGAACCATCCTCAGGCAGATCAGAACTATCAAGTAGACCTCGATAGACAGCAAGATTGATGATCCCGTATATTGTTTCTAAACACGGCCCTGACCAGATGTATCAGAGTTCTAGTCATTTGTGACGGCTTGGTCTTGGCCCGAGCTCACCATTGGGCGAAAATGTCATATTATCCTAGGTTCATCAAGTCATCGCGACGATCAACGCCACACTTTCGTAGAACTGGTTTACAACCGGCAGTGAAGTTAATATTCAGGGCCAAAAATCAATAGTCAGGTCGTGTCGATCGAGAGCAGCGATTGCACTATTTCTCAGCCACGCGAGAGGTTGTCTGGCGAAGCCCTAATTTCCCTCGCCTGAAGTCTATTCATTTGTCGTGCTTATTCTGCTCGATCACGCCTCTATTGATCGAGTCGATAGAGAAACCTCACCAAAAGAAAATGAAAGGACAGCTTCCATCACGGATTTCAAAACAATAGTGCGTGAAAGTGGGATAGGGCGACACCAGATTGCCCATTGCCGATCATCAATGAGATGACCGACAGCCGTAATTGCGTCTTCCTCATCTTACCCCCTCGAGCAATCAGGAACTCCCCGGAGTCTCCGTATAGTCTCAATGCCTAAAAAACATAAATAGATGATGGTCATCTGCTCGGAATGTTATTTTCTCGTGAAATCCACTCAGACTCCATCGTTCGTTCCATTGCACCCACTACAATCTTGCGTCCAATCCCGCCCTTTCGCACCATCATTCCCATATTCGTCAACCACACCCTTATCAGCGATCTAATTCCAAGATGCGCATTACTCTGTACCTGACAGCCTCCATGGCTGGTCTCTCCTTGGCCGCCCCAGCAGCTGTCAAGCCCCAGACTGACCTCGACCCGCTCGGCTTAGGCCCTGCTGTGGAAGATGTTACCAACCAGGTCACTGGCCTTGTGGGATCAATCATCAAGCGAGATCTGCCTTTGAACGGAATTCCTCTCATCAACATTCCTCGTCCTGCTCACGAGAAGCGCGATGAGCAGAACTAGGATCTTTTACTAGAGCGTTGAGTCTTCATGTGAGTCACGACTTGGATTCTAAGTATCAAATTGCTGAGGTTAGAAATACTAATTTTTTCAATTTCAATAGAGCGAAGTCTCTCTCTTCGGTACTTCGGTCACAGTCGTGTTTTATGTCCAGCTTATGCTTCGAGGCCTGACTGGATGGAAGTGCTTGGACTCCGAGAATACGTCGGGCGGTTTTGTTTAATTGAAGCTGAAAGTGGCAGTGTCTTAATCTCAGGCTTAATATACATTAATAGGATGGTCAATCCATTATTTCTTCCGTGATGTTAGTCCTCGTGATCAAAGGCTCGGAAATTTGCCCGTCTCCGCACCCTAATCAATATCATATGAGTTTGAATGCCCGAATTGATCTCCGACTACAGGAACTCCGAGCATAGATAAAAAAAGAAGGCTATCCAGTCTTATTGGAGATAGAACTAAACCCAATTTAGCAGCCGCAGATGGGAGCCATGGTAACTCATACGTAGACTAGTGCAGCCATTTCATGCCCCCAGTCAATTCCTAATACTGCAGATGGCTCTGATCTCCATCGATAATTAAGAATCATGTAGTCAACCGGCGAAAATAGTGAGGATACCAAGGCAACTGATTGCTTCGCTCAAATGGGACATTTCTCCAAAATTCAAGTGGAAATTCGATTCCTTATCTAGGAGCAGCTTTTCTCCTTGAACCCCTCAACTCCACTCAGAGACAAAGCGGCTACAGCGAATACCCTCTCCGTAATCGCGTTAATTCGCTCCTTGTGTAATGAAATCTCTCATTATCTTTACGCCCGCTTGAACCATGAAATCCGCTTTTCGCCCACACACGAAAAGAACTCGTGGGCGGTCGTAAAGCTATCAAGTCAACATCTTAACTTGAGAAGAAATGTGGCGGATCTCAAGACACTCACCAGACACATCAAAAGCTTTCCGCATCACAGAGCAGCGGAAAATACTCTCCGTATCTCAATTCCACCCTCGTCGACAAGAGATCCTGGTCGGATAATCAAGCTGTCACTAACGGCCAATAGCTTGGTTGATGCCACCAAGGATCTGCAGAATGCACCACATGTGATTGTGACGCCAATGGGGAATTGGTTGGTCAGAGGGGACTGCAGAGACAGTATTTACTACTGGAAGGACCGTGACATCCTGGGAGGTCATCCTGATACGCAAATTGTGCTCGTTCCATTTGGTCAGTTGAACGATTGGACTTGTGATCTACCGCCAGAACTTTGGAAGATCGCATTCGAGGGACTGGCACCCGGATGGTTTGACGGTGTCAGAAATATGCCACTTTACGATGTGCCCGAAACCCTGAGACATCCCATCGAGTCTAATATTGACAACTGGCTTATGGATACTCGGTGGTTCATGGACCAGAAACTGGACTTCATGGAGGGGCCGACAGCAGCCTACCTTCGACGAGAGAGATTTAGAACCTTGCATATGGATGGTGACAGTTGGACATCATTATATGGAGAGCAACTCCTAAAAGACCTTGCTACCAACCATACTATACCTACGAGGCATGATTTTGGTCTATTTAAGATTGTAGACAGAATCAGGGCTATGGTATTGTACCACCATCTGACACATACCGAGGGGATCTATTCTAGCTCGAAGGATGTCAAATTGGTGGAGACCTGGGATTCTGGAGCTTGGGTTCGAGCATGGCCGGATGGCATACCTCCATTGAGGACTTCCTCTCTCATTGACCTCGTGACGGAGGAAGAGTATGATGCCATTTGCCGCGAATACATATTTCTCAAATCACAAGTCAAAGACCTAAAGTCCGAACTTGCATGGTGGGGTATAAATACGGCATCGAAGGAATATCGGAGACAAAGGAAGAGGTATTGTCGCCTATGCCACAAGCGCCATTCCGCTTATCGAAGAATTTGTCTTTGGTGCAGGAAATATAATCGCGCAGAATGCCAGTCTTGCGCAAGAAATAAAAGCTACATGGAAAGACTAGATGCGGCCAGTCCTTGCTTCTAAAGGAAGGTTTTACCATGAAAAGACCTTATATTTGAACAATCTAAGGTGTCTTGGAGGCGATAGCTCGTGTTGGAGAAGCTTGATGGACCCCAAAGGCTTTGAGAATTGGCTGTTGCGAGATACCTGGTTTCCTCGATGGGCGTCACCACAATTGGCTAACATTTGCTGTGATGCCCATGTTTTGTCCACTGTGATTCACTTTACCACCATTGCCTCGGAAAGCGCTTGAGAATGATTGAATTGCACTTGGTCTAACTTCTAAGACGTGCTACTGGCAGCATGGCCCGAGGTATCAATTCGGGCACAGGGAATAGCGTAGCCTCCGCTAGGAAGATGTGGCGAACACAAGATACTATTGCAAGAATTGAAGAGATATCCATTGACCGTCAAACTCCTAGTATGGTACTCGTCCGTAAATGTTTGTTACAATATGACACATGAAATGCAGAAAGGTATCCGCGTCGCTTTTTAAATAACCAGTCTCTCGAAAGAGTATTTGCCAGCCGCCTTGCGTCGGAGATATCCAACCTCACGACTGGTACGAGCCTTGATCTCGCCAGTAGAGTTCAGAATCTTCGTACGCGAAACGTCCGCTGAAGGAGGCTTCAGGGACAACGGCAGAATCTTGCCACTCGCGTCCCCATCGAAGCCCTCCTCGCCCTCCTCGGGACGAGTAAACACCATGAGATCAGCACCGTTAAGCTTCTCATAGCGAATCAAGTGAGATGGCGCGTGAATGACGGAATCGTCGGTTTTGGCAACTGCATCCGTGGAAGTGGCTGAAGCATCGGCGACCTGATCAGCAAAGCGGAGATACTCGCGAAGGATGCCCTTGAGATAAGTGGCCTCCTCAACGCCGGCAAGTGCAGCAGAAACCTCGGACTTCATGTCAGAGATAAGCTCCATTTCACGGCTGGCTGAAGCTATCGCAGAATCGGGGTCATCATCGAGGTCGTTGGCGTTGGGGAGAGCAGAGATCCAGCCAGATGGTCCGACAGCGTCCACGGAAGCAGTAATCAGGTCAACAATGGTATTGAGAGAGAGAGAAGGCGTGATCTGGTCGAGGGTGATGGGGGTAGGGGGGTTTTCGCTGAAGCGGGAGGTATAGCCACCAGTAGCAAGGGAGAGGCGAAGATGGTGTACCATTGAGATAAGCTCCGCTCGAGACAGAATGGAGCGGAGTGACTTCACAACAGAGGGCAATGGCTGGGAATGAATCTTTTGAAGGGACCTATTCAGGCCCGTGAAGATATCTTTCAGACTGGCCACTTCACTTCCAAGGTGCCGAGTAAGCTCCTGGGTAGGCGTAGCAATGTCGCCGTTTGTGATTGCGCGAGCCGTCTCTTCTAGAACACCAGAATGCAAGCGTGCCTGATTCAAGAAGAACTTGAGCGCGTAAGCCAGTTCATCAGATGAAAGGAGTGCTGGGCCTCCAAGGACCTGGTTAACCTGCTTCAATGACGAGTCGGAGTCGATGAGAGCTTGAACAAAAGACCCGGTTGGGAATTGTTGTAGTATACGAGGCTTGCAAGCTCGCCGCAGTGCAATCTCGACGTTGTCCAAAGAAAGGTGTCCAATTCGAATGAGCCACTCACAAGTGACGGCAGGCCAAAGAACCACGCGCAACTGAGAGGAAGAGGATGCAGAAACCTTATCGGTGATGGGGGAATCTTGGACCGCGAAAATCTTGGACAGCAAGAAAAGGGTCGATTCAGGACTGACGTGCTCCTCCGGTAGCTCCTTTGGTGCCTCTGATGTGCCGAAGTAACCGAGAACCGCCTTGTCGAAGAGATCCGGCTTTAGTAGGTTAGTTGCTTCGTGAATTGCCTTGGTGAGTTGGCTCCACTTCTCAGCTTGCTCGGGGGATTTCAGATGCAGTGATGCCATGTTGTCAGTTCGGTGCTTCTTGGATGTATCCCATTGCGAAGCGGACGATCCGATACCCCGGCCAATGGCATCAATAAGAAGACCATCTCGTGAGCGCTTGAGAGACGGGCCAGACTGGCCATGTAGAGACGTAAGATCGAATGCAATCAGAGTATTGGCCTTCATAGCTATGGCCAGGCCAAGCTTAGCAAAGTAGCTGATAAAGATGGTGGGTCCATCCGCGTTCGACCCAGTATCCGAAATCACATCTCTCGCGGCGATGCTCCGCTGCACGGACTGGTACTGGGTATCATAGACCGCAATGAGCGATTCACTTGCTCCAATAACGCACTGGGGTGAAATCCGCATGATTGAAGTAAATTGCTCATCCAGAACAAACTGCGAGTTGACGCTGGGGGAATACTGGGATAGGTCGACGTTCACAAATCCATTCTCAAAAGAGAGCTGCAGACCGGCCGTTCCAGAGTGGAAGTTCCACTGCAGAAGACTGTTGCTGTTCACCTTGTCCAGCCCAGTTGGGTTGGGGATCTGAATCGTCTGGAGGTGTCTAAGCCGCTGGCTTTCTTCGACACCGCGGGAACCAGACTTGGAGTTGGCAGGGACGGAAAAGATTTGAACATTGACATCCTTCAACGCAATCGTATCTGCTTCCTTGGGGTGGGACACAACGAGCAAGATGGAGGGCTCATCAACACCCGCGGAGGGTGAGTCTCCGAAGGCAAGGGCGGCCAAGTCTTGTCTCCTTTTGAAAAGTCCCTTCTTTGCATCTTCAAGATCAATCAGAAAGCAAGAGTGAACCGTGTGAGTGGAGCAGACTTTGGCAATTTCACTGTGCTGAATACTCCAGTGCTGTGTCTTCAAGTCCGAGGACAATCGACGAACACGCCCATCGGTGTGGACAGCGAGGATATCAAATGGGTCGGTCTCGCTTTCATCTTCAGCGCTGAAAGGCACGATACCCACAAATGTCGTGGGGCTCTTGGAATCTGTGATAGTGGCGCTGGAGGACGAGATCACAGGCGCACTCGAACCGTTGCCGATCTCTTCCACGAAACACTTGATTTGGTGCTCGGGTTTCGTGACAGCGGTGTATGTTTGTCTCTTGACGGCCGACCTCTTGGAGAGCTTGCGGCGCACGGAGCAAGGACGACAAGAAAACGTGGACTGCGGCGGGACGGCGTAAGAGGTCACAAGCTTTGGCGTTTGAATCTAGAGAGAAAAAAAGCAAGTAAGCATATGGCGAGGTAGCATTTCTGCAGTATACGAGCAAGCACACATTGTAGATGTTGACGGCTTCGCCATCGACGGCGACCGCAAGTTCATAGCGCTTGCGCTTTTTAGCATCGGCAAGGCTATTCACGTCTCCGATGCGAGTCTTGCCGGTTGCGGCATGAAGGGGGCGCGGCAATTGCGCCAGGACAGATGGAGACTGCAAATCCATGACTGGTAGACAATCACAATCCCGACAAAGCCTTGGTTTGATCTCCCTTCAGGGCCTGTGTCGGTGAAGCTGCAAAGACATCTAATGGGGAAATCTGAAAAATTTTCGGGATAACAACGGGCCGGACCCACCTAGACACTAGGCCCAGTCCGGGTTAGCGTTTAATATACACGTTGATGTAATCGAGATGACATAAGCCAATTAGACGCGCCCGCGCATTTCGCGTCGGACGTGTTGCATTTGAGGATTGCAATATAGCCCGTTCGAGCTGAAGCCTTGACTTTCCAGCGTGGAGGGCATACTTGGTGACCGCTGGTGGCCTTGATACATTGGACCTAATATCCTTCACCGGCGGTCTCGTCTTTCCTTCATGACTCTTCAGCGCTCTCTCACATGGATACAGCTGTATCCAATCTACCTGTGGTCATGGGTCAAGGCGAACAGCCGGTAGTTCACCCTTTCTTCCGGAAAGGTATGGACAGCTAGCTGCCTCACTTGATATTTATCGAAGCTCACTTTGGTCTTAGATCTCGCAGTTTCGTCCCAACCTACGCCGTCACTCGACAATGCCTCTATAGCCTCGGCCGCAACTAGCAAACTGCCCCCGGACGTTTCTTCGCCCGCAATGACAACCTCCACCCCCAACCGTACCTCTCAGATGCCATTGCACTACTCTTTAGGCTTACCACAGACTCGCCTTTCGAATACATCAAGCCCAGATGAAGACCCGAATGCTGGCAGACGCAAGAGGCGGAAGACTGAGCGGAGCAAGCAATCCGAACATGACCAACCTCTACAAGCAGGCCTATCTGGCTGGCTCGGAGTGGAAGCCCCCGCTTCCATAGCTCCCAAATCATCGGAAATAAATGTGGAGTCTAGTACATCGTCCATGCCACCTCCATCAACCTCAGTGGAACCTCAGCCTGGCATTACGACTATTGAGAAAGAACCCGTATCTAAAGACACTACACCTCTGCAGGATGCCCCAACCAGGCCACAGAAAATTGTCAAGTTGAACACCAATGGCCGGTTACTCAGTTCGCCTCCTCTCAGCCCTCCTGGGACTTCTACGCTGAAGCGAGCAAGTCGCAAACGGGGCCAGACTCGCAAGGCAGAAAGCAAGATGGTGGTCATTAAATATGCACTCGCGAAAAAGGCGGATTTTGGGAAAACCATAGATGACATACTCAGCGGGCGTGTGAAACATAATGCCCCCTCTCTGTCTCCTGCTGTCCCCCTACGCCGTCCTGTACAACCGAAAATCAACGACAACAAACCGACTCATCCATTTTTCGTGAAGAAAGCGACCTCAAAACAACCGCCCGTTGGAAGCTGTGACCCCCAGTGCACCCCAAAAAGCCTAGACATCAAGGCAAACTCGGAATGCGAGCAGTCAAGAACCATCGAGAAGCCACTAAGAGCGCTATCATCTGGATTTGCGCGTCAAAAAAACAAGTTCCCCGAGTTGGTCCATCCTGTATGGCCACCTCGGGATTTCGTCCACGTCACAGATCTTGGCCCGTCTCAACTCGCTCAGGCGTCAATGGGGAACCTCGAGAATGACCACAAAAAGTCGAAATCGCCAACTGTAGTGGTGCCGGATAACGAAAATACCCTTCTTACCAGCACTGCATGGGCCCGGAAAGCCGCTAGCCTTGAGCTCCAATCTCTTGATAACTACAAACCAGCTCTACGCCTCCCAGGGCGCCATGTCGCCAGTGGCCGTGTGCTGCAGGCTGCTCTCGATAGCCAAATGTCTTGGTCGCTGCCTGGCCAACGCTCGTCTTGCGCTTCGTCTTTACCAGTGATCAAGAGACTTCACTCCTCTTTGCTTACATCCGTTTCCGCCTTCGATTGTGGAAAATATGAATCGCGACTCTGGGCTCACAAGTACAGCCCGACAAAGGCGGAAGATGTCCTTCAAGTTGGTCGGGAGGCTCGAATGCTTCGCGACTGGCTTCGTCACTTGAAAGTCAGCGCAGTCGATAGCGGCAAACAACCTAAAGATGGCGCCAAATCGAAGGCTAAACGCGATAGAAGGCGAAAGAAGCGCAAGGTTGACGTCGAGCTCGATGGGTTCATTGTCACAAGTGGAGAAGAAGCATCAGAAATGGATGCTCTTTCGGGCTCAGATGATGAGCTGGCGGGCGATGTTACTGTGTCAGCGCCAAAGACTCTCATTCGATCCGGAGACCTTGCCTTTCCGGGCCAGCATGGAGGCGAGAAAGGCCGACTGACCAATGCGATCCTCATCAGTGGCCCGCCAGGCTGCGGAAAAACAGCGTCAGTGTATGCGGTTGCCAAGGAGCTGGATTTTGAAGTCTTTGAACTCAATCCTGGCAGCCGCCGAAGTGCCAGAGACATGCTCGAGAAGGTCGGCGACATGACACAAAACCATCTTGTTCACCTTCTGAATGAAAAGGACGATTCCGCGTCCAAGCTCGATCAAGTCGCAGATGTTCATGCCAAGCAAAATAAACTGATGAGCTTCTTCAAAGGTCAGCCATCTAAATATAAAAATTCAAAACCCGCCAACGGTGCCAAAGCAAATTCGAGCCCTACCCCTGAGACTGAGTGCAAACACAGCCGTGAGCAGAAACAGTCATTGATTCTGCTGGAAGAGGCCGACCTTCTTTTTGAAGAAGATCGACAATTTTGGACTGGAGTTCTGACCCTCATTAGCCAGTCTAAACGGCCTATAATCATTACTTGCAACGATGAAAGTGTGGTTCCAGTTCAAGACATGTCTCTACACGCCATCTTGCGATATCAACGTCCCCCACTCAATCTTGCACTTGACTATTTGCTCTTGGTCGCCGCCCACGAAGGACACGCGTTGAAGAGAGATGCTGTCGACAAACTTTATAACGCATCTGGCATGGACATGCGTAGATCGCTGATGGATTTGAACTTCTGGTGCCAGATGGCTGTTGGGAGTGAAAAGGGAGGCTTGGATTGGATTCTTCCTATGTGGCCGCCTGGGGCTAATGTTGATCAAAATGGAGAACGGGTACGGGTTCTCAGTTTGAACACCTATCAGTCCTACATGGGATGGTTTAATCGTGATACATTCGGGGTCGATGATTCCCTGGTGAGAGAAGCACAGGCTCTGGAAAACACTTTCCAGTGGTGGCAGCTCAGCATCCAGGACGCTGAAGATGCAGCTGGTGCGAGTACCATGGAGCAATTACCTCCTCAACAACACCGATCAATGACTAAGCTCGAACAACTGGATTTGTTGAGCCGCGAAACTGACTACTTGGAGATGAGGAGCTCTCTCGACATTCTTTGCTCACGTTGTCCAATGGGCATGTTCGAGGTAAGTTGGGTCCTTCTCAAACTCTCCTTGAATAGTAGGTTAACCTTTCATTAGGACGTCCTTGATACCTCTGCTCCTCCTATCTCAGAATCCCATCGGACTAACTACACCGATGCTCACCTACTTTTGCAGGCTGACTTGCTTCCTGAACACCCCTCGCTAAGCGAGTCAATCAGCACGACATTCGGTTCATTAATCTCTCGAGTCTTCCGTCCGAAGGCCGAGGATATCGAATCTGCCGGTGCTAGCAGAATCTTCAATGGTTGGGCTCAGTCTGCGGCCCGACAAAGCGTCTCACCGTCGACAGCCAAAGGCTTCCGAAAGGTCTTTGAACCTATCATACGAGCGAATTATTCCACACCTCTAGCAGTCGGCCGAGCTGCCCCGTCTTTCGAAAATGGCCTCGCCCCCATTACTGAGGACATTGCTCCCTACGTGCGCGCGATCCTGGTCTTCGATGGGCGCCTGAAAGAATATAGAGACAACCTATTTGCGGCCTGGTCACAAGGACAGGGAGGCACTGGAGACAAACGAATGCGGAAAACCCGTGCCAGTCGGGCAGCCCTGGAAGGAGGCAACAAGGCTTCGACTCGCAAGGAAAGGTGGTTTCCAGATGATACGAATTACTACGGGATCCAAGGCACTGGACGACCCGAGTGGCAGCAGATCTTGTTTGATATGGGCTATTTCCACGTCCAGCCTGTAGCTGAGTCGGCTGAAGGGAGCAGTGAATCTCCCTCCGGCGACCAAACTTGATGGTTTGTTATAGTGATTTACTCAAACGACTGATCTAGGATGAGATGCTACGATAATTATCAATATCCCTTACGAACAAACTTCAAACCAATGTAAATTTCTATTTCAGAAGACCTCAATTTCTAGAAGAATTTCAAATCGACCTCTAGCCCTTTTCATTCATCGTCTGCTTAAGGCAGAGGTTGCCGAACCGCAGGCACGTACTAATCATTGTCAGCTTATCCTAAGACCCTATATACACCACGTTCTGGAAGTATTGCTCTGCTCACTGGAAAAATCTGAACTTTTTCAAGGTCCCACAACCCGCTCGTGGCATAGATATCCTTATTGATGATGTTTCGCACCTCTTCGGCGTTTTCAGCCGCGTATACAACGACGCTTCCCAGAAACTGAGCATCTTTGCCTTCCTCGGGATGTTGCTCGAAAATTGTACCTGCGAACATGGCCAATGTCAGTGAGACTGGTGACTTCTGGGCATTTACAGAAGATTCGACTGACCTCCGTCCACGAGCTTTCCCTGGGCAATCAAGGGTTGAATTCCTTCGTAGTGCCCACTGTTACTTTTCGTCAGTATAGATTGCAAATAGAAAGTCTTCACCATCATTGCCAAACTCACCCTTTAACTTGTTTTCTCAAAGCCAGAACATTGGGTCGATCAGGTAGGATACAGAGAAACTCCCTTTTCTTGCCTGTTGTCGTTGCCATTGATCTTGATATCGCGCGAATCGATTGAGAAAATCTATTCATGGCCATGGCGTTGCGAATGATGAAAATTGCAGATTAAACATTATGTAAAGCAGAATTTCTAGAAGGAAGTGCCCTGGCGTACTATATAGTAAGTTGATGACGAGTTGTTTAGTTTCGTTGACTGTGCGATAAGAACGGTCGGAGCCAGCTCCCGACGTTTGATAAGTCATTTTCGGTTTGGTAAGATGTCGATGCCCCATAATGGAGTTGGCTCATGGTGCGTCTACCTAGACTGGAATGAGCCAGATGGTCTTGCGGTGTGCTAAGCAGGCATCTAAGCGAACCGTGTTGACATTATGCAAGGAAGGAAGCTGGCTGGCAATCTTTAGTCATTCGGAAACTACGCACATCGCTCAAAACCGAAGAAGATTAGTTGAAGCTTCTATCTTTACTGTTTACAGAAATCACACGTCTATTTCACATTGTGCTTGGTAGCATCCAGCTTGGTCAATAGTTCGCTCTTAGGAACTTCTTCACTCCACTTCTTACGCGGTCTCTCAAACGTTGATGTAATTCGCCCATAGGAGATACCACCCAATTGCCCAACAGGCCGCAGTTTTTCAACGTCAATGTGACTGTAATCCGCATTCGCAGAGCCCTCTTTCACCCAGAAACGTGTGGCCTTGATCAAAACGTTGGCTGCAATGCTCATGCCTGGTTGTTGGTGATCACTGAACTCCTTGATGTCGACCACCTTGCCTTCAATGCTAAAGACAGACTCCGCCACTCGGGAAGGTCTGACTGTGGTTGATGGTACTTCATGAAGACCTGAAACGTCCCATTCGGATACTCCATAGGGGGCATCAATCGAAGTAGCATTGACAGCCTCGATCATGTTCTCTGAAACCGTGTTGATGACGCACTCGCCGGTTTCTTTGATATTGCGATATGTGTCCTTCACGCGACCCGGACGGGAGGAAAAGCCAACAATGAACATTGGCGGATCATGATCAACGACCTGGAAGTAGCTGAATGGCGAGAGATTTTTCTGTCCGTCAGCACTGACGGTGCTGATAAAACCGACTGGCCGTGGCGCAATACCAGAGACAAGTAGGCGGTAGTTGTTGATCATGGGCCGATCAGCCGCATAAGGGTCAATCTCATGGTGCTGTTGAGCCAAGCTCTTTCCATTGTCAGGAACCCCATCTCCATATTTCCATTGAGGAAGGGGTGATTTTGTGACTTCGATTGGTTTTTTGTGATCAAAGTCTGGACGTTTCGCTTCCGTTTCTTCAAAATTCCCAACTTCCTGGATGATCTTGTAGTTGTTCTGGGCCGTCAAGACGTCGTCCTTTTCTGCGACTGCCGCCGCGGATGAGCTCATTCGGATACTTTGCAGTCCTTGATTCCTAATCTGATACTGAGGGCGAATAAGGTTACAGGACCTAGTCCGGTCTAAGCCAGCTGCACCTCAAACGGGGGTGATTGGAAACTTACTGCCGGGACAGGAAACGTAAAAGGGTATTTGTTGGAAGCATTTCGACTCCTATGTTTGACTTTCTCTTACAGGACGAATATCCAGGTTTTGGTCCCTTTTTGTTTGCTTGGAAATCAAGAGACTAAAAAGTTGAGTGACGAACAAAAAAAAGTCGGGTATCTATCCCGATTTCGGGTGTCTATCCCGATTTCGGGAACTCAACCGACTTTTTATTGGATACCCAAGGCGAGTTCTGGCGGTATAGACGAGTCTACAAAGAAAGGCACAAAAAGGCTCCAAGTTGCTGGCTGGATTTGAGATTGAAACGTAGGTCAGCTCGTAGTGACTACAGTGACAAAATATTTGTCTCATCTATTTCTGCTATACTTCGTTCCAGAACTAGACATGTGTCGATCATGGGCTATACCCCAGGACCTGGATTTTGCGGGCTTCAAGCAGACTAGCAGCCAATGAATAGCGAAAAAAGAGTTCGTAATCCTGAAAAAAAAAAAAAAAACATCAAGAATAATTAGACACTCAATAGATCGGATGCATAAATGATCTGATTCAGTGTTTATTCAGCTGTATGCGGTTGCGTGCTATCGGCAACCTAACGATATGCCGAACGGCTGGAAGTTTTGGAGCCGATGAGTTTACTGGCGCCGTGCAAATAGAAGAGGATGGTGGCCAAGATCACATTTTGATCTAGCTCATTTAGTATTTTTAGCTCTTTTCGACAATCAATTCTCAACATGCTGCCTCGCGGGGTTTCATCCCAAATTTCACGCGCTGCACACACCTCGCGAGTGCTGCGTAAGACACGGCTTTTCCATAGGAGATTTCCAATTGCCTTAAGGATTTCTTGTATATCTGCAACTCCTCAGCAGGCAGTGAGTTGTACCCCCTGTTTTGTTTTCTCGATCATTTTCGCTTTCGTATCCTCGCTATGGTGCAGATACCGTCGTTCGCGTGCCCACGATGGCAGAGTCAATCACCGAAGGAACCCTTACGCAATTCAGCAAACAAGTCGGAGATTTCGTTGAACAAGATGAGGAGCTTGCGACTATTGAAACAGACAAAATTGATGTGTCTGTGAATGCTCCTCATTTCGGAATCATCAAGCGGTTACTCGTTCCGAAGGGGATACATTTACTGTCGATCAATCTATCGCAGAGCTTCGACCGGAAAAGAAGCCTTCCGCAGATGGAGCAAAGAACGATGCACATGATAGCTCTACATTGCCTTCAGATCGTTCTGAGCCCTAAATTCAGGAGGTGGAAGCCCCTGTAGCTCCAGTGATTACAGAATCGTCCACCTCGATGGCAACTGAACCAAACAACAAGAAAGTCGAGGCCAACTGAAAGCAAACTGCAGCAAGCACAAATGATAGCTCGCGGCAGCAAGGCCAAAGTCCCAAGAACGAGCGAGGAGAGAACAGGGTACGTCTTGGACCATTTTCGATACTTTCTACCCTTGGTCCACGAAGCAAAACTAATGAGGCTCATCATCCAGGTAAAAATGACCCGCATCCGACAAAAGACAGCACAACACCTCAAAGAGTCACAAAACAAAGCAGCATTCCTGACAACATTCAACGAAGTCGACATGTCCAAGATCATCAAATTCCGAAAGAAAAACAAGGATAGGATTTTGGAAAAGCACGGTGTCAAGCTAGGCTTCATGGGAGCCATGGCCAAGGCGTCTGTCCTCGCCCTTAAGGAGATACCAGCGGTCAATGCATCCGTTGAGAACAGTGATACCATTGTCTACCGGGATTATGTCGATCTCAGTGTCGCTGCCTCCATTCCAGAGGGCCTTGTCACGCCTGTACTCAGGAATATTGAATCGATGAGTATTGTTGAGATCGAGAAGGGTATCTCGGAGCTTGTCGCAAAGGTGAATCCCTCTTCGAATATCGATCTTGGTGAACATGAACTGACTTTCTTGCAAAGGCCCGAGATGGGAAATTGACAATGGAGGATCTTATGGGTGGAAGCTTTACTATCAGCAACAGCGGTATTTGGGGATCCCTATTTGGCACTTCAATTATCAATATGCCGCAGACCGCAGTCTTGGGGACGTACGGTATCTTGGATCGGCCAGCTGCTGTCAACGGACGGGCTGAAATTCGGCCCGTGAGTTATTGATCTGCAACTCAAGCGGCGATACTTCTTGTCTTATCGAAATGGGTACTGACTATAATGTGGCAGATGATGTATATCGCACTGACATATGAACATAGGATTCTTGACGGTCGCGAGGCTGTCAGGTTCCTGAACACAGTCAATAATAACCTCGAGCGACCTGAGAGTATGCTTTGGGGCTAGCTTGTTGATATGGTAATCACCCAGTTTGTGATATAGGACTCAATACTATCATGCCCGTTGAAAAATGAAAAATCCGGGCCCTTGGGAATAAACCTCTTAACCTAGTTTTGGGTGGGGGTGAGGGAGCCAGATTTTTAGATACAAGGAGTGTATAGCTATACCATGACAGCAGGGCCCGACAACTCTAAGCTCTTCCAGTTCCGAGATAAGAACTCTGTCAACAACATAGGTAACATTTCCCTCGCTAAAGCAGTCCATCCCGAATTTGTAGCTAGCAACAAGTATCTCAGTACTATAGGCGACTCAAGGCCAGTCTATATTTACGAGATAGAGCATCTTCCTAGAACTCCTCATTAATAGCGCGTATTCCTCTAGAGGATATACCCCGACAGCGTAACACTATCAAGGACTTTGCAAGGTACTTATAGCAATACTTTTATTTTATTTACATAAGCTAATATTTAAGAACAGGTTCTTTGCACAGTCGTAGAACAACGACCTACGGCTATACTTAGATACAACTGCGAACTTACTTATAGAGTTTCAATCAAATTTTGATCTTCTTACTCGAAACCTACTATCTCGCTTTACACCGAACTTAGACATAGCCCGCAAGGAGCTCCCCTCTCTCTTTTCTAAAGCCCTTCCCTACGTGCTTAGCTACAGTGACCTTAACATAATAAATCTCCTCGTTAATCCCAAAACTAGAAATATTACAGGGATTATCGACTAGGCTGAATCAAGGATTCTGTCTTTCGGCTTCGCTCTTTTCGGGCTTAAGAATTTTTTAGGTCGGATAGATTCAGAAGGGTAGCACTACTACGATCGCTACCGTGAACTTAAGAGCCTATTCTAGTAAACCCTTCGAGAGAAGGCCTATAATTTCTCTAACGCTAACTTATATTTGATTCGTGCTACGAGGATAGCCGGATTCTTCTACTATTACGGATTTAATTTTGATAAGAAAGGCGCAGTGCAAAGTGTGCGGATAGACTAGCCGGATAGTTCACTTATATAAGGGAAATCGAGGATCCCTCAAGCGAAGCAGTGCGCTCCCCGCGCTCCCCTACCCTCCCACTAACACATAAGATACGTGAGCTATACTGACATTCTTTTGGCGATCAGGAATAGACTTTGAAGACGACGGGTCAACAGAAGATGACATTGAATACAACGAATTCGATGACTCCGATCAAGAAGAATGGTGGAAGGAAGATGAGAGCAGAGATGATAGCGAAGAAATGGATTGTGAACAGGACATTGAAGAGCACGAGTATGCCGCCTCCGGTGACCCGGCACGAACGCTGAAGATTCGGCTCTTTTTGACCGACAAACAAGTAGGCGGGTCCAAATGGATGAAAAACTTTGTCGCCAAATGCACTTGCGATGGCGTCGCTGTCGCAACTGCTCATGAGAACAGGACCTCTTGTACGAATTTATTCGAATCGGTGCAGTCAAACGATACATCGGACTTTGAGATATCCATAGCTAGAACAAAGCTCATTCCCTTCCCCCCTCTCCTCTAATGTGTGGTCAACGCTCTGGTTTCTCATCATTAGAAAATGTTTTGTCTTCTGAGCCCGACGCGAGCTGGCTACCATCATGCATGTCGATGCAGAGAACCGCATCACCAAACAACCGAATACTCGAGCTCATTGGGGATCTAGTGATCGGTAGTTGTTGGTAACCGTGACGTTGTATTCCTTGGGGCGAGTCCATGATATGCGTCCCAATTGTAATTCCAAGGGCACGATACCACCTTCTTTTGCATCCACTTCAGTATGGTCCAACCATCATGATCGGCCAGATTGTGTGGGCAGTAAGCCCTCGGCGGGGTAAAGGGAAGGGGGGGGGGGGTTGTGGTTGGACGTACTAATGGAACACCCCGGGACTGCACGACTCCAAATACCGCCACCACCTCCTGGTGCTTCTCTCCAAGCCCTGACTCTGTCTGTCACACTCTGCTGCTGACCCTCATCTTGAAACCTCCGTACCCTCGATATGCCGCCCATAAACATAACTGTCGAGCAACTACTCGACATCGAGGACGCTTTGGTTTCCGACGAAAATCCCGCGCGCGATGACGGCGTCTTCGACTATGAGCGCTGCGCCAGATTGCATAACTACCTGGTTGCATACGGCTGGATGGCCCTCCACGGACGAGATACGCCCGACCTCACAGCGTTAGCCGAAGAGAAAAGGTTCTTCAGCGACGAATGGAACCCAGATGCAGACCGTGATATCCTGGATCCGTCGCTTAACGCTTGGCTGGATAGGATCTACGATCCTACGCATGAACTTTTCTTCTGGGTCGGTGGACTTTCGATGGAATCCTGTGACGAGACTTTTCAGTTCGATGAAAACGACCGTGAAGATGAAGAAATTGCGCGATTTATTGTGATCTATCGTACCTCGTCTAATGCATACTCCCAAACTATGGGGGTTGTCTACGACCAGCAGCTCCATAGGGTCTCATTTCCTTTAACTATCGGATCTACTGAAAATATCGAGCCTATCAACGAACATGAGGAGATGTGGTTTCCATTCGAGACCCTTCTAACGCAGTGGATCCATCTGATTCGTCTTGGTAAGGTAGTCCCCTGACTATCGCGAGAGGACAGGCCTCGGCACCGAGCTCAGGAGGGATTATGGTCGTGGCTTCCCTACTGCGATGCCCAAGTTGATAATACTGTTACTGCGATTGAGCGCTATGTAGTCGCGGTCGAATCTCGAATGCCCGCCGACTCACTTATGCCTACGACTGGGACTCTCTTCACAGATGAAGAACTAGATACGGCATCTGTACCGCAGGAATGCTTTATTCGTTTGGTTCTAACACGGATGAAGTCCCCGCGTTTCAAATTTATCGCACCTGGGCTTCAGGTTCCACATGATAAGGATGAATTCGCGAGGCGCCAGAGCTTTACTCGTATATCTTTCGACGAGGGAACCATACCAGCAGTCTTGATTTTTGCCGCAGGACAAACTGTCGACTTAAACATGGAACTAGAAAGGCTATTCTTCTTCGAACGTCATTATGAAGATGTGGCTTTAACCCCGGGGACTCCAATATTGACAGGATTATATAGCGAGCCTACATTCCGGAGTTGGTTTGAGCCAGAGGAGGCAGGTGTTAGAAATAGATTGTGGGTCACGTGGCCGCCAAGCGGGCGGAGCGGCCCCACTCGTAGCTATCTAGACCTCTTCGCCCTTAGCAATTTCATCCTCCTTACACTCTCGTCAACCTTCCAGTGTGCACTGTAGCCTATCTCCAACAGCAGGATTCCGCCTTGTGCTTCCGTTTGCACTAGGGAATATTTCCCATGGTGATGGGGCGCGAGTGAGCGATGGCCCAATTCCGCCGGGCACGTTCGCGTACCTTTTCCAACATGGCTGCCATCATCCCTTTGGAGGTGAGCACCGCTCGCAGAGGATGGAAAGGCTATTCGACCATTGGACCGAACTGATCGAAAGTGGTGTATGGAAAGTGGGTAAAGAGGGTGTGGAAGGAGGTATTGAAACGTTCCGCGATGCAGACAGTGGCGCTTGGAGAGATTACTGGATTCCACCAGACTGGTAGCGTGAGGCATTCGGGATTTCATGTCATATCAAATTGAACGAACTTTGAGCACTATCTGTAACGCATCTAAACAACACAAGAACCACTATAGCAATTTGCGCCAGAGCAGTAAGCACTAGAGTTCCCGCAATATCCACTGACAGAACAACAATCGCCAAACAATGATCCTGGATATGTTTTGTTGCCGGCGAAATTAGGGCCGCACTCGCCATTAGTGGATGTATACCCAGAGATTGAACACGCCCCTGAGTAGCAGGTAAGGGGACTGCAGTAGTCATTCGTGCTACCACAGTATCCACTTATAGAGCAACAACTACCAAACTGTGTCCCAGTGCATATTTTGTTACCAGCAAAGAGGGGTCCACATTCACCGTTCGTCGAGGGGCCTCCATTATCAGTGGCACAGTTCCCAGCGTAACAATGCCACAGAAATTAGTTCCATTCATCCGCAAAGTGCCGTTATATCGTCTACGTCGCATTCCCCACTGTGACCACTACTGGCGCCAGGTCCCCCAGCAGGGCCCACTCCATCTACCTCGCCTTTATATGTCACAGATGCGCTTCGAACAAATCAAGCGCTTTTTATATATTGCGCGGCCTTATAGCGCTAATAATCAGCAGCAAGGTGGTAAACGCTGGTGGTATAAGCTAGAACCTCTAGCTTGTTACAGGTCAATCGAAAAGGAGATCAATTCGGTACCAAGGACGAAAGTATTAAGACTGGGGAAAGAAGGAAGGAAAGATCTATCTGGTGGGGGAAGTTGATAAACCCAAACATCCCCATCCGGCCATGTTTGCTCTCGCCACTAGTCTTGATATCATATCGACCAACTTATCAACCATCCTTCCAATCCTGCCGTCTTCAACCGTCTATGAGACGATGATTCGCTGCTTTGGCCGCTCTAAACATACCATTTAGATGCCTAATAAGCTAATTAAGCAAGGGTATAAGATCTTCGCCCTAGCAGAGCGTGGCTATATTTGGACGTTTACAAGGAGTAGCCGTTTCTGGGGTATCGTGGACCTTTCTCGCTGGCGTGATATCAGCCCTACCAGCTCTACGGTGCCGGAGATGATCCGCAGGCTTCCTGGGCTTAGCGGGGTTATTAGCCAGGCCAGTAGCTACGCTTCCGGCCAATCTTCTGACCAAACCTGTGCCCAAACCAGCGGTCAAACCAGCGGCTACATCGAATCTTATACATTTCTCGCATCGGCTACTAGCCACGCTGCTAGCCACGCTACCAGCCAATCCAGTAGCCAATCCAGTGGCCAATCCAGTGGCCAAACCACGCCCTACACGGTCTACATGGGCAGTTACTTCTCTACGGTTGGCCTATTCAAAGCGCTGCGAGATATACGATGTGGCGCATGTGGCACTACACGTAAATCAAGCGGGATTCCCTCTTACCTGGCCGAGCTTAAAGACCATATCAAATCTATCCCCTGGGGTAAATTATATGCATCTGAGGCTGAGGGGGTTCTCTGTCTCGTATGGCAGGATAATAATATAACACTACTACTATCTACTATCCATTGGCCATATCACTATGTAAAGGCCGAGAGGAAGCGGCCAGCAGCTACCTCTACCAACGCAGCTATCGCGCGTGCTCCCTTTGGTAATAATTTCAAGGAGGAATTAAATATCCCTAAGGTTATTAACGATTATAACCGTTATATGGATGGTGCGGGTATCGCAAATCAGTAGCGGGCTACTTGCGAGATTCGCCTAAGGACTATGCGTACTTGGTTCCCACTATTCTTCTTCTTTCTTGATGCGGCTTTTTTTAATGCATATTTGCATTCAATGTATCGCTAAGAAGCAGCAGCTAGCTAGGCCTCTTAGACAGCTAGAGTTCCGCGAGAAGCTATATCAAGAGCTATTCCAATTTGCAGCTCAGACACCGCCACCACCACGAGAGCGATCACAGCCAATCCAGCAGATTGAGGTAAGATGCCACCAGCGAATTAGCTTATGACAGTGCCCACGGCACTGCTGGCACAGGAAGCGAAGAGAGAAGAGGGAGACTGAGTCAATTGATCTATCTAGAACAGGAAGACGAAGACGACTAGAAGAAGAAGAAGAAGAAGAAGAAGAAGAAGAAGAAGAAGAAGAAGAAGAAGAAGAAGAAGAAGAAGAAGAAGAAGAAGAAGAAGAAGAAGAAGAAGAAGAAGAAGAAGAAGAAGAAGAAGAAGAAGAAGAAGAAGAAGAAGAAGAAGAAGCAGACAGGAAGGGAAGAAGGCCTATAGAGGCCTAAAGCACAAAGGGAACGAACAGGCCTGGTCCTGGCAGGAAATCCCCGGCCTGCCTCACGCAGGGCCAAAGAAGACGACAAACCCTGCAAACCCTCGAGGTCAAAGGGATCGAGTCATCAGCTTAGATAGGCGAAGCACCTGTGTGTGGTGTCAATACATGAGAGAGAGAGGTAAAAGAGGTCAGCACGCCTCGCGAGGGAAATCTAGTTGTAGAGAGTGTAGCGTAGCTCTCTATTTGAAAGGGCGATGTTGGGATGAATTCCACAGTTCAGATTGATTATATGTATTTCTAGTTGGGGTTTAGTGCTTATTAAATTACACGATTTCTACGTTACTATTATGTTACGGAGCCTAGCCAATACATAGTAGTGCACCATCAAAATACGCTAGGAATTGCGCTAAACATTCTTCCCAGATACAGCCAAGGGATAACGGTCATCCTACAGTAGGCCTAACTCGAGTTAGACAGGTAGAGGCCCGCCAATAGTGTTGCGCTGCGGAGGTGGTTTAGTCCCCGCTTCCAGTCCAGTAAGGAGGGATCCCATTGGCTCACTGCGCTCATTTGCCAGTTGAGGTGGGTCACTGTTTGGATACAACCACCGCAGTGAATAACCGAGAACCTATCAAGACCCTCTCACTAAGGCCCCACTTCTCAAATCCGCGGAGATAAGCCATGGATAATTGAACAACGACTTAGTTTGGCTGGTTGTCAAGTACGATGGGCTTAATTCCGTGGAAGAGGAGTGGCTTAATACTGCAAGTTCCTACTGACAACAATTATAAAAATGATATCTTAGGGGCTATATATACTTTATTGTCAGGCTGGATAGCACTGTTATCCAAAATCTCAGGTTCCTGTAACATCTACATCATGACTGCCTTTCAGACAATCCTGATTGTTGGAGCCACTTCAGGAATTGGTGAGGAACTTGCACGCCAATACCACGCACGAGGCAAGAATGTAATCGTCTCGGGCCGCCGAACGGCGAGACTAGATACTTTAGCAGCTCAGCTACCCGGAGTGGGCATTATCCAGGTATGCAACTCTACGGCGCTTGATCTACTTCCGCATTGACATACAATAAGATGGATATACAAGACCTGGGCGCTTTACCCAGGCAGATCGATGAAGCATTCATCACATTTCCCGCAATTGATGCTGTCATTGTCAATGCCGGTATCCAGATACTACTAGATTACACCGCCGACAACGCCTCCACCATCGGATACCCGACCACGGCGGATATCACCAAAGAGATCACGACCAACCTCACCGGTCCGACGGTCCTCGCACGCTGTGTCATCGAACACTTCCGTGTTTCGCGACCAAGCCAGGCCAGCCTTCTAGCCTTTGTCACGTCAGGCCTAGGCCTGGTCCCGGTCACTATGTTACCGATTTACTGCGCTACGAAATCGGCGCTGCATTATTTCACTGTTATCTTGCGAAATCAACTCAAGAATACTGCCATCAGCGTTGTGGAAATTCTCCCGCCGTACGTGAAGACCGAATTGGATGTGGCGCACGCTGATGAGATGGCGAAACGTCTTGGTGGGAAGAAGCCACAGGGGATGTCTGTGAAGGAATATGTTGCAAGTGTTGTAAGAGGGTTGGAGGTCACGGAGATGGATGGGAAGATCCAGAAATATGTTGCGGAGGGGATGCCCCGAGCTGCGGTCGAAGCATGGGTTCAGGCTGTTGGTCCCATGGCTCAGATGTTGCACACGGATTTGTGAACCATTCGGTTGATGGGGGAATGTCAGGGTCAAAACGAACCCCTGCCTGCAATGGAAGTTCCTGGCCAAGAAGGCTAAGATATGCCGTCTCGAAACTGTCACCTTGAACAAACGAGTCCCAGACGTCCTGGTGAAGGCGCATATTAGTGGCCATTTCCATTCTACCAAGTGTAGATATGCGCACCCAATTAACGTCACTCATTTCTATACCCTCACTTTCCGTGCAGTTAATATTAAGATTGAGACTTGACTCAGAACGAGTCGTAGACTGAGCACTGATATGGGAGCTTTCTCCGCAGCTGAATGGTACTCCCGGTTCAAGGGCTGATAATCTATCGTCTAGCAAAGACAACCTCGGACGCAGTTGCCCCATGATTTTGTCGAGTACGTTTGCCACCTTGCCCGCCTCGTGATGCTCGTTCGATAGATGTTTCCATATGGCGTGCGAGGTGTTCAGAGCTTGAAACAGCTTTTGGTCCTTCGTATTTGCAGATAGGAGGTCCTCTCGCTTTGTTTTTGTTCGGTACTGGAGATATAGGCAGAGTACCATCGCAGCAAGGGTAAAATTCATGCCCTCAGGGGGAATGGCATACCTAAAGTTGGGGTTCAGATACCCGCCTGGTTGAGACTCCTTGTAGATCATGGTTTGATGGCTCAGCAAGACCATCGATGAATCAACGCATCGTTGCTCTGAGACAGCATATTTTGAATCCGTCCTCGCCTCGCGCAGATATCGCCGATGAAGTACAGATACGATTTGGTGGTAGAGTGTGTCCAACTGGACCTTTTGGAGGACCAGATATGGTGGGTCATTGTGCGCATTCTCCCAGTTATTGAGTCGCAGATATGCTGGGATCATCGCGTACACCTGAGCAAGGTCTCTATCAAGCTGCAGAACAACCTCGTAGGGCTCCTCGTGTATGGAGTTCAACGATTCAACAATTCGCTTCATCACACCTAATATATCGTTTTTTACAAGCATGTACCCCAATGGAACATGCTGCGAAAACGGTCGCGAGGGTGGTAACTCAGACATTGCATCGTCAATGTCTGTGTCGAGCAGGTTGCGTGGCGCCTCAGTATCCCCGTCTCCTGTCCGGATGGCAGCTGGCATTCCTAGATGAAAGGATGAGAGTGTGTCAATCTGGCATATTATAGTCCAGATCCGACGGCGCATTTCTCCTTGGAAAGGTGTCATATTGGAGAAATGAGATGGATCACGGTGCAGGCCTAGTCGCATTGCAATGCGCACAATAGCGCCGATGTCTGGGATCAGACCAGCCCCCCAGTCCTCCCGGTTAGAGAATCCGAACACACAGCGGGCGATCATAACTTGAAGGGTCTGCATATTGGCTTTGTTTGCACCGATTCGCGTTATGCATTGACCGGAACGGGCATGATAAAGTGTGGCAAGCGTCCCGGACAAGCCTATGTAGTCGTCGCTTGCTGCAGGAAGGAAATAGATCGCCAGACTGAAGATGGCATAGAGAAGTCCCAGCCATGATAGCGAAGTTAACGACGGGTTCTTCCAGTGTTCCTGGTACTATTGAGTCAGCAACCATCAACCATTCCGAGGAGCAAGGCCACAAACTTCTTTCATGAACGTCGAATAGTGGAGTATGTCTAATGTTGAAATTAGATATGACACAGCTACAATGAGGGATCTTACATTTTAACGGGCCAACAAAACAATCTGGATCAAAAAATCTTGAAACCAATTGGTCCGCTGTGGCACGAGACGGCATGATGACCAACATATCATCATTCGCAGTAGGGGAAGAACCGTTAAATAAACGTGATTCCTGGACGCACGGGGGAGTATCTCTTTGCAGTCCATCGCCTAGAGTCAATGTGGCCACCTGAAGTCCGCATCAGCATCTAAAACGTGAATCTCACATCATGGTGTAGATCGTAAGAGCCCACCTCTGCCAGGACATTATCCCAGTGAGTGCTACTTCTGTAGAAGAGGTCTTCGTTACAAAGTCGTCCCTGGATAGGACTTTTGGCTCTATATTGGGATGCCGAGTCATTCACATCTCGTCCCTGTGTCACGCGATTTGCATACATGCACAGGTAACCGGATCCCCGCGCCATGCAATTGTGGCAGGGCTGTTCACGATCGCATCGCAATCTACAAAGCGGCTTTCATTATTCTCAATCCGATCGCTAATAGAGCACCACATACTTGCGAACACGACATGGATTACAAGAAAGCGGGACTCGATTTCGTTTCGCAGTGGAATTTGGGATGGCTGGGAGATTGCTTGGTGGTGCTAAATCCATCTTGAGGGAAGTAGAACGGCCAATATCACTTTGACGATGAACTTGGGTTGAAAACAATTCGTGTGGAGACAGGACTGCCATAAACCTAGCAGTGGGAGTAATCGTTGAAGTCGAGCGTCAACAGCGGGACCAAAAGAGGATGACTAACAGTCCTGGTTGGGTGCAGAATAGGGGGCGGTAAGGTCCCGGTCTGGTTCCAGCTCACACGTACTAATACCTCCCCATCAAGGGCCCCGGCAGCGCTAGGCGCTTGGAGGCAAAATTAGTCAGAAATCTCTTAGGTCCCGTTGAACTTTTTTTTGGGCCCCGCTGAGCTGGAACCCGCGGCACCGAGTAGCGGGCGGACAAGCGGCGGCTCGCTGTGCAAAGTTAAGGGTGGAAAGGAGGCTGTCTCTGGCGCCAGAGCCGTCATTTTCGGCGTCATTTTCACAGGTCCATATATTTTACTTATAATCTAGATACACATTTCTAGTTTAACAATTTATCTTCTCCAGTCACATCTCAAGCAGCCATGTACAGCCATTCATATCGAGAGCTGATCAAAAAGTTCTCAGTCTCTCAGGAAGATGTCGACTTCTTCGCCAAGATGCCTTTTGTCCGCTCCTACGTGGAGGAGTCCAGTGCCTACCAACCGGTACCTTTCGTCACGCGATATGATAAAGGAGACTCATCCGACAGATTCTTCAATAAAACAATCAACTCGGACGACACTGTTCCACGGGTCTTGGCTCTTATGCGAAAGGACTACTCCTTAACAATCTCATCAACGGGTAATGAGGACCTTGAACAATCACAAGTTCCAGAAGAGCCACATTTTGTTGTTTGTTATCAACTTGGATCGGGGGTGAACGGCTACGTCAACACTGCTCACGGAGGAGTTCTGGCGGCTTTGTTAGACGAGACACTGGGTCTTTGCGCTGAAACCTACCGTGCTTTCGTCTCAAGCGAACCGGAGCATTTACTTACGGCTAAACTCGAGGTATCATACCATTCACCTGTGCCTACTCCCGGTATCATTGTCATCAAAGCGTGGGTGAAGAGGAAGGAAGGTAGAAAATGGTTCCTTGAGGCACACATACTGGATCAAGAAGGTACACTGAAAGCAACAGCGAAATCCCTGTACGTCCGCCTACAATCTCCTTTATAGAATCAAGCATCAGTGGCTCTTCAATAAATCAATCTGACCACAGACCGTGACTCCACCAGTAATTGTTGCCTCTCTTTACCATCCTTAGGATATAAGATATCAGAATAGCTCGCCGAGCTTGAGCGTTTGCTCTTAAATTAGGAAAAAGTGTTTACGGCCTGGGGCTGGTTGGTGTCGATAGTAGAAAGCATTATTTTTCGGATGCTCGTTGCCATTTCTTGCAGCAAGTATTGTTGCTGAGATACAGAGGGACGAAGAAAGACAAAAAACAAGCGTATCGTTATTTCTGAACCGTGGACAACCATGAAGCAAATTGCAGATATCTTCGAAATTACTGGAGCAATCTTGAGAGGAGTCGTATTATATCATAGAATCTTTCTGGCCAGCGCGATAATCTGAAGGATTGGAACGAGTGTTGGAGCTACTTTACAATAAGAATAAGTATAACCAAACCAACTCAATTGCTAATAGAAGAGGGAAATAAAGGATAAAGCAAAAAGAAAACGAAAAGTACTTCCAGCTTTCGGCGCTGCTGCACGTGATTATTCTCAAGCATCAGTTCATTAGTCACTCCGGAAATACTGCTTTAGCAAATCATACCGCGCATCAATTGGATATCAACAAGTCTGAATTACTATAAAGCCCCTATCTGGCAATTTATGTGGGCATAATAATGACAAATACATGCGCGTTTACTAGTTAACTATGATCCTTCTTCCAGGGGTCCACTGCTGCTTCTGTTCCGTCACACTCAGATCCATCTGTCACGAGACACTAAGACCCGAGTGACCAGATAGAAGACTGCAGAAATAACCAAGGAGATACCCGTAAACAATTGCATCGGGACATAATCAGTTCCACCCCCAATGCTGAGCAGTCGTCCAGCAATCGGTCCAGTACCTAATACTGCAAATGAACCAACCGTGATACAGATACCTGTTCAATGATGTTAATTTTAACGGAGAACTTTGAGTCAAACAAAATCATAAAGTCACTCACCATTCCAAGACCCAATTACCTCTGGAGTTGGTGCCAAGAGAGATAAACAAGGTGAAAATATGGCTTGGAGAGCACCTGAAAGAATACCATATACTATAGCCCACACAATGATTCCCCCAGTTTGTTGTGCCCCAACCCACGCGAAGGCGACTATCGCACATCCAAAAGTGGTCACTGTGACGGCATTGAAGAACCCCAGGCCGGAATCCGCTATAATTCCCAAGGCAAAGCACCCCACAAATGCGCCACCATTTAAGATTGCAGCGTCATAAAATGCGAGAGTCGCAGATGCACCGTGTTGCATTGCATAGGGAGTGATGTAAAACTGTGATGGATGCAAGGGGAGCTCGTTAATCATCTGAAGATGCAATATATATTTCCGTTACTTACCCACGGGATATAAATCCCTAAATCCATAATGACGATAGCGATGGTAAACATGATAGTGCGTTTATCAGTGAAGTATTGTCTCACGGGGAGCACATCATATTCTAAGGTCCGCGGAAATCGTCGCTTGACCAATAGAGTAGCAGCAATCATCAAGCCTAGCTGTATAAAGCCAATGATGCGTAGGGTCCAGCCTAGTGACGCTCCATCGTAGTTGAGAAGCTTATTTGTCAGTACAGGCCAGATTATCCCTAGTTAAAGGGAATAAAATTAGTGCTAGGGTCAATAAATCGACCAAATATATATTTACCTCCCACGTTTTGACCGGACATAACAGCACCAACAATAAAGCCGCGTCTTTTTAAAAACCATTGTGACTGGATTGCTAGAGCCGGTGTAAATATCAATCCCATTCCCAATGCCACGCAGAATCCTTGTGATAATAGGAACTGATAGTACGTCTTCGAAATAGAAGCCATCATGATGCCAAGGACCAAAAAGAAGGTTCCCACCCCAAGGGGCAAGGTTGGTCCATATTTGTCAGACAGTCTACCAGCCCAAATTCCAAAGGAAAAGCAACCCCAAAGCTGCACACTTCCAATCCACGCAATATCGGAAGGGCTCGATGATGACAGTGTTGTTGTGATGTAGTAGCTTTGAAAAACGGATCCACCGCTCAGAAAACCAATACTTGCAATGAATGCGAGGAAACCACCAAGTGCGGTACGCCAGGCGTTTACACCGCCATCTGGAAAATAAACATCTTGGATGGCAGTTTCCGCAAGGCTTTCGTTTGTCTCTTCGTCATTACCGCCCAACTCAAGATGTTGACTCTCCGCTAGGGACCGTTCGGCCTCGTTGGACTTGCAGACGGCCATCATTCGAATTGAAATCAGATAAATTCGCAGTACCAAAGAATGGGGTTATGTCTACCTCTAACCTTTAGCGATGAACTGTTCTTTAAATGTTGAATTCAATGTAGTTCATAGCATGATCACTTCATTACGAGACTTGCGCCTCTCAGAAGTCAATGTACAGCCCAGAAAGTCTAGATACTTTTCATATCGGGCTCGGACCTACGCGATAATAATGTGACAGCGAATTGGAAACTGTAAGACTAGTAGAGTGGATATCAACGGCTTGTGTACCCCGCAATCGGCTAAATTACACTTGCAAAACTTTGAAGTTCTTCCGCGGGTGACTTGGTTTTCTTAGCACGCCCCTATGGTAACTTTGCTATAAAGGCGGGGAGATCACGGAGCCGCGGGCCCTATAAATCACTCCGCCTCAGTAGGATCCAGCCGCCCGATAAGCTCTAGACAGGTGGAACCGGCCTCTTTTTGGCTGAATTTATCCTCACATAGCAATAAAGCAATCATTTAGGACTGGCGAGTTCTTACTAACAATTGATTCCTGAGAGACGAAGATGATACTAAGCTTCAACAAGCTCACAATGTCAGCAAACTTCAAATATTGTTTATGTCAGGGGCAAGAAATATATGTGTTAGTATTGGACCAGTCTTAGTGCATTGAGAATATCACAACTACACCGCTGTGTTTACGGGTCCTCAGAGGACGAGGCTTGAAAATCCGAACAGAGACCTATCGGCTATTATATAGAGCTATCTACTGATGACCTTCCAATATACGAAAGAAAAGCCGCCGATTACTCAACACGAGATGAGTCAATATGTAAGAGTTGCCATCATTTTGTCCTGAAAACTCTATGAAAAGAATGTATTACAACCATTCCATATCCTTCTTGATATCACCCCATCGCGCAATAGCTACTTCCCTCCAGAAGAACGATCGTGGCTGCTAAGGAGCCGTAGGCGCAGCCTTGGGAAACGTCCTTCCTCCTTTCTTCACGTATGTCGCACTTAATGCCAAAAATGGACGTTCTTTTAATGCCTCTTTCTTCTCTGCGGTCATTCGCGGCACAATTACCGATACTACCTGCTTCCGCATCTGGGTCGTCAAGCGGGATGCTAGGAGTGCTGCTGAGTCGGCCCCTAATGTCCAGCTTGCGGTAGAGTACCCCTATAATATCACTATGTTTGGCAGACCTTCCACTATAGCATCACTCTAAGCAAAGTGGTCGGATAGGTCGTACTGATCGCTATTAATGGTAATGGCGATACCACCTGCCGTGTATAACTTAAGCCCTGTCGCCGTTACGATGATGTCGGGATATAGCTCCTTCCTGGAGGCGAGCTTGATGCCAGACATAGTAATCATTTCGATTGTATCGGTAGTAATGCTTCCTTTTCCGCTCTAAATTGAGTCGTAAAAGTCACTGTCTGGACAAATACACAAGCGTTGCTCCTAAGGTTTGTACGAGGGCACGAAATCTGGCTCCAGGTCTATGCCTAGTGGCAGAAGCTTAGCTGTCTTGCGGAGGAGGAATGATTTGGCAGTATTAGGGAAAATACGGTAAATCGACACTATAAATAATGAGAAAATTATCCATTTCAGACGAATAACTCGATTGGCTATGAAGTGGGGCAGAAACCCCGAAACAATAGCTTCGAAAGCTCCTCTGCTAGGAAGTGCCACGATGTAGGTCAGTGAGCGCTGGAGCATAGTGACATGTGTAGCACTTGTACTAAGGGACGGAAGTAGCGTGATAACAGTGGCTCCAGAGCCAATAATTACGATTTGCTTGTTGGTATAGTTGAGATCAACGCGCCAGAACTGGGGGTGAACCACCTTGCCTTGGAAATTGTGTATCCCGGGAATACTTGCCTGTAGTGGTTCTTTGTAGTTAAAGTAGCCTGTGCCGAGAAAAACAAAGCGAGACCTGAGAGAAATAACTTCGGTGTCGTTGACAGTGATTTCGGAAGCCCATATTTTAGATGAGGATGACCAATTCAACTTTGTTCATTTTGTGGTAAAACCGTATCTTCCTATCGATGCCTTCTTGAGCGGCCGAGTCTTCAAGATACCGGCGAATGATCGATCTATGAACAATAGTGTGTTTCCCTGTCCAGGGGCGCCATGCAAACCCTAAGGTATAGAGGTTCGAATCTGATCTAATATCTGCGTTTTATAAGTTCAGCAAAACATTCCAATCCGATAACTATAGGGATAGAAAGGCTAACCAGGATACTGATATAGGCTCCATGTCCCGCCAACTTCGTTTCGGCCTTCCAAAATGCAGTAACTGAGCTCTGGGTTACGCTCTTGCATACGATATGCAAAATTAATGCCAGAGATGCCAGCACCGACAATGATGACATCGAAATCTGGCACCTCTTTGTGTGTAGCCATAGTAATCTCCTCCGCTAGGGCGTACACGTTTTCGTGTGTTTGGAGTCTATGGTCCCACGTTGATTGAAGTTAAAAGAAGATCATATAAATACCCTGAAGACTTATGTCATTCCTATTGATACATCCGGCACTAACCTTGAATCGTGAAGACTCGGGACCGGAGCCGAGAATTGTAACAGCCGACAAGGTTCGTTCGAAAGTCGAATAACCGCAAAATTACCCAGGAAATCACCAGCGGACCTCTATTCCAATTTGGAAACAAGGAAAAAGAAATCTAGTCTATGTCCGGGGTGGGCCGTCAGATTATTAGGTTCTTGTCCTTGGCCGTTAATTGCCCCCGTAACGACAGGTTACCTATGTGGCGGACCCGCGGAATCCGCGCGAGCCGAACTGTACAGTGGGTTGGCTCCACCTCCACTTCGCGTCTCCCAAATTGACCTAAGAATGATTCAAAGGAAATCATGAAACCTTTCTTAGGTATCTGGCTACCCGCATGAACCCATATATCTTCTGACTCCGGAATGTATATATTTTAGTTTCCTGCCCATGAGCACTGAAGATACTTGCGCTTAGTTCAGGAACATTCTTGAAAACAGAGGCTCATATCTTTCCCTTTCACGTTTATCAACGAACCACCGAGCTTGGATCTAGTGATAATGGGCGAAGTGTTTGATGTCGCAGTGATTGGGGCCGGCATGGCTGGCATCATCGCAGCTCGTGACCTGAGCGAGAAAGGCTACAAAGTGGTTTTGTTAGAAGCCCGTGGTCGTCTTGGAGGGCGAACTTATATGGACCACGCTTGTGGTGGAATACTTGAACTAGGAGGAGGCTACGTACACTGGACACAACCGCACGTCTGGAGCGAGCTCCAGCGCCACGGAATTTCTCTCGATCCCCCAATGGAGGAAGGAAAGAATTACTGGCTTGCCGATGGTGCTGTACACACTGGCAGTTCCGACAAGTTCTACGCAACCGCAATGCCACTTCTGGAACGACTTTTCTCCGACAGTCGTGCTCGATTCCCGATGCCATTTATCCCCACCGCGATCGACAACACAGAAATCGAGAAGGAGTCGATCGAAGACCGTATAAATTCGTTGAACATCTCCTCGTATGAGCGGGATGTTCTGGAAGGGGCGTTGTCTGGTGTGGTGCATTCTTACAAAGATCATGGCATTGCCCAACTGCTCCACGCTGTGGCCACGTACTTCGGAAATTTCGCTGCCTTTTTTGAAACGGCTGGCACTTGGAGCATCCAGGGTGGTACTAAGGGACTGATCCATGCCATCATGGCTGAATCGACTGCCAAGCTACTACTTTCCACGCCAGTGACCTCCATTACCGATGAAGGCTCCCGGGTTATCGTTGGCACTCAGGATGGCCAACAGATCCATGCTCGTAAGACAATCGTCGCGCTTCCACTCAACACCATTGGTGACGTGCAAATCACACCCATGTTGCCCGTCATGGCGCGATCAATGATCGCGGAAATGAATCCGACCATGGCTGGTAAGCTCTGGATTCGAGTTCGGGGCGAAATAGAACCTTTTAGTATCTACGCACCAGCTGGAAAATACCCGCTCAATGCTGCGAGAACTGAGAAGTACTTTGATGGAGATACACTCGTTCTTTGCATGTGCTCTGATGATGCTTCTATTCGTGGCCAGGATCGCTTGGGTGTACAAGCGGCGCTACGGAAGTTCATACCGAATATTGAAGTTGTCGATATTGCGTACCATAGCTGGGTCGGCGATGAATACTCCAAGGGAGGCTGGATGATGAATCGACCTGGGTTCTTTACAACTGGTGCTGTGGAACTCCGCCGGCCACATGGCAACATTCACTTCGCAGGGAGTGATGTTTCGGCGAGTGAGCCGGGCTCTATTGAGGGTGCTTTGTCGAGCGGCGCACAAGCTGCTCGTGATGTCTCTATCAAGCTGACCAAACAGAAGCTACAGTCCTGAATAGACAATCCTCGATCCCATTCATTTTACTTCTTATCAATGCATTTTCCATTGCAAATAATTTATACTTTATGATTAAGGCCATAGATCATGTGGGAGGGTGCGAGTAGATATCCGAGGCAAGGGCCAGCTCAAGCTTTCCCTTTCTGAATAGGGAGGCTCGTCAATCCCTCCGCTGTTATAGAATTGAAGCAAAATATCCTTTTAGCTTCTTGTGGCGTCTAACGAATTGGCCACCATGGAATAATAGATTCTGGTGAACCCACTTATTTCCTGATTAGGTCCATTATTTAACTCTTCCTCCTTCTCTCTCCTTCTTGGTAAGTAGTCAATACAACTTCTTCATTTATCTATCGTGCAACACGTACCATCATTCACGCAACAGGCCTCATTTAATGAATCAGGGAATGTCTGAAATTAACTTGGAATCCAAATGCTGCTGGAGATCAGTCAAGAACTACCGCAAGCACCAGCGGCAACTTTAACTCGGGATCCGCGGACGCCCGCGGATCCGTAGTAAAAACCTAGTATGAACCCCGCATTTTCTATTTCATGACCGGGGTAAGCATCTCCAAGCAAGTTCCTCTATCATGGCTTTGTTGAACGCATCTTTCTTCAGAGTACCTCCGTCACCACATTGCCTTCTAATCACATCTCAAGATTACATCGGGAAATCCATTTTTATCGTCTCTATAATACCAGGAAGTTGCGATTTTGCTAAATGCACCGTGGCAGTACGGCGCTTGCCAACCTGTTTGGTTACTCCTGTGATTCTGACGTGCTAAATGCGGTCAATGATGACGATAGTGATGTTCAAGGCGCTTCTGCGCGTCGGAATCACATCGCATTTACTTATCCTTTCGGCCCCGCTGGGTATTCCGAGGTCTTTGCTCTGCCCTCTGCTTCTGATGAAGGTGCATCTCTAGCCTACTTTGGCCCCATGCCGGATGAAGCGGTGTCGCTGCAATTGAACAGTGAGGCCTTGGATTCACTAGATTTTTTCAGTCTCCCTCAGCGGCCAGATATGGTCAGGTCACCTTACTCCCAGGTGGAGCAAAAGGCCAATAAACAGCCCCCTCCAGCCTCACAGAGCCCAACACCTGCGAGTAAGAGAAGAACACAAAGATTTCGAAAACAGAATCGCTCGTGTGATCCTTGCCGTTCAGCAAAGAGAGCCTGCGATTTGCCCCCCAATACCACCTTCTCAAACAATCTTCCTTTATCACCATGTTCCATGTGCACACTACGGGGCAAGGTTTGCACGATTGCGTGGCGTTCTGCCAAGCAATCTTCACACAATACCAAGAAGCATGCGTCGGATTCATTTGTCAAGAGCCGTTTTACCGGGCATGGCCCCAATACCATCGAACACACCAATGATGGCCTCTCGCCCACCAGTGCAACAACTCTGCCACGCCACGACCTTGCTCTAGTATGCCGTACGATGGATTCTTGGACGTGCTTCCAGAAACTGAGAGTATACATTCACACATTTGATAATCCAATTTCAAATCTACTTTCGACGAAGTGCATGCCTCCTTGTTACTCTTTGGGAGTTACTGCTTTAATACCATTGAAACGCAATACACAACTAGCCGCACGATTCAATCAAGCGGAATCGAGCATCATGAACTCCTGGGAATCGATATCTCCTCCACAGCTGCTGACTTCTCCTACGTCACGTTTATTCCTTACGGCCAGCATTCTTGATTTGCTGTTTCAGCGTCCATATTCTCACTCAGAACACGTACGATTGACGTCTCGTGATATTGCCCTGATTGAAACGTATAAATGGGTAGCCATTGCGACCGGGTCACAATTTGTGGTCAATGAAAGTGGCACTGTGCAGGAGGAAAAGTCTCACGATCAAGCAAGAGATATTGCATACGCTACATGGTGCAAGGCAAAACACATGGTCTTCGAGAATATCGCAGCAAGCAAATCGTTCCGTTTAGGATTGTCTCTTCTCCTCTTTGGAACAATCTTACCACCCGCTGGGACTGACCGGAGCAGTGATTTCGGGGAAGAAGCTGCCTATGCTCTGCATGAAGGCATTCGTCGACTCCGCACGCTGTGTGCTGAAGCTCGTGCCTGTCTCCAGGATGTTGATAACCGTTCCCCTGTCATTACGCCCTTGGGAGGGCCACATACGCCCACAAAACGGCAATGTCTGTTCCAAAGATTGTCCCCAGAAGCCCATGGAAACGTTCTAGAGCTTATTGCGGCGTTTGAATGGCTAGTTGATATGTCACGGTCCGTGGCAATTGCCCTTTTCCCATTTGGAAGTTTTCCTGATGAACCGTCTTTTAATAACATCAATTCCGAGTGTCCTCAAGTGAAAGAGTTCTCTGGTCAGAAGTCAGGTGTGAAAAGCGTGTATAATGGACGAAATTTGAAACCAATGGATGATGACATCATTGCGCGGGTGAAGGCAGTGACCCAGCCGGTAACAGAGCTATGGACTCAAGGCGCTGCAGAGCAACTTGTGCTTGATACCGTGCTTGAATTAGGGTCTTTCGTCGTCATAATGTGGAAAGCACTCGCTCGCTTGACACTAGCCACTCGAAATTGGAGGACTGGATATGTCAACGATGCAGAGATCCATCAACATTTCAATACGATGTCGTTGCTCATTGATCTATGGAGAACGACCTTTGGCACAATTGACTGCGAGTCAGCTAAGAGCCTGCAGCTATCACCAACCAATGTGCAGCTCAGTGTGATTTTCTGCGCTACTGATGGCGATCTCGTGGTCCTTCTCTTTTACGAGCTTTGCTGCCATCTTCAAAATCACCTTAAGAACCAGCCACAGGAGCAAGATAATTGTCTCCGTGAAGCACTGAACTTAACCAAATATCACCGTGACCGCCAACGACTTACAAGCGCGATGCAAATGTCTTACCTCGCCTCAGCGAACCGTGGGGTCTCAAGTTCCGGCTTCCAAGAAAAGGGTGGAATCATGGCACACCTTGGAGATATTCAGGCACACCCAGTAAGTCTGCCTTGCGTTTTATTCGGTTTTGACTCACTAATCTCTACACAGCATCCTACTATGGTGGTCCAAGCATACCATCTAGCCAGCAAGGGTTTAGCACAAGGGATTCAGAATTCAGTTTTGGCAGTAGATATAAAACGTATTTCAGACCTGTCAACTGCTCTCGAATGCTGTCTGCGCGAGCTACAGGGACTACAAAGTGCCCTTGTCATGCACTCTGCGATAGGAGGGTGTGATTAGAGTGCAACGCTCACTCGAACTCGGTTTTTTGCTGCATTGATGTGTTTAGGAGAAACTACTTATTCCTCTATTGGAGAGGTAAAAACAAGGGCAGCTACTGAGAGTCAACACCTGGTCCCCAGTTACTCGAACTTGAGGCTATAGTTTCGAGTTAGGGCTTTTCGATTCAAATTAACTACCGAATGAAAGGTCCACGAGCGAGGTTCACATCATTGAAATTTCAAAAGCAATGTCACACAAGATGTTTTTGGATGATATTCAAAAATACGTAATTTAATCGCAAACTTGACGATACTAAAAAGAAAGGTTAATGTATGACATCTCCGAGATGCGGCATTGTTGCCCCCGCTCCGCGGCTCCTTGAAGTCCGAACCTCATCGTACAGGGAAAGGTTCTCGGAACCTGCTCCTCGAAATTTGGATAATTTAAATATACACTTGGATCAGCCTGGGACCATCATGTAGCTTTGAATTTTATTCCCGTCGTGTGTACAGTAATATTGCAGTCTTTGATCCACGTGGTGTCAGAATCGTGATAGAAATCTTTAAACATAGGAACTATTACAGACACCCGTCCAATACCGTCCTTCGGCCGAGTTGTCTCTGAGTGGCCTTAGTCTTCTTTGTCAAATGACTCAATGCTTCGAAGTCTTCTCGAGACCTCGCAAATTTCAGTAACGCTCTGCTTGATATAATCTGAGACCTGTTAATAGTTATCTCAATCCTACGCGCAGGGTTGACTTACAGCAGCCGACAGCCATCCAGATGAAATTGAAAAAAAAATAATAAAACCAGAAATAGTATCTTTCAGGTCTGCAATACGATATGTCGATCAAGCTTGTCGCATAGTAGAGGACGTCGCCGTAAACTTGACCCGTCGATATGATGATTTGCAGCGCATGTCGGACTGGGTGCTGCACCGCAATGCAATATGCAATAAGGAAGGCCAAAGGACCCCACGCAAACTGAAAACTCATGTTATCAATAAAGCCGTGATGAACAGGGTGGGAGTACGAACTGCGGTCACAGCTTCCATACAAACTAAGAAAGCATCTGACGTCAAGTACCGAGAATCGGAGAGAGAGTATTCTTTCCAGAGTTGAGAAAACAAAGTTTGACCGCTAGCAAGAGTTTTGTGATTGAAAACAAAATGAGCCTCGAAAAAGAGATGAATGAAACCCGCTGCTGAAAATTAGAAGGCTGTTTTCTCCGCTGCCGCTCCAGGGGCTAGGGAAGAGATACTCAGGCACATCCAAGTGAAAGCAATCCGATCTGACAATCCCACTTTAGGTCGAAGGCGGCCGATGACGAAGAAAGAGACGCCAATAACAGCGGCCCATAGAAAACCAAACTGAGTAATCAAAGAGATAACTGAGCTTCGGTTGGTGACATAACCAGGTAACTGTACCCAGGGCGGATAGTAGTTGTGTAACTTGGGGTTTGAATCAGCCATGGCGTTCATCGTCTTGAGACACTCAAAAAAGTACTAGTTTTAAACTAAAGTTGAGTTTTATTTATCGCCATTGTAGGCCAATATAAAGCTTGAGGGTGCAGTAATGAATTCTACATATTGCCAAGCCACAGTAGAGCTTCGGAGCCCGAGGAGACCGTGGATAATTATAAACCTTTGAGCCGGATCAGGCCACCGGGTAGCCATGGCCCACATATCGACATATTGACAGGGCGCGCATAACCAGCATCTCGGGTTCCAGCTCAGCGTGGTCCAAAAAAAGTTCAGACCAATTTTGGGCCACGCTGAACTTTTTTTGGACCACGCTGAGCTGGGTGCCCCCAGCATCTTTCAACTTGGACCGATGCTCGAATTGCTGACCGATTCCTGACAGTAATCTCCCGATTTCCGCAATGCCCTCCGGGCAGAACTTCGATGTGCCTAATGAAAGTTGCGCCACGATTTGAGCTAATCCTAATAAGGTAGGCACTAGTGCCTTTTTGGTCTAAAGTAGTCATCCATCTTCCTTTGTTTCTTTCAGTCACTCTGTGGTCAAGAAGAAAGCTGTCCTATCCTCTCTTTAACCTGGAGATCTTTCTCTGTAGTACCCTCTTGATACTGAGTAAATTGAAGAGCGTTATGCATTTATTCAATAGCTTCGACATGCGACAGGATATTTAGCGGTAGTCCGAAAATATATTCGTCGTAGTCGTCCTCGCGCTCGCGGTCCCCAACAGCACCGCCTCCTGAAAAACGAACGATAATATCAGATATATCAAATTCTTCAACGTCGAAGTTTCCTCAGGAAGCCAGTCTGCCACATATGTATATAGATTACCTAGTTGATGGCCGTTAGATTAAAACATATTGATTTTATTAGTGCAAGGACTAATAAGCATATTCTTGACAAAGCACTTCCGAATAGTCTCGTCTAGAACTTTACATCTCTAGGCCTGATATAATATAGTGTGTAATAGAGTCTTATTCTCTGCGTAGGGATCGACGCCGCGGTCAATCATATTAACTATCTATGTTAACCATTTCTTCCGACAATAGTGCTACCACGCTCAAAGTTACTGATGATTCCCTGGTCTAATAGCTAGCTGGTGAACTCAAGTTGCGTTTGGTGGCAAAAAACGACTTTGATATTCGACAGAGCGGTGGCGGCGTACCTTCACCCGCAGAGAGATGCGCGCTGAGATTATCGAGTAATAGAATGACTCGTCTTTGTCCTGGACTTCGAGGTATCTTGGGATAAAAAATATCTTTAGATGTGCCTTGAAGCCAGGGTTTGCACAATGAATGGAGAATTCCGACGTCTTGGTAGAAGAAGGTGGGGTGAAACAGAGATTGATTCAACTGAATAAACCGAATAACTCAAATACATACAAAGGATAGCTATATTTATAGCTGAGATGAGAGCATAAGGAATGACATGAAGTCCAGACCAAAAGGGTCCGTAACAAGCAAATATAATGGGGAAGCGGATGTTGCATCTGATATTAGAAGAAGCAATATCAACTAATATGGCGTAAGAGGAAGTTCCATTGGTAGGATGATTCACTGGTCGACGGCGGGTGAATTTGTTGAAGATTGATATGCAGAGATGTGGGTTTTTTCTGCAGAAGAGAACGGCTGCCCGAGGAATTAGGCAGTAACAACAATATGTGCCTTAACCGGCTGACAGTATCCACACTGGTTATATGGATTCGATGATTTCGTGCTTGGGGACTCCAACTCGCTCCAAGGCGCGGTAAAATTCTTCGGGCTTAGCCCAATCCTCCGGACAGAAGACACCACCACGCTGGTGGCCGCCTTCGAGAGCCATGACCATGAACGCAGCACAGGAGGTTCCTGTAACTGTGCCCATAGTGGCACTAAAGTAGGAGTCCTTCCCATTCGTTGGACTGCGTTTGGTGATCACCATTGGAACACCACCTCGCATACCGACCACCCTCACCAGTGCGCCGCCTCGGTTCTCGACTTTCGTGCCAGTCGCCGCGTTCAGAATATAAGTCACAACCTCGGCGGTAGTACATTCACCATTCCAGATCTGTTCAAGCATTCCCCATAGGGCATATCTCAAAGGCCCAACCGACTGACTGATCACGTAGTAAAGCTCTTTCAGGGAGATATCGCCTCCACGAAGATGACCCTTGAAAGCCCTGAAAGCTTCACCTAAGCCACCCAGCCCTTCCGCTAGCGGAGGGTTGATTGCCAGGTTATAAAGGAAGTTCACTGCATCATCCATTGACAAGGACTTCGATCGAACAGCAGAGCCAAGGCCTCGAGCGATACCGTTGAGTGGCTTGGGATCGAGAGAGCCAAAACACTGAATCCGAGTGGCATTTGGGAAGAGACGTGGAAGCGTCACTGGCTCCGGATGGGCAGTTTCATGCAGGAGCCGCTCTCCATCGTCCGCATACATGGGTGCGTAGGTAGTCCCAACCCATGACTCATTCACCACCGGTTTAGAGTTTACCCAGGTGAGGCATGGCCCAGCGGCAATATGCATTAGGTGTTGAAGCACTGCTTTGCCAACACTTGCCTCATCGCCAACAAGCCAGCATACATCGATACTGTCAACGGAGTCGAGCTCGCGGGTAGCATCCATAACCATGACATTACTCAGTCCGGGGGAAGCACCGCAACCAATGTATAGGGGTACACCAGCGGCTTCAGCCTCCTTGGTGAGAGCAAGGGCGGCCTGTGTACTTTCAACATCATCATCGAAGTCGAGGTACGGAACCTTCGCCTTGATGCACGCTCTAACAACGGGATGAGAGGTTTTCGCATACGGCCCTGCGCCTAAGACGACGAGTCTGGCACCCCTGATGAGATTTTCAAGTGCTATTTCGTCGAATAAGTTGAGCTTCTGGGTATCTGCACGACCAGGAGGAAGGTTGGCGGCAAGGGATTCGATGGCGGAGGTGTTGATGTCTGCAAGAATAAAATGGGCATTACTAGCTTTGGCGAATCGTTCCACTGCGATTCGGCACATCTCGCCCGCTGCGCCGATGAAGACAATGGGCTTAGAGTTACTATCGCCAGACATTTTGTCAAGAGGGGATAACACAGGTATCGGTTAAGAGAAACGATGTGTTGTTAGAGATTGGAAACCTGGCGTCCGTTGTCTCTTTTATACTTTCCCATGTTCATCCGGGCTCTGATACGACACGGACAAATGTCCCTCCAGGAACATATCCTGCTCTTCAAACACCAATAGCCGCCTTTCCCAATGCGATTTGTCTACTGGTGCTGAGCTGAAATGCTAATCCGGGGGAGTTCGGGCGGGGTAGATTGAGGAGGCACGTCCACGCAACCGCGAACCCGCGGACCGCCGGGTCCGATGAGCATAGAATCGGCAGTGATCCTATGCAAACAACATGATGGGTCTGTTTACGATTTACTATCAGCTTCACCGTGTCTCAGAGTCACATGCACTGCGGTTCCATGACCAGCCAGAGGAATCTCCTAAGGATAGCAGTTTCTGCTACGTGCCGCAGTAGCCTTGCTGTTGTTGTAAGCACCGCAAGGAAGCCGGTTTGTGGCCATGTAAAGGTCTGCAATATTTAGTAAATCCTTGAGGTATGGAGCTTTTTACTTGTCCATTTGTCACTAATAGAAACATATGTTATGCCCGATTCCCATTCAACCACAACTGAAATATTTTGCACACCATCCCTTTTCTATCAACTATCACTTTAATCAACCATGTATAATTACGCCTATGAAGCGCTGATCACCCAGCTATCTGTCTCCTAGGAAGATATCGACCTCTTCACCAACATGGCTCTTGCCCATCCCTGTATGGATAATACAACGTCCTACCAGCATGACCCCTTGGTCTTGCCACATGGTTAGGGTGACGGATCGACCAGTTCTTTAACGAAGCGATTAACTCGAATAACACCAATATACAGGCTCTAGCTTTATACGAAAGCCGGATTCCCTGCATGGTCCACCGTTAGATAATGCTAGCGGCCTACTTCCAAGCCTGCAAAATCCGTTGTTTGCTGTCGTTGATTCTGCAAACTTATCCTAAACTGCGCTAGTCTATTCAGGCCAGCTACTGATGGTGTCTTGTCCACAATCACAGTCCCGGTTCATTACTGTTTAGTACTCAGTACTTCCTTTCACGGAGATAAAGATAGGTGGGATAGGTACTACGTTCTAATACTCTAGTTACAAACGGTGACTGTATTATTTACGAGCAATGAATGGCGGCTTGCTAATTATCCGCGGACTCCAAAATAATAGTGTGAAGAATGTGGACCCAGTCTCATTATGTGGGCCCGGGATTGGTCAAGTCCCTTCCCAGATTTTGTATGGAGTTGCAGAGACTGCGCAAAAATTTGGACACCCACCAACATTGACTGAATTACAAACCATTCTGCCTGCCGTAATTCCTCCTTCAGGACTTGAGGACATGAGAAATCTCTCACTACCTTAGCTGACGTAACCCCATAAGCTCTAGGAAGCACTAAAGCTTGTGGGTTACAATAACTCATGATGATATCGCACTGAATAGGGAGTACTCTGTACATCAATTTGTGTTCCAAGCTACGAGACTTGGGAAAACGGTGGGGGACTATCCTAGGCGGCCTGTGAATGGTCCCGAGAGGATGACGAAGCATTTGCAAAGGATTTCCCGATGAACGGCGTAGGAATATTAACATAATGCTGCAACCCAATTTATCCAAAGTGAATGTGGTGGAATGTCGAAGGGTGGGCGCGTTTGTCGCCAGGCTTTTTATCTCAATTCTCTCCGCTGTCTCTATTAAGCAGGCCCAGTAGGCAAAGATCCCAGGTCTCTGGAGTATGCAACTTTAACGAATGCCCCCTCCCCCACCTGTCTTCTGCTAGAACCTGCGAAAACACCAACCACGGCTTTCGGGAATTCGTGAACTCAAAACTCTAAATGTAGATATTCTTCAATATTGACAAGGCACCAGCGGAGCCGCGGGCCCGTAGACCCATTCCGTCCCCCCCCCCCCAACGTCCGCATATTCTCAGGTCTCCGTCCACCGAGGCCGATCAAAAGTCAAAAGAAAGCTCTCCCTGGCCTCCAAAAACTTTACGAGTAAGTGGAAGCCAGCAAGAATCGACGACAAAATTGTTCGTGTGATCCTTGCCGCTTGGCGAAAGGCTCTTGGGATTCGCCTTCTAATGCCATTATTGGTTATTCCCCACACAAATAACTCTTTCTGTACCAACCTTGTTTCTTACAGCTAGCATCCTTGATGCGTTATTTGAACGCGCAAGCTTTCGGCTCGAATGTGTACAGCTAGCCTCGGGATAATGCCTTGACTGAAACGTTTAAGTGGGTTGCTATTATGAATGGGTCGCAATTTGCTGTCCGTGAAAATGACCCCGCGAATCCGCAAAGAGTGACGATAAGCTAGAGACCCTGCAAAAGCACATTGTTTGAGGCAAAATATATGATTTTCACGAATTGCAGAAATTCGGTGTATATCTGTAGCGAAATAGGCCATTTCTGATATAGCCTCACCTATAATGTGGTCCAGTACAGCCTACGAGTCACGTTCAATTGGCCACAGTTCAACGTTACATTGCAGTTCTGGTATTATATTCATTTTATTAGCTATAAGGTAAGCCATCGGGCGGGGCATAAATGGATTCTTTGAAGCCAAACCTTCCACTTCTGGAACGTACCAGGGGGCTCTTATCCCAACGTACAGCGAGCTAGGTTCAACATTCACTGTATTTTCCTCTCCTAAAATCTGGACCTCAAGAAATTGTTGGCATCATCAGCTATGTACCGTGTATACAGTAAAGCGAACAATGCTTATGCTTCCAAAGCAAAAGTCAATTGATTCATGTACTGTAGATAGATGTTGATCCTTAGTCTAGTTAGAAAACACCCCCGGATCCCACACGCCGGCCCTCGGGCGGTCACAACGCCTGAACCGGAGCCTGGCGCAAGAACGCGTTCACAAAGCGAGGGATGGTATCCGTCAGTCGTTAGCAGTAGGTCACCGCTAGACTATTCTGACAGAAAGGTGTATCCGCCGGAAAAAACTATTCCAGCTTTCAACTATCCTTTACCCAGTTTGTGCACTGCCTGCTTCCAGGTCGGATCCGCAGATACAAACATCGAAAATATTTTCTACAACTCTGGTTTCCATCATACGCCTCCTCCGGCCCTGTAACATCTCCCTTTCCACCTCCGCGGACCGAAAGGGCTCCGGATAATGACCGGTCACTCTTGCGCATCGGCCAGGGGCCATGATTGCCATACAGTGTCGTCATCTGCCCAGATATGGACTGTAACATAAGATCTTTCCGAGGTACCGACAAACCGAGGTCCGTAAGATTACCTGATACATATTGTCTTTTATATCCTAGGAACCATGGCCTGCGGATCGAAGATGACTTAGAAATCGATCACATCAAACACTTCTGTTCTATTGGTCTTGAGGAAATGTCTGATATCCCTCATCTTTCCAATTTGGCTATTAGCCTGAAGAACGGGGTAGCGGTTCTGAAATACAATCGACCTGAAGTAGGGAATGCCCTTAGTGTTCCCATGATTGAGGTAAGCATTTACATTATTCGAAAGGCGGACGTATTTTTGATTTCCACTTACTGGATGTCCAGGATATCCTGTCCGGGTTTAAATGGGCACAGGATCAAGATGAGGTCAGAGTTATCCTACAGACGGGGGTAGGGAGGTTTTTTACGACTGGGCTGGACTTGAAGGACAAGTCTGTAACCGGGCCAGGCACCGTGATTAGCGACGCGTTTCTGAACACAATGAGGTAGAGTTGTCTAAAAATTCTAGTTCGGTTGTTGCTAATGCTAATAGTAACGAAGAGAATTGCATAAAATCATGATCAATTCCAATAAAGTTCTCGTTACCGCTGTCAACGGGCCTGCTCCTGGTTGGGGAACGACTAGCCTTGCTTTAGCCGATCTTGTTTACGCCTCTCCAAATGCCGTTTTCTTTACCCCTTTTGTGCAATTAGGAATCGCTGCTGAAGCGTGCTCGACCGTCACTTTCAGCAAAATCATGGGCCATCAGAAGGCTGCATCTCTCCTTCTCGCAGGTGAAAGGATGACAGCTACTGAACTAGAAAACTTGGGATTGGTTACGAAAGTTCTTCCCAAGGAATGTTTTCTCGAGAATGTGCTCAAAATCTGTTATCGAATTGCGAGCCAACCACCCGAAGCTCTAGAGCTCAACAAAAAGCTTTTGATGCGAAATTCCAGACAGGAGTTGCTTAGTGCGAACGAAACAGAGCTTAAATTCCTTAGGGAAAGGGCGCGAAGTCATGAAAGCCGGTCGGCCGTCAACGTCTTCCTTTTGGATCAAGGGCGCAAAAAGCAAGAGAAGACCGAGGCCAAATTATAGACCACTATACCATTGCATCTGCAAACGGTTACCTTGCTTTGTTCTCGTATGTTATGTTATCGTATCGGGAAGGTCTTACAGATATTTGCTGCCTCAGGAACCAAAATCTTCATACGATTTATTGGAAAATTCTAAGTTTAAGACACTAGACACCATTTGAATCCGCCAAGGATGTTCCAGATCATTGTCTGATCAATCAGAAACGCCAAACAATGCATCTCATGACACCTCAGTAGATTTCCTGTACCACCTCACCGTCGAAAAGTTGGCGATTTCCACTCTCTTGCCACGAGCGTCACGATTTCCTGTTCCGAACTAGAAGAACATGCCAGTACCCCAGGTCGCTCAGCGCAGCCGATAATACCGATCATATCCCTGTCAACACCTGAATACCTGCCAAAGCTGGCTAACTTCCCGCGGTGATTGGCTGATCTCTGAGCCACGTATTGTTGAATAACGGGTTCGGTTTGACGTATCAAATTACCTTTTTCTAGTTTTTTTATAAGGTAATAGGGCTTTCTACTAATTTTTTTTATTACTAGGATTTCCTTAACCTTATATTGATTCTCTATTTCTTCTTCGATTTTACAATTAGTAGTAATTTTAGCGTTCCTAGGTGCTTTTTCTAACAATAAGATATAAAATATTATATAGATACGTTACATACTATTAGGTAGCTTTAGTTAATCATTAAGTAGTCCTGTTTTTTCTATAATTTTAAATAGTCCTAATTTAAAGTAGTCGAGTTTTGCGCTAGCTTGCGAATATCACGTTATAAAAGGTAAACTTTCTCCCTCTTTCAAAAGTTAGCCACCTCCTAGTGTAATTAATTATTGTCGGATTTATAGGGTCGGCATAAATCCTTCTGCGTGCACAAGCGTTGATACATGGTCAATCGAGTATACGATCCGGCAAAGAATCGTATAGGTCAGGTCGAACGATCTAGTCGTAGATCGTTAAGGGTCGTACGATTCGGCTCAGAATCGGAAGTTAACTTATGATAGAAGAATGCTCTAACTTTATTATAATGATTACACTTGGTTCAACTAGCTATGGAAAGGAGGTAGTATTTATAACTTCATGACATCATAACAAGGAGTCAGAACAGAATCTTATAGAAATTAGGAGAAGTATAGAGCGTTGAAGCTCTTTCTTATAAAGGATCAATCGTTGAAGATTATCTTTATGTGTACGTTCCGTTATATTCTGTTAAGTTCGATAGCTCTAGTGGGCTTATGCATTATGGACCCACTCATGTTGACAGGTATAATAAGATTAAATGAGCTAATCGGCCTAAGCGTTAGGGTGAGCGATCAGGTTACTCTGGGAGCTGCTTATGTTCGCTCCGTGAGCTGCTCAAGGCCGCGAGATTATTAACTCAGTCTGTACTCCGGGAGCCGATCATTTCCCGAGGTGGCAGTTTTACCGTCACCTAGATTACAATGTAAACCTATATATATGCTTTAACTTTCCCTTTTATAAAAGATCTTTCTAATGTCTTTTGAACGGTCTTTTTGAACGGTCTTTTTAATAGCTTCGGGAAGGGCTTAGTAGGTATTATAAGAATATCTAGGTACTCGATGCACCTGTTATCCACCATATCCGGAAATGAATTAGTCTCTCGTGCGAAAGCACAAGTTGGCGTGCGATTAGCCTCAGCCTTGATTTAGACCTCTTAGAAAACGAAGCATGATCACCTAGTTCACGAACTTGGCATCGACGGAGATATTAGTATCAAATGGTATGTTATGATTCAATTCGTCATTATCTCATATTTCTCAGGTATCATATCGAATAAAGCATCGCTCAACCAACATAAGACCCCACCGAGTGCATGATGCTCTCAACATCTAATTGATCTGCGAGATCCAACAACTCTCGTGGAGGTAAGCTAACCGAGGAATTGAGTCCCAACAGATCCCATTCGAAACCGTCTCCGACATCCACCGACTCCAATCCATACGTGTCATCACTTTCCTGCGTGTCACGATGGATATTAACTGGCGGAAGAGGACTGGATGTAGACCTTGGGGTCAAAGGAGCAAGAATTTGCTCCAGCTGTCTGAGCTCTCGCCTTCTCAGGGGTGCGGCTGGATTTCCCTTTGCAATGAGTGTTTCTAAGACACAATTCAAGTGATCACACCAAGTATCGCGCTGAATTAGTGAGGGCGCGATTGCTCGAATCAGATATAGAACGAAGGCAGATGAGGAAGCGTCTTCGATTTGGAATGGTAGGAATGCATCTGCAGGTCCGTGGTTTAGTAAACAATATGCCACCTTCAGCAGGACGTACACGTACCCAATAAATCATCATCTGCGAGGGTCTGCAGCGTCTGGAGTATAGTCTGGGCCGAGTCTGCACAGCATTGCAGAAGAGAAGCGACGGGTGGAGAAAGTCCAATGCTTTGAGATGCTTGTCTCTCGGTACGTTCGATATGCATGTTGAGAGCACACATCACCAAAGGTCTTGTGGTGAGAACGATGCACTGGGACGGTCAGTCTGCGCATAAATTTGCCACTAACCTTACAGAGTTCACTCACATGATGATGAGCTAACATAAGTCGTATTGCCATCTTCGAGGCTCTGCTGATGAGACCATGAAAGTGGGTATTAAGGAAGGCCGTGAGATCATGCGACAACTCTGCCATGCTGTGTAGAATTGACTGCATATTCCGGATGAGCGTTCCATTGAATTTATCTCCCACCCCATATACCGCTGAATATTAGTCAGTAATCGAGTATCTCAAACAGATAAATTTTGCGTACTTGTCAAGATTTGAGCCATAAGCCTGGAAAGCCGTACATGTAATGTCAGATTGATATGTTCCACTGAGTTCTCAACATCTGCAGGCAATCGGACTGTGATGTCTTCGTCTCGGATGGAGCTTGGCGCCCCGATCAAGGCTGAGAATTCACGATCCAGCATATAGACAACCCAGAATATTGTCCTACAACGACTCGAGAGTTCTGGTCCTCCTAACTCCTCCGGGACATGTCGATGGATTCCTTCGATAATGCAGCCGCGTAATGCCTGCCCAATCTATTCGAAAATAATAAGGTTGGTTGTTGCTCCTGTAAATTCCTGCATTGGAGGATTGACAACTCACATGTTGAAAGGCTGCCCGTCTCATGTCAATGGACTGCAAGTAAACCGCCCCAAGACTGAGAGCCTGGATGCACGTCAAGGGATCTTCATGCATTCCCGACAAATCGGGTAACAGTGCCATCGCCCTTGATGCATATTGATGGCCTGGAGGTGTTCCAGATGGGTTTTTGTGCGTAAGGAAGGCCTTTCCAAACGCCAGAACTAGAAGATATTGAACATACCAATATCTCGCAGAGGCAGCTTTTGCGGAGGGATTCTTATAGAATTCATGCAAATCTCGTAGATAAGCTTCTTCATCAATCATGAAGGAAAGAAACCCGAAGTAGAACTTAACAGTGTTGAAAAGAAACAGGGCGTAATCGAGCGGTGGGAGGTTTGTGACATCAGGTATTTCATCTGGGGGCAATGGTCTCCATTGAAGCTTGAATGCCATTCCATCCAGGTGCCATGGGTCAGGCGGGCAATTGGATTCTGGAACACGTCTTCCAATGATACTTAAAACACGGCGACAGAATGACCATGATGATGTAGGCCCCATATACCCTGTACATCGTTTGTTAAAGAAGGATAAAGTACAAAGTTCAGATCAATAACTTACAGAATCGACCATCTGGTGTTCGGGCGAAAGACGGATCTTTATCTACAAGGGGGTTTCGAGAAAATCGGGATCGGTGTCCGTCTTGCTCAATATCGGGGTCTGACCCAGTTTGCGCTCGCTGCAGATGAGCTGTAGTAGGAGTATGCAGAGTAGTGTCCAAGCTTTGAACTGGATCAAGTCAGTCTCGATAAACTTAGATAATATGATAGATGGTACCATTTGCTATTTCCCTCCACCGCACTGCTTGCTGGTCCTCCAAAAGAAACTGGGGAGGATGTGGTGTAGAGAGATCAATGTCGCTCTCCCCAACATAGGGTGACCCAACGAGAGCATCTTGACCCGAAGTGTCTTGGTGACGCACGCTGCTATTCCTTTCCGATAATTGCTCTTCTAAATGGCGTAGATACCTGCACAAACTCTTCAGCCACAGGGCCTGGCTCAAAATGTGAATTAAGACTTACCGCTCCGATACAGAGACTCGCACGTCCTCGGCAGGAAACTGGCAGTGTTGCTTCTTTCGACTGCATCTTGTGCAGGGATAGGATCCCGAGCACTTGACTTTCATGCCCCGACATCGTACACATCTAAACGTGTTATTTTGGTATACCGTTGACAGCACCCATTCTGTGCAACTTACGCCTTTTGGCACTTCTTGGCCTTCACTTTGCTGGGAGTTACAGGCATGTGAGGCTGTAGCACCGAGCAAAATTGATTCCAAAATAGCAATGACAACCGGCGTATGCCTCCGATATCAAGTAAATTGAGTAGTGCCGAGTGTTGCGGGGTTGACGCCAAACTAAACGGGGAGTCGGGATGGTCCTCCGACTTTTCTTATCGGCTTATCGCCCCACTTATCTCAGCTTCTCAGAGCCGAGCCCCGCACGCGTGATAAGAGCGTCTACTTGCTGGCTGCATCTGGTTGGTCAACTTTGTTCCCTACTTTGAATGCTTCTCAATTTGCACAAGAGCTGTAATATCTATACGCTGAGGCTAATTAAACCCCAACTTGTGCTTCCGCACGACAGATTAATTCATGTTCGGATATGGTGGATAACAGGTACACCGAGTACCAAGATATCCCCATAATACCTAAAAGCCCTTCACGGAAGCCATTAAAAGACAATTCAAAAGACATTTAGAAAGATCTTATTGAAAGGGAAAGTTAAAGCATATGTCTTTACATTGTAAAATGGTTCTCTGCTATATCCGAAAATGGATTAGTCTGGCGTGCGATTAGCCTCAGCCTATCTATACACCAATGGGGAGAAAAAGGCGCCTTATAGCAAGAATTCATCAATTTAAACTCATTCAGGCTCCTCTATCCCCCTATATCTTAACCCCCCCCCCCCCCCCCCCCCCCCCAATACCTCAATACTACTGAGCATATCTAAAGCATCAACCAAAAATCCTTCGTCTCAGCTCTTGTCGCAGTGCAGTTACCATGTGCTGCGTTCGCTCTACAGCACCCTTATTCTCAATAGCCCGCCGGTGAAGATATTGCATGCATTCAGCCACTGAGCCCCAGGCCATACACTTGAAAGCCTTGGGAACCGACACGTTGGCAGCGCGTGAGTCCTTCAGTGCCCTTTCATAGTTCTGTACGAGTTCACAGCTGAGTTCATCGGCCATTCCTTGAATCTGCCCACATTCGAGTGGGACTGTAGGTTGGCGAGACAAGAGCCGAGCTTGATGGGTAGCTATGGCCTTGGCAGCACTTGCAGCGTTGTGTGTTGCCAGGAAGAGCGCTGCATGGGGAAATTTGAGGTCTTTAGCATTATCAGGCATTATCCGACACAACATCGTATCTGCAATCAAATCATATGAGCGATCGGTATCCTCCTTCGTATCGTGGATCAGAGATCGTGTCTCATGTTCAATATATGCTCCTCGGACCAGCTTGATGCCAAGTGACCATCTTTCCTGCGCTGCCAGTGTAATATGACGATCAACGTTTGCTTTGGATCCTTTCAAGTATCCTTGGATAGTGTTGTATACCAATGGCGTTTCTGAGTGGTTGTGTTTCCGCATGATATCAATCGCCCAATCATCCAGTCCGTGCTGAAGGACCTGCTGCTCAGCATCCAACCATAGTCTTGATCCTTGGTCTTTCGCTGCCAGGCAAATCTCATCCACCGCATGTGCCATAGAGTCAGGGATAGGTTTCCGTTCCGCCATCGAGTCCACCGCAATTGGGCCGGCGCCCGTGAGTCTAGATTACAATAGTTAACGAGTGCGCGTTCAAAAACCCGAAGGAAATGTAACCTACTTCACGGCAAGAAAGTCACCGGGTCCGACCATGCGCAAAGTCTCCAGAGTTCCCTTCTTCCATTCTTCAATCATTTCGTAACATTTATCACTATAAGTGGCAGACCCAGCGTCATCGTGGGCAAGCTTCTCATTGGGATCCAGGACAATCTCCTTAGAATATCCCAGAATAACTCCTTGGTATCCTATTTTCTTAATCTCTGCCACTGTCTTCGACACCTCCTCACGAGTCGTTCCGGCACAAAAGTGATCATAGACGGTCCATCGGAGGAGTTTATTCAGAACAAGGTTGCGATCAGGGTTGAGCAGGGCCGACTTGGAATTGGTGACAATGTTCAAAATAGCCAAGGCAGGCTTGAGGAATAACTTTGAGGACATGAGGGATGTCAAGACCAAAGATCTCAGTAGTAACTTTGTGGGTAGTCTTGACATCGCTGATACCTCTAGAGGTGGTTTGGATGGCGCTGAAATGGCCACATCGTGGAATCCCTGCTTGGTCGAGCGATATCGTCGAAAGTTCAATTGCTTTAATGGCAAAGCGCGTGGCTTAAAGGTGACATTGTAAATTGAGGGAGATCGTGAGAGCATCTTGGAAAATGCTGCTTCGTATATGCAGCGAAGTGTAGTTGTCCTCTGCCTTACTGTCCTGCCTGGGTCGTAAAAATAGTCTGGCTTCCGGTAGGACCTGCGCCAAGTTTCTATTCAATAGAGGCTCTATATACGCTATCTTATGTCTATCTTCTCGCTATTCCTTGCCGATATGCCACGTTATGGATCACCGGATCATAGTCGGTGCAGCCCTCCGATGGTGGGAGGGGTATGGATCGGAGCAGCCACTCGGCCACCTAGATCGACTTATCAGGTATAGACGCTCTTACCGACAGGCTCTTGATAGTATTATCCCAGTCACTTCCCCACTTTTCTAAGGCCGGACCAGGATATGTGCGTCGGAAGTGCTGGCAACGTCGCATCCAGATGGAAGCCACCAAACATGTTTAAACGAGTTCCACAATCTTGTTTTTCTATACACCAAGTACGTACTACTAAGCTCTCGCTTTTTGCCGCTACGCTTCGCACATTCTGAAATTTCCTTACATATATTTCTGGAACCTTTTGGTAATGGTCTTCATGCTATCATTGCACAAAGCTTGAACTCCGTAATGCGACTCTAGCCGTTCCGGGCAGAAACTCACGTGTGAAGTTGATTACTCAAAAAAGAAACAGTGCATAAACCTTTGAGGGTCATTTAGGCTAAATTCAAATCTATATTGACTATCTTCACTTGTATCTCCGATTCAAGAGCCTCGTCTTAAACCTCGTTTGAAGGATACTGAACCTTCTCCAAAGGCACAAACTCTTCCTTGATTGTGCGAGTGCTAACAAATCGCTGAAGATGAGCCATAGTGCCAGTCTTATCATTCGTGCCTGAGTCTCGACTTCCACCGAAAGGCTGCTGGGCAACGGTAGCGCCAGTGCACTTGCTGTTAAGATAAAGCATACCAGCAGCATGCTTCAAGATAGTCTGAGCCTGACGGCTAGCATAAGGATCCTTCGCAAAGATGCTACCGGTGAGGCCGTAGCGAGATGTCGTATCAATTAATTTGAGGGTCTGCTCCCACTCTGAATCGGGGAAAACATAAACACCCAGAATAGGACCAAATAACTCGGTAGACATGATCTCGTGCCGAGGGTCAGATGTGCGGTAGACAGTTGGATGCACATAGAATCCCTCTTTCTTGGAGGCCTTGCCGCCAACAAGTAGCTCTAGTTCCGAGTCGGTCTTTGCATCTTCGATGAATTTGTTCAGCTTGTCGAAAGAGCGTTCGTGAATCACGGGGTTGACGAAATTGGCATAATCTTCAACAGGGCCAACCTTCAAGGCCGCGGTTTCTTCGACAAGAGTCTTCTGGAACTCTGGCCAAACAGACTCTGCCACATATACTCGCGAGTTTGCCGAGCATTTTTGGCCTTGGTATTCGAAGGCTGCTCGAATAGTGTTCAAAGCGGCGCTCTTAACATCTGCGGATGAATGCACAACACCCCAGTTTTTCCCGCCTGTCTCGCCAATCACACGAGGATATGAGTTGTAAATACCTTGGCCAATTCCATCACCAATTTTCTTTTGCAGACCCTTGAACGTGGCGGTAGATCCAATGAAAGTGAGAGCACCGAACTCAGGTCTCTTCAGAACAGTGTTGGTCACTTCCTCGGCATCGCCAGGCAGGAACTGAATGACGTCCTTAGGCAGACCGGCTTCCAGTAAAATCTTATGGAGCAACCAACTAGCATGTAGTGCCGAGTCCGAAGGCTTCCAGACAACAACATTGCCAAGCAGGGCTGCCGGTCCAACAAGTGTCGCACCCAACGCAGTAAAATTGAAGGGCGCGATAGCGTAGGTGAAGCCTTCCAATGGACGATATTCCATCTTGTTCCATTGTCCATCTGGTTGAACTTGAGGCTGTTGAGAGTACAGAGCCCATGCTTCTTGGATGTAGAAGCGGAGGAAATCAGCCGTTTCAGCTGGGGCATCAATCTCAGCTTGCCAGATATTCTTGCCCTGTCCCAGCATGGTTGCTGCAACAAGTTCTGAACGGTATTTGCCGGTGATCAGTTCACTGGCGCGAAGGAAAATAGCCGCACGATCTTCGAAAGGTGTGGCTTCCCATTGAGGCTTTGCCTTCAAAGCCGCGTCAATTGATGCGTTGACTTGATCTGGTGTTGCTGATGCATAGTTTGCGACAACTTCCCGGTGCTTTGAAGGGTTGAGTTGAGCTCGGGACTGCTTTGTTTGGATCTATATTGAGCAGATGTGTTAGAAGGGGTCTATCAAGCTCGGTTAAATGACAAACTTACCTCGACGCCATTGATTTGAATGGGAATAGTGACTGGGAATTCACTCTTTAGTTTTTGAATTGTTTTCGTCAACTCTGCTCTTTCGGGAGAACCCTTGGCGTAGTTCAACTGGACTTGCCGTTATTATAACAGGTAGGACTACTTCCTTTAGCAGCAAGCTCACCATCTTTTCATTCTCGAATTTTGGAGGATGCAGCATAGTCAGACAGCGCTGACCACCGCCATTTCTGGATGTGACTAGCAGGCCTGAACGGACAACTAGACGAGTAATTGTTGTAGGTCGCATTTCTATCGTGCTAGTAGGACGAAGCTAGAGAGAGGATCCTAGAGTTCAAGCAGTCCCCTTGGTCTTTTGTAAGTACTTAAATACGACAGGCTGCACAGCTTAGAAGTACATCACCTTCGGAGACCTATGCCGACGCGACAGATGTACTTGCTCCATGCGTTTCCTTGCAGGATGCATGGGTCAATATTGCGGGGAACCTATAGATCGCATGCCTTCCAAAATGTCGGGATGGTCCTCCGAAGTTCGATAAGAACAACCCTCACGTCATTCGTTTCACTCAGTCGAGAGATCCGATGCCATAAGACTACTAGAATTGCATTCTCCCACGAATCGGTATCTAGAGGAGCTAAGCTTGCTCGGGCTATTGCTTCTTTGGCGAATCCTTAGGTCTGGTCCGTGCGCAGTGGCTTCATTTGTAATTATCGATGCCAAAGTACTTGAGTCCATTGATACACAGCTGAAGATTCCACAGCCATGCTGCCTCGTTTTTCTAATACTACATAGCCCTTGCTATATCCGCCGCCTACCTATTCGATCATTGTGGCTCTCTCCTTCCGAGCTTCTCTTGGTGTTTAATCAAGCAGCCGTCTCATGAAAAACGAACAACTCGATTGTATCTACACAGAAATTGTTTTATCATGGTCAATCAGCGCCTTCCAATTTATTTAAATAACATTCGATCTTTTCAATCAATCATATACCTTCTAAGTCACAACATATGATGCTCTTTGACCAAGACAATGGGCATCGTCTGTTTGTGTGCGTGAAAAGGCAACAAGATATATACCCGACAGCCAACTTCAATGTGGGGACCTCTGACTGGCTCTAAGTACCAGAAATTCGTGACTCGAATGCATTAGACGACAGGCTTGATCCAAGTAACTCAGATCTTCCGAGATATTGCGTACGGGACCGTGTGATTGGGTAAATGGCTTAATTTGGGATATCGACACTGCCCACTGTCACTGTCATGAAGCGACTCACCGCGGAGAAGGTTCTAGGGATGAGCGATGGGGCGACCCGCTCGTTATCTCCCCCAGTTGACCCTCCACAGCTCCCTTCTCCTCATTCACGATCTCTTCTTTCATTCTACTGTGCTAGAAAATTGAGTCAGTATTGGTCTCTCCTGTTCCTCACGATCTTGCTACTTGCAATTCATGCACCACGCCGACCCCTCCATTTCAAGCTTCAACCTGCGTCGTGGTCTGTGCGGCCCAGCCACCGACCTCCGACCGAGCTCCGCTTGATCGTCGAGCACATTCGTCATTGCGACCAGCAATCACCTCCACTCCTGCTCTGAAACCCTCCCATATCCGCCTCCTCCCCCGCGCAACCACTCACGAGTGGCGATCCCCAGATGTCCCTTTTCGGAACATCCCCAGAAGAGCCCTCGGCGGCGGCCTCTACCCCGAGGCCCAAGTCCTCGCTCTTCGCAGACGACTCGATCGGTGGCTCCTCGTCCCTCTTCGCCGATGACACCGGTGATGATAGTTCCTCGTCGCCTTGGAACCCACAGAACAACACTGCGAAGCGTACAGCTCGACGTGATCTGGTGCGGACGCTGCTTCCTGTTTCTGATGTGCCGGAGAGCTACGTTGATGCCTACGATCTCATCCTGAATAGCGGTGATAGGGTCGGGGCTGGTGTCGGTCTCACCTCCATTCGAGAGCTATTGTCCAGCAGTGGATTGACCGCATCAGACCAAGGCAAGATCCTGAATCTTGTGGTCTCTGGTGACCACGAGAGCTCGGGTGGATTGGGTCGCGGCGAGTTCAATGTGTTACTAGCATTGATTGGACTTGCACAGCAAGGAGAAGACCTGTCTTTTGATTCGGTCGACGACCATCGCAAGAGTGAGTATCATGAGTGAAGAACCTTTGCTTCACATTGATGCTATAATTATGATTTGCTCGGTTCTCCCATCATGCTAGTCCCGATATCTGACAATACAATCAACGTCTAGGACTCCCACAGCCCAATAGCGGTTTCCTTGACAGACTACGAACTGCCAACGAGTCCCAATCTAGCAGTGCATTTGAACGACCAGTTACACCTCCACCACAACAAACTCCCCTTCAAGAGCCCAATTCCGCACGGTCTCGCCGCTCGCGACGAGAGTCCTTGGGAGGCCTAGACTCTGATCCTTGGGGTAGTCCAGAGTTACATCGGAACCACAACCACGAAACTGTAACTTCTGACCAGCGGATTATCAACGGCTACGGAAGTATGCGCTCGACGACGAACGCTTGGTCAGCACCCAGGACGGTTGAAGAGCCAGCCCAGAGCCAGACCGAGGTACCCCAGCAGGGTCGTAGCGTCGCCCCGACTGAGGCCGCAGTGCCACCACCACCTAGCAGCTCAGGATCTGGATGGGGAGGCAATATTGGAACTACACCGGATGATGGCGGATTTGTGGGTGCTCCGCGTCCGGGCCTTGGTGCCTTTGGGCCTGCCAGCGATGAGCCTGGCGACATCGCACCTCGACGTCGATCACTGGGTATCACCCGCTCTACGAACCCCCAGGTAGCAGAGACGGTCACGATCACCCTTCTCCCGGAGAAAGAGGGAATGTTCATGTTCCAGCATCGCAACTACGAGGTCAGGTCAGCGCGACGAGGCAGCACCGTGGTGCGTCGGTACAGCGATTTCGTCTGGCTGTTGGATTGCCTGCAAAAGCGATTCCCCTTCCGACAGCTGCCCCTTCTCCCACCGAAGCGGGTTTCAGGTACGTCTAACGCTGGTTAAAGCACCTCCAAATTGCTTGCTCACCTGTTTATAAGTAAATGGTACTCACCTATCAGCCGATTCAAATTCTTTTCTGGAGAAGCGGCGCCGTGGACTCATTAGATTTACCAATTCCCTTGTTCGACACCCGGTTCTCGGCCAGGAGCAACTGGTGGTGATGTTCCTGACTGTCCCTACCGTACGTGTCTTTGCATGCGATTCATCCAACCTTCCATCGGACAACCTCTGACTCATCCTCCAGGAACTTTCGGTATGGCGTAAACAGGCGACAGTTTCGGTCCAGGACGAATTCGAGGGACGATCCCTCCCACCTGACCTCGAGGATTCCTTGCCCTCTGATCTCACCGATACCTTCGAGACCGTCCGCAGCGGTGTGAAACGGTCCGCCGAAATTTACATTAACCTGTGCACTTTGCTCGAGCGATTGGCCAAGCGAAACGACGGCCTTGCGGCTGATCACCTGCGATTCTCCCTGGCTCTCCAGTCTCTGACCGAGGTGACCAAGGACACATACGCGGTCGACACGAATGACATCCCGGGCCTGAACACCGGTATCACCGCCACCGCGCGACACCTCTCGGCCAGTCAAAGCCTGTTAGAGGATGAGGCCCGGGCCTGGACCGACGGCGTGCTGGAAGATCTGAAAGCACAGCGAGATTGTCTAGTCAGCGTACGTGAGATGTTTGATCGGCGGGATCGGTTGGCGCGGAACAATATTCCACAACTCGAGCGGCGCATCGAGACCAATGAGCGCAAGCTGCAGGAATTGCGGGCGCGGCCGTCGGGCACCGTGAAACCTGGAGAGGCCGAAAAAGTGGAGGACTCTATTTTCAAGGTATGTTGCATGCCCCACACCGACTAATGCCGCGACCCGTCCCTTACGAGAAACTAACAATCCCGGTCATCGTGCAGGACAAAGAGTCAATCGTGCAGCAACACGCGCGCGGGGTGTTCATTAAGGAGTGTACTCGTGATGAACTTGCCCACTTCCAGCAGAGCCAGTATCACATCAGCCGTCTGCATCAGGACTGGAGCCAGGAGCGAGTCAAATACTCCGAGTTGCAGGCCGACAATTGGCGGCGCCTCAGCGATGAGATCGAGGGAATGCCGACGGGAGAGTAGCGGGCGGGATTTTGAGTTTCTCTCTCTGTTTCTCTCTCCTGCCTTGAGGATCCTGGGGCCGGGATTGTCGTACATAAATCTCAAAGAATCCGGCCCAGGCCCAGGCCCCGCCCAACCACGATGTTGAGGTTTCTTTTTCGTTTATACGCGCGGGGTGCGCGTGGGCCGCACCCGTCCCGGGTTAGTGAAGAGCTTGGCTGGTTGTTTGCTTTTTTCTTTTTCAGAACCTCGTCCAATATGCTCTCCCGTCTCTGCCATCTTAACGGAGTGGCGGAGGGCCTGACAATGGGCCTGGACCCTTGTTGCATCCCTGTTCTTTGCGGCGGTTTGAAAATCGCCTGAAACTGGCCAACCAACTCCTACGTGTTTGTCGATGCTTCGTATGTTCGGATTTACCGCGGTTTGCGCTTGTGTATCTGTTTTGTTCTCAAATTCCCCCTCTTTGTTTCATTGTCCGCATGTTTTTTTTTTTTTACGCTGTTCAAGTTCATATAGGTCAAGAAGCATATCCATGTCGTTTAGGGCGGTGTGTTCAAGCCACGTGAAGTCGAGCAAACTGTAAGTTGGAGATATAAATTGTGTACGCTTTATGTACGTGATCTATCTACTGTACTGTAGTCCACCATGGTATTTAATAATAGTACTGATGACGTCCCGTTACCAGCCATTCTTCCAGAAGGCCCCGCAATCACCACCAGCAGTGGGGATGATAGTGGGCCATCATTCTGACCTGACCAATGAAGGCGAATAGGAGAGTATCTGGGGCTTGGCGGTTGGCAGGGCTGGGAAGGGCCCGGACCTTGGCCGCATGCGTAACGTATGGTAAATCGGTAATCGGATACGCCATGCTCTCTCATCTCCGATTTGGGATTTGTAGAAATTAAATGCCCGTGCTGAGTTCCGCAGAGTATAAACACTCACTGATGCCCGCATTCGGAACTCTGCTTTCCTTTTAGTTACTACCTTGTCAATTGTGTTTATTGACACATCTTCAACAATAACTCTCCCTCTCAATTGCTCTCAGACCAGCACTGATTCCTGCCTCCGCCCGGCCAAGACCCTGTTCCGCCTGGTCAGTGGGGCCCAAAAGTCTCGGCTGACGAATCCCGCCGGTTCCAAAGATTCTCGTTTCTGGGCAAATCTCCCTCAGCGCGAACAATCGCCGGCTCGTCCATCGGCCAAGATTCCCCCAAGACTCCTTCTCTCGCCCAGCACTTGTCTTCTTTTTTCTTCTCTTTCTCTCACTCCTGTCTTTGCCTGCATGAGACTCATCCCGGGCTGGTCTCGTTGATCTCTCTCACGGTCCCAGCAGCCAACGAGCGAACGCCGCCAAACGGTCCCCAGCCTCCCTCTCCACTTTCTCGAACACCCGAATACGCTCGGACAGCCACGCTTCGCCGGTCCCATTTCCGATAAACCCGAGCTTCTCGGCGGATGAGCGTGCTACATACAACGCAGACTTGCTCGAATTCAGCCCTACCAGGGTCCGACGACTGTCCCATCTCCACTTCGTCCAAGATTCTCCCCCTCAAGGCATGAGGAGCTATTCGGAGCAACGACGTTCGAGGCGGAAATCCATCTGGTAATTGAATTGCCGTGGTTCGGGGCAAGAGAAGCAATCAGAAACAACAAAATACAAAACGTACCACCGTACGTACCTTATCGCAGACAATCTGCAATACTTCCTGAGACCGCTACGGTCTCGATCTCGCCATGGCATGGGATCACCTTGATTTCGATCGGCCGCATCTGGCTTACATGATTCTCGGCGGCTTCACGGGCCTCTTCATGCTGTGCTCGCTTTTCGTGAAAGAGAAGCTCTACATTGGCGAAGCTACTGTCGCAACCCTCTGCGGTATCATCTTCGGTCCACATGCTGCAAATTTATTCAACCCCCATGACTGGGGCAATGTCGACAAGATTACTTTGGAATGCTCGCGTATTGTCCTAGTCGTACAATGTTTCGCCGTCGGCGTCGAATTGCCCAAGGCCTACATGGAGCGTCACTGGAAGTCGGTCAGCTTGCTGTTGGTTCCCGTCATGACCTGGGGCTGGTTGATTACCAGTCTGTTTATTTGGTGGTTGGTACCTCCGCTCAACTGGCTGGAGAGTCTAGTGTGCGCGGCCTGCGTCACTGCTACCGATCCTGTCTTGGCATCGTCCGTCGTCGGTAAGGGTAAGTTCGCCAAGCGTGTGCCCAAGCATTTGCGTGACCTCTTGTCGGCGGAATCCGGTTGTAACGATGGCATGGCGTTTCCATTTATCTACCTCGGATTCTATATCCTGCGTTACAGGCCAGATGTTAATAAGGTATCGCTGAACTGGTTCTGTGTGACCATTCTCTACGAGTGTATCTTTGGTGCTATCTTCGGCTTTGTCATTGGATACGCTGCTCGTCATGCCATCAAGTGGGCCGAGCGCAAGAGTCTTATTGATCGAGAGAGTTTCCTCGTGTTCTACTTCGTCCTGGCCGTGTTCTGCGCCGGCGCGGGTAGTTCGCTGGGCATGGATGACCTGCTCATTGGATTCTCCTGCGGAGTCGGCTTCAGTAATGACGGTTGGTTTACAGAGAAGACTGAAGAGTCGCACGTCTCCAACGTTATTGACTTGTTGCTTAACTTGGCGTACTTTGTCTATTTCGGATCCATCATACCCTGGGAAGATTACAATGCCCCTGACCTCGGCCTGACTCCCTGGAGACTGGTCGTCATTGCGATATTGGTCATCTTCTTCCGTCGCATTCCTATTATGCTTTTACTGAAACCGATTATACCGGATATCAAAACTTGGCGTGAGGCGCTCTTCGCTGGTCACTTTGGCCCCATTGGTGTCGGTGCCATCTTTGCTGCCATTCTCGCGAGAGCGGAATTGGAACACGATAGCACACAACCACTTCCTGAAAGTGAACTCAAGGCGTCTTCACTAGAGTATCCGGCGGACTATGCCGTTGTTAGGCTCATCTGGCCTATTACCACATTTATGGTTATCTCGTCTATTCTGGTCCACGGATCTTCAATTGCCGTGTTCACTCTGGGCAAGCGCATCAACACTTTGACAATTACCCTGTCCTACACACAAGCCAACGAGGATGGCCCATCATGGATGAACCGCCTTCCCCGTGTGCAGTCACTGGCCAAGGGATCCATGTCCTTCCGCAAGGCTGATGAGCTTGACGAGGCTTCTTCTGACGAGAGACTACCCGAGTATCCCCCGGGTACCTTACCACCCATCGGCATGCCCGGTACCTTCTTGCGTCGTGTGCGTGAGGAGGACAGCGAAACCCAGAGTACCCAGTCGGCTCCGCGGAAGCCTATTCGTCGGAAGCGCCGCAAGCACACTGACGCTGGTGGTCCAATCAGCCAGTCAGCCATCATGCCCCAGCGACGTACGGAGAGCGAGCTTGAAGGGGAATCCAAAGAAGAGCTCGAAGAACGAGACCGTGTGGATCGTGGATCTTCGCCGCCTACCGCTGAACGGGATCGCTTCGGACGTGAGCCTGAGATTGAAGTCTACCAAGAGGGTCATCATATGATCATCGAGGATGAGGAGGGCAATGTGCTCAGGACTGAAGATACCAGTAACCTGACTCCCGAGGAACAGGCTCGTCACATCGAGGAACAGCGCAAGCGCCTCGAGCAGGACAGGTCTGGCGAGCTTGCTCCATCCGGCAGCCAACCTCACGAGAAGACCGAGGGCGAAGAGATCCAACAGGCCGTTGGTGAACAAACCGGACACCCCGTCGAGAAGGCTCGGTCTCGTTGGACCAACTGGACCGGCTTCGGAAAGGACAAGACCAAGGAGAAGCCAGAGGAAGCTCAGCCGAAGCCTAGACCTCAAGCTCAGCCTAAGCCTGCCGAGGGCGAGAAGAAAGCCCGCTCTGCTCATGCGTACCAGTTTGGTAACACTATCATCGTTGAGGATGAGGATGGTGAGGTGATCAAGAAATACACCATCCCGTCTGGTGACAAGTCCGCCAAGCCCAAGCCCAAGCCTGAAGAACCGCAGCATGGAAAGGATCAGGCGCCTATCCGAGCCGGTCTGAAGCGCATGGGTACCTGGTTCGGCATGGAAGAGGAGGGCGAATCCTCGCAAGCCGGTCAGAAGAAGAAGCCTGTTCCTCGTACCGAGACTGACGACTGGGCCACGGATGACGGCCTGCGATTCACTCTTGCCCAGAGCACGGAGGTTGGCTCCCAAGGCATCGGCTACAAGGGTCGTCGCATGACCAAGCACGAGTTCTTCCAGCAGATCAAGGGCCTGGACCCCAAGGCGCGCCGAGATCTAGTACAGCAAACCGACGCCCCGGCTCCCATCAAAGAAGCTGCCCACGAAGACGTCAAGCAAACCGAAAAACAAGAACGTCGTCTCTCAGCAGCCGCCGCATCCGCCGCCACCGGCGCCATCCCGGAAGAAGGCGAGGATCTCGTCTCCGAATCTGTCACAGACAGCGACGTCACCGACGAGGAAGACTCAACCGATGACCGCGGCGAAACAAGCCCCAACGTCGCAACTTCCCTCGCCAAATTCACCCGCGGAAGCTCCGCCCAAGAACGCCGCAGCAATCTCAGTCATGCCCCACGCCCCCGCGATCGTCGTCGCCGTGACTCAGAAGACGATGGCACAGAGCGTATCCCGCCCTCACGCCTCCGTCAAGAAGCCGGTCTCGCCGCACCACCACGCCAAACCGACGACGATACCGGCGAGACACCCGCCGAGCGACGTCGTCGTCTCGCTGCGCTAGGCGAGATTCACAATGGCGATTCCTCTGACTCGGAAGCTGAGGGCGAAGCTGCCATTGCCGATTCCGATAGTGAGGATGACGGCGAACCTCGACAGGTGCAGGGTAAAGTGCAATTCGCGGATTCGGCGAGACCACATGAGCAGCCTAGTCCCAGTGAACAGCATTCCTCCTCATCTGGTTCTGGCTCTGGATCAAGTAAATTCACACCCGGCCATCGACCCCGTATCTCCTGGGGTGGCGAGAAGGGACGGGAACATTAGCTTCAACGTTGATATCTGGCTATAACCCCGCCTGATCCGAACCATCAACATACTTTTTTCGCTTCAAAGCTTTTCATGTACATGGACTTCCTTGGCTGCTCATTGCTATCACCCGCATATTTCATGTACTTTCTTCATCCTCCTTTTGCTTTTTACGTTTCCCCTTTTCTCTTTCCCCGCTTGTGCATAGTAGCTTTTTTGCTCCAAGGATATAACGGCCGAAAGGAGCGATTCTGCGATTTGGATGATTCTACATGGCTTTTCCTTTTCATGATTGTGTTTTGGGCTATTGCTAGAGCGGAGCGTGATCATTCATACAATGCATTTGAATTTTGTATATTCAATACATCCTTCCACTCTATTACTTCGTAGATCTACTCGAAATACAGTTTTTCCACATTGGGTGGAAAGATAAATCGTTTGTAGATGAAAAAGTATAGTTAAGGTCGAACCAGAGGTATCAATGCGAACAAAACATGAAGAAACAACTCTAATATCTCTACAGCCCTCCCTCCCCAGCCAGCCACACCACACCACCCCATCTCCATCCACCAATCAATCCACCCATCCACCTATCCACCCATCACCCCTCCATAGTATTAGAAGCCCTCATAACCCCCCTCCCAAAAAACTCACTAACAACACCAAACCGATCCTTCGACCTCCCCAACTCAGCCTTAAACAAATCATGCTGATCCGCCGACTCAACCTGGCGCTGCCGAATAGCCCTTAACGTCGCATTCGTCGGCGCACAAACAGGACATTGCGCGTCCTCGTCGACGCGGTTGAGACAGCGCTCGTGGAAGGAGTGGCGGCAGAGGAAGTGGATGGTTGGGAGGTCGAGGGTTCCGCCGCAGGATTGGCAGCGGCGGGATTGGAAGACCACGGGTTGGGTGGACAGGTTGGTAAGTTCTTGTTGTTTGGTGGCTGTTTCGGATTTGTAGCTTGAGATTAGGCGTTGGTTCTGTATAAAAATTGTTAGTGAAGGGGATTGAGGGGGGAAGGGGGAGTTTGGTTCGTACGGTTTTGATCTGCTTGTCTTCGCTGGCGATGTTGTTACCGAGGTACTTCTTGAGTCGGCCCATTGTGATCACGGCGTTGTTGCTGACAGCTTGGATTACCTGCAAGGGGGAAAGAAGACCGTCGTCATGAATGCGTTGCAGGACCTTGTCCAGTTCATCGCCTGCTTCTTTCAGGATCTGTGGACTTGAGGCAAAGTATGTCAAGGCGTCGATATAGAGCTGCGGCTCATCGGGTCCATATCGCCGCAAGGCTTGAATAGCTCCTTGTGTGTCCTTAGCGGATGTGAATGAGCGGAAAATGTCAAGTCGCAGGCCTTCCTGTTCACGGACAAGCGTGGAACCTTCTCGGAAGTTTGATAGATCTGAGAGAAGAAGGACATTGGATGTAGAGATTGGGATCTAGTAATGTTAGTTAGGAATGACAAAAGGATCCTTGAACTGCTTACGTCTTTCCCTTCAATCAGCTTCTTAGCCTTTCCTTCCCACTCTTGTTTCTGGACAGAATCTTTTGTGGACTTTGCAGCATCAAGATACATCTCAAACAAGGTTGTGAAAAGGTCCACCTTAGCCTCTTGTTTAAGCTCTGGCTGTTGCACGAGTGTCTCCAGGAAACTGATAAAGTTTTGCGGGTGGTCTACGAATGCAGAGAATGCAGTCCGTGGCTTCGGGACTTCGTATTGTGGTGGCAGGTTCTCGGCTGGCTCCTCTTCGGCAGGTGCTGTCTTAGTAGCTGGAGCCTGGGCTTGTGTGCCAGAACCCCCAGTCACGTACCGCAGTGGAAGAAGTCCAGCAAGACTTTGAACAGCGCTTGCTGGCTGAGCTTGAGGCTCGGGCGCTGGTTCCACTGTGGTTCGCGGTCGGTATTGGCCCGTGTAGTATACTTTGAAGAGCTCCGTCGTCTCCTCGGGACAGTGAGTCAGGAGAACCCGTGCGTACTTCATTAAGTTGTGATACGCCTAGTCAGGTCAGCATCGACGCTCATTGTAATGCAGGAACACATACTACTTCAGGATCCAATCGCCAAATGTACTCCACAGCCTCGGCGTATTTCTTCGAATCCTCGATCAAAATATCGACAACCATGTCATTCTCGCCATGCTTCGTGGCTAGGAAAGCCGCCTGCTCAAAGTAACCCCCTTGTCGACACATAGCAATAGCGGTTTCCAGATCAAACTTGAGCTCACCAGGAGCTTTGATGAATGAGTCCAGCTTGGTGGTATCTTTAAGCTTTGCATAGCAGTTCAAAAGAAGGGTGGTGTGGTCCACAGTCGCACGTCCATGGTCGTGAAGCTCCTCAAGGTACTCGATCAAGTTATGGATTCGTTGTGTATCCAAGTACTGAATTCAGATTAGTGGCAAATCTTCTGAAAACTTGGATGGAACTAACCTTTCGAATAACTTGTGACGGTTCCGTGTTATCAATTGCCCTTAGATATTGCTGCATCGCCGTATCATAGTCACCACGCTGATACAAGAAGTCACCATATTTGCGATAGATCGCATTCTGCTGCAATGGATCAATCCCAATCTTCTGTGCGAGATTAATGGCCAAAATGTAGAGATTGCGCTCGTAAAGAATTTCCAGCCTTTGCTGAAGGCTCTTCTCGCGATATCGGATTATCTGGCAGGGGTCAGCAACGTACAAACACGGTCAAAAAGAGGAGATTACAAACCTTTCCATCTGTCGTGAGCAAGAAAAGATCTCCCCATTCTATGAAAATGTGCTTCATCGGCGACACCAGCGACTCGCTATGCGCGATAAATTTCAAATCGGTATCGAGCAAAGTAAACGTCGTCGAGCCAAGTATGTCCTCTGCAGGGTTAACCCCATACTTGCGCATCGGATCACCTTTAGTAGAGCCTGCTTTCGGCGGGCAAACCAGAGCCACGTAGTCGTGGAAGGCATTGATAGACGTCTTCGGGCTTTCAAACGCATAGCTCGGGCCCCGACCACGAGGTCCATAGTTGTAAATGGCGTCTTCCCTAGCAATGAGAATCTGCCCCGTCTCCTTGTCAAGCGTCATACACCCCAGTGCGCAACCGGTATCTTCCAAAACACGCGCAGGCTGGCCCTGTCCCCGTCCCGCGATCACTAGTGTCAGGATTCGGCTCGTCGTCGAGATGTAAAGCACAGTCACGGCCCCGTTTTGTGTTTCAAGGCCGGTGATGGGCTCCTCCGACTCGAAGACAATGCGCTGGCGCGCACCACGATCATGAATCAAATCGCCGCGGATAATCGTCACCGACCCGTTCGCGAAACCGACTGCTACTTGCGAGAGATCGTCGACGACCGCAAAGGCAGATATCTAAAACACCCATTAGCCATTAGCATTCCCATTTCCCCCTGCTTATCATCTTGAGGGACAGCGCACCGGGAATTGCCTCCTCGCATTCTGCACCGAAACAGTCGACAAACACTTGGGCCCGCCATCCTTCTTCTCCGTATCGAGAGCCCAGACTTTAAGCACCGGTTCATTCGACAGATCCTCCGCGACAGTAACAAGCAATGACGTCCCGCCGATCTGTTTCATATGCGTAATGGACCCAGCATCATGCGCCTTGAACGAGCGCAAGATGCGGAAGGACGAGGAGACAATGTGCACGAAGCCATCGACGGTACCGAGGAAGAGGTTCGCAGATCCGGTGCAGAGACTAGATAAGTCGCTCTATAGAGATTGTCAATCGTCAGAAGAGTGTCAATGTGAGAGTGGTGGAATGGCAGTCTTACCCCGAACAACGCGGAGCTTGCCTCTGGCAGTTTGACAGGGGTGACGTCGATAAAGTTGAACGCTTTCCACTACGGATGTGTTAGCTGCATCTTAGGCGACAATATTTCGGGTGATACATACTGATGTCAGTGCCATTTGGGCTGCTGGCCATGCGTGGTGGGCATTGACGTCGGAGACGGAGGAGCTGGTGATGGAGGCCGCCTGGAGCTTCCCCCGCTGGGCGCTCGGGCCACCTGCGCCTCGGTTCCTGCGGATCAACATTCTATCAAACTACAAAGCTACAAGATAAGAGAAATATAAGGCACAATAGTCTCAAATACTATATTCTTAACATCATAAAGGTTAATCGTTTATAGCTATCATAGCAAACTCTCGCTCCATCACATTGTTCATATCGTTAAAGCAATGGGGGAATCAATGCAACCCTGACAACTCGCTATGCTAGCAATACTTTATGCAACCGAAATCATGACAACAAACTATATCCAAATTGAAAGGAAAAAAGCAAAGTATTCAGCAACTAGGCTGGTCTTGCAGGTTGACTAGGACGTCTAATGTCCTTCATAAAGTCGAAGCTCTGCTGCAGCCAACTACCAGCGTCGGCGATGGCCTGGCTGAGGTCAAAATTTTCCACGCCTGGAGGGGCTCCTTGCCCATCCTGGGCAGTCGTTGGTGTCGAGCCACTAAGAGCAAAAGGGAGAGCTGTCCCTTGGGTAGTTGAGCGATGTGTTAAAGCAGGGTCTGGGCCATGAGGACTCGAGTGGGCTCTGTGATACTCGTGGTCCTGAGAAGGCGAGGGCATCCGAGGTGAGACAACTAGGAGATCCGGAGGCACCTCGGGCCTTTCCTTAGGCTGATCGGGTGATAATTCTCGAAAAGCTTTGGACTTCTTTTCCGTGCTGAAAATATAAGGGGTGACGGCATCAATCATGCATTGCGTACTCATAGCCTGTATCCTTTCCTTCGAGTATCCGCGCAGGCTTGCATGATGGACTGCCTCCGAGGCTTGTGGACCATTATACGGCGTTTCTTGTGCAAGAATTGACTCCTCTTCGGGTCCCATCACGGTATCTTCCGGTTCTGCGGGATAGATGAATTCAGGCTCGGGGCTATCCAGGTCTTCTTGGAACGATCTTTGGGCATGAAGCAGGGCGGCCTGCGTCGACAATTGCGTATCCGAACTCTCTTCAGTGTTCTGATCAGGATTTGTTCTCGGCATTGCGGTCGAGTATAACGATGGTATACGATCTGATACTCCTGGAGGAACAGGTACATGTTGGGCAGATGGTAGGTTCTCATAGGTATTTTGCTCGGTCTGTGGTTGATCTTCTTCTTCGATGTAAGTTGAAAGACCTGCTTCATCGGCAAACCTGAGATCCTTTGACGTTTGGACAAGTTCGGCTTCGCTAGCCTCCTTGGGATCGTCATCAACCGGTCGCTCCAATGGCTCATTGGGCTCCTCTGGATCTTCTTGCTCAAGGACTGCGTCGTCTAATTGTTCAGTGACAACAGGGGCGTCAGAGACCACTGGTTGATCTATTTGAGCGGGCGCATCAATATCGGCGCTAGGAGCAGATGCATTCTCACTGCTCCCAGCTGCAGGTGCATCTTGCACTTCAGCCACGACGCCTTCGGAGGGCAGGTCTTCCTGGACTTTCTCAGCACCAGACACAGTTACAGGCTTCTTGACACTAGTATCAATCGCAGCAGGGCTAACAGCTTTGATAGGAGACTGTTGTCCAGCCTGCGAGCTATCATTCGTTTGATGCCACCTCCGATACTCAAACCGCGGCAGCTGAGACGTCGAAGAAATGACACGAAACGACGATGCCACAGGAATTTCCACACTGGGAGAGCTCCCGTGTGTTGATTGTGGTCCTGGAGCCAACGACCTCACCACGATCTGGTCATGATTTCGCTCCGTTGCAGCCGCTACTCGAGAACCCTCCAGCGAAATGTCCATACGCTCGGCTGTTCTCGTCCCCTCATCCACTGCAGGTGTAATCGAGATCCTTCTGCGCGAAGTCGTCGCGGGAGGCCGGAGCTCCATAGTACGCATGGCACCAACCCGGGCTTTATTCTCGGCCTGTCGGGATACAATCTTTGAAGTTGGAGAGCTCGGGGGTTCGTATTGCGTAAAGTTCAATCGCTTCCGGTCTTTCTTCAGCCAATCTGCCGGTCCACCAGCAGCAAAAGAGTGGTCGTTGGTTCGCCATGACGGTGTCTCTTTTGGTTTCTTAATCGAACGCGGTGTCACTCGATGTTGTTCATCGTGGATTGCCGCTTGGAGAGGTCTTTTCTGCGCTGATCGAGATGTAACAGGAGAGCCGGCATTTAAACCTTGCGCATTCGGTGACTGAGCTATTCTGGATATAGCTGCTGCAGGACTCGGAGCCGCAACAGCCAAGTCCTCTCGATACTTGGGATGGCGCAAGTCGGTCTCTTGCACGACACGCCCTGCATTTTGTATAACCCTCTTGCCGCGCGTCTTGGCCTGTCGACTAACAACAGCCTTGCGGTCCTTCTTCCACGGATTCCTCCAGCCCTGCTCAAACGGACCCTTTAAAGATGCGGAAAGAATAAATAGCGGCTTGCCCTGAAGATATGATTCCGCGAGCTTCTCAATTCGCTGACGTTTAGCTGCGCGCTCCGCCTCGGTCAGCTCGTCATCAGAGGCCGGTAGCTCATCACTAGTTATATCGTCGGCGGAAGGCTCGTATGTCTCAAGGCTGAATGGCGAGATGGCCCGCTGGTAGGGCATCGGGGCAGGATCTGGATCTGGACGGGGTCGGACTCGGCGATGCGGAGAGGTTTCGAAGCTGCGGCGGTGGCACTCTGCAGCGACGCAGCGGGATAGGGAGCTTTTACTAGGTCCCTCGTCATTTCTGAACGAGTGAGAGGCAGGTGGAAGACGTCGATGGCGCAGAGTTGGCGCCTAACGCGAAAGCACTTAACGCGTGAAGGTGCCCCCAGCAACCGCGGGGGATTATGTAACTGGTCGCCTCTTGCGGCTGAAGGTCACCAGTGACCCGCTTAGGCTTAGGCAGGCAGAAATGGACATATACTGAATCATGTAGGGGATTCAGAGTGCACAATTCAATGACTAAATTCTTTCGAAACGGCTGGTGTCGTAAAGGAATATGGGGAATACATATTCAAAATGAATTTTCTAATGAATACCTACCCTTAAGGTCCCGTGTCTATGCCGGAAAGGATTACTACGCTTGACTCAACATCTGAAACTCAGATAAATGATATTCACAAGAAGTAGAAGTCTGTAAAATAGAAACACTATGAGGACACAAAACCCAAGACAAAATAACAGACGCAACTGTGCATTCATAACTCAAATTGGCTTCAAAATCCAAACCAGATATCCCCTGAATCCGACAACACTAGCATGACGCATACAACCAAATCCATAAAATGAAATGAAACAAGAAACAATGAAAAGGCATAGCATAGCATTCGTCTATGATAGATTTGATTCGGGGGTATCGTATCAATATCGAAGCAGGGGGTGTAACCAACATGAGCATCAGGCAGACAGAGCCAAACAACAAGCAGACAAGAACGTAAAGAGGTAAGTCTGGAACCAGATTCGGATAGTAATATAAATGAACACGGGGATGGGGATAGGGATAGGTGAATCAGATGCCTGACCTTGCCTCGCCATTCCCTTCAAATCTTTAATTGATCATGAACACATCAGCCGCACAAGACAAGCACAAAATACAGAATCAGATAAACAAGGGGGATCAGACGTAGCCAAGGTGTGTGTGATTCGAAAACATTCAAAGAAGAAAAAAAGTTCAAGTTCAAATCATCATTAAGAAGTCATCATAACAGCATGCGAACAAGAATGCTCCGCACGCTCCTTCATCCGCATAGCCTGGGCCTCCAACGAGCGCGCCATCAACTTCGTCACCGGCCAGACGGCAGCCCGATCAAGCAGACTAGCCGTGGCAATCAATATTTTACACCCGTACCCGCCCTCAACGACGCTGGGCAGGCGTTGCATCACGCTCAGCGCAGACATGGAGTTACTGTTCTGCACCGTGCGCTGCATTTTGGTCTCGATGCTTGAGAGAATCTCTTTGATTTTGTCAATGAGCTTGCAGTCTTCGTCTTCGAGAAGCATCACCCCGGGAACCTGGGTTAGGTCGATGTCATCACGACCAAGGATGCCCAGGTACGGGCCAACGCGTTCTTGAACGGTGGTGATCCATTCGGCGAGGACTTGGGCGCAGTCAAAGGCACACATTGCGCATTGGATGGGTAGTTCGCGAGAGGAGAATTCGGCGAAGGTGTTGCCGAGGCGGTCGGACATGGAGATCGAGTCTGCGGCGTAGAATGCTGCCTTGCGGAGGTGCTTCTCACGCTTGGATTGGCCGGTCTTGTATACGCTGGAGAGAGATTGCATGGGCTGGTCTTGTGTAGGTGTTTGGGAAATTGCCAGCTCGCCAACACCCAAGTCATTCACAGACTCTCGCCTAGCATCGAGGGAACCGATCAGGGACGGATCTAGCACGTCGTTGATAGGTCCATCGGCTTGATGGAAGACCTCCGTTCCCCGTGCAAGCTCATCTGCCATGCCGTTCCAATCGCGTTGCCAAAACGCCTCCTTGCATCGACCTAGGTTGACAAATAACCGAACATATGCTAGATCGAGTAGCGGGATGCTATCCGCAGAGAGTGGACCCGCTCCGAATGGATTAGGTCGCTCCAAGCTGTGAACAGGGTTGCTTGCCCACGCCGCCTGCCATGCTCTCAATGCTGGTTCAATGTGTGATTGCATGGCCTCGGTCTCTTGTGCCGTCCATTGCCGACCCATATGCCTTTGCCTCGTCTCCCAGATATAGTTGTGTAGAGAGTAGATGAGAACGAGACAGCCAAAGGTACTGGGCCGGTTCTCAGCACTCGTTGGATCGTCCGTGCTACCACCGTTGAAGAACAAATTTGATGATTTATTCTGCTGTTCGCGTTGACTGGCAGTAAGAAGGGAAGTCAAAGCAGCCGAGAAAGAAGCACTCTTCTTAGCTGTTTGTCCGCCCATCTTTTTCCAAGCTTGAGGCGACTCGGCAGCCCAGAGATCCTCCTCACAAGGGAGATCTAACCGAATCTCGGAGTTTGTAAGGGCAGGTGCGTGGTTGTATGCAGAAACGAGGAAACTGGAGAGGACAAAGATCGCATACAGTGTACGCTTCCGCTCCTCAACCACCTTCCAATTCAACCAGTCACGGCGTTCCTTGGGCTGGCCGAACGACGATGACATCCAGTTTTCCGTATCCGAGGGGTCCGAGGCATTGAATCCAGAATTGAGGTGATCCTGTGGTAGATTCTTTGGATCCAGATGATGCGTAAGCTCTGCAGCACGCGCTAGGCTAACGAGAGCGGCACAATGTGTACTGGCAATGTCTGCCGATGTCTTATCACCGCAGGTATGACCATAGATCACATTGAGTAGCATGGCCTGCACGAGCCAGAGAGGAGTGTTGTGCACCGAGTTATCGCGAACGGAATTGGAACGACTCAACGCAGCAGACATGTCGGCCTTTCGTCGCTCTTCCAGATATAGTTGAATCATTTTCTTGGCAGCTTCGAACAAATCCTTAGAAGCAGCCGTGTCGTATTCGTACAAAGCACCGATGGCAGCCATGGAAAGAATCAGGCAGCCACCACCTCCCGCCACGCCGGTCGAACTGAGATTAAGGTGTCCGCTCGGGGTGCGTAGGTTGCTCGTGTACTCGGGGGCCTGGAAGTTGAGGGTGGGGATGTGAAGAAAAGGCGAGTGAGGGTGGAAATAGGTAATGTAGGCCGAAATGTAGCGCTGCATGTCCGAGGTGCTGGGGAGTTGACCGGAGGTGTTGAAGCCAGCGGAGCGAGAGAACAGCTCGCGGCTATTCATAAGACTAGAAGCGGGCTGCGAGTACTTGCGGTGATTGAAGCCAGTGGGTTGAGACATGCTCGCTAGTAGAGCCTGTCGAGTGGAGTCTGTAAATGTATCCGTTGAGACTGGGGAATGTTGATTTCGTAGGGCACTATTCGGGAAAGGAACGTTGAGAGGATTAGGAGATTCTCCGTTTGTTGCCATTGAGGATGAAAACATACTCTGCGAATGTCCTCCCACGATGGGCTGGCCGACCGAGGTCATGGAGGGAGGGGTGGCATAGGTCTCTGCGAACGGGTTCTGGGCCATCAGCGACTTGGGTGACACGGTCTCGGGCGGGATCCCCAATTCGTTCAGCGTCGTCGGTGAAAAGTCGATCGCGAATTGGTTGGCGGACATGGCTGTCTGTCCGGGGAATGGGTTGTGCCAACCATTAGAGATGGGGATGCGGTTGGGTCCATCCAGCATCGCCTCACTAATACCGCTTTGGCTACCCGTACTCATTGCCGATGGGGAGGATTCATCGATGACCGAGTCGTTACCGTTTCCCAGCGCGACGGCCGCATCGAACCCATTCATCCAATCAAAGTTCATCTCCTCGTCCATCATGGAATCCGGGTGAGGCATGCCATGGTATTGTTGGTGGCCGAATGGGGAGGAAGGGGAGTCACCAAAGCCCTGGGGAGAACCTGCAAAGTGTAATTGAGCGGGGTTGATAGTGCTGCCATGGCCCATCAGCATCCCATCAATACCCAGGTCAAAGCTTCCGTGGACAGGAGCTGTCCGTAATCCACCAGCCATGTCCATGGGAAGTCCCGACGTTTCCAGCTTGGGCAGACCGTTGATCGGTGGATGACCAGAACTGAAGCCCCTATAGTCTACACTTGAACCTAATGATGTTCCGAGACTGGGGTGATATGCGTGACCCGATTGCCCGGGCGCAGAAGGGTTGCTCCCATCTGGAATGCCCAGAGCTGATGTACCAATGTGGCTAATCGTGTTGGCACGAGGCCGCATCGAGGCGGAGCTGTTAGCGATGGAGTTCTTGCGCACGCGATTGGCACCCGCACCTGCACCCGCAGCACCCGTACTCTCTCGGCGACCATTCCTGGGCCGAGAGGATGGGGTCGTTGTCATATGCAACTTCTGCTGATGCCGAAGCAACAGATCACGACGAGCAAAGCATCGTGCGCAATCGGGGCATTCAAAGGGTTTCTCCTTGGTGTGCGAGCGCTCATGACGCTTCAAGTGCTCCAATCGCGCAAAGGAGCGACCACAGGTAGTACAGACATGAGGCCGGGGCTTGTCTGTCTTGGGAGGGGGGATATTGCCATTGGTGCCGGTCTGGCCATTGGCCTCGGCCTGCTTCTTAGTCTCCTTTGATGGAGCTGCCGATGGAAAAAAGAAGAGTTCAGAATTCGTGGGAAACTTGCGGTGAGCGAATCGACTGGGGTGCCGCAAAGAAGAGACTTACCAGGCATGTTTCCGGGGATTTCGTTGATACTGGCGAGATCTACCAATTGGGGGCTTTGGTCTCGTTCGTGGCCAACCATAGCATCTAGCAGCATCCTAAGAAAAATATGTCTTTTGACCCCTAGGATACGGGATCAATGCACTGGTCTCGACCTGAGGAGAATAAGCTGGGATTTCGCCGATATCTGCCGATGCCAGAGAAACTGGAGGTCTCGGAGAAAAGACAGAAGAACAAGGCTGTTCTCGCGGGTCGGGAAGCGGTGTTCGTCACTCTTCCCAGTGACGACGATAAGCGCGGATTGGCGTGATCGGTAGATAAATTTACACAAAGAAGGGTCGCATCAAGAACTGCATGGTCGGGATGACATCAAGTTAGCATATTCCTTTTTTTTCTTCGGGCACGCGAGAAATGGACAGAAATAAGAATTGCGTTCACGACTGGCGTTGTTCGTTGCCCCAATCCAGGGTAACGGACGAGGCTTATCATGGACGGTGCTGGGGTAGCGGACCAGGGACCCACCAGATGATTGCGGGCGGGAAGAAGCAATGTACAAACGGTCTTCGGTTCGAAGAAATGAAGTTGCGTCTCAACGGGTGAGGTCGAAAATTATCAAAATGTCCGAAGAAACAGGATGGGGAGGACCCTGCGACCGGTGGGCGGGATGGATAGTGTATACGACGTTGGAACTTCCAGTCTTTGAGAGGGGATCGGAGCATCAGCAAGGCAACCGGGGGTCGAGTCTGCCTGGCCACGAGGAGGCAAATCTCGGGGTATAGCTTGCAAGCTGATGGAATCACTCACTGGGAGGGTGAGATGAATCAAGTCGAGAGGACCTAAACTTCGCACGTATCCATTGAAAACCGACGATGTTGTGGCGGGCTCAAGTGTACTGGAGGGAGGCTCTTTCTCACAACGGGGGGAGGTCGGAGCACGGGGCAGTTGGAGTCGCGGAGATAACCGAGATCGCGGGCAATTGCAGATAAGCTAGATAGGCGGCGCAACGAGGATGGCGCTGGGAAGTAAGGGGCAGGAGGATGGAATGAAAAGATGAACGTTGAATGGGGAGGGGAGGATGGAAGGGAATGAGGTTTGGAGAAGTTGAAGGGACGTGAATTGCCTCCGAGCAACGAGCAGTTTGGGAGAGTTGCTGGACCTCCAAGTACCTAAGTACTCGCCGTTACTCGCAGTACGGAGTCCTGGCCGTAGGACTTAATACGGGCAGAGTTGGTATTGTAACGTACCTGGAAGGAAAGCAGACAGCCAAGACAACCAGACGGAGTTTAGCGTAGGAAACGTGGTGTGGTCCGGCCGGTATGGTACGTATGGTATGTAATCTGGTACGACAATGATAAATCCATGGGAGAGGGCGTGGCAGTAGTGGCGGTTACACTAATAGAGAGAGAAGCTACAGTACAGAATACTGTACAAGACTTAATCTTATCTGTCCACTCTCTACTCACCTCCACGAGGCCGATAACGAGGAGCCCCAGGTACTGTCGCCGGCGGCAGCGGAACGGCTCCCATACATACCCGGATAAGGCCTCTCTGATACATACATACTGGCAAAATGATGCTAACTGATGATGGAATATCCTCTCCAGAATGCCCACTACTCCGTGCTCCAAGCACTAATAACGACACACTCCACAATACCCGCAGATACCACGCCAGTTAAAAAGTGGAGCCCTGCACACGGACGGCCTGAGGAGCCAATCGCCCAACCTCGATTATCGACTTGACCAGCCAGAGCCACAGCCAGGGCCATTCAGGATCAGACAACATCCTCTCAGGTGAACGAAAAGAACGACGGTGAATGGTCAACCCGAAACGATGAGCCAGGGTACTACCGGAACCGGCGTAGCCTCATCCTCGTTCCCGCCACGCACTGCCCGGCTCTCGCCGCCTACAAGTCCGACTAGCCCACCAGTTCACCTGGTTCCTGGGGCCGGGGGCCTGGTTTTTATCGTTCAGTGAGGACTCCAGCGTCGCGGGCGATTGGCTTTTTTTTTGCCTTTAGAAGGGAATCTTCCTCCACGCAGTTGCCTAGTTGGGGGTTAGTGGCGTCATGGGGCCTGCGCTAGTGATAGGTCGGGTATAGTATCCTAATGTACCTGTCAGTGGAAGTAGTACGTAGTCTTCTCTGGCAGTTGTCGTAATGTGCACACTACTGCACAGTACTCTCCGTACACTCCGGAGTTGACGGCAGCTTCATTACATGTCCACCGTCACGTATTGTTTCTTGATTGTCTTCCCTTGGTTACTCCGGGGTTTGTACCGAGGTGTGGACATTGCAACGGGACCCGCTTCAGGAGCTGAAACAAGCCAGTGGAGCGCCATGATAAGAGATACCGTGAGATACGGCGGCAATGACAAGAATAGCTCAGATTGGAATGTCACCAGGTTGACATTCGACATCATCGTCATAGTTGACTTGCATTAACAGTGATTCTGGTGAGTAAAAAAGGCCTGGATTGTAGAAGCCGAGAAGTATCAATGTTGATCCGCACATCGGACGTGGAAAATAGATTGCAAGGTGGTACCACTACAGTACACTTTTTTCTCCTGGAGTACATAGTTGGCACTAAAATGCCTCGTGTTTCCCCCCCGGCAAGGTACCAGGCCCCGATCTTGGTCTAAGGCTGGCCATTGACATTCAACTACTCGGATGGGTAAGTCACATTCTTGAGAAAAAAGTGAATCGATCTCAAGAAAAGAGGCAATCATGGTCATTTTTATAGAGTAAAATTATGCACTATGATATTACTTTTGCCTCCAGTGTTGACAGTGAATCCATCCTTCCACACTTGCCACTTGTACAGAACATCCCGTAATTATTCTTCTTCCGTATCCAAGACTAGCTCCCTAAACCAATACGAAGGGCGATTATAATCAAACCGCCCTCGTGACTGGGCCTCCCTTCAGTCGAGATCGGCAACGGTCGCGAGAAAAGTGAACAGAAATCCCCCAGCAACCAACTCCAGTAGGCTGGTGGAAAGACCACCCGCTAGGACCTCCGTCTCGACTGGACCGTCTATGAAGTGGCCAGGTACGGTGTAGCCATCGAGATCCACCGACGAGGCTGGGGGCGGAAGCTCCAATGGGCGGAAGGATCCGCATCAGAGCGACTAAGAGAGGGCCATGCGCCATTTTTGTGGGGGAAGGCCGCGACCGAAGGGTTCGTGTGGGGGATTTTCCTGTCCTGTCTTGGAGGTCACTAGGGATATACACCAATGGAATCTGTTGAATAGGTGGACCAAGGAACTTACTTGGAAGACTTGGGTCGTGTTTTGAGTCTGGTTAGACGCTTAGGAGTTAGAGTCCTGGATCCATCGTCTCCTTAGGCTGAAGTCTGGTCTTGCAATTTATTCTGGGGATGGTGTGTGGCTGGCATTATTTGGTCTGGTTGGGGGTCATCCCCGGTACCATTCCAGTTGTGCACATGGCGGAATCTTAGCGACGGAATCAATAATGAATTGTGTGGCGAAAAAGATTGAATTCCAAGGGATGGTCATCCCATGGGAAGGCGCGTGGAAGGAAAAGAAGAAGCAGATGCATGCGGAAAGTGGATGATCCAGCCGAAAGAATGTGCCTGACTTGCTGTGCTCACTGGCCACCCCCGGATTCTTCCATTCGTTCCAACTTCACACTTTGTTCCAGTTTCCACCCCCTTGCACCTCCAACCAGACCAGCAAAAAAAATAACTTTCTAGAAATCTGACTCGTCCGTGCCATCGGTTGAACCGCCTTTTTTCCTTTGGCCGACGCACGTTGCAGCCACGCGATTTGAGTTTGGGTCGCACGGAACGATGTGAATAGACGAGCCCGTCGCTTCATTGGCGCGCTGAGAACTCCATCGCTCGGATCGGTGAGAGTCGATGCGGCTGGATCTGATTCTGGGGTTGGTATGTATGATATCCTGGGGACGATTATTATTGTGCTTTGCCACGATCGTCGGGGAGAATTCTCTTGCTGGGGATGAGACGATCCGTTCTGTCTTTCTTTCACGGGTTCATCGTCCGAGGTAACAGAGAACCAGAGATTGCTTGGAATTCTGCACTGTGGTCTCAAGGGTCTCGGTTCGGATGTTGGCGGAGAGACAGAAAAAAGAGCACGACTCTCGGTGCATACGGAGTACCACTGTACACGTCGGCCAATAACTATCATAGCGCCAACAAAGAAGATGATCATTATGAAACAACACAAAGAAACAACATTCTCAGTTACCCAGAGCCTAGGCACTCGATATGATAATCTCGATCTGGTAATGAATAATGCCATCGCTGGGTTAGCATACTTACCTTCCGGCTATCGGCCCTAGGAATTATTAACTGTCAATCAGGACTGAGACTTTAGGTCAAAGACACCCTCCCCAGACTCTCCCCTGCAGTCTTCCTGCACCTATTCGCACGGACACTTCGTTTGCAGAATCCCCAGACCAGCCTATGCGCTACTAAACCCAGACTATGCGGGCCTAAAAGGGCCCTAAGAGCCACTAGGGGCGACACTAGGGCGAGTCTGAGAGACGCTGCAGGTGACCCAAGATGACTCAAGGAGGACCAAGTGACAAATGAAACGGCTGCACGGCCAGCCACACTTATGCAGCTTGGAAGCTGCAACGCGGATGGGATGATCTTGGGGGTGGGTTCTAGCGTGGGGCCCGGGGGGAAACAGTCCGCAGGACGGAATGGAAGAAGAATAATAATTATTCAACTTTTGCTAACTAAATATGTTCTCTGTATAACTAAGTACTGTAGCGGGCTAGGCAGTGTTGCTTGATAATACTTCGTAGATTGTAATTAAACCAGTTTTATCAATCAAGCTGTCGTTATCAAGTTCTACCGAGTCAATTCCATGCACAAAGTAATATCACACATCTTTATTACCTTGGAAATGTTTTGGCGTTTAGCAATTTACTTTTGTACGCCGTATTTGCAGCATCGCCATGCACGGCGCTCAATTTCTGGCCAGCCCGTTGGCCATCGGACTGTCGGATGCTTGTTGCAGGGCTTATTTTCTACCACATGACCCTCCCTGATGACCGAATTTCTGTACCTGGAGAGATATTCAACGATAATATACCCCGAGTTGGCAAGTGCTTTCGCATGGTGTGTACGAGGGACGATCTGGACTTAGCCCAGAGCAAGTCATTGAGTTTTGCTTTTTCTGTTGATCCGGGTGGCAATAGTTAATCGTTGTACATGTAATGTAGCTTTATGCTTGATCGGTCAACGGAGTAATTGAAATTGTTTACTTGAATATAGTTCAATGTTCCAGCGCTTTTTACTTGCGGCCGAGAAAGATTCGCAAACTTATACTATCTGCTGCTTTGTTGTAAAAGAAAGACATTTTGTTTGAGGTTATTTTCCTTCCTTGAGATCGAAGGGCATAGATATTCCAAATATATTTTTACAAAGTACTTACTCTCCAGACCCTCTTCATCCAGCAGAAGTCAATCCTCCGTAAGCTCACCCACCCTAATCCGCTTACATCCCTAGGGCAGGGCCAAACACTACGCCACGACCAACACTCACCACTCACAATCAACCATTCCCCTGGCCCATGGAATAAGAATGATCGTAATCCGTATCCAGGTCTGTTCCAGAAGGATAGTCACCTGCGTCATCCACCGGGTGAAAGAAGTCCGGGGGAAACGCGCTCGATCACCGAATCGTCGACGCCATCCCACCCACCCAAACGTTATTGCGTAACCGCGCTTTGCGGGTGATCGCTGACGGTGGAGCCCATCAGTGCTACAACCCCAGGCAAAACTCCGACGGGACCGAGCTGGATCCATGTTGGAGTGGGACTAGCCAGTTAGTAGTAAGTACAGTACGGAGTAGTACCTACTAAATTACTACATAGTGGACTACTGGACTGGCCTAAACTGCAGGCGCCCATTCCAAGCATCCCGGTCTCGGAATAAATTACAAGCCATGAAATCTTGGCTCGCCCATCTTTATACAACATACGGAAGTACGGCTGGCTGTACTTTGTACTGTATGCTCCTACGGATGCTTTCTTTGTTTTCAAGAGATGCACGATGCAGCAGCCTATCCTCGTCCTCGTCTAAGCACCCAATACACTATGACCATCACCCTGAATCAGACAAGAAACAAGCCACCAGAAATTCTCCGATGCGTCCTTATCCCCGTCCATCCGTGCCACAGGGTTTCCGTGCTGATCACATCGTGGCCTGTGCTCGCCGCTTGTACACGATGGCATCAAGTCTATAGATGGCGCGCGGGATGTTCTCAATCTGAATCCTCACGGCTCGGATATTAGTCCTCCTCCACTAACGCTTTGTTTTTGCCGTCTATTTTAGCACCGGACATCCGGGCCTTTAAGCCGTCTTTCACAGGACGGTCTGTATTGCCTTTGCGCCCTCACGGATATATTGAAATACTGTGTGTCTTTGCGGGGGCGGCCAGATCTGAAATTTGAGAACTGAAACTAGGGGTCTAGTCCTAGCTTGAGGACTGCCTGATCGCTGAAGAAAAGCCCACAAGGCGCTACTGGCCGCACCGATTGGCCCCCAACAATCGTACAGAATACCCGATAGTTGACGGTACTGGAAATGCGGTCCTACCGCACTCTTTCCCTCGCACCGGTAGATCTTCCAGCGCTAAGGATGAAGTAATTGCTAGGCTAATGGGCAACTTGAGTCTGTGCATAGTCTGGGGGAGGCAAGATACCTAGAGGGTTGGCTACTTGCCTGTGTCTATACGAAGTGCCCTATTTCGCAGGCAGTCATACATCAGCGCACCAGTGCTTCTTAGGCTCTACAGTAGGTTGGATTCTTCTGCCCTGTGTGTCATATTGCCAACGGCCCACTCTGATACCGTAGAGATTGTGAAAGGTGACCGGCAGACGAGTCTCCGCTAGTCTAGCGCAATGGTGGATTCAAAGGATCGTGAGGGGACTTTGTACCGCGTCAAGCAATGCTACAATAGCCAAGGCCGCGGATGACGTGCATTTCGGAGAAGCCCACGATGGAAAACCAAATAGACAATATCGTCGCACCAGTCCAGCCTGTATATTGTTTCTACATAGCTAGCTGTCTTTGATGGCATGCCGTCATAAAGACTATTGCAAGCGAAGTAATGCAATCAGATTGCCGCTTGGGAAATGTCATCTATAGCCTTGCATCGAGATCGAGCGGGCCCTGGTGGTATTCAATCTATTCCTACGGGATCTTTTGATACCGACGAATGAAAAGAAGTGGTCATTATGGAATTCGAACCGCGCTCCAATTTCTACGAATTGGACGTTATCGGCGTGCTTTGAAATGCCCAGCCACGCCAAAGTGGGGCTACGAAGGGTCTAAACAATATTCCGCAATCAACAGCACGATGATAGGAAAACGTTGCCGATGATCGCATAATCAATTGGCGAGGAATGACTCCATAAAATAGATAGCCATCCAGC